CCTTTTGTCCCCCCCCCCCCCTCCCAGACATGTGTTGGGATGTTGGGCTTGTCAAAATGTGCTTTGACCGACTTGGAAACCTCTCAATGCCCAAGATCACCTTCAAGGCAATGCGAAGGTTGTCAGCAGCCCTTCTCAATCGGCAGGAAATCCCTGAGGCTGATGCTTGTCGTGGCATGGGTCACATTTTCGAAAGCACAGAGAGGATGGCAGCATATCTCCCAGCCACCCAGAACTTCGACTTGATGGGCCTCGCCATTGATGGCCGACAAGACCTTGGATCTGTGCAATGGGTTGGGATTCCTCTCTCCAGACTCGAAGCGCTCTGTCTCACTGCGGCTGAAGAGGCTGCCATCCAGCAAGACGAAAGGATTAAGGAAGCTAGGGACGAGGTCAGCAAGTGCTAATGGAGAGTAAGAAAGGGCAAGGCAGCCTTAGAAGACCTCACTGGATTCTGTGCTCGGCCCCGCCACCATCCTCAGCGGTACAAGTCATTCATGAACGGTTCAAAAGCGGCAAGGAAAAAGACCGCACGGTGTTCTGTAGCAGAGTACAGATGGCGACAAAGAGGTGCGAAGGTTGATCGAAAATACAGAATTGGGACAAATCTCGACTTTACATATACGCAACTGTGACGCCCTCCGGCAATCGTCGGCGTCGTGGCGCAATGGCTAGCGCATAGAGCTTCTATCCATTTCTGAAAGCCACCGGAGGAGTCCTCCGAATTTTAAGAAATAACTCTAAGGCTGCGGGTTCGAGTCCCGCCGTCGCCTAAGTCGTATTTTTGTGCTTTTTTTGCATCCAGGCGACTCGTAATGGTGTGTAGAAGATGCTGGTGAAATTTCGAAGAAGGTTGATAAGGAGAATGGAGAAATATGGTGGTTTGAACTTTTGTACCGGTATTCTGCCGGAAGATCAGGTCGCGTGGATTAAGGCGGAGTGCACAATGTGGAGGTGCGCGAAAAAAGCAGGGTCCAGAATCAACCCACACCGTCTCACTTGCATGCTCGTTGTCATGACTTCCAAGGCGTCCGTGCGCCATCTAGACCACGTTAGACTCGTCCAGAACAGTCTCAAAGCTGGCAGCTACATACGTCAGCCTCCATATCATCATCGGAGAACTAGCGGGGCTCGCACAAAGTCATCACCTTGCGTGAGGGAACACCCTACATTTCACGATTTCATCCTCGACGTCCAGAGACAAGCGACGGGCAGCCGCGTCGTCGCTGCCATCCTTTCGCATCTCCTCGCCGACCTCTTCGGACTCCGACTTTGAGCTGGACACATTCTCGACGCCTGCGGACGAAGTGGACGGATCAACAATTGGCGGACGGGGAGCGAAAGGGATAGGGGGGACAAAGATGGCCGATCCAGCTAGCGCTGCTACCGACGCCGTTTCTGCAACGGTCGGACGCACGAGAAGAGGAAAGGCGGACCAGCTTGCTGACTTGGATCGGTTCAACCCGCTACGGTCGACACAAGTCGATGGAGATGATGAAGACGAGGGAGAGGACGAAAGCGATCTCAGCCCGTTGGACGATTCGGGGCTAAGTTCGGCCAGCTACCTCGCAAGGCTCACTGGTGTAGCCTGCCTCGGCGGCTTGCAGTTCGGCTGGGACACGGGAATTGCGAGCGGTATGCTCGTTGCTATTCATGCCGACCTGGGTCATGAACTCAGCGAGGGAGAGCAGGAGCTCATTGTAAGCGCTACAACGGTCGGAGCGATCCTCGGCTCGATCGTTGCGGGAAGGATGGCGGACTGGCTGGGTCGCAAAAAAGTCATGATCGGTAGTGGCATCCTCTTCCTGCTTGGTGCACTCGAACAAGCCGCGTCGCAGGTGGTCAGAGAGCTCGTGCTCGGTCGAGTGCTGGTCGGACTCGGCGTGGGTATGGCCAGCATGGTGGTGCCGACGTACCTGGCAGAGGTGGCGCCTACCAAAGTACGCGGAAGGGTCGTCGGCATCAACAGCTTGCTCGTAACAGGTGGGCAGGTCATCGCGTACTTGATCGATGCGGCTTTCTACCACTTGCCGCACGGGTGGAGATGGATGGTGCTGGCTGGTGGTATACCTGCGGTTTTCCAGCTGGTGGGAATGATCTACTTGGATGAGTCTCCGAGGTGGCTCGTCGCACGCGGTCGGATCATTCGGGCTCGAAGGGTGCTTCAGCGCATCTATCCGCACGCCAGTGTCCGCATGATCGACAATGAGATCGATCGCATCGCACGTAGCATGCAAGGTGCCACGCGACATTCGGTCGACCCAGATGCTTCTCACGCCGCGGATCGTCGGGCAGAAGAGGACAATCAAGGAACGCACAACGATCTCCAATCGACCCTGGGCAGGATCAGCGCGGCACCCGCACAAATCACCTCTTCAGCACGCGAAACGACCACGCATGTGAAGAGCAAGCTCAACATGCTCGTGCACGATCCCACGCATCGGCGTGCGCTCATGATCGCTTGCGCTTTGCAATTCTTCCAACAAGCCACTGGAGCCAACAGCCTGCTCTACTACTCGTCACGGCTGCTGATGATGGCAGGCTTTGTCGTCAACCCGAACGCAGCAGCGATCGGGATCGCCATCGCCAATTTTGGTGGCACGGTGATTGCGGTCCGTTACATCGACTCTTGGGGACGTAGAAGGTTGCTGCTCTACACTACTGCAGCCATGTCGTTCTTTCTCGCACTCGTCGCCACTGGGTTCAGCCAGATCGATCTTGGTCCTGTGATCGGCAGCCCCGAACAAACCGAGCATGCGTCTACATCTGCATGGCCCTACTTGACGTTGCTGTTTATGATCTTCTTCACCCTCAGCTATGCGCTGGGGCTCGGAATTGTACCATGGCTTGTTCAGTCCGAGATCTTTTCCGGACAGGTAAGGGGGATCGGAGCAGGCTTGGCGACGGCGACGAACTGGAGCACGAATCTGTTGATCTCGTCGACGTTCTTACACTTAGTCAAGCTCATTCACCCGCAGGGATGTTTTGGGCTCTTCAGCGTGTTGTCGGCGCTCAGCTGTGCTTTCACGTACTGGCAGCTTCCAGAGACGGCAGGCGTTAGCTTGAGCGACGTCTCGAATGCATTCGATGCGTCAGGAAGGGGTGGCAGGGGCGGTGGCGGTAGAGAAGCATATCAGGCTGTTCCTTCGGCTGAGGACAGTGATTGAGATGCAGAGGAATGTTGCTTTCTTTTGCTCAGTCTCACGCAGTGCATCACAATCAGTACCGAGCGATGTTCTACGAGATCGGACGTGCCGAAAGCCGTGTGTGAGATTGAGAGTGTAGTGTGCGCGCAATCACCGCGGCAGAAGGCTTTGCTTGGGTGTATCATCACGATGCTTTTGACTGGTGCCGACTTGATCTTCTACTTGTTCCTCGTCTGCCTCCTCGTCAAAGTCCAGGACGAAGGGCGACGCTTCCGAAGCATTTTCTCGCTTCTTGCTACTCTCCTGAGCATCACGATAGGGCGATTCGGCAGTTCTACGTTGATGCGGTTCCGCACCGTTTCCCCTCGGAGCATTCTCCGACTGCGCCTCCCTCTCGATGGCCTCCAAGACCTTTGTCGTTTCGTTCCACACGATCCAACCGGTGGCCACGCCTACAACCGATCCGACGGCAATGTACACTACGTTCAAGAACTTCGCCCACCCATCCAACTGCGCTCTCTGATCCCTGTCCATCAACTGAAACATCCTCGTGCCTAACCAAACGTGCAACAACAACTTGGGCGTGATCAAGGCGGTAGCCATGAAAAAGTGTTTGAAGGTGACAGCGTCGACGAGACTTGCGAAGAAGAGGTTCGAGTAGGCGAAAGGAAACGGACAAAAGCGAATGAGGATGGCCATGAACAATCCTCTGCGCCGCACAGCAGTGGACAGAGCGGTGTACTTGGGATCGTTGAGAGTCTTGCTGATCCAAGCTACACGTTTGGAGTGGTGTACGATCAAAAACCGAAGCACGGCGAACGAGACAGTTGCACCGAGCAGGCAGGCAAAAGAAGCCAGCAGCCAAGCTTGCAGGAGATTCCCACGAAGTTCGGCATGCTCCGACGTGGCTTCTGCATGCACTCCCCAACCGAGGCCGAACAGAGTGATTGAAGTTCCGTAGCCGATGAGCGGCGGGAAGCTGACGATGACGACGAGCACGATGAGAAGAGCAGCGCCGTAGGATTGCGAGCCGAACCAGATAGCCAGCTTGGCTGTCGCGTTGAACATTGCTTCGGGGCCAATGTAGAGTACGACGCCGAGGATGAGCGCTTTGACAGCGACGGCAAAGTAGATGATGTAGCGCTGTTCTGGTGGTAGCGACAGGAATGCCTGGTATGTCGTGTCGAGATAGGAGCGTCCACGAAGGTACGCGGATCGAAGCTGTGATGAGCGGCTCGCAGAGTCGGCATCACGCCGTGCATATCTTGATCGGTGGGGGTGAGATACGGGCATCGCTGTGTTGCAGACGATGGTGTCTTCTGACACGATCCTTGTGAGCCTGGGTGTGTCCACAAGGGGGGACGTTGGCAAACAGCCAGATTGATGCAAAGGATGAGGTTGTAGGTGGGATGATCACGCCTCCGTCGGCTTCATTCCAGGAGTTGCTCAAGTCGGGCTTGGCAAGTCGGTCGGCAAACTTGGACCCTGAAGGTCCCCTGCGCGGGATCCGCGAACCGATCTGACACAGCCGCACTTGTTCTTTCGGCTCTTCCGTGGCGATCCGAACTGCCCAGCTTGCCTGTCGTCGTCGTGACTGCTACACTGTGGGATTCAGCTCGATAAGACGTCTCGCTCTCGACACCTCCCTGAGACTTGTGTCCAAGCCAAAAGCTATAAGCATCAGTTGTGAGTTCTTGCGTTGGGTGGAGGAAGCAGCAGAAATTCGCGTTGAGTGGTCGCGCGCGCGTCTCTCCTGCGGACGAGACCAACACCAAACGACGGCATTACCAGAAAAGCTTCTTCGCACCCTTCTCGCACACAAACAGATCCTTCCATTATCGCTCCTGCCATCAGCATACGAGCGTCTCTTTCGGATCATCTTGCTGTCGCGCAGAATGTCGTCCTCCATAGCGTCCACGTCCGCTCTTCCAGGCAGTGTAGCATCCACCAGCATCTCCGTCTCGTCCTACATACGAGGCGCCAGCGCAACCGACCTCGACCTCGCGACCACCTCGCTCTCCTCCACGTCCATCACCATTGTACCGTTGACGTCCGTTGATCGTGTCCGTCTCCTTTCCGGAATCTATGGACCCTTCCGACCACCCACGCCTGCCACTGTCCCACTGTGGGTAGCGGTCCATCTCAAGAAGCGCAAAAAAGCAGTCATCGTCACACCAACCTGGCTCACCGTAGAGTCCCTCACCGAGACTTTGAAGCACGAGACCACACAACCGGGCTTCTCCTCCCTCCCACACTACTGGATTGGTGTCTCTCAGGCCCTGCTGAGCAACGCCTCAGACGACGTGCCTAACTCCAATCGAGTTCGGGCGCTACTCAAAGACATCCGAGAAGCACGTCAAAGCAAGATCCTCAGCGGTGTACCTATGATCAACTCGGTCCATCTACAGATGCACAACATCTCCGCACACGAGGTCGCAGAACTTCGAGGATTCTTTGGAACCGCTTTCGCCCACTTGAAAGCGTTGAGACCGGCCAACGAGGTAGATGCTGAAGGCAAATTGCAGAGCGAATTGGATGCCAGGAATAGGTGGTTGTTGATGCCCAGCTTACCGACTCATCTCGGCGACGAAAGCATGATCAGGCCTGGTGCTCCAAGTGCTGCAAGAGACCATCACCGCGAGATGTCGTTGGATCAGGACGAATCGATGAACACAAACTACACAGACGAAAGCAGCTTCTATGCCGGCCAAGACGCAACGAGAGCACAGCCGAGAAAGTCAAACGTCTCCGATTCAGGCTACCACTCTGCTCCTCGTGCCGACCGCTCGACATCACCATCGTATCCGCGTCAAGCTCAGCCCAGTTCATCCGGAACGAATCGTCCACCCAGATTTGCCGTCGATGACGAAGACGACGATTCTTAGCTGCACAAGCCGTCTCTCACCAGCAATGCAATGGTCAAAATAACGTGTGACAAAGCAAATGATCTGGGTATGATTGAAGATGATGGGAACAAGTGTTACATGGATGTCGCGCCGGTGACTTGAGGTCTCAATTACGCGTCATCAGCTTTGACCTCGTTAACAGCGCCTTCGACCGGCGAAGGCTGACCCAAAAGGTGCATCGATTGACGTTTGACCATGCTCGCCGCCGAAGACTGGCTTTCGAGCTTCATGCTGTCGAAGCAGTCGGCGTAGATCGAGTATGACGTGAAGACGCTGTCCCGGTACGTGCTGCGCGCCTTGCGCGGGCGTTCAGATGCGACCGTGAGACCTGTGTTGTCGTCGTCCCGACCTTCCGACCCGGCCGGCCGCTCATTGCTTTCGTCGCCAACCACGTCCGGCTGCGTCTCGTCGGCTGCAGCAACAACGTCGCTCGAGTCATCCCCGACGCTTTGCAAATCTTCCTCCTGGTTCGCCTCTTGACCCCCGACATTCGTCGGGAACACGATGCGAGGGGCTGCGGTCATCGTTTGCGACTCTTCCGGGATTTTGTTTGGAGCGGCGGTCTCGTTTGCCGACAGAGTCCCGTCAACATGGCCGCTGACACTGTCCAGATTTGAATCTTCGCCGCTACCAAGCACTCTGGCGACGTCATCCGTTCCACCTAGCGCCGACAATCCGTCAAGGCCCACAATCGTCAGAGGTCGTCCTCGTCCTCCGCGACGGGAACGGACGGGGAGCTCGGCAACAGGCTCGCCGTCTTGCTCCTCTTCGCCTTCCTGCCCGTCCGCTAGTCGCTGCTCTGCAACGCCGAGAGTCGACGACTCGCCGGTCGGCGTGGCTACAGGTCCGTCAGAAGCGGCACTCGATCCGGTGCGTTCGCGCTCCGAGTCCAGTGGCCTTGCAGAAGCCATTTCCTCTGGACTTCGAGAAGTCGCATCAGCGCCGCCATCGCGCGCCAGTGTCTGAGTGTCATCAAGTTCTGCTTGGCCTGCCGGCTGAATCTGAGGCTGTGCCTCCGTCTCCGCCTCTGCCTCGACTTCTGGCTCCGGTTCAGGCTCAAAGAGCCACTCGTGCATCGTCACAATCGTCTTGACCACATTAGCAGCTTTGCCGAGGTTGCCAAAACCTATGGCGACGCTCGAAGGACCGGGCGGCGGATTGAGCAGCGACGTTCCAAAGACGAGCGCCACATTGTGCGCAAGCATCTTGTTGATCTCACCTTCCTCGACGACGCGTGCAAGATGCTCTGCTGTGCGACGAAGCACATCGAAATGGCACTTGGGCATCTTCCAGATGATGTCACGCATGGCGTAAAGACGATCGTCGTTGTCCATGGCGTTGGTGGCGATGAGATCATCGTACGAATCGAAGGTGATCAGTGGCTCTGGTAAGTCACGAAGCCAGCCTTTGACGGCGCCGGCGATGGTGTGAATGTCGCTGAATTCGCCTGTGGAGAGGTCGATCGACTCTGCAGGCTGTTGGTCCCAGGCGCGACGCAGATTCTCAACCGCGCTCTTCGATCCCGAGATGCGGTAGATGCCTTGCTCGCGCAGACCTCTCGCTTCGATCTCTGCAAACATGCGTTCGACCGCCGTGGGCACAGAATGACCCTCCCGCTCCACAAGCTCCACCAACGGACGGCCGTAGAGGGGTGCGGGTCCCGTTTTGCTTCGCGAGAGCGCAGATCCCTTGCGTGGATCTAGAGGGCTTTTAACAGCATACTCTTGAGAGGCCTTTTCGATGTGACCGACCCATTCAGCAAGTTCTGTCGCATTGTGCGTCTGCAAAAGATACTTTGCGCCCTCTTGCGAGGTGAGATGGAACACGAAGGAGCGTTGTGCATTGTTCCAAACCGAGACGCGAGCGCCTCCGAGGCCTGCGACGATGGAAGGCTTCTGCAGCGGAGTCAGACGCATGAGCTCGGGAATGGACTTGGCTGGGGTGTCTGGCTTATCCAGCGTGATGAGTGGGCGGACAGCTCCTTTGAACAGGGCGGTCATCCGACGTGCACGGATGGTGGCCTTGTCGGGTGGGTTTGCTTGCGCTGCAAGGGCCTTCTCCGCGGGGAGCGGCGAAGAGCCGGGTGCCGGCGACGTGGTAGCAGACAAGGACGCTTTCGAAGTGCTCGATGGCATGCTCGAGACACGCGAAGAGATGGACGGCCGCAATGACAGCGAATTGAGCATGTCCAAGGCTGCGCGGTCGCGGCGTAGCTTGTCCTGCTGCTGCTTGGAGAGGCCGGGGAGCGCCTTGCTCGAGCTGCCGGCACGCAATCTGGCGTCGGACCGTACCGGCGGGGCGTTGCGCATCTCATTGGCCGCATCCTCGCGGAAGGCTCGGCGATCCCAAATGACTCGAGTAAGAGCAGCTTGCATCAGACGCAGCCTGGTCCCAGCTAGGTCGACCAGATCTGCAACAGTGCAAGCAGGGCGAACCCTGACTGCGCCGTCGATGATCGCCCACATGGTGCGACGCTTGTCGAAGTCAATGAGCTCGACGTCGCCTGCCAAAGCCTGGGCGCTTGGAGCCTTGGTGGCAGCTTCAGCGAGGCAAGCGAGGATCCAGCCGATGTCCGGTGTACCGGAAAGCTCAGCGGCCGAGCGCATGGCCGAGTCGACCTGCTTCGGTGCGAGGTCGTCGAGACCGTCACCCTTGGCTCCACGCGCCGCGGCTACGCCTTGCCATGCTCGCAGGAAGATGCGCGACTCGGAAGAACCAAGCGTGTTGACGATAGCAGCCTCGACGAAAGAACCGATTGTCGGTTCGCGGAACGGCAAAGACGTGTCGCCGAGGCTGTTGGTCGTGGTCCCGGCCTGCGAGACCGTTGAGCTTGTCTCGTCGCTCCTAAGCTTCAGCATGCGCGCCCTGCAAATCCAAAGGGCGTCGAGCAGCTTGCAGATCCTCTCTTGACGGCGCTCTAGGCCGATCCCCGACTCGATGATATGGATGGCGATCCAGCCTCGGAACAAGCTTTGCGCCGCAAGGGCGTCGCGAACTGCGGATGGAAGCTTCTGCTGCAACGACGTGTCCTTGGCGACGTCTTTGGTGGCGCCATCGGACGTTTTGAGCACGTCAAGCATGGTGTAGATGTTGGTGACCGGCTTATCGTCGTCGCTGGGGCTGCTTGTAGCAGACTTGACGCTGAACCAGGCAGCAGGATGGCTCGCTTGCTTCTCAAAGATTTCGCTGACGACGAGCAGGTCGCGATCGACAATCTTGTCAAAGAAGACGGTGGCGATAGACTCGAGGTACTCTATCAAGTCGACGGCGCTCGCCCTGTCAAAGTCGAAGTCAGTCTGGTTATGGACGTTGTTGATCTGAACAGGATTGGTGGCAGCGAACGTGCGTTCCTCCTGCCTCGAGTTTGCGCCCATTACTCTGGCGTCGAGCATTGCTCGAAGCTGCGCGAGGGCGTTGACCACTTTCTGCTGATCGGGATCCTCAGCAGTGACTTGGAGATCTGGATGACGGAGGAAAGACCACGTGTGCTGGTACAGCAGGTCATCGTCGACGAAATCTTGCGGGAAGCGATCGATCCACAAGCGCAAGGCTAAGATGACGCCCATGCGGATGCGGTAGACCATGTCCCAGTCAGTGGGCTCGGCTTGGCTGCCTGCAGGAATCAGAGGAATCCAGGAAGGGAACTGGCTCGAGGGTCGGAACTCGTGGGCACCGGACAGCTCCCTGCTCGCGGTGACGGCTGTGGAAAATCGTTTCTGCAGCCGCTCAAAGAGCTCTGACGGTGAGCAGAGGCTTCGGAAGGTGGCCAAAAAGGTAATGCGGTAGGCGTCCATGTCCATCACCAGCTTCGTTTTTCGCACCGGAGCGCTCTGCGGCTCGGTCGCATCATTGCCATTGGTGGATGACGTTGGGGTCACATGCTGGATACCCATGACGAGGACGTCGATCATGCGATCCAAAGTGGCTGCTTTGACCACAACCTGCAGGGGCATCACGATGTCGACGACCGAGCTGCGATTGGACGTGGGCAAGCTGGATCGTTTCGAGATCTGCGAGAGCGGTCGCGAATGACGGCCAAAGTCCTGTGAGAATCGCTTGCTGTTCATTGGGGAGTTGGGCAGCGACAAGTTGGACTCTTGTACCACGCGCAGCACCAGTTCATTGCCAATCTTGATGTGATTGTCATCGGCAGTCGTAGTCGGAGCCATCGATGACCATTCAACGACACCATTGAACGCCGTACTTCGGCCGGATCGACCTCCGAGAGGAGGCGAGAAGGTCGAGTTTCGGAAGAGTGGCGATTCTGCCAGGGTCGGACGAGCCACAGAGCGCGAAGTGATAGTAGCCTGCGGATCTTTTACGACATTTATACGTTGATCGTCGCGACGCGAGAGCTCCCCTACGATTTCGGCGGCGTTCAGCAGGGACAGCAAAGGCAGCGGTTGTGGGAATAGAAGAGCAATAAGCGGTAAGGTGGGATTGGCACTGAGAAGCAGGTTCTGCCTGTCGCGAAGATCGAGATTGCCGAGCGCCTTGGGCTCAAGCCGGAAGGACCGCTCCATATTTGACTCGCGCGTCGAGGCTTGGGATGCATCTCGGAACAGCAACTGAAGTGTTGCCTGGTACTCGGCCAAGGGCTCGACTTGTGTGGCGATACTCAGCTCGACTTCGTTGTCGAGTCGCTGCCAAGCCGCGCGCCACTCATTCGTTAAGATCCACAGGCAGTAAGCGGCCTCCGCTCGACCCAGAAGCTCGACGCGATCCGAGTCTGCAGCGCCTGGAATCGAAGAATCCGATTGTTGGAGTGTGCGGCAGAGGGCGTTGCCAAGATAAGGAATTGCAACCGATCTTTGACCGTCCCGCAGGGTGACGCAAGGCTCGAGACTTTCACCGACGAACCGAGGGCGCACGGTGACGGCCAAGCCTTCTGTCCAAGAGATGCTCGAGAGGATAGGGGCCCACTCCTCGGCGACAAGAACACGGTCACCTTCGGCCAAATACCGCCATGTCTGCTCGAGACGAGTCACAGCTCGAGAGCACAAGGCGGTGCACACCGCCATCCAGCCGGCGATGTCGCCTAATGTGAGCAGGTACGATGCGATGGCAATCCAGTGGCGAAGCACCGAGGCGCGATGTCGAGCGCCATTCTGAGCCGCATTGGGTCCGTCGGCCCTGATCGAGCTGGAGCTGAGCAGATGCTGAAGCGCCAAAGTGGTGAGCGGATGCGGGGTGAGCGAATCGAAGCTTAAAGCGTAGACGAGCTGCCTGTGCCTCTTAGATGCTTCGAGCACTTCGCCTAAGGAGAGGTGGGTACTGATCAGGCTACGCAAGGCATCGGCGTGGAACAGCTGGATTTGCTGCGCGATCTCGAGGGGTTCGAGCTCGAGCAAGAGATCATCCGAAATAGTCAGCGAGCCGCGCAGCTTGCGCAAGTCTGAGCGAGTTTCATCCACCCCCTTGTCAGCCACTGTTGCGATCCAGTCGGGAGCTGTGCCTGCGCCGGTGACCTTCACATCCAGAACGGGCGCGGCCGATGCATCCACTTTCTTCGCCAAATCAACTGCGTCAAGCTGTAGCAATGTTGCGAGACCGCGGACGACGTCGAGACCATCTGGGTCTAGCCCGACGCCGGCTCGCACAGAAACCTCGAAAAGCGTGGCGAGCCTCGATTTGAGCGCGGACGACGACGCGGACGAGACTGCTCCCGTCGCCGCTGCTGCCAGGAGCTCCTCGGCTCGCGCCCGAACGTCAGAGATGAACGAGCAAATCTGCCTGGCTGCTTTTGGTGCTTCTGAACCCGTGTAGATGGCCGCAAACACCGTAACGACAAATGACTCGACCATCCTATCGCTAGCTTCCTCCGCCTTTAGATTCTCGAGGAGAGGCGAGGCGATGGAACGTCTTACATTCGGCACAGGCCCCTGCACATCTACTGTAGGCAGCTGAGTAGCGTTGACAAATTCGTGTGCCAGAGCCGTGAGACTTCCGCTTTGTATGCGTTGAATCCATCCGCGCGGTGCATCGAGAGCCTCGGTCAAAGCGAGGTCTGGATGCTTTCCCTGTTTGGCCCACAGTCGTAGCACAGCACCATTTGTGTCCACGGCTGCAGGGTCCACGACAGGCGTCTCTGATGCTTCGGCGGATGCGTTGACAGCTTTGTTTGAATTCTGCCGAACGGCGGGAATGCGCGGTCGTAGACTGGGTGAAGGGAGCGGCGATGTCATCTCTGTGGTGCTCGAGGTTGCCGAAAGCAGATCGTGCTTGCTCAGGCCGCTTCTCATGAGCATGTCGGCATTGAGGCTGGTCATGGATGCAGAGGAAGCCGGAGTGGGCGGTACGCTGCGAACGATGGTGGCAGGAAAGATCGCCTTGACCTCGTCCGAAACACTACTGGGCGGTTTGTAAAAGTAGAGACGACCGTCCTGCAGCACGGCGCGGTAGGGCTTCCAGCCTTTGGCAATGTCCTTTTCTTTGTCTTTGCCTCTGACGTGGTCGTTGCCGCTGAGCTGGTCCATTGTGAGGCTGATGTTGGCGTTGCGACTGAGGAAGCCCTGGAAGACAGCTCCGGGCGGGAGAGGCACGGGCTCAGACGCGATCTGGATCGAGAGCGGGGCAGGTGAGGCCGATGATACGCCAAGATTGGTGAGACCGAGCGAAGCCGCCAGCGTGGTAGCCACTACACCGCGACCGGTCTCCTTGCCGGTGAGCTTGGAGAGCTTGCGAGCATGTCTTGCCTCGGTGCGCTGGGGCGTCGAGGATTGCATGTAGCTATGCTGGGGAGGCGACATGCTGTTCCAGTTGTTGGGTGGCATCTGTACCGAGCTGCTGGAAGGTTGCAGGTGCGATGCGACCGAATTGAGCTTCTGGTGGCCCTTCTTTGCACGTTGGACGGACGCAGGATGCTGCTGTGCGGGCGAAGCGAGAGTACCCATGTCACTGGGTCGCCAATCATGGTGAGCGCCAGGAACGCCGTGCTCACCCCATGTTCCATTCGAGCCGGATGCGACCGCAGAGGCAAGGACCGACGAGCTCTGATCGTAGCCTGGCGAGGCTGACAGCGGTGCAACGGAGTGGTCGGCCGAGCTGAGATCGTCGACGCTGCGTGAGAAGTTCAACGCAGGGCTGGGAGAACGCAGGTAACGGTTGGGGTCGGCTGAAGCAGGCGAGTGTTGCTGCTGTTGGTAGATGGCGGGCACCCGCGGAAGGTCGATCGTAGGATTTTGAGGTGACGAAAAGTCGGGATGGGCGCGAATGTCGGATGAGCTCTTGCTGAACTGGGAGTAGTTGCTGCCAATGGACGGCTCCTGACGGTGAGATTTTGAGAGAGGGCTGTGGGAGAAGTTGGGCTTGAGTGGTGGAGGTTGCTTGAGAGATGCGTTAGAGGCTTTTCGATCGCGACCGATACCTCCAAAGAAACCACGTTTCGTGGGGCTGGCAACGGCGGCAGAAGACTCTTCTGAATAGCTCGGACGTGAGAAGGCACCAGGCCGAGCCGGATACGAACCCGTGTTCGGATCTGTTCGCTGTTGCTGCTGCTGCTGCTGCTGCTGTTGTTGTTGTTGTTGTTGCTGCTGCTGCTGCTGCTGCTGCTGCTGCTGCTGCTGCTGCTGCTGCTGTTGCTGCAATTGTTGTTGTTGTTGATTCGATCGAGGAGTCTTGTCAAAATTGGAGCTCAGAATCCTGCGATTCTGTGCAGAGGTGGAAGGAGCATCTGGATAGGCGTGATCTTGTTGAAGCTGTCGATGGTAGTGAATCTGATTGGTGGTGTCATCGAAAGGATCCTCCTGATGGGTGGCGAGCGATGACAGCGATGTGGAAGCATTGAGATTGGTAGAGCTGGATGACGATGAGAAGGGCGCTTTCGCCTTGTTGAGTAAGAAGTTGAAGGCAGACTGGCTGCGACCTATTGGCTGCTGCGACTGCGACTTGTCGTGCTGTGTTGGTTGAGCAGCAGCGTGGTATTGCGCATACTGGGGCTGGTGCTGGGGCTGGGCATGAGTGTGATATTGCTGCTGTCGCTGCTGCTGCTGCTGCTGCTGCTGCTGCTGCTGGTGCTGCGGTTGTCCGGCCGGCTGGGAAGGGAGCGGCATGGCGAGGGAATGTGTGTTTGCTCAGAACGCTAGCTCTCTTCGTGACCGGAGATGGTCCCGGGAAGGCCGAATAGGTAGGCTAGAATCCTTTCGGTGTCGATCGATCACCTGTGATGGACGCAGGTCGACGCCCAATCGCTGTCTTTCGCAGTACGCTTCCGGCACGTGTCTATGAGAGGTCGGACAGCATCCGAAGACAATTGATGCAAGACTCGGGTCGCGCAGAAGCCGTGAGAAAGTGCGGACTTGCCGATGTGATCTCGGCAGCGTCTGGACGAGAATGGATAATGGCGAGAAGGAAGGGTACCGCGAGGTGAGGCGAAGGTAGGCGTTGCTGTGATCGGGTGTGTGGGCCAGAAAGAGATGTGGTACGTTGTTGTCCGACCCGCTATGACTTGATGAGGTTGTGATACTAGGCACAGAATACCTGCACACAACGGCGTCCCTCTACGCCCTTGACACACACACGCAGGACGCGCCAAAAAAGACAGGTCGAGACAGTTCAACACACGCACGCACGCACACGCCGCTCGCACCCTGCACCGAGGATGACAATTCTGTCGACTGCTCTCGACGGACGATTTTGACAGCATCTCGGCTACAAGAAATAGCTTGACTGGATGCAAAGAGCAGACCAGAGGGCGAGGTCTGCCTGCGGGCGTGCGCGAGCGTGTGCGTGTGCGTGTGCGTGTCTTCCTTCACACGAGCGGGCCAGCCGCCTTGCCTCGTCGTCCGTGCGTGCGCTCATGCTTATTTTGTTTTCTTTTGGTCGTTCTTCCTGCGCTCAACGCCTGTGCCAAGCGGCTTGTGTGCTCAAGTCAAGAAGAAAGGCGCTACCATTCAGGATAGGGATTTGTTTGTTGGTCGAGGATATTTTTGAGGATTTGAATTGAACCCTGACACAAGAGGCACGACAAAGCGCACACACTCTCTCTTTCTCATTTTGTCTCGCTGTGTTGGTCGGCAAAGCGAGGGTTCGGCAAGCAACTCCGACCGCGCTTGGCTCTTTGTATTGTTTGAGTGTGATCGTAGCATCTGAGGTTTGCTCGAACCCGGTCTTCCCTTCGACGCTCGTTGCTTGAGTCAATTGTAGACGCAGCTGCTAGACACTGGCGGATCTTCAGGGGCGGGCAAAGCAAGTGCAAAGCCGGGAGCGAGAGTGAGTTTTGCAGGTGGCGACACGTAGCGCGACGGGTTTTCGCTCGCACGCGTCTTCTTTCTGAGGCTGCAGGAGCGACCCTCTCTCAATGGCCTGCTGGAAGGTAAGGTCGAGGCACGCGTGGCGTTTTGAATGATCCCATGCCATGTGGATCGATATATCATTCACTCTATCAACACCTCGGTGATGCTCTGCTACGGTGTCCGGTGACGGTGATATGTGCATTGTGTGTATAAACTGCGCGGGACCGCGGACATGTCTTGTGCAGCGGAATTGCAATTCGCTGGCATCCCCAGCAGACTGCATCAACCGTGCGCTTGTGACGGCAGGTTAAGCCAGTCGCTTTCGCGCTCGCCTTCAGACGTTCGACGATGCGGTACAAAGCACTTCTGCCGGATCTCCTCCTGTCATCTCCGCTCGGAATTGCATGCGATGATCAGTGCTTTCAACCTGGTCATGCAAGGTCGAGACAGTGTTATCTCAAAATCTCCTTGCATCGGGGAACTCGGCGCATGGCGAAGACTTCTCTCTGGCAGAACGCCTGGGCTCGGTGCCAAACTCCCCGGACATCGAGGGCGGTACCACCGTGTTGGGCCTGAACCGCTTTCAATTCGTGCGTCTTATGATCCGAGGTGGTTATTGCAGCCCGGTGTCGGTGCTGGTGTTGCGATTGCTGAATGAGGGTCTTCGTTCTGGTTGAGCTTGGGCGAAATAAAATGAAAAACATATATCCAATCTTGATGTGAAAACCCCGCTTCGGAATTGGGGCTGCAAAACTCGCCGATGGTGATGAAACAGTCGGATCTCCTTCCACGCCTGCACGGCATCCACTCTACGATCGGTGATCGAGACCTCTACTGTCCTCAAGCTAGAAGCCGGCAAGGCGACGAGAATGGCGGCGAGCTTTAGATGTGGGTGCCGAGGAGACCAAGCCCCGGCTAAACTTGTGCCGTCGAAACCCTACCGGAGCAAAGCCTTCTGTGTGTCAAGCAGGCTACCTTGCTCCTCTTGCCTCATCCAGCGGAAGGACGTTACGCCCGAGGAGCCTGCTCTCAACGAATGCCTCTTAGACCTGCTGTCCCGAAGATCAGCCGGAGTATACAGAAAAGAGGTGGTGACGCAGACCACCGCTTTTACCCTAACATGCACAACGCTGGCGAAAAAGCTGCGAAGAGGAAGCACCGGTAAATGTTCAGGCAAAGTAAAAGACCGGAATTACCGAACCGTTGGCATCACTGTGCAGAGCGCCATTGCCTAAATTCAAAGATTGAGCCGGCAGAGAGCGTGACCGTTACTGTACCGCCTTCTCTTCAACTGTGGGCCCCGCTTTTATGCAAACGGCGGGAGCGGCGGAGAGAGCTCGTATACCTTTCCCCGCGTTGCGCTCCCCTCACGGCTTCCTTCCCTTCATTCACAAGTCATTGTCGTGTCTCTCAGCAACAAGCATCAATATGGCACCACAGATCCTCAAGTCCCTCGAGCCAGATCCGCCGCGCGTCCAGCGCGGCAACCTGTTCGACTTCCTTTGGAGCAATCCGAACAAGGTCGACGAGAACAAGGCAGCCTTTCACCGTCTGGACGGCAAGAAGATCACACGCAAGCAGCTGCACGACGACGCTCGACGTCTTGCCTATGCTCTGCGTCACAAGCTCGGTCTGCAGCCTGGATCGAGGATCGGCATCATCTCACCCAACAGCACCGCTTATCCCTGGATCGTCCATGCCGGTCTGTGTGCTGGCGTTGTGCTCGTGCCTCTTAACCCGGCCTACGGCCCCGAAGAGCTCGTCCACCCCATCCACGAAGCCGAGATCGAATACATTTTCTGCCACCAGAGCGTGCTCAACACGGTGCGAGAGGGCCTCGAGCAAGCAAAAACGAGCCTCAAATCCAAGAACGGTGAGAACCGCATCTGGATCCTCGACGACGGCGACAGCTTGAAGAAGGACGACAAGGGCGAGCAAGATGCACGGACCCTGCTCGGCGATGGTCGCCTCGAGACGCACAAAGTTCCCGATGACCGCACAGAAGACGCCTTTATCGTCTTTTCGAGCGGTACAAGCGGAAAACCGAAAGGTGTCCAGCTAGTGCACGGAAACATGACCGCAGTCACAAACGCCATCGTAGCCACTTTCGGTACTGCGATTGGTCCCGACGATCGCTATGTCGGTGTCCTCCCATTCTTCCACATTTTCGGCCTGGCCAAGACCATGTGCAAAGGTGTCTACATCGGCGCCGAGAGTGTCGTGATTCCGAAATTCGACCTCCCCGTCTTCTGCGCTGCAGTGCAAAAGTTCAAGTGCAACATCAGCTATGTGGTCCCACCGATTCTCGTACTGCTGGCAAAGGATCCACGTGCCAAGAAGTACGACCTCAAGAGCCTCAAGTGGGTCATGTCGGGAGCAGCGCCGCTCGGAGCCGAACTCAGCATGGAGGTAGAGGCCGCGCATCCCGGCCTGCGTGTCACACAAGGCTGGGGTCTTAGCGAAACTTCGCCGACGGCCACATTTGCAGAGCCACAGGCTTATCGCGATCACATGGGCACCTGCGGTCGACTGATCGCGGGTGTAGAGGGACGTCTGGTGGATGACGATGGCAACGACGTCGGGTTCGAGCAGGGTACGGACGGCAAGCCAGGCGAATTCTGGGTTCGCGGCCCAACCATCATGAAGGGCTACCTCAACAACAAGGAGGCCACCGACGACTGCATCACTCCCGACGGCTGGTTCAAGACGGGCGACATTGCGATCATGAAGAACAACTACTTCTGGATCGTCGACCGCAAGAAGGAGCTCATCAAGTACAAGGGATTCCAGGTGGCTCCTGCCGAGCTGGAAGCCACGCTCTTGTCGCATCCCAAGATCGCCGATGTTGCTGTCATCGGTTTCAACGACAAGAAACAGGCAACCGAGCTGCCACGCGCATACGTGGTGCTCAGGGAAGATGTTCTCAAGAACGAAGATCCAGAGGCTGTAGCCAAAGAGATCGTCGAGTGGACCGCCAAGAAGGTGGCCAACCACAAGCGCCTTCGTGGTGGTGTCAAGATCCTGGAAGAGATCCCCAAGAGGTGCGTTGAAAATGCTCTCCAACAGAGGCGTCGGGTTCCGACTGCAGACTACTGACATTCTCCACTTCTCCGCCTTCTGTTTGCACATACAGTCCATCGGGCAAGATTCTGCGACGCCTGTTGCGAGACCAAGCCGCAAAAGTGTCTCAGTAGACTGATTCCACTTACGTGGCGCCAAGTGCGAGAGACCGCCCCATCATAAAACATCTTCGTTAATACCATGACGACAAATCTCCTCACCCTTTGACTTGAACGTATCGACTGAGTTGAGCCTGGATAAGACCCGTGCGGGGAAGAAAGGGGATTGTGTCCTCGGCTACACATTTGGCGCGCTTTGTCCGCGGCTCAGGGTCCGAAATCCACCAAAGCGACTTGATCAGCCAAATCGAGCTCAAGACGCTCAGCCTTACTGCAATGTTCTTGTGCCCCTGTGATGTCAGAGAGAGCATGAAATCTTGCCATATGGAGGCAGTTGAAAACAACAGTCACATGAAACCATCTTTCCATCCAACGATCACCTCAAAAGACGATGTCGGACAAGATACAAGTCAAGATATACGAATCAGCCGTGGATCCAGCTAGGATTCCAGGTCGGGCACCAACTGTACTGCTGCTCGGTCCACTTCACGCAGGCACACAGGGCTTCGCAACCAACCTGTCCGAGGAAGGATACCAAGTGGTCTTGGTCGATAACACTCCAGCCTCTGCATCGCTCACAGCGCTTCGAAGACGCCCTGCTACAGGAGATGACAAGTACGTCTCTGACAACGACCTACGTGAGACGGATGGCTGGTGCGTTGCCGTCAACCTCGTCAAGCTGATCGACGTACACGTATCGGGTGGTTGGAACAAGTACACTGCGCTCATCGCTCTCGACGTAGAGCTGCAGGACGCTGATGTTGTACGCTCGCTCCACGTTGAGACGTCGCATCGTGGCGGTCTGTCCGCCGTCATCAGCTACGGCTCACACCTCACCAGAAATCAAGTGCTCGAGGCCGTCGAGCGAGTGGGAGACTACCCTTTGCTCTCACACCTGGCCGAGTCGGAAACAGACTTAGTCGATGCTCTGGTGCAAGCAGCCAAGAAGGGCGACATTCCTCAAGACTCGTTGCCCTTCCATCCCGAGCTGGACGCTTTCAAGGCCTCGTTGGGTCCCGTCAAAGCCAAGCCAGTTTCCGTCTTCACGTACACCTCCATCGGTAAGGACGAGGACGCCTCCGTCTGGGGATGCGCGTTTCCCTTTTCGCACCATTCCAAGGACTTTGCCTTCCCACACGACTCGAGCATCGGCGACGCCCATCGGAGTGCAGCAGCCATGAGCTATTCTCGCACCGTGGCTTTGCTGAAATCGACTATGGGCCCCCGCTTCCCGCTCGAGCAGCTCTGGGACCAACACACATATTTCGAGTTCGCAACACGCGATGCTGCAAAGACAATGTCCACCATGGTTGCGCAGCCATACGTCAACCACGTCGCCTGCCTCACCGGCGGTGCAGGCTTCACCCAGCTCGCTCGATTCTACCAGCATCACTTCACATCGGTCTCGCCACCGGACACGGCCCTCGTACCCATCTCTCGTACCATCGGAGCAGATCGCATCATCGACGAGATGGTGTTCAGCTGCACCCACACGACGATGATCGATTACTTCTTGCCGGGCGTTCCGCCGACAGGTCGAAAGCTGCGAATTCCCATGGTAGGGATCGTCAACCTTCGCGGCGACAAGCTCGCCTACGAGAGTCTGTATTGGGACCAGTCGAACGCACTGGTCCAGTTGGGGTTGTTGGATCCGGTCAAGAGCTCGACGGACCCGAAAGTGAGACTGCCGATAGCCGGCGATGAGGTGGCACAGAAGATTCTGCATCCCTACGGCGTGCCTTCGAACGAGTTGATGCCGAATTGGCCAGAGAGCGAGTCGAAGGGCGTTCCTGGGATCTCCGCCAATGGGACCTCATCCGATGCCGAGTCAGGGTGAGAAAGAGTCCCATTTCATGTCGTGCCTGAATCGACCTTGTGACACTCTAGCAAATCTCACTACCGCAAACTGTCTCCAAGAACTAACTATGCATTGACGCGGAAACTGAGAACAAGAACAACAACAAAACCGAGACCTGAGCCGAAGTATCTCCTCCGACCTCCCTCTCCCCTACCTTCACTTGGACTCCGGCTGGTTCCAGCTCAAGTAGCTCATATCGCCCAACTTTCTCGGCTTGATCAAATGCCTTGCGGTGAAGACAAGTCCCAACAAGACCGCCAGTCCGGCAACGGCGATGAACGACAGACCCAAGAACGGGTTTCTACCACCGACCCAACTGCTTGTGCTGAAGACGACACTCTTGGTGCCATCGAACATGGCTACCGGATAGTTGTCCACCACTTGCAACAGATACCTTCCTGGCTCCATGGCTGCGGTATCGTTCCTCTTGTACAACTTTCTGAAGGTCGGCAGACCGGCGATACGCATCCATACCATGAAGTGTTCGTCCTCGCTGGGGTCAAAGATGTTGTCGGCGGTGTAGCCGCTACCGAAACCGTACTTGCCGGTAGCACCTTGCCAGTAAGGAGGGGGTACGATCTGATCGGCGTTGTACTTGGTCTTTTTGTACTTGTCCTTTTCTCCCGGCCAAATGATGTTCTTTTCGCTCATGACGTATGTCTGGTTGGGAGAGTTGGATCCGGCGACATTGAGCAGAACGGGATCACCAAACGTATCGTTGAAGACCGAGTTGGCGATCAAACCGCAAGGGTAGATGATCTTTTGCGTGCTGGGATCCACGTCCACCGGCTTGCATGTACCTCCAGAGATGGTACCGTAAGCAACTGCATCTCCGCTGAGCTGGCTGGAATCGAGGGACTTGACGTAGCGACGGTGGTTCTGGTAGTAGTTGGTGAGCTTGTAGTAGAGGAAGACGCTGGATTCGAGTCGCGCGGGGACGCTAAAGTAGAGGTTGCACTTGCGAGAGGAAGCGTCCCAAGACCAGGTGGGTGGCTGGAAGTTGGAGGAGTTCTTGTCGTGCAGCTGATAGTCGTACTTGGACGAGGGGATCTGGGCTTGTGTCGGGAAGGCGGGTGCGGTGGAGCATTGGGTGTAGTCGAGGCTGAATTCGTTGACCTTCTCGGCGAAGTAGTAGAGGACTGCGCCGATGGGGGCAAAGACGATGGCGACGAGGAAGAAGGCGGGCAACACTGTTCGGGGTGTAAGGATGGGCTGCCATGCTTTCAAACGCTGCTGCTTGAATGCCGTGTTGGCAGGTTTACGCTGGGCAAACTTGCGCAGACCCTTTGCAGAAGCAGCATCGCTGTCGGCGTCGTTGGTGGAGCCGTTGCGCACGGCGTCGCCTGCATCAGTGGCGCGAGGATTCCTTTTGAAGATCGCCATGTTGAGCGATGATGTGTAGCCGGCAAGAAGAACCGCGGCCGTATCAGATCAGGAGTGGGAGAACGACGATGATTACGGCACCGAGTCCGAATGCTTGGGCGTCTCGGCGTGGACGAAGACACAGCCTCTGGGACGAGACGAAGCACAGAGCTTGGGGTGACAGATGACGATGAAGTTGTGGTCGGAAATCGAAGCAGAGTAGAATGGAGATGAGTCGAGCGATGGTGTTGAGAGATTGAAAACGAATTGTCAATGTGGTCTCGGCGATAATCCTCCGTGTTGCTTGCTGTGCCACACTGGATTTCTGTCAGCTCCTCTCGCGCTCGGCTGCAGCTCAAAAAGTCGAAAACATAACACACAGCCCCGGGAGAAAGAAATCCACTCCACAGACGGAACACACACACACACACACACACACACGCGTCAAGGGAGAAATTCAAGTTCCACGGAAATTGGTAGCCGGACGCTGGGGACGATCTGAATTGATCTTTTCCGACCTTTTGAATACAAAGCAAATCGAAGAGCTGCTCGACCCCTAAAGTGAATTAATTGCCCACGAAGCAACACAAGCGCGCTCTAAGTTACTGCCAGCGTTGGACCCTTCCTCTCCGACCAGGCAATCAGCATGGACGGACTTCCCGAAGACCTTCTTGTGCAGGGCTATAGACAGGCTCTTGGCGAAGACGACAGCAGGAGTTTCTCGTCCATGTCACTCGCCACTCCCATAAAGAGACGATGGGCTGTCGGATCACGACAAAGAATGATCGTGTGGGACCTGACTTACTCCAAGCCGCTGCCAAGGTGGGTCTCACCGAGGATGAGAAGATTCATGCAGCTGAGCCTGAAATCGAGGCGTCAAAGTGTCACGACGTCGGGTTGAGGCAACCTTGAACAGCGACACCTCCGGGTTGCAGGTGGTAGCGGTAGCGATGACATCCGAATCTGGTAACGGCAGCAACCAGATCGTGTCGATCTGGCGCCACCGCGCACATCCCCCACTCTGTGTATACTGTCGAAACCAGGCAACGCGCGCGTGGATCCAAGGTGGTGGGACTGGCTGCACGACCTGCAGCTTCCGTCAAATCCTGAAATGCCACCAGAGCCACACGCCAGGATCACGTCGCAAGCAAGGCTTGCACGGCGTGGCAGATGATGCAGAAGCCTGTGTTTGTCTCTGAACTTTGCGGCTGCACTGTTGATCTGCAGATCGCTAAGGCGGGCGCACCGACACCGCCTTCCGAAATCCCTTTCTTTCGACTTGACCTGTCTCAGGAATTATGAGTCCGACGTCCAAGCGTCTTGTCATTTTGTTTTAGCCGACGCACTTCTTTCACATTGTCACCATCCATGGAGCATCGGTCAATCCGACACAGGCCCACCCTCTCCTGATCACATTCACTCGACTCGACCTCGAATAGACTCACAATTGAGCTTGCTCATCGCTCCCTCGCTCCTTCTTCGTGACCTGGCTGGTCCCGCTATCGAACCAGCATCGGCGGCACAAGGTCTCGGCCGCCGCGCCCGTCGGGATTGCTTTATCTTCGTCAACGACACCTCAACCGAAACCGCCAGGCTCACGAGGCTTTACAATAGCAGCGTGTCTGCAAACCCACCTATGTTGGCGATACGAACAACCCGACTCGCACAATCATGAGCTCTTCCGCAGCTCGAGGCAGCTCCACCGCTTCGGCTGCCGCTGCCTCTCGAGACCGCTCACTCCGCCAGCTACTCGATCCAACTGACCTACTACCCGGCCACACAACCGCAGATCTGTACAGTCTGCGTCACTTCACCCTCCGAGGCGGCCTTCCAGATTCGCCCGGCTGGCTCCGAGCACAAGCCTGGAAAGTGCTACTCGGCTACCTTCCTCCAGAGAAGAAGGAATGGTCTTCCACGCTCGCCAAGCGACGCAGAGAGTACTACCAATTCCTCAACGACCTCTCCCCTCCGGCTGATCCATCCCATAAACCCATTCACCCAAATAAGCTCACCGACAACGATCGACTGCTGGATCAGATCTACAAGGACCTTGTTCGCTCCCGCAAGAACGGTTTCGCCTTCTACCAAGCTTCGCCACAACCGAGCGCATCCTGTCCCATCGTACCGGTCCCCGCCTTCGACACGACGCAGTTGCTACCGACTGCTTTACCAGTGCAGCGTCTAGAGACTCGCGACAATCTCCTGCACCGTTTGGCCGCCATTAGCCATGGATACGCTCAGCAGCTCTCTCTCGAGCGCATCGCTTCGACGAGCTCCTCAGCCGCCTCACGACATTCTCCACCACGAGTCCTGCACGTCCAGACAGACACAGGCAATTCGTCTCAGCCGATGGACGATCCGATCAAAAGCCCCCCCATTCTCCTTTCACCACCTTCGCCTGGTGGCATGTCGCGAGAATCATCCCAGCACTCTTTTGCTTCGGCGAACGAAGCGCTCGAAAGCACGCCGACCTCGCCAGACCACCACGACAACCAAGCGACAATACAGGCTCAAGCCGCAATCGCCAGTACTCATTCCTGCACACCGGCAGACGACCCTGCAGCAAGCATTCCAACTCAACGCAACTGGCACTCGCTCCTGCGCATCCTCTATCTCTTTGCTCTTCTCAATCCTAGCATCGGCTATGTGCAAGGTATGAATGAGGCTCTCTTCACGCTTGTCTACGTTTTCGGCTCGTCACAATACCCTCACCCGGTCGGCGACACCCTCACACCAAGCAACTCGCAGACGGGAATCGCCACCAGCGCCGATGGCACAGTCTTTCGGTCCTGGGACAATCAGTTCGACCTCGTCAACCTTACAACACATGCAGAGGCCGATGCATTCTGGTGCTTCTCGGCATTGATAGGCGAGATGCGAGAGCTCTACGACTTCGACAACGTGGACCAACACGCTCGCGGCGGCGCTGGCTCAGCAGTCCGGTCACAGTCCGGCATGGCAGGTGCCCTCCGTCGCTTCAGTCTGCGAATCAAGTGGCTCGATCCACCATTATGGCGCGACCTCCGAGCCGCATCTCTTGACCCGCAATTGCCCTACTACTCGCTGCGCTGGCTTGCTTGCCTCCTCAGCACCGAGCTCTCTTTGCCATCTGTGCTGCGCATCTGGGACGCCTTATTGGCGGAACAAGAGACGGCTGGCGTCTCCGGCTCGGCAAAGATCGAATTTCTCATCGATGTATGCGCGTCCATGGTGCTGCAAACCAAAGACCGCTTGCCGAGCAGCGAAGACGACCTCGACATGGAGTCCGAAGGCTTCTCTCGCGGTATGCGAGTCCTGCAAGAGTATCCGGATGACGACATCAGCCCTGTGGTCGAGGCAGCCACTCTCACTAGGCAGCGACGCCTCGCGGCCGATCTCACAGGAGATGGGCCGCCAAACGACTCTGACGACGACGAGAGCGCCAACGCCAGCTTTGGCGCTGTCAAGGCGAGAGCTGCGCAGGCATGGCGAGATTGGAAAAGCCCTCGACAGGATGCGTCTCACCACCCAGATCGCACTGCGGCGCCTGCGGAGGCTGCTCCGCCAACTACAAAGGGAGGCTGGCTTGTGTCTCGGGCCAGACAGCGCCCAAGCCTGACCAGCACGGAAGATGCCGACGTCTCGATAGCAAGCAGTGCCGACGGCGCAGCCAGCGAGGCGTCGACATCGTCCAAGACCAGCTTCAGTGGCTTCCTCGCCAAGTACGCAGAGGCTGTGCAGAGCAGCGATGCTGCGGCCAACTTCTCAAAGGCCAGCACCAATCTCACCGCAAAAGCTATGGCGTTTGCCGATCGCAACAGCCGCGAATCCACTCCGGAGGCCTCGGCGTCTCCTCAGATCAACGGAGGCTATGGGTCGCTGGGACGTGGCTTTGCAACACCTCCGATCGGCTCACAGAACGCACGCTTTTCTTCTCTTGGCTCGATAGGCACGGGCTTCTTCACTAAATCCCGAAGAAACGCCAGCGAGAGCGTAGCGCATCCGACAGCATGGGGATCGCCACATACGCCTGACATGACACGCTGGTCGCGCGAGACCATGGCCGACTTTCCCCTTCCAAATGTGTCAGACGATCCAGCTGGCCGCATGGAATACGTCGACACGTACGGAAAGCGCATCAGCATGGCGCAGAATGGCAGGCGCGGTGCCTCGCCCTCGTCTTCGGCCGCAGGAGACGATCACATGGAGCGACGAGCTAGCGAGACCGGCACGAGCAATTTTCCGCTCCCTAGCATGAGGGCGGCTGCTCGCATGGGCATCCTCCCATCGCGCATCCGCGAAGAGTCTGCTAGCCCCAGCAGCCGCTCTACCGGCCCCAAGCCTCTCCTCTTGTCACAATCTGCGCGGCCTCCTCGCGAAGGCAACAGTAGCCCGCGCTCGCTCGCTGTCGATGAGCCATCTCGAAAGATCTCATCTGGACCTATGGCCCACAGCATGAGTCGCGGCAATAGTCACCAGGACAGCCGGAGCAGCGCAGCTGGCAGTCTTCGGTCGTCGCGTTCCGCATCGGTAGCCGACAGTCGTCGCAGCTCGATCGTTGATCTTGGTGAGTCCAGCATGCCTGGTCTCTTGGAGCTCGGTGCGTTGCCGCCTTTGCCAAGCTTGGCCGGGCAGAGCTCTGCTGGCGGCGCCAACGGCCATTCAATGCATTCTGGATCCTCCGCTGCTCGAATCTTGCCGAGTGGTGTTGCTGGACCGCAAGGGTCGGTTTCGAAAGAGGGCACTGTGTCTGCTGGAGCTTTTGCAAGAGCCACAAAGACCGCTGATCCTGAACGCGACCGACCCGAGTTTGGACACGTTACCAGCTCGTCCGACGTGCCGTTGGTGCAAGCTACGAGCTCGAGCATCTCTCGCCCTCGCGCATCCAATAGGAACAGGACGTCCAGCTCAACAATTGAGTCTCACACTGCTTCAACCTTGGGGTCTTTGACCGGCAACCAGATATCGAACCGCAGCAGCCAGACCACGAATGTCGTTGACAGCCCAGCGGATCAAAATGCTCTATCAAGCTACGGCTTCGTCGACAGCCCTGGAGTGTCTGAGGATCCAATCACCTACGATGTTTCTGGTTCTCTCGACGATGCGGTGACCAAGAGTGGCTGGCGCGCTGCTCCGCTCGAAGCAGCGACAGACCGCTACGACACGCCCGCAGGGGGAAACGAGTCACCAACCCGACCAGAGACGATCCGCAAATACACGTTGACCGACGAACCGCTTTCCTCGCCGACAACAGGTAGCACGATCGTTCGAAGCAAACGAGTCGTCAAAGGCCGTCAAAACTCATCCTCGTCGGTCGCGACCAATGCTAGTCGCCGATCGCTCGCCGCCCTGCGGAGGAGCAGCCGCAACTCGATTGTCGATCCAACACCGACGTCGCCACGGCTGCCGCTGCCTGAGGTGGAGGAACACATGGATGCCTATGGCGGCATTGCGGACGGAATCGGTGGAGAGGAAGTGAATGGGTCGGTGCACGACACTGACGAAAGAGGATATTACAGTTATGCGGTTGCTGGAGACACCCCGCGCGAGCAGAGCGTGGACGTGAGATCTCTGCGTATTGGCGATGACCAGCAGAATGCGCCGACGTCGCCACTGTCAATCAGTCGGAACGGTAGCGGTGCCCGGCCGTCGACTGATCGAAGCGGCTTCATCTAAGTTAGTGTTTCACACAAATCTTCACAAATACAATCAATCGCCTGAAAAGCAGAATGCGTCACGAGTGTGTTGTCATTTCAAGTGCCCTCCCGCATCTTCATTGACCACTTCCTAGAACACGACTGACACGTCGTGCGGCTGTCCTGCCCAAACTTCTGACCAATCCTGCGCCAGTCAAATCGTCGTCGTATCCGCCGGTATTCTGAGTGGAAGCACCCGAGCGATCCTTCTGACGCGGGGTTTCGATATCGCCCGGCTGCGCCGAGGTGGGTGTGGATGGCTCGTTGCGACTTGCTTGCTGAGGTCGGCGAGCAGGAGATGTGATGGACTCCTCGGACGGTCTCTGCACGTGGCGGGGAGGTCGAGGTGGCGGATTGTTCGACTTGGTCAGGCCATACTGGCTCAGCTTGGGTGGAGAGCGGTTGCCATCATCAGGATCCGAAAGCACAGTAGAGGACGATGCAGCAGGATTGAAACTGAGCGTGTGCCTCCGACTTACCTGGTGTCCCGTGCCCTCTCGAGATTGGTCCGCCGTCTGAGCTGTGGTTGGAATCGATTCGGCGCTTTGGCCGTCGATGCCCCTAAATGTGTCGAGTTGCGAGGCGAGGGTGTCAACGATCCTTGGCCCACCTCGGACAGTGGCGTCAACCCCACTTCGTGCCGCTCGCGAACGCTGACCCCGCGAAGACTGTCTAAGCGTATCGCCAGCCAGCGAAGCATTGGCATGCGCACCGGGCACTCGGCCAAATTCGTCCGTCTCACCTCCGACAGTGCTACCTTCGCTGTCCATCTGCTCGGCGCCGCTAAGTCCATTGTGCAGGCTGTTCTCTGGGCTCGAAGCAAAGACGCTCGAAGCCGTGGATGCTGCCGCAGGTTGAAAAGATGCTGTAGCATTCGAGACAGAAGGGTTGCTCAGTCTTGGACGACGCGGCGTGAACGCCGGCGCGGGACGCGAGCTCGCCGTTCCGGCTGCAATGGTCTCGCCAGGAGTGGACTCCGTTTGGGAGGCACCACTAGTTGGGAAGTGTTGCCCCATGACGCTGCGGCGCGAAGACAGTGGAGAGTCTTGGGAGGCTTCGCGCGCCGACTCGAAGGTCAGCCGATCAAGTCTCCGCTGTGCAGCAGCGGAGGAAGGCGACAGCTCAGATGCCGACCGGCCGTGAGCGCTAGTGTGGCCAAGAGAGGTCATGGAACGAAGTTGCGTGGCCGTTAGGGTTGCGCCACGTTCAGCGGTGCCAACACCTCTGGACGGGCGGTTGAAGGGAGACAGCGAGTCACGGTGCGAGGCGGATCCATCGCGGACGGAAGAGGTCGCTCGGCGCAAAAGCTGAGCGCTGCGATCGGAGCCTCTGCTTGCTTCCATGCCGTTGGCAAGCTTCGCAGATGCCGGTGTGAGGGGAGCGCCACCGCTGCCATCGATGCGCGAGAAGGGTCTGGGCGAGTGACCCAATTCCACCAGGGCCTGATTGAATTGCGACTGTCTCTCCTTTTCCGTGCGGTCCAGAAGGAAAAGCAGATCCTGCATGGCTCGTGCCTGCTCAAGGACGAGTTTGTTAACGAAGGCGAGTCCCTCGTCGAGCTGATCAAAGGCGTCGGTCAGAGCATCTCCCGGCCGGCCCATCAGATGACCCTCTGTTGCGATGGGGTGCATGGATGCCACCTCTGTCCACATGGTCGAAGTGCCCCGCACAATCGCGCCCATAAGCTCTACGGTGCGCGCTGTGTGCGGTCCTTGTGTGGCAGAAGTGGTCGCGTCGGCAGATGGCGTCTTGGTGTACAGAGCTTCGTACTGGGCCAAGCGGACGGTAAGGTTGCGGATAGGAGCAGGCTCGTCGCCGGCGGCGGCGTTGCGGTCGCGCTGAATAGGGGCGGGGCTTGACACGGAAGATCCAGCCGCGGTGCCCATGGCGGTGGCGCTCCTATGTGGCCCAGGTTGACGCGCATGAACACCGCCGCGGAGACCAACGAGCTCGTGGATGCGATGCACGGCGTCGGATGAGTTGGTGGGGTCTGTCAGGGGCCAGTTGCGATCGTATCGGGATCGTTGCGGATCCGTAGAAGGGTGCTGTTGCATCTGCAGGATGCGGGGGTGGTCGTTAGGCGTCCTCTGCAGACCCATGACAGACTGTGAACGCACGGAGCCTAAAGATGGCGAATCATGAGTTATGGACCCGCGCGCGGACCCTGGCTGGACTCGACCGTGAAGCGGGATCAGACGTCGGTCGTGCTCTGCAGCTGCACGCCCCACGTGTAATTCCTGAATCTGGTTCCGAAGATGGTCCAAGGCCGCATCGTCGACGCGACGCGAGTGGTCGAGATGGGCTCGGGAGCGATCCGACGAGTTTGTCAAAGACGAAGCAGACGGGCTGTAGGGTCGTTGGTTGGTAGATGACGGAGGCGAGATGGCCTCAGCGGAGAAGAGGTCGGAACCGTACTGCCTGCGCATGCTGACGCGCGAGGCGGCGCGATGGAGCTCGGATGCGCTGTTGGACGACTTTTGGGAACGATTGGAAGACGTTGACGAGATCTTTCGAGCACGCGCCTCCTCACTCGGCGAGCCAAAGTCGGACGAATGCGGTGTGCGGCGCGCAGAGCTGGAAGGTGTGCTTTGTATGGAGCCCCTGGCAAGGTAGCGTTGCGCAGAAGACGAGTCGACTGAGATGCGGCTGCCTTGCGTCCCAAGCCGACCGTCGTAGTCTAATTTTGACGCCACTTCATCTGGGGCCGCAGAACTCGCCGCGTCGGAGGCGTACCTGCGACGACGATTATGGGGCGAATGTGAGTCGATAGACTTTCTTGTCGCGCCCTCCTCCTGTATTTCGTCAAGACTCTCCCTTCGCGTAGAGACGGGACTACGAAGAGAGACATCATCGGCAGGTTCCGATGGCGCGGGTTTGGCGACCGATGGTTGGCGCGGTTCGCTTGCGTCTGAGTCGTCGCTGGCAGTTCGCTGGTGTGCGGCTCGATAGGCGCGGCGAATCTCCTTGTCTGGGAGACGAAACTCGGAGGGCATCGGGCTGCGGCTCGCAGTCGAGATGCGTGGAGAGGTTCGATCGTCAAGCGAAGTGCGGCCAGAGGTGCGACCCGTGGTATTCACGAGGCGTCTCATGGATCCCGATGAAGTGTCGTCAGCACCGACATAGTGAGAAGAGGATGCCGATGCATGCGTGATTGGTAAATGCGTATTGACACGATGAGGGCTGTCGCGATGTCGTGGAGAACGCTCGTGATCGACTGCGGCCTCGGTCTCGTCGTAACGGGACGAGGCTACGGAGAGTGTCGTCGATTTGCGCGGCGAATACTTGTGCTGAGAGGCGCGTGGGAATGGCTGCTGCTGGGAAGCCACGTCGGGTTCGTCGATGGCAGCTGCGTCGTTGTCGTCTTCGTTGGCAAAGCCCATACGTGACTCGGATCGAATTTGGCTGACGTCTCGTTCGTGCATTTCGCTACGGCGCTTTCTCCTCTCCCTAGGCGAGTTTGTCGTACCGGAAGAGAGGGACGAAGAGGAGCGCAGGGCTGATGGGGAAGCATTGGATCCAGGCATTTCAGAGATGCGCTGATCAGACGCAGAGTTGCTGACGGACGCGGCGGGGCGCGTCTCCATGTTTGCGCCTGTTGCAAGTGGTGGTTGGCTTGACCGAAAGGTCTCGCGAGGATGATGATGTGGACTTGTTGCGCCAATTGTGTCACTGCCTGTGTGATTGGAAGAGGAAGTGACCGAAGGAGAGCGTGACGAAGCAGAGGCGTCGTGAGCTGAGACGGAAGGTTTAAGCAGTCCCGGGACGTCAGTGTACGAAGGCAAGGCGCCGTGCAAATCCTTTCGAGCCCCTCGAAAATCTCCGCTGACGCTCGCGTTACTGGTCGTCTCGCTTTGCGGCGGCGTAGGAAGGCCGGCGGAGACCCGATCCGCTGCGCGACTGGTGTCCTGATTCAGCTGAAAGCGAATAGCATCGAAGCGATTGAGTTTGGCCGAAGGCGCAGTGTTCATTGAAACCGGGAGTTGCAGAAGCGAGGATCGGGCCAGTCAAAGCTCCGTGGGGTGCCGCTCCGTGATGGTGCTGATGCGGATGGGTTCGTCTGCTTCCTCCGCTACTGGACGGATTCACAATGTTGAGGGAAACGGGAGGTGTGCGCGCCGAGACGGAGTTCCGCAAAGCGTCGCATCTGGGCTGGTCACTGCTTGATTTCAGTCCACTTCTAGAAGCGTAGTAGCACTGACAAGCGATCCGATCCAATCGAGAAGGGCACCGTTGAGGATGTCGGGGTGACGACAAGTTCCAAGATCCGAGAGGCTTCGGATGATGCGAACAGCGAGGTCAATGCTTTGAAAGTGACAGGCATCATGTCCGAATTCCGCTTGACTGCAAAATTTATCCGAGTTACACGACAGGGGCCAAAATCAAGAAGCAGCCGCTGGCCATCTCGCCAAACTGCAATCGACGCCCACGCGCAGATGGTCAGTCTCACCGAAACATACACGAGACGTCCTCGGAAAGCTTACCGACCGATGTGCCGCTCTCTCATATGGTCAACCCGTACGCTAAGACTGAGTCTTCTCCCATCAGAAGCACGTTGAATCTGTCGACGGCGAGCAGCCTCAATCGAGAGGAGCAGCTTGCAGGTTGGAACAGGACCCTTGCGCACAAGCCTCTCGTCGCGCGACGCGTTGAGGATTCAGGAGGTAAAAATCCTGGTTCCATCACATGGAGGGCGTAACATTTACAGAAAAAGGGGATGCGCAGCAGGGTTGCTGGGTTGCTTGGACCCTGAATAGCAATCACAGGCCAGCTCAACATGACATTCTGTGATGTGAGGATGCATCAACGTAGCCATCACTCTGGCATGCATGTTCGACACGAAGCAGCCTCCGGCATCGACACTCACCACGACAAGAGCCGCAGAGTAAGAGCTTCCAGACGACGTCTTGTCAACTGCTGTCGGAGTTGCGACGCTGATGTAGAAAGGTGGCAATCTGCCGACCAACACCCTGCTCGCCTCACCTGGGACATGGCCACTCGACGTTGAGTGCGCGATCGTTGCGCCTCGTCCTCTGGCCAGGTGACCGTTGGCTAACATGGCATCCTATTTGATACCGTCTTTCTTGACCGGCTGGGATCTCTCCTCCGTATCTGCCTTCTCCCTCTCAGCCAACTTGCAAAAGAGGATCCTCTCCTACCTCTTGAAGAGGACGCTCGGCCACCTCGTCGACGGCGGACAGCTAGACCTTGCCCAAATCGACGCTGGAATTGGAAGTGGACGTATCGAAGTGCGCAATGTCCAGCTGGACGCCCAAGCCATCAATCGTCGCCTCCCCTCGCTTCCAATCACTTTCGTTGCCGGCAAAGTCGGCAGCATCCTCATCCAGCTTCCCGTGCCCAACTTCTGGAGCGGAGACCTGTCTGTCACCATATCTGATCTGGTCATCTGCATCGCTCCAAGCTCAAGATACTCTGCCCACGACTCCAATCCCGTCGAAGATCTTTCGGCGTCTTTCGCTAGCGCAGCCAGTCAGCTTTTTGTCGACGACGAGGAGGCCAGAGATATTGAGCAATCCATTCACGAGTCTCTCGATTCGGAGGCCCTCAAAAACGAACAGCAGCCTTCACAAGACGATAAAGGCTCGCTCATTGCGACATACGTGGAGGCCCTCCTGACTCGTCTGAAGGTCGTCGTGGAGAATGTTCACATACATCTTCAGTCGGATGCGCTAGATCTCACGCTCAAGCTCGATCGCGCCAACGTTCGAAGTTCGAACACGCGCACAGAGCAGCAAGAGCAGTATCCTCAATCACGCAACACGCAAAACGACACCTCCGACACTCTGCCTTCGCCGCAACGGCGCTTTTACAGCAAGACCGAAAGAACGCTTGACCTCCACGGCTTCGAGATCTGGTTGCAAGACAAAACACAGACTCAACAGGAGCATGATCCCGACTCGTCTTCCTCATCTGACGATTCTTTCGAAGATGACGTCTCCCATCTGCGACAATCAGAACGTGATTTGGCTCGATCGGTCGTCTCCCTGCAAGAGTCAAACGCAAGCCTGTACGAGAGTGCGATCGGCGAATTCGCACTCGAAGAAGCTTCTGGGCAAGCAGGGCCCACCCCATCTCGAAAAGCTGAATCACGCTCCACACCAGAGATCCCTGCCGGCAAAAGACAACGATTGTTCAGCCTGGGTCAAGAACCTGTCGTGGTCACCTTCAAGACCATCAAGGAGCGTCATGAGACATACTCATCTGGCGCACCATCGCGTCGTCAGATCCAGCGACTCGTGAGCGTCGTCACCGACGTGGACGTGCAGATTGGGAACATGGTCGGCGTCATCTTTATCGATCATGTCAATCTTCTCCTGTCGCTGACGCGCTCTTTTGACCTCACTTCTGCACGACCCTCGACGTCGTCGGTGCAGCGCGAGTCGAGAGCGCATTCAAGGACTGCCGGCCCTCGAGCTCCAATACAAAGAGATCTGACATTTAGCTGCCAAGCTGCTAGCTTCAATCTCATCGTTGGCTATGACGAGCCTTCCGAGCCGCAGCAAGACCAGTCCTTCCTCGAAGCCTTCTGGGCTCGCCCAGCTCGTATCCATCCTGACTTTGGGCACCTCCGCTTGCGATGCGACAAGCTCTCGGCGCGCTTCACCGGCGCGGTTGCTAGTGGTGACCGAAGCAATACGAGGGCCAACGTCCAATTCGCCGTTGAGGACCTCGGCGTGTTCGAGCACCTGTCGGGAAGTTTGTACGAGCAGTGCCCACCTGAATCGTTGCGCATTCTGCCTGTCTTGATCCTGGATCCCGCCTTAGCCCATCTCGGCACGGCTGCCCCCGCCGCAAGCAAACAACCTCAACATGACTATGCCAGAAGCACCGTCGATGTCTTTGATTGGCGCTATAATGCTTTCCAAACATCCATAGCACTTCATCCACCTGCCGTCGGCAACACGCAGAACCCAGCGAAAGCCGCTCGCTTCACCGCGACTGATGCGCGACCAAATTCTTCCTCATCCGTGCACAGTCCGTACGTTCGCACTGCATACGGAGATCGTGCATGGAAGCTCAAAGCCACCGCAAAATCTTCCCCGCACTCAAAGATACCGGACGTACATGCACCCCTTATCGATGTATCGATCTTTCTGCCACAGGATTCAGAGGGTCAGGGTCGAGTCAATGTGACTGTAGCGCCAGTACACTTCTTCGTCGACGTGTCCCTGGTGACAAGGGTCATGCCAGCTCTGCGAAGATTTGCTGCCACGCAGATCGCCGCGCTCCGACCCACAGCCAAGGCCGACCATGACCTGAACGACTCTGTGGCGACGCTCGCATCCAGTGCCGCCACCATTCAGGCCTCCACCGACAGTCTGCTGGACGGGCTCGACACAGACGTTGCCGCTGTCAGACGAAGCCCGTACAGACTCGATCTGGACATCGGCTTTGTTCGCATCGACGTGAGGACACCAAAGGTGTCTTATGATACGATCGCGCTTGCTGGTCGTTCCCTCAGCTCGACGAGACTGCACGGGCTTGACCGAAGGTCCGGCATCTTGGTCATTCAGATACAGCACCTCCAGGTGCTATCAGGGCTCGCCGAGACGCACAAGCCTGCCGGGGCTGTGCGATTTGCTGCTTCCCTTCCTCAGTCGGCTGGCCAGATGCGACCTAGCAAAGCGGTCGTCACGGGACGGGTCAACGCCGAAAAGGTCTCAGCTTATTTGGCCTTGCCTTTGCAGTCACGCGCGCTGATCCTAGCCTTGATGGAGGCCGTTGACGACAGCAAGGGGACAAATGGACCATTCGCGAGCTCACATGAGGTGCCGCTTCCGCGACTACATTTCTCTCGAATGTCTGAGCCAGCCCAAAGTCGGGGCAACGTGACAAACGAGAAGGAGCGGGTCACGGACCAGTGCAGCATTTTGGTCCCGTCCATCAAGGTGGAGCTCAGAAAGGCCCAACTCGATTCACTGCAGTACGTGGCTGATGATCTGACTCAATCGGTCAATCTGTGGACCTCTGACGACCTGGGCGACTCCGATCCGCTCGATTCTGAAGGGCTCAAAATACTTGGCAGCAGATTCTTTGGTAGCCGCGCCGGCCTGTCGGTCATGTCGTCGAGTACCGACTCGACTGCTACTGCCCGGGGCAGCAGCAACGACTCCTCGCTGCACTTGACCATCGTCGAATCATCCATCCGACTCTGGCTGCCGAGCTTATCGCCAAGTCCAGGGTCTTCCGGCGATGAGCGGACGGACTCTGCGAAGAGTCTATTGCTTACCATGTCCGGTTCCGAACTCCTCTTTGATAGCGACAAGACTCGAAACACCAATCGCATCGAGATCCGTATTCCCGAGGCGCAGCTCAGTGTCGAAGCAGGTGACTTTTCGGAAGAAACATCGAGTTCGCTTCTTGCATACCGAACCATGGGAAGTGCGCTCGATGACCGTCGTAGCGCTATCATGCTGCTGCTGGTTTTTGAAGCCTACGCCGAGCCTGGCACCAGCTATCGGGAACAGAATGTGGATATCAATCTGTCTTCAATGACGCTGGCTCCCCCCTTTGACGAGGAGTTGCTACCACGCATCAAACGACTCCTGAAATCACCCGCCGGCGTCTTTGAGAACGTTGAGCCGAACGAAGTGACGCGCATCAGCTTCAAGGCAAGGGATTGTTCGGTCTTCATCGCACCTCCCGATACTCAGCATCGCGCGGCTGTAGCTATCGGAGAGGCCTCAGTCAAGACCAAGCTGACGTCGCACGCCCCGAAAACTTCCATCAAGCTCGCCATCGCCTCTTTGGGTCTTTTTGCGGCCGAGGCTGACCCTTCACTGGCGTCATCGCGTCCTCACTTTGCCGATCGATCGGCTCCTGATCGTTGGACGAGGCGCGGATATGCACGCGTGCTGCACGTTCCCGAGAGCAAGGCCAGCGTCCATCTGACCACTCTGACGAGACCCGAAATCGATGTGAAAGTCACCAAGCTTCGTGTCAAGATTCAGGCTACGGCTGATACGCTCAGCGTCGTCAGTGATCTCATCAGCGCCGCTTCAAGCAAGAAAGCGCAAGAAGCATCCAGGTCGCCTTCGCAGGTGAAGGAACCTGCGCTTTCGACTAAGCCCGAGCAATACAGACGGGAAGATCTTTCGGAGGACTTGGCTACTGCTGCATCGACCTCGGACAACAGTGGCCATTTCGACAGGATGGTGGAGCTCATGTCGGACATAGAAGACAACGCTTACCGCCTTGAAGCACCTTTACCCGTGGCTGCTGATCTGGTCGACGATGATGTGCCCTCGGATGCGGCATTCCTCGGCACAAAGGAACGGTATCACCCCGAAATTGTCGAGACGACGCTGGACTCGGATGAGTTCTTTGGTGGCGAGTCTGTCGCCTCCATCTCGCTCCTGGAACCGCGCGCAGACACGGTCATCTTCGCCGATGAAGATGTCACGGTGCGGCTGCTGGACCCCAAAGGCATCTGTCCGGTCCAGGACTACTTTACAGACCCCGATCTGCGACCCCACCTCGATTCTGCACTGGGAACAACGGCCAGCTCAGCGCGGGTGCGAGTGAGCAATTTCGACCTCTCGATGCGTCTTCATTCAGGCTACGACTGGCCCTCGACACGAAAGGCGATACAGCAAGAAGCCAAGCTTGTCCGCAGGCGATTGCAAAAGATCAAGCAGCTGTTGGCCGAGGGCCAGGTGCCAGATGACAGTGTCGAAGCTGCCACGAGCAATCTGCTTGACTCGATTCACATCAGCTTGCCAAACGTCGCTGCCGAAATGGATGCGGACGAGATGATGCGTGCCGTGGAGGAGGAGCTGGGCGACGGCTCGGATGCGGTGTCAGCCGCTGACAGCGATGCAACCGCATCCTGGCAGGCGCTGCCGAACGTAAAGCGCGACGGACGAGCATTCGCTCATGGTAGACAGGATCCTGCTGCGGATGCCTCGCATGACAAGCTGCAGCGTTCCGTCCGCTCGTCGATCGACTTCAACTTTCGAGGCCTCGAAGTCGAGTTCGACAAAGCTGACGCCTCACAGCCAGGTCATGTCGTCTCGAGAATCGCGGTCAATGCGCGGAGGTTTGAAATCATCGACAACATCAAGACATCCACATGGCGTACGTTTCTCACCGAGATGCAAGATCGAAACGCTGCGCTCCGTCACGATGCCGAGAGCAAGATGGTCAAAGTCGAAATCCTGCACGTGCGTCCACAAGGCGACGTGCGCGAAGGCACGCCTCAAAGAGAAGAGACGCCCGAGGTGCGAATGCGAGCCAAGCTGGCGCCTTTGCGGCTACACGTCGATCAGGATGCCCTCGACTTTTTGAAGAAGTTCTTCACCTTCCAAACCCCCGGGCGGAAAGAATCCGAAATACCACCGACGCCAGCGGGAGCTGCACCACTGCCGTTCGTCCAATTCGCGGAGGTGCTGCCGATCAAGATCAAGCTCGATTACAAGCCCAAACGCGTCGACTACAACCTCTTGCGTCAGGGCAAGACGATCGAGCTGATGAATTTTTTCCATTTCGAAGGCTCCGAGATGGTTCTCCGTCATGTCACGCTGCGCGGAATCAATGGCTGGGCTCGTCTGTTTGACACGCTCAACGATATCTGGACCCCGGACGTCAAGGCGAACCAGCTAGCCGACTTCCTGTCTGGATTAGGTCCCATTCGTAGTCTGGTCAACGTGGGCGCTGGGCTGGCCGATCTAGTGCTCCTACCGATCGAGCAGTATCATAAGGATGGTCGAGTATTGAGGGGCGTCCAGAGAGGCGCGACGAGCTTCGCCAAGAGTACCGCTCTGGAAGCGGCGAAGCTGGGAGCAAGGCTGGCGACGGGCACACAGGTGATTCTGGAGCAGGCCGAGCACATCTTGGGCGGGGAGAGGATGGACTCCAGTGTGACGGCGAGGGCTGTTGGGCCGGAGAGTGGAGAGAGTTATGAGAGTCTGAGCGAGAGCGTCTTGGTTGAATCGACCACGTTGGCTCCGGATCGCGACAGTCTGGTTAGTAGGTACGCGTCCAAGCCGGAAGATATGACGCAAGCGCTGTCGCAGGCGTATTCGGGCTTGACGGAGGGGTTGACTTCGGCTGCTCAGACGATCCTCGCCATCCCGATGGAGGTGTACGATCCGTCTGATGCGAGAGGAGCGAGTGGGGGTGGAGGAGCGGCGAGAGGTGCAGGTAGCGGAAGGGGCCCCGTGGTGAAAGCTGTTCCGATCGCCATTCTGAAAGGTGCCCAAGGAGCGACTCAGGCGATCGCAAAGACGATGCAAGGCGTTCAGGTGACCTTGGGCGATCTGGAGAATGTCAAGGAGGGAAAGTATAAGTTGCCTCCGTCGACGTCAGGCGCCGGTCGTAGGGGAAGGTGAGCACATCTCTAGAGTCGAAATTTTGTCATATCTACATCAAAAGTCGATCGTTTTTTTCTCAAAGCAGTGTTGTGTGCGTTGTGATCAGGGTGACAGCTAGGGCGACAATGCACAATCGTTGATGTGAATGACAGTGAATGGGTGTTCATTGCCAAAGAGAGTGAGGGCGCGGAGGCCATGTACAGAGTGAGTGGGGATTGGAGGGAGAGGGGAAAGAAGAGAGAGGGGGGAGGGAGGGAAGGCTTGGCCGACACTCGGCATTCTAGTTCTTGTTGGCGTAGTTGGTGACAATGTAGCTGATGGCGCTTTCAGCGGCCTGCACACCGGCAACGAATTGAGCAATGTAGGTAGCCTGGTCGGTGGTCTTGAACTGACCGGCGGTGACGTACGCGTTGAAGGTGTCCATCTGGTACTGGTTGGCGAAGCCGAGACGCGAGAGCGAGTCGGTGGAAGAAGCGAGGATGCGCGAGGTGTAGAAGCCATCCGAAAAGCCGCGGTCGCCGACGGTGGTGTTGGAAGCGGCACGGGTGAGCAGACGATCCTGCTGGGCTCGACGTGCGGCGAAGGTGGTGTAGCTTCCGACACCGCGTTCTTCGACCTTGTGCTGCGAAGGGGAGGCTTCGGAAGCGTTGACAGCCAAAAGCGAGTTGCCGAAACCGTGTGGGCCGACCTTGCTGATGTCGTCGCCGTCATCGTCTTGGTCGTCGTCGGATTGCGCTGCAACCGCGAGGAACGACTTGGCCGACTTGGCGACGGTGCTGTTGGAGGGAAGTTGGATGCGGCTGATCTCGGTTCGGATAGGCGAAACGAAGCCGAGCTTGTCTCCCGTTACGTTACCGGCACCGGCAAGGGAGGCCGATGAGACAGGAATGCCCCACGATGAAAAGTTGCCCTGCAGGAACTGGTTCGAGGCGCTCTGGAAACACCAACCGGAGTTCTGGTCGCAGTTCTCCATCTTGTACGACCAAAACGTCCAACCAGCGCCGGTGGTCTGCCAAATATCTTGCTGAGTCTGGCAGAACTCCATCTGGTCCTTTTGAGGGTTCTTGCTGTCCTTGATGGAGCTCCAAGCCAGGGCGCACGACCACTCTCCAACGATGAGGTTGCGGCGAGCGACCGAAGACTGCTTGCCAAACTGCGTAAAGATGGAGCCGTCGAGCTTGGTGATGTGTCCCTGAGCCGTGAGGGCCTGATCGGAGGGGGTGTAGACGTAGTAGGCGTGGTGGTCGGACACGACGTAGTCGGAACGAGACTGGACGAACGCAGCACCCTTGCTGAGAACAAAGGCGTCGTGGAAGTAGAGTGGGATGGTCTTGGCATACGAGGAAGCGTTGCGCATGGCATCCATCGCAGTAGGCAGCCAGCTCCAGTAGCTGTCGCGATTCTGCGGCTCGTTGAGCAGCTCGATGCCAATGACGTTGGTCACATCCGAGATCTCCTTTGCGATCCACACAAGGAGCTCGGTGGTGAGGCCCTGATTCCACGAGTTGTACCATTCAATGTTTCCATCGTTGAGGCCAGAGTGAGCCTGGCCGTTTTGGGAGCCGTAGGCGCCGTGAAGGTCGACGATGACGCCAATGTCGTATTTGGCAGCCCAGTTGATGGCTCGCGCAACGTAGCGCCAGCTGTACTCGTAGACCGACTTGTACTGGTCGAACGGGCTGTAGTGGGTGAAGTAGGGACCGGCAGACCAGTAGCCGATGGGCAGGCGCACCGTGTTGATGCCCTGCGCGGCCAAGTTTCGGAAATCATCTTCTGTGATCCACGTGTCCCAACGCTCCTCCATGTAGGCACGAGCCGAAGTGAGGCCGTCGCTCGAAGTTCCGAATCCGTCGAGGATGTCGAATTCAGCCTGCTTTGTACCCGTGGCACACGACATGAAGTTGCCCTCCATCCAACCCTCCTGCACAAACCAGGCGCCGAGGTTGACGCCCTGCTGCTGTCGATAGCGCATGATGGTCGCTTTCACCGGGTCGAAGGCAGGAAAGGTGGGAGGCGGAAGCTTGGCCCATCCACCGTTTGGCGTGTAGCCGGAGGAGTAGGGACAATTCCCTGGGCCCACCTTTCGTGAAGAAGCCAGCTTGCGGGCAGGGTCGGCGTCGGCGCTGGCAGTCTGATTGAGGGCCTCGACAGGAACATAGAGTGTCGAGGGAACACCCCAGTCGGAGGAATTGTGAGTGGCGGTCCAGTCGGTAGTGGAACCAGTGTTTTGGACCTGGAAAGAGTTGGGCTGGGTGTTGACGGTGTTGCGACCGCCAGTGTTAGCGGCCGAGATAGCCGTGCTCTGGTTGGCGGTGGGAAGCTGCGGGATGGGCTTGTAGTTGGCGGCAGCCAGCGAAAGGGCGCTGGCGACGGTGTTGAAGCTGGTGTCCCTCGAAAGGAGCCTCATGACTGTTGATCGAAACAGGAGTGGTGAGAATGGATGGAGCTGTATCGGCTGGACTGACTGCGAGCAGTGGGATGAGAGCGATTCGATATGTAGAGAGTAAAGAAAGAGCCTGCAAGACGTCGATTCTGAACCTGTCAGAAGACTGTCAAGCCTGCAAAGTCGAAGGCGCCGGGCCTTGCAAAGAGATGTTTCGACGTCGGAAGAGAAAGTGAAGGATAGTAGTGACGCGAAAGGTGAGGACCAGCCTCGAAGATACGAGAAGAGAATGCGGAAGGGTGAAGGAGTGGATGGTGGTGGTGAAAGGGACGAAAGGTTAAAGCAGACCGAAAGTTGTGAAGGGTAGCACAGATTAAGAGAGGAGCGGGGACCTAGGTAAGAAAGTCCTCTGCTTGCGCATCAACAGGTCAGATTCGGAAAGCTGCAATTCAAGATCCGATAGGAACACGGCGACGAAGCGAGCTGACCAGGGCGGAGACATTGCGACTCAGGTTGGCCTTCAACTACAGTAGATCAGAGCCACATTGAACTTCTCCTGTGCCAAGCAGCGGTTCGAGATGGCGCCAAGCACGGGCTTGGCAGTAGAGTCAGACTTGAAAAGCTCAGCGCTCAGCTCGCGGATCTACGCGACGAGGACTGCGAGGAGGACAGACGGCCACGGCCGTGTGAGGTTGGGCATGGCTTCCGAGTCGTCGGTATGCCTTTGCAGAACTCCGCTTGATGAGACAGGAGGCAGCGATTTGAACATCCAACCGGTATCGACAAGCGTGGAGGCTGCTGCTTGGCGTCAGGGCGAGAAGAAGTGATGACCGAATGGATTCCAGGTGAGGCGCAGAGTATGAGAAGCTTAGTGAGTGATTTGCTTGGCTTGCGATAAATGACATGTCTCAACTCGCGGTCACTCACTTTTTGATTTTCTTTTTGGAAGTTGTCACGGCTCCGCGGAATCGCGCGTCTTCGTGCTTGCACAGCTTGAACTCGATCTGCTCATGTCGGCATTCAGAGTGCTAGTCCCTCGACAACGACAGTTCAGCTTGTCTGGTCGATAGACATGGCAGCCCCGTCTCGCGCCTATAGGTTTGCCCTTTCAGGGCGTTCTCGACTGCGCCACACTTTGTCGTTTTCGTTAGCACGATTGGCTGGCTTCTTTGAGCATTCTAGATTCTGCTAGTCACAATCAAGGCGTAGCAATGGCTTGAACAACAGAACTCAAGATTGTCAGGTAGCAAGCGAGTCCTTGCCAAGATCCCACTCTCGAACTTTCTGTGCTGTAGAATATGCTTTAGGAGAAGCGCTCCTGTCTCGATCGCGTTCGCCTTTGTGTGATCTTCCGTCCCCCGCTTTGCGCTCTGCGGCGGATCCACGTTCCCGCTTGCGCGAGTCCTTTTCACTCTGACGCTCCGTCTCCCCTGTCCTCTGTTCACGTTTTCTGTGCGAGTCACGTCGCGAGTGACTGCTGCTCGCAGTCTCTCGCCTTGATCTCGAACGATGCCCGTTGTCTTTGAAGTCTCTGCTAGTCGCCTTCTCCCCCTGCTTCTCAGAACGACGTCTGCCCTCCCCGTCTCGACGGCGCTCATGTCTCCTCTCCCTCGCTCCCTCCTCTTCGCTTTTGTGTCGACGTGATGAGCTCCTGACTGGTGAATCCTCTTTGTGCGGCCTTTTCCTCGCATTCTCTTGTTTTCCGACAGACCCGTGTGCGTCGTCTGGTTCATCAAAATACCGATCCATTTTGCTTGACAGCGCCAAACCTACATCCTTCTCATCGTCTTGACCATCAATTTCCTCCTCCTCGTCTGACCAACCTCTCAATCTGGACCTTGTATTTGTGTCAACTGCGTCGTCCGTCGATCTAGCGTTCCCCTTACCTTTGACGTTCGATTTCGCTTCCGCTTCCCTAGCCTCTCTCCGCAACAACGCACGATTGTGTCCCTCGACATTCTGAATCACCGAGGCAAGGAATCTCTTGTTCGTATTTGGCACCCGTGTCCGCTTATCATCGTCAGAGCCCTCAAGGTACGAACCTGTAGCTTGATCTGACGATTGCGCTTGCTTTGCTCGAGCCTTTTGTACGATGAGGTCTGCTATGTATGCGTCGAGTTCCGAAGCTGGAATTGAGGCGAGCGTTGAGCTCGATGCGGAAAATGACTTGTCCATCTTGTTCAGCGTCCCAGAGAGAAGCGTTTCATCAGAGCAGCTGTCGGAAGCTCTCAAAATTAGAACGTGCGTATTGAGTTGTCTGTCAAGTGGGTCGGACAGAGGACGACGAGCAAGACCCTTTCCGCAGCTGATATTTCGGAAATCGGACATGTGGAGGCACAACGCCGACAGCCGCAACTTTTCTTGCTCCTCGCGTCAAGTTGGACCCTGTCTTGGTAAAGCATATCTTCTCTGATCACCACTGACCTCGATGACAGCGAGCTGAACATGCCTCGCGAAGAAGCTTCAGCCAAGCTGCTGCTTCAAGGCCTCCCACCACGCACGCAAGTCAGCCTCGACGCGCATCCCGAGGTCTACCTCACCAACGAGCATTTCGCTGGCATCAAGTCACTTGCCCCAGGCTGGCACTGCATTTCGTGGAGCATTGCATCTTCCGAGCTATCGTCAAACGAAGGCTCACAAGCAGTACCAGCGACAAGTTCGATTCGGAACGTGCTGCTCAAATGGTTCGACGACGACGAAATTTCGGTGCGGGAGTTAGATCGCACGGAAGAAAGGCTGATTGTGCCTGATCAGCGTGCGTCTCCTTCGCATGCAGCGTCGGGTTCTGCTATCGGGAGATCGAAACACCGTCGTCTTTCAAGGACGATAGATCCTACGAGCAGTCCACTCGAAGCGACCCTAATTACGCCTGACGTGCTTAGCAGCGTGGAACCCCGCCTCTTGCCTTATTCAGTGGAAGCACGGGAACTGTGGCGGAAAGCAACACTTCATCTCAGTCGGGACCAAGGTCGAGTCGGAAGGCAAATCGTGGCGAGGGTGTTAGGCGTCGACGCTTCGACTGGAGATTCGACCACAGATAGTCTCGCGACAGGTCCGAGCACAGCGAGGGAGATCACAAACGAAGAAACGCTATCGCACCCAGGAAGCACTTCCGGCAGAAAAGAGGACGGCAAGCTCATTTGGGGCAAGTCGAGACCACAAGCGGAAATCACTGAGGTCGCCGTCGATGGTGAAGACGCATGTGCGGAGAATGATCTGGCGAAAAGCACGACTCGGAAACGCTCATTCTCGACAGAGTTGACGGAGGATGCAGACGACGACGAAGCTTTGCTGTTCACATCCTTCGACTTGAGACGCAGCTGGCCGGCCCGCTCGATAGGTGCAGAGATCACTCGTTGGAACGAGGACAAAAGCTGGCTGTTGCAGGACGTTACTCGTCGAAGTCATCTCGGCATCGCTCAGTCAGTCAACAGGGAGACGAGCTGGTATCTTGCCCTACTGTGCGAGTTCGAGCTGGCCTTCGTGCTATTCATCACTGCCAACAACGCATACGCTTTCGACCAATGGAAGGATCTCATCGTGCTCTTCTGCCGATCTTCTTCTCTGATCGGTGCCCAATCTGCGTTCCAGCTGCACCCATCCGCAGCAACTTCCATGTCGGATTTCCAGAACGACACGGCTGTCGACCTCACTGCCCACATTGCCTTTCTCACCACGCTACACACCCACCTTCTCATTCTTCCCACCGACTTCTGGTCCTCACAGTCCACCACCCAGCAAGAAACTCATCTGCTCAAGCAGCTTGACGTGCTACGTGCAAACATCGCCCGCTCACTTTCGACGCCATCTCAACTCCAACACAAAGTGGATGAAGCCCATCGCGAACAACTGGTCAAAGCCTGGAGGTCCCTCTCCCACACCACAGCTTCCACATTCGGCTGGACACTCGATTCCAGACTCGATGAAGAGGCCGAAGTACAAGATGACATTGAGGCGGAAGAGGGCGAAGACGCACCTGTCATTGTCAATCTGTGAAATCCGCAAGACGCCAAAGACGAAAGTTTGCCCCGCTTGTGCTTGAGTGGACCGACTACTTCGAAAAGCCACAATGCTTACAATCGAGGGTGCATGAGCCCCAAATCATATTCATCGAGCCGCCATATCACTGCACAATCGCTATGGTGGTGGAGAGCCTGAAGCCTCCTTAGACTGATTGTCTACCCCCTTTCCTGTCCAAAAGTCGTGCTTCGCGCGTGATGAGATGCGCGCAATCCCTCTCGGAGACGATTCCCCCATTTTTGGCGACGCCTTGGCGCTGCTTGCGCCAGAGAGAGTCGGCAGCTGCATCTTTCCTTCGCCGCGCGCCACCTCGTCGTCGGAATCATCTTCAGAGACGAATGTGGACGGCGCCGAATGCGACAAATCTTCCAGATCGGCTTGGGTGATCTCGGTCTGTGCCTTGCGCGCGCCTCTGCCAGCTGAAGAACGCGAGCCGCCCTTTGCTGTCCGAGTGGCTTTGTAGCGAGAATCCTCCTCCTCGCTGTCTGCTTCGCGCCTGGCTTTCTTCGACCCTTCGCGACCCGCATCGTCGTCGCCCGCGCCTGGCGAGGCAGGGTCGAAGCCTTCGTTGCGACGTTTCGATCCGCGCTCGTCGATCATCGCTGAGGTTTGACTAGACTTGTTGACTGCAGAAGCAGCTCCTCGAATCGACAAGGTCGGCATTTGAATGCGCTTGGCGTCATCAATCGAGACAACACCACTATCTCCCCGTGCCTTTGCGTTTTGCGATGCTTGCGCAGCGGAAGATGAAGGCGCCGAATGTTGTATGCGGGCCGCAAGAGGCTCGGCACGTGAAGATGAACTCGACGATCGCGCCGGAGGTGGGCTGCTCGCCGGCGCTGGTCTGCCCAGCTTGAACTGGAGCGATCCGGAGAAGTAGAGCTCTTCCATCTCCTTTCTCTGTCGGACCAAGGGATTCGAGATGCCGAGGATGGTGCCAAGAAGACTGTTCGGGTCCTTGTCGTCCTTACCTCCCGGAGCGGTCGAGTCGCGCACAAGCGCTCGACGAGCCTCAGCATCCGAGTCAGAGTCTGAATCTACCGAGAAGCGACGATGCTTGCTGCCGGATGCCTCACGGCGACCAGCATTATCGAGATTGCTCGGCAACCTGGAGCTGCCCTCATTGGCTTGCTGACAGATGGCGGCGGTGAGGATGTCGAAGGCACCCGCCAACGTCGAGCGAACGTTGATGATGCCAAACGAACCTTTGGAGATGTCGTTGGAAGGATCGTGCGGATCTTCGATGCAGAGCATAAAGGGGCGCCTCTCATCTTTCCAGCCGCGGCGAGCCTTGCTAAAGTACCCTCCTCGGCCACGGATGGAGATGCCGCAGTTGTCGTAGCCAAAGTTCTTGCCGTAGAGCTCGAGAAACTCCAGGAGAAGGACGCCCAGGCTTCTGTCAGCCTCAATTTCACCCCGCTGCACCTTCGGGTGGAGTTGCAAGAAGCTGATCACCATGATGATGACGCTGTAGCTACCAAGACCCCCCGAAAAGACTTCGCTCATGCCTCGCTGCATGAGCAGATATTTGACCACCAAAATGAGCGGTCGGATGTGAGGCCATTTCCGCAGCCAGCTGTTGACGTAGCTGGCTGTTGTGAGACCGTTGGTGTGGTTGAGCGAGATATCGACTTTGAGGCGTGCATAGGTGGTAACGAACTTGATGATGGGCACCTTTGCCTTGGCTATGACCTGGACGTCGGTCGCGAGGTTGTGGCGTCGCAGACAGGCGGCCATTGTACGCAGCGCCGACTGTATTCGCAGATTTGCCATGGAATTGCTGACAACGACTAGGTCGAGGTCGCCTTGTGGCAGATATAGCTTTGTCTCTTGACTTCCGAAAGGATGGACCTCAGCGTCACGGAATTGAGACTTGATGGCGCGACTGATGAGTTCGATGACCATGCAGCGCGTTTCGTGCTCGGCGTTGGTAGGCGCCATCCAGTGGTCGAACGCGATGAGCTCGCGATGCAGCGCCTCTGCGCCGTTCTGACACTTGCTCCATTCTACATCGGCCGACCAAGGGGTGTGTCGCGAGCGAGCCATCTCGCGCTCCTTTTTGGATCGTCCATCTTCATCCCGATGATCTGCCTTGCGCTTCCTACTCTTTTGGGACGTGCGGTCATCCTCGCGCCCTTTCCCAGCGCGGCCATCTCTCGTTGACGTCGAGGGTCCAGGCGCAGCAGCATCATCATCGTCCGATCCTGCGCCAAAGTCAAAAGCAATGAAGTCCTGAGCGCCAAACGCCTTTTCTTTCGTCGAGACGGGCATCGTGGTGGGGGAGCACCCGTATATGATGGAACATGCGATAGGTACGAAGCGAGGAGCGAGCTGCTTATATCTGTTTTGTCGGAAGCTGCGTGCTGGCTAAATGGCTGGCTGAAAGAGGTCCTGATGATTGGGTCGAAGGGCTGCTGCCGCTATAGTCGGCCAAGCCGACGAAGAGTGTGATTGTCGTGAAGATGAAGAATTGTGACCACACCTGAAACGAACACGAACACTCTGAGTTAGCGCTCGCTGCAAGCCCACAATTTTTCCAGCTTAGAGGATTTTTCCTTTTCTGGCGGCCAGTTCTTCTCGACACAAAAAAGTGGAGGAAATTCGAGATGAATGTTAGACCGAGATCGAGACGCTGTTGGAGAAAGTTTTCGCGATGCGTGACACCATCAACACCTCCCTCCTCGTCGCCTCTCATATCTACAGGCACAGTCGCTGATCTGAACCGTCAATGAATCAAACAATCAATTTCGACAGAAGTGAAGGCGGAATACATCTGCACTTAGTACTGGCGCTTAAAGGGCGGAACAGGCTTGCACTCGGCTTCGTCAAGGGTCGTGTTGATCACTCCACGGTAGTCGAGCTTCACCTTGTCGCCGGTGCTTTCGTGCTGCCAGGACAACGTGTGCTTCATCCACTTCTCGTCGTCACGCTCAGGATAGTCCTCACGAGCATGAGCGCCACGAGATTCCTGACGAGCAGCTGCGGAGTGCATGGTTTGAGTGGCGCACGTCAGAAGGTTCTTGAGCTCGAGGGTCTCAACGAGATCCGAGTTCCAGATCATGGAGCGGTCCTGAATCGAGACGTTGGGGAAGCTGTCGTATACCTTGTCGATCTTCTGCACACCCTCGTCAAGCGTCTTCTGCGTACGGAACACAGCTGCATCGGACTGCATGACACGCTGCATGTCGTTGCGGATGTCGGCGGTGGTCTTGGAGCCGTTGGCATTTCGGGCCCAGTCGAGGTCGTTGATCGACTTGGCGCCGGCGTCACCCTTGAGCTCCTTGTGCGGCTTACCAGGCGACAGGTTCTCCTTGATGTGGTTGGCGCAAGCACGACCGAAGACGACAATGTCGAGCAGGGAGTTGGCACCGAGACGGTTGGCGCCGTGCACCGAGACACAGGCGGTCTCACCGGCGGCGTAGAGACCGGGAACGATCTTGTCCTCGCCGTTGGGGCCCTTGGTGATGACCTCACCGGTGTACTTGGTTGGGATACCACCCATGTTGTAGTGGACGGTGGGCAGAACGGGGATGGGCTCCTTGGTGACATCGACACCGGCGAAAATGGCGGCAGTCTCCGAGATACCGGGGAGACGCTCGTGGAGAACCTCGGGGGGAAGGTGCGAGAGCTGGAGGTAGATGTGGTCCTTCTCGGGTCCGACACCACGTCCCTCGCGGATCTCGATGGTCATGGAACGCGAGACGACATCACGCGAAGCAAGATCCTTGGCGGTGGGGGCGTATCGCTCCATGAATCGCTCACCCTCCGAGTTGAGCAGGTATCCACCCTCACCACGCGAACCTTCGGTGATCAAGCAACCGGCGCCGTAGATACCGGTAGGGTGGAACTGAACGAACTCGAGATCCTGGAGAGGAAGGCCTGCACGCGAGACCATGGCCATACCGTCACCAGTGCAGGTGTGAGCCGAGGTGGCGGAGAAGTAGGCACGACCGTAACCACCAGTGGCGAGGACGGTCTTGTGGGCACGGAAGCGGTGGATGGTGCCGTCCTCCATGTTGAGCGCGGTGACACCGACACACTCGCCGTCCTCCATGATAAGGTCGAGGGCAAAGTACTCGATGAAGAAGTTGGTGTTGTGGCGGAGCGACTGACCGTAAAGGGTGTGAAGCATGGCGTGACCAGTTCGGTCGGCGGCGGCGGCACATCGGTACGCCTGGCCACCCTTGCCGTAGTTGAGCGACTGACCACCGAAAGCTCGCTGGTAGATCTTGCCGTCCTTAGTTCGGGAGAAGGGGAGACCGAAGTGCTCAAGCTCGATGACGGTACGAGGAGCTTCACGGCACATGTAGTGGATGGCATCCTGGTCACCGAGCCAATCGGAGCCCTTGACGGTGTCGTACATGTGCCATCGCCAGTCGTCCTCGGTCATGTTTCCGAGCGCGGCGTTGATACCACCCTGAGCGGCGACGGTGTGCGAGCGAGTTGGGAAGAGCTTGGTGATGCAGGCAGTGTTGAGACCGGCCTCGGCGAGACCGAAGGCGGCACGGAGACCGGAACCACCGGCGCCGACGACGATGGCATCGTACTCGTGGTCAATGACAGGGTAGCCCTTGGCTGCGTCGAGCGGAGTGGCGGCTTCCTTTGCACGGAGAGGCTGAGATGCGATGATGCGAGAAGCTGTGGCGGTGGAGTGGAAGCCAGCAAGACGCTGAGATGGGGCGACCAAGCTGGACGACGAAGGCGCACGCGCAACAGCGCGCGAGAGCGACCTTCCGAAGATCATGATGATGCAATTCGACGACGGCAATCAGACGTGTGTGTTGAATGCGTCCCAAGTGCAGACGAAGTCACAGATGGGAAGTGTGAGGCCGATGCGGGTTGGAGGAATAGGGATGGTAGAGGCAGAAGTAATGGTAGCCAACGGTGCGCTTTGTCGTTATTACTATGCGAGGACACGCTTTTTGCCATCAGAAGGCGATGAGCTAACTAGCTCGCTCAAGCCTTCGAGTCCCGCTTGCGGGGCAAACAACTTCGCTCGCTGTCGGACACACACAGGCAAGCGGTCAGCGTGGCGGCCGACTGCCTTCTGAAACGCGCGCTCGGCGAGAGCAACGACACCGTCTCGACCAATGCGCTCTCGCTGATTCGTACACAAGATTGCCAACCGGAACCCTCGGGCCCCTCGTTCTTTGCCTCTTTCACCGCTCTCAATTTGACGATAATTGTAATCGCAAGCAGCTCGCCCTTCAAAAGTGCAGAGCTGGAATTACGAGCGGAAGAAAGTGCCGCGCTAGCTACACACAAAAAGAGATTTGGTAAGCGCGCCAAGTTCAGTCTCTGCAGGATTCCCGTTCAATTCCGCAACGCGCCGCGAAGGAGGGTCCGAATTGCACCGAAATTCACCACTGTGTTAGACTTCTGTGAACGATGCGCTTATGTGTTGCTGACTACTGTTCAGGGTCCAGACCAAATTTGGCAGTGGTGAGCACGGAGAAGGATGACAAGAAGCTTGCAGACATGCTACTTCGTGGAGTTCAACCTCACAATCGCATTCGCTTCATCGTCAAGGAGCTCGTCATGGCGCTGATCATCGTATCAGGCTTGGCCAGCTCAGGTCGTTCGAACCGCTCTGCGCTCATCAAAGCGGATATCGAGCGCCGTATCAAGGAGGTCGGTGCTTCACCCAGCTCATCCTCATCAGGCCTGACACCCAACCGGGTAGTCGTTGTATCGGACCATGACGTACATGCAGCGCGCTCGGCATACGCATCGCAGCGCACCGAGAAGCCCGCGAGAGCTTCCTATCTTTCCGCCGTCACTCGCGCGCTGGGCAAAGACACGATCGTCGTTGCGGATGGTGGAGCTGGACTCAACATCAAAGGATTTCGCTACCAGCTTTGGTGTGCAGCACGCGAGGTGGGCGTGCGGTGTCTCTCCATCCACGTCCATGCTCCTCCACAAGTTTGCAAATACTGGAACCAAAGGCGGAGAGAAGAGCAGGGTCAAGATTCCAGCTACGATGACGAGACGCTGGACAGCTTGCTTATGCGCTTCGAAGAACCCAATGCCATGACACGCTGGGACTCTCCGCTCATCATCGTTCCCACCATCCTCCTTCCGCCCTCAGACGTTGAGCCCAGCAAAACAGCTTCTACTATAGACGACAGCCGCATCAGCGTCGAGCCAATCCCCTTCGACGACATCTGGGATGCTGCGACAAAGGGCACTGTCAACAAAGCGCCGGAAGTTGTCGCCCCGACACGATCCACAACAGCCAACTATCTTTCCATCCTGGAATCGTCCACACAGACGGTCGTCTCTTGCATCTTGCAGCATCAAACCTCGCTCGGCTTGCAGCCTGGCTCGGATGTTCCGATCAGCCATCCGAGCTTGACGGGCCCCTCTTCGCTGTCGTTCACGCCGCCAGCGGATAAGCCGGTGACCATGGCCTCGTTGCAACGGATCCGTCGCCAATTCGTCCGCATGCATAGCTCCGGTACCGCACAGATCAACGAACTTGGAAATGCCACGAGATCAGAGGGCGTGCAGTTCTCGCTCACATCGCATCCCACACGAAACGGCTCAAAGTCAGCGACGCCCAATGTGGCTCATCCAGCCTCGACCGAGTACGCCATCGCCAAGCGCTTCCTCGCCTTCCTCGAGGGTGCGCTCTGAAACCCCAGCATGTTCGCTTGTTTTCCTTCCGTCTCATTTGTATTTGTATCTTCTCATTCACAAAAGAGCCTTTCACAGCAGGATCGTAATACGATCTAAATCTCAATCTTGCAATCCTTGCATTGCTGTCAAACCACAGTGTATCGACCCGTGGTGCCCGGATTCCTCGCTTCGGCTTCGAGCACCGCTTGCGTCGCCTCGACCAAAAGACGCTGAATCTCGCGCACCGCATCTTCCACCATCGATTTGGTGTTCGACTCGATCAACAGCTGCAGCTTGGGCGGTTCGCCTGGCTGCGGCTCGATGCCTTCCTTATAGAATACGCCCTTGTTGGTGATCGAGGCCCCCGTCGATTCGATCAGGTGGCTCATCGTCTCCTTGTTGGTGACCCTCCATCGTGCGCGCTGCGGGAAGTCGTTGATCGGCACAATCGCGTGGTAGTCGGTGGCGTCCGGATCGCGAGCTTTGCGATCCTTTTGCTTGTCCGTCTCCGAGTTCTTGGCCGCTTCTTTTCGCGCATTGGCCTGCTTACGGATGTTTTCGAGCACGGCTGCCAGCTTGGTTGTGTCCGCGCCGTGAGCCTTGGCGGCTTCCAGTGCGGATTCCTGCGCCTTGAGTTGGGCAGCCTCTTTGCTCTCTTGCTCCTGCTCCGCCTTGGTTTTGGCAGCGGCAGCAGAGGCCTCTTCGCTCGCCGAAAGCGTCTTGTTCTCCCTGACCGACTCGGGGGCTGCGCCTTGCATGATCTCGATCCTCATGCCCTGAATCTTGCTCAGCTGATCTTCGGAGCTCGATGTGCTCGCCGGCGCGCCCGACGTGGCATTCGCCTCGCTCGACTCGCCGGCAGCAGCCGCCTTGCCCTCTTCGTCCGCTTCGCCGTAGGCTGATTTTTGAGCCTTGAGCGCCTTTTCGCGATCCTGCTCGAAGCGGTCCAGACCCTTGCCGCCAAAGCCCGATCCGGCCGCTTTGGCCTTGCCGGCCGCAAGCTTGTCCTTGAACGCCGCGGCCATCGTCTCCAGCTCTGGCGGAACATGCGCGGAGCTAGCCTTCAGGGCTGCGATAATGTCACGGGCGTAGCGGTCCTGTTCGGGAGTGACAAAGGTGATGCAGGTCCCCTTCTGACCGGCACGACCGGTGCGACCTGCGCGATGAACGTAGTCCTCCATGTGATTGGGTACGTCGTAATTGATGACGAGCTTGAGTTGCTTGACATCGAGGCCTCGCGCCGCCACCGAGGTTGCAGTGACAATGGGCACGTTGCCTGCTTTAAAGTCGGAGATGGTCTCGTCGCGGTCCACCTGGTCTTTGCCGCCGTGCAGCGACATGGTGACGTATCCTTTGCGGATCAGATCCTTGAGCAGGTCATCGGCCGCCTCTTGTCGGTCGACAAAGATGAGCGTCCGCGCATCCTTTTCTCGATTGTAAAGCTCGCCCAGGATCTCGAGTAGGCGGTGGAACTTGGTGCTCTCCGGCCGCACCTCGACGATCTGCTCAATCTCGGCAGCTACGACGCTGCGCCCGCCGACGGTGATTTCGAGCGGCTTGTTCTTCAACACCTTGCGTGCCAGCGATTCCATCTGTTTGGGAAAGGTAGCAGAGAAGAGCACCGTCTGTCGATCCGGTCGGATGTTGTTGACGATCTTCATGACCTGCGGCTCGAAGCCCATGTCGAACATGCGGTCAGCTTCGTCCAGCACGAGGTACGTGACGCGACGAAGGTTCGTGACGCGGCCAGAATTGGCGGTCAACAGGTCGATGAGCCGACCAGGCGTGGCCACCACGATATCGGCAGTCTTCTTCATCTCTGCGATCTGTTCCGAGATGGGAGCACCTCCGTAGACGCAAGCGGCGCGAAGACCCAGTGCCTTTATGAACGGTCTCATCTCGCGATAGATCTGAACGGCAAGCTCCCGGGTCGGCGTCATGATGATACCGACAGGACCCTCAGAAGCCTCGACGGGTCTCTGATCCTTGATGTGTCGAAACATGGGCAAGAGAAAGGCCATGGTTTTGCCGGAACCTGTCTTTGCTACGCCGATGATGTCTCGTCCAGACATGATGGCGGGAATCGCCTGACTCTGGATCGGCGTGGGGGTGGCGTACCCGAGACGCTTGATCACGTCGAGACAGCTGGTAGGCAAGCCACAGTGCGACCATTTGGTGAGTGGTTTAGGGCAGTCTTTGCCTCGCACCGTGATGGCGTCCATCTCGAGGCGAATCTGATTGGCCAGCTCTTCGGACATATCCTGGATCTCGGCGGGAGGATGGTAAAAGAGTTTGCGAAATGGTTCGTAGTCGATGGTGGCGTGATCGACGGTGGCAAGCTCCTTCTTCTTGACTTTTTTTGCCGCGAGCGCCAACAAGTCCTCGGTCGCCACGCCGACTCGGTCGAGCTCATCGACCTCCTCATCCTGGTTATCCGCTTCGCCGTCGCTGTCGTCCTGTCCGAGCACGACCGCTTTGGTCTTGACATGTCTTGAGTCGCTATCACCGCTGAATCCAGCCTTGCGTCGATCGTCGGCGTTGACTTGCGCCACCTGACTTTTGACGGTGGACATGAAGGCATCCAAGGGGTCCTCCTCGTCGTCTTCCTCGTCGATGTCCATGGAAGCGGCGTCTGAGCTGCGCGTCTGCGCTTTCGCTGCGCCAAGCTGGTCACCAATCTCGTCTTCGTCATCGGCAGATGCGACTTTGCGGGCTGTATCGATCGCTGGATCTAGAGGAGGCAGATCACCGAGTCGATTGATCTGCGTCCGTGTCGACGACTCGGACGCATCTTCCATCATTGTTCGGGACCGATTCTGTGCCGTTGCCTTGGACGGATCCGTGCGCAATGATAGTGTCCGCAAGCCAGTGGCGTTGATCAAGGTGGGCGCGCTCTGAAGGGTTTGTGACGATGATGAGCTCTCCGCGCGTTGAGACGAGGGTGCTACTGCGCTGGCGATGGATTGAGCTCGCTGCCTGGCTTCCTCAAGCGCCTTTTTGGCAGCTTGCTCCTTGCGCCAGGCCTCGAGCCGCGCCTTTTTGGCGAGTTTGGCCTGCTCTTCCGACGACAACGTCTCATTCATGCCATTTGATGGCACCGAAGATGAGGTTTGCGCGAGGGCTGCTGGAGGGGGAGGTGGAGGTCCCGGCGCGGCGCCGGGAGGTCCGACGGGAGGCCTGGATGGTAGTGCAGCGTTCAAGGTTGGTCGTGCGACATCTGGGAAAGACGGTGGAGCGGTTGGAGGGGCACGCGCATCCTCATCCCACCGTCTGCGGCCGCTGTGTCTTGATGCTTCGCCATACGGATGTCTTTCATTGTGATGATCTACGACGGCGGCGTGTGAGTCGTAGCCACGCCCTTCCCAAACTCGGCTGCGATCATTGTCGCGCCAGCCGTCGCGGCCAGACTCATCCAGTTGAGGGCCGTTGGGATGGTCGCGGCGGCTGCGTGAAGAGGAGTGATGTGAGGAAGGAGAACGAGAACGGCGTCTGGTCGGCGCATGTCCATGGCTTCTGTAGGAGGACGAGGTATCATGCTTACTGGTACGAGATCGATGGTGAGATGAGGAGGAAGGGCGACGGTAGTCCTCGCGGTCATTGTAGCCTCCCATTGCGCGGAGCAATCCTGGACCGAAGATGCCGGATCTCGAAGAAGCCGTCGTTTGATAACTTGAGGATGAAGGTATGAAGAAGCTGAGCTGCAGACGACCTTCGTCACGGCATCTTAGCACGCAGCAGCCCAAAGAGTAACAAAATGCTCAAATGTTACATCGGTACGTCTTGGAAGAATCTGCTAAAAACCGGACGACAGCCGAAGGACAACGAGTTCAGCTGGCGTGTGCACACTCAAGGCATTTCGAGCTGACTGACGTGTTGGTCTCGGTCGTGAGCTGTCCCGGCTAGTTGGGAATCGTAGCACATAGCTGAAAACCCATGACTTCTTCACGTCGGATCACTTCCGCTCCCACCACCGACACCGGCTGCCGAGACTTTTTATACCTTGCGTTTGATCAAGATGGCGACACATTGGCACGCCGCCCTGGCTGGTACCGCGACATCGTCTCGGTCGGCCACACCAGCGGGCCATCGTCGCTCGGCACATATCGAGGTCAATCCTGGCAACCCATCTCGCAGCATGTCTTTCGATACCGAGCCCCGATCTCGACGACGCGAAGCTGTAGCAGGCCTTCAATCACATCAGCTGCACCTTGTCCTGTCCGAGATTGCTGCCGTCACCTTGGCTGTCCGCAAGGCTGCGCGTTGGAACGCTGCAACGTCGACCTCCCTCGCCCGCCTTACGTCCTTCAGCTACTCTGCCGCCCAGCTTCCTTCAACAGCGACCAAGCAGCAAAATCAGCCAGTGGCCCGTGATGTGATGGACTCGGTCTCTACGCCTACCGTATCAGCGGGCGACAAGAAAGCAGCGACAGGTTCAAGCGCTCACATCGCGTTAAGAGGCATGCAACGAGGAACGGCCACCGACATCGGCTCGAGCTCGACCGCCACCGCCAGACGCCTCGGCTTGTCGCTAGGAGCCGATGGAAAGTCGGACGATCCGATCAGCATCCTCACGGCATTCGCTACGCTGAAAGCCCAGCTCCGGACCTGCACCGCCTTCTCTGCCTTTCCGCTCCCCGCCCTGCTCGCACCGTTCCTACGGGTCATCTTGAGCCCCCGCACCTCGGCTCCTGTCACATCGGCCGCACTTCAAGCTGTTCACAAGTTCCTGGTCTACAACGTCGTATCCCTGTCCGCGCCAGGTGTTCAGGTCGCAGTCGCAGAGATCGCACACGCCACGAGTCACTGTCGTTTCGAGGCTTCGGAAGCAACCACTGACGAACTCGTGCTGGTACGCATCCTCTCCGTTATGCGCGAACTCATTTGCGAGCCGGCTGAGCCCGAACCAGCCGTCTTCACGTCCAATCACGTCGACGCTAGTCAAAACAGACGTGTCCGTACCTTGGCTGATTGCCTGGGTGACGACAGCATCTGCGAAATGATGGAGACCGGCCTCTCCATGTGCTGTCAGACTCGCCTTTCCGAGGTGCTTCGACGCACAGCCGAGCTCTCCATGACCGCGATGGTCCGAACCCTCTTCAGCCGCCTTCCGCTCTTGCCTCCATCGGCTGATGAGTTCTTTGCTTCCGGCGCAGACGGAACCGAACCCGAACCGGAGCATGCAACGCTCGCCGCAGATCCAATCGGCGAGGACGCCGAGCTTGACGAGAAGAAGCGCCGGAGGATGACCATGCCGGACCCCACCAGCAACGCTTTTCCCGCCGCCGCAGCTCAAGTTCTCGACCAACTCCGAGAAATGGGGGAAGAAGAAGAGATCCAGGATGCTGCAGCATCGCCGCAAGAAGGGCACGCAAAGCAAGGAGACGCTGAGCAAGCAACAGGGGAGGCCCCGGTAAGGTCAGAAGACCCGAAAGAGTCCGAGACAGGCCAAAGTGCGACGACACCTGCTGAGGTCAATGACGAAACTGTTCAGGCTTCCTTACCAGCCGACTCTCAAGTAGAATTCGCTACACCCATGCTCATCGAGGCCTTTGGGCTTCCCGCCATTCTTGAAGTGTGCCGAGTGATCGTCTCGCTTCTCGACCCCAACAACCTTCAGCACACCCACACTATGCGCAGGCTCGGCATGTCGATGTTGATTTCTGTCCTCGAGACATCCGGTCGATCCATCGGCGACTTTCCTTCGCTACGTGCTCTCATGCAGGACACAGCTTGCAAGCATTTGTTTACCATTGCACGCACCGACGACACCATCCCCTTGTCACTCAGCCTCCGTGCACTTTCTACCATGTTCGAGACCATGCGCGAACACTTGAAGCTGCAACACGAGCTCTTCCTCAATTATCTTATGGATCGCCTATCCCCAACATTCCCCTTGCCTCTCGAGCCTTGGAACGAAAGGACGTTCGACAGCGTTGTCAAGCGCGCCGCTGATTTCACGTCCCGCACAGGTACTCCCGATCACAACTCGGCTGCCCTGCAAGTGCAACCGCCGCCACCTCCCGCACCACCTGCACCGCCACTGCCCAAAGGCTCGGAGCGAGCTCCCGCCACCGGAGAGGCGCGCGAGCTCTACCTCGAGACCTTTGCGCTTCTCTTTCGCAACTTCGACTCGGAGCGCTCTGCCGAATACCTCGTGGATCTCTATCTCAACTACGATTGCTACACAGACTGCGACGACATGTACGAGCGCGTGCTCCACTTTTTGTGTCGCGCAATCCACGCTGCCAACCCGCAGAACCCATCGCAGCAAGATTCTGTCCAGCTGTTCGCACTCGATGCGCTCCTGTCTTTCATCGCAGCCATTGCAGATCGCGCCGAAGCCTCAAGAGAGGGAGCTGTCGATTCAAGCGCAGTGCTTCCCAATGACCTCTCAGTCGAAGCTCTGGCGCTTCAGAAGGCAAAGAAGGCGACCATCCTGGACGGCGCGAGTCGCTTCAACGCCAAGCCCAAAGATGGCTTGGTCTTCCTGGAAAAGGAAGGTCTTCTCGACTACGGCGATGTCACCCTCTCGCGGGAAGACAGGATCGCTCGATTCCTCAAGGAGTGCCCTCGCCTCGACAAGAAGCTCGTCGGCGACTACATTGGACGTCCTGACAACGTCAAGGTGCTCGAGGCCTTCATTCGTCTGTTTGACTTTAAGGATAAGCCAATCGCCGAGGCCCTGCGAGAGATGCTCGAAAGCTTCCGTCTGCCGGGTGAATCGCAGCAGATTGAGCGCGTCACACAGACGTTCGCTTCGACCTATTTTGCGGCCAAGCCAGATGGCATCGCCACCGAGGACGCCGTCTTCATCCTCGCCTACTCCGTCATCATGCTCAACACAGATCAACACAATCCGCAGAACAAACGTCGCATGACGGTCGAGGACTATCGGAAGAACCTTCGTGGCGTCAATGGAGGCGACGACTTCGGTCCCGAGCTTACATGTGCCATCTATGAAAGCATCCGCAAGCGAGAGATCGTCATGCCAGAGGAACACGCAGGCCAGCTCGGCTTTGAGTACACATGGAAGGAGCTGCTTAGGCGCTCGCGAATCGCCGGTACTTTGGTCGCATGCAACACCACAGCCTTCGACCGCAGTATGTTCGAAGCAAGCTGGAAGCCCATTCTCTCAAGCATCGCCTTCGCCTTTTCCACCTTCTCGGATGAGTACATGGTGGAACGAGCGATCTCCGGCATCCGTCAGTGCGGCATTCTCGCATCCGACTTCGACCTGATCGAGGTCTTTGACTTTATGGTGCATACCCTTGCAACTGCCACGGGTCTACTCGATAGCTCGGTCCCGCAGACTCTGACAAGCAATCCTACCGTCGAAGTGGAGAGCCAGCTTGTTACCGTCAGCCCGCTCTCGACTCGTTTTGGTGTCAATTTCAAAGGTCAGCTGGCGGCAGTAGTCCTATTTACCATTGCCAATGGCAACGTAGATGCCATTCGCACTGGTTGGTCAGATCTCTTCGAGATCTTCAAGAACTTGTTTGCGCATGGCATGCTGCCATCCACTATGGTGCAGATGGAAGACCTCGCCGACGGTCCTGTTCCTATTCCGCTCAAGCCAAAGAAGATCCCGGGTCCTTCACCTCAGGATCCGCGAACACAAGGAGGCGGGCTGTTCAGCACGCTCTCCTCGTACCTGTTGTCTCCTTACTCGAACACGAACGAGCCTGCCCCGTACGAGGCCAGCCCCGAAGACATTGAGGCGACGTTGAGCTCAGTGGACTGCATGGCATCCTGTCGTCTCGAGGACCTGTGGCACCAGGTGCTCCATCTCGGCACCGATTCACACCTGTGTGCCGTACACTACCTCCGCTTCCTGATCGAAGCTTTGACCGTCGAGAAGGTGCTCTACCGCGAGTCGTCCGGCTGGACGGACGGGACTTCGACGCCGACTAGCGTGCAACAAGGCGCAAACGCTGCTGCCAACGGCAAAGACTCGGGCAAGCTGCAGCCCGCGTCATCTTCGGGCAATCTCGCAGCTGGTGGAGCTGGATCGCATGGCGCGCCGGTGGGTGGCCTGGCGTTGAGTTACGATCCGCGCGTGCCTTTCTTGTTGGAGCTCTTGACTCAGATCGTCGCTTCTTCTCCGAGTCAGCTGGTCGTCGAGACATGGCCATGGCTGTCGGAGCACATCACGTCCGTGCTGCGCAACGCAAAGTCGTACCATCCAATGACGGTGGAACGCGAAGTGGCTGCGCTGTTGCGGATCATCGCTTCAGCAGCCGGCGAAGAGAGCTTGCGCGATCAGATCTTTGTTACGCTCGACCTCCTTCGCGAGCTGCCCGTCGACATCCGCATCTCAGGATCCAAGCAGCTGCTCGCCGGTCTGACCCGCATTTTGTCGGCTCATCCGACGTTTGTGCGCTCACACACCGAATGGAGCCTGGTCTTCGCCCTCATCTCCGACAACTCGAACATGCGCAATGCTGACTCGGCTCGCCTTGCGTTCGAGACCACCAGGGCGATCGTCGTTGGCGACCCGGCTCAGACCGACCCGGTCGGTGCAGCGCCCAGACTGTCACCTGACAACTTCCTGCCGGCTGTTATGCAGCTGATCGACTTTGCCAACGGAGCCGACACGAGCGCCTGGCGCAACATGATGCTGCGCGAGACGCCGCAACGCCGCACAACCATCACGGAGAAGAAGGAGATGGCTGATGCCGAAAAGGTGCAGCAAGAGAGAGGTGTCGAAGCCGTAGAGGTGCTCGAATCGCTCAAGAGCGAGATTCCACGCTTGATCGACATCGAACTCGGCGCGGTCAACAAGGAGGTTGTCGAAGCTCGAGCAAAGGTGGACGAGGTCTGGAGCAAGTACTGGCTGGCCATACTGACAGGCCTTGTCCGACAGTGGACCAACGCCTATGCTCCCGTCCGCTCGGCTGCGGTCACCTTGCTCCAGCGAACGCTGTTCTCCGCGCAGCTCGTTCCGTCAGCGTCGCCCGCCTTGCCGTCGCGTACGGCGCTGATCCGTGTTGTCTTTTCGGCAACACTGTTCCCGCTGATCGAAGACCTGCTGAAACCGCAGGTCTACCAGATCGATCCGCCGTCAGCAGCGAACAAGAACGGCGGCATGCTCGAGATCCGCATCCGAGCCTCTGCCCTGATCTGCAAGACGTTCCTGCATCTCTTGGCGCATCTAAGTCCGTCCTCCGGAGCGGCCGACGCAAGTGCGGGTGCGAACGGAAGCCACAATGAAGAGCAAGAATTCGCCAAGCTGTGGCTGGATGTTCTGGATCTCATGGACCGCATGATCAACTCGACGGGAGGAAATGCGGGCCGAAGAAATCCCTTGACGGAGGCTATTCCAGAGAATCTGAAGAATGTTTTGTTGGTGATGTCGACGTCGCAGCTTTTATCACCAGAGGACGGCGCTGGGATGCAGAAGCGCTTGTTCGACATGACGCATGACAGGTTGCAGCGATTCTTGCCTGGATTAGTGGAGGAGGTTTTCAGGCCACCGGCGGCTGCGCCAGCTTCAGTAAAAGCGGAACCCGAACCGGTGACTGCGACGGATGCCGAAGAGTCGCAACAGGCCTAAGGCAGGGTAGCGCTGATGGTAGGCTGCAGACATTGAGTGTCCTACACTGCAAGACGTCTGATCTGGCTGGGCGGTCTCACAATGACAGACGAGCAATGACGAACAAAGAAAGCAATCTGAAGATCAAGTGAAATTGCCAGCACCGACGTGTGTTGAGATAATAGCGATATGGAGAATGTGTGAACTGGGGATATCGTCATCATCGCGACTCTTCATACATCGATCAACTTCATTCCCAGTCAGAATCCTCCTCGGACTCGTCAGCCTTTGTCTTAGCTGACTCGGTATGCGTGGCAGCGGCAAGCGGCTCGACTGGCTGTTCCTTTGTCGCGACGGCGGCCGAAGCATTTTCGGTACCTGCGGCCGCGACTTCGTCGTCGTCTTCATCCCATGCAAAATCTTCTTCTTCGGTGGCGGCTGCTTCAGCTTGCGGCGCTGATGACTCTGTGGCTGCAACGGGAGCGTTAGTGTTCTGTTGCATGTGGGCGATCATCTTCGCTGGTGTAGCCGTCTTCTCTGAGACGCCCGCCTCCTCTTGGACTACCGATGATCGCGATTCCTTATCTTCTTCCTCTGGCGGAACGATGCGGACCAGCTCGCCGACAAACTCTTTCATATCCGACTGTACCTCTCGCGCAAAGCTCTCTGTGGCCTGCATGTAGCGTGACGCGAGCTGCTGGGACTCCTTGAGATCGAGATGTGGAAGATGCGACTGGATGGTCAATGAGAGCCTTGAGAGCGACTCTTGCAAATTCTTCGGACCCGGCGTTGCAGTCGCAGACGCCTTGTCAGCGCCGTCGCCGAGCTCCTTTGAGTCTGCTGTTGGAGACGATACAGACTGCAACGTGGACGTCAACGAGTGTTGGAGCTGGACGAGCCTTGGATCGGAAGTGAGTTTGGAAAAGAGTGACGAGACCGAAGCGCCAAGGGTAGGGCCAGCTGCCTCGCGAAGCGTGGGATCTTGGTCATCGACGGCCCTTTGCTTGCCCTTGCTGACCTCTGAACGAGGAGATGCGTCTCCTTCAGCTGGAGTATCGCCATCACCCTGTTTCACTTCTTGTGGCTGCTGACTCTGTTCGCGTGCCTTCTTCTGAGCATCGCCGATCGAAGACTCCAGCTTGGCATACTCGCTTTTGGCGTAATTGACTATGCCTCCTCGTGTTTCCATCTCCTTTCTGGCCTGTGTGATGGAGTCTTGCGACTTCTTGGCGAAGCCGGTCCACCAGTTTGAGATGTTTCCCACGAGCTTTTCCACGTTCTGATCGAGCTCTGTCTTGTTGGCGGACGAGTTGCCTGTCGGCGTCGCTGTGCCATCGGCGCGGCCGTTTGCGGCCATCAAACCGGGATCGTAGATGTCCATCTTGGGGATACAAAGTAGAGGATGACGTTGAGGACCTTCGTTGTGGGAGAGAGAGGACGCCAAATTTGAATTGCGGAGGAGAGGGGCGCGTGCGGGCCACGGTTAAAGAAAGGGTCCGAGTCCCGAGCCAAGCGGAAGAGAAAAAAGCTCAATGAGAAGCAAAGCATCACTTTCCGCAACAGGAAGAACGTTGGTGCCCACACACTACCTTCGCCAGCCCTCGATGCAAGGGGATCTTCGCAACGATGGTGAAACTTCCATCGCAGGCGGCTTGTCGTGCGTGTCTCGGTGCCCGGCAAGCGGCACGACCAGCTCAGATTCATGCAAGGGTGCAGCACCTCACTACCAGCCTCGCACGAGCGCCAGTCCGGAGCACGACCCGCATATCGTTCGCCCGCTCAACAGGCTTGATCCACGACAGGCAAGGCTCACAGCTCTTTTCGACGTCGTCAGCCCACAGGAGCGATGCTTCCTCTCCAGAGCGATCGTCGACGACAATCAGCATTTTAGGCAAAGAATATCCTACGGATGATTACACGAACATCCCCGCTTCGATTCTGGACCGTCTGTCTCCGACACCTCAGCTTCCGTACACCAAGGATCACCCACTGGCGCTACTACGAGAGCAGCTCGAAGCATCCATCGGACCACATTACACTGCAATCCATGCGACGTCTCCCGTGGTCACCACTGAGCTCAACTTCGAGGATCTAGGCATCGCCGCAAACCACCCCGGCCGCAGTCCCACTGACACCTACTATGTCAACCGCACCACCTGTCTGCGTACTCATACCTCGGCGCACGAAGTCGAGACCTTTCGCAACAAGAACGAACGATGGCTGCTCACTGCCGATGTGTATCGCCGCGACGAGATCGATGCCTCTCATTACCCTATCTTTCACCAGGTGGAGGGCGCCGCGATCTTTGCCCACCAAGACTATGCACCCGGAGGAAAGGTGGAAAAGGAGTGCGAAGCGATGGAGGCCAAGCTCGCCAAAGCCAACTTTGAGATCGAAGACGTAGTCGGTCTGTCTGAGGCAGGGGGATACCAGAGTCATCACGACCCTCGCGAGGCCGCACTTGCCGTGCGACACTTGAAGGCGACGCTCAATGGTCTTGTGTTCGACCTGTTCGCAGACCGTCACGCTTTTGAGACGGCCCAAAAGGGTGGATCAGCCTCAGACCCGCTGCGAGTACGTTGGATACCTGCCTTTTTCCCTTTCACGTCTCCGTCATACGAGGTGGAAGTGTGGTTCCGAGGCAAGTGGCTCGAGATTCTGGGATGCGGCGTGGTGCAGCAAAGGACGTTGGACAAAGCAGGTGTACCGGATCGACTGGGTTGGGCATTCGGCCTGGGTCTCGAGCGCATCGCCATGGTGCTCTATTCCATCCCGGACATTCGTCTCTTCTGGACGCAGGACCCGCGCTTCTTGGGTCAATTCGCTAGCTCGAGCAGCAACGAGGTCTCTGCTGCAGGCGGTCAAGCCAAGAGCGGCGCTGCGAAGCCTAAGCTCCTCACTTTCAAGCCGTACTCCAAGTATCCGCCCTGCTACAAGGATGTCTCATTCTGGCTTCCACAGGATCGCGCATTCCACGAAAACGATCTGTTCGAGATCGTCCGCGACCGCGTGGGCGATTTGGTCGAGGACGTGGTCAAGATCGACGACTTTGTGCATCCAAAGACCAAGAAGCAGAGTCTGTGCTATCGTATCAACTACCGTTCCATGGATCGGTCGCTCGAGAACGAAGAGGTCAACCAGCTCCACTCGGATGTCCTGTCTAGGTTGGTCGAACAGCTGTCTATCGAGATTCGGTAGTTGAGAGGCCGCCACATCGGAGCACGTTACGCTAAGTTGCGTTGTACAATGATCGTTCGTCTAACGTCATTCTGAAATCACCACCTCTACAGCATGTTTGTTCGTGTGTTCAGTCTGAAGAGTGGCCGAGGGTACGTGACGATGCGAAAGCAGCTACACCTCCCTCCGGGCGTGACAAAGTGTCGCTGGCAAACCAAGAGGGACTGTGAACCTCAATCGCCCCAGCTTCGTCAACAATGATGCGAAATTCACATGTCTAACAGAATTGATTGGATGATTCCGCTCTGACAGTCTCCTTGGAAGCCGCTGATAGTTGCCTTCATGAGGTAGATGTCTCAGAGCGGTATTTGCCAGCACGTAAGGGAAGCGGGAATATGTACCCTGAGATGATTGCACATACTGCGTGGCAAGAGATAGGGATTGCAACGCAGAGTATCTATCCGCTCGCTGTCCTGCCGCATGCTGATGTCAGCGAGCAACAGAATGTGATCTGTTTCAGCATCTGCAATTGTTCTTCTCTGACAAACACAAATTTAGCTGTCCACCCTGGAGCTGGCTTCCTTGCGCTTTGTCCCACAATGAGTGCTCTTGCTGCCCACTTCTGCCTCATTTGAAGGGCGCGCTGGCCTGCCTGGACAGTCTTGCTTGGCATCAAGGTCAGCATTGCTGTGACAATGGTAGGTTGCGTCGAAACTGGTCAGGAGGAATGGTGAGCAAGAGTCCCACAGCTCTGAAGGCAGAGGAACTGAGTTCAATTCCTTTGCAATCTGCTCCCAATCAACAATTCTCAACAGAAGGCTTTCTGCATTGCACGTTGTCAGCAGCCCAGCAGAATCCTCTTGGGCACCCAAAGGCAAGAAGTTCAGCCCTTTTGAGTTGCCAAAGCCACCACCCCTCTTGTCTTGCATGAAGCAGCTGTAGAAGTAGCAATCTTTTGTCTGCCCAGTGTGATCAATGCAACCTTTGACATGGGTCTTTTGGCTCCAAGTGGTTTGTCTTAGCAAACACAAGGACATTTGCTTGCATGGTGTTGTTGCTCCTGCATCATTGCAAGCAAGATCAGCATCACAGGAATGTCTGAGGATTCCCAAGCCTTCATGCCAGCTGAGCTGTGTGATGCCTCTTGAAGTCTGGAGATCTTGTGTTACGCCCACAACACAACTGGGATTGTTAGGGATTAGGAGCCTGCATATTGGAAGGCCAATCCCGGTGCAACCCCGCTAGACTGTGGCAAAGACACCAGCAGGGGAGACTTGAGATCTGGTGGCTCCACCGGATCCCATCTGTCTCTCCCTGTTGATTGTATTTTATTCTACACTCCTGTAGGACAAAATCCCAGACCTGATTTGATTGAATTCCCCACCAACGCTGCTTGCAATGTACCAGACCACCGCACCTGGTGATTTGTCCCTGGCCTCACGCTTCCCCACCAAACCTTGAGGTCTTCAGACCCCAGGGGCATAACAGTAGCCAAGCAGGCCTTGCGAGTAGACCTGCTGAGCCTCTGCGACCTGCTGGACATTGCGAGAGGACTCATTGGTGCTGGCAATCAGGGGCATGAAGAGATTTTGCATGCCGAGGTGATGCTTACTCATCGCCTCTGTGTTCCGATCGGAGGCCCAAGGAGTTTTGCCAATTGCGAGTTGTTGTATCAACAGCTTGCCAAGCTTGTTGTACGTCTCTTGGCCGTCGGCGAGATGCTCATCGCGCTTGCTAGCTGGCTTCAAGACGTCGTCTCGCCACTTGGTGAGCAGAGGGTTTCGGCGGTCCTTGTTCAAGAGGTGACGACTAGCCTCTTTTGCCTCGCCCATGACTGCCAGCGGGTTTCCGCAGAATGACATGATCGGGAGGAAGTTGATCAGGTTGCGAATTGGCGTTGGCGAAAGCCCGAGCGTGAAAGCTCTCTTGATGTTGAACTCGCGTCCAAAGCTTTCGGCAGTGTGCGAGGGGAAGCTGTGCACCTCGTTGTAGACAAGCAAGCCGTACTTGTTGCTCAAGTGCGTGGGAACAAATTGCGCTTGTGCGGTGTTGCGCTGCTTCTGTACCACAAACTTGTTCACCATCACAATAAACAGGTCCTTGTTCCATTTGCCGGTCTTCTGCATGTCTTTGACGTATCTGGGAAGTTTTTTGAACTCCCAGTGCTGGCTTGTAAGATCGACGACTTGAATGAGTTCAGTCTGAACAAATCGGTGGATGTCATCGATGTACTGGCTCGACATGGGCTTCTGAATCATGTAAAGTGTAGGTAGACAGAAGAGCTTAAGCATGCATGAGACCAGGCTGCAGGCATTTGCTAGAGTATTTTGCCTGTCCTGATCTTGTCAGGTACAATGCAGCCACTAGACCAGACTTGGAGGTATCAGTACTTGACCTGCTTTTAGTGTTTTTTTTTATTTGCTGGCAGAACACTTTGCAAATGAAATACAAAATTGCCTTAAGCTGAGGCAGGTCAAGACAAACAGGGAATGTTGGTCCTGATGGCAGGCACATATTCAAGCAGTCAAAGACATATGTATCTGTAAGTGATTGACAGCAATCCCTTCCTGATTCTCTTCGAAACATGGCAATCCGCTCTCAAATGATGTCCTTGATCTGTGCATCAGACAAATTGAGAACCACTCTGGATTGACAGATCAGATTGGATGGCGATATCATGTCTCGCAAGTTCAGAACAAGGGATGTGGTGAGCTGCGATTGCCAAGCAGGACCTCCGCATCAATCTGTAGTGCGTAGCCTCAAGGTCGAGAAAGCGATCCTCGACAGAGATGCCATTGAGTAACGTCTCGCTGGGACGAGTGACAATCTTTTTGGCAGTTTCGCGATGGAGCGATCAATGTCCTTAGAGTCATTGATCGGCTTGACGATCTTCCTGATTATGCCTGTAGCCTCGGCTTTGGCCTTGACCTCTGGGCGCATTGGCTTGTCAGAATTTTGGAAGCACGCCGCCGTTAGCTGCAAAGCCGATCAAAGAGCATTCTCGCTATGAGAGGATGAGGAAAGACGATGACAGAGAAGACTAGATCTGACTGTGAACTAAACCGAGGAGTGAGGTGATATGACGATGATGTCGTTCAAGGGTGTAGTGGTGAAGTGATTGATCTATGAAGACTGGCTATCTTTCTGTTTCACTGCCGGCCACCGTTTCTACCTTCCCAACAAGCTGAGTTCGGTACAGAGCGATCTTGTAGTACGTCTCTTTTGCCATTCTACAGCATATCATCAACTCAATGCACCTCACATTGGTAGCAAAGGATGGTCGTGGAAAGCACCAGAAGCTCTGTGTACTCGAATCATGGCGAGCTGATCACACCGAGGTCGTTGCAATGCGGTTTACAGCACTCCTAGTCAGGTCAGGCGCTTGGTCTTTCATTGGGCGTCTGACGATGATCCTGACTCTCAACTCCTCTTCCATGATTCTCAAGACATGTTTAATCCCACTGGGTAGATGAGGACAAGGCTGGTCCGAGCTACAGTGACATCACCGTCAACCTCGTCAGACAAGAAAGATAGATATGTGATTACCCCTGGGCGTCCGAAACACAAACACGAATGACATGCCTTTGACGAGCGCTTGCGATCATGGTTGCTCTTATTGCGTGTTCCGTCGCCTCCTCCAAAGCCACGCCGACATGGTTTGCTAGGCAGCTCTTTGTAGCGCTGTGCTCGTTTCGACGCTGGTAGCGGTATGAGCATTCTGATCCAGTCCTAACCGCATGTCTCCTGGTGGCCAAATCAATGCAATGTGTCGACCCAATATCGCTCAAACAAGCTATGCTCACGTTTCGGAATGACTTTCATAGTGCGTTCGACGACTTTGGAGCTGCTTTCGTCTGTCGCAGCTACGAGACTCGTTCAATGACATGCCTTTCAGCGTTCGGCGACGGCAACGTCCAAAAAGCTGAACGCCTGCGACGAACGTCAGGACGACAAACGGCCAACTACACGATTCGTGTCATGCTGACCCCAAACAAGTCTGTCTCACATTTCGAAATGGCTTTTACGCCAACCGACATCGGCGTACGACGGTGCAAGACAGCCGCCTGATCGCGCCGTGGCTACACTGCCTCTATTTATGCTTCCGTTCTAAGCACGCTAGAGGGCGCTAAACGAGCTGCATGAGTGGGGCGAAAGGCTTCCATGCGTGACCGAGCCCGAAATTTAAGACTGCCATTTTCCGAAAGCGGTCGTCGGGAGAAGGAGAAGCAGAGAAAAGCGCGAAATACATACTCTGTAGCTGAGGCCCATGCACCAACGTCCGCGTCGGCACTCCAGCTTTGGCGTTTCTTCGACACACTTGACAGACTCGCACAAACGCTCTCTGTCTCTGGTGCATTCATCCTTGTCGAATCGAGGCTTTGGCTGGGTTCGCTCTCCACCATCACCTTCTTCCAGAGTCGGTCAGGGTGCTCGCCGACATCACTTTCCCACGCTCGTATCCGTTCCTCTGTCACCCTCCGCGAATATCGGATCTCGCTCCGAACGCTGTCGAGCGCGTAGTGCACTCTTCGTATTCCTTCTTCGGAATAGCCATTCAACCGCAAGGTCGCACTTGCTGGTCAAACAACAGCGCTTCGGTTTAGCGGGCGATACTTTGGTCCTTCTTTCTTTCTGAAAAAATAGCAACAATGGCCAGCTCGTCTTCGTACCGTAGGTGGGAGCCGCTTTCCAAACTCCTCTACGGACTAGCAACCCATCCCTTTTCGCCAGAGACGGAAGCGCTCGAATCGTCGACCATTCCGATCGAGTCGCTTCCAGCAGAGATCGTGCAAAACCTACAGGAGAATCTCATTGCACTCGAGCTTGGAGATGAGGTCTACGTCTTCGAGCAGCTCGGCCACACCGATGTCAGTTGGTATCGAGGCTACGTCGTCTCCACAAACCGCCTCGCAACGACCGCCACGAGCGCCAGCAGCCTTAGCGATTACAGCACATTCCATGCACTCGGTCAGCAAAACAACACTTTGGCCACCGAGGAACCGCAGGTATACGTCGGGGTGTTTCCTGCCACACATGTCCACATCCGCGAGCAGCTCGACGATGCAGAGATGCGCCTGTCCTCCGTCTACGAGCATGCCAAGCAACTCGGTGTAGTCGGTGCAACAGCTCCACTACCACGGCAGAAGAGAAACATGGATACCTTGCCCGAACTTGACGAATCCACGTCCCAGCCGTCCAGTCCTCATCAGCGGGATACAGCTCAGCTCGCTTCCATCGAAGCAGTAAGTCAGGAGATTGGAGCCAACGGTCAGCTCGTCGAACGTCCACCGCCCCCGCTTCCAAGCCTCAAATGCGGCGACGAGACATCAGCGGGAGCGCTCGAGCCCTTGGTGGACGAAATCGCATGCGCGCTGCGAGAATGGTCGGCTCTCACGTACACCTACCTGGGACAACGCGACTATGATCTTCTGGCTACCGTCAAGGATCACATCGAGGTCCTCTTCATGGCACGTAAACAGCTCCTCGCACAAACTTTGTCAGCCGAAGAGGTTAGCAAACTTAGGAGGGAATGTGTCGCTCGGCTGGTCAAGGCGAATGTGGCGCAAGGGCTCGACGTGATCGTGCGCCACCCGGGTCGAGGCGGTCTGCTCGACTTTGATCTCAAGAGCAAGGATGCCGACCCTGACAGCTGGGTCAGTGGCGTTCGTCTTTTTGCTCTCCAGACCGCGTTAGCTTACGTAGATCACCAGCTAGATGCTTCGAGCACCGCTGCCCCGGGCGGCATGGATCTGTCCGCATCGAGCGCTTTCGGCATCACTTCTCCGACCACAGCCAGTGCAGGTGTGCTTGCGGGCATCTCCAACAACCCTTCCCGCCATCCAACATCGTCGACGCGGCAGGATGCCGTCTCGATCCCGCAGCGAGATCGACTTGGCTCCGCTGCTTCCTACAACCCTCGCGGGCGCGACGATGGCGCCGTTGCCTCAGCTGGCACGGCCAAATACTTTCACGTCTTGGTGGATCTCCGCGTCTTCGTTGCCACCCCGTGCTCTGCTGGCGAGATGATCGAGCTCTACTTCTCGCTCTACAATCGCGCAGAATCGCGATTCCTCACCGAAGACTTCTGCGTCGTGCTTAATCACCGGGGTGTTCCCGTCCGAGATTCAACCGGAACGCCCGGCAAGATGCACGCCCTCTTCACTGAACTCAGCGCTAGCGATATGCAGGATCTCAACGTAGTGTGCCGCATCGTAAGGAATGGCAGCATGCGCGTCGGTGACATCAGAGCCACGCCCTCGGGAGCAGCGGGACAGGACCAAGTGCACGATCGCCCCGATTCTTTTGCCGATCCATCACTGGCCAACACCCCAGGTTTCCGACCGAAACGGATGGTTGGAGACCATTCGTTCCGCAGACCCTTTGGATGCGCTGTCGTCGAACTCGGCCAGCACCATCATTTCCAGACCGATATGGTTTCCTCCTCCACCATGAGGGAGCACGTCATGCCCATCTTTGTACCGGTGAATGAAGCCGCGTTCAGCACGCTCCATCAGGATATCATTGCATCGAGGACCCGCGAGTTCGAAAAGTCGCCACGCGCCGACATGCTGGCGGTCAATGTCAAGGTGTTCCACGGAGAGACGTCCGCCGTCGTCCGTGAAAATCCTTCGCTGCTTCAGAATGCAGCACCCACCGCTCGTCTCGGCTTCCCTGACGTCGTGTTCCCCGGTGATCAACGTAACGAAGCCTACATCAAGCTCTGGAGCGGCGAATTCTACCCTTCAGGGAGCAAGATGGCAGGCAATTCGCTCAGGAACATTCAGGTCTCGGCCGAGGTGCGTACCCGAGACGGTCGCGTCGTTCAAGACGTCGTGTCTCGTGGTGCGGGCGAGGCGCTGCTCACGCAGTTCGACAGTCTCGTGTTTTACCATCAGAATGCGCCGACTTGGGGCGAGCTCATCAAACTGCAGCTTCCGCACGACATCATGGAGGACTGCCACCTTTTCTTCTCCTTCCGTCATCGTAGCTCCAAGCAGGAACGAAGCTCGGCGACAGCCAGCAACGGCGGCAACGGCAGTCCCGCCCCACCATCGAGCTCGCTGCGACCCTTTGCTTACGGATATCTTCCTTTGTTCGAGTCGAGCCGAGCCTTCATTCCAGATGGAAGTCACACGCTCTTCCTTTGGCGAACGAACCGTCCGCCCGCCCAAGTCGGTCCGGATCTCTACTTCAACCTGCCGCCGGTGACGCCTGCAGGGCGCAATCTCAACGAGGTGGTGCCTGCCAGCCTTGCGTCCACCGTTCAGCCTCTCCGCGACATTCTTACCTTGCGCACCTTCCTCGTCTCGACAAGGTACTCTCAGAACGACGTTCTGCTCAAGCTGCTCAACTGGGAGCGACTCCTTGCCGATGACTTTGAGGAGCTTCGGAGTGTGCTCAACCAGTTCACCTTTGTCGGGGAAGTCGAGATCGTCAAGTTCCTGCGCGACATCTTTGATTCGCTCTTTGGCATCGCTACCAGCAGCCGCAACAGCCGCGGCGAGCTCGACGATCTCGTGTTCAACAGTCTCGTCACTGTGCTCGGTATAGTGCAGGACCGCCGTTTCAACAACTTCCGCGCTACGCTCGATGTCTACATCGAACGCCATTTCAAGTTTACGACTGCGCACAACAAGCTCATCGCCTCCATGTCTAAGCTCATGGCGGATCCATCGCGACCGGAGACGTCCAAGAATCTTCGTGCTGCCATCAAGGTATGGCCGTACCTGTTCAAGTTCGCCATTCAGAGCCGCGAAAACCAGAGAGGCGACCGCGACGTTGGCGGAGGCGCTGTCTTGGATCACGTCGAAGCTGGTTTCAAGCGCGAACTCGAGGGACTGCTTCGCAGCATCAACCAGCTCATGAGCGCCACCAAGCCATCGTCCATCATCGGCACCCAGACGCTGGCCCTTCAGCATTTTGCAGGCATTCTGCCTGACCTCGCTCGCATCTTTACCACCGACGAGCTGGTGCGAACTGCCACCGCTTTTGCAGATAGCGTCTTTATCACCAAGGGCAAGATGGCCATCTGGAAGCTGCTTCACATTCTGCAGCTCGCGCAAGGCCCACTGTTCGAAGTGCAAGAGTCGCGTTCCCAGCTTATCCCAAGCGTGGTCCGTTGGATCCGGCCGCATCTCGGGCAATACGATGAAGGTGCGCATGTGCCAGCCAATGCCCACGAGAACGCTCGCGATGCCGCCAGAGTGTCGTGGCTCGAGGCGGCACGACTCGCCGTCACCATCGTGGCTGTCATCCTGGATCATCTGCAGGTGAGCTTGGCTTCCGCTCCACAGGAGGGCAATGCTGCTCGCGGCAACGGTCACACCAAGGCTCGTCAGGAGCAGGACGACGTCGACTACCTGCTCAGCTTGATGCCCAAGCTCCTTGAGACCTACCGAGAGATGTCCAGCCGGTCCACGATCCGAACGCTTGAGCGACATCGGGCTCCTTCAACTACGCCGTCGCCCGTACCTGTCGTCTTTCCATCCAGCTATCCATTCCCGCTCGTCGCAAAGCGGCCGCAAGGCGATGCTTCCGTAAGCAACGGACCTTCGTCCCGTCGCGACCGCCGGCATGACCGCACCGAGTTCCTTCACTGCGGCCTGATTGAGGTGGCCGCTGTACTGATGGTCCTGCTCGTGCTCAGCCCAAGAAAGCATCTTTCGAGCTTCCTTGAAGAGGAGAGGGACCTCGGTGGCGATGAACGAGCATCCACGGTCCTGCTCGATTTTTTCCACGTCGCCACTTCCATCCTGTCCTATGAGGCTTTCCCAAGCACCTGGCTCAACCTGAACATCTTCAGTCATCAGATGGTCCTCAAGATGGCCGATCCGATCGCATCCATCATGGTCCGTCACTACATTCCCTCTGCCGAACAAAGCGACAAGTTCGACACGACGTTGTGGCGGTCGTGCCTCACCATGGTGTTAACCTTGCTGTCGAGCGACCAGCTCGTCATCGAGCAGTTCAAACCGCAGAGGCGCAGGGCCGTCTGGAGGCTCGCTGGAGATATCCGAGGCGAGGGAGCTCAGATTTTTGCCAAACTCTGGACATCCATCGGATGGCCGGAGAAGGCGGGGGATCAAGTCAGCGACGATGCGGCAAGCCAGCCTGACGAGCGCATGAACACAGGCGGGTTCCAGGTGCAGTTCGTTCCATCGCTTGTCGAGCCCGTCCTCGAGCTGTGTCTGTCGCATCACGACGAGCTGAGAACATGTGCCGTGCGCGTTTTGGCCACCATGATCACCTCCGAATGGCATCTGAACGGCGATTTCAGCGTCATCGAGGCGGAGATCATCGATAAGCTCGACATCCTGTTCATGACGCACACCAAAGGCGACGAGATCTCGCGTGCCTTCTTCATCGGTCAGCTGCGCGCCCTCTTTGACGACCCGAACGTCGATGCTGGTCTGCGCGAGCAGGTCAATGCTTGCTTGGTCTCGGTCAATCGCTTCCTAGATCTGCTGTTGAGCGTGCGGAGCCTGCCTTTGGAAGAGGGCTACGAGGATGACCGCATTGCCGGTACCCTCAAGCTGCTCGGATTCCTGCGACAAGCCAATAGGGTCTCGGCCTTCTCGACGCACGTGCTACGCCTCGTGAATCTGCACCTCGAGAATCTCAACTACGTCGAAGCGGCGCTGACTCTGAAACTGCACGCCGATCTTCACTCGTGGGACATGGATAGCTTCGTCGAGCCGATCCTGGACCTCGGTCTGCCACGCCAGTCCCATTTCGCCCGAAAGGAGACGCTGTACATGCTCATCCTCGACTACCTCGGCAGAGGCCAAGCCTGGGAGATCTCGGTCGACATCTGCCGCGAACTCGCGCAGCAGTACGAGTACCGCTCGGTGAACTACGAGCGCCTGGCCGAGGTGCTGCAGCACCAAGCCACGCTGTACCAGAAGATCGCGAGCGAGGAACGCGTGTTCCCGGCTTACTTCCGCGTCGCCTACTACGGCCAACAGTGGCCACCTGCGCTGCAGGACAAGATGTTTGTCTACCGTGGTAACGACTGGGAGAAGTTCGCCGCGTTTTGCGATCGCCTGCACGCGAAACATCCCAACGCCACCCTCATCATGAGCGCAGCGGTGCCCGATGAGGACGTACGCTTCTCCGATGGCCAATTCGTGCAGGTCACAGCCGTCCAGCCGGAGCCGGACCGTTCCAAGGACATTTTTACCAACGCCGAGGTGCCCCCTGCGGTGCGCGCCTATTACGAGAACAGCGGCACCGACCTCTTCTCGTTTGCGAGGCCGCTCAGCAAGGCTGGCGTGTCGCCTTCAGAACAGTGGACGGAGAAGACGTATCTGCGCTGCGAGGATGCGTTCCCCACGGTGCTGCGACGCAGCGAGGTGGCTGAGGTGTACGTGGTCGAGATCAGTCCGCTGGAAAAGGCGGTGGAAGAGGTGAAGGCTAAGACCGCCGAGCTCGTGACGTTGGAGAATAAGTACACGTCGATTCGCAAGGTGTCGACGGGCAAGATCAACACGAATCGGTTGTCGATGGCGCTCAACAGTGCCGTGGATGCGCCAGCCGATAGCGGTGTGCCGATGTACAAGCGCACCTTCTTCGCTCCCGAGTACTTGTCTACGCACGAGGATCAGCGAGAGGCTGTCGATGGTTTAAGGCAGGCCGTCGAAGTCGAAGCAGCGGTGCTGTTCCGCTGCATCCGTCTGCATGCCCAGCTGTGCCCGCCCGAGATGAAGCCGTTCCACGAGATGCTGGAACGCTTCTTCCTACAGAACTTTAGCGAAGAGATCCAGCGTCTGGAACTCGATGTGCGACAGCTCGGCGGGCCAGCCTCCACGTCGTCGGACCGCACCAGGGCCGTGAGTAGCAGCACGGAAGAGGATTCGAGGGGATTGCCGGAGCGAACGATGAGCAAAGGATTCACCACAGGCATGGGAGCGATGGATGGCTCTGCCAACGGCGCAGGTTTCTCGGCAGCCGAGGAAGGCAGACAGGATCTGCAGACGAACGCACAGACTGGACGTCGAGGCATCGCGACACCCTCTCCGCTGCAGCGCCACATCGCCTCCCTGACGAGGCAGGTGGACTCGCCGGCGGCGACCAGAGAGGAAGCGACCGCGGCAGCGGCGGTCCCCGGCGCTGCCTTGAGTCGATCCGCACTCAACACCTCGCTGACCGTGGGCGGTGGCAGCTCGTACGCTGATCGATCTGTGTCGACGCACGCGAGCAACGTCCTGCCTTCCATCACGGAAGATTCGCTCGGTGGTGTCGCTGACATGCCGGCAGCTGCCCCAGCCATCCCGAGTGACGCACGAGCCTACGGCGGCATTAGCAGCGGCGGTGCGGCCGGGGCGGACAACTCGATTTACAGCAGCACCAGCAAGCAGTCCATCTCTCGGCACGACTCGAACTACTCGATTGCGACCATGGGATCAGTCAAGGGATTGAGCACCTCGGGATCCAAACAATCTTTGAGCTCTGGACCTGGGAACCGCTTGAGCAAGCTCATGGGTGGCGTCGGCCGAAGAAAAGCCTCTAATTCATAAAGGGGTCTTGGCTCTTCAATCAAGAATATTTGCAGCATCGCTTTCATTCATTGTCGTGCTTGTGCTAATCATGATCTGCGCATAGAGGTTGTCGATTTCACGTCGATGTCGTGGAATGTGTTGAGCTGCTTTGAGACGCAAGTGCGTGGCGCGGACATGAACAAGCGGGATCCGACCATGGCTGGCAGGCCTGAGGGAACGCAATCGGATCTTGGCGAGCGTGCGAGAACTCGAATTCCGTCGGCCCTTTTTTCAGCCAAGTTACATCGCGAGCTCGAGCGTGCAAGCAGCTGCATCGTAGAGAGCTCGTGTATCTCCGTGGCAAGTTTGCACCTTGCCTTGGCCGCGGAAGTGGCCACGAAAAAAGCTGCTCACAGCCTAGATCCTGCCTGTCCGCGAAAGGGAGATGCGTGAAAGTCTCATCGACTCGCTTATTCTGCCAAATTAGTCAGTAGCCTTTACCATTTGGCTTTCGGACAAGTGCAGAGTCACACGCGCATGGCTGCGCCATACCCTCTTGTCCATAGATCCGAAATGGAAGGTCTCCCCGCATCGCCCTCTGGCAGGTTGGGTCAGTGCACGTTTAGTGCTCTTTGCGCAAGACCAACGCGGAATGAGCCAACAGCCACATACGATGTCTCAACGCCACTTGTTGGTGGTGCTCGGCCCGGACGTTGAGAATGACACCATTCCAATGGAAGTCTAGCGAGGGACAATGCCACGAGCGGAAGGAAGATTGAGGAGAAGCGCGGCAATCACTCGATTGCGGGCAAAGCCGAGACAAGTTGAAGAAGAACGACAAGTTGCAGATGCGTCGGATTGAGCGGTGCGTGCGTGCGTGCGTGCGTGCGTGCGTGCGTGCATTGGACCCTTTTTCTTGGTGCAGCCTGTGCATGGCGCAGCCTAGATGTTGGAATGTCAAAAGCAAATAATGAACTTTAAAGGGCACGCGACCTTTTCTAACAAACCTTGTTCTCGCCAATTTGCGTTTTTGAGTCCAATCGGTCCCAGACTTACGCTCCAATCTTTTTGATCTCTCTCTCTCTCTCTCTCTCTCTCTCTCTTTTTCTTGCGGGTGTTGTGCTCCGCTTCGATTAAAACTCCTTTCCAGAAGAAAGTGTTGAGAAGCGACAAGGGAACAACGAAGTTGGGATGCACCGACCAGCAAAACGTTCGCTCACGCGATCCGTGTTTCGTCTGCAATTTGTCCTCGCTCTGACTGATGGTTCGTCTATCGTTCTCTGCATGCCGTAGCTGCATAACTTACCATTTGCAAGTCAAGGTTCTGTTTGGTGATGCAGGCACCGTGGATCAGTCGCAAGCAGCTGCAAAGCGGCTCAATGAGGCTTGCGGGCTGCAGCACGACGCTGCATCGAGACGACTGCGTGCGTCAAGTTGCCGTGATAGATTAAAATGGACGCTTCTGTCGGGCTGCAGAAGCGAGATTACATGGCAGTTCTTATACCCCGACCCACAATGCTACCGATCCATGACTTTTTCGTTCTTGAGCATGCAGTATTGACAAGCTTCGCTCTGAAGCTCTTGTGGCCCTTGAAGATTGCGACAGGAGAAGCAGGTAGCTACCTGAAACGAAGCTGACGACGGGAACCAGCACGGTCAAACGGTCAAATCGAACGCAGCTTTCCAGAGCGGCTCTTGTACCTCCAAATTTGGAAGAACAAAAGCCGCTCAATGCATCTGCGGATCGCGAAAAAAAGGGTCGAATTTGACGCTTCATTATGCAGGAGCATGCTCAGACTCATCTCGTCTCGTCTCGTCTGCTGATTGGTGAAGAGAGAGATCGCAGGCAGCAAGCGTCAGTCCAACATTGTCCGCTTCCCGCTCGTGGTCGCCGTTCAAATTGACGTTGCTGGTGAGACCTTCTTTGATTATGGTCGACGAGTTATGCTAGGCGGTATCTGGAAACCAACGTCTTCTCTGACATTGTTCCTGAGTCGCCGTCTGTTTCTCTTGAGCCAGTGGACCGCAATGACCGATGGGTTTCTCACGCTCCGAGATCTCGGACTCGGTCGTCGAATCGGCTGTCCTCTGGACACGCTGCACCGCCGTCAGTGACCTGTAGTCTCCGTCATGGTGGCGCTTGCGATTGATCTAGCTTCGTGGCGTTCGCGGCCTTGGGACACTTGTACCCAACGAAATAGCGTCGCTTCTCGCGGAAGTGAGCGGAGTCTGCATCTCGCCGCCTCGCTTCGTCGACCTTGATTCACCCCAGAGACTTCCGAAGAGAACGAAGCGATCCTTCGCAGGTCTCTTGCCAGATGCAGCGGGACAGCGATCTCAAATAGCCAGGTTGCACCCACGAGGTCTCTTATTGAAACCCCCTTGCCCTCAAGCTCCGTCGGATTTTACTCCGACAGCAGAATTGCTCGTCGGATTTGCCGAAACCCATGCATACCTGTCTGACGTTGCGATACTGCGTCGGGTCTTGTTGCTCTGCCCTGCCTCGCCTGTTATCTTGGCCTGCTGTCGGCATGAGCGTTGGCTCTTCCGTCCCTTGAGAGACTATCGGACCGAGGACGTAGGTAGGGAAGATGAGCTGCACAAATGTGAACGCGGCAATAGCGCCTGGTAGCGTGGTCGAGCGGGCTTGATTGATGCTCGCCTGACTGGTGCTAGGCAATTTGGGCCGAAAAGGCTGCTGCACCCCTTGGAATTCAAGTCTCACTTTTGCGATCTTCTCGGCTCGGCTCTGCTTGTCTCGCTAGGCCCTTCTCTCCGTAATGCCCTGCCTTCGCATTCATCCTTCTCTGTTGCCCTTGGCCGTCTTCACTCCACGCCGACCTAGTCGTGCTGCACGTCGTTGTCAAGAGGAAGCGGCAGCTGCCCGGCAGCACTCTCTCTCACCCCCCTGTCGCTCCAGGAGCCCTCCTCAACCCGCTCGATCAAACAGGTCACGATTACACGATCTTCCTCTCCGCGCCTCCTCGTTGCCCCTCCAGCTCGCCCTTGTCGTCATCCGGGCTTCCTTGCTGGTCGTCACGCTTTCGACGTCGTCGCCCTCATCGATCCGTACCGCTGACTTTCCCTGGCTCTACGGGACCAGCAGTGCGGGCGACGTGATCTCTTTGCCTCTCCCAGCCTTACTGCTCGCCTCGACGGTCTCCTTTCAGACTGCGTGGCAACCATCACGTGCGTGGCAGGCGCTATCTCTTTGCAATCTGGACTACCTCTTGCCATCAACATCCATGCTGTAGCTCGTCTCATCCAAGCGCTGCCAAATTCTTCAAAGCCTGCCTGTCGGTACGAGCAGGCGCCACGGCGGCGTACCACAACAATACCTACGCAACATGCCTCGCTCTCGAACCCCTAAGGCGACCGATGGGTCGAGAAATGCCAGCGCCGACGAAAGCGATGCGCCTCTAGATCCAACAGCTCCCCTTCAGACCAGGCGCACACGCAAGCGCCCTGCTCAATCCACTCGCGACAGCTCAGCAGATCGTCCCGTGCCTCAAACCGCCTCTCGATCCCGGTCTGAAGCTGCCGACGGACCGAGCAACACAGCCAACGCCGGTGCCGCAGAGTCCCTCTCCCATGCAGACCGACAGCGTCATGGCGAACGACGCGCAGCTGCTGAATCTCCCCTCTCAGGACCGTCGACATTCGAGACGCCGAATCAGGCGCGCGACCGACTTGCCATGATGCAGTCGGAATTACCTCGCAGCGACAATCTCGCTCGCTCCCCCTCTCTTCATCGTTCCGTACGTAGCACGCGCTCTAGCATCGAGCCTCGCCCTCTCACAGACCAGCGAGAACGGGATGCAGGCTGGCGATCTTCGACCATGGAGCAAGGTCTCTCCAGTCAATCTTTTTCGTCTCGCTTTATTGAACAGCCGATGCCGGCAGATGCGATGGATGGACAAGACGCCCTCATGATGTCAGTGCGCGACTTATCTCAACAGAGTGACAGCAACTCGCTTCAGCCGCTCACGATCCGCACGCAAAACATGACTGTCCAGCCTCAGTCCACGTCTCCGTTCACCTCGGCGACGCCCATGGCGAGGTCCCACAGCAACATGTCCCCTCCTCGACCGACACGCTCCCTGCCTCGCCGTCGAGCTTCGGCCCGCACACAAACCCGACCGCAGCACTCTGGCTCCAACAACGCCTCTCCCTCCTACCCACTTCGATCGCGCTCGACTTCCAGCTCCAACATTCTTGCACCCAGCAATTCCACGGCCAACATCCTCGCGTCCGGCCATAGTCGTCACAATTCCGCAACCGGCTGTCTTCCACTCGGCGGAGGCTTCGACCCCTCCCACCTCCCACCGTCTGGATCGTTGACGCCGCGAACGCCTCTGGCCGAGATTCCGCTCTGGTTGGCGGATATGCGCAGCGACAGTCGCAGGAGCAGCACAAGCTCGTCCAGCTTCTTGGATCGAGAAGATCCGTCAAGCGCGTCCTTAGCTTTGCCCACACGACATGCCAGGACGATGTCCACGTCGTCCTCGTCAGGACCGTCGAGCCCGGGCGCCACACGCAACGGTCCTACGTCGCCCGCCGTGGCCTTCCGCCGCTCGTTGCGCGGAAGCAGACCACGTCCGAGCGACGAGAATGCCCGAGTCAGTCCCTCGCCCTCGTACTTTGGCGAGTACGATGCACTCCCATCGCCTTCCCCTTCTTCCTTCCGAGGCGATTTGACACCTTTCGACGAGTCGTTCGATGCCAACACTATCCTACCGTCGGGCGTGCTCCACATGGGCACTGCATCTCCTCCGACACCCTTGGTGCAGGTGCAGCAGACCCCGAGCCCGGCCATGTCGACGCGCAGCCGGACGCTCAACGGTGCAGGCTCTGTACGTGGCAGGAGGCTCACCAACCCGCTCAACACGCCGGCCTCGGTCGAGCCACTTGGCGTGCCGTATGGCACTGTGAGAGCGCAGCAGCAGGATCCTCCGTCCGCGTTTCACCAAGCAAGGTCCAACGCGCAGGAACGGAGGACGCGCAACAGCGATGTGCAGAGGGCCGGCACGTTGCACGAACGTCGAGCTGCTGCTGCTGCTTCCCAGAGTGCTGCCGCACGTGGCAGCAGCCGTCCGAGCTCGAGGACGTCGTCGCCTGCGCATGGAACGCGGTCTTCTCGACGACGCAGCATCGCAGCAGACGCTCAGGCGAGCCCGGCACTGGACAACAGCGCGTTGGGCCCTCGACCGGGTCGATTGCCGCCTCTGCAGATCCCCAGCGTTCGTGTAGCTCGTGAGGCTGGTTCGACAATGCCCGACGCATCATCACTGGTGGCCACGATTCCCGAGCAAGTTTCGGAAGGAGAGCGGTGGGTTCACGGTTCACAGGCGGCGCAACTGGAACCTGGCTCTCCCTCAGCATTCTCCGAGATGACCAGCTTGACGCAAGGTTCGACCGCATCGGAAAGCATCAACAGCGCCAACGGCATGCCCGTCACCCCCTCGTCGACCCAATCGATGCTGGACCCCTTTGCGCAATCGGCTATGCACGACGCCGGAATTGTCGAGGCTGGCATCTCCGTCGCTGGCAGTCGAGCGCAAGGAAAACCGGCTCAAGCATCTCGTGATGCAGATTCGGTGGAAGAGGCTGCCGGCATCCAACTTCGTCCTCGTTCGTGATCAATGTTCCCTTCCTACAAAAGCATCGACTGCAAGCAGACCGTTCGCATGCAGCAAAAGAGCAGATTATGGCCTGAGACTGTTGTCTCTCTCATTCTCTGCCCCGCTCGACGCAGAACCGACCCTACCGCATCCTTCGCTGTGCATCATCTCGTCTCTTAATTCTCACATCTTCGCGTTCCCATGTCGCGCACCATCCCGTTCGCACCTCGCAACCTGCACTGTATTCTTGTATTTGTACTTCTACAACTCAATGGGTTGATTCTTTCAGTCATCAGCGCTGCGTATGCACGTTCCATTGCTATCGAGGTGGGGCACTCCCTTCTTATCGTTGATCGCCGATCATCTGCGGCTTGTCAACCGCCAAAACGCGACTATGTACATTTCACATGCGTCGCAGGAGAAAACCGTATCGAAAAAAAAAATTCTCCCAACGTGGGGCTCGAACCCACGACATTCAGATAAACTCCGAGAACATGCTCGGAAACCCTTGTATAATGTAAGAGTCTGACGCTCTACCGACTGAGCTAGCCGGGATAGAAGATGTTAATGTCCATGGAGTCTACTGCGTTTATGTACTATGTTGATCAGTTGGCAACCGATCAGACACTCGCGATCACGCTCACGGTTTGGAAGATGGAAAAACGTGCTAAATCAACGGTTGCTTTTAGCGCCATCTGGAACAGGATCTGCGGCTGCAGAAGCCGATACGACGAGATATTGCGATAATTTCTGTGGACGCGATCCTACAAGGCGCAAGAGTAAAAAGTTCGGTTGGCTTGACCGCTTGTCGGCGCTCAGTCGCGCTGTGCAGCGAGAAGAATAATCGGATCGATGCTTCGTCGCCGGTGTGGTGTCTTTGCTGAAACCTCGTCCGTCGGCCAGCAATTTCAAAGCTACAGTTACTCTCTCAATTTTTCTTCCCTCTCATCTCGTCGCATCGATCTACGACCCATCTTAGACTCTTTCCACCGGCGTCCATCTTATCTTGCCCGGCTCATCCTCCGTCACCCGTGTCCGCCCGCCGACGAGCTCCTAGTGCACGTCGCAGCGAGATCAACGACGGCGAATCGACCTCTCACAAGCAACGACCCTTGGACGACCCGATCCGTGTCTTCCTAGTCTCTGGCACGTTCCTAGTTCCGCAACGTCACACGATACATCTGCTTGGCCACGTTGCTCCAGCCGTCCACGGCTACGACCGATTCGCATCGCATAGCATCGAATTGCTCAAGCGTGTCCCTAATCAAAGCTTTGTTCGCCTCAGCTTTCACCCAGTGACCGCCTACGCACCTTCACTGAGCCGCATTCAGCTCATCTCGACCCAGCTTCGCAAGTCAGAGGCTTCCTTTTCGCTCCTTACGCTCTGTCCCACCTTCGCTCCTGCAGCTCATCGTTGCACTTTCTCTTTGACAGAGGCGAACGGTGCACTATTCTGCCACAAGCCAGCACCATCACATCATAGCAACCATGTCAGGTGGTCGCAGCTGCGCGAGGGTGTACCCTGGTGCCAACGAAAAGTTCGGACGACCGTGGTGGGACTACGACAACCTTGCAGTCCAGTGGGGAACGCAGGACAACTACGAGATTCTTCGAAAAGTAGGAAGAGGCAAGTACTCAGAGGTGTTTGAAGGCGTCAACATCGCTTCGGCGTCAGGCGTGCCGGAGAAGTGCATCATCAAGGTGCTCAAGCCCGTCAAGAAGAAGAAGATCAAGCGAGAGATCAAGATCCTTCAAAACTTGGCGGGAGGCCCCAACGTTGTCGGGCTGTTGGACGTGGTACGCGATCCGCAATCCAAGACACCTTCCATTATCACCGAGTACATCAACAACACCGACTTCAAGATCCTCTATCCAAAATTCACCGACTTTGACGTGCGTTTCTACATCTTTGAGCTGCTCAAGGCGCTCGACTTTTGCCATTCGCGCGGTATCATGCACCGCGACGTCAAGCCGCACAACGTCATGATCGACCACGAGAAGCGCAAGTTGCGATTGATCGATTGGGGTCTCGCCGAGTTCTACCACCCGTACACCGAGTACAACGTCCGCGTAGCGTCACGATACTTCAAGGGCCCCGAGCTGCTGGTCGACTTCCAGGAGTACGACTACTCGCTCGACATGTGGAGTTTGGGATGCATGTTTGCCAGCATGATCTTCCGCAAGGAGCCCTTCTTCCATGGACACGACAACTACGACCAGCTAGTCAAGATTTGCAAGGTGCTCGGAACGGACGAGCTGTATGCCTACCTGGAGAAGTACGACATTGACCTCGACCCACAGTACGACGACATTCTGGGACGATACCAGCGCAAGCCATGGAGCCGGTTCATCACGTCGGAGAACCAACGATACATTTCGAACGATGCGATCGACTTTTTGGACAAGTTGCTGCGCTACGATCACCAGGAACGTCTCACGGCCAAGGAGGCGCAGGACCACCCGTACTTTGAGCCTGTCAAGGCCGCTGCTGCGCGTGGTGAGGTGGTTGCTAGTTGATCTGCACGTGTCGCGAGGCAGAGTCAGCAGCTTTGCTCATGTGCGCGGTCAGTCTTTGGTCCAGCATGACTGCGCGTCGCTAGTCACCCATCTCGCAGTATATACGTACGATCTTGTTTCATGGTCATGGTCTGATGCACTCACACTCACTCGTTTCAAGCCAATTGCATTGTGGTCTGCTCGATTCAAGAGTGAATGTGAAAGAAACGACTTGTGCCAGTCTGCGAGCACGCACCGTGAGATGAACTGTAGATTGTGAGCAGCACCTGAAGTCGACCGTGGACACGGGACTGTTGCTGTCAGGCTTAGATGCGAAGGACGACTCCTCGGAGTTGCTTCCATTGTTGGTACGCCGAGGGTTAACGTCCGAAGGTCGTTGCATCTGGCAACCACTTGACGAGCTCGACTCCTGTCGTCGAGCTATCGAGGCGACACACAGACTTCTCGAGGATCGAAACTTGTTAGGTTGTGCTGGCGTCGCGTGTGTGGGTTGTCAGCTTTCTGTGATGCGGAAATTGGGAGACAAGCAAACGTGCATGAGCGAGCGCCTGGATCTTCGTTCTACATGGCATGACAGCTCTCGGGCCGCGCGCCGTCTCGAAATTTTCGGAGCTAGCAGAGAGTGAGTAGACGCCAGAGGTTTGGATCGCGCTTCTACGACTCTGCACACTGCCGACGTGCCGTAGCGGGTTGAAACCCTGAAAATCATGACGTTAATCTGCAAGTGTCATGTTTTTTTCCAAGACGTGGTGCGGTCCACACATGCACATCCTATATCAACGCTAGTAGGTCACCCTTGACCGTCACTGCTCTGACAACCACCAACTCGCCACTCAGCATGTCGGCGAAATCCATACCAGCGCAGCAGCCACTCGAAGGCAGCAAGATGAAGGAGACGGCGGCTGCAGCTCCAGCCATTCCATCGCTTCAATCCGCCGCGTCGAGCTCCCACGACATCCCTACGTATCCAACTTCCGACATTGCCCAGCCATCGGCGAGCACGGGCATCCTGAATCGTTCGACCGGCGCCATGTCCAATGCCAACACCGCTGCTCCTGTGTCCGCAGCAGTGGCGACGACGACGCCGACAGCAGCTCGATCAAGAGTATCGCTCTCGTATGCTGCTGCCGAAAGACCTCATCGCGATCGAAGCGGCAAAGCATCCGGCACCGCAGATGCTCACGATCAAGACCTCGAGGATCCAACACGCTCTTCACGCTCCAGATCCGCAGCGAGATCGCATCGTCGATCACAGTCGGGGAAACGGAGCTTCAGCCGGTCCCGGACCAGCTTTGATGCTGCAGCCACTCGCACAAGCGGAGCCATCCGTCGATCTCTTTCCATCGGTAGACCGTCACAGTCCGGACCCATCGACCCTATGCAAGAACCACGTAGATCGATTAGCAAGCGTCCCGATGAGCTGCACCTGGGCGAGCGCGATCCACACAAGGTCAAAGAGCCCAAAGGTGAACGCTACCGACGCGCCATCCCCTTTGCCGCCCCTTACGCGCGGTCCGGCATCGTCATTGACCAACCTGCATCATTGCGCGACTGGATCGTTCCTGGACCGTTGACGTTCGGCCACGGTCAGTGGTGGTACTTGGTATGTGGACAGAGTATCGTAGCAGCCATCATTTCGGGCGCCATCAACTTTGCAGTAGCTGTGGCGTTGTATCGCTCGCAGCCGACGATCAACATTTGGACCTTCGACCGACAGACAGTGGCGGGTGATATGGGTGTCACGGTGATTATTCAACAGATCGTCTCGTTCATCATCACGTCTTCGCTCGTGCATCACGATCTGTACGCTGGACCTATCGGACCGCTACGACGTCCCTGGCCACCTCTTCTGCATCTTCCTTCAACGCCGAAACCGGAGGGACACTGGCTCGGAACACGCATGCCAGAGGACGTCGACCGTGAAGGACAGAGCTGTCGAATGGGTCAGTCCGCGTCCAAATCCAGAGTCAACGGGTGGTGGTGGTGGTTCGTGCGAGCCGTGCTCACCGGTTCGGAGCGGAACGATCTGCTGGCTGCGGGCATCTCGTGGCGACAACGACTGGAGCGACTCATCTGGACAGCGGCACAAGGGTTCTTCCTCTGCTGCCTCACCTTCTGGTGGTACTGGCCACTGGCCATCGCCATCGTAGCACCGATCTACGAGGATCGAGAACTGGCACACACGTGGATCCCCATGATCATCAAATTGCTCTTCGGCGCGATCCTATCGCTGCTCACAAATCCGATCATGGCGTTGATGGCGATGGGTGCAGAGTCGTCTGTCAGGAGGTGCTATCCTGAGCTGGAGATTTGGCAGCCATTCGGTGGCAAGGAGGACTTTGAACAGTGGAAAGTAGAGCATGGCGTGACGGATGTGGAGGCGGGAGAGGTTGGGGTGGGAGATGCTCAGGAGACAGCGGTCAATAGTCGAACAGGGTCGGACGATGCAGTGCCGACGCAGGGTGAGAAGCCTGGCGAGTATCAGTCGGCGAATTTGCTCGACAGGAGCATCACGGAGGAGCCGAATTCTGCAGCGACGAAGGAAGCGCATTAGGTTGAACAGCAGTAGCCTGTCAACCTTGTTGGGGCTCAATGCGTCGGGCGATGCTGCCCGCATCCTGATTAGATACCATATGGTCACATTGACGTTGTCTCCGAAGAGAGACACCTTTGGCTGTTGTTGCGTTTTGCATACCATGTCCCTTTGCAAAGCAACCATTGTATCTCACCAGCTTCATCGTTGTCTGAAAGGTCTGCTCGGGGGGCTGCCGTGTTCGGGTAACCCGGGCTGGTCTCTAAGAACGGGGATGGTGCACAGACCGGGTTGGTCGGAAAGGAACACGAACTCGGATAAATTCCTGGACGAGTATCATCCTCATGTCTGGAAGGTGAAAACGAGAGGGATGCATCAGTCATCGCATACCGTATCCTCCTCCTCGCGGAACCCGCGCTGAGCAAAGTCCAAGGACGAGAATCGTTGGGGACACTGAGTATGTAAGCGAATTTTGTGGGATTCGGTGATCTGAAGCAACTTTGCGGTACGACCTGCAGATGCCGCATTTGCAGCGGTTCATAGAAGCACAGGCACAAGAGCACGAGGAGCCTAATTTGTCATTCGCGTTTTTGTTTATTTCTTCATCGTCATGAGCTAGGCGAGCACACGGCGCGGCTTTTGAACGTAAGGCAAAAATAGAGCTCGTTTTTAAAGTTTTACTCCTCGCCGGCCTTTGTGTTTGCTCGCCCACTTTTTTTTCAAAGACGCCGAGCAAACCGTCCTGCAGGTGGAGCGACGACTGGCTCGTCCGCGTTCGGATGCGTCCACGAATGAAGGGTAAGCAGGCTCGACCAGAGGATGCTCTCGACTCCAAACAAAGTCCTGCTCCGAGCCTTTGCAGGGCTGGGCGCGCTTTGTCCCTTCTGTTCGCTCCATTGTTGCTACAGACCAAACCTCGCTTCTTTCTGTTTGAACGTGTTGCCTGATCAAAGCGTCGAGGGCCAGCGGTACATCCAGTCGCACTCAGTGAGGCAATCCTGCTCGCTAGCCGATATGTGACGTATGCACAAGACTTTCCTCAGGAACCTTATTGAATCCGTGCATGGACACCAACTTTTCTCGGCTTGACGACCGCCGCTCTCTCCCCTCCCTTGGCGACTGCCTCGCATCGTTCGCTCGCGTGTGAACCGCTATCCGTCATTGTGCTGCTCGCTCTCCCCGACCTCGGCAACCCAAAGCTCATCTCCGACCGAAACAGCTCTTTTAGTGGTACAACTTGCAGCTCTGTGCAAACCACCGCATTCCATCCGCTTCCTCTCGCTCATCGAGTCAGACCCTCTCCCTCATCCCTTGACCCTCTGCGCTATTTTCTCCGAGCATCAGGAAGCCCTCGTTGCGAGACAAGATGCGCCTCAACTTGCATGCTCGGCTGCCGTCTCTTTCTGGCTGACCCTTTCCTTGCCTACATTCGCTCCAAGAGTCAATAGACATCGCATCCCGGCAAACCAAAGTGGTCGCCTTCCCACGAGAAACCTTTCTCCGAACCCGAAGAGCGAGTGCAAGCGTCAGCCGAGATGTCAGCATTTTGGCGAAGCCGACATCTTACAACTGCAGTACAGTGATGCACAGGCCAGCCCCTGGTAGTCATTCTCACAAGCGCATGGTCCGTCCATACCGTACACACTCATCCCTGATTAGTTCGAGGTGAGACAAGTCAAAGAGATACAGAGCACGCTCGGTCATCTCGCTTATCGAAAAGCCAGTCGACTCCCCCGTGACGGTTGTAGCGTACTCTGTTGTGCGTCCCTTGGCTAGCCTGCGCACGTCGTTTCAGAACCGCCGATGGGTCAACGGTTCATGCTGAGAGAGCATCCGAATTCTCGCTCGATTCCTACCTAAACGTGCACCCGCATCCATTATGCACATCTTGACTGTCCGACCGCAGCTGCGTGCATGAGGATTCTTCCTGAGTGGATGGCTCCTCCCCCTCCCCTACTGTTTGCTGGTCTTTGCCGCGAAGGCCAGCCCCCTTTCTTTCTTTCCTCCATGTACGCTTTCGTCCGATCTTACCCACCACCCCGTCCCTTTTTGCGTATCGCTACGCCCTCTTTCATGTTTGAAGGAGGGCTTAGTCTGCCTGTAGACACATCGCCAAACCCAGATCGACATCCAGCCGGAGCGTCCACAGCATAAGTTAACAGCCAAGTCGGTCTCATTCCCTTTCTTCCAGTGCAACACTTTCGTCAACATAGACTCTGCGATCGGCGACTTGAGTCTGGCAATCCATCCTTCTAGATAAAGACTCAATATATAATTCTTCTCCGACCAACCTCGCCTCAGAAGCGGAATTGAAGACTTTGACCACATTCTTAGATTGTAGCAAGACACGAGGATGCTACAGTATCAAACAGGTAAGTCCATACGTGCGCCCTTCTGGCAGCTGGCCGTTGATGGCGTTCAGAAATCGACTCGTCTTGCGCTCCAGAGCGGATCTCCCGACTCCATCCTCCGCTGTCGTCATTCGTGCTGGTTTCAACTGGGCGTCGTCTGTGACCTATGAACATCGCGCTTCACACTGTGCCCCGTCACACTGTTGTACAATCACATATGACGACGTATCATGTTCGGTCGCCTCGACCTAATGAAAGATCACATTTCATATCCTCGATGTATCAGCGCAGTACAGCACGTTCACTACTATGCTTCACCACCACGTACATCCGCAGCTCGTCCGCTCTTTACTCTCTTTTTGGACGATCACTGACCGCGGAATGCTTGACACCATACCTGCTCTCCAACCCACCGATCTTGTCAGCAGAGCCAATCACTTAATCCAGAGACGCAATCATGACGATGCCAATCCCGCCCAGCTTGACCAGGACCAGCTCGGGACCCTCGTCTCGCCGCGTCAACATGGCTATGCCCGTCCGGCCGCTCGTCCACGTCGCCAGCCTTCCTGCCACCACAGCGGAACGCGACCTTCGCGACATGTTCGGCTCGCTCGGGCAGATCCAATCCGCCAGAGTGGTCACAAGCCGCTCTGCCGGCGGACTTGCGTACGGCTTCGTCGAGTACGTCGACGTCGCATCAGCGGAGCGTGCGATTCGCACCATGGATGGCTGGCTCTGGTTTGGGACACCGATCAAAGTGCGTTGGGCCAAACACAGCCTGCATCCAGACGCTGCAGCCGAACCGATGGAGGCAGAGCGTCCTGTTACCATGCGTAGCGGCAATGCCGGCTTCTGCCATCTCTTCGTGGGTGATCTGGCGCCCGAGGTGGACGATAGTTCGTTCCGCGCCTTTTTCGAAAAGTATGCCTCCTTAACCGACGTGCGGGTCATGTATGATCCAGAGACGGGCAAGTCTCGTGGATTCGGCTTCATCACTTTGCGCAGCAAGCAAGAGGCGGACGACTGCATTGCTACGATGCAGGGGCAATTGCTTTCCGGTCGACAGATTCGTGTCAACTGGGCCAACCAGAAGAACCAGCAGGGTCAAGCACCGACGACACAATCATCGAGCCCTTCATCGCCGTATTTCGCAGATCCGACGCTGTCTCGACAACAATTGGGCAGCTTGTCGACCCGGTCAGCGACGACGCCGTCCGTACGAGCGGCAGACGCCTCGACCCGAATCACCCTCCTCCCACGCCGTCACACCACCCTCGCCTCGCAACCACAAGTATCCGTCATCACCACCAATCCAGCCAACGTTCTGAAATACGACTACAACGCAGTGCTCTCCGAAGCCCCCTCCTCGCAAACCAGCGTCTACGTCGGCAACATCTCCCCGCTCACCTCGCAGCCAGACCTCATCCGTATCTTCGCCCCCTTCAACCACGGTCAACCGCTCGAAGCGCGCATCCCCCCCGGTCGCGGCTACGGCTTCGTCACGCTCGCCAGCCACGAACAGGCCGCCAGCGCCATCTGCACCCTCAGCATCCAAGGCGTCTTCATGCACAGCAGATGGCTCCGCTTCGGCTGGCAAAAGGATCGTCACCATGCGATCCCCAAACTTCAACATCGCTCCGAAAGCGCCCCCGAACACATGCTCTACACCTTGCAAAAACAGAAACATCCACCGCAGCCTAGACCCGCCCCCCAACCTCAACAGCAAAGACCTCCCCCACCTTCCTCTTCTTCCTCATCAAACGAATTTCAACCGTTCTAGGTCCCATCGCTTTCACCCAGAATACAGTTCTCACTCTTGCATCAACCACTCAATCACACATTCACACCTGCCAAATCGTGTGCGAACAACAAATCATTTTCCTTTAGTACAACCACCTCTGACTGTGCCATGATCTCTCTCTCACTCGTCATCATCCGACTCGGTCTTCTTTTTCACCACCTTGCTCCTCTTTCCCAACTTGATCTTGATACCTCTCGGCGCAGCCACAGGCTTCTCCTCTTCCTCTTCCTCCTCTTCGCCTTCCTCCTCGTCCTCAGCCTGCGTGTCGTTCACCGAGGTGTCCCCAGCCTGCGTCTCACCCTCATTCTCCGAGCCTGGCAACCCGCTGAACCTACACAACATATCGTACGTCGTGTCGAACGCCTTCTGCAGCTCCACCGCATCGTTGTAGACCCAGGAGCCCTCCTGGTTGTACGTCTTGGCGTTACGAACCATGAGATGGAATTCATCGCGACACGTATCGACGCGTCGGAACGTTCGGTTGTCGATGCGACGTTTGATCTGACGCATCGCGATCGGCTTTTCGATGATGACGTGGTAGTCCGGATAGTCCGACTTCTTGGGCACGTCCAAGAATAGCAGACATCGCTTACGACCAGTCTCGGGCTCCAGGCACGATTCAACAGCACGGTAGCACTGATTGAGCGCATACTTGATGCGGTCGCGCACATCGTCTTCGCCACCGGTCTTGCGACGCTTGGGCTGCCCGATGCGCGCAGCCGACGGACTTTCCTCGTAGTCGGGCGAAGCGTCCATGGAGGCGCCGCCGAGACGCTTCCGCTTGCGGCCCGAGGGTCCAGGGGACGGCTCTGGCGTCTCGCTCGCGCCTCCAAGACCGCGTCCTCGACCGGCAGCACCCTTTTTGCGCCTGCCGCCCTCGACTTCGGGGGTGCCTTCCATCGAGTCCGCAGACTGCATCAAGGCTTTGGCTCGTCGCTTCTCGATACGCTCACGCTTCCGCTCGACAATGTCATTGAGGTCCACGTCATCGTCTTCGAGAGCGCGCAGGAACTGGTCCTCGGTCAAGCCGTCGTCGTAGTGCACGACGTTCCTCTTTCGCGTGGCTGGCTGCTCCTCTTCGACGTCGTCCTCCAGTCGGTCAGCGTCAAAGTCCTGCTGGTATACGGCGGGCAGCTCGCTTTCCTGCATGAGTCGCTCGGGCAGCTTGCCCTTGTAACCCAACGACTTCCAAAACTCGGCATCGGACGCCTGACGCTCGCGGTCGATCTGCTCGAAGATGGGCACTTCGTGTTCGCCACGCGCCAGCAGCTGATTGAGCTCGTCATCGTTGAAGTCGCCATCATCGTCGTCCTCGTCATCATTGTCGGCCTCCAACATGGCTCGCAGAAGCAATTCTCGCTCGTCGGCGGTAGCCTGGTTGTCGAATTTACCAGCCTGGATAACCTTGCCCTCGATCTCGAGCTTGTCCTGCGCTCGAGCAAGGATGGTCTCCTCCACCGACTTTTCGGTGACGAGACGCAGGATACGCACCTCCATCTTTTGACCGATACGATGCGCGCGATCCTGGGCTTGCAGATCCTGATGAGGATTCCAGTCCGAATCGTAGATGATGACGGTATCGGCAGACTGCAAGTTGAGACCGAGACCACCGGCACGCGTCGAAAGAATGAAGATAAAGTACTCCGACCCTGGCGCGTTGAAAGCTTTGAGCAGGTGCGATCTATCGTCGGGCTTGGTTCCACCATCGAGACGAAGGTACTTGAAGCCACGATACCTCAAAAAGTCCTCCACGATATCCATGATGGCGGTCATCTGGAAGAAGATGAGCACACGATGCTTGGTGGCAAACAGCTTGGGCAGCAGCCTGTCCAGCAGCTCGAATTTGCCCGCAACTCGATACAGATCCGGTCCGGTCTCCTTGGTCGGGTTGATGGCGATCTCGACCTGTTCGAAGACATAGGGATGGTTGCAGATCTTTCGCAGCTGCATGATGGCGTTTTGCAGACCACGAATGCCCTGAGGCTTGGCCTTCTTCCCGGCGGTGCTGTTGTCCTCGCCAGAGAGAATCATCTTGTGCTTCTTCATCTGCTGGTAAAGCTTGAGCTGGAGCGCGCTCATCTTGCACTTGATCACCTTTTCCACCTTGTCGGGAAGCTCCGAGGCCACGTCCTTCTTGAGACGACGCAGCAGGAAAGGTCGCAGCACCTTGTGGAGACGCTTGATGATGAGCAGTGCCTCTTCTTCATTGAGCATCATACCGCCTTCGCTGCCCGTGTTGGTGAAAGGCGTGTTGAACCACTCGTCGAAGCTCTTGACCGAGTTGAAGATCCTCGGCAGCACAAAGTTGAGCAAAGCCCACAGCTCTGGCAGATTGTTCTGCAACGGCGTACCGGTGAGCAACAAGCGGTATCGGCTCGTGTAAAACTGCGTGAGCGTGATGGTGAGCTTGGACTGGGTGTTCTTCATACGATGACCCTCGTCGATGATCATATGCACCCACTTGATCTTGCCGAGCAGATGCTTGTCCTTGATGATGTACTCGTACGTCGTCAACAGGACCTGGAAGTTCATCGATCGAAGACGGCCGGTGAGCTGTTTACGCACGTTGGGCGTGCCCTTGTAGATGAGCGTCGAAACCGTAGGAGCCCACTTGTTGAACTCGTTGACCCAGTTGGTGAGCGTCGACAGCGGCACAATGACGAGGAAAGGGCCGTTCTGCTTCTTGAACTCCATGAGGTAGGTGATGAGTGAGATGGTCTGGATCGTCTTTCCGAGACCCATCTCGTCGGCCAAAATACCGTTGAGTCTGTTGTTGTAGAGCGAGATCATCCATTGGAGACCCTTCATCTGGTACTCCTTCAAGGTTCCACCCGAGAGAATCGTTGGCTGCTGCGTGATGCGCTCGGTGATGCGGTGGGCCACCGAGTAGTAGTCCACCTTGCCGCGATCCTCGCTCGGGTCGTCCTGGCGAGTGGCACCGAACATGGTCTCGTCAACGGCGACACCGACTTCTTGATTGTTGGTCTCCTCGACGATTCGCTCGGCGGCGATGGCGTCGGCGTGGACATCGTCGTTCTGCTGCGCCTGGACGGCTTGCGCCAAGCTGTCCAGGTAGCCGTCAGTCTGGCGCAAGAGGTGCGTAATACGCGTGTCCTTGGCGGTGTCGATGAGTTTGAGGTAGGCCTCTTCGTCGTCGGCTTTGAGCGCGTTGAGACGCTCCTTGGCGATCCTCTCGACACGCTTCTGCTCCTCACGTTCCGAGTCAGCATGGAACTTGAGCATGGCGCGACCGAATCGGCGGGCCTGGTCGCTAGCCCTGGTATGCGCAGCGACGAGGTCGCGACCGTGGTTGCAGATGGTGCTGAGGTAGTCGATGTGCTTCTGTCTGGCGCGCTTCTCGCGCTCGACACGTTGCTTGCGCTCGAGCTGTTCGGTCATGCGTGCGTCGCGAAGGGTTTGCTTCTTGACACGTCGGAAAGCAACGCGGTCGAGGCCGAGGGTGGTGGCTAGGTTGAGGCTCTGGACAACCTGTTCGCGCAGCTGCTTCTGCTTCTCGAGGAGATGAAGCGACTTGAGCTCGATAAGGGCCTTCAACTTGGCGTTGTCGGCTTGCAAGTGACCGCCGTGGAGCTGCGATGTGAGGTCGTGCGTGTTCTCTTTGCCCTTGAGGCTGGCCATGGTTGGGTTCTGCGACATGTCGGCGGGGAAGGACTCGAGCTCTCGGATGCGCTGGCGGATGCGGGCCTGGACGAAACGGTCGCGCTCTTCCAACAAGAGTCTGGGCTCTAGACCGGTTGGCATGAGGCTGGGTATCAAGAGCCGCTGTTGCTTGGTTGCTGTGTAGTCGTCATCCTCAAGCAAAGGCTTGGAGATGTACGAAAAGGGATGAACGTAGGCATTGTAGGGATAGACCGAACTGCTGGGATCGTCCTTTGGACTTGGTGGTCTCGGAATCTCGGCGATCTTTTCCGAAGTGGTGGCCGAAGCTGGATCAGCGGCGCCGTCGGTTGAGGAGCTACCCTTGGCGGCGGCGGCGGCGGCGGCGGCGTCGGAAGCTGACTTTTCTGATGACGCTACCGCAGCGGCTGCGATCTGTGATGCGGTGGTGAGAGGCTCGCCCTTCTTGGTGTCTTGAAATTCAGACTCGCGATCCGCGGCCAAGATAGCCTCTTGCAAGTGTGATGGCAGAGGCTGATTGCGCGAGATGAGCTTGAATGCGATGATCTGCGTCTTGAGCGCGTTGAGCTGGTCGGGAGTGAGGTTGGCAGGGCTCAACGGTCGCGAGATGTCTTCCTCGGTCTTGACAACCACACCGTTGGCGGTGGAAGCATCCGCTGCCGGTGTGGAAGCGTTTGCAGACTGGGAGGGTGATGGTGCGGAGGGAGCTGCTGTGGTAGGAGTCGAGGTTGCGGGTGTTTGCTGTGCTGCTCTTGCTTGCATGGCGACGGCCTGTTGCTGACGCATGGCTTGGTATTGTTGGAACATTTTGAGCGTGTTGACGAGCGTGGCATATTCGGAGCTGGTGGACTCGTTGGCGCCGCTGGCTTTGAGCTGCTGCATACGAGCAATCATGCCATGAAGCCTCTCCTTGGTCATGCCGGTCAACATCTGCTGAGCTTGAGCATTGAGGGCTGGCGGCTGACCGTTGGCTGATGAGCCATTGCTGGCACCGTTGGCGATGGCGGACATGGTGGCGCCACGACGGCAAAGGCCGAACAGACTCGATGGACGTTAGAGAGCCGTCGTTGGAACGGCAATAGGTGCCGTGTGGTCGGAAGGTGTGCCGAGCGGTCGATGGCGATGAGGAACGTCAGGGGGATGCTGACGCCTACGCCGATGAGGGGAAGGCGACCGATCGAAGAAGGCCCTTATGTTGACGAGGGCAGATGTGGATGCTGCTCAACGTTGTCTTCGGATCGCGTCTGCCTGAGATGTCGATCAACGATGGCGACGCAGCCTGCACAACACCGATGAATGAGACGGGGACGCGACGATTACAAACGCGACGATCTGCGCTGGGCTGGTCGAGCAGGATGAGACGAGGAGGCGCGAAACGATCTCGAGTATGGTGACCGATGTGGGATGGGCTGCGGCGATACGCGACGGAGGCGACGGCGACAAGGACCAGGACAAAAGACCAACACACGGTTGAGAAGGAATATCGGAAAGCGATAGCGGCTCGTTGGAGCTTGGAGCTGGCGTCGAGTGGTGGATGCGGTTGCGGATGCAATATCCGCTCTCGATTCTGATGTGCGATTTTTCCCTTCAGGACGAAAGCGGTAGGCCTGCAAGAAGGGGAGGAGAGCCAGCCAGGGCAGATTGCCTGCTCTGCTGCTCAGCAGTCTGAGAGAACCGAAATGGACCCACGACTCGCCGTTGGTTGCTTCAACACTTGAATTTCGAGCTGGTCAACTTTGCTCTGCCCGTCCGCCTGAAATTTGGCTAAATCACGACACGTCGTGCTCAGTTATCTCGTGGGCGAGAAAGGCAACGAGAAATCACACTGGCTGGGCGCTCTCTCAAAATCGGCTGCGTCTGATCGAGCGAGCAACTCGTTACACTGCTCCCAAGCCAAGCGCGCCTTGATGAGGGTTTCGATCAAGTCTTGAAACAAATCGGGGTTCTCGTACGAATGTTGTTGATCTGGAAGAACCGATTTTTTCGAGGCGTGTCTCTCTCCACTCACAGAAAATTTTGGGACAAGAAGCTCTCTTTGATACACAACCTTCTCACACGATCCCTCCATCCCTCTTAGCTCTTTCACATCGGCAAGATGTCCAATTCCAACCTCGCAGAGGTCATGGGCGACGGCCCTGCTTCCATAGCCGACAAGCTCACGCTGCTTCCAGGCTACGAGCCCGACTTTTCTGCCGTCACATTCTGCCTCAAGGAGGAGGATCACACGTTGGGCAACTCGCTTCGATACATCATCATGAAAGAGTAAGTGTCTGCTGTCCGCCTTCCCGCTCAGTCTGCTTTTCTTGCACAGGATCGTTCCGAGATGATATCTTATACTATTGTGCTTTACACGAATTGGCCGAGTCGCATCGGGACATAGTAGTGGTGGGGGAAATACAATAATGGAATTCTTCGTTGCTGAGGACACTTGCTGTTGCAAGAAGACAGACATGGGCAAGGGCACCTGACGTGCACATCGGAGCATTCTTGCATGCAAAGGTACTGACGGCTGCGCTCTCTTCCTCATCGTCCCTGCTTCGCTTGATCTAGCCCGCGCGTCGAATTCTGTGGTTACAGCAACCCGCATCCCTCCGAAAACAAGATCCATCTCCGCATACAGATGTATGGTAAGTCTATCGACATCCACGACGCTACCTCGATCCGACACACACACCATCGCAGGATCCACGCACAAGCCCCTCCTGGCCGAGATGAGAAACAGGGATCGTATGTGCCCAACAACCTAGCCAGGTTGCTTGGAGCTTGACGAAGATTTTTTTTAGATTCTTGTACAATCGTTCCTACTGAGCCACCACATCAAGATACAAGGGGATCTGGATGTTGCGATGGTCGCTGTCGTGGGATCTGGTCGTTTCAACAGCTCACACAAAAGATGGACGATTCTGACACGTTTCCGCCTTCCTCATTGTTGTGCTCATAGACAACGCCTCGGCTCTGGATGCTCTGCGCGATGCCATCGAAAACCTCGACCAGCTCTTCGCTGCCATCGGCGAAGCGTACGACCGAAGCCTCAGCGCCGGCAACTACGAAACCCACGTCGAACCCAAGCTGGACCACGACCGTCTCGCCCAGATGGCCGAGGAGGGCAAGAAGCGACGTGCCGAGGAGAAGGCGCAAGAAGCAGAGGCGCGTAACCAGGCTGCGCAGGCTGCTGCCGGTCGACCTATGTAAAGGCCGTTGCTGCTCTTCCCGTCGCGCGCTTCCATTCCGTTTGCATTTGTTTCACTTGTATTTGTACCTATACCATCGCATCCACCTGGCCGTCCGAGGGTCAATGTACTAGTATTACTATTCCTTCTCTGGGTGCTGTATTCTAGATTCCGGTCTCGAACTCGATACCGCGCATGGCTTCGCCCACCTTGGGCTGAGCTCTTGCCTTGAATTCACCTTCGCCTCCACCACCCATGGATGAGTCGCCTGCTTCGCCGTAGGTTTCCATATCGTCCTCTTGCATGCGCGAGATGCCTTGTGTGGAACCGTGTTCGGGATCCAGTTCATCGACACCCACCGAGGCTTCGAGGTTTTGCTGGCGTAGCTGCTGATCGTGCTTGGCCTGTTCGTCCGTCTTCATCTCCTGTTGTGCCATTCGCAGAAGGTGGTGCTTCAGTGAAGTCTGTCACTGGAGCCTTGAGTTGCACTTCTACCCGAACTTACCTCGTGAGACATGTTGACGAGCTGATTCGGTGCCACGTTTCCCTGTAGAAGATCTTGCGCGAGCTGCGGATTGTCCTTCTTCAACGTCAAGCCGATGTTTCGAACGTCGTTGCGATAATCATTGGAGGTGGATTGGCCAAACTTTTCAAACACGGCCTGCTCGAGTTGCGTCGCTGATGAGCTTGCATCTTGACCACCCGTAGCTGCAGAAATCGAGTCCGCGAGGAAGTTGGCGCTTTTCGAGCGGATGTCTGACATGTTTCGAGATGATTTATGATAATATGGTGGCCAGAAGCAGAGTCTGCCGGTCATCATGCTGGGGAAGCTTCATACAGACACTCGATAGCTGACTGAAGCAATCACTTGCTGTTTGATGGTGTGGAGGTGAGGAATTCCACTGTGTGTCGTGTGTACGATCTCACACTCTCAATGAGCATTTCGTGTTTCTCGACCTCGTTTTTGCGTGACTTTTGCGGAAGATCGAAGTGATGGACAGACAGGATCTAGCAAGCTATTTCCGTCGTATTGTCACCTCGTCGCAAGCGTTCAGACCAATTTGACATGGAAAGGACGAAGCACTGAAGGGCGTACAGAGGAGCTACCATGAGCGCTGTCGACTGATGATAGGCTGCGCTGCGCCAGAACATCGAATCAGAAATGTGAAGCAGAGACCCAACCTGCGGAAGCAGAGCGGCGGCCATCTGTGCTCTGTCGCTCTTAGCTCTCACGCTCGGTCGCGGTGTAGACTCGAGACTCTTCGGCGCATGTGTCGCAATATTTCGGGAACAGCACAGCCCAGCGCAGCACGGTTCAGTGAAGGCCGATCTGGAAGCTCCCGAGAAATTGAATTCACCAGAATTCGGCCTTTCCGACTTGGGGCGTTTCGCTGTGGGCGACGGCTGAGCGCGGGGTCGAATGCTTGCATCCTGACTCAACGTACAACCAACACCGACCACCATCTCATCCACTCACACCCAGCGACATTTCCATTCACGGCAGCCATCGACGCAGGCCTGAGCATCTACGAACACAGAAAAGCATCACAGCGTCCGAACGAAGGTTGAACCGCTCGATAGACCTCACCTTTGCCGCCCCCATCGCGCGCTCTCGGCTAGCATCGTAGCCGCTACAGCACACACAGACGAGTCGACGAGCTCGTTCAAACTGAGTCGTCCGTCCTGCGACTATTCCAGATAAAGTCGCTGGCAAATATGGTACCGAAACCTTCCGGCTCGCTCTTGTCCGGCGCGCGCAAGTCGGGTATCTCCCTCGCCCTCAACGGCGGCTCAGGACAACCGGGAGGCGTCTCGCTTCACGACCGCTTGTCGGCGAGATCAAGAGTCACAAACCTCGGCGTCGTCCTGCTTCTTGGCTTTGCCGGCTTTTCCGCCCTGTTGAACCTCCGATATATGCTCTTCAACCGCAGTCATCCTGCGATACCGCAAAGCTACATCGAGTTCAACGGTCGCACCCCCGAACTGCTCAGCAACAGCGTACCACCTCCTCGCACAGGCACCGACCATCTCAACCATCTTGTCATCGTCACAGGTCATGCCATCTGGGCAGGCTGCGACGTCAAGGCCAAGGACGACGACGAGAATTGGGTGCTCGAGGACTACCAGAAGGGTGGAAGCGTCAAGACTTTCTACAAGCACATTGAAAAGGGAATGCAGCTCACCGTTGAAGATCCCAATGCACTTCTCATCTTTTCCGGTGGTCAGACTCGTCCCAACTCGCTCCAGACCGAGGGTGAATCGTACTACTCGCTCGCCATGGCGGCTAACCTCGAAGTGCCCATGATTGCAGGTAGCCTGGTCAACATCACTTCGCCTGGCTCTTCATCCTCTTCGTCATCGGCGTCCTCATCCATCGGTTCGCTCGCACATGCCAATGCGGCGGTTGCGACTCGACAAGGCCTTCAAGATGCTCGCATGACCACGGAAAACTACGCACTCGACAGCTTTGAGAATCTGCTCTTCTCCATCGCCCGCTTCCGCGAGTACACGGGTCACTATCCGGCACGCATCACCGTCGTCGGCTATGGCTTCAAAAAGGCGCGATTCGAAGATCTGCACGCCAAAGCGGTGCGATGGAACACCAAAGGGTTCCTGCACAACGGCGAGCGAACCTTCCAGTACGTCGGGATCGACGACGAGGGTCTCTCGGACAGCGAAGCGACGGCTCAGAACAGGGGCGAGAAGCTCAAAGCGTTCAACCTGTACGACAAGGACATGTACGGCTGTCACGGCAGATTGAGGGAGAAGAGGATCGAGAGGAATCCCACGAGGAGATTCCATCCGTACATGAGCTCTGCACCGGAGATCGCGGATCTGCTCGATTGGTGTCCCGCACCAAACTCGGGATTGCAAGGCTTGTATCCGGAGAACCTGCCTTGGGATGCAAGAGTTATCGGCACTGGATGGGGGAGAGGTGCTCTGGCGGTCAAGGCGAATAGCAAGGGCAACATCATTCCGGACACGAGATGGTTGCAGATCGGACGAGAGCACTGAAGTGGGCACGGTGAGTTGGAGGGTTCAGATCGGGTGCAGAAGTCACGATGTGTTTCTTGTGAGAGAGATCAGAATCAAAGCTTGATTTTCAGCACGGACAGCAGGAACGTTTTGTGTGCGACGAGAGCGAGATTGAAGAAAGATGCTTTTTATTGAAACAGTCAAGTTTTGAAGGGTATGAAGCTACTTGATGACGAGAACGGGGGCGTTGGAATGGCTGACCAGGTAGCTGGATACAGTTCCGCTTGTGGAGAGACCCTTTTTCCAGTTTCTCTCCCTCTTGCCTACGAGGACGAGATCTACGTGGTGGTAGTTGGCGACTCTCAACAGACTGGCTCTGGCGTCACCGTGGAGGACGTGGATGGTGACGTTGAAGCCTTTTGCCTTGAGTTGGGATTTGTACGGTTCGAGCTTTTCGATGGCTTGGGCACGGATGGTTTTGAGCAGCTCGTTGTGTCGTTCGGTATCGATGGTGAGAGGACCTGCTACCCAGGGGGTGGAGATGACGTTGGCGGGGAGAACGGTGCAGAGGAAGACGTGAGAGTCGGTTTTGAGGAGCTTGTTCTCGAGGAGGTACTTGAAGGCTTTATCGCCGGCATCGGTTCCGTCGAGAGCGATGAGGATCTTGGCGGTTTCGGATTCGAGTTTGGCACCGGGAAGACCGACGATCTGCTGCTCGCGAGCTTCGGTGGGAACGGAGGATTTTTCCAGCGGGTTGGAGGATTCGAGGATGGGCGTCTGCGCGATGGTCGTGACTTGACCGGAGGGTGTGGTGGTGCCGTCGGCGGAGGAAGGGGTGTAGGACTTTTTGGATAGGCCCGGGATGTGGAACAGCGATCGTCGAGGGGACGAGGGCACGGAGGAGGGCGGAGAGGCTGCTGGAGAGGTCATTCTGAAAGAAAGTGTTCGATAATGATGACGATGATGATGGAGAAGGGTACGATAGGAAAGGGTGAGACCAAGGTGTATATATCGGAAACAGACTCTTCCCCACCGCCCCCTCATCAAGCCACGAACAACACACAAGGCACCATATCAACCTCGACCCACCGCCACACACAGTCGACGGCTCGGGCAGCGACCATCTCGCAGACAACAAGCCCCAATCGATATCGCTCTCTGTCTCACTCTGCCTCTCCCCTTGCATAGCCCGTGTGTTCCGCACGTCCACGCCGACCCTACGGCACCGTGTGTCTCGACAAATTTTCCCAACCGAGCAATTGCCTGATACCGCTTCTCGGCAAACTCCTGTCGAACTCGTGGGCTGCAAACCGAAACTTCTTTTTCTACCCTTTGCACATGGTGTACCGTAGATCTTTCTACTCTCGGCAAACGATCAAATCTGAACTGTCCTTCCAACTCTCTACCGAACTCGGAGCACTTCGGCACCAGCGGCAAGCTGCTACCTCACGCTGAAAAAGAGTCACCTAGCGCCAAGAGTGAGTTAGACAGTGCCTTCGGCGTATTACCCGTCGGTAGAAGCTCAGTGACGACATTTCCAGAAGCACAAATCCTCCGAAAATTCGCCGCGTTCTACTCTCTCAACGCCTTCTCTTGGATTCTGGATCGGATCTGGGGCGGCGGCGAATCACCCGATCTTGACTCTTTTGCTCTCAAATTCTCTGCCGATACAATCTTTCCCGCTGCCACGCTAGCAGGAAAGAGACGCTACAGCAATCATACACAGCGCAACAGAACCACAAGTATACTTATACAGGATGACCGATGAAGTGATAGCAGCCTTGCAGGTACATACTGTGAACAGGAGCTGGGACGAATGATCATGGTGGTATACAGTGCTCATCTAATAGCGACTTCCCCCCTAACGACGAACCTTGCTCTTGGACCCACCTCCACTCTTGGCCTTCTTGGCCTTGCTACCCCGTCCGTTAGCCGCTCTCCTCTCCAGGCACGCCTCGCAATACCACGTACCCTGCGGTGGCTTCGTCAGCCCCACGCAGCCCAAGTGGAACCACTCCCGCTCGCAGTCGTCGTCGTCACATCCAATCATGTCTCCGTACGACACGTTGTTGCAGAAACAGTAGCGGGCTTCGTCCGCATCGTCGCCTGCACCTCCCGCGTTGGAGGCCGGACTGTCTGCGCGACTCGCCGATGCAGAACCGGCGTGAGGAGAGGCCGCAGCGGCAGCAGCACCGCGCGCGCGAGAGTTGGAGGCTCCCGCTCGTCCACCCGCACGACCGCGACTCTTGGCGTTGGAGCGTGCGTGCGTGTCCTCCTCCTCTTCTTCCACATCGCCGTCGTCCAGATCTTCGTCTTCGTCGTCGCTTCGTTGTGCCGCGGCGGAGGTGCGCACGGCACGGCTGTTGCGACTGCGTGCAGAGGATTCATCGGCGTCGCCTGCAGCCCGTCTTGAAGCCGCGTCTTTGCGACCACCGGCTCCGTCGTCGTCGTCTTCGATGTAGCCGATGTGTGCATGCGCTGCTCGTGGAAGGCGCGTGTTGCTGTTCGACTGGCTGGCTTTGGATCCAGCCGAAGCAGCAGAGTGTGAGCCGCCTTCGACTCGTTTCTTGTGCGAGCTGGATCCGTTGGCGGCCGACTTGACGTCCTCGTCGCCTTTGCCAGATGCCAACGTCTTGGCGACCTTGGAACTTGCACCCGCCGTCGAGCCGCCGACGGCAGCGCCGGAGATGGCTTTGCGTTTCTTGCTGTTGGATGCTCCACTGGCACCTGCTGCGGACGCTATGGCAGCAGCTGCATCGGCAACCTTGTGGCTCTTTCCGCCTACAGCGCTCACAGCAGAGATGTGTGCAGCTACCTTCTTCTTCTTGCTGCCGCTGGCGCCGTTGACATCGGCGGCACCTGCTGCACCCATGTGAGCATCGAGCGATGCGACGAGCTTGCGGTCCTTGAGCTGTCCTGGCACGTAGTATTGGTCGAGCTTGAGATGCTTGGTGGGGTTGAGCAGCGTCGAGATCTCGCCGAAGCGGTCGAGCTGGCTGTCTAGTGCGTCGATGTAGTCGGTGTGGCTGATGATGGTTTCGGCGGTGTTGAGCGCGACGCGGATCTTGTCCTCGCCACCCATCTTGTAGGCGCGCGCCTCTTCGGCCACCTCCTTGAGCGCGAGCAGACGTTGACCCTGGTCGACATCGGGATCTTCGATGAGCGCGGTGAGGTGGTTGAGACGCGCAGTGAGGCTGTTGAGGTGAGAGCCGAGCACGGCGTCCAGCTCGCGGAGATCGGAGAAGCTGCGGGTGAGGTCGAGGGGAAGCGCATCGAGCGCGTCGGCGTAGGCTGCGAGCGTGACGAAAAAGTGCTCTGGTCCGGACGGATCTAGACCGGCTGCTTCTGGACCAACAACACCGCCCGGGAGGCCACCGATGCCGGCTCCCTTGCCGCCAGTTCTGAGCAGTGCAGATGGCTGAACACGCGAGGGACCTGCAGCGGCCGAGACGGCTGCGGATTGCTTCATGATAGCAAGATGCTGGTGTGCCTTGGACTGTCGCTCGCAGTGACCTGCAGCTGAGCGTAACGTGTGAGAGGGTGGAGGTGGTAGCTGCTGTGTTAGCGTGTGCTTATAGTGCTTGCCTCGGGAAGAACCAGAGCCGAGGTTTGCAAAGAGGGTCGCGGGACGAGGAGAGCAGAGAGAGAGGAACTCGAGCACGAGGACTGGTGCTTCGAGAGACTTGTGGCGTGTGGATGGGAATGATGGACAAGGTGGAAGATACGAATGAGCGTCTCTGGCAACCGAGGCAAAGCATGTCGTCCGCTTCGGTCTGTTGGATTTCAGCCGCTTGCTGTCTTTGGCCGGGCAGCTGAACTCGAGCAGCAGAGCGAGAGGCACGACCCTGCTTTCTCTCCTCCGCGTCAAGTCGTGACCGGAATTCGGGGCTCAAAAGCGGTAATGTTAGATCGTTAACTTAGACATGAGAACTGAACTCGTTCTCGCACGTTCCTCTGGCTGTGATCGGCTCGGAAATGGGAGCAGTATCAATGATTTCCAACATCAAGGGGCGAAGGCTAACGGCACACTGGCTGGAAATTTGGGATGCGATTTTGGAATTGATACTCGCCTCCAAGCTGCACAGACCGCCACCTGACAAGCAGTTTTTCTGGGCAGCACACCGCCGCTGTCAGTCAACTTCTTCTGTGCCTTTCTGCAAATTCTCCCCCATTTTTTTTTTTTCTGCGTTGGTTTCGACTTTCTTCTTGGCTGAGCGCTTTCCAGTTTTTCTTCTTCTTGACAGGGCAGAAAGGCGCTGTTGAATCTTGTTGGCCTGCGCGCTGCCAGGGAGCCACGGAGCAAACGGTATCAACACCATCTGCGTGTGCCTCTTCCTTCATCGTCTTGTTCCACCACAACCTCACACACATACACATACTTCACAATGTCTCTCCCCGACTTCTCCTCCGCTACCAACCTCGGCAAGCTCGACGGCTTCCTCGCCGACAAGTCCTACGTTGACGGGTAAGCTTCTTTTTCTACATGACATCGCCTTTCGAGAATCTGTCAGCTCTCGCTCCTGATGCACCAGCAGCAACACACGATTCACCAGGAGCGCTTGATTACTCCATCACGTCGAATCAATGCGCAGTAGGATTTCGCGATATGGACGCATATGACGAGGAGGAGTAATACTCGATGGTGCAAACGATGCAAACGAAACAACATGATGAACTTTTTGCTTTGGTCCGTGTTTCCGAGCCCAGCGGCTTAAGACCCCGCGACCTTTTCTGCTATGACGAAACCCAACTTTTTCCAAGCTATCTGATCTTTTGTTTCTGCACCGAGTCGACCGCTCTCATAGGAAGGAAGTTGCAAGGGAGCTAGTTGTTCAGGAGACTCGAAGGCGAATGTTTTCAGCCCCCTTCGCCAAATCGCAGCAGCACTGACTTCTCATCTTGCCCTTCTCGACTTCGAACATTCTGCGCATCGACAGTCACTCGCCCTCGCAGGCCGACGTTGCCGTTCACGAGGCTCTCGGCAAGGCCCCTGACGCCGACAAGTACTCGCACGTCGCCCGCTGGTACGAGCACATCTCCTCCTACGAGGCCGAGCACAAGGACCTGACCGGCGACAAGTCCAAGGCTGCCACCCTGCTCTCGTCCACCTTCGCTGCCCCCGCCGCTGCTGCCGCTGACGACGACGACGATGTCGACCTGTTCGGCTCCGACGACGAGGTCGATGAGGAGGCCGAGCGTATCAAGGCCGAGCGTGTCGCCGAGTACAACAAGAAGAAGGCTGCCAAGGGTCCCGGTGCCGCCGCCAAGTCGCTCGTCACCCTCGACATCAAGCCTTGGGATGACGAGACCGACATGAAGGAGCTCGAGGCTGCAGTCCGTGCCATCGAGATGGACGGCCTCGTTTGGGGTTCCTCCAAGCTCGTCGCCATCGGCTACGGTGTCAGCAAGCTCCAGTGCTCCATCGTCGTCGAGGACGCAAAGGTCTCGCTCGACGAGCTCCAGGAGCGCATCGCCGACGAGTGCGAGGACTACGTCCAGTCCACCGACGTCGCCGCCATGGCCAAGATCTAAATCACCATCCTTTTTGCTATCTATCTGCTTTGAAAAAACATTTGGGATTTCGGTCAGCCTTTATACCGGGGAAGGTAACTCACGTCTGCGCTTGCCATTGTTGAGCCGAGAAGTCCGCCTCACAATGTAAATGCACATTGCTTCCCTCCTTGCCTGTCACAGCTCTCGCGCGTTTGTTGGTGCGTCCTGTTCTGCTTTGCATGAGGTTGCGTCGAATTAGCACGTCTACAAATCACGTTCTACACCCCAGATCTGTTTCAACCGTGGGAACCGAAGGCTGTACACTTCCTTTGAAGCTTTCCCTCCGTCGGCTTGCTGCGATGACTCTTCGCCATCGGAAGCACCTGCTGTCGTCTTGCTCTCATCAAAGTATTCCACCGTCACCACCTTGCCGATGATTTTGTCTGGATCGCTCGCAAACTCGACGCGCTGCTCTGGCGTGAATCCCGATCCGACGGACACACTGGTCCCCTTGTGTTCGATCTGGATACTAGCCATCGCTTCGCGCTCCTCGAATCTACCGCTGATGGGCAGACGCATCGTGGCGACAGTGATGGCTTTGACCGTGTACTCTGCATCCCTCCACTCTTTGAACTTGCGAATGGCCGACGTGCGTTTGCCCTCGTACATCGTGTCTTGTCGTAGGACGAGACCTTCCCAACCACGCTGGCTCGCAGTGGCAAGCATCTCTTCGACTTGACTCGTCGCCGAGACGACATTTTGCGATAGTCTGCGGACGAGGCTCTGCTTGCCCTTCTCTCGCGCATCTGCTTCAAAGTACGAGACGAGCGACTCGAGCGATGCTAGCCGTTGAGAAAACGTGCGTCTTGTGCGTCCGTTTGCGGGTGACGATCGCCAGGTGGCGAATTCGTCCAAGGTGAGCAGGTCGAAGGGGAAGAAGGCAGGCTCGCGGATGGTGTAATTTTTGCGCTTGATGAGTCCGACGACCGCAGCAAAGTCTTCCACCATCGTACCCTCTGTCGTGTCCTGAATCGGGGCTGAGAGACTTGCGTCTAGCTGCCGGATCGCAGACTTTGATGCTTGTTCTGGGTGTCGGAGAATGCAGACCTCGCCGTCGAGGATGAGCGTCGCTGTCTGACGTTGCTGCGTGTCGTGCTCGGGTTTCTCCTCTGAAGAGACGAGCAGATCATGCAAGCCAGGATACTCGGTCAGTCTTTGGGCGAGCTCCTTTTCCAGAACAGCCAACGAGGTGAAGGGTCTGCCGTTGCGTGAAAGAGCTTCAATGGACGCAACTTTCCATTTTGCTTGTGCGTCATCACCGACTTGATCTCGACGGAAATGTACGGTGAAGAGACATCGAACGCCATCTAGCTTTCTGCTCGCATACCATCTTGGCGCTGCGTCGTTTGAAAGGAGTGAAGGGAGTTCCTCCCTCGTGATGGTTCTGCCCACAGCTACCTCGAACGAGCCACGAAATGACACGGGTGCGTCGGGATGGCGGTCTCCATCATGATTCTCGATTTTTACGTTCGATTGTTCGTCATGAATAGGGGCCGTTGCAAAGGCTTGATGCAGGATCCGTCCGCCGAATCCAGCCTTCAGATTGCGATCCAAGCATCGATAAAAAATCTCGAGCGACGTCGGCCGCAGCAAACCTTGACGGAAGAGTTCCGTGGTTGACATGTCTGAATCATCGGTTCCCCTCAGCGCATACTCGTGCTGTGCGATGATACCGTGCTTGTGTAAGAAAGTGCCGATGACGGCCAGAGCTTCATGACCGGTGATCTGCCGAGACGCTAGCAGCTGAAAGAGGTCGAGCAGCGTATCTGGTACCTGCTCTCGGACTTCCTCTTCCTGCTTAGCTCGCAGGGCAGCGGCTCGTGTTTTGTCCCGCGAGCTGTTGGAGGGGCGGCTCACGAGAGGCGCTTGATTGTTTTGCCAGTCGTGATCCTTTTGCCTTTGACGAAGGTAGTTGTGCACGCTGGATGAGGTGACATGCAAGCGCGTATACGGGTCGTAGAGAAATGCGAGGAGCGGTACGAGATCATTGAATTCGGCAAGAATGCGTTCCTTCGAGAGCTTCGAGTTGGTGGCATTGGCTCGGTTGATAAGCTCTCGTAGCCTCGTGATGTCGTCCAATGGCGTGGCCTTTCGAGCTGGAAAGCGGCTCGGGCCTGGTCGATTACCGAGAGGGCTACTGATATGCAAGCGGCGTTGTTGTGAGCCACAAAGCGACAGTGGCCGAGGCTGACCAGCTGTATTGATCAGACGGCATGATGGACAGTTAGAAGACGACCTGCTGGATGCTCTCGCCGTGGATGCTGTACTGCGCGAGGGTCGTGTTGCTGAGACCTGAGTCGGAGCAGCCGCCCGCACCGACCGCCAGGCCCGCTGACGAACTCGATCGAGCATGCTGCGGTTATGGCGACGATTGAGGGGTGGTGTAGGAGGAGCGAAGAAGCCGCATATTGAGCTTGTACTGGTTTCGACCGTTGGTTGTGTAGATTGCGGACTGACAAGATGGGGGAAGCAAAGATGGATCCAAGCGTCGTTGAAGGGGTCCAAGCATTCGAGAAGAACAGGAAAAAATTAAGCAGCAAACAACAGTGTTTCATGCCGACACCTCCACAACAGTCAAAAGGCGGCAGCTCATCTGTCAAACGGGGCTCGTCTGTGTTTGCGGTTCAGGGTCTCGTCGACAGCCACACGGTCGTTGCAACACCACATCACTTTTCTAAAGGTCACACACGGCACACGCCCTCCGACACCTCAACACAAGTCGAGCGTGAGCCACATCCCGGCCTCGCCGAACGTCCCGCATCCACTATGGCTATGGCCACATCCAGTCACGCCGGCAGATCCGATCAGATCGCCTCTCTGACGAATCTGCTGGGTCAGCCGTCGCAGCCGCTACCGCCATCCCTGTTGCTTCAGGACGCATGCAGCCCCAACACCACCGCTCGGCTTGTATCCGATACGCTTGAAGCGCTATCGCACGATGCCGACAACGACGAAGGACCTCTGTGCTGGTGCAGCGTATCTCCATTGACGTCGATCAACCCGACGACACTTTTCCGGAACATCCTCAGCTCTCTCCAAGAGCAAGTGACGCACATTCAGCAGACGGCTCGATCCGACTCGGCCAACGCAGTAGCGGGCGGGTCTAGAGGCAAGTACCGAAGGCCCGAGTCTTCTCTCGACTACTTGCTCTGGAGCCTCGGAACCATCCTAGATACTATCGACGGTCGTGTCGTCATCGTCGTCAAGGATGCTGAGCGGATCCGCGATCTTTGGCCCGAACACATCTGGACAGCTTTTTGCCGACTACCATTGCTTGCTGGCAAGCCGGGTCGCATTTGCTCCGTCCTCATCTCTACGCTTCCATGGTCGCAGTACCGCACACCCAGCGGTCTTACTGTCTCGCACCAGCCCATCACCATCCGTTTCCCGCGACTCACTCGCTCAGACATGCTTGCCATCCTCGCCCTCGACTTCCCTTCACTCTGGAATTCCTACTCGGCCTCGGTGCAGTCTGCTCAGATGCATGCCCGCACATCAATTGCACTCTGCGAGCCGTCTACCCTTCTCAAGCTTCACAAGCAACGGTGCGGCCAAGACGTTTCGATGGAAGCACTCAGGGCACTCCACGATCAGTTTGTCGGCGTGTTTTACGACTCGGTGCGCTCCAACGTCAGGGACGTAGAAGAGCTCAGGACTATGAGCGCTGCTGTGTGGCACTCTTTTGTCGTCCCGATCCAGACGAGGGAGTGCACCACATCCGACTTGCAGACGCTTCTGCTGGCTTCGTCGCATCTGTTCAAGGATGTCATCTTGCGCTTGCAGACGCGAGAGGTGGGGCCAAGAGAGTGGACACAAGAAGCACGCGTCAAAAGCATTCAAGCCAGCGCTGCCCGCTTGGCAGCTGCAAAGATCCCGACTTCTGCCGCAACGCATCAAGGTGGGCCGGCAGACGACGATGTCAACATGGCCGACGAGGAACGCAAGTTCGACGAGGAAGAGTGGCTCGAGCGCGAAACAGCCGCGCTAGAAAGGCTGCGCTCGGCATCGTCGCAGGCAACCGTCTCGCTCCTACCCTCGCTCGCGCTCATCCCAACTTTCCTGGTCATTGCATCCTTCTTGGCATCCTACAATCCATCGCGACTCGACGTGCGCTACTTCTTGCGAGATGATTCGCTCCTCAGTCTTTCATCCGGCGCCTCCAAGGGCAAATCCCTCAAAGGTGGTCGCAAGCTCGGTCCAGGCCGCGGTCGCAAAGGCGCTGCCCGCGGACGACCCTCCAAAAGCGCCGTCCGAGTCACCAACGAAGACGGCCAAACCGAAAACCTCAACCGTCAGCAACTTCTCGGTCCCAAACCGTTCCCCATCGATCGCCTCCTCTCCATCTTCCAGGCGCTCATCACCGAAGCCGCACCGGAAATGTCGATGGTCTACTCGTCCCTCATCCCTGAAAACGAGAGCAACGCGCAAGGTGATCTGGACAGATCGACGTTGTGGGAGTTCAGAAGCAAGTCGCTGTCGGTGTACTCGCAGATCAACGGGTTGGTGGCGAGGAGGATGCTGGTCAGGACCTCGGCTCAGGACAAGTTGGGAACGAGCATCAATTTCAGGACCAACGTGAGCTACAATGTGGTGGCGGTGCTCGCCAAGAGGGTCAAGTTTGATTTGGACGAGTGGTTGTGGGATTGGGGCGCGGGTGGTGCGAATGGATTGTAGGATCACGACTCATGTAGCTCAGAGGTAGCTGGGAAGCACAGTCGCCATCGCGTTGTCGAAGAGGGTTGAAAAAGTGCATTCAGAAACCAGAGTCGGACAATGGTGCGGCTAATGTACACTCAGAACGCCTCCCACTTCTGCTTACCCAACGAGATCAATCTGTTGAACACCTCGTCCCTCCTACCCATGGCTGTCAGCTTGTGCACATTGTTCTGCTTATCGACGATCTCGATTCCGTCCGCCACCTCTCCACCCAACGCCCATCCGACGACGAGCTTTCCCTTCCAACCCAACCCACCGACCTTGTGGAGCTCTTTGATGTCGTCGATTGCGATCGTGAACGTGGCACCCTTTTGCTGGACCAACCTCTGCGCCTGTTCGGCGGCACTCGTAGCCGAGCTACCCTTGCTAGCTGCGGCAGCTGCCTGGATGGGGCTTGAACGACCTTTCCTTTCGAACGCGACGGAGGGTGTAGCGGCGGTGGTGAGGATGTACACGTGACCACGCTTGCCCTTGTACCTCGCCTGGAAGCGGACGGGACCGTCGGAGGCGTACTTCTTCGAGGCCTCTTCCGACTGGACCACACCGAGCTTGGTTTTGGCATGCATGGATTGGATTGTGGTGGCCTTGACGCGGTTGACTCCGAGAGCAGTTTCGACACCAGCTTTCGTAACACCTTTGAGGAGTCCGAGCACTTTGCTGCTCTTCTTCCCGGTTTTCGGGTCGGTGGCAGAGGCGTCTTCCCCATCAGGACGGCTGGCTACGTCGTCTGCTTGAGCATCGGCGAGTTGCTTCGCATACTCGGGTGGCAGATCGGGATGCTCGGCCATGTCGGATCCGTGAAGCGCGGTGGGAGGAGGTGCAACGACCGAAGGAGGAGGAGGCGGCAGAGGCGACTTGTTTGCCTCTCCGATGCGCAACAGCGTCACCGTGAGTTGAGCATTGGTAGGCACGCCGCGCAGCAAGTAGTATCGAAGCTCGAGGTACTTTTTCCACTCGGGAACGTTGCGATCGAGCCAGGCGATAACCTGCGGGAACTTGACCCGATCGATCAGAGGCTGACCAAACAGCGCGAAGCCCATACCGAACGTCGATCCCTTGTAGATCATCGTCTCGTTGATGTAGAACGAGGCCAGCAGCAAGGGTACGATAGTACCGGCGAGTCGAGCGCGTGGCGCCCAGCGCGAGAAGGGAGGCGTGGGGTTGAGTGCGTTTCCGAACCTCTCGTAGTCGTCGCAGATGTTGTTGAGGATGTGCATGAAGGGGGCAAGACTGGAGAAGATGGCTGCTTCCATGGGCTGTTTGGTGTGATCGCCCTTATCCGGGTGACCGGCCTTTTCGCCGGCAGCTTTGCTCTGCGCAGCCTGAGATACGACGGCAACATTGGTAGGATCGGGGATCTTGTCCTCGGGATCCTTCTTGGGCTTCTTCTTGGTCGTCGCCGTGGCTTCGTTGCTGCTGTCGTCATCATCGTCTTCTTCGTCGACAGCATTGGCACCTGCATTGGAGGATTTGCCCGCAGCAGTGCTGAGCGCAACCGAACCGAGCGCACCGACAAAATTGGATGCCTCCTGTTCGACTGCTTCACCCTCAAAGGTCTCGGCAGCGCCGGTCAAACTGGTCTTGCTACCAAGGTGACCAGCCAACGGCACTTTGGCTTGTCCCGATTTTGCGTCGATCGCAGCCAATGGAGCCGAGGGGAACAGCAAAACCCGGGCACGTGGCGACATGATGAGCACGAGCATCAACAGCAGCGATGTAGGAACCAAGAGATCGAAAATCCAAGCAGCGACGTAGGCGACCATGAATCCAGCGGTACGTTTCGGCTCGGACCACGAGCGAAGACGCATAATGTGCTGAACGAAGGCCACCACCCCAACGACGACGATGACGTAGACACGCTCGAAGGTGGCCTTGAGCTTGTCGGGCTGGAACTCCTCCTTGTTGCTGATGTACATGTCAAAGTCCTTGTTCTTGGTGTCCTCGATGGCCTTGACGCGGTAGGTTTGCTTGTTGAAGCGACGCACCAGCAGCCAGAGCGACTCGTTCTTCATGCCGTGCAGCACAGGGATGGGGACGTTCGGCTCCTCGCTCCATCCGAGATCGTCGAGCTCGGGCTCGATCGCGCGGTCCGGGTCGCCGGGCGCGGGAGCGGGAACCTGCTTTTGAGTTCCAGGCAGCTCGGTGATGCGTTCCGGTGCAACGTCGGCTTTGGGTACCTTGTGGAGATGAGCTTGATGGTCGAGGGCGGCCTCGGCCGGAGAGACATCGTCCTTCTGTGCGAAACGACCTGCTTCTTCTGCCTCGTGTTCGGCTGATTTGAGCTTGGCAGGGTCGTCGGCGACAGGCTCGGCCGGATCGGTGGGCTGCATGGTAGCAGCAGCAGCGGTTGGGGCAGCTGTGCTTGCGGCCACTTGGTCCGGATCCAGCACAGGAGCGGGTTTGGGGTCGGACGACGACGACATCGTGTCTGGCTAGGTTCGTCTTGTTGAATACGAACAAGCTGCAATCAAGATGTCAAGACGGGAATGATGTCGAAGTGCGGAAGGAAGGAATGACCTCACGGAGAGGAAGACTTGGCACATTTCAGATCTGAGAAGAGTCAATGAACAGAGAGATCTGTAGCGATAAGACCAACTGAATCAGCACGAGAGACAGCCATGAGGGCGCACAGCCGGGCGTGCGCCACAATGTAATGCATCAGACTCGACAGAGGCCGAAGTGACAACCGATCCACCGCACAACCGAATTCTTGAGAGACCCTTTGTGTTACTTCAAGATCGTCGGCATCTCCGTGTAGTCGCTGAGCGTTTTTTCCTGACACTGCCATCCGCATCAAGTCTAGCGTCATGATGCATACTTTGTGGCTCATGGCAGGCCAAATCTCCACATGATCTTTTTCGTCACTTGGCGTTCTATTGTAATAAAGGTCTAACAAATATTCGAAACTCGCGAAAGCCGTCAGGATGCGGGGAAAGCAGCATTGTGCATGCAAGGTTCCCACGGCAAACTCACCTTGCCGCTTGGTAGCCGTCACCAACCGGCATTATTGGCGGCAACAACGTTCGCGAGAAATGCAGATCAGCGCACAGCGAGATGGCGTGTCAGGTCAAGATTCGCACTTCTGTCAAGCGGAACGGAGGCCGAACTTAGCCGTTGATCCTCACACGCGGCTGTCACATGCACCTTTGTCGAGTCTCTCGGTTCGGTCCATTGTCCCTCCTGCGGCGCCCCTCCCACTGGTCTGTGCGACCCCGCATCCTCGTTCTTCGCGTTCTGCATCCGCACATTCCGCGTCTTCTCCTTTGCTATAAAGCCTTCCGCTGCATCCCTTTCCTTAGCTTCCCACCATCCGACCCTTTTCCGTACATCCCCCGCTCGGATTCGTTGCCAAACATGCCGAGCCTTCTCACCTACATCGGCTTGCCCATCGCGCTCGCCGCGCTCGCCTACCAATTCCTCTCCGGACCTGGAAGCAAGGCCCACGACGTGTTCGGTCTCGGACGTCAGCTCAACTACACCTCACACTCGTGCACAAAGATCCCCGAACTCGAAGCATGCGAGGACATGTGGCTTCACCGACCATCCGGTCTGCTCTACCTCGCTTGCTCCGATATCCCTGGTAGACTTGCCTGGACCCCTGCCATCGACAACCTGGACGTCTCCAAACGACCCAACAACGATCACATTGTCATTGTCGACACCAAAGCTACCGGACCCATCACTTCGAGGATGACCAAGGTCAAGCCCGTTTCGTACTCTGGCACGCTCAACCTGCACGGCGTCTCGGTCTACGAGGTCCCCGCAAAATCGGCCGAACTCAAACCTACCCTGAGGATCTTTTTAAACAACCATCGACCTCCCATCGATCCCGTCACCAAGACCGTCCTGGATGCGTCCAAAGTAGGGGCCAATTCGACCTTCGAGCTGTTCGAGTCGACGTTGGGAGAGTCACGAATGAGGCACATCCGAACCTACACCGGTGAAGCGATCCGAACACCCAACCGCCCTGCTGCCGTCGGACCGGACAGCTTCGTATTCACCAACGACCACAGCGTCAAGACAGGTGCCAGCCGTCTGCTGGACTTCTTCTTCCCGCGCTCCGATCTCGGATTCTGCGATGTCAGCGGATGCAAGATCGCTGCACCCGGACCCTACCCTTACCCGAACGGCGTAGTGGCATCCTCGCTCCACCCGAACCGCTTCTACGTCCCCGCATCCGCCGATCCCAACATCCGAGTCTTCGAACTCCAAGCCGACAACTCACTCACCCTCATCGACGTCATCCACACCGGCTACCCCGCCGACAACCTCACCGTCGACGAAGACGACAATATCTACGCCGCCTGCTTTCCCAACGTCCCCAAACTCCTCGCCAAATTCAAGGATCCCTACCACAAACACTCGCCCACCACCGTGCTCAAGATCAGCAAGAATACGTCCAAGGACGCCTTCTTCGGCAAAAAGTGGAACGTCGAAAAGATCTTTGAGGACGACGGGACCGCAATGAGCGGTGCTACCACCGCCATGTGGGATGACAGCAATGAGGGGCTCTGGTTGGGCGGCGTGAGCAGTATCAGTAGCTTCTGCAAGCTGCACTAAAGAGTTGGACCGTCAGAACATTCATCTGTGCAAATCCATCACAATCTCGTGTGCATATTAATCAAAGTGAAAATCAAGAGTGGCTAGTCATTGCAAACCTGTAGTCTGTGCCAAAACCCCCTGCTTGTCCCTCCTTCAGTTCTTCCTGCCCAAACCAGGCAACGCAAAGAACTCAAACACCTTCTCTGCCGGCACAGCATCCCCTCTCCTCCCCTCCAAGGGACTCATCTTGTGCCCCCTAACCACGCCGACCACGCTGCCCGTCTCTACGTCCACAACGGGTCCACCGGACGATCCGGGCGGTGGGAAGTTGGGCAGTGGCTTGCGCGTCTGACTCTGCATCACCTCGGGGTTGGACGTTGAGCCTGACGAAGCAGTTGAACCAAATGCGGCTGCGGGACGCGTTGATTCGGAGAGCGTGCTCGACAGCCTCAGCGCGTAATCGCCCTGCAGAGCCGGAGGGTTCGCCGGCGACGACACGAGAAGCTTGTAGTCCAGCTGCGCAAGCTCATCGTACGTACCCACCATCGCACTCGCCCCGCAGGGATCCTTGTACTCCACCAACCTCGCTCGTCCCCACCGGCTTCGACCTGCATCGTCGCGTTCCAGCGCTACGCGTTCCTTTTCCCGACCCTGGGGCGAGCTGGTCGTGGCGACGCCGAGGTTTTGCTGTTCGGAATCGTACGTGTACGCGGGCAGGATGGCACCGGAATCGTCCTCCCACCCCCAAAAGGACGAAACGGAAAGCTCACTGTTGACGTGTGCAGGGTACGGTGAGACAGGGAGCGTCCTGACCGGCTGTGGGGTCGCCGAACTTCCTTTGAGCGAAAGAGGTGTGGTGCCGAGTTGGAGAAGAATGACATCGGATGCAGCGAGGCTGCTGATCAGATTGCGCACGGGGTAGATGGCTCCTGTCCGAGTGATGGCTACAGCGATACTGTCAGCCGGAGAGCTCGTACTAGCATCCGCGGTGGAAGACTCGGCATCAGATGCAGCTTTGGACGGAGATGAGGCGCGCAAAGTGTGAGCACACGAGACGATGAGGGCGCCCTTTCCATCGCCATCTTCTGCCGAAATCTTATCTCCTCCCTCAACCGCAAACGCCGAGCAGACGCTGATACGCTCCGTGCCCCTCGCACCTGTCAAGTTCGACACGTACGCAAGCAGCAACACACCATCATCGTTGGCATCTTGCAGCTCAGCTTCGGAGCTATGGGCAGACGTGAGTGGCACCTTTCGTTCGTCAGACGGGGTCGGCTCGTAGGGAAGCTCGATGGACAGCTGGTACCCTGCCCTCGACTCGAACCGCTCCAACAAGCGCGGAATCGTGGCCGCTTTGAACAGATCAGCCGCACCTGCGGCTCGAGGACTCGGATTGGCAGAAGCGGCATGGAGCGCACGAGCAGCGGCCAGGACACGTTCGTCCAACTCGTTGCGACCGTAGAGTGCATCGATGGGATGAGGGTGTTCGCGATCGACGATGTTGCGTCGTTCTTCGAGCTCACGCATGGGTCGCTTGAACATCTCCTCGAGCATTTCGTCCCGCGAAGGGATCGGGATGCCCTTGCGTTCGGCGCCGATAGCGGTGCCTTTGATGCGTTGAAGATCAGCATGGCTCGTCTTTGACGGATCGCCGCTGCTGCCGCTGCCGTTGGAAGAGCCACGTGTCGGATCTCGCGGACGGTTGCCACGAAGGATGTCGGCGATGTCGTTGGGGTTCTTTCTGCCGAAGCGGGAAGGTGTGCTGTAGGTACCAGGAGGTGCCGAGCCGATTTCCTGTCCTTCTCTGGGCGGTGGCGGGACCGACGTGCCAAGGAGCGCATCGACTGAACTCGAAGGGTTCACGGGGACAGCATAGTATCGGAGTGCGGCGAAAGGCGCAGCGCTAGGCCGCTGAAGCACTTTGAGCCGGGTCGTTCGTGCAAGCATCTCAACGAGGAGCGATACTGGGTATCGTGTGTGGGTGGATCGCCACCGCTGATTGCGTGGTTGAGACCAAAGTATATTCTGACCTGGCGAGATTCGTGAAAGAGTCGACCGGATTGGGTTTACAGCTTCGAGGGAATGCTGCTGATCGAGATGATGGTGATTGATGAGCGATGCGATAGTGAGGATGATTGACCGTAGTTAGTGTGACAGGTACGTGTGACTCTGTGCTGAGCCTTATGCAAGTCAGCCAGCCTCGGCGTGAATGTGTGCCGGTGTGGAGGCCACCGCGCAATGAGCGGGCATCTTATCGGCCATATTTCACGGCGCCGGATGGCTTTGTTGCGCGTCTCGTCTGAGCTGGACAAATCACGTTCAGGGTCCTACTGCAGGTCAATCACTCAAGGGGCTGTGATAAGTTCGAGTTGCTTGCGTGCTCGAGCGTCGAATGCATGCATGCAAAGCAAGCTGTTCCGCTTCAGTCCGATCCACTGTGGCACTTGTTATCAGATCAAATCGCACCACGATACATTTCTCGACCAAACATACGAACGTCCCTGTAGCACATCGCCTGACAATCGGACTCGACCCGCCCGCAGAAGTGAACCACTGTACCCACAAACGGATTTCGTTTCACTTAGGCACAAATTCGTCAGCTTGGGCCGCCTCGGGAAGACAGTTCATAAGATAGTCACGCTGGTTGCGGTTGGGTTGGATCTTCCAAAAGAGACCTGTGCCATGCATCAGCCGTCCCGAAGAGCCATCCATGTCATCCTTCAAACACCTTTTTCTCGACCGTTTTCTGATCGATCTTGCTCCAAATTCGAGGAGGAGGATCTCCTCGTTCTTCCGCGTCTCGTGATGCCCAAAAAAAGCAAAAATTTCGACTAGGGGCCGCTACGAGGATCGAACTCGTGACCTCTTGCATATTTCGCTTACAAAGACCCAAAGCAAGCGCGATACCACTACGCCAAGCGGCCAGATCATGTCTCACGTGAGAGATATAGCATATACAACCCCTCAATCGTGCCCAACAATCAATTTGCAACTCTGATCCTTTTCTCGACTCGCTTTCTGTCTCCCCGGACTTCGACTCAATCCTTTCAACATTCCAGGCGACACTCTTGGAATAAAGTTGTACATTGCTGAAAGCCTAATCCCAGAAAAGAGACTCGATCACCACAGCAGACGACGCTCCTCCCTCTCGGCTCTGGCGACGCGCTTGTTGAGACCCCAGGACTGCTTCTTGAGGTCGTCCTGTTGCTTCTTGACCTGCTTGACGGCTTTGGGCAGCGGCGCGACGATCGAGATGAACAGTGCGCTGCAGTTGAACTGCTTGGCGAGCTTGGATTTTGTGTAAGTGATGGGGTCTTGGCGACGCAGTCGTTGGATCTCGGCGATCTGGTCGGGGGTGATGGCGGTTTCGACGGTGTCTCGTTGTGCGGAGAGGCGCGATCGTGGGCGAAGCGCGGGGGGTAGGGCGGATGTTTCGGAGGAAGGTTGAGCGTGGAGCAGGGGTTGCGGTTGGTAGATGGTGGAGCGGGAGGGAGGCGAGGAGGGAGGTGGTCGGACGATGAACGTTTCGCCGGAGGGGAGCGTGTGACGGGTGGCATCGGGAGAGGCATCGAGCGGATCACGAGGTCGTCGTGCCGGCGTGTTGCGCAGTCCAACGCTCGACGTTGCGAATCCTCGTCTCGATCCAGGCATCTGTCGTGAGCTGCTCGAGAATGTGCGCTTACCGGCAACAGCTTCGGGACTCAGAGGTGCCGATGCAAACGACCAACCTCTGGGTCCACCCCAGGTGCCCTTGACGTACGAGTTGTAGTACACCCACGGGAAGAAGTCCTTCTTCAAATGGTAGAATGCTGTCCTCGGCACACCCTGGTCGATGCCGAACAAGTTTCCAAACGTCTCCTTGGGCTGTCCGCCGTACTTGAATTCTGCCAGCATCACCTTTCCATACTCGGTGAGCAAGGGGCAGGACGTGTATCCATCGTACGCCGCATCCGGCTCCTTACCCTCGATCGCCTGACTGAGGTTTCGCACCAGCACGGGCGCCTCCGCTGTGATAGCCGCCGCCGTCTTGGACGTGGGCAGAGAAGACGCGTCGCCGATACTCCACACATTGTCGAATCGCTTGTGTCGCGTAGTCCCCTGGTCGACGTCGACGAAACCGGCGCCATCGGCAAGCGGGCTGTTCTTGATCACCGCCAGAGGTCCCATCTTGGGTGTGACGTGGAGCAGGTCGAACTGCTTGCGCACCTGCTCGGCGCCGTCTGGACGAGCAAACACCGCCGTATTACCCTCGATCGCTACGAGGTCATGCTGGAAGAGACCCTCGACACCGCGCTCCTGACGAAGCTCGTTGAGACGCTCGCTGTACTTGGGCACACCAAACATGACGGGCAGACCGGTGGCAAAGTCGATCGAGATGGGAGAGTTGGACGGATCAGCGGGGTTGTACAGCCCTGACTGCTTCCAGTGGTCCAGCGCCAGCCACATGGCTTTCTGCGGTGCACCGGCGCACTTGATGACACCGGCAGGCTGAGTGAAGATGGCCTTGCCAGACTTGAGCTTCGAGATATTGTCGAAGACCTTGTCGCATGTGTTGTAGCCGTAGATGGTCGAGACGAGCGAGGAAGAGTCGGCGAGTGCTTCGGGCAAGCCTTTGATGGCGTCGTAGTTGATGCTGAGACCGGGAACGACAACGAGCTGGTCGTATGCAATCTTGTTCCCGTTGGCCAGCGTGATCTGGTTCTGTTCGGGAGCAAAAGTGTCGACAGCGGATGCGTAGTGTTTGAGCTTGGGATCGAGAAGCGAGGCGAGCGGTCGACGGAGGTCGCGCTTGTCCTTGAGACCGCCGCCGACGAGCGTCCATCCTGGCTGGTAGTGGTGCCATTCGGAAGGGTCTACGACGGCGATGTCGTCCTGATCAAAGGCACCAGATCGGACGAGCTGGTGACTGACGGCCATTCCGGCAGATCCACCGCCGATGACGACCACCTTGTGACTGCTGGATCCGGATGCACCATGCTGAACGGGCGAGTCCGAGACGGTAGCGAGTGCTCGAACAGCTTGGGTCGCACCGCCGAAGCGAGAGCGGGACGCCCTCGCGGTAGATGCGAGCGTCGCGTTGAGTATGGCGTGCATTGCGATGCGATCTGCGTGCTGTAGCGGGATAGATACAGACACTTTGGACCGGTGTGATGATGGTGCAGATGATACATTCACAGTCTCGCTGATCTTCTGAATCGGATTTTTGAGAAGAAATGCAAAAGCGGTCTTGAGCGGAGCATCGCGAAAATTGCCCGACAGCAAGCACGCCATCGAAATCGAGCCCCGTCTCAAAATTTGTTCAGTGTTCAGACGTAACACGCTCACTTTTTCTGCCTTCAGGTCACCTTTCTGACCTGGGTCGCATCCGACCAAACTCTGAGACAAAGATGCACTCACACATGCTCACAAACACGGCAGCCACGGACAGAGAGAGAAGGCGATAAGCTTCCTGTAAGAATGCACCCCTTTGATCGCTGAATTACCACTGATACTCTCCAGGAAGACGGTCCGAACGCGGCTCTTGCCTGTTCTGACTACCGTCAGCTCTGGGCGTCGCGAAAGGCGAAGAGACGTACGAAGCAGGCGATGAGATTGCCGCCAGATCCATCCCTTGCATGCCGCTTGACAGCTGATCGCCCGTTGTTGCCAACGGTGGCAGCCGCGGCGCTGCTGCCTGTCCCAAGCCTTGCGGCTGGGAAGAGGCGTACGGATCGTAGCTCGCGGAACGGTGGCTAGAGGCGCTAGCGGTCCTTGCAGGGCGCAGCAGAGGCCGGACCATCTCGACGAACAACGGCAGCATCTCGGGCAGCACTTTGAGCTCCGGTGCTTTCGGTGCGGGGATCTTGCGACGCTTGCGGGTCTTGTCCGCATCGGTGCCGTCCGCGGACGCACCATGCGGCAGCGTGGGTAGATCCTTGTCGAGCTGCTTCAGATTGCCCTGCGTCAAAGTCGTTTGACGGGAAGGGGTTGGTCTCCATCTTGGAGCCTCTTCTTCTTCATCATCCTCTGCCGATACTTCGCTGTCGCTTCTCGAGAACTTGCGCAGTCTGTTCCTGCTGCTTGGATCCTCGCCGTGCCCTTCGTCCGAATCCTCCTCATCTGATGTCTCCATCTCATCCTCTTCCGCTTCAGCATCCGCCACCTCTCCTGTGAAAATATCACCGACGCCCAAATTCTCGACCATTGCACCCACGAACGCCGAATCGTCCTCCTCGGTCAGGCCATCTGTTCTGCGCTTCTTTTCCGCTCCTATGAGCTTGCCCGCCACACCGGCGACTTCGCGATCCGCCAGCTTGCGACGCAGCTTGAGTTCGCGCAGGAACTTGAGTCGGTAAGCATACAGGGCCAGCGAGTCGATCTCGTCGAGCGCCTTCCTGCGCTCCTCGCCCCCAGCGGGCAGGCAGATTTCCAGATCCACTTCTCCGATGCCTCCCGATTTTCCCACCGCCTGCTCCGTGCCTGCTTGCTGCGAGACCACTTCGGCAGACCTTTCGTTGCCGCGGACAAAGTTGATGAAGAGCTCGATCCAGTGCATGAGACCGTCGAACAGCCCTGATCCCTTGGAATGCACTTGATGAACAAAGTTGTAGAACCGACCCTCGTGCCTCTCAACCAGGTCCACGAACACCTGCACCGTGCGTGTCGGATCTGTATAGCTGAGCTCCTCGTTGGCCTCAACAGTCTTGATGAGATCGGTGATGAAGGCTTGAAGATCCGACAGGCTGTCGGCAATGTTGGCGAGCTTGTAGACTTGGGCAAGCGGTGAGTAAAAGATGGTGACCATATCCTTGAGCAGTTCGGCCGTGACGCCTTCAAAGATGAGCGAAATCATCTGCTCCTTGTCACGTTTACGTGTGAGCATCTTGACGAGCACGTGCAAGTCTTCGTACAGCCAGGCATCGTCGTCCTGTGGACCCTCATCTTCCAAGTCTGGGTTCTTGAGGCCTCGACGATACTCCTTATACACCTCGTACGCCTGACTCGCCTTGACGACGCGGTGAATCTGGGACCGGCTCAGCATAGGTGCTTCGGGCGAGCGGAGGATGGTGGTGAGCAGATCGAGACGCTCCTCGTCGGCATCTTTGCGATAGAGAGCCTGGACCTCGGCGGGCGCGTAAACAAATTGTCGCACCTTTTCGCAGATGGTCGCGTCGTCAACCTTGGCAGAGATGGCAGCACACACTTCGTCGAGCTCGCGCACCTCATCCTGAAGGCTGCTGGAAAACATGCGCTGCAGCAGACTGCGTTGACCAAAGGGCTGGGCGAGGAAGATGTCGAGCACGCCGCGAACCATGGCCATGGGGTTGGAAATGCGGAGGATGCCACGCAGCATAAAGTAGGGCATCATTCCGTGCATGCGCTTCATCTGCGAAAAGATCTCGGACGAGTTGTCGCTGCCCATGAAAATGTGGAAGATGGTGGAGGCGAGGCTGATGCGCGCCCACTTGAGCAGCGCTTTGTACTTTTCAGGAAGATCCTCGATGCGAGGCGTCGACTTGATGGTGGCAAAGATACGACTGAGACCGTCGTGCTGGACGAGGTCTTGCTTGAACTCTTTGAGATGCTGTTGGAGCTCCTGTGCGCGCTTGGCGGCTTCGTCGGAGAAGCGCTTGTGTTCTTCTTCGCGGACGTGGTCGAGACCCTCTCGAATGGCGGCATCCTCCTCCTCAGCGCGGGTGAGCGTGGTGGGCTCTGCGGTGAGGAAATCCATGAGCAGAGCACTTTCAGCTACAGAGGGGCTGGCCAAAAGCGAGCGCAGATAAGCTCGTAGCGTGAGGCGATTCTTCTCCCTGGCGAGCGGACCGGTGGGCATAGGGATGCGCGACTGCGAGCTGGCAGAGTCTGTCGATGCGCGGGGATATGGGTCTTCGATCCCTGGTGGCTGTAACGTAGCAGCTTGTGACGGAACAGCGGCTGACTGCTTCTGGTAGGGATCGGCAACATCGGTATTGCTGCGGTCCTTGGGTGGTGGTGGACGGATGCCCTCGTCTGGGTATTCGACCTTCAGTGTCTCTGCGAGCTTCTCGAAATCGCCGTACCGGCGAGAGACGTATATGTCTGGCTGACCATATCCTCGGCGTGTGCGGATGATGAACTCTTCATGCGCTCGACTGCGAAGCCTGCCCTTGACGACGACGTTTCTGACGGAGACAACGTTGATATCAAAACCAGACGAGGCATCGTCGTCATCTCTTGCGGACGCGGCACCAGCTCTCCCGAGGGCGGCTTTGCGACGCGACTCGACGGCGTCCATCTTTGCACGATCGCGTTCGGAGATGCGAACCACATCCTCGCCTACGGCTTTGACTTTGATGGCAGAGCCCATGAGGAGGACAAAGTATTTTTCGAGCTTTGTGGTGAGTTTGCGTCGCTTTGTGGATTCATCTCTGTCTTCGGTGCCGCTGATGTTCCGTTCGAGGAACTTGTCGAAGAAGACCTGGACCTTGTCTGAGAAAAAGTTGGGCGGCGCTGATCTGAGGAAGGGAAAAGTGAGGACGAAGTGTTGAAACATGAAGCGCAGCAAAGGCAGATCGGTCCTTCGAGCTTCGGGAGAGGCGCGGAAGGGTGGGCCGAAGGTGGAGAGCGCATCCTTGGTGCTGAGCTGAGCCACCTCGCGTTCCATCTGGAGGCGGATGAGCGTCTTCTTGAGATAGTGGGCTCGTAGCGGTGTCAGCGCCGCCGGATCATTCGGATTCGCAAGATTGGGTATGCTCGCTCGGGCTGCTCTGCCCGAAATGATGGCATCGTCGTTGTCCGCTTGAAGTGGAGCGAGCGAGGTGCCCGCCGAAGCGAAGGCAGGATCGATCTCTGTCGCCAAGCTCATCGTGTCGAGAGCGCTGCGACCCAGATCTGCGCGCGGTGACGATAGCAGGTCGTCTGAACTCGCAAGGCTGCCTCGAGGTAGCTGCCGTCGCCTGTGGGTGGATGTGCCTTCTACGATAGGTCCTGCGTCGAGTCTGCGCGAGCTGTGTCGTGATGTTGATGGAAGGATGTCGAGCGGAGCAGTCGTCGAGCAAGTCAGCTCCCCGCGCTCAGTCTGCAACCTTTTTTTTTGGCTAACCCGGCTGTGTATCGCAGTCTGTGACGTGACCCTGCGCTCTGAAAACGCACGTTGACTGATATGCAGCCACAAACACAAAAGAGTGTGGAGGGGCCATCACCCAAAAGCTCGGTGATTTACAATTTTGCGAGCTCGGCTTCTCGATTGTCAGTCCCTGAAGCGTTTGTGCCTGAATCGTCGGATGGCAACACAACGTGCCGAGACTGTCGGAATCTTTGCTTACATTTGTTACAAATCAATAGCTAACATTTTCTAGCCTCAAAATAAGTTCATCAGCTACCGGGTTGATTGCCGGCCTTTTGGATTTCTTCGAAACTGATTATCGTGTCAAAGCGGGGCTTGGTTGGACGGACACCAACACCATCTGCCTACCCCAACAAGTCGTTCCATCGCAAGGTCCACCGACGGACCTCGCGAACTATCCTCTCCTCTTCCCAGCCACCATCTCCTCTCCATAGAACTCTTCGTGGAGCATTCACACGAGCCATTGGGATCTGATCATGCTCGACGACGAGCTGCAATCCGCCCTCGATCGGCGAGCTGCCAAAGGTACGCTTCGAAATCTCACGGTCTACCCCACCACCCCATCCTCATCTTCCTCTTCGACATCCTCCCCTCAACAACCGGCGCTGGTCGATTTCTCGAGCAACGACTATCTCAGCCTCGCCACTTCCTCTCGCGTTCGTTCCGACTTTGTCTCGATCGTCACCCGCAATCCAGCACTGTCGTCTCAACTCGGTAGCGCAGGCTCACGGCTGCTCGACGGCAACTCCTCCATCCACGAGCAGATCGAATACCAACTTACCTCCCACTTCGCATCCTCTTCCGCCGGCCTCCTCTTCAATTCCGGCTACGAGGCTAATGTTTCCCTCTTGAGCACGCTACCTCAACCCAAGGACGTGGTGATCTACGACGAACTCGTGCACGCATCCGTACACGATGGGTTGCGAAGATCTCGTGTCCCCGCTCGCCTTCGCATTCCCTTCCGACACAATTCGACCGAACACCTCGAGCAGATCCTGGAAAGCTTGACGCGGGATGGAACACTGACCGCGGGATCAAGCAATGGTGCGGGCGAGAGGAACGTGTGGTTGGCGGTGGAAAGCGTCTATTCGATGGACGGCGATGCGTGCCCGTTGAACGCGCTGCTGGACGTCATGTCGAGGTACGTCGATGACCGAAGGATATGTGGTGTTGTCGATGAAGCGCACTCCACTGCTCTGTATGGAGAACGCGGGCGTGGGTTGGTCAACGCCCTAGGACTGCAACGAGACCCCAGGATTGCCGCGCGACTCATGACGTTCGGAAAGGCGTGGGGTGCAAGTGGAGCCATCGTGCTGTGCAGTCAAGTAGCTCGTCACTACTTGATCAACTACGCCAGACCGTTGATCTTCAGCACTGCATTGGGCTATCCGCAGCTCGCGTCCATCATGGCTTCTTTTAACTCGATCCAAGACGGCACTGCACAACGTGCAGCACGCAAAACGTTTGCCAACTCGAGACGGCTAGTTGATGGATTCGAAGCTGTGATCCGAACGCAAAGGGTTGGGGACAAGAGAAGCGTTGCTCTACCCCCTCATCTCAAGCCTGCGTCTCCAAGTCCGGATTCGGCGAAGCATGGTTTGGAAGCGGGGAAGGACGATTTCGTGGGCTGGTCGATGCAACAACCATCACCGATCATTCCGCTGCTCACAGCTGACGCTAGGGAACTCGCGGCGCATTTGAGGGCGAACGGGTTGCTGGCTAGGCCCATTTGCTATCCCACGGTACCCAAGGGCGAAGATAGGGTGAGGATCTGCGTTCATGCGGACAATGCAGCCGAGGATATCGACCGACTCATCGAGTGCGTTCGACAGTGGGTGGGAGGCACCTCGTCGCCACAGCCGGTCGTCAGAAGCTCCGCAAATGACGGCCGACCGACGACGAGGACGGCTCAATTGCTCGCATCCAAGTTGTGATCATACCAGCACAGACGATTGCGAAACCATCCTTTGGAAAACATCTCGATGAAAGCCTGTGAACAGCCAGGCAAGGGATCTCAGTAGTTGGAACCCGTCGCCGTCGGTGCTGCAGCGCCACTCCTGATTTGCTCCACGATGGCCTTTGTCCCACTCGCACCGACCCTAGTAGCGCCATTTTTCACCATCAAGTGAACTGTCTCCAAGCTCCTGATCCCACCACTCGCCTTGACCTCCTTCGTCTTGCCGTCCCATCCCAGATCCTCCCTCTTGGCCACCTCGTACATCAACCTCACGTCCTCCTTACTCGCACCTGCTCCACCGTAGCCCGTACTCGTCTTGACGAAATCGCCACCTGCCAGGCAGGCCAGGTAGCTGGCGATTGCGATCTGCTCTTTGGTCAACATGGCGGTCTCGAGGATGACTTTGAGCTTGGCATCGTTGGCGTGGCACTCGTCGGCGATGGCGAGGATGTCGTTGTAGACGTCCAGGTAGCGTTCGGAACGAAGCAGGCCGATGTTGTTGACCATGTCGATCTCGTGGGCGCCTTGTTGGCAGGCGATGCGCGCTTCGAGCACTTTCGAGGGGGTGTTGGAGCATCCGAAGGGGAAGCCGATCACGGAAATCGGTTTGACGGGCGTGCCAGAGAGGTGCTGCAAGACGAAAGGGATCATGGAGGAGTTGACACAGACAGTGGCGGTATTGTATTGCTTGGCTTCCGCGCAGACGGCTTCGATCTGGTCGAGAGTGGCATTGGGTGCGAGGAGCGTGTGGTCGATCAAGGCGGACACTTCGGCCTCGGTGGTAGGCACCTTGGGTTCAGGCGCGATAGGTGGCAGTGCGCTGAGGTCTGACGGCAGAGACGCGAGGAGCGACTTGATGCCGGCGGCGAGCGATTCTTGTGTTACGCTAGCCATGGTGTTGTGCGATCAGATGATGGATAAACGGCAAGATGCAAATGCGTCACCAACAGAGGATATCAGAGTGTAACTCTGCGGAACAAGTTCAAGCGAAAGTGTCTCTGAGTTTATCGGATGCTCGGCACATTGCCTGCCTGGAATTGAGAAGATTCCTCTTGTCGTTCGGTCATGTCCGACACGCATCGGCGATTTCAAGCGAAAATCGGTCGATTTTGGGAAAAGTGGAGAATTGTCCATTCGGAAGAACCGACTTTGGTCAGCGAGCTTCTCTTTCTGAACGGACCACGATCCGATCAAGTCTAGCAGCTGCTCATCCCAGCTTCCTTCTATTCCACCAACACAGGCAGCAAGCTCTGGCCATCCAGAAGAAATGGTATCATCGCTCAAGACAGTCGCCGGTGCAAGCCGTGCATTGACACGATCGACACTGTCCCCTGCCCAACAATACGCCACCGCACGAGCCTCACCCATCCTCATCCAACGTCCCATCTCCACTACCCGCTCCCACCTATCGTCCACCCCTCCCAGACCTTTCAGCTCCAACACCAGTGTCGGCAACCTCGAAACCTCCGGGTTCCGTCCCCGACCCTCCGTCACCGGCCCAGGCGCGGTACGCGTCGGCACCCTCTTCACCTCCCTCATCGCCCTCGCCGTCGCCGTCACCGGGTACGGCCTGTACGAGTACTACACCTCCTTCTCCGCCTGGCCCGTATCCATTCGCGACGACCTCCGCGCTGCGATCAAAGCTCGCAATCGTGGCGATGCGCGTCGAGCCGAAACGTACTTCCGTAAAGCTCTGGCAACTGCGAGAGGCATCAAGGCGGAGCTGAATGAGCCTACACCGACGCCGAAGGGTGCGCCAAAGAGTGAGGCGGGTGAGGCGATGCTCAAGATCTCCGGGATTGCGATCGCGCTGGCTGCGCTGTTGGAGGGGGAGGGGCAGGTGGAGGAGAGTTACAACGTTCTCGAGGATGTTTGGGAGGAAGTTATGGAGAGAGGAAAGTACGTGAATGTCGGCGAGGAGAAGGGTGAGGTGAAGAGGAGTGACAGGGATAGGATGAGAGCGGTGCAGATCGCGCAAAAGCTCGGCATGTTGGGTCAGCTGCCAGAAGTGAGGCTCGCTGTGCTGGACAAGATCAAAGCAATCCATTTGGGAGAACAGCAAGAACAAGGGGCCATGAAGTACAGGTTCAGTCTGACGGGAACGTCAGAATCACAGGACCCAGCAGAGAAGTGGCTCGTGTGGAGCGTTGAAGAGCTTTTCCGACTCGTCCTACCAGCTGAAGTGCATGCGTCCGCTCTCGCCGCTGCAGCTGCTCCACCACCCGCCGAAACCAGCGAATTCAAACCAAAGCTTCCCACCACGACTTTGACGACGGTCAAACCACCAACCTCCATCTCTCTAGCGGATCTCGACCTCCCCGCGTGGGTGACGAAACTCGACCTCCTCTCATCCATCGAAACCCTCGGCACATTTTACGCAACAAAATCCCTGCCCGAATACGCAGTCCCGCTATACCTTCAGACACTATCCATCCTGTTACCTCCCACCAACGCCAACAGCGGTGGTCGTGGAGCGCCACCGACCGCCAGCGAGAGATGCAAAGCTGGTCTCGTGATGAACAATCTTTCGCAACTGCTGTCCGGCTCCAACATCAAAGATGCTACCAGTTGGGCGATCAAAGGCCTGGAAGTAACGGATAAGACGGTTCAGATGGCTGGATTCGAGTCCGTCCCAGAGAGCAAGGCCGGTAAAGCAGCGGAAGTGGTCCAAAGTTCGGACGAGAGGACACAAGAGGTTCGAACGGAATGTCTTGGTGTCAAGTTGACGCTCCTGTACAACCTTGGCGTGCTCAACGACGTAAGTTTTCCCCCGTCCCTCACCGCGCTTCTCAAACCTCATCGAATACTGACATCCTCCCTTTTTTTACGGCAAACAGATGGCAGGTGACAAATGTCAAGCTCGAATCTACTTTCAAAAAGCCTACGCACTCGCGGACAAGATGGGAGGCCCCGCTTCTGGTGTCGCCAAGCAGAAGGCCGCCGAGAGTCTGGCGCGGCTCGAAAGACGCAAGTCTTCCAAGGCATGATCCGTTCCGAACAGGAATGCCACCTCCAAACTTTCAATCGCATTATTGCTGCATAGCAAATAGATTCACCACTGACATTTCGTGCGCAGGACTGTGGAACGTCAAGCTCAGATGAGAGCGTACGATTCGTCCAAAACGGCGGGACGGACGTTGAATCGTGATATGGCTTCGAGCAGTGCGTCGCGCGTGAGCAGCAAGGCTGGCCTGCTCGTTCTGTTGCCGTTCACGTGTGTTGCTCGATCAGCCCCACCGCTCGCTGCACCGCTGTGCTCCACCACCGCTTCGTCGCTAGCGTTGAGAAACGGCGTCGTAGGAGCATCGACTAGCCCAGCCTCTCGCAGCGCGAGCACAATGTCGTCCGCGCGCAGATGGGTCAACCTCGACAAGTCGTCCACCGTGACGGCCATCGTGGCGGGCCCCTCGTCGTCCATCTTTGACAGATCCAGCACTGGGTGAACTTCCACCTCCGTGCCCTCATCCGTTGACAGACCATTGGTCGCGACTCTGGAGGAGCGACGTGCGCCTTCGCCGTCAGCGGCCGCACCGTTCTCACTGCTCCTGCTCTGCTGTGGGCGACGGGGCGTTCGAGTGGGAACGCTTCCTGCCCAGCCTTTGAGCCTGAGCTTGCGCTTGTGGGATCCAGCCGCCGAACTCGCTGCGTTGTCCGAGGTGTTGGCTTCTGCGACCAGCTGCTGCAGCTCTGCGAATCCAGGCTGATGCGAGATGGACTCGATGGGTAAGCCCAAGAGCTTACACCGTTGCGTCAGGATATGCCATCGACGCAGAGAATCTTCAACCTTATCCTGTGTATCGCTGGATCTGGCAGCGTCGTCCAGTGGTTTGGCAGCCGACGAAGCCCTCCGCTGTCTCCCCGCGCTACCGCCGCTTGCGACTCGCAGCGGACCATCGAAGCAGCTGATCAGAGCCCTCAGCAAAACCGCGGTCCAGAAGGACAAGTATCCCTTGAGCCCAAGATCCGACAATGGCCTCTCTGGCGTGCCCAACATGCCCTGACCCGCCGAAAGCAGGTACGAGAACTCAATCATCAGAGTGCCAAAACTCTTCCTTTGAAATGGAGGGAACGTCACGATGCACGCCAGATTGTAGTCGTCGTACGAGACCTTTTCCTTCGAAAAGAAGCCAAGCGGATGATCGAAGGATGCGTTGGCAGCGTCCGTGAGGATGTAGAACACGAACGGCTCGACGTCAAAGTAGATAGTCTTGTGATCGATAAAGAGCTTGCCGAAGAGCGACAGGTTCTGGCAGTAGAGCTTTTCGGCTGCTCCATCGACCTCCCAGATGATGTGCGCGCCGCGTTGGTAGACCTTGCGACCCGGAGGATGGGTGTTGCGACAGAATTTGCGGTGTGCAGCGAAGCCGTTGTACGTCTTCATGTACTTGAAGCATCCGTCACAGATCCAGAGCATCTTTGTCGGGATGAGCGGATCCTTCTTGGATCGCCCAACGCCACTGATAGTGGAAGGCGAAGCGGGTGAGTGTCGGCCAGAAGCAGCAGTGATGCTGTCTGAAGAGCTGGATGCAGCCAGCGACTTGATTGCTGGTGCATCGCGCGCGGAGCCGGACAGAGCTCCTCCCAGGCCACTCGAGCTGTCTCTGCGCGCGCCGCGCTTGGCAGCCGCGGCCGAAACATTCGCTCCTGTGCGCAAAGCCGAGGGCGATTGATTGCGTCTGCCGCTAGCAAGGGTCGCATTCGCTGAATGGGCAGTCGAGGTTTCCGGGCCATCGTCATCGTGGTCGAGAGGATAAGGACTGTAATACCACGTCTTGATGTCGTAATTGCCGTACAAGACGCGATCAATGTTGCGTAGCGCTGGAGTATCGGAAGGGGACGATGCGACTGCCTTTTGCCTGCCGCGATGACTCGTGACTCGATCAGCAACCGCTGGAGACGCCTGTCGGCTAACAGAGGGAGTGCGGCTGCCATCACTGCCATCGGTGGGGGGATCATTTTCCGCCTTTCTTTTTCCCTTTTCGATTGATTGCGGAGGTGTGCTTCTGTTGACACCCCTGAGAGGAGTTGTAGAGCCGACCGAGCCAGGCCTGGTGTCCAGACCGGATGTCGTTGAAGCGGGTTGGACAGTGGAGCAGTCGACCCAGCCGTCCATGCGTTTGTCCTGGTCGTGGCGGTGGATGTAGTATTGCACGTTGTCGGAGTCAGCTTCGGCTTTTGCGAGCGTAGATGAGCTACCGGATCGCCGTGAAAGGATGGTCGCCAGATACGATTCGCCGGACTTGCTGTCAATGCCCTCACATACAGATCCTACGGGCAACACGCTCGACTGTGCTCCAGTTCGATGGTCGTGCGAGGACGGTATCGCAGAGGGCATTTTGCTAAGTCTGCCGAGCTCTGGCTGGAGGTTTTAGCCTTCCGAGAGCGTGACTGAAGGCCATCTAGTCGGTAAAGCCAATCCGCAAATGCATCATGTGGTTGTCAATGTAGCGCCATTGACCAAATGCGCTGTGACGAGGGTTCGCTTTGAAGCGGTCGAGAGGGTGAGTCCACGGTAACGAGCCGACAAGGGGTCAGACGCGATCGCATGCAGGAGTGTTGCTGACAGTGCTCTGGCGTAGTGAACTCCTTGCAGTGTTGGGAGGCGTCGGACGTTGTGTAGAGGCAACGTCGGATGCTCTGTGACGATTCGGATGACCCGTAGAAGAGAGCAAACCTCCACGTCCAGCCAGGGTGCTGGCCGACAACCTAAATTCACGACAACCGACAAACTCGACTGAAAGCTTCTCAACAAAGTCGCGCTCGGCGCTCGCGACTCGCGACGCCTTCGCTTTTCGCCTTTTCAAGCATCATCAGAACCCATCAAGTCCCTGTCTTGCCCCAAATGAATCGGATGCGATGTGAATGCGGCGCGACATGATTATATTGAAGCTGGAAGCGAAACAAAGTAGCGACAGGAGTGGATAGACGAAACAATGCAAAGTGAAAGATGAAGAACATGGCGCAAGACGGCAAGGAAGGGCTCGGCCGCCGACTTTCATGGAAACTCCCGCTCCGTCCGTCGGATGGCAAGAAAAGCGGCCGAGTGATGACATTCGATCTCGGCATCGAAATCGATCCCGATGGATTGGCACACCTTCTGCAGCTCGACGGCTACAAAGTCTTGATCCTGCAAGCTCAGCTTGCGCTGTTCAGCGTTGTCATGCATGAACTTAAGGTAGCCCGAGCTGGACCGCACCCAATCTGCCATCTTTCGAGGCGTTGACATCGAGACAATGAGATCGCCGTGCGAGTTGTCACACCTTACCGCTCGACGGACACTCGGTGCAATCCACTCTGGCAGTTGGTTGATCATCGATGCGAAACGTTCGGGGTCATCCACTTTGGAAAGTTGCGAAGAAGTTGCTTGCTCTCCTAAGACGGTGCAGTCGTCGATAGGGATCCAGCAGTACGAGTCGCGATCCCACAGCGCCTCGAGACTGGTGTCGTGATCCCATGGCATGGACAGCTTGCGATAAAGTCCGCCCGAGCGTAATTCTTGGACTATCGTCGAGGTGCCGTAATATCGCTCGATCTCGGGACAGTTGAGCGGGAAATCCAGCAACCAGTCGCGCAAAGGGCGGATCTGATCTCCCTTTTCGCCGGTGTACGGTCCGATGGCAGGTCTGCCACCCGTCACGATCAACGTTCCACCTGGCTTGAGCAGCGATGCCCACTTGGTCCAGTTGGCCTCTGGTCTCTGCCAGTCCAGCCAGTGGATACATGCCGCCATCATGATCAGGTCCACTTTCTCCCCTGGTGGCAGGATCGGATCCTCTCCACGGGCTTCGGAAAATTCAATGCGCATCGGATCCCGAACAGCAGGCAGGTGCACTTCTGCCAGCTCCTCCTCCGACATGTGCTTGACTGTATTGGCCAGCTTGAGCATGTTGGGTGATGGATCCTGCCCATACACTCGAGCGAAACGGGTGGCGAGATGAATCGACATCTGGCCAGGTCCGCATCCGATTTCGAGCGCAGACTGCCAGCGATCAGTTGAGTTCGAACTGGAGTCGCGCTGCGCATGGTAGTCAAATACGGTTTCGGTCACGGTGGGAGGATAGGGCGTGCGAGCACGAAGGTACTGCATCGCGTTGTACGAGTCGTGGCTCCACGCCGATCCCAGATCGTGGGGCGCCATCTCCAAGGCAATCTCGAGCTCGAGCTCAAACTCTGGATGTAGCGGAAAGAAGAGCGAAGAGGTCGATGATGACTCGGAACCTGGAAGCGACGGGGACCAGAGTCCGGAGAGGTGCGAGGACGATGCGTGCGAGCTGCCGCTGGCGAAAGCAAAACTTGCGTCGGGTTCTGCCTCGAATGACGGCGACGCCTTTCCTGTTCTCGACAGACGACTCGAGCTCAAGCGCCGAAAGAGCTGCCGAAGATGAGAAGAGAGCGAGCTTCCGCGTCGCAGAGGCGTTGTTGCTGGGACTTTGTCGTCGTCGTCGTGCGCGAAAGTGGTATGCGATCCTGAACAGCCGGGACGTCGGTGTGATGCAGCCTTTATAAGTGTTCGTGATCGTTGCGGCTGCTGTTGATACAGCGATAAGGATGCCGGCTTCAATGCCATCCGTGGCGAGCTTTCGAGCAGATGTGGAGACAAGAAGACACGACCAGATACTATAATTGGTTTCCGTTGGAGAAGTGGGTGAGAGAGGCACCAACGTTGTCCACGGAGCTGAGCCTGATTCCTAAGCGAGCTGCTTATTTTTCAGCGCGTTGCGTGGTACAGTGCACACGGCAGCAAAATCAAAACTCTCCCGCCGGGAACCCTGGAAAGTTCGGCCGCACTTCTCCGAGTCAAGTGCGGTGTTGCGTTGGCTGATACGTCTTTAAGTGCTCGTAGATGCGAGGTGGAGGTGAAAGACGTTGATCGAGGTGAAGGTGGAGGACGTTGACGAACCTTGATTTCCCCAAGAAGGTGTTCCTTATGCTCGAGAGCGGCTGGACGACTCATCCGGGAACATGTTCATGAGCCGGTCGGATCGGATCGTCCGCCCACCTTGCGGACAAGCTTTGCCACCCACCGAGAGGATCGTGTGGAGGACTATTTCTATCACGTGCCGTGCGTAGGTGAACCTGTTCATCAAGAGAGCCGCTACAATGTGGCTACCCATCTAGCAGAGCCGCAATGTGGTTCATCATCGTCAAAGAACGTGGGTCTGCGCTTTGTCCGTCATTTCTCCTGACAAACAAATGCCAAAAAACAAGTGCATTTTCCATTGTCACAAGGGTCCGAGAAGACTTCCAAGGCGATCCTTGCTTGCATTGCATGTCACTCAATGGTCCAGTGGGGGGGTCTGTGGTACAAAGTCAACGAACAGATCCAGTCTGTTGCGATGTGTCGACCAGCGACGCAACTAAATCCCTAACAGCACTTGCCTGTCCTCCATACACCTCTCTCTCCTCTTTCTCTCAGTTCTGCGAGACGTTCTCCTTGAACCTACCGATGTAGTTTCCAGGAGGATCGTAGTTGCACACCACATATTTTGCCTCCCCACTCCCACTTCCGAATCCTAGAGATTCACCCGAACATTTTTGCAACGCACATCCCAACTGTTTGGAAGACTTCCACACCATCTGAGTGAAGTGGCCCGTAGCATCGCTGTATTCACCCTTGTTGAAATCGTATTGGGAGATTTCGTCGTACCACAGGTCTGTGGCGTCTTTGGCACCGAAATCGGTCCAGGTGCCCGCAGCGATGTTCTGGCCGTACGGGTTGTTGGGTGTGTGACCCCATTGGCATTTTGCGGCCCAGGAGGCGGCAGCAGAGGCAAGGGTGGGAGACCAGGTCAGGGGGGAGGCAGAGTGCTTGGCTCGGTCGGTGTTGTGGATCGAGAGGATGGTCGATTCGAACGACGATAGGGAGCCGGAAGAGCCTGTGGTGCCAGTCGAACCAGATCCAGCAGACGAAGCGGTCGAAGTCACCGCTTTGGCTTTGGTACTGCTAGCAGCCACCACCTTGGACGTCACAAAAGTCAGCTTATTCGTACTGCTGGGACGCTTGGAACTCGTCTTTCGCTGTGTCGTTTTTGCCTTGGCAGCGACTACCACTTTTTTGGGACTGCCCTTCTTCTTCTTCTTGTTTCGGTGTTGTTGCTTCTTGTTGGCTCGTGCAGACACTTTGCATGATGTTCCTCTGGGTTTCCATTCGTTGTTTGAGACGGCTACACTGTCACGCTCGACAACGGGTTGGGAGGCGGAGCTAAGTGGTGCGACAAGGGCGAGCGTGCCTACGACGGCTACGAGAGCGGTGGTGACCTTCATTGTTCGTGCCAAGTGTGTCTCTCTCGAATGTCGAAGGAACGGCGAGGTGGAGACTGGAGAAAAGCGGGGATGTCATACACCCCAGAGATCGGTCAACCTCTTATATGCTCCATCCTTGTGCTGCAAAGGCGATCCAAGGATCGACCGGGGTCTTCTGCAAGCGACGACGTTTGAGGCAGGGCACAAGACTCGGACAGACACTCAGGAGCAGCAGCAGCCTCTGCGCAGTGTGTACCCTCGGCCACCTCTTACAACGGCTACGGCATGTCACCGAACGGCCGTCCGCGCAGTCGTGCAGCTGTCACTCGGCGTACACTTTTTTTCCTGCTTCATGCACACTTGACGCACAGGTTGCCACCCTTCTCCTCCGCCGTCGACTCTACAACCATGGCAACTGCCGCACATCATCAGTTCAGGCTCGATGCCTCGAAAGAGAGGCAGTAAGACACATCGATGGGAACCGACCATTTCTTTGAACGCATGCAGTAGGTGTTCCCTGCCAAGGCTTGGGGAAATTTCAGGGTTTGCCGGTGGGAAGCCACTACCTCAGGTTTAGTGCGGTTTGGTTTCGGATTTTCGATTCGAAAGAGATCGTCGTCGCTGGCGTCATTCGATCTCCGACGCTCCGGCTTCAGGCAGCTCGACCTCGAGCTGGCTCGGACAAAAAAGGCAACTCTCGGCAACTCTACCTTCGTCAGCGGTACGGTTGCCAAGAGAGTAGGCTGCGCTGTTGCTTTCTGTTATGCCTTTGCACGTGCTGCCGAGAGCAGAATTTGCGATTGTCCGAAAGTGCAGAACGTTGCAACACAAGGTGGGAAGCCACGCGAGCAGAGATGGAACTTTTTTTCTCCTTTGCCGAGCCCTTTCTCGTATTGCGCTGGCAGCCGAGAACACGTCTTGACAGCTCACGAGGTTGCGCTGTCTCACCCTGGAAAAATCCCACGTTTGGAGAGCGTGTCTCGTGGCAACTGCCCCTTCTCTCCCCAGTAATGAGACCTTGGCTTCTAGACTTTCCCACCTTTTGCCAGCTCAACAACGCGGGGTCGTATCGCCCTCCTCCGAGCGGCGTCGACGAACCTCGTCTATGCTTTTGTGCAACATCGACCACCGTGCATAAGACATGAAAGGGAGCCAGCCAAAACGACGTCATGGTGTCCCTCGCTTACCCGTGCAACCTTTTCAAAGGACAACAGGTTCTGCACGCCGACATGTGCGCCCAACAATGTTGGACAACCAACTGCCGACTTTCATGCTGGCAGAAATCTTGCCGCCCGGTGCTTTGTACACGCGAGCGTCTCGTTGACAAGGCGCCCGCTTCACACTCACAGACGCACACATCTCGCAGGAAATACTGTGAATCTATACTATAGCAAGAGACCTTTTAGAGAACTAGAGAGAGAAGAGGCAAGCGAGCTCGTCGCTTTTGTATAATGATGCGAGTAAAGAGAGAGAAAGACGAGGGTGGGGATCGAGGAGAATGCAGTGTTTGTGTCTAATGTGCGGAGAGTAAGAGAGAGCCCAGGCAAAGCAGCCGGACTCTTTTAAGAAGCGAGCTGAAACCCACCGACATTCGAGGAAAGGACGAAAAACACTCGTTGTTTGAAACGTATGAATTCATTCTAAGCACCGGAACGTAGATGAGCCACTCGAACGAAGAGAAAATGCCAAGAGAGCAACACAAGCCAGCCCTTTACTGGGACTTGGACAGACGACGCGAGGCCTCCTGTGCCTGGATGCTTCCAAGACGCTGGAGCTCGGTGTTGGACATGTGCACCTTCTTCTCGCCACCGAAGCCGGCCCTGCGCGTGGCACGCTTGAGGAACGAGGTACGGTTCGAGTACATGCTTTCGGCGCGCGACGTGGTGCGGCTGAGGCTTCCCTCGTGGGCAGCAGCGGGGGTCTTCTTGCTTCGGATGGTGCGGAGCAGGTACTTGGCAAAGAACTTGACAAAGTCCATGGGGAAGTACCAGATGATGTTCCAAACCCAGACGATACCGATCCAGCCTCCCTCGATCGAGTGCACGTTGGTGAAGCCCCAGTCACCGAAAGCGGCGATGATCGAAGAGATGAGCTGAGCGAGACAGAAGGCACCCATGAGCGCGAACGAGGGGCGCTCCATCCACGAGAAGCCGTGCGAACGGGTGACGAAGATAAGGGCCTGGGCGAGAATGGCGACCTGGAGGTACATGATCATGTGCAGACGAGGGTCGTTGGGGTTGCCGTGCAGAGGGGTAACACCAAACTTGTCCTCGAAGAAGGTGGTCTCGTAGATGACGGCGAAGAGCGAAAGAGTCGAGGCGACCTGGTAGAGACCGTAGAGCGAACCGCAGAAGAAGAGCTCGGTCAAGTCCCAGTGCTGGGGCTCGAGAGCGGGCTTGACAGTGTCGAGCGAGAGCGTCATGATGGAACCGTCGTTGAGGAAAGCAATGATCAGGACCATGAAGGGAGGGAAGTCGCTCTTCCAGATGAAGGCGAGCAGAGCGAAACCGACGACGACACGGATGGTGATGGCAGCGGCGTAGGCAGCGTAGTTCTTCATACGGCCGAAAATGATACGCGACTGACGGATAGCCTCGACAATGGTGGAAAGACCAGGCTCGGTAAGCACAATGTCGGCGGCGCCACGGGCGGCATCGGTGGCACCCTCGACGGCAACACCGACGTTGGCACGGGCAAGAGCGGGGGCGTCGTTGGCACCGTCACCAGTCATGGCGGTCAAGTGACCAAGACCCTGAAGACGCTTGACAATCTCGTACTTGTGCTCGGGGAAGACACCGGCGAAACCATCGACATCGAGAATCATCTCGTCGATCGACTTGTAGGGGCTGCCAGCGGGGAGGACACCCTCGACGAGAACCTTGGAGTTGAACATGCGGTCACCGAGACCAAGACGACGACCAGTCTCCTTGGCAATGGCAAGCTGGTCACCAGTGACCATCTTGACGCGAACACCGAGTGCCTGGGCGTTGTCGAGAGTCTCCTTGGTGTCGTGACGGGGAGGGTCAAAGATGGCGAGAAGACCGAGGAGCTCGAAACCGTTGCCCTCAGCCTCGACCTCACCGGAGGGAACGTCTTCGAAGGCGACGGCGAGACCACGCAGACCACGGTTGGCAAACTCCTCGACGTCGTTCTCGAGAGCGGTCTCCTGAGCCTCGGTCTTGTTGCGCTTGCAGAGGTCAATGATGATGGAGGTCATACCCTTGGTGACACGCTTAATCTTGCCGGTAGCCTCCTCGAGGTAGGTGATCTCGGTACGCTTGTCGACGGGGTTGAAGGGCTTGAAGTCGAGCAGCTTGATGCCGTTGCGAGCCTCGGCAGGGTCCTTGAGGGTGCCGACAATGGTGGCGTCGATGGCATCCTGGTTCTCAGTTCGGGAAGCGTAGGCAGCGAATCGGATGACGTCCTCGACCTGAGCCCAGTCCGAGTAGAGCTTGACGAGTTCGGTGTCGATGGTGAGCTTGTTGGTGGTGAGGGTACCAGTCTTGTCCGAGCAGAGAATGTCGACACCGGCGAGCTCCTCGATGGCGGTGATACGGGTGACAATGGCCTTGTGCTTGGCGAGCTGCTGGGCACCGACGGCGAGCGTGACGGAGAGCACACAGGGCATGGCAATGGGGATACCACCGATCAAGAGGACAAGGATGTTGTCGATACCACGGCGGTATCGGTAACGGAAGCCAGCGTAGAGGATAAGAATCTCGAGAACGATGAAGAGACCAATGGTGACCATGCAGAACAGACCGATGCGGGAAAGCACCTGCTGCAAGTGACCGGTGGTATCGTCGTCAGAGCCAATGAGGGTAGCGGCACGACCGAAGAAGGTGTTGGGACCGGTGGAGATGACAACACCCTCAGCCTCACCCTGCTTGCAGATGGAACCGGAGAAGCACTGGTCGCCGACCTTCTTGTTGACGGGGAGCGATTCACCAGTAAGCGAAGCCTGGTCGCACGAAACGTTGATGGCATCGAAGAGACGGCAGTCACCGGGGACAATGTCACCGATCTTGAAGGCAATCACGTCACCGGGAACAAGGTCGGACGACTCGATCTCGATCCACTTGCCGTCACGCTTGCAGCGGGCCTTGGGGGCGAGCGAGTCCATGAGGGCCTTAACGGCGTTACCGGCGTTGCGCTCCTCGATGAAACCGATGGTAGAGTTGATGAGCAGGAGGAGGACGATACCGACGAAGTCTGGCCAATCCGGAGCCTTGCCCTCACCATTGGAGAGGGCGATGGCGACAATGGCAGCACCCTCCATGACCCAGGAGAGAGGGTTCCACATGAAGGAGAGGAACTGGAGAATGGGGTTGGGCTCCTCGGTCTCAATCTTGTTGGGACCGAAGATCTCGCGTCGACGGGCGCACTCCTCTTCGGTGAGACCACCTTCGTTGCACTGGAGGAGGGTCCAGACATCCTCGAGCTCGACGGCTTCAATGTCAACCTTGGCCTTGTCGTAGAGGTCCTCGGCCTTGAGCTCGATGGTGCTCATGTCAACGAGAGCATGCTTGGGGCCGCTGTTGGCGTGCTCCTCGTCAATGTCTCGGTGCTTGGTGACCTTCTTCTCTTGCTGCTGCTCGACGTCAGACATGTTGGGCAATCTGTTGGGGTGTGGTTACGGGGAAAAGGGGGGAAAGAAAGCTCGAAAAGGAGGATTCTGAAGATGCGAGAAGCCAAGAAGAAGGGAAGATAGGAATGTGGATTAGCGGCGATGTTTTGGTGGTTTGGGACGGAAAGTGGGCGATGCAGCAATAGGGGGCGGACATTTCTTCATTTCCGCCTGGCTAACGCTCCATCAGCCAAGACAACCCATTTGGCTCGGCTTGGCGATGAATTGTGCTGATCAGCCGAAAGATGCTTTCAGCTCTCCAAGCGGCTGATCGAGGGGCGGAATGGTGCACTGCGCGCAACCACCCTTATCGCGCGTGATCAGGATTGCGCCACTTCGAATGGCGAGAGCGAACTTACCCTGTAGCTTACTCTTGTGAGCGACGACTTTGATCGGAACGGGGCAAACGCAGACGTTGCTCGAATTCGGCGATTCAAAGAGGAGGCGGGAGAAATGCACTCGACGTTCGAAGAAGACGATGTGCGAGGTGTGAGACGGCGCTTGTGCCTAGTCTCTTTTTCCGTACGTCGTGGCGAAGGACGGCACGGAAGGTAAGGGTGATGGATGGGATGAGGTGAAGGTGAAAGGTAGGAACCGAAGGTGTCGAGCGAAGGGGGATGCGGACCACTATATACTTCTTCTGGGAACTCACGACCAACCAAGGAGGGAGGGGCGCCGGATTGGCAGAATCACAAACACAGAGAGAGGATTATCGGTCAAGGCGAAAAGAGCGCTCTGTGCCTCTGCGATTCTGCCTTGGCTCGCGGTGTTTTCTGCGGCCGTCTCTTTCTTCTGTGTGCGTTGGACCATGCAGACAATCGGTCGTGCATGGGCTACGACCGGCAGGCGGGCAGGCGGCGGCGGCGGCGGCGAGCAAAGCAAAGCAGCTCATCGAACAGCGAGGGCAAAGGGGGCCAAAAGCCACGGTCGTCGGCACAACCGAAAAAAAGCGAACCACGCAAGGCTGGAAGATCCGGAACTGACAGTCAACCAAGCTGACCGACAGGAGGACTGTCAAGAGGGCGTCGTTCATATCTCGCAGACTCTTGGCCAATCGGCTGGCATTTGCCTCGCTGCCGAATGGGGTCAAAAGACGGACACGACAGGATGGGGTTCCAAATCACACAAACAGTGTTGGTCCAAGAAGAGGTTTCAAGGCGAAAGAAACGCAACGCAAGCGGAACGTCGTGGCGTCAGAAATTCATGCACATATGTTTTTGCCGAAGACAGCAGGCGCAGGGCCCGTGTCGCAAGAAACAAGAGTACCCAAAAAAAAAGATCGACGCTACGTCTAGTCCTTGGCATTGGTGCCCTCTGACCAGAAACATGGCTGACTTGAAAATTCAACCGGTGCCAGACAGCCACCCCTGCGCTGTTTGATTGACGCAGATTTAGGGCGATGAAGCCCGAACGTGTCGAGAGATAGCAAAATTTCAGACTTTTCGGCCTAGCCCCCGGCCGTCCAGCGCTGCAACGACCTAGATCGCGCTTTTCGAAGGACGACGCTCGTGGCTCGATTCGGTCTGACCGACGCGAGACCGAAAGCTCCATTTGCGAAGCAACGAACGGTTCCCCTTTCCGCGCTAATGTGGGACAAGCAAAAGCCAAGCAAAGGCGCTGGAATGAGCGTCCAGAGGGTGAAGCTTCACGTCTACGTTTTCTTTCAGCGGAGGCGTCAGTCCGGACTCTGATAGCCAACGGTGACAGTGCGTTTTGCATCCAGCGTCGATTGTGGTCCAATCAAAAGGCAGATCTGAGCGATGTCAGCTGCAGTGATCGACCTTTCGTGCTTGCGGTGTCTGAAGATGCAAGGAAGAGTTCCGGACCAGGCAAGAAAGTCGACGACCGCCATCTGCAAGCACCAGGAAAAGATGCAGCTTCGACCCTTCTCTGGCAGATTCAACTCTGGAAATCTGGCTCGAGGAATATCCACTACGCAGCGCGATTCCGCAGGGCCTCTCCATTTGACCGGCGCCTTTCGGACTTCATCTGGACATGCAACGAGCCCTCCTCCTGGCCAGAAGGTCTGCGTACAGCTGGCCGGGAACGTTAGTCATACGCAAAAGACACTTGCAAATGCAGAATACCTTGGGTTCAGGGGCAGCTCACAGACGAAAACAACATGAGCCCGCTCACGCATTTTTTGGTCTGCTCTTGGCAAGCACCAAGACCCTGCCAAGAGAGCGCTAGGAATGCCTCTGCTACTCGCTTTGACCTCGATCGTATCTTGCCATCGCTTCTTCGATGATATACTCGACATCACAGTGTACATTGCTGGATGCATCGGTTGCGCGATATCAAGCAAGGTGAGGCGAGGCATTTCGAGCAGATTGTTTCATCACTGTTCAGAGATGGCGGTTCGTTGGGTGCCGGCACATAGAAGAGCGAGACGGCAAACTCACTCTGTAGCCCCTGCCGCGGCGCATCTTGTTGCTCGTCGGTTGCCGGTCAATCTGCGTCGTCCAAAAAAAAATATTGAAATTGGGGTCTCCCGTTTGCTTTTTGCGTGATTAATTGGCGAGAGATTGCATTTCACCTGCAGAGGGCTGCAGCAAATTTCGTGGGCTCAGGGTTGGACGTGTCCAGGTCCACGCGGCGTTGCCTAGCCTGTCTCGTCGGAGAATTTCGCTGGGTCAGGAAGAAAAAGAGCGACTGCCAAGGCAGAGACCGCAAGGGTTCACCTGCAAAGCCTGCCGAAAACGACATCTCGAGATGCCGAGACAGCCACACGCCAGGCCAAGAAAATTTTCCAGACGTGGACGTCGAGCCACAGCGACCCAGAGAGATCTGGTTTCCAGGGTGTTGGCAAAAGTTTGCCATGAGGCCGACACATGTCGTGTGTGTGTCTTCTTCTCGGTTGCTCTATCTGACAAGGCCATCCACGTAACGTGATCGGGTTCGAAGGGCCGAAAGCACATTGCTGCCGCCGTCGAGTTGATTGCGATTTGTCACACTTCATCACGCAGCTTGACCTAGGCTCTGCGGTACATCCGTTTCATGCCATTCCCTTGCGAAGCGCGGGATGTCCACGGATCTGAGAACAACGAGGAGCACAGTCTCTGGCGTAATCGATCGCCGCGGTGCTCGCCAATGCAGTGGGAAAGGATGGTCGGCTTTGACAGGCGCGGAAAGACCCCCCCCTCCGTCGTTCCCGATGTCTGAGTAGCTGCTGGCTGAGAACAGCAACCAATGCGGGGATGGACGGGGAAAGGTACCTGGAACATCCAAACTTGGCCGTTGATCGGACCATAAACCACAAAACTCGTGGCTCCGAAAAAAGGCTGGGTCGACCGACGATGTTTGGTCGGAACTGTCTCGGTCGCGTGACGGAGAGGGGATTTTCTTCTTCTTCTCGTGCTGATGGTCTTGGCAACAAGATCTCTTTATCGGAGTTCGAGCGAAGATTCCTTCTCCCAATCTCCAAACATGTGTGGACGAGCCAATTGTTGCGACCGGTCAACCCTCGACCCTTTCGTCATCCGTCAGAATGCTTTGGTCCATGGTCAGGCCTTGCTCGGCGGGATCTGCTGAATGCAGAGAGTTCTAGGAGGTTTTCTGGTCCTCGATACATTTTTGGGAGCAACCATTTCGCTTGGCTGCAGCTGCTGTTTCCCCACTCCGTGCCCTCACCGAGATCCATCAGATGCTGAAAGCATTGGGGATAAGGTTGCGGGTCCCCGCTCGATCGCCATCGGCTGGTCTCCGCTTTCTCCACACACACACAAATGGCTTGGCTCCATAAGTCAATTCATTCGGTTGTCAAGTCCGATGTGGTGGGGTCGAGCTCGTTTGTTGAACGGTTGATCCTCCTCGGTGTCGGTCTTCCTAAGCGAAGCCAGCGTCGGTCAATTCCACCGCCGTTTCGTTTTTTTAAAATGTGAGACCTTCAGCCACACACACCGAAATGTCAACAAAACGGCCTTCGGAGCATGGTTGCCAAGACCTGTCTAGCTCGCAGTCCGCATATCAAACAGCCGTAGGAGCACGATCCGAGCCGCTCTGACCTCGTCTCGGCTGTCAAAACCGTTGTGCTGATCACCATTCTTGCTCAATGTCGAGGCATTTGATAAAGACTCGCAACCCTGACATTTTGCACGCAGATAAGCGAAGAAGGCCAAGAGATCCTCCAACTCTCGTCATCTCGTCATGCTCACTCACACAGAAAAGGGCTGTGAAAGCCTGCACCGCTGGCTGGCTCGAGCGTTCTTGCCAAGACGATCTTGAGCGCTTCTCTCCGCATGATTATCGCAGCAATGTGCCTTCCGTTTTCGCATTTCGGATCTGCTCTACCGACATGACCCCTCGCAATGCTCGCCTCCTAAGCGCCCTTGACCCTCGACAGCATTCTTCCAATCACACATCCGAGCTTGGCACACGAGCTTACCGAAGGCCAAGACAGCGGCTAGTCCAGCCGGGAATGTGGGATGAGCAGACGAGATCAAGCAAAGTTTGAAAGAAGGAAGGGGGTATCCATTATCTATGCATGCTATTCACGAATCGCCTCCCACCGCAACGCGCTCAACCTAGCAGCTTCGGAAGGAGGGCCCATCGAATCGGGTCGGCTTCTCCTGCGCAGATCCTTGTTTCCCGATCGATTGCCCTTGCCAGAAGAAGAATCGGTCACTGCAGACGACGCTGACGATCCTGGCGCTCGGAACGGTTTGGGGCCTGAACCAGCAAAAGTCGCAAAGCCACGCTCGTCGCTGTTGGACGGTGACCCTTCGCGTTGGTCTGCTCGGCTCGTCTTGGTCGAAACGGCATCGTCGCTGGACGAGTTCGAGCCTCCCAGCTGGAACGTTCGTCGCCGTCGAGCAGGTAACGCCGAAGCTGGTGCCGCCGAACTTGTTTGATGCTGTGTCTTGTGCTCTACCCTAGCTCGGTCACCGGAAAGATGATCGTGCGAACCCGATCCACCGCTACCGTGCTGACGCTGCTTCGCCTTGGCTCCGGTTTGAGAACTTCCGCTGGTGGTGCCCGTTCCGCTTGCAGCGCTGCTTCCTACCGCACTCGCGCTACCAGACGCCGTTTGCCATCCAGGCGTCACGGGCGCACTTCGCACGGTAAAGTGCTCCATGCTCCTCGTGAAGGGACTCAAGGTATGATTGGACTTGACCAGGTCCAAAAAGTGGGCCGAAGCATCGATCGACAATCGAGTCGGTGCGGAACCCGAACCTTGGGCGCCTTTGTTGTGTCCGCCTGTCTGTGGGCTGTTTTTCGCGCTGGCGTATGCGCCTGCAGTGTTGGACGCACCCCTCGGGCTTCCATGATGCAAGCTCGAGTCGCGGAAGGGAGAGGTGGAAAGCAGGTCCTGTGCGGTGCCTGGAGACGTCGACAACGCTGCGTCGCGATCCGAGGACGCACGCAGCGGTGGGCTGCGCTGCCAGGCAGACGAGTCGCCGGGCGGAGACGTGGCATATGTGATGAAGCCTGGTCGAGATGTCGTCGATCTTGCAGCTGATTCTCGACTTCGAGCTGGAGTGGCAAACATGCCAGGGCCCTCGCCGAGTCGCTGAGATGGCAGGCTGCCGTCTCCAGCGCCACCCATGGTCAAGGAGCGTTGATGATTCGCACTCTTGTTCTTGCGGAAGGACAGGCCCGAATTGTACTCAGGACGCGAGCCGGCTGTGGCACTGGCCGACCGCGCTGCTACGTCGTGTCTGTTGTGCGCATCCCGCTGTTGCGACAGGAATGAGGTCGGAGTGGTACTGGCGGCGCTCTGATTCCATTCCTGGATGGAGAGGTCGCGGAAGGAAGACTCCGGCGTCATGCCTCTTCTTGAATCTGAGCCCGAGACAGATGAGCGCTCCGCTTCCTTGGCATGCTGTAACGATGCGTCGCTGCTGTGGTGGGACTCGGGCGGAAGATCGACCAAGCTGTCTTCGCTGCTGTCCCGCGACACAAAGGCAGACTCGAGGTGAGGCGAGTCATACGGGCCCCGAACGGTGTTTGTGCGTGAGCTCTGAGCACCCATGGTGGCGCTGCCGTAATCTGAGCCGAATCGTGTCGCACCCGTCCTTGTAGATGGGGTGCCACCGTACTGAGACGGGCGCGCGGTATCTTCGTCGTCCCAGTCCACCTCGGGCGGCTGCACCTTACTGGCAATATGATAGACTCGTGGCCTCGTGATAGTGCCTCCGCCCACTGCCGGGATGGTCTCGTAGACTACCTCGGGCTCTTCCTTCTTCTTCGGAGCCGAGGTGCTTGCTGACCTCTCCGAGCGGCTAGAGGACGGCCGTCTTGCGCCTGGCGTGGGCCGACCAGAGACCGAGCCTCGCTTGCTGCGCTTTCGTGAAAGCTGAGGTTGATCATCGAAGATGATGGAAGAGGCACGGTGGAGCTCATTTGTGTCCGAAAAGGCGGCTGAAGCGGGAGGATACCCGAAGCGACTGTAGTCGAGCGATGTGTCGACGATGCCGTCTCTCTCTTGCACGTCCATGTCCGAGACGTCGTCCGCAACTTCGTCCGAGGCTGCATCGAGTTCCGAGTCGGTGGTCACGTCGTCCTCGGTGCGGTCGCCATCTTGCGAGCTGCTGTAAGCATCTAGACCCTGCTCGATCTCCGAGTCAACCTCGACTGACTGCCTGTCGAGATCTTCGAACATGAAGGATTGCTCGAGATCGACGTCCGGGGTCGTTTCTGGCGCCGGACCGAAATCCAACGCCGGAGACGCGGTGAGATCCTTGAGACCACCGAGGCCACGTTGAGCAAGACGGCCGAGACCAGAGAATCCGGAATGAGTAGGCAGGTCGTCCGGGCGCAAGCCGTAGGTCGGGTCGTAGTTTTCAATGTCGGGGAAGGCAGCATCGAAGGGCGAAGAAAGCGAGGCAGGAAGGTCGGCATGAAGCGGTACGGCTGATGTAGAGGCAGCTTTTGCAACGTGGCGAGGTCGGCGCACGTTCGGACGTGGTTTTTGAGGCGATCGACTTGGCGAGGAGGCGGATCTGGCGACGCTTGTGCCGGACTTGGCTTGCTTTTTACTTTTCGATTGCGACTTGCGTGGCGTGCCGCCTGGCGCGGATGCAGTCTCGATGGAAACAAGAGGCTCGCTGGTAGAGCGGGTGAGTGTGGGCTCTCTTGAGCTTGAAGCAGGTTCCTCTGCTTCGGCCTTCTGCTTGGCTCTTTCTTTCTCGGACTTGACCTCGCCGCTGAGCCACTTTTGACTGAGCCTATGAATGATTCCAGGCAGATCTTCCCTGAACATCTCGCGAAGTTGACCTTCGATCTCTTGTTGAAGGTATTTCTGAATGACGGCAACACTGTCAAAGGTGGAGCTGACCTCGACGCTTTCCAAGGGATCATTCTTGAAGACGAGCGTGATGCCCTTCGCTTTGGAGACTACGAGGACGACGATGGCACGGAGCTTTACGGAAGAGAGACGCAGATGCATCGGTACGACAAGCGGTGCAGCGGCAAAGAGGATGCCTCTCGAAGCATTGGAGGAGGGAAAGAGTCCGATATCGGGTCGATTGGGTTTCGAGAGAGGGTTGGCCTGCACCTTGGTTTTGAGGACGAGGTGTGCATCGCCGGCGTAAGTGAGTCGAAAGATGCCACGAAAGCGATCGGTTCCAAGGTCGCCGATCTCGAGGATTTCGAGTTCTGGTGGGATGGTACCCATGCCAAGCTCCTCGACGAGGATGTCATCTGCAATCACTTTGGGTTTGGGACCACGATTGAGCGCGCTGTTGAGCATCTGCGCCGCGCTGGTGTGGAACTCTTCCGAGAAGGTCGGCCATTTGAAGTTGAACGACATGGTGAGCTGGAGAGCGCTGCCGCAATGAAGGCGGACGGGTATGGGCTGCTGAGGTTCGGGTATCGGTGCGTGACGGTAGAGGCAAGACTGAAGCCAGCAAGGCACGCGGCTACGAGTAGATGGCCGGCATGGGAACGGAAACGGACGGCGCCAGCGCTCGGTCCTTATGGGTGATACTATCCGTACTCAGGTACGAGCTTAGGGCACCAAGACGGGATAATTAAGGTGATAATTCGTGGATCCGTGGATCGTGATGGTGTGGTGGACGAATGGCTTGTAGGCGGCGAAAGAGTGCAACACTTTGGCTCAGGTTACTTACGCGACGTTTTGGAACTTTTGGATAACTTTTCAAAATTGTTACGTCGTCCGTAATGGCCCTTGACGAAAAATCGGACGGCAGAAGACACGTTACACTCGTACAGCGCCGGAGCCACCGAAAGGTAGCGAAGAACCGATCCAAGCGCTTTCGTCAACTGCTATCTAGACACCACAGGCACCCTTGCATCACCTTTCAACAGCATCGACGACACCTCTCGGAGAAGCAGCGCATCCCTTTCACGGTTGGGTCCTCGGCAGAGCAAGTTCGACGAGACCGACCGCCGCCAAAAGCATCAGGCTGAACCTAGCGACGACGGTCCGCTCTTTTCTCACCAACTAACGCTTCCTTCCGAGACTACGGCCAGACCACCATGGAGGCAGACGACGCTCAAAAGGCACTGCGGCTTGCCTTCAAGCACGACGCAAACGGCGATACGGCATCTGCCATCAAATGGGCCAAGAAGAGCATCGCCATCTTCAAGACACCCTCGGCGGAAGCATTGCTGGTACGACTCGAGAAGAGCGGTGCCTCTGGCAACGCAGCATCGGCATCTGCTTCGACTTCGTCCGCCTCTGCCACTGCCGGCGCTTCATCATCATCAGAAGGTCTTCGATCCCGCGCGAGCGCCTCGACGAACGGACGCTCCACCTCTGAGGCGGCGCCAAAGCGAGCCTACACCCAAGCGCAGATGGAGGTCGTGACGAGGATCAAAAAGGCAGGCGCAGACTTCTACCAGGTGCTTGGAGTTGAGAAGACCGTAGATGAGAATGGAATCAAAAAGGCGTACAAGAAGCTGGCGCTGCAGCTACACCCAGATAAGAACGGCGCGCCCGGAGCAGACGAGGCATTCAAGTCCGTCTCTAAGGCGTTCACCATCCTCACCGACGCAGATAAGCGAGCAGCATACGACCGATACGGAGGCGACCCGGACAATGCAAGGTCAGCGGCAGGTGCGGCAGCGGCAGGTCACGGCAACCCATTCGGCGGCATGAGAGGGACACCGTTCCGTGGTGGCGGCATGTACGGCGATGAAATCGATCCCAACGATCTTTTCAACATGTTCTTCGGCGGAGGTGGTATGGGCATGGGTGGTGCACAATTCGGCGGAACCACGTTCACATTTGGTGGTCCTGGCGTGCGCACACACCAATTCCGACAGCAACGTCCAGGTCAACGTCGAGCACAAGCCGACCCACAAAACGCCAACATCCTTCTGCAGCTTCTCCCGCTTCTCGTACTCGGTCTGTTCAGCTTGCTCGCGTACGCACCGTCGCTTTTCTCGACGCCCGACCCGAGCTTCACATGGCAACCCTCGAGCCTGTACAAGACGCAGCGCATGACGACAAAGCATCATATTCCCTACTACGTCAACGACCATCAGTTCAACAACCACCCATTTGTCACGGGCGAACGCAGCAGCAAGGATATCGCAGGCTTTGAGAAGCGAGTGGAGAATGCGTACAAACAGGTCATGTACTCGAGCTGCGAAAGGGAAAGAGAGTATCAAGAGAGGAGGTTGGCAGCGACACGAGGGTTCTTGGGGCTCGGCGCTGACGAGGTGGCAGCCAAGAAGATCAAGGATGAGGTTTATGCTAGTTGCGAGAACCTCAAGCAGTTTGGCATTTACTTGTAAGGCATTGAAGCGTAGATAGAATCGCAATGCATCCTAGTCTGTATCTGTGTACAAACCCCAGCGAGTTGTCGATGAGACAGCATCGTGAACAGCCCGAGCGTGATCGCTAGGATCCTATAACTTCCTATGACGGTCGTGGTGCGCGATTTCCACTGTAAGATCGGCTTCGGCTTTTCGTACGAAATTATTTTCCGTTGTGTGTAAAAGGGTATGGCAGCTCAGCCGAGCTGAGCACGCTCGATTGCGAGGTTTTTGGTTGCACGATGACAGCTGTGGAGCGTCGCAAAGTGACAAAACCTCCCTGCTGCTTGTGAATGCGCCAACAACCGATTACGCCAGACCAACACTCGCAGCTCATCACCATCACCAACCGTTTATTGAACCCTCACACACACAGACACACACACTGTGTCTCTCTCTCTTCGCATCGACCCTTGCGCCACTGCACCTTGGCTCAAACGCAGCTCGATCGAGTCTCTGCTCTTCAACGTCAGAACTACCAGCATCTGTTTGCAAAAGCGAGTCGCCCCGCTCCGGAACGGCATCGAGGCCCATTTTTCATCGCACCACGCGCAAAGCTCTTGAAGCTCAGCATCCTCTACCCATAAACACAGACACCTAGTCCAACATGGTGAGTCGCTTCACCAACTAGCTATGATGTTCACACACTCCCCCATGTGTTCCCTTTGCTGACCCGCTATCGTTCGTATCCGCTCACCCGCACAGTCTACACCATCCAAAAAGCGACTGATTCGAGACTTTAAACGGCTCTCCACCGATCCTCCCGGAGGAATCTCCGGTGCTCCGTGCGCAGACAACCTCATGATCTGGAATGCCGTCATCTTCGGACCTGCCGACACCCCGTTCGAAGACGGCACATTCAAGCTCGTCCTTACCTTTGACGAATCGTATCCCAACAAACCACCTACAGTCAAGTTCCTCTCCAAGATGTTCCACCCTAACGTCTACGCCAACGGAGAGCTGTGTCTGGACATCCTGCAGAACAGATGGAGTCCGACGTACGACGTAGCGGCGATCTTGACGAGCATTCAGAGTTTGCTGCACGATCCCAATCCGAATTCTCCGGCGAACGCCGAGGCGGCGAGCTTGTACAGGGAGAATATGAAGGAGTACGTGAGGAGGGTAAAGGCGACCGTAGAGGCGAGCTGGTTGGACGATGGTGAGGGGGACGCCATTCAGGAGGAAGACGAGGAGGAAGAGGTTCAGCAAGGGCAGCCGGTTTCGACATAGTTCACTCCACTCCTCCCAAAGCTTCACGAATCAACTCGCTCTAGCTGCGCTCTCGGACAACCACTGATCTCTGCTCGCACCACCGTCTCTGTCCTCTGCAAAACCCCCGTCGTCCTCTCACATCACCTTTCTTGCGCCTAGCATCGCAAACCTCTTACAACCCCTCCACTCGTTCTTACATCCTCGCAGTACGTCGTCTCTCTTCCCACTCTGTCTTCCGTTTGCGTCTCTTGCATACCTACTCTCTCTCTCTCTCTCGTGTTTGTCAATGTACATCATTCGTATCTACTCTTTTCGTCAATCGGTCATTTTTTCCCTCTGCTCTGTTTGCTGTCTGTGCTTCGAAAACCCAACATCTCACGTTGTCACTCAAAACCCCAGGTCCGCACACCCTGTCCGCACATCGATCACATTCGTCCACCGCAACTTCCACCCCCCCCACCGCACACAACAGCTCTCGATCACACATCCATCACATCCATTGACTTGTTTTTGACACATTATTTTCAAAGATTGGGAACATAAGCGGTGGTGGTGAATGTAAAGTTGTATGCGCAGTCTGGGAAGCGAATGCAAAAGAACGAGACGAGTATCCGACGCAAGAATCGCTCAGCTATGGCGCGAGACGATCCGGCTGCTCCGAATGCACAGGTTTTTGGGGGGGATGCTTACACTACTACAACGTCGTGCTGCGTGTGGAAAGCGCTGTTGTTACAAAGACTTGTGGAAACTGGTATGCTGAGAAAGGATCGAGACATGAAAAGAAAATTAGTTCTTCTTCTCACCCTCGCCCTCGGGTTTGGACTCGGCGTTCTCGTTGCCGGGCTGGGCACCCTTCTTCTCGTAAACCAGCTTGAACAGCTGCAGCGAAGCCTGCTGGGTGGCATCGATCTTCTCGCGGATGGTCTGAGCCTCGACGTCGGCATCGCCGTTGAGACCCTTGGAGGCGAGCTCCTCGGTCTCCTTGATGAGCACGTTGAGCTTCTCCTTCTCCTCAGCGGGCAGCTGCTCGCTGAACTCCTGCATGGCCTTGGTGGTCTCGGAGCAGACCGAGTGTGCGCGGTTGGCCTCCTCGATGACGGCCTTGCGCGCCTTGTCGGCCTCGGCGTACTGCTCGGCGTCGGAAACCATCTTCTCAATCTCGGTGTCGCTGAGACCCGAACCGGCCGAGATGGTCATGGACTGGTCCTTGTTGGTGGCCTTGTCGAGCGCAGAGACGTGCATGATACCGTCGGCGTCAATGTCGAAGGTGACCTCGACCTGAGGAACACCCTTGGGTGCGGGGGGGATACCGGTGAGCTGGAAGTTGCCGAGCAGCTTGTTGTCACGGACGAGCTCACGCTCACCCTGGTAGACCTGGATGTCGACGGCAGTCTGGCCATCAGCAGCGGTGGAGAAGACCTGCGACTTCTTGGTGGGGATGGTAGTGTTGCGGTTGATGAGACGGGTGAAGACACCGCCAAGAGTCTGGATACCGAGCGAAAGCGGGGTGACGTCGAGAAGCAGAACGTCGGTGACCTGGCCGGAAAGGACACCACCCTGGATCGAAGCACCGATGGCGACAGCCTCGTCGGGGTTGACACCCTTGCTTGGGTCGCGCTTGAAGATGCCCTTGACGGTCTCGAGGACCTTGGGCATTCGGCTCATACCACCGACCATGATGACCTCCTGGATGTCCGAGGGCTTACAGCCGGCGTCCGAGAGCGCCTTCTTGCATGGCTCGACGGTGCGGTCGACGAGCTTGCCGACGAGCGACTCGAGCTGCGAACGGGTCATCTTGGAGTTGATGTGCTTGGGACCCGAAGCGTCGGCGGTGATGTAGGGCAAGCTGATGTCGGTCTGCTGGGTGCTGGAAAGCTCGATCTTGGCCTTCTCGGCAGCCTCACGAATACGCTGGATGGCCATGCGGTCCTTGGAGAGGTCAAGACCGGACTCCTTCTTGAACTCGTTGACGAGGTGCTCGACAAGGACAATGTCGAAGTCCTCACCACCGAGGTGGGTGTCACCGTTGGTCGACTTGACCTCGAAGACGCCCTTCTGCATCTCAAGAATCGAGATATCGAAGGTACCTCCTCCCAAGTCGAAGACGGCAATGACCGACGAGTCGTCACGGTCGAGACCGTAGGCAAGGGCGGCGGCAGTGGGCTCGTTGATGACACGGAGAACGTCGAGACCAGCGATGGCACCGGCGTCCTTGGTGGCCTGACGCTGCGAGTCGTTGAAGTAGGCGGGGACGGTAATGACGGCGTGCTTGACGGTCTTGCCGAGGTAGCCGGAAGCGGTCTCCTTCATCTTGCCGACAACAAAGGCGCCGATCTGGGAGGGAGAGTACTTCTGGCCACGGGCCTCGAGCCACGCATCACCGTTGGAGTGGGGGACGATCTTGAAGGGAACGTTGTTCAAGTCCTTCTGGACCTCCTTGTCCTGGAACTTTCGGCCAATGAGACGCTTGGTAGCGAAAAGAGTGGCCTCGGGGTTGACAACAGCCTGACGCTTGGCGGGGAGACCGACAAGACGCTCGCCGTCCTTGGTGAAAGCAACGACGGATGGCGTGGTTCGGCCACCTTCCGAGTTTTCAATGACACGGGCTTGCTGGCCCTCCATTACCGAGACACATGAGTTGGTGGCTGTTGGGCGAGAAAGAAAGCAAAAGCAGAAGATGTCAGTTGCCATTGTCCGTCATGGAAAAGAGCTGTGATGCCTCGAACGGAGCCAATTGAAGCGTCGCCACTCGAGCTTGTGCTTCGCCCGGAACGGCAGTCGGAACAGCGCTCCGCAAGATCCAGATCGAGCTGATTTAGCAAGATACTCACTTCCCAAGTCGATACCGATGACAGGCCCGGAAACCTTGCCAGAGTTGAATCGTGCGCCAAGAGGTGCGAGGCGCTGTGTACAGGCAAAACAGACGAAAATTGAGAGTAGAGAGCGTCAGTCAAACTAGCTCCCTAGCACATGAATAGCGCCCTTGTCTCTGAGCTCTCGCTGCGGAAAAGACATGACGTGCGATGAAATACTTACGGCAACACCGGGGGCGGCAGATCGGAGAGGCTGGTTCAACAGCCTTGTCGCCGGAGCGGCTGCGCGAAGACCACGAGAGAGCATGGCTGTGTATAGTGTGTTTGGGCGAAGACGGAGGGTCGAGGTGGTTTGGACGCGGGAAGGAAGAAAGGGTGCGACTGATCCACAACGAAGGAAGAAAGGGGGTATGCGGAGCTCTGATCAGAGGATGATGGTGACGGGAGAGTTGCTGAGCGAGCAAACGACGAATAAGAAGAACGAAAATTGCGGGTGGAGAAGGACGTCGCTGGATTTTGTGGGCACAGACTCGAGCTCTGTTGGAGCGTGCTCTGCAGCTTGGTTGGCTGAGCACAATTTCGTCAGACAATTTTGGCCACCAAACCGCCTTGTTCCGGTTCTTCTTCTCAGTTCTGTGAGAGCGACCTCGAAATTTGCGCTGCGCTCCTCGACGGCTCACCCGATCCATTCCATTTTTTTCAGGCGATCAGGCCCGGCCACAGCGGAAAATCTTTTTCAGCTCAGCAAAGTCATCCTATGATCCACTCTCATCTGCAACCACTCTTGAGCTGGAGCCATAGCCAGTGCTCATACATCCACTGACAAAGCATCAGCATGAACACGAAACATTGCGTCCTTTGATAGATGCTGTGCGCGGGACGTATTATCATTCCGGCACTGCCGTCGAGATGAGCCGGTCGGCTGGAGCATGCCTGCTGGGTGACGTTTGTCTCTGCTAAGCCAGCTTGCACGCGACCTTCCGAATTGCCAGGTCGCCATATTGAGGCCTGAATTATCTCATTGGCTTTGTCCAGCTCCGTGACCTTGTCTTTCCAGATTCTTCGGCAACCTTCGCCACAAAAAATATCTTTTTTAATTGTCAGGGATCTTCCCGCTGTCAGATCGGGCTCAATTTCCATCATTGATCGGCAGAGGAATCGTTGCCAAAAATCCATCATATCAAGAATTTTAGAATGACCTTGACTCGGCCATTCCTTGATCAATCTTGTCCAAAATTTGAACAGGCGATAGCTCTCGTCTGTGGTTGTCTGCCAGAGGCTCAAAAGGGGTCAAAATCCCCCGTACCAAAAAGGGTTGCTCCGGGTGGGACTCGAACCCACGATCTCGCGGTTTTATAAATTTTTTAGAAAAGCAATCTTTTCTGCGATTTGAAACCTCATCATGAACTCGTAGCGGGCGTGCTGGCGCCTGGCTACTGAATCACATAAGCCACATGCCTTATCCAACTTGGCCACCGGAGCTAACGTTTTCGGGCGAGAAAACAAGGTTGCATACATGTACCCTTTGACGGTTTGCAGAAATTTTGGGCGCATCATCCATGCTCCCTCAAGCAGGTTTTGAGACAGGCAAGAGGCAATACGACACTGCCAACAGAGCAGTGGACCGGCTGAGATGGAGACGGACAGAGGATAGTCAGATGATCATGACAGTGCAGAACGAACAAGTCAGATTGTACATTGAGACGAGAGGGATTTGCTAAGGGAAAAGAATCATCCATCCAGGGCGTCATAGCGTGCGAGGCCGGAATCAGAGTGCGCATGCGATTCGCGTCAAAAGAACAACGTCGCTTTGGCTTTCCTGTATTATGAGAAGGCGAGGAGCCAACTGCGACAGCTGTGCTGTTGCCGCAGTCCTTACTTCTCAGAATCGCTCTCGAGCGAAGCCTTCTTCTCGGCGCGCGGGCTGGAAGCGCCTCCGAAAACGGGCGCGGGGCTCCAGCCCGATGTGAAGTTCTGCTTGGACGGCGATGGTGTCGAGAGCGACTCGGCGGACGTGTCGATGCTGGAAGGCTTGGGCTCCTCGGGCTTGGTCGAGCTTGCGCTCTGCTCCGAGGTGGAGGCGGGAACGGTGGGGGGCACCATGACGCCGGTCTCGTTGAGGCTGGTAGCCGAGAGAGTGTCCCATTCCTGGCTGGAAGTGGTTCCGCTGTCGGTGGTGGGTGCTGCTGGTGCTTTTGCGGGGGAGGAGGTGGTGGTGGTCGAGGTGGAAGCTTCCATGTCCTGGCTGTCCTCGTCCTCCTTGTCCTCAGCATCTGCATCGACCTTCTTGGCGGCAGCAGGGGACGGTCCATCGTCATCCACCTCATCGAGGCTGGCAGCCGACATGCCATCTGCACCTTCTCCACCACCACCCGTAGCGATGTCCTTGCTGACGATCTTCATGATGGTGTCGAACACCTCCTTGGGCACGGCCTTCTGGTAGATCATGATCAACTCCACCGGCTGAGGGTACACCTTGAGCGCTCGGAAGAAGGCAGCCGCAGCATCGAGGTACTTGTCGGTGCCCATGGCGAAGAGCTGTTCGCCGAGCGAGACGTACTTGAGGAAGTATTGCTCGCGCTCCTCGACGCCGGATGGGAAGACGCCAGGTGTACGGATCTCTTGCAGCAGCTCCTCGATGAAGCCCTCCTCCTGCTGTGCGCGCTTGGCGGCCTGCTTCTTGTCGGCCTTGGACGTCTTTTTGCTCTCCTTGCGCAGACTCTTGCGGAAGGCAGGGTCGGTTCGACGACGGTGGTCAAAGTAGACGGCGTATCCGAGACCCGCCACTCCGAGGACGGAGAGCGATGTGAGTACGATCTGCGATGTCTTCATGGCTGCGTGTGGATGTGTCCTCCCTTTTTTTGATGGAAGGCAGAAGGTCGAGGGTCGACGGATGTTCCGATGCGATGTGAAGGAATGCAGGATAATGGCAGGACGAACGACAGAAAGAGTCGGAGGATCCTTCGTGACAGCCGTCTTGCACCGCGGGCAGCGGAAGACTACCCGAGGGGAGACCGTTCTGCCCTCCGTCATTCCGCGCACGAGAAGATCGAGCGGTGACTTTGTGCCCTTTCTTCATGTGGAGCTGCACAGTCGAGGTCGACAGTCAGTGACAATTTTCTTCTTAAATTCTGAAAAATTTCCAAGAGGAAGAGAGCCAAAGCCAAAGCCGCAGGGTGGAAGCAAGGTGGACCCTTGCTCTGTGCTTCTCGCCAAGTCAATTGCACTCACACCACCACACAAGATCGCGAACAGCATGTCTAGAACAAAGAAGAACAAGCCAGGAGCAGCAGCAGCACGAGCTGCCAAGGCTGCTGCAGCTGACACCGCCGCTGCTGCCCCTGTCGCCGTTGCTGAGGATGCTCCCGAACCGATTGTCGCCGCCGAGCCCGCTGCTCCTGCAGCCACCTCAGAACAGGCACCTACCACCTCCAAGCGTGGCAAGCTCATCCGACCACGAGGCAAGCGAGGCGGTATCAAGAACCGCAAAGGCGGTCCCGCATCCAAGTCAGCCGATGTTCAGCAGTCCGCCGTCAAAGGTGCACGCAAAGCGAAATCCAACGGCACCTCGGACGCTCACGAACACACCGACTCCAACGCAGCCCCCGTTCCCCCCGCCGAGCACGCCGAAAAGATCGCCAAGTTCCACACCCTCCTCAAACAGCTCGAGCAGGCCAAGTCCGCTGCGGAGAAGGACGAGATCCAATCTGGACTTGATTCGCTCGGCGGTCTTGCCCAGTATCAGGCCTGGTCGCTGACAGGGTCCGCCAAAGCCGGTCAGACACCCACCAGCAAATGGTGCATGGAAGCGCTCGCCACTGTCTACCAGCACGATCGAAACCTGCCCAAGTTCAAAGTGCTCGACGTCGGCGCCATCACCGGAACCGCCTACGAAAAGTACCGCTGGGTGGACGCCACCTACATCGACCTCCACCCGCAGGGGGACAACGTGCAAAAGTACAGCTTCTTCGACTTCCCCACCCCCACCGCCGCGGAAGCACAGTACAACATGGTCGCACTCAGTCTCGTCATCAACTTTGTCGGCGACGTACGAAAGAGAGGCGAGATGCTGCGACACGTGCACAAGTACCTCCCCACCGCCGAGGACGTGCCCGGATTCTGCTTCCTCGTGCTCCCCCTCAGCTGCCTCACCAACTCGAGGTACATGAACCAGACCCATCTGCGCGCCATCCTCGACTCGCTAGGTTTCACCGTCGTCAAACAGTCCGATTCCAACAAACTCTCCCGATGGTTGCTCCAGAGGAAACCTCTCGCCGAACGAAAAGCTGCTGCAAAGAAGAACGAAAACCCAGCAGCAGATGCGGAATGGGACGGAACCGTCTTCAAAAAGCGCGACATCAACCCGGGCAAGGACAGGAACAACTTTGCCATCGTCGTCGATCCCACTCCCTGATCTCCGGTCATTCCGCTCTCGTTTCACCCGAATCTTTGTACTTTTACATGCAACTTGCGTTTTCTTATCACACTCATTTCCACATGAAGTTAATTCGTGAACTGTGATTGGCAAAACGCTACAAGTGTGATATTAAGTGAGAGAGTACTTGGGTCCTCCACCTCCCTCCGGCACGTCCCAACGAATGCTCTGGTCGGGAGTCTTGATGGAGCACGTGTAGCAGTGGATGCAGTTCTGACTGTTGATCACGAGTTTTTGGCCCAACGCGTCCTCGTCAGCCGGGGTGTCCGCCTCGACGTACTCGTACACACCTGCCGGGCAGCATCGACCCAACGGACCTTCGAACATTCCCACATTGCGTTCGACGTGACCCTTGTAATCACCGTCCTTGACGACGAGGTGAACCGGTTGGTCTTCAGCGTGGTTCGTACCCGTCCTCGAAACCGAGGTGAGGATGTCGAACGAAAGCTTTCCATCCGGCTTGGGGTACTCGATAGGCTCGCACTGAGCGGCCGGCTTGGTCTGAGCGTGATCCTCACCAGGATGGTGGAACGTCCAAGGCACGCGACCTTTGAGCAGCATGGAATCCAAACCAGAGTACGCCAGACCGCCCCAGAAGCCGAGCGGACCGTGGAACGAAGGTCGCAAGTTGCGCACCTCGTACAGCTCCTTCATGACGTACGTGTCGTCGAGCCGCGTCTTGTAGTCGGCGAGGTCGATGCTCTCCTCGGAGCCGGACTCGGCGCGCTTGGCGAGTGCCTCGACCACCGCTTCGGCAGCGACCATGCCGGACTTCATGGCGTTGTGCGTACCCTTGATCTTGGGCACGTTGAGGAAGCCAGCGGCGCATCCGACCAACGCACCGCCGGGGAAGTGAAGCTTGGGGATCGACTGGTAACCGCCTTCGTTGAGCGTTCGCGCACCGTACGCGAGGCACTCGCCACCCTCGAGCAGATCCTTGAAGAAAGGATGGTGCTTCATCTTCTGAAACTCGCGGAAGGGGCTCAGATACGGGTTCTCGTAATCGAGACCGACGACGAGGCCGAGCGAGACCATGTTGTCTTCCATGTGGTACGTCCAGCTTCCTCCGTACGTGCTGGTGTCGAGCGGCCAACCCATGGTGTGCGTGACCAGACCCGCCTGGTGCTTCTCGGGCTTGACTCGCCACACTTCCTTGACGCCGAGACCGTAGGTCTGCGGATCGGCACCGACCGCGTCCCGCAGGCCGAGCTGCTTGATCATCTTTTGCGTCATGGAGCCGTGTGCACCTTCGGCGAAAAGTGTGATGGGAGCGTGGAACTCCATGCCTGCCTCGAACGAGTCCTTGGGCTTGCGCGACTTGTCGAGACCGATCTCGTTGGTGATGACACCCTTGATGCCGATGGGCTTGCCGCTGGCGTCCGTGTCCCACAACGGCTGTGCGGCGGCGAAACCGGGGTAGATCTCGACGCCGGCGGCTTCGGCCTGCTCGCCGAGCCATGCGACGACGCGAGAAAGCGAGACAATGTAGTTGCCCTTGTTGGACATTTGCGGCGGATGCGGCATCGGGAATGAGCCTGTGGGAGTGAGGAAGCGCATCTGATCTTCAAGAGCGGGCTGGTTGAGCGGGGCACCGAGCTCCTTCCAGTCTGGCAAGAGCTCGTCGAGCGCATTGGTCTGGATGACAGCACCGGACAGAATGTGGTTGCCGACCTCGGGTCCCTTTTCGAGCACGACGACGCGGATCTCTTCGCCGCGCTGTTCGGCTAGCTGTTTGATCTTGATCGCAGCACTCAAACCAGCTGGACCTCCGCCGACAATGATGACGTCGACCTCGTCCGAAACTCGCTCGACCGAGGTGAGGTCGAAAGGCTCACCATCGCCCTCTTCGACGGGAGTGGCTCTGCGCGCAGCTGGTGTCGTTGAGAAGGCGCGAGCGAGTGAGGAGCTTGCAACCGCGCTTGTTCGCGCGTTCGGGAGGCGACTGCGGACAGCCAGTGTGGAAAGCGAAGAGCTCGGTGCAGACGAGGTGACACGGAGCGATCGACCGGCGTTGCTGACAGTGCCGCTGCGAAATGCGCCCGCCAGACGTGCTGGCGAGGCAGATGTCGCACGAGCAGCAAACATGATGTTGTGGTGCCGAGACCTTGTTCGGACGGTGGCTGTGAGAGCTGTGACAGTTACGAGGTCGTCAATAGGATGCCGGGCGATGGATGTTTGACAGGAGAGCGTGTGAGGTTGTCCGGAAGATGTCGCCTGTTATAGTGGTGGCGAGGAGGGAAGATGATGGAGAGCAGTGGCTGAGGTCTTGGCATGAGCCTGCAAGAAGCGGGTGACGTCGACGATCAAAGAGCGCGCGACGGCGGAGAACGGAAGTACTTGAGCGTGTAGGCTATGCTCGAAGTCCGATTGCGGGGCGGCAATACTGTAGCAGGTGGGGCTTTAGCGACTGACAAAGCGGATCTGCGAGGGTCCTTTTGGCACCACCGGCCAAAGCGAGACGAACCCTTCCGGAACCGTTTTCAACACACAAAATCCACATTCGGGCCATCCGTTGCCAGCAGGCGGCCACCATCACACAGGGAGAGCCAGTTTCCAACCGCGTCTTTTTTTTTCCCCTCCGGTTGCAAATGGCAGAGGCGCGCGCCTCTCTCACAACGAATCAGAAATCAGCGTTCCGTCAGCGGCTCGATCCCAGGGCCAAAATCGGGCAGATCGATTCTCGAATCGTAACCCACCGCCTCGATCGAATTCTCGCGCTGCTTGACGTGAGAATCCCCCTTTCAAACAAGATATCACGAGACTGTTCTCAAGAACCTCATTGTTCGACATCACAAACAATCACAAGATGAGCGCGATGATAGAAGGTTTTGGAGACTGGCTGGACGCCATTTTTGATTCCCAAAAAGGAATGAGATCCTCGTCCGTATACACGAATGGTCCCCCGAACTCGGGTGCCCGCTTGCTAGAAGGGGCCCGCAGAGAAGGGGAGAAGACATCGGCGGACGTGTGATGTGTGTGTGAAGGTGTAAGAATACAAATACGAAAAGCCCATAATGCAAGAGTACTATAGAAAGCAAAGGAGTCTAAAGGGGGGAAATAGGAGAGCGCCGATGATGAGGAAGCAACCTGTCAAAGGGCCCTCGAATGCATCGTGCCTACATCTATGTGTCTATATGGAGAGTGCGCGGAAAGGGAAGCGAAACCACGGACAGTGGAACGCTTTACATGTCCTGACCGTCGATGAAGCCCCAGGTGACCGACTCGATGGTCTCGGGGGACTCGTAGTTGTTGGCGATGCGCTTGTAAGCCTCACCGAGAGCAATCTCGCCCTCGGGGCCGGCGTAGTAGTTGACGACCTGAACGGAGATCTCCTTGCCGTTCTGGTTGTTCTTGACCTGGATCCACTTGCCGCAAGCGTTGCCGAGCTTGTCAGCGGCGAGGAGCGACGACGAAGAGATGGCGACGGGGAGCGAGGCACGGTCGAGCTGAACACCGCAAGCGTTGTTCACGTCAGCCCACCAGGCGGGGGTGGAGACGACGGTGTCCTTGTTCGAGCTCGACGAGGGCTGGGGAGCAGCCGAGGTCACAGCGGTGGGGCGAGCGGGCTGGCTGTAGGTGGCAGTGGTGGGGGTGGCGGTGGCCGAAGGGGTCCACGTCGACGAGGGGGTGTAGGTGGTCTGGGGAGCAGCCTGGGTCGAGGTAGCCTGCTGCTGCTGCTGCTGCTGGTGCTGCTCGTTGTTGCTCTGCTGAGCGGGGGCACCCGAGCCGTACGACCACGAGATGGGGAAGACACCGGCGTCCATGTTGCCGTTGTTAAGGGCAGAGAAGAGGCTGGTCGACATGTCGAGCGAGCCCCACGAGCAGCCGGGGCAAAGGTCGACGACCTGAGCCTGCTGGGTGTTGCCGTTCTGGTTGTTGGTGATGGTGATCATCTTACCGCAGTTGGCACCGCCGTTCCACTCGGGAGCGTTCATGGCAACGATGAAGTCGGAGCCAGAGTTGGTCCAACCACAGGCACCGAGACCAGCGGCGTAGTAGGTGGCCTGGCCGCTGGATCGCTTGACGATGGGGGCGGCCGAGGCGCCGGCGACGGCGAGAGCGAGGGCAAGGACGTTGGAGGCAAGCATTGCGGAAAGAGTAGAGAGGAGCGTTGGGTTGGTAAGGTGGATGGAAGGGTTTGATGAGGAGAGGCGGAAGAGACGGACTCTGATCCAGTGGGTTTATATGGATGCTCCAGGTTCCAGCAAGCTGGGCGCCCGTTTTCGCTGTACGGTCGCTGTTGCGAAGGCATAGAATTCAGGTGTTCCTAGCAGCATTTGCCGAGGATCCTCGGGCAGCATGAAAGGGAGGTCCTCTCGTCAAGTGGCGGGCGGATCTTCTTTGCGGCGAACAAAACCTTCCAGATGAGGCGGATCGACAGTGTTTGGCACCATGGAACACGGTTGATCCTTGGGAAATGCCCGTGAGACTGCTCAACTGACTGACAGCGGCGTTCAAGCAGTGGTAGAATGTAAAGCGACAATGCTTCAGCGGCTCAGCCTCCCAAGGGTTTGGCGCCGGGGATCGCGATTCAGGGGGGTACTCAGCATGGCTTGATTGAATACGGAGCGGCCATGGCCGAGGGAAGGGAGACTCAAAGGGGGAAAGAAAAGTTTTTTCGAGCTGGCCGAGTGAACCCTAGAAAGTAGCACGAAACCAAGAACGGGGGTAGTGATCTGCAGGAGGAACAATTATCTTGCTGTTTGCGGCAGGTGATGGCGAAGAGAAGGTTTGCAGGCGGTACCAGCGGTGTGACAGCTGCGCGGGGTGACGAAGAGAGAAGTTACAAAGTAGCACCCCGAAATTTTGAGCCACACCAGACGGCGTCGTCGGCGGCGGCCACCGACAGAGAGGGGCCTCGACAAAAAGTAGGGCCGTCTCGCCGCCGTGTCCGACAGGCACGAAAGTGCTCGAGCCCAAAAGCGGCATCTGAGCTTGACATCTGTCCAAGCTAGCAGGCAGACGCAGTCCGTCGCCGAAAAAAGCAACAGTGGAAGCTGGCTCAAGTTGCAGCTTCGGCAGCCGCAGCACACGAGCAGCTACCAACCTTTCGGTAGCGGTGTCACTAAGGCAGTCTGCCAGATGTCTCACCAAAAATGGGGGGGTGTTGGCTCGGTGTTGTTTGCAGTCAAGCGAGGAAGGCCACGAGGCAAAAACCGGCTCGGCCAGTTGAAAAAAGAGGGGACTGTTGAAAGGTCTCAGTTTTTTTTTTCCTTCTTCTCAGAGTTTGAAAATTCTCTCCTTTGTCTCAGCAGCTTGCCAGCAAATCTTTTTTTTTCAAGTTCGTTTTCAGCTTCTCGCAGGATCGACAGAGATCGCTTGGCTCGGCTACCTTTACCCTGCATGGCGATCCCTAAGAAGCTTTTGCTCTGTTACACCATTGGGCCGCTTTGATCGTCTCGGAAAGGGATCGAGTCTGCCACCAACGATGCTGACACAGATCGGATCGGATCTACAACCTTGAAGCTCAGCAATGCGCATCGCAGCAGGCGCTGCGGTTGTCTATTGCGGCTCAGAATTGAGGGTGCTGTCAGGGCCTGATTCACGGCCGGTCGGACCGCTGTGCTCCACCATCGCAATTGAGAGCCATGTTTCGGGGCATACTCGGCCGCTTGCTCCTTGATCAAGCCTTCTTGTCTTGATTTCAGCGCTCTTATTACACCTTGAGGTTCTTATCGACTGCGACTTGGAAGGACCAGACCTTTGGAACCGTCAAAGTATGCGAAATGAGCTTGCAACGGGAACAACTTAGCCTCGTGTTCCTTAGCCTGGTTGACTGAGCGGAAAAGAATTTCGGGTCGGTGGGGGCGCACTTCTGCGCCGCTCAGCCGCCCACAGCAACGTGATGTTGAAAAAAGGGGCGGCAATGCATGGCCGAAAAGTCAAATTCGGCAAGAAATTGCAAAATTGGCTTCAGTGGCTTCAGATGCAGCTGCTGACGGCTCAACCAGTGTACACGCAGGAACGAGGAATGTGATGGCAACGCACGACGCCCTTTTCTGCTCGTCTGCCCCTGTGATCTGATCAAAGGGGCTTTCGATCTTACTCGACGCACACCCCTGTATGAAGCCGACAGCCACCTTGAGAAAGCCTGGCGATCTGCTTCGATGATACACAAGCCACCATGCTATGTATGTCCAGTCAGCGATATGCTTGGCATCGATCCATCGATCGTCTGCATAGGGGGTATCTTGTCCAAAGTTGATCGACGATGCGATCCGACCATGATTACCGCTATCGTGCTTCCGCGCAACTTTCTGCAGCTACCCGCTATGGGTTATCTCGGTCTCGGACGAACGTCGTGCGACAGGACCGATAAAGCGGGGCGGAGAAGAGCGAGGCAATCAATTAGCCAAAAGATTAGATTCGATCTGCTCAAGCCGGTTGCTCGGCCGGCGACGCTTGCCTGTCACTGCCGTGACAAGGACGAACCCTCGTTCTTCTCGCTCGTCGGACAACCTTGTCGGGCTTTCCCACACTCCAAACGTGCGGGGCCGAACTCGAGGCAGTGTAGCGCCTCTGCATCATGGTCGACTCCGCTCACAGCGAGGGTCAAGGGTTGTAATGATGCGCTTCCCTCCTTTCTTTGGTCGAACAGCCACGAGGCAATGACTTGCACCGATCTGCTTCCGGATCTGCCATCCTGCCATTGTACAACGACACCCATCGTTTCAGGCGGTCTTTCACTTTGGTACTCTTTGCTGCTATCTCATCTCATTCGAGAACTGGGTTTGCCAAGGCAAAATCTTCCATCACACCGAACGCACATTGTCCCGAGAACGTGCTTGTCCACAAGAGACACCAAATTCGTGGCAGTTTCGGCGACTAGAGGTGGGCGTTCTAGACGTGGCTTGGATCGATGGGATCGTCGAATCGGAGTCTGGAATTCCAGCACAGCAGCCAGCACTCGACGAGTTACCGAGAAAGACCAACGTCGGCATTCAAGCGAGCATGAATTTTTGTATTTGAAAGATTTTCGGGGTGCGTCCGTTTGAAGTAACCGCAGGCGAGGGCCGCATTCCAGCGTGAATCTGCCGACTTTCAAAATCAAGAAGAAAGGTAATCCGCCGGTGATGGACAGAGCAGCTGAGCCGGCGAGCCTCTCTCACGGCGGGCGGGTTTGGTCCGCTCGTCAAGAGGTCCGGGCTCGCTTGCAACAATCGAGTGCAAAGAGCAAACACTCCTCTGGCTCTCAGCGACCTCGCTTCGATGCTGTAAATTGAAAACTTTTCGCACCGGGACCTAATCAGATCGAACTTGACCATGGGAAAGCTTCGATCAACGTCGACCTATCGAGACAAGCTTGCTGTGCGACGAGTCGATGATTAGCTACGCCGGATCATTCACGAGCAAAGCGAACCAGAGCCGGGGCAGAGCACAGGCTTGAGCTTGGACAAAGAGTGCTGACTGTCAAGGCGAAACGACGACTCCTTTCGGCCGTGTTTTTCGCTACGAACCTGTGCAGAACCACATGCTGCAACAGGTCGACTGCCTCTTTCGATCATCTCGAGACAGCGGAGTCGATGTTTGAACGTCTGCTCTACCTGATCGAATGTGTTTCAGGCGTCCGCGTACACAGTATGGAGGAATGCGGCGCTGGACGCGGTTCGCAGTGGTGTAAAGTGCCCTCGCGGGGGTACCAACGCTGGCGTGTCGGGCAGGTCTGATCCGCAAATCAATTTTCGGCCATCTGAGGTGCTCCGATTCTGTGTTGCAAAAGTGCTGCACAGCGTGGGAGTGATGCGCGAGGTTGGCGGCATACAACGTGTTGCTGAGAATCAAAAATTCCAGGGGACTTCGTATGCAGCATGATCGCCGGGCGTCGCTCTGCTCTCCAGAAGGCGCCGCATTTGACATGTGTACCTAGAGGAGTGGCAATGCGAGCCAACCCTCTTTGCCACGTTGATGCGGGAATCGAGGGTCCGCTTCCAAGTCCGCTTTTTTTCGTGCCGTGTTCGAGAAGCCAAGCCATAGGCACGGACGCCATCGAGTCGATTTTGCGTGTGTCACACAGTGGACAATGCCTGTTCAGGGTGGCTTCCGGCCTTTGCATGTCCTTTTGGAAGTTCTCACGATCTTATCATATCGGACCTTTGGTTCGCCGTTGCCCCGCTTTCGCTCATCCTTCACGCCGATGAATCGTAGCTACATGGTCTCGGACGCATCAGGCTCCGCCTCTTTGTCGCCTGTCGAAAGCAAGTCGTAGGCCCGCGATTGCAGAACTGTCCGTACCCTTATTGAGCTGCACATCGAGTCGGAGATGGGATCTGGGCGCAGTGTGACGCTGATGCACGCATGACCATCGTCGACCATGCCGAAGGCAGCAGAGTGCATCGATGCGCGCTCTGCTGTGACGAGATCCGGCAACATCTACAGCAGCACCGCAAGATAGCGTCAGCATCGCATGCTTCGGCTCAATCACCTCGATCTCCATCGTGCCATCGGCGGCAAGCTTATATTCTCGCTTAAGAGGCGGCCGACGCATGTAGATCGACACCGATCGATGGAGCTCGTACGCACAGCAAGGCCAATAACAATTGCCGTTCTACTCGGCAAACGCTGCAAGAAAGGGTCGTCTCGATGAGCCCTTGAAATCAACCTTTGGCGTTCAAGCCACTGTAGCGCCCAGCACGTCTCTGTTCATTGTCGCCTTTTCGATACTCGGCAAAGCTTTTCTTCCCGTTCGTTATTGCAATTCGCTCGGTGCAGGAACGGTTGAGGTATATTCAACCGAGGTCTTCTTGATTCGATTGGCAAGGGTAAGGCGGCTCAATTCATTGGTACGGTCTTGATGGTCGACAAAGGATCAACTTCAAAGTTTTCTGAAGCTTGCACGCGGGACCGACGTATGACCTTAGCGACCGCAAATGAGTGAGAAGCTCGGGAGCGCTAAATTTTCCAGCGTCGCACGAGTGATGTGAGTGACTCCCGTCTAATTGCTTATGTAAGTGCTGCTACCATCGGCGATCAACGTTCCGCTTCGTACCAGCTCGTCACCTCCCGCTGCCAGCCACTACGAGCCGCCTCTGGATCTTGAGAATCTCCTTGCACAGCTCGTCGTGGCTCTTCTTGAGCGTCTTTGCATCCTCAAACTTGCGTGCCTTTGCGGCGCTCTCGACGTAATCTGCCACGAGCTTCTCCTGCTCTAATAGCACTTTGAGTTGCTCTCTCAGCTCTGCTGGGTCCGCATCAGCTAGGTTGTCGTCGATCACATCTTCTTGCTGGTGGATGTCGTCGAGATCTGCGCGTGAGTTGGCTCGCAGGGAGCCGGATCCGCTGCCTCCACCGAACAGCGATCGGAAGCTGGCGATGGAGCTGACGGACGCTTTGCTGGCGTGTTGTGCCGGGCGTCGTGGTGCCACCCGTGGAGATGCTGGTTGCGGAGAGCCAGGCGTACTGCCGGTCGAATCCGAGCCCGCGTCTCCGTTCGCCTTCTTGCTGCCTGGCTTGGGCAGACTCTGCAGCGGCAGCATGTTTTGCTGCAAGAACAGGTTGGCGCGTGTGAAGATGGCATGCTGAACCCTCTCCTGCGCTGCATCGCTCCCGTTCGCGCCTGTACTGTCCCTCTCGCCCACCGGCAAAGCACGAATGCGCTTCGCCAGCTCGTCGTAGGTCGCAAAGTTGGCCAACAGTTGCTTGCGCGCCTGTACGGCATCGCGTTGCAGCTCGATGTTGGCTCTGATGCTCGACCCCAACGCAGCCGTCTGATCTTGCTTCTGCAAACCCAACACCATCTCCTGAAACTCGGGCAGCGACTGCTCAATCTCCTTCTGGACTCGCATGAGCGCCTCGTACAGCTTGATGAACACGGGCAGCGGTTCGTCGTCCATCATATACTGCCGCTTACGAACGATCGACTTGCAGTCACGACAGATGCGTACACCCCTCGGCTGTGCGGCGCTCGAACCTGCTTTGGACGATGCCGCGGCGGCTCCCTCCTTGACCTCTTCGATACGACCAGTGATGGGATCGGCGACAATATTGCCTGAGCATTTGTTGTCCAGTTCGGCTCGCTCCTGCACCGTCAGCACCTTGCCTGTGCCTGGAGCCATTTGCTCGGCCCACGTCAGTCGAGTCAGGTGCGGCGAAGCGCACACCACTCGTCCGCACAGACGGCAGTGATGCTTACGCACGGTGAAGCTGAAGGGGGTGGAGCATATGGGACATGCCTTTGCTTCGGCGTCGTCCTGCCAGTTGACAATGGTCTGCTCCGCTTGACGGATTGCGGGGTCTTCACCTCGACCACGTGCTCTGAAGGAACTCCACAGCTCGCTGCCACCTTTGAGAATGACGCTGCTCGGATCTCGCTTGAGCTCGTCTAGGTCAAGGTCGGCGAACGACGAGTTGAGCGATTTCTTTGCCGGGCCGAGCGATGTCTTTTCCATATCGCTGCTGGGTGCAAAGTGGATGGCGACGAGCTTTGCCAGTCTTCGGTCCATGCGTTGCGCTTCCATCTCGCCTTCGCTTCTGCCCTTACGCCGCAGCTCTTCAAACTCGCTGGTTCGCACGCGAAGGACACCTTTAGGCTGAAAGCCGGATCGATAGGCTGTTCGCCTTCCATCAGGGCTCGAGACTGCCATCGATGGTGATGCAGATGCGGCCGAGTCTCCTGCAGCTTGTGCGAGGGCGACACCTTGTGGTACTGGGATGGGTCCCAGTCTAGACTGTGCTGCAAGTAGCGCAGCATACGAGTTGACGTGAGCCGGAATGGAACTGCCCGATGCACCGATGATAGGGGTGGAGGACCGGCTGCCGGGAGGGCTGGCGACGGCAGAGGATGCCCTGCTAGATCCGCGGAGGCTGGATGCAGCACTCGATGAGACGGTCGTACCGCCATTGATTGTTTTGTTGGACTCCCGAGTGGAAGCAGCGCGGACCGTCGGCGTCGAGCCACTCTCCGGAATTCTGCTGGAGGCGCGTGGCGTTTCTGGCAGCTTTTGAGGCGAGCGTGGTCGATCTTGCGCACGCACAGTCGAGGTCGAAGCGGTGCTTTGGCTGCGTTCGTGACTAGCTGCCGAAGAGTCGATCTTTCGTGTCGTGGAGCCGCTCGGTGACGGCGCCGAGGAAATCGATGATGGCGCATGAGCCGGGGTAGCAGTCGCAGAGCCTGCAAATTGTGCATTGCTCGAAGTAAGCTTCGACGCTACTCGTAGTGGTGGTGGCGGTGCATCAAGATCTCGGTGCGATCGGACAAGCCCTGCGCCTCGTGCCAGCGGAGAAGCAATAACTGGTCGATTCAGTTGTGAAGGTGCGCGTGATGATTGTGGTGATGGCCGCAAAGGTGTGGATGACATTGGCGCGCGGTCTGCTGTGTCGCTGCCTCTTCTGCTAATCGAAGCACTGCTCGAGCTGGAAGGATGCGAAGATGATGCGTGATCGGATGCTGGTCGCGACGAGCCGGACTCGGCTTGCGAGGCCGCGACAGATACCTGCGAAACGCTGGACGCATTTCTTTGATGTCCCTTTCGCTGGTACGGGACGTATGAAAGACGCTTTGATGAGGAAGATTGGGTGGTCGACCCCGGTTCATCTTCAATGATCATCTTGTGCTATGATGACAGACAGTCGTTCCGATCCTCTACGTCGCTTTGATTGCGGAAATCATAAGATCACGAACATCGCAGGCTGGAGAAGGAGATCCGAGCCGATGGATGCAGACTATCGATCGCAAATTCTACGGCGGGAGGTGAAGCTTGTTGCTTCACAGACGAGTCAGCGCCCTGCTGTTGCGGTTGTTGCGATGGGTATGTGTGTGATGGCAAGAGGGCGTGTCGCGAGAACTCAGCGACGATGTACGACATGCGTGAGCCTATGTGGAGTGTGAGGCGAGGCGAAGTGAGCTCGGACCCTGAGCAACTCTCAAGGCTTGCACGCAACAACACGACCGCGCGCTTATCACTACCGATTTCCGAATATACTCAGCACAGGAGGCCAATTTTGCGGTAACACACACAACCTTGATAGCACGTCAAGGCACAGGAAACCAGAGGCATGTGGAAGTCATTTGCTGAGAGAGAAGTGCGTGACGATGACTGATGACGTTGGCGATGCGGATGCAGTGAGCGATGGAGAATACATGACGATGACGGTGACAATGACAGTGACAGTGACCGCGAATAGATAAAAAAAAAAACCCCAAAAGGTACGATGAACGAGGGTCAAAGGACGACAAGGTTTGGTCCTTGGTGGTCGAGATCAATCAGGAAGAGAGGGAGCTATGACGATGATGGTAAGCACAGGCGGGTCCCCCACGGTGTGAGGCAGCCTAGATACGACGCAGAGCAACGATTTGCACTTCGAGCTCGCATTCTGCGATGGGGCACGGCTCCTGATCGTCGATCCTGGACTGGAGCACGTCCCACAGCGAATCGAGCACAAACTCGACGGCCCCTTTGCTGAGCTTGCCCTTCTCTCGCAGGATGGCGCGGAAGTGCGACTCATACAGGTTCTTGAACAGCTGGATCATGTGTTCGGCAAAAGCGACGCGCGAGAGTGTACCCGCCTGCAAAGCCTTCCACGCAGGATGCGGCAGTCGCAGTGGTTCGGCTTCGCATCTCAGCGAGGGCGGAGTATCGGCACAGATAGGCTCGTCGCCGAGGCCACAGCTCCACTCCACCTTCCACAGATGCTTGACCGACTTGAGCACGTTGCGCGTCTGCCGAGGAGTGCGCGCGTGCATGGGCAGGCTGAGCAAGTGTCGCGCCACGTCGCTCTTGAGCATGCCGCATGAGACGAGACGCTGCAAGCACGGCGCAAGCGTGCTGGTGAGCGTGGACCAGATGTCCAAAGGCTTGCCGAGCGCGTCTGCTGCGTTGCCCGCGCCGGCGAACGACGGTCGATTGGGAGACGAGTTGGAACGCCTTCGTTCCTTGCGCAGCATCGGAATACGTGGCGAGATGGCTTGATCCTCCACACCAGCGCCATCAGCAGGCGAGTGCGAAGCGTCGTCCGAGTCGAGCGAAGAGGCGGTGGTGTTCACGGTAGACTTGGGTCGATCGGGAAGAACAACGTTGCTGTCCTCGGATCGAGCAATGTAAGCCATCACAATCACACCGCCCGTGCGGAACTCGTGCGCCCTGGCCGTGAGGAAAGCGGCGAGCTCAGCGTGTGCCGAAGTCGAGAGCGAGACGGTGGAGCTTCGTGGCGTGTGCGACCAGTGCAGATCCATCAAGCTGATGCCGAGATGCAGAGTCGAGGGCGGAGCGATGCGCGACGCGAAGGGCCGCGAGACAAAGCTCGGAAAGATGGCATTGTGCAGAGGTGGCTCGTGGGTTGCCTGCCACTGCGGGTGCAGGTACGAGTCGGGGTTCGTGTCGAGCATTTGAGACAAAGGACGAAAGTCGGCCTGAGGCGAATCTTCGTGGATAATGGAAAAGTTGACCTTGCAAGGGTCGTCGACGGCAGCGTCGACGCCCAAGATGGATCGCAACGAGGCAGCGCCAGCCGCGTCGAGCCCGGGGAAGTAGTCGCTAGCGTCCTGGCTCTTGCCGGCTTCGCGACGCGGCGTGTTGGCGTGTGCCTTGTCAACGAAGAACGAGATGATGGCTTGCATCAGGTTAACGGATCTGGTGTTGAGACTGCCGTATTCAGCAATAGTGATGGTCTCTCCCTCCTCGCCGGAAAGCGGGATGCTGGAGACGAGATGAGGCAGCACCTCGGACACCTTTGCGCGGACGCCCGGGCCAAAGTGACTGCCGCCTCCCAAGCCGAGCAAAGCCGCCTGCGTGGGACCATGGGCGTTGGCAGCACGACCCTGTCGAATCGACTTCCAGCCTGCAGCTTCGGCGTGATGAGCGGGGTGGTGGAACGGACTGGACGAGGCAGTAGCTGCAGCGAAGGGATGGCCGGAAGGGAGGTAGTGTGCATCGGGAGAGAGCATAGCCTTGTCATCGAGCGAAGGTGTTTGAAGCTGCGTGCTGCCGCTGACAGAGGCCTGCGCGTGGGTGCTGCTCCGACCTCCGAGCGAGGGTTCGCGGTCAAGACTGGTAGCAGCCGAGAGCGGGGCGTCCATGTTGAAGCTGCTTGGCAGACCATGCGTGAGGATCTTGGCCTCGTTGCGAAGCGCAATGTAGTTGTTTTGGTAGTACTGCTGCTTGGCGATCTCGGCGGTGACGGCGGGAGAAGGTTCAGAGGACAAGATGGCGTCGTGCGTGTCGGCGCGATGGTGTCGACCGAGCCTCATGGGCTCGATGCGGGCCTTCGACTGACGCGTGCCCGTGGTGCGCCTGCGGTGCAGATCCCCCTCGAATCCATCTGCAACACGCTCGGGACTGCGAGCAAAGCGGTAAGGGAGGCTGTCGGCAGCTGATGCGGCTTCCGGGCTGCTGTCAAAGTCGAGTCTGGACGTGGTTGGCGAGGTCTGCAGCTCGAAGGCGGCATCGCGCGCAGTTGGAAGCGGCTCGAACGGGCTTTGGTGAGGGCGAGAGTAGCGCGGTTCGGCGAGACCCGAGAGTGCGGCCGCTTTTGCGCCGGGGATGTGCGTCATCAGCGCAGAGGAGGCGAGGCTGACACCGAGGCCCATTTCGAGACCTGCGGTGACGACGCTGCTGACTTCGACGGGAGAGGTGCCGACGGCCGAGACCGAGGCGTGCGCTGGCGGAGTGAGTCCTTCGACCATGCCAATCTGGTAGAGAGAGGACCTGGAGAACGCGGGTGCCGGGCCAGATTCGAGGAAGGACGCACGCTCGGCAGCAGGCGCGCGAGCCGAGGTGAAGTACTTGGCGTCCGAGTCGCCTGTCGAAGCTAGATGTTGCCGTCCGGAGCCAAGCGGGAGGGACTGTTCCTGCATGTGAGCAAAGGTCTGGGCCGGGGCCGATGGGGTGAGGTCATGGTCGATGGAACTCATGGCTACGATTGCGTCGGCACGGTACAAGTCGAGCAGGGCTGAGGCAGAAGAGCCTTGTGAAGAGCTCGAAACCCGCAGGGCCAATCGCGTGCAGCGTAGTTAGAGTCGGATCAACGCAGACAGGTCGAAGACATGGAAGTACAGTCGATCTGGCACAGAACGACGCCTCTAGCGTTGAGTCTTGGTCGTCAGCAAGCTAGTGAGTGTCGACGTGCCGAGCTCGCGCGGTGAAGATTGTTCTTCGAGTGGCCACCGGCTAGCCAAGGGATGGCGGGTGATGCGAGGCTGAATCGAGTTGCAGGCGTAAAAATGGACTGGTCCCGACGACCAGCGGTTTCTTTACACGCACGCAAGAGGATGAATCAGGTCGAAGAGTGAATTCGTGCTACGCGACTTGCTGGAATGGAATTGGCTTGGAACTAGCCTGCAAAGCGTCGTTGCGGACAGGTGGGTTCTGCAAAGAGGTGGATGTGGACTCGAGGCGGTTCCAGACTGACGGGACAGCGTAATTGCTTCGAATGACCGCGAGAGTGTTTCACAAGCCGGCTGGAGGCGCTGCCGATCTGAGTGCGGGGCGCAAAGATATGAAGGCTGCGTGGGCGCGTGGACCAGGAGGGCCTTGGCGAATGAACCAGGGCGCAAGGGTCTGTACTTTGAACGCCGTCAAGCTCGTATGAAAGGCAGAATCGACTGTGGCTGAAGTAGCTGGCTGGCGTCCTCTCCTGAGCGTTTCGACTTTTCCCAACGTTGTCGGTCAGAGTACGAAGCTGTGGTTCAGAAGGTGGTGACCCGAGTGAGGGAGATGCTTGGTTCGATCGCAGGGGCGGGTGACGGAATGGGCAAGAGCTAGTGAATGAAAGGGTGGACTGGGGAGGGGGAAGGAAAGACGCTGCTATGGAAGCAATGGTGGCAGCGGAAGGGACGAGATGATGGTGCTGGAAAAGGAGAGTTGCGACACAAAGAAGCCGTGGGAGGAGGCCACAAGGCGTTAAGGAGCATCGGAGCTCTCCATTACTAGTTACGGTCCGCGGGGAAAGCTCTCTAAAATTGTGACCAACTCAGCTGCACACAGACACGCGTAGCTCCGTCAAGCTACAGAGTACGTTAGTGGCTGTCAATTATCCGTGCCAAGGACTAGGCGAGCGGGACACGAGCATGAAGCAGACTCGGGAGTTGCACTCAAAAGTCGTTGTCGCTCGGCTTCCGCTTTCCACGGACGATCCATCGATTCGAGAAGCAGCGCGTCTCTCTGCTCTGGCTGGCAGAGTCACAGTCATGTAGTGCCATAGACTTGGAGGGTCCGAAATTTGTGTCTCGAAATTTCGAGGGTCGTCCCAGCCAGCTACGGCACATGTAACTATGGTCCAGACATCCACAGCAATGCACGCCTCGGATCCTTCCACCAGCTTGCGCTTCCACTTCTGCTATTTTCGCCGCAGATCCGGATCGCAAGACCCCCAACCGCTCTCGCTCTCTTTCGGACACGATAGCCTGGGTTTTCAATCAGGACGAGCCTGGTAGCGATGCGGCTGCGATGTCGCTGATTGCCGGCATTGATGTACGCCAGACGTTGGCACTTGCATCGTGCATTGTTGTTGCAAACAGAGAACCATGCAGTCGCAGCCGTCGAGTTGCAACAGACGCCTCTTGCATCAATGGCAAGGCAGAGTCATAACGGCCGAAGGTTCCAGAAGAGCCTGAGAGTGATCTACACTGTAGTCCGTCGAGGCAGCTCGGCACGCGGCGTCTAGCGATTCGATAAGTTACTGTTCCGTTCCTCAAATGTTCAACTGTCTCAGTTTCCTTGACGCTGTGCAGAGCCTGCATTCCGCAAGAGGCAGACTCAGCCGATCGCGAGGAATCGCTGCATATCTGTGTTAGTGCGCTCGCTCGTCTTAGCTCGCTACCTGGTCTGTTCCGACTCCGAGAGGATGAGCGCTGTCTTTTACGGGCCGAATCTCTTGCTATCGTAAGGATAGATCAAAGGCATGCTCGCTTAGCAGAGTCGATTCTAAGCTTGAGCTTCTCGGCCCGCTCCGAAATTCCGGCGGAGCGCGGCCTCGATTTACTCGCCGGGTAAGCTGACGCGGATCTGCTGTCGTTGCGCTCAAAGCTGTTGGATGGCGTCGGAAGCCGCCGCGACTACAATATGCTGCTGTTGGTGCAGCAACCGTGCACATGGCTTCGGCTCGTGTATGCGCTGTATCGGGTGAAGACAGTCCACTGCACTGCCGCGCTTGTCGCCTGTTCGACAGCCTCGTGTCAATCACCGCACGCGGTCCCGGTGTGCATATCAAGACGCGAAGCGAGCAACAACAGTCCAGCTGCACCGCACGCCTGATCTCTTGCAGTCTCGGTGCGTGGTGCTGTTTGATGCACAAAGGCTGATCGATCGACAACAGTCGGGTAAGGCAGACACGCGGCAGAGGGGGACGTCCCTCGAATTTCTGCAGTGGTCGCGTGCCCTTGCGACTTGTGCACCGGCTTCTACTACCCGCGGAGCTCCCGACGGCAATTCGACGTACAGGGTGTACTGTACAGCGTAATTGACCGAAACCAAATCTTGCTACAGTATCGTTGAATGTTAGAGGAAAATGAACGACCTAAATTTAGCAAAAGAAATGTGGCATAAAAAAGTACGCAGTTCGACCAACATGTTAGATTTACGAGCCATGACGAGGAGTTGTTAAGTTCTCATCGTCTTTCTCCACATTGTTTTTCTCGTCAGTTTCTTCGGAACTCGTGCTTAGAAAGAGGAAAAAAAACTGGCAAACCCTGAGAAGAAGAACATTAGAGTTGCATACCGAACAACGAAAGGCCGCCCTCCTCCGTACTCTGCACATCGATCCATCTTCCCCACCCACACGCATCCGACTTGTCACAGGACGTCATCTCATTGCAGACGGAGGTCATCGAACGCAGCTCCAAAGCAGCCGTGTTCAACCCCGATCATATTCACCGACGGCCTTGGACTCAAGGCACGATGAGGAAGCAGTTGGATCCTCGCACCCCCACTCTTATCCGCAACAATGTGGCGCTCAACCATCGCTCCTTCTTTGTGATTGTCGGAGACAAGGGCAAGGACCAGATCGTCAACCTTCACTTCCTACTCTCGCAATCCCGCGTCCAGTCTCGACCCAATGTGCTGTGGTGCTACAAGAAGGATCTCGGTTTCACGACGCACCGCAAGAAGCGCGAGCAGAAGATCAAGAATGACATCAAGCGTGGCGTGCGTGAAAAGGGTCAGGGCGACCCCTTCGAGCTCTTCGTCAGTCTCACCGACATCCGATACTGCTACTACAAGGACACACCCAAGATCCTCGGTCAGACATACGGCATGCTCATCTTGCAGGACTTTGAAGCCGTCACACCCAACATGCTTGCAAGAACCATCGAGACCGTGGAGGGAGGCGGAGTCGTCATCCTGCTCCTCAAGACCATGTCCAGCTTGCGACAACTCTACTCGCTCGGCATGGACGTCCATCGCAATTATGGGTCCAACGCATCCGACGACGACCCTGTCGCACGCTTCAACGAGCGTTTCCTTCTTTCGCTCGGAGCAAATCAGGACACACTGCTTCTCGACGACGAACTCAACGTACTACCACTGAGCAAAGGCAAGGACATTCAGCCTCTCCCAGAGACCAGCACAGGCGCTGGAACCGGCGTTGGCTCTACCGTTCGAAAGGGCAAGGAGCGGGTGGAAGCAGAGGAGGAGCTCGCCGAGCTCAAGGATCAGGTACGAGAAACCAAGCTCGTTGGCCAGGTCGTAAGGCACGCCAAGACCCTTGATCAAGCCAAAGCTGTCCTCACCATCCTCGATATCCTGGCCAGCTCGTCTCTCTCTACCACTGTAGCCCTTACCGCGGCCCGAGGTCGCGGAAAGTCGGCCGCGCTCGGTCTTTGTATCGCCGCTGCTGTAGCACACGGCTACAGCAACATCTTTGTCACCTCACCAAGCCCAGAGAACCTCAAGACCCTGTTCGAGTTCGTCTTTAAGGGTCTCGATGCGCTTGGCTACGAGGAGGTAGCCGACTGGGATCTGCAGAGGGGTACAGGAGAGTGGAAGGACGTTGTGGTGCGCGTCAACATCTTCCGTGGTCATCGTCAAACCATCCAATACATTCAGCCGCAAGATCACCAAGTGCTAGGTCAGGCCGAGCTCGTCGTCATCGACGAGGCCGCCGCGATCCCGCTGCCGCTGGTTCGCAACCTGATGGGACCCTACCTCGTCTTCCTGTCTTCCACCATCAACGGATACGAGGGCACAGGTCGAAGTCTCTCGCTCAAACTTATCCAGCAGCTCCGTGATAACGCGAGAGGCATCGTCGACCCGTCCAGTACCGACGATTCGGCCGCTTCATCCAGCAAGGCTACACGCAAGGAGGCCAAAGGCGGTCTCAACACCGGTCGTGCTGCAGGTGCCGCATTGGCTGCCAGATCGCTCAAGGAGGTCGAGCTCAAGGAGCCCATCCGATACTCGCGCGGCGACAAGATCGAGTCGTGGCTCCACCAGCTGCTCTGTCTCGACGCATCGCTCACGCGTCTGTCGTCCGCAGCACTCAAAGCCAAGGGCTGCCCTCACCCTTCGTCGTGCGACCTCTACATGGTCAATCGCGATGCCCTGTTCAGCTATCACCCAGCGTCCGAAGTGTTCCTGCAGCGCATGATGGCGCTCTACGTGGCGAGCCACTACAAGAACTCGCCCAACGACCTCCAGCTCATGAGCGACGCGCCAGGTCACCGACTCTTTGTCCTGCTCGCACCACTCAAAGGTAATGAGGGCGGTCTGCCGGAGCCGCTGTGCGTGATTCAAGTTGCATTGGAGGGCAACATCAGCCGCGGTGCCGTGCTCAACAGTTTGAGCCGTGGCACACGCGAGGCGGGCGACCTCATCCCATGGCTTGTAGCCCAGCAGTTCCAGGACGCCGACTTTGCTTCGCTATCGGGCGCTCGCGTCGTACGTATCGCTGTACACCCCGACTACGCACGCATGGGGTATGGAGCACGCGCGTTGCAAGCGCTCGAGGCGTTCTACAGCGGACAATTGCTTGATGTCGACAATGTTCGAGACGACCTGGACGACGGCGAGACGTTCGCCGCCGTACGCGACAAGAAGATTTCCAAGGATGCGAACCTGCTGCAGGGAGACGAGATCCGAGTGCGAGACGCAGCACGAATGCCTGCTCTGCTGCAGAGGCTGTCAGAGCGAAGACCCGAACAGCTCGACTGGCTCGGCGTGTCGTATGGTCTCACACCGCAGCTATTCAAGTTTTGGAAGAAGGCAGGGTACACACCGCTCTGGGTGCGTCAGATCGCCAACGACCTCACGGGCGAATACACGACCGTGCAACTCAAATCGCTCGAAACTTCGACGTCGACGACGGGTTCAGCTTGGCTTGGATCGCTGGCCGCCGACTTCCGCAAACGATTTATCTCGTTGCTGTCGTACAGGTTCCGCGAGTTCTCCACCATCACTGCGCTGACGGTGCTCGAGGCGGCGACGCAGGGCGCTCGACTCGCCGATGCCGACGAGGATGTATCAAACGCTTCGTTGGTTTCGTCACCCTTGGGTGCTGTCGAGCTGCGCACGCTGTTGACGCCGTTCGACATGAAGCGCCTCGATTCATATTCGAACAACATGGTCGAAATGTCGGTCGTGCTCGACCTGCTACCTACGCTTGGCGCACTCTACTTTAACAACCGACTCCGAGCCGTGCGCGAGGACGAGGCGGCCGCATCCGCCATCGATGCGCAGGACGAGGAGGAGGAGCTGCGGTTGTCTGGTTTGCAGTCCTCGCTGCTGCTGGCCATCGGACTCCAAAGAAAGACGCCGGACGAGATCAGCGTCGAGCTACGACTGCCGCTTCAGCAAGCCATGGCCCTCTTTGTCAAGACGGTGCGATTGCTCGTCAAGAGCCTGCGCAAGGTGGAGAAGAAGGACATTGCACGATCGATGCCGGAGCTCGCATCAGGGCTCGACGCACGCGCTCCGCTGCGGAAGAAGGCAAACGGCGCTGGCAGCGCAGACCAAGGAGACGACTGGACCGCACTGAAAGGAGATCTACAGTCCGAGTTGCGGGATGCTGGACGCGAGTTCCTGACAGGCCACAAGGAAGGAGGGGCAGATGACGACGATGATGACGATGACGATGACGATGAAGACGAGGAGGAGGATTCCATCGATGAAGATGACGATGAAGAGGACGAGGATGAGGATGAGGATGAGGATGAGGACGACGAGGAGCTTCTTGCAGCCAAGCAGAAGCTGATCGATTCTATGGATCTGTCCAAATACGCCATCAACGACGATGGAGCAGATGGCGCCAGATGGAGTCAAGCCGAGGCCGAAGTCGCCAATATGCTGCGCAAGAATGGTGGCAGCGATCTGAAAGGGTTCAACACCACCATCTCGGTCAAAGGGACCAAGCGTGCAGCCGACGACAAGGTCGAGGCAAGTCCCAAGAAAGGATCAGACAAGAAGGGCGGAAAAAAGAAGCAGAAGCGTCAATGATCTTTCCGGAGCCTGGACCTTGCTTGTTTCGTATCATCATCATCATCCGACATAGCGAATGTTTCGACCATGTCGTTGTGTGCCGCTGCTGATCGCGAGCAGTCGCAAACCATTTCGTGATGGAGCACGGAATTATTTTTGAGAAAAGTCGTGCCATCTTCAACTGACTTTCACCCTTTGTCAATTGATGAAATGCCCAGAAAAGGTTAATTATTAATTTTATCGATACAAAACAGCAGAATTACAAAATCAACACGAAAAAGCATCACGGCTCGGGAGCACTCTTGCCTTCACCACTATTTCCTCTCCATTTCCCATTTTCCCCTTTTTGCGTGTGCATTTGCATTTTCGCTTTTTATCAGCCTCGATCTCAATCAAATCCATCCGTCCCTCACGACACCATCAACTCTATACCCACCGTCCGTACATCCCTCGTGTCGCATAAGCACCATCACGATCGCAGCGGCGTTGTTCGTGCCACGGCTTCTACCGGCATCTTTTTCGGTTTCAGCCCTCCCAACCACAACAAGGGTTCAGCTGCCCGATTCCCGACGCGCTCGCCGTCACCTCCACGCGCTATTTGACGCGCACCGTCACTTGTTTGCCGCCGCCGCTGCCATCGCTGTCGAAATCCCGAGTGTTCGGCATCGATCATGCCTTACCACATCGGATACGCAACTTCCAACCGTGCCGGATGCAAAGGTCCCAAACCTTGCGCCGGCACCAAAATTCTCAAGGGCGAGCTGCGCCTCGGCACGCTCGTCGAAATCCAAGGCACCCAGTCGTTCCAGTGGAGGCACTGGGGATGCGTCACGCCCAAGATCATTCGCAACATCCAGGAGAAGGACGGCATCACCGATGCTGTCGACCTTGACGGCTACGACGAGCTGCTCCCCGACGACAAGGCACGCGTTGCTCGCGCCTTCGCAGACGGCCACGTAGCAGCTGAAGACATCCCCGAATCGGCGCGTCACAAAGAGGAGCCAGAGGCCGCAGAGGCAGCAGACCAACAGGCTGCTGCGGCGGCTGTCCTTCCCCCACCTTCTCAGTCTCCGACCAAAAAGCGAGGGTAAGTCCAAAAGAGAATAGCTGATCCTCTGCTACATGTAAAACTGATTCTAGGTTTCTACCGCATTGTCTCCCACAGTCGCCCCTCCAAGGCATCCCTCGAAGCAGCAGCCGCTGCGGCCTCCTCCGCAGCACCTTCCCAGCCGCAGTACGCTCCTACAGGCGTCGCACCCAACGGCGCAGGTGGCTCGGCTGCCGCACCACCGTCTCCGGAAAAGAAAAAGCCCGGTCGTCCACCTAAGAAAGCTGCTGCTGCTGCACAACAATCTGCTCCCATCGCAGCTCTACCCGTTGCTGCTCCTGTCGCCTCTCACGATGCGCCGTCGCCAAAGAAGCGAGGTCGTCCGCCCAAGAACGCAGCCGCCGCTGCTGCTTCGCCTGTACCTGCCGCTGCTCCGGTCGCACCCGCGGTTCCTCAGCCTACCCCAGTTGCGGTGACAGCTCCGCAACCCAAGAAGCGAGGACGTCCTCCGAAGGAACAGACGTCTGCAGCTCCGCCTGCCACACCAGCACAAGCATCGGCTGTATCGACACCTGTTGCTCCCCCAGCTGCTGGTCCAGCTTCGCCAAAAAAGCGGGGACGACCTCCCAAGAATGCCGCTGCCGCCGCAGCTGCTCCTGTTGCACCTGTAGCCGCACCTGCTGCTGCTGCTGCTGCTGCTGCTGCTCCTGCGCCGCCTGCTCCTGGCAAGAAGAGGGGACGACCCTCGAAGGCATCGCTTGCTGAAGCGGCTGCAGCTGCAGCTGCGGCTTCGACCTCGGCAGCTCCTGCTGCCAATTATCCTGTGGCACAGACCGGCTTGCCTCCGGCCGCTTCGACGCCCCTACTGCCTAGCGCCAGCGTGGGTGCCCCGGCAGCCAAGAAGCGCGGTCGCCCGAAGAAGGACGCAGCGGCTGCTCCAGCTGGCCCCGCGGTAGCAGCTCCGTATGTGCCACCTCAGCCTGCTTACGTTGCCCCACCTGCTACTGGTGCTGCTGCGCCGGCCATGCCTGTTGGCACGCCCGTCAAGAAACGAGGCCGTCCGAAGAAGGCGGATGCGGCTGGTAGCAGCGCTGCGAGCTTGAGCCAGGTTGTGACGCCGCCGCTTCCACACGCCGGCGTCTCGCTGCAGCCTGCGACGCAAGAGGCGCAGCCTTCGGCTGGCTCTGGTAAGAAGCGCGGCCGTCCACCTAAGGAAAAGGTGGAGGAGCAGCAGTCGACTCCCCCCAAGCGTCCGCGCGGTCGTCCACCCAAGGAGAAGGCGGAGGCTGCTGTCCCAGCCGCTGCTGTCACACCCGTTGCGCCCGTGGCTGCGGCCCCTCAGGCCGGTGCTCAAAACGGTAACGCTCCGGCGAAGAAACCTCGCGGCCGACCGAAGAAGAACCCTGCTGCCTAGGCTGTGCATAAGGCGAAGCGCATCCCTTACCAGCCACCATCGCGGCCAACGTCTCCATGATTACCCAGTCCCGCGATTCTGCGTGTCACGATATTTCTCCCGTTGTATAATCACAAGATATCCTCGTTTGTTACCTTGTATCATCATCCGCCTGTAGCTAGTGTCTATGAAGTGAACGCTCGAGTAATTCGTCTCGTTTTGAATACGGAGTGCTCGAGTTTGGAAATTGGGTTGAGGGGCGTGGGAAAGGCTGAAAGGAGAGTTGGAGCTTGCGCAAGAAGAGAAGAAGCTGAGGGTGTGTTGAGCTGGTACGATGTTGCGTTTGTGCTGCACTCCCGCAGCTCTTCGGGGCGCCCGCTTCAAATAATCAAGGATCGACCGACTGCGAATCCTCGAGGTTGCCCAGCAACGATGAAAGCACAAGGTTTCGATGCTTGGCTTCGCCCGCTGCGCTCAGGGATGCGGCCCTGCCGAGCCACGAGATCAACTCACACCGGCGGAATTTGACAGTCGCGTCTCAGAAAAAAAAAAGGGAGAAAGAAGAAACGGTGGCCCGGAGCTCCGTAAACGGACGGGCTTTCTGATTGCTCTTCATCCGGCGGTCGATTGACGATGTGACGCTTGGTACAGCCTCGATTACAAGATGGAGATGTCGTGTTCAAGGCTTGCCCACCTTCGAAGGTGGTTGCGGCAACTCACTCAAAGTGAACAGTATGTTAGGCACTCTGCTGCCGTCCAGTGCAGTCGTCTAAGGAAAAAAAGAAACTGGACAAGCGACGAAAAGGCAGAAAAGAAGGAAATGTCACGACTGGTTACGACATCTTACAGAGCACAATTATTGAGGAGCGCAGTAGCAGCGGCAGCAGCTGGCTCGTTCGCCGCCGACGGGCGTCTGTGACTGAGCCTGTTTTCCGGCTTACAGAGCATCATCGTCTTACACGATCAAGCCTCTGCAGAGCTGTTCGTCTCGAGGACCTACCCCAGACTGGCTCCGTTGCCCGTCGCTGCAGAGGAGAAGCAAGCTCAGAACTGACATCTCGGATGTGTCAGAGTGGTGAGCTGAGGCGTGAATGGAGTCGTATACCAGGTCCGTTGACAAGTGGGCTTTTTGGGAAGGAGGACCCTGCTGCGAGCGCGTGCTGTACCGTTACTTGGCGCAAAGTGGCACAGACGCTTGGAAGAAAAGTCACACACAGACACACACGCAACACGCACCCAACTCTGCAGGATCACTCGAAATTCGCGGCTCAGCCAGTCAATGTCACGCAGCCTGACTTACGTGTTGCAACTCGGTGTGCACAAAGTGCTCTCTTGTGCCACTCGCAACTGCTTGTCAATCACTCCGTCCGCTGTCGCCCATCCACCTTCACCACCCTTACCTCGCATCTTGCTGACGTCGACGTTGGCTGCTCTCCTTCACCTCTTGGTTTCGTCTGGACGTTGTGCCGTCACATCTCGCACTCACTTTCGTTTCAACCTTACCATCGTTGCACCCGTTGCACCCGCTCTGTCACCTTCGAGCTCCGTTCCCGTCCGGTGCCGCCATCTCGACCGTGATATCACCCGCGCCATCGAGCGTACTCGGATCGAACAGCTGCAGCATTGCTTCGCCACGCACTCGGCGGGTCGCCTCACTCTCAGCTAGTATTCTCCAAGCAGCGCTTCACTAGACAGCCTTCTTTTCGCACCACCCTATCGCACTTTGCCCAACACATCCCTCGCACTCTGTTCCACCACTTCAGCAAGCAAACGTACCTTCTGCCTCTTTGCTACCTGCCATCTCCTTTGCGCTGCCGAGCTTGTCCTTGCTGGCTTCGCTCTCGACCACGCCTATATAATCTCGATAGGATAGAGCACCCTTTCGCTCGCCTCGTCCTCACCCACACCCCACTTTCCCTCGCCCCATCGTGTATCTCTACACACTGCATCCCAATCACCCTCTCTGCTCTCTCTTCTGGTCTGCCGCGTATCCAGGCTTCTTTCGCTACGTCACGCATCGTCACTCTCGCCATCGCACATCTGATCTAATAGATTCGCACACTATTCACCAGCAGTAAGTTGACCTATGCTCGTCTCTGCCGCAGAAAGAACTAGATCTGACCTGTCCCTCACCTGTCGTCCCGTTTGCCCCATAGTCCCTTTCGGTCTCCTTGATCCCTTCGTATCCTGACCTTGTTCGCCATGGACCGTTCGGACAATCATCGCGACATCAACGCTGTGAGCAGTCGTCTGGCTGCCCAGACCGATCATCTTCAAGGCCATTTGCAGCAGCAACTCAATCTCAACGGCGCTGGTCAGGCTCGCAACATGTTTGCTTCCAGGCCCGCCGGTCTCGCAAGCCTGGGTGAGGACGCTGAAGCCGCACCTGATTCCACACCTTCGCAAACCACCTACAACCGTCAAGCTGCGCCTCGATTTGCCGGCAACGCAGCCTTTCAGAGCGCCGTAGCTCGTCACTCCAACCAGTCGGCCAACTCTGCTGCCTCGTCGTCGGCTGCCGATTTCCGTGCCAACTTGTCTCACCAGCGTCAGCTCAGTCTTCAAAGTCGATTCGCCGATCTCGGGTACAACATTGGCTCGGGACTCGGTCCAGCGCCTAGCGAAGCAGATGACATGACCGACGATGGCGCGAGCTCGGTCGGATACGGTGCTTCGGCCTTCGATCCCACTCGAGGCCAGCGTGGTCACGCTTCCGACTTCAGCTTCGGCTCATCGGCCACAGCTGGCTCTCATCGACGCACTGGCAGCGACATGAGCGGCATGCTCTCGAATCGAGGCGGACACCAACCTGCAGCCAGCGTAGGTGGCAACTCCAACTCGCTCTCCGCCCAGAGCCAGATGCTCGCAGAGCAGCAGATCGCCTTGCAGCAGCAGATCGAGATGCTCCAGCTCCAGCAGCAGCAGCTCATGCAGACGGCGGGCCTGGGACAGCAGGGCCATGCTGCTTCGGGCGCCAACCCGCTCAGCGGCAGCGCGCACAGCTTTGGCGGTCATCGTCGTATCCAGAGTCACGCTCCCCGCTCAGGGCCCATGGGCAGCTTCTCCACGGGCACCGGCTTTACCGGCGGCGCTCTCGCCAACTTTGCCCCTAGCCACCCCGCCTCTCAGGCTTCTAATCTGCCTCGAGGTCATGGTCGTCGCCACTCGGTCAATGTTCTCAACAAGGCCAATCAGCAGCAACCTAGGGCTGAAAATCAGCGCAGCTCTCCCAACGCCGAGGCCATGCAGTCCAACGGCCCTGTCATGCATGCCAACCCCGACTTCTCCTTTCCAAGCACCGCAAGCGCCCAGCGCTCCGCACAGGCTGCCTACCAAGCTTCGCAGCCTGCCGTCGGTCACTACAGCCGTCCCTCGGTTCAGCTCACCGATCTTTCGCCCGACTACCTCATGGCCGGAGGCGGCCTCGTCAGTCTCAATGCGTTCAGCATGGGCAGCTCCATGAACGACCTCGCTGATGGCTTTGGCGGAGCAGGCGCCGGTGGTCCTCGCGCTGGTCACACCCGCGGCAACAGCACGCAGTGGCGCATGAACGGTGCTCAGGCGCCCCAGCTTGTCGACCTTGCTCAAGCTCAGGCTCACCTCGCCATGCTCCATCAGTTCCGTGAATCCGCTGCCGTCACTGGCCACTATCGCGCACCGTCCATGACCGGCGCCTTCGGTGCTATGGGTGGTGGCTTTGGTGCCAACCAATTTGGCGGTGGCATGATGGGCGCCGGCAACGGCCCAGGTGCTGTTCAGCGCAAGGCTCTCTTCGGCAACTACCTTCCTCAGGGTACCTTGCCCACCTTGCTCGCCCACGGCAAGATCGTCGTGGGCGTGCTACGCATCAACAAGCGCAACCGCAGTGATGCCTACGTCACCACCGAGGTTCTCGACAGCGACATCTTCATTAGCGGCTCCAAGGATCGCAACCGTGCGCTGGAAGGCGATCTCGTCGCCGTCGAGCTTCTCGACCCTCTCGAGGTCTGGAACGTCAAAAAGGAGAAGGAGGACAAGAAGAAGCGCAAGGAAGAGCAGAACGGCCAGATCTCGCGCAAACCCGACAAGGCCAAGGACGACCTCGAGGTCGAGGGCGCCCAGCTCCGACTCATCGAGGACGAAGAGGAGAACGAGCAGAGTCCTCCTCAGCTGGCGGGCCACGTGGTCGCCATCGTCGAGCGATCGCCCGGTCAGCTCTTTTCGGGTACTCTGGGCCTGCTCCGACCCTCGTCGGCTGCTACGAAGGAGAAGCAGCAAGCCGAGAGGGTGCAGCGCGAAGGTGCCAGCGCCCTTGCTCCCGAAGTCAAGCCTCGTCCCAAGATCATCTGGTTCCGTCCCACGGACAAGCGTGTCCCTCTTATTGCCATCCCAGCCGACCAAGCGCCCGAAGACTTCTGGGCAGAGGAAGGTCAGGAGAGCTTCAACAGTCGCCTCTTCGTCGCCTGCATCAAGCGTTGGCCCATCACCTCCCTCCATCCCTTTGGTGCTCTCGTCGAAGAGATTGGCGTTATCGGCAACGTCGAAGCCGAGACCCAGGCTTTGCTCAAGGACACGCTCAGCTCGGCTACCGAGGCATTCACCGAGGGCGCGCTCAAGTGTCTGCCGCCTCTCCCTTGGAAGATCCCCGAGCAAGAGTACGAGACGCGCAAGGATTTCCGCTCTCATCGTGTCTTCACTATCGACCCCGAGACGGCCAAGGATCTGGACGATGCTGTTCATGTCGTCCGCCTCGACGACGGCAATTATGAGGTCGGTGTTCACATCGCCGACGTCTCGCACTTTGTAAAGCTCGGCTCGAGTCTCGACCGCGAGGCTCGCAAGCGCGGCACTTCGGTCTACCTGGTGCAGCGCGCCATCCCCATGTTGCCTCCTACGCTCAGCGAAGAGCTCTGTTCGCTCGTGCCCGATGTGGAGAGGCTCACCTTCTCGGCCGTCTTCACCATGAACAAGGATGCGCAGGTGGTGAACAGCTGGTTCGGCAAGTCGATCATCAACTCGTGCGCCAAGCTCGCCTACGCGGACGCACAAAAGGTGATCGAAGGCGGCGAGCTGCCCAAGGACAAGATCAAGGCTCACCAGCCCAAGGAGATCGCCGACGACATTCTCATCCTGCACCAGCTGGCCCAGAAGATGCGTGCTCGCCGCTTCGACACCGGCGCTCTGCGCATCGACAATGTCAAGCTCAGCTTCAAGCTCGACGAGAACGGTCTGCCCACCGATGCCAGCATCTACTCCTCGTACGACGCTCACCGTCTCATCGAAGAGTTCATGCTTCAGGCTAACATGGCCGTCGCACAGCAGATCGCCGCCGGTCTGCCGGAACTTGCGCTTCTCCGGAAGCACGACAAGCCGCTCGACCGACGACTCGAGGGTTTCCTGCGTCGAGCCAAGTCGATGGGCTACGAGATCGACATCTCGTCCGGCGGAGCGCTCCACCGCAGTCTCAAGGAGATCAAGGACGATTCGGCTCGACAGGCGCTCCAGGCGCTCGTGACCAACTCGATGATGAAGGCAAAGTACTTCTGCACCGGTATGGTCGACATCGCCAAGTATCACCACTACGCTCTCAACGTCCCCCTCTACACGCACTTCACCTCGCCCATCCGTCGCTACGCCGACCTCATGGTGCATCGTCAGCTCGAAGCCGTGCTTGCCGAACAGGACAAGTTCCCCGTGGATCGCGAAGCCATGGCCAAGATCGCGCAGCAGTGCAACGTCAAAAAGGACGCGGCCAAGCTGGCGCAGGAGCAGAGCGCACATCTGTTCCTGTGCTTGCTGATCCACGATCTGACCATGCGATACGGTCCCGTGGTTCGACCTGCTACCGTGATGGGTGTTCTGGACGCTGCGTTCGACGTGATCGTTCCCGAGTTCGGCATCGAGAAGCGCGTGCACGTCGACCAGATGCCGATCGAGAACCACACGTACGACGAGCAGAGCAATGCGCTTTCGATCTACTGGAAGGACAACGTCGATGCGATCGCGTGGCTCGCCGAGAACTCGGACGACGTTCACGTCAAGAAGCTGCAGGAGGTGGCGCAGCAGCACCAGATGATGGAGATGACTTCGCAGTCGCACGTCGACGAAGCGGCTCTGTTTGCCGATGACGACGACGAGGCTTCCACAGCAGCTATTGTTCGACAGCATAATGTGGAGGCGGCTAGGGAGTCGAAGCAGCGCGGCAAGAGTTTGCAGAGGGAGGCGGTCAAGTTCGACGGTGTCGATGCGAGGGACAGGGTGCAGAAGATCAAGGAGCTCATGAAGGTTCCGGTGATCGTGACGAGTGATATGTCCAAGAGTCCGCCGGTGTTGAAGGTGTTTTCGGTGAATCCGTTTGCAAGCAATTAGGCGGGAGGAGAGGGATGCGCAAGGGAGGGTTTCTTGTTGGGATCAAGCGAATGCTTCGATCGCCCAAATCCCCTTCCTCGATCTAGTCTCAGTCAAAAAATCACCTTCGTCATTCTCGTTCGTCTCATATGCAGCATTCTCCCCGTCAATGGTTCCCTCCCTCTCTCTCTCAACGATTCTACATCGCATCTTATGAAATCTCATGTTTTTAGACCCGTCTAGTCCCGCGCGCCCTTGAACCCTAACGAAAGTGTGTCCTCACCGAGGTGTACCGAGTGCAGCCTACCACGCGGGAGAAGCTGAAACCGACCAGTCTCAAACCATGTCTGCGATTCGTCTCAGCTACAGAAAGCGCAACACTATTCCAACCGCTTCAGCAGCATCACACTTCGAACGGGAAAAGAGTCAAAAATTTTCCACAACAGACGAAGAATACATTCAAGTCGCCAAAACACACGACAACACTAGGTACGTACAAAGCTTGGCACTCGGCCTGATCGTCCCTACCATCGTCCGGCTTTCAGCGTCGCTTAGTACTCGAGGTCCTCCTCACCAACGTCGACCGAGTCGAGACCAACCTCTTCGTAGTCCTTCTCGAGCGCAGCCAGGTCCTCACGAGCCTCGGAGAACTCACCCTCCTCCATACCCTCACCGACGTACCAGTGGACGAAGGCACGCTTCGAGTAGAGCAGGTCGAACTTGTTGTCGAGACGACCCCAGGCGCCAGCGATGGCGGTGGTGTTGGCAAGCATGCAGAGCGAGCGCGACACCTTGGCAAGGTCACCGCCGGGAACAGTGGTGGGGGGCTCGTTGCAGATACCAATCTTGAAACCGGTGGGGCACCAGTCGACAAACTGGATGGTGCGCTTGGTCTTGATGGTGGCGACGGCCGAGTTGACGTCCTTGGGCACGACGTCACCACGGTAGAGGAGACAGCAGGCCATGAACTTGCCGTCACGAGGGTCAGCCTTGACCATCTGGTTGCCCTTCTCGAACGAGGAGAAGGTCATCTCGGCGACCGAGTTCTGCTCGTGACCGGCCTTGGCAGCCGAGAGGATGGGTGCGTAGGTGGCGAGGGGGAAGTGGATACGCGGGAAGGGCACCAGGTTGACCTGGAACTCGTTGAGGTCGACGTTGAGCGAGCCGTCGAATCGGAGCGAGGCGGTGATGGACGAGACGACCTGGGCGATGAGCCTGTTGAGATTGGTGAAGCCGGGCGAGGCGATGCCGAGCTTGGTGCGGCAAATGTCGTAGATGGCCTCGTTGTCGACCATGAACGAGCAGTCCGAGTTCTCGAGCGTGGTGTGGGTGGTGAGGACCGAGTTGTAAGGCTCGACGACCGACGAGCTCATCTTGGGCGAAGGGTACACCGAGAACTCGAGCTTGGCCTTCTTGCCAAAGTCCTGAGCCAGACGCTCGAGGAGGAGCGAACCGAAACCGGAACCGGTACCACCGCCGAACGAGTGGAAAACGAAGAAGCCCTGGAGACCGGAGCAGGCGTCGGCGAGCTTGCGGACGCGGTCGAGGGTCTGGTCGATGAGCTCCTTGCCGACGGTGTAGTGACCACGGGCGTAGTTGTTGGCGGCATCCTCCTTACCAGTGACGAGGGTCTCGGGGTGGAAGAGCGATCGGAAGGTACCGGTGCGGACCTCGTCGACAACGTTGGGCTCCAAGTCGACGTAGATGGAGCGGGGAACGTACTTGCCGCTGCCAGTCTCGCTGAAGAAGGTGGAGAAACCGTCGTCGTTCTCAGAGGGGCTGCCCTCGAGGATGCGACCATCGGGGCTGAGGCCGTGCTCGGCGAGGTAGAGCTCCCAGCAGGCGTTACCGATCTGGATACCGGCCTGACCGACGTGGAGGGAAAGAACCTCACGCATGGTGTCGTTTGGTGTTTAGGTGGGTCTGTCGTTTGTTGTATGTGGATGAAAAAGCAGCGTCAGTCATCGATGTTGCCCTGCCAATGTGAGCTCTTCGGGAAGCGCAGCTGGGGCGCGCAACTTGGCTTGAGGAGAGAACATGGTTTCGATTCGAATACTTACGAGTAGGTGAGAGGAGAGTGAAAGAGGAGGATGGGAGTTGCGCTCAGAAGTAACGTAGAGCGAAGTAAGATCTTGATGGTGGCGGGAGGGATATGATCCAAGGCGCGACGGCGTGGATTGCTCCAAGCGACGAGACGCTGCGCGGGCACAGTCTCGACGGTGTTGGTGCGGTGTTGCGAGCTGACCTGTGTGCGTGTTTCTGCGTGCCAGACCGAGAATTCAATGTGCCCCTCGGTGCTGGACGCAACGGAAGCGCGACACAGGTCAAATGCCTGCGTGTGTTTTTCGAAACCAACACCAATTCGCAATTGTCGATACTGTAGCCAGGGCGACGAAACGTATCTGGCATCCACACTGAATACAACCGTTCAATTTTATAAAGAGTGACAAAGTGCGCGTTTCTGTGTGTGACTTTACAGAGGGAGGTGTTGGTCGATCAAGCCCATCAACGCGCCAAACTTGTCGATCTTGTGTGATTTTAGAGAGAACCAAAGCGCGACGACACTCGCACGTAAAATTAGTTGGGCTGTTAGACCCCCAGACCAGTCACGTGCTCTCCCTCCCAGGCTCTTTGGTCGTTCCCGCACCTTGGGCAAAGCAGGTACATTGCTGAAACGGGATCTTGAGGTCTTCTCTTATGCTCTGTTGTTTCAGGGATGCTACCCTTTGCGTTAGAGGTGGTCTTTGATCGGATTGTTCAGAGGCGAAAAGCGGACAGTTGCGAGACCTGAAATACGCTGCATTTGGTTGGCGGGTGTGGCTTGCGGCAAAGATCCGATGCCTCGGCGAGAGCGGGTCAGATTCCCGGTAAGCCCAGCGCAGCGTACCACACTACCGCCCAGCGCGCACTGCGCCCGGTACAAGTCTCAGTGAACCCCCCCTGATCCTCCTGCGCCTGGATGTACAGTTCGGTCTGCGGATACTCACTCTCTCTGAAACAGCATCCTACCAACCTCAAGCTAGCCAAGGCGTCGAATGAGTCGCACAGCCCTGACAGGTAATAGCCGATGGTGCACTTGATGCTCCGTGCGAAGTTTCGTGGTGGATAAATTCTCAAAAATGGCCGAAATTCTCATTGCTCTGCGGATTTTCAAGCAGTGCAGAGGCGAGAACAGGCTGCGAGCCAAGAGAGTGGAGAGGTCCGTCATTCCAGTGAGCAGCTCTCCTGGCCCAGCCTCGCACCGCACGCAGCCGTTGCAATTTTCCTGCAGCCGTCGTGTCCGGTATATCTTTTTTCGTGGCATGTCACAACGTCATCCTTTCGCTTTCACCATACTCTCCCTGCTGGTCTTCTCACACACCATCATCACTCCAAACCACGCAGTCTAGGAAGGATTCTCATCACCAGAAGGACCGTAGCTGCGACCGAACCGTGATCAAGGAGCAGGTCGAGTCTCGCAGGCGGCGGGCCTATCCAATCATGAGCTCAGTCACTGCTTCCACCTCGCAGACTCCAGATCGCACCGGTTCAACAAGCACCGCTCGCACATCGTCTAGCGAGACAGAGCCTCCAGAAGCGTCTTCCTCGACCTTCTCGACCGACTCGGCGGAACCCTTGCCCTCGTCCTCGAGTACCGCGCCACCATCTGCCGACTCACCATCTCGACTCGGCCACAGCTTCTGGTCTTCGTGGATATCGCCCTCCTCTTCCTCAGCAGTCGCTGCATCATCCGCCATGGAGAAGCGCTCAAAACCTCGTCGCCCTTCTTTTGAGGAGTTCCGAGCCGAGGAACCTCCACAAGCCCGTCTGATCCGTCTTCGCGGCCTCTTCGATACCCTCCTCGATGAAGACGACGAGCAGGCTTTGGCAGGTGGCAGAGCTAGAGAAGAATGGATGAAATCGGCTCGTCGTGCTCGCTACGGTGCTGGTGGAAGCTTAGCGCGTGGCAGCCTCGCGCCTTCAGACATCCGCAACTCCACCGTCGGCTTTGAGGCATGTACCATGTCCAACCGGTCGTCGTCCTCCTCTTCAGATGCCTCTTCTCAGTCTGCGTCCGCATCGGCCCCAACACCTGGGTCTTCATCATCATCGTCGTCGTCCTCGGAAGGAGCCACCTCATCCTCCACCTCACCCTCCTCATCGTCTACAGATTCACAGCTACCTGCACCTCCACCGCCTCCACGACAATCATATGCCAAAGAGCTCCTCAGCCAATGTCGCAAATGTCGCGAAGACATCGAGTCTCAACGTGAACGCCTGGCCAATGAGCAAGCCAAACGACCCACCAGCCCCGGATGGTCTTCTCCGCTGACCTTGCCCGGCTGGCTCGGCGGCGAAAAGGTAGCCGAGTCGGAAAAGGATGCCGCGGAACCACCGAAAAGCACATTGGCCACGGTGAAGGACAAGATCCTCCCCAAGTCCTTGTCCGGCTCTTCTCCGCAAGAAGAGAAGCCACCCGCATCTTCGTCCTCCTACCTCAGCTCCGTCGGATCTCTCTTCGGATACGGAGGAAATGCACCCAAGTCAGACGCCGAAGTTCTCGGTTACGGCCACAATCCACCCGACATGGAACACGAAGCTGGATGGACGGGCAGCGGTGTTTGGGGCCTTTCAGCCGTCGGTCACAAGAGACGTGCAGCCGACCGCGATCGGGACGAGAAGGTGCGCCGAGGTCACAGAGTCGACGACGATGGCGGCGAACGTCAACGCCAGATCGAATGGGAGGGCTTCCTCGCCTACGCCGAAAACAAGGAACGCGAGCTGTACAAGATTTTTGTCGAGATGGACAGGAACGCCGACATGCAACTCGACGTGCAAGAGATCCGGGCAGCACTCGACCGTGCTGGGATCGATGTGCCCCAGATCTCGCTCGATGATTTCGTCGCCAGTCTCACCAGCACACGCACCTCAGGTCATGCCAGCGGCGAAAAGACGTACGTCACTTATCCCGAATTCCGCGACTACCTCTTGCTGCTGCCTCGCAAGCCCTCGGTCCCAGAGATCTTCCGATTCTACCAGGTACGCAAGGCGTTCGGCCTGTTTGGAATGGGCGGAATCTTTGCCGAGCTCTCCGTAGGCTGGGGCACGACGGAGCGCGGTGCCGCCGCGGTCAACTTCGACGGCGATGTCAGTCTGGCCGGAGAAGAAAAGAAGCGGGAGTCTCCTGCGGTCAAGGAGGCGAAACGCGCCGAGAAGCTCGGCAAGCGTCAGGAAGCTGCTGCTGCCGCCGCTACCAAGGCGGTTGACGACACAGTCGACTCCACCGACTCTTCTCCGTCGACCAGCTCTGGAAACGTCGACGAAGCCAAGCAAAAGGCAGCTCAGGACGCTGCAGCGGCCGCCAAAAGCGCACACGATCAGAGCATCGACGAGGAGGAGGAGGAAGATGACAACGACATGATCCACGGAGCCGTCGCGCTGAAATTCTTGGTAGCTGGTGGTATTGCCGGAGCTGTATCACGTACCGCCACCGCGCCGTTCGACCGACTCAAGATTTACCTTATCACCACCGCTGGCTCTTCGGAAGCAGCCGAGACAGCCAAAGCAGCCGTCTCGGGCTCAGGAGGTGCCAACAAAGCTGCTGCAGCCAAAGCGGCCGGTCAGGGTCTTGGCATCTTGAGGGAAGCGCTGGGAAATCTGTATCGCGACGGTGGAGGCCTTCGAGCCTTCTGGGTGGGCAACGGTCTCAACTGTCTCAAGATCTTCCCGGAAAGCGCCATCAAGTTCCTCTCTTACGAGACGGCGAAACGCGCGTTTGCAAAGTACGTCGACCACGTGTCGGATTCGCGCGACATTTCTGGAACGAGTCGGTTCCTCTCTGGTGGATTCGGAGGTATCACGTCGCAGCTGGCGATCTATCCGGTGGAAACGTTGAAGACGAGGCTGATGTCTTCGCAGAACGCCAAGACTTCCTTGCAGGGGAATGCGTTGCTGGCCAAGACGGCCAAGGATATGTGGGCAGCAGGTGGGTTGAGGACGTACTACAGAGGTTTGACGGCTGGATTGATCGGCGTGTTCCCGTACTCTGCCATCGACATGTCGACGTTCGAAGGCATCAAGCTGTTCTACATCAAGTATACGGGTAAGGAGGAGCCAGGGGTGTTGGCCCTCTTGTCGTTCGGCTCGGTATCGGGCAGTGTTGGTGCAACGACGGTGTATCCGTTGAACCTGATCAGAACGAGGCTGCAGGCTGCCGGTACGCCGGCACATCCCGCGACGTACGATGGATTCTGGGACGCGGCCAAGAAGACGTACGTCCGGGAAGGCTTTACCGGGTTCTATAGAGGCTTGGTCCCGACGCTGGCTAAGGTGGTCCCCGCGGTCAGTATCAGCTATGTCGTGTATGAGCAGAGTAAGAAGCGGCTTGGGGTTCAGTAGATTGGCGAGGGAAGGTGTAATAGAAATCGGTTATATTTGTGCGTGTCATGTTTGTGGAACAGGTGTGTCAAGCATGGTTTGGTGGTGCGTATCACTTAATCTCTCTGGTCACGCGCATGATGTCTGTGAAGATCTTGGATTTCTATGCGTTCAGACGGACAGACCCAAACTCTTCCTAGCATCGTCCAATCTGGGTTTCACCCAGACGCTACCGCTCATCTCTATGGCGCCCTCGACGGCTCTCTTACCAGCGTCCAACGTGTCTCTCTTGTTCGACTCGAACCAGTCTGCCAGCTGCAGCGCTTCTGCTTCTGCTTCCGCAATGTTGCGTTGTGAGACGGAAGCGACGACGCAGCGGGAAAGTACGAAGGCCAGGAGTTCGGGCTCGGATCGTGCGAAGCGGTAGAGCAGACGGCTGGGGCTCGGCAAAGGGTCGGTGGGGAGGAGGGTTTTGGGTGAAGTCCGACCGGATGACGGTGCGATGGATGTGTCTGGCGTTGCGGCCGCGCTGGCGTGAGAGTCGCAATAGCTGTCGTCTATGCTGGTGGAGTCGCAAGACCATCTTGTATGGCTGGAGGAAGGTTCGTCTTCCACAACAGTGTCATTGAGGATGGGCTCGAGATCGACGTGATGGGCAAAAATATCCCACGGCATCCCAGCCACGCCGCCAGACTTGTCCTTGTCGTCCACACGTCTAGGCGCAAAGTAGTCGTCGGCCGGGGTATCATTCGTACTGCCTCGCTCCTTGCGTGTCACCAACTTGCTCATCTTGTCCAAGAACGCCTTTTGACCTCTGCCCAGCAACGTCTCTCGAATCGCAGAATCTTCGACTCCATCCCTCAAAGCGAAGGCGCGGATCAGATTGCATCCGAGTGCCCACAAATCTCCGCTTGGCCCCATACGTCGGCCCATGGGCCCCGGACACGCCTCCGGTGGGATCCAATCGTAGCTGACCAGCTGCACCTGACCGTCTCCTCCGGGGATGCCTCGGTACGGATTTGCATTTTCGTAGTCGATCACGACCAGATCGCCATTCTCGTCGAACATGAGGTTCTCGAGCTTGACATCGCCGTGCATCCAGCCTGAAGCATGGAAGCGGGCTAGCGTGCGAATCGCTTGGACAAAGATGGTGAGGATGACGCCATTGAGCTCAGCTTCTTCGCAGCCGGCAATGACGAAGAAGGCTTCTTCGGGATAGTCTTCCTCTAGTCGGATGTACCGTTCGTCCTCCGTTTTGAGTATCTTGGAAACCGCACCGCTACGTGTAGGGTTGAGCGTTTGCGCCTTTTGGACCTCGTCGAGAATGTCGTCGAGGTAAGTCTCTTCGAGCTCCTTGGTGAGCTCTCGTGTGACGCGGCCGGCGGAAGGATCGGCAGCTCTCAGCTTGGCTTCGATGCTCTTGATCTCCATGGCTGCGTAAAAGTTACCAGCGCCGTCCATGGCCCATCTTCGTAGCTTGGCAGCCGAAGAGACACGGTTGTCCGGCGTGGTGATGAGGTACACCTCGCTGCTATTGTCGTCGATCGCCGAGCCAGCCGCCGCATCTGTAGCGTCGGTGAAGGATGGCTTTGGCGACAAGCGTCGATTGTCGCCACCAGAGCTGTTGGACCTGCGGCGGGAAGTCTGCATGAACACAGCGTCGTCTTCGCTCCCGTCGTAGCTGCTGCTGGAACCTCTTCGGCCCCACGGCTTGGTGACGGGATGCTCCGAGTTGGACAGGTCTGCATCCTCAAACGAGCTTGTGCGAGGTTCGGACTCGGCGCTGAAAAGCCTCACGCTGAGACCGTCGGTAACAGCGCCCTCGCGGTACGGTCCGGTCTTGTCGTAGAGGGTGCCCTCTACCTTCTGTGGCTGCAGCCTTTGGGCGAGCTTCAGCGGAGGTGCACGCGGCGAAGCGCCTCGTGCTGGGGAACGTGGCGTCGATGCTCGGTGTTCTGCGGGCAACAGGGAACGTAGATCTTGGGCACTTAGAGGACCCTTTCCATCCAAGGCGGCATCTGAAAGCGAGACATGCATGCCCACGGCTTCTTCGAGCGCATCTTCGCGAGCTTCGTCCAAGCTCGGACTGGACGCAGCTGCTGCTGCAGCGGCCTCTTGCAGATTTGAGCGGAGGCGGCGCAGATGGGGGCGTGCAGCGTCGTCCAGGTCGAGAATACCATGCGGACCCGCCTTGTTGGGAACGGGTGCGTCTTTGGTTCGTGTCTTGGCTGTATGCGACTTGGACGACTTCTTCTCCTTCTTCTTGGGGGAGGCGTGCTCTTGATGTGAATCTCTGAGCTTCTTTTGCCGTTTCTTGACTTCAACGGCGTTGGCAGTGACGTCGACATCGGTGGATCCGGGCTCCGATGCATCTGCGCTGCTTGCCTTTGCACTGGGAGGATTGATTTGAGCGAGAGGACGCAGGAAGGGCAGCGCGTCGGACGAAGCAGAGGAACGGCGTCTGGGCGTGTGGATGCCGATGACCGTCTCGTGTCTTTGAAAAGCGGCTTCGGGACCGTTGGTGGAAAATCGTCTTGGTCTGGACAATGGATCGGCGGAGTCGAAGGGTGTGATGGGAGGCGTGATGCCTTCGGACGGACGACGGCTGCCGCTGTATCGCGAAGATCTGGAGCGACTGGATCGGTACGAGTTGCCGCTGTCGCTGTGCTCATCGTCCGAGCCGGAGGAGTGCGACGAAAAGGCACCGCGACTGCCGCGATGGCTGCGGCTGTGGCTGCTGATGGCGCTGGCAACCCTCTCCCAGCTGAAGAGGCCAGAGAAGCGCTCGCGGTCGTACTGTCTCCATCGTTCGTGATCTTTGCCGAGGAAGAAGGTGGCGGCTTTTGGCGCGCTGAAACCGGGACGGCCTGATGGACGGATGACGATGGGAGCGCGGACTGCCAAGCCGGAGGGAACAAAGGGCGACGAAGGTTCGTCGGCGATGGGCGTGTCGAGCTCCTTGGGGGGATAGTGGTTCTGGAGCACGCGAGTGCTGCTGTCAGCCGCCTGCGCTCGCCGACGCGAGGATGTGGTTGCAACTGGTGACGAGAGCGGCGTGGCGGAACCAGCTTGTGCGGCCGAGGAGGGTGTTGGTGCCATGGTGATGTGAGCGGATCGTTCGCTGGGCTGTATGACCATGGTCCGACTGGCCAGCTGTATGCGGTGTGAGAGCTGGTGCGAATCGTCGAGGATCAGGCAGTACGGCAACGGCTTGTTCGTGACGGGTGCCCCGGCGTGGCGTGCAGGTCACGGCTGCGTTGAGAGTTTGATGCTTCCAACTGTGGTAGTGGTGTGTTGTCGCTTTTGGTCGGGCCAGCCGATGCTCGATGGAAGTGGAAGGGAGGTCAAGTACAGACAAGAGGCGTAACAGATGGCGGCTACGATAAGATCCGAGGCTGTGCGGCTAGCTTCTTGCTGTCTTTCCCCCCACTCTCGACTGCAGCTTGCGGAGAGGTGGAATTGCGTTCCCCGACCGAAATACGTTAAAAAAAATAAAACTCCGTCTGCGAGGAGCGCGGATAAGAGACGTCAACGAGAAGAACCGGTTAGAACGACGATTCGATGCTTGATCTATGCGGTGGCGCCGGATCTAGATGGTGGCGCTAGGCGTGCACAAAGGATGGCGTCGAGGACAATGGTAGTGCAGAGGCAAGTTGCAACGGACGATCCAAACCTGCAACAACAAGTGGTGGATACAGCAAGTCGAGCTCAATCTCGGACCGTGGCTGTTGGCCAAGCTTAGTGAGCATCTGCAATCGGAGATGCAGCATCGGACACAAGCCTCTGGACCCCTCTCCTTGACGTCGACTCCGCGTTGCGAACTTTCTAGCAGCATGCAACATCACGGCTGAACCCTGTCGGATCGGGTGCCAGAAGAGTTGGGAGAGCTGATTCATAGCAGCAAACAGCAGGCGTCTCGGTAAGCTGCTGGTCCATTTTTTCAGGGCTGGACGGCACAATTAAGCTGCTTGAGATGCAGTAGCGGCTCCCTCTAGCTCTACTCGCTACGCGCGGCACCAGGAAGTGAAACAGGAAGAATAAGAGATATATTTATTTGTTTGAAATTTCTGGTGAGCGGGAATCAGCGGTGACGTCTTTGTCGACACGGCGTGGGTCTGTCGCAACACCTCACAAGCTTGGCGTCTCTACGTGACACTAAGGTTGCGGTGCAAAACCCATCTTTTCGAGCAGCGCAGAGTCTTACTCCTCCTTACAGTTGTTCGCGAGAACATCCTACAGGAACTGCATCACCAGCGACGGAAGAGGCAGAGTCCAAGATGCGCCGATCGACACGATAGATCGTACAACTGTAGGTGGCTGAGGGACCCTCCTTTCCCCGCGAAGGAGGGAGGAGCAAGCCACACATATGATGCGATCGGCACAGACGAGTCGTTGCCGATGGTGATTGGCGGTCACACGTTTGCTGTTCCGGTTGTCAGGGAACCGCATCCGAACGCCATGGGATGCCTGAGCGTGTCCAGCTGAGCATCGAGCATCGCGCCTCGGTGAATCGATCGGCTCATCGGATGTGCTACGTGACCGATGAGAAATTTGGAGGACCCTTGATCAAGCAAGTGGCTGCGATTTTCCTCGGACACAACGCTTGGACCAGTCAACACATGATCGCGTACGCGGTATAGGAGTTCAATGGACGGCAAAGGATGTTGCGCGCCAATTGCGCACAAGCTTGTCCTTCCACACCATTGTCTCTTCCGCCCCGTCCTTGCATTTACAGCTTGGCTCTACTGCAAGCGTCGGCCCTCATGTCGCAGGTCCCAGTGGCCTCGCCGGCCTCGTGGACGTCGGTCGCTTCAGCCGCAGCTTCGACGGTTACCGACGCCTCCAGCACGCTCGCTTCTTCTGCCGTTGAGCCAGCACTCAGCACAGCCGCTGCTGCGGCTGCTTCGTACGCCGACGAACGCAATCCGCTGATCGCACTCTTCGATGGTCTGCTCAGAGTGTTGCTCGCCTCGCTCAACCTTCTTCGCATCCTGGCCACCTTTTCAACCATCACAGTCCCCAGCCTCGTCTACACCATCCTCCATTACAGTCTGACGCTCCAGCTCAACTTTCCTTCGCTAGCTCTGCTCTTCCTCACCTCGGTCGTTTCTGCCTTCATCTGGCTTCGATACCGTCACCTCAACAAGTACGAGCGCCTACGAGAGGTTCCCATCACTCGAGATGAAGGCTTCAATCTCAATCCGGACGTCGCCTCCGCTGGCGGCGACAATGATCGCGGCAGCTTCCACAATTACCTCGACGATTTCTTGCAAGCCATTCGCATCTTTGGCTTCCTCGAGAAGCCCGTCTTTCACGAGCTCGCGCGCCACCTACAGACACGGAGACTCGTCGCCGGCGACAGCCTCTCGCTCGACACCGATTGCTCGTTTTACATCGTCATCGACGGCCATGTCCAGGTGTATGCGCCTCTGCCATCTGGCACTGCAAGCGCCGTCGGTCAGGACTCGATCGAAGATGAAGACGACAGCGGATACCAGCTGCTCAACGAAGTCGAGAGCGGAGGAACGCTCAGCAGCCTCTTCACCATCCTCAGCCTCTTCACCGAGGACGTCAAGCTTTCGTTCGGCAGCGACGAAGACTCTCACATACCGCCTCACCATCCAGCGTACGCATCCATGGATCGTCACGTTAATCCCAGCGTCGGGCATCCTCTAGGCCGTGCATACAATGGCACAGCTCCTACATCTCCCTTTTCCTCCGCCTTCAACCCGCCGACCCAGACCGCCGCTCAGCTTCAGCTCAACGCCGCGGCCCTTCGCAATGTACCCGCGGCCATGTCCACCGAAGGCGCTGTGGAACGTCTGGGAGGCTCTGCCGCGGTCCGTTCCGCATCCAAATCAGGTCACTCTCGAACCGCCTCCTCCGGCACAGAATCCATGACCGTGCAAGACGGCGACACGAGCACCATCATGGATCCTCACGAGCGTACTGATGACGGCGTGGCCAATCCACTAGCCCACGCACCCGATCTCCAGATGCCTCCAGCCCAAGCCGCCGCGCCCTTCTCACACTTTGCACCAGGCTACAACGCCTCCCCAGCCGGCACCCCGCTGTCGAGCATGCCCGGTACAGCAAGCTCTCCGTACATGCGTGGTCGAGCCACTTCCATCCCGGGCCTACACGAGGTTGCCGGTGGTCCCAACACGCCTGGATCTATCCTTAGCGGCATGAGCGGCAGTGTTCACGGCCACTTCCGCCAACATGCCGACCCTCTCCATCGACAAGGTGCTGGAACCGTAGCACGAGCCACTGTCGATACCACACTCGCCGTGATCCCCGCAGAGGCGTTCAAACGGCTCACCAAAAAGTTCCCTAACGCCGCCGCACACATTGTTCAAGTTATCCTTGCACGTCTGTCGCGCGTCACATTTCACACCGCTCACAAGTACCTCGGTCTCACCAAGGAGGTCATGCGCACCGAGAAATCGATCAACGATCTCGCCTGCTTTCCGCTGCCTTCCGAATTCTACGAGAAGGGCGGCATGGACAAGCTCCGTCGCCGTTTCGCTCCCCAGCCCACTTCCAGAGACGAGTCAAACATAGATGACGACTACTTTCGCAATTTCCAAGAGTGGACCTCGACCACTCAGCGAAGCTCCACGCCTGTGCCAGGCCCGAGACCTGACGGCGAAGGCAGCGCTACGAGGAGTCCTCCCAAAGTCCGGATCGCGCGAGAGCAGCCTTCGATCAGGACGAGTCCCAAGCGGATGACCACCAAGAAAGCCCCTGCGCCCCGTATCTCCACTGCCAAGACGCCATGGGGTCATCCGGACCCACCCCTCAAGACGCCCACAGCTCGCACCATGGTCAGCCCGGGTGACTTGCTCAGCATGGCCACCGTGAGCCAAGACGGTTGGCATACGAGTGGGTTCGATGTCCACTCGGCGCAGCCGACACCTCGTGCCAGGCCACGCTCCATCTCCAAGCTTGAGCCCTTCTCTGGTCCACTGCCGCATCCCATAGACGATCACACCGACGGCGCCAGCCCGCGCTCTGGTTCCTCGCCCGTACCGAGGCGCAACGGCGCCAGCGACGTGTACAACCACGGCGAAGATATGGATGGCGAGCGGCCCTTCTCCAACATCGGACTCCCTCACTTTGATATCAAGAGCGAGGTGATGGACTGCATCGCCAAGAGCATCGGTCTCGCTCAAACCGTCCACTCGCCCGTCGCTGCGAGCTACCAGGCTAGCCCCCACATCAGCGCGCAGGACTCTCTTCTGCAGCGCTCCGTGTTCAAGTCGGCTTTCAGCTCGCTGAGCATGCTCGATGCTGCCATGGCCGAAGAGGAGTCGAGCATCACGGGCACCAACAGCTCCATGGCAGGACACGGTCACTCGGGCTTCCATGCGTCCGACTTTGAGAACGAAGTGGAGGTCAAGTTCTTCCCGGCTGGGAGCACGTTGGTCAAGGCGGGAGAAAGCCGCGCTGGCCTCTTTTACGTCATCGATGGGTTCTTGGATGTCTTGCTTCCTGCCGAAGCCAACGAGCTCGAGGAGGAGGATCGCTCAAGGTTGACCAAAGACCAGAATTCGACAGGCAAGCGAGGCAGTCAAGCCGGCCACCCGGGTCCAACGGGACCGAGCTCGTATCGCTCGAGCGTCTCGTCTGCTTCGCTACGAGCGGGTCTTCTCGACGAGAAGACTTCACGTGATGCAGATTCTTCACGTTCTCAGCGCAGAGGCACCGATGCAGACCGCGACAGCATGAACGATGGCGATCATTCATCATCTCTGCATCGACCCGGCTTGCGCGAAGGCTCGTCGTCGTCAACCTCGTACGGAACCACGGCCGGTCTACGAAAACGTCCAACCGAATCGGTAAAGGTCGGCAATGCCCTGGACGGAACTGGCGGCGCTGGAAGCAGTGGCAAGCGCAAGCCGAGTCATGTATCGAGCGGAAGCGGAGCTGCTGCGACTCCTCGCCATTTGGACGCTACCACTTCCAACGTACCTTTCGCAGCCAAGGCGCCCATATCGCGCCCTCCGCTGCAGCAGCAGCAGCAGCAGCCTCCTCGGGGTCAGACCTCGCAGCAAACCGGCCATCGCCCCAGGGACGGCAAACGCTCCATCTTCACCGTGGGCCGCGGAGGCATCGCTGGATACCTGTCAAGTCTGCTGGGCACTGCAAGTTACGTTGACATCACCGCCAAGACGGATGCGTACGTGGGATTCTTGCCGGCCCACGCTCTCGAACGCATCATGGAGCGAAGGCCGATTGTGCTGCTGACTCTCTGCAAGCGTTTGCTGTCTCTGCTGCCTCCCCTGATCCTCCATATCGACTCGTCGCTCGACTGGCAGCAAGTGAACGCGGGTCAGGTCATCTATCGCGAAGACGACCCATCGGACAGCTTCTTCATTGTCATCAACGGCCGATTGCGAGCCATCACAGAGAAGAAGAACGGTATCGAGGTGCATAACGAGTATGGACAAGGTGACAGCGTCGGCGAACTAGATGTCATCACCAATTCGCGCAGACGCACGACGCTCCACGCCATCCGCGATTCGGAGCTGGCCAAGATGCCTTCGACGCTGTTCAACGCCATCTCTGTGCGTCATCCCGCGATCACGATCCAAATTTCGCGGATCATCGCACGACGAGTGCGAACAGAGCTTGTTCGAAGCAAGCAGGAAGGTGCTGCGCTTGGCGCGCCCATCCCGGGTCTACCCGACCTTGGCAGGAACAATCTGAACCTCAAAACGGTCGCCATCGTTCCTGTGACGCGTCAGGTGCCGGTGATCGATTTTGCAGCCAAGTTGCAGACCGCCTTCGATGACACCATCGGTGGACGAGCCGTGTTCCTGGATCAGAGCAGCGTCATGGGCGTGTTGGGACGACACGCCTTCAGTCGCATGGGCAAGCTCAAGCTCGCAGGATGGCTGGCGGATCTGGAGCAGAAGTACCGCATGGTCGTCTATGTAGTCGACACGCCGGTCTCTTCGGCCTGGTCGCAGACGTCGATCCGGCAGGCGGATTGCGTGCTGATGGTGGGATACGGCGATGAGCCGGCGATGGGCGAGTACGAACGGCTGCTGATGAGCGTCAAGACGACGGCGCGCAAAGAGCTCGTGTTGCTGCATCCGGAGCGGAGTGTGCCGCCCGGCTCGACGCGCGAATGGCTCAAGAATCGACCGTGGGTGCATGCGCACCACCACGTCGAGATGCCCGGCCTTTCCGGATCACACGCGGCGGCGGCGATGTCCACCGGAGGCGACCCCAAAGCAGTCAAGGCGCTACGGAATCTCAAGCAGAAGCTCGAGACTTCGCTGCAAAGGTACCGCAAGACCAAGACGCCGCTCTCTGCGGCTGGACGGCCGCACCACGCTTCCGATTTTGCCAGGCTCGCGCGCCGACTGTGCGGTATGAGCATCGGATTGGTTCTGGGCGGCGGTGGTGCACGTGGCTGTGCTCATCTCGGCGTCATCCGTGCGCTCGAGGAACGCGGTATTCCTATCGACATGGTGGGCGGCACGTCGATCGGATCGCTGGTGGGAGGTCTGTACGCAAGGGAAGCCGAGATGGTGTCGACGTTCGGCCGTGCGAAACGGTTTGCGGGTCGTATGGCGTCTCTGTGGCGATTCGCTTCGGATCTCACTTACCCCGTGGTGTCGTATACGACGGGTCACGAGTTCAATCGTGGTGTCTTCAAAGCGATCCAGGAGACGCACATCGAGGACATGTGGATCCCGTTCTTCTGCAACACGACCAACATCACCTGGTCGCGCATGGAGGTGCATACCAGCGGGTACGCCTGGCGATACATCCGCGGATCCATGACGCTGGCGGGACTGATTCCACCGTTGGTGGACGACGGAAACATGCTGGTGGATGGAGGGTATGTGGACAATCTGCCAGTGACTGTGATGCTGGCGATGGGTGCGCGATCCGTGTTTGCGGTCGATGTAGGATCGATCGATGATACGAGCCCGCGAGCATATGGAGACACGCTGTCCGGGTGGTGGGTGCTGCTGAACAGGTGGAATCCGTGGTCGGACGCGGGCAAGATCCCGTCGATTCCTGATATCCAAGGACGTCTCACGTACGTGTCGTCGGTCAAGACGCTCGAAGAGGCCAAAAAGGTCAAGGGATGCTTCTACATGCGCATGCCGGTGGAGGAGTTCGGCACGCTCGCGTTCGGACGCTTCGACATGATCTATGAAAAGGGATACAGGGCGGCTGTGGATCTGCTCGATGGATGGGATGCCGAGGGGAAGCTGCCGTCGGGTACGGAGAGGGAAGAGTTCGAGGACGGCGAGGAAGACGATGACGAGTACGAAGAGTACGACGTGTACACGGATGACGAAAGTGGGGTCAACGGGGGAGTCAGAAAGATAAGGAGGAGGAAGAGGCGCAGAAGAGCCAGGAGAAAGGCAGGGATCAGTGCACGAAGAAACAGTGTCTAGAACGTCTTGAGTCAGCGGATGATGTCAAATCTGACTGTTGCTCTTCTCGGAACGTAAGAAACCGAACAATCACACGCAAAGGTACCGCTGCACGATCAATGTGGATACAGCGAGCGTGAGTCAGTTAGAGGCAGCCTTGAGCAACAAGATGATTGATGGGCCGATGGGCTGATCAACGATGATTGATGATGATGATGGTGGCCCTTCTTTTTGTGGACTGAATTTTGGACATCAATTTACTCATTTGCCTGGAATCACTCCTTGGAAGAAAGGTGAAATTCGGGCAAGGAAGTGGGAGACGGCACAGCCGAATCTGACACGTCGACTGCTGCACAAGCGGCAAGACAAGGGTCCTGCGTAACTCTAGCAAGGAAGAACGTCGGTGATCCGTGCCATTGTTGCCGCGCCCCACCGGATCACAACTTGGTCTTCTTCCATCGTATAAGAGCTTCTCCTCCTTGCTACAGGTGACTTGTCTCACAGCAACGCCGTGTCAACACAGCAGCAGCCTAGCACCAAGGTCACTTCCAACGCAGCCCGAGAACAACGAGCACAGCCAACGTCGGTCTAGTCTGTCGTGTTCTTCTCGAGACCACGTCCGGTCAGGTCTGTACTGCTACGAGGCAGCAACGCATGCAGGGCTTCCATTGATCGCCTGCAGACCCACTCCGACGTTACGACAAGCAGAGTCTCGCGCCGACAGGCTCAACACCATCCCGCTCGATCCGTCATGGGTGCCGCATGCTGCGCAGGAGCCGCAGTAGCCGGCTCGGCCGCCTCTGCTGGTCCTTCCACACTGCTCGATGGTACCATCTACTCCTTCCTCTCGGCCATCCCTATCGCTCTTTACCACTACTATCCTCAGATCACAATCGCGCTGGTGACGCTGCTGGCGCTGGGCGCATCGACATTCTATCTCGTACTCGTCTTGCTCACGCCCGAATCGAAGGGCAGCTCTCCCTCGGAGCTCACCTACCTCTCGACCGCGAGTGAGAAACCACAACCGCTGGCGAGCTTGTTGGATGAGCTGTCGGAGATTGGAGGAGAGGGAGGAGCGGTGCAGCTCAGCGTAGTGGTTCCGGCGTACAACGAAAAGGAGAGGTTGCCGGTGATGTTGAAGGAGACGGTGGAGTTTTTGGAAGGCTTGAAGAAGGAGAAGAGGAGTTTGGTGCAAGGGCTGCCGCAGGATCACAGCAATGGATCGAACGGCGTCGTCGCCAACGGAATCCACGTCAATGGATCCGCTTCCACCACCCGTGTCCACTCCGCACTTCACAATCCACTCTCTTCGTACGAGATTGTCATCGTCGACGACGGAAGCAAGGACAACACGCACCAGGTCGCACTCGATTTCGCCCGATCGCACCCTTCGGCAGGCTCGACGATCCGCGTCATTCGTCTCATCGCGAACAGAGGCAAAGGCGGAGCCGTTCGACACGGCGTACTCCACTCGCGTGGCCACCTCGTCCTCTTCGCCGACGCCGATGGCGCTACATCCTTCCGCGACGTCTCCAAGCTCTGCCACACCCTATCGCAAACCCTGACGACCAAAGGTCACGGTGTAGCTGTGGGCAGTCGAGCACACATGGTCAAGTCGGATGCGGTGGTGAAGCGAAGCTTGTTGAGAAACTTCCTCATGCACAGCTTTCATCTGTTCTTGACGTTGCTGTTGCGACCACCGACGTTGGGAGGGGTGATGGGGAAGATCACTGGGAGGAGTGGGAAGAAGGTCGTAGTGACGGGGAAGAAAGGTGGTTGCAAAGTGGTATCTCTACCCGTGCAGCCGGAGGTGAAGGACACGCAGTGCGGGTTCAAGCTGTTCACCCGACCTACTGCACAACTCGTCTTCCCCGCCAGTCACATTGACGGGTGGATCTTTGACGTCGAACTCCTCATCCTCGCCCAGACCAGCTCCCAACTCGCACTGCAACAACAACCGCACACAACGGAGGAAGAGCAACACGACGAGGTCGAAGGAGAACTCAACGCACTCAAACGTCTACCCATTCCCGTCGTCGAAGTCAGCGTAGACTGGCAGGAGGTCAAGGGTAGCAAGATCGATCTGCTCAAGGACTCGATCCGCATGGCGTTGGATTTGATCGTCATCAGAGCGAATTATGGGCTGGGCAGGTGGAAGCCTCCTGCCGCAGCTGTGTGAGGTGAAGAACGCGAAGGGATAACAAGTGGTGGGCACTGTCAGCGATGGAGTCGGCGTTGTTCCTGATCCAATTGGTAACTTTCGGTTCAAACGATGCGGGTGTGTGATGACTGCAGTGATTTGTGCTTGTGAGCGAATCTCAATTGGCTAGATCGACCAGGCTGACGGAGCCCACGCTGGCTGCATTGTTTCGTGTCAGTTGCTGTCATTCACGCTCGTGTGATTGTGATCATCAATTAAGTTGCAAGACGTTAACAAAGGAAGAAGTATCTCATCGCGGTCTAACCTTCCGACTACGCGAGCGCACCAAGCGGATCATAAGGAGGCAACCTGACCGTCTTGTCATCTACACCCCTGGTGAATAAGGACCACAGATGCTTTGGCATAAACTTCTTGTCCACCACCACCTGGTAGTTGAACTCTTCGAACCACTTGTCGCTCATGACCATGAAGCCTTTGCCGTTACCGACGCCCGCCTCGCCCCACGAGTTCTCCACCCTGTACCTCTCCACCTTGCCCGTGCGATCGTCGATGTGCACCGCGGTGATGACCATGGCGTGCGTCATGGACGACTCTCCCAGCTCGATCCGCTGTGCCTTTGTCAATCCAAGAGTGACGTTGAAGGCCTCCTCGTATCCGAAGAGGGCTGGGTCCATGATTCCGGACGTCTTGTCGGAGAATTGTCCGACATCGCAGCCGAAGAAGACGGGGTGGCCGGCTTTGATCGAGCTGACGACGGCGGTGCGCATGACGTCGACGGTGGTGTTGACGTAGCTGATCGGGGTTCCTTCCCAGACATTTCCGAGACGTTGCACTGTAATCAGCTGGTCTGGCTCGTGTCGAGGATCGTGGATGAGGGAGCAGCGTGATTTGTGGTCAAAGGTGCCAGTGTACTCGGCCAAGAAACGCTTGGGAGTGGAGCGGATGGTGACGAACTTGCCGTCCTTGTTGCGGTAGTTGTAGGTGAACTCGTCGTCAGGTTGAGGTGGCGTGCCGAGGGAAATGACGAGTAGACGGTAGACCTCTTCCATCTGTTCGTCCTTGCGTGCGCGCTGTGCCTGTCGGACGGCATAGCTGATCTCTTGGGCGCTCATGGATCGATGGACCAGGTTGCCGAGTTTGCGTTCGACGTCCTGCTTGATCTGTCGCAGTTCGAGCGTGTATTCTCGCAGCTTGAGCGTGACGAGCCAGTTGATCTGCGAAGAGTAGCTCGAGTTGTAGCTCTCAGGGAAGACGGATTTGGGCACCACGCCGTACTTCTCCAAGAGGTTGGCGACCATGTCCCACTGACCACCGTCGTTGGTGGGGGCGGTCTTGAGGAACCCGACGACACGCTGGTCGAGGGGCTCGTCGGCCAACTCGATCATGTTCTCGAGGAAGTAGTTGGATTTCTCCAGCTTGTCCCAAAAGCTCAAGTAGCTCTGCGAGAGTTCGAACTCGTCCAGGTCGAGCGCTTTGGCTGCTTGGTGACGGATGACGTTGCAGGTAGCAAAGAGCCAGCATCGACCGGAGTTCTTCTGGTTGACCACAGGCTTGACCTCGTAGGGGATGGCGTGGGAGAACATGTGGGCGCAAGAGACTTCGACGTCGCGCTTGTGCAGGCTGGCCTTGATGTCGGCATTGTGGAGCGTCATCTGTGCCAATCGAGCGGATTGCGTTGCAAGAGCAGATTGCTGCCAGTCAGGGATGGATTTGAGCGAGATGCCAGCGCGACGTTCAACGTCTGAGGAGGAGGACGAGGCAACACCGAAACGGTGGAGCGTCTCGGCTTGGATGCGAGCGAGACGATCGGCGGCATGATGGTTGACGCTGCTCGACGTTTGAGCGTGTGCTCGGGACGAGTCGAGGCCGACGGTGTACTTGGCTTTCTCGTTGAAAGCTTCAGCGTCGGCGGCGGTCCTGTCAGCGACGGGCTTGGATGCGGAGGAACCCATATTGACGTCTTAGGTCTGGCGATGGATGGGGGGGGTTGTTGAATTTAGATTGAGGTGTCTCGACGGGGGGACGGATTTCGCGATGTATGCGGAGGGTCCGACGTCTATTTGTACTGCTGGAGATGGGGTTGAGCGGAGGAGCCGAGTCACAGCAGGATGGCGCGGGCGTAGAGATAAGTCTAGCTAGATGAGAGTGTGGGGTGGATCGAGCTCGAGGGCAGCCAGCTCACTTATCAACCACGCTCAGCTCCGGCTATCAGAGCGGCACACGCGCGTGTGTGATACGGACAAGTGCCGAAGCGGCGGCATGGCATTGCTGTCGGTCAACTGGCAGTCTTGATTAGGGTCGTCGTCACGGCTCGCCTCCCTGCTCCACTTGCAACCTCAAGGGTCTCAAGAGGTCTCGCCTCGGAAGACGATCGACCGAATACCGGCGAGCTGAGCAGGGTGCCATTCGCTGTGTTATGCACCTCGACGGGCATTTTTCTGAGAGATTCAATCCCAGCGTGCAGCGATAAGGGCAGCTCAGCTCCGCGTCTCACGCGAGCACGACCGTTGCCCGACTCTATGCGGCCTGTGCAGAAAATCTAAAAAATGTTACACCTATATATCCAACGTTTTCAATACAAAGGTCGCGGCGAGTTCATGATGACGCTGTAGGACGTCGCATTTCAAACACCGACAGCGAAACAACAAACCGAAGCGAGATGCAGGATGCCCATCAGGGCCCAAGCTTGTCAGCAGCACCCCTGAAATCATGGCTGTTTGGTGTCTGCCTCGTTTGCTCTTCGCACGAGTCCATGCGTGACTACACCATATTTTAGCTCGCACTCGCTCATCGACGAGCAGTGATCCGCCGCCGGCTGCGCTGCGGGCAGTCAGCTGCAGCAAGCTGCTTGGAAGTGCAACCTGCTTTCCATAGCCGCTGGGTCGTGTCTTCGAGCGTTCGCCTATCCCTGTTTATTTTTATTTCTTCTTGGTTGTGATTGTAAGGAGATGCACGGTCAGTTGGCGAGATTTCTCCCCACGCCAACTTACCCTTTTGAGCTGCGGCTGCTTTTTCCATGTTTCAACTCGCTCGCACTTTCTACTGTCCCGCTTCGAACAGCGCATTCGCCTTACTGACTACGGTACTCCACCACACGATACCACCAAACCACATCACGAGCCACGAGGCTGAGCCATGAGCTTCAGTTGACGTCCTTCGCCGATTCTGCTTCTGCTTCACTTTGCTGGATGACTTCGGATGCACGTGCTTGTCTTCTGACGGCGGTCCGAGCCACAGCATGAACATCTCAGCCTAGGATGTCTCCGAGCCTTCCCTCGACCTCTTCACCACCGCCCAAGATGGCGAGTGCAGGCCCTTCCTCGCCATCGCTGGCATCCAGCGTCAATGAACAACCAGCCCTGCATCAGCCTCATCAACCACCTCTGCGTGCGCGTTTGCATGCTCTGCTTCAACATTCGCACTCTCACTCTGGCTCCAGTCCTGCTCTGTCTCCTACTTCAGACACGCACAGCCAGCATCACACAGATGCGGATCCGCTCAGCAGCTCAACTTCGATAGAAAGCGAGGCCCACGCCGTCACGTCGCCCAAGATGGTCGCTTTGCCGCCACATCCGCAACCGCCCAAAGGCGCCCTGAGCGTCTTGCCAAAGACCACTACGCCATCTTCGTCCATCCACAAGCCTTCTGTGGCTTCTTCGCCCCCGCCAAAGCTCGCCGCTTTGCCTCGAAGCGTCACCGCATCAAATCTGGGCAGCAGCCCAGCCGTCGCACCACGCCCAGAATCGACGTCCGCCGGCCCATCCAGGGCATCCAGTCTCGACCCTTCTCAGCTTCCGTCAGCGTATACCCTTCCGACTTCACACACAACGTCCAACGTGCATCCTGAGCACTCGTCTAATCAGCCACGCCAGCGCCCTTCCATCAAAGTCCGCATTATCACTTGGAACATGCACGACAGCGTCCCAAAAGGCGAGCTCGAAGTTCTCCTCGGAAAAGCCGGTCCGTATGTCCCGCCCGAATCCGATTGGGACATCAGCTACGACAGTGCTGATGATGACGACCAACACGCATCACAATCCGCACGCAATCAAAGCAGAGGTCAACACGTTGTCGGTCAAGAGCACGTCCCTAGAGCAGATCGCATCCCGCCCCTCCCGCACGATGATTCGCATCCTTACCATCTGCTCGTCATTGCAGGTCAGGAATGTCCCTGGGGAGACGGAAAGCGTCTTGCTACCAGCGTCGGCATGGCGAACGAGCTGGGAGACTTCGGAAAGCAAAAGGCGCGTGCTGCCAAAGACAAGGACAAGGACAAGGACAGATCGAAGCCGTCCAAGCAAAAGGAGAAGCAGAGGTCGGGCGACAGCGATAGCCTGCCCGCCATTGCCGATGCAAACAACAAGTCTGCACACTCGACTACCGACGAAGCGCCCTCATCTATCCAGAACAGAGACGGTTTGCAAATTCCCTCGGACGATAACAGCTTTCCATTCTTCTCTGGCCCACTTTCCACTGCTCTTCCTGGCCAACCGCTCGCTTCGCCCATGATCGGCGGCAGCTCTATGCCCGGCTTTGGCGGCAGCACCACCGATCTACACAACGATGACAAGCTCGTCGCTTGGCCCAACATCGGCGGCAAAGGCTGGAGCGATCTCTGCGAGGACTGGCTTGTCCGCAACCAGCACGTTAAGAAGGACAAGGAACACAAGGAGAAACCTTTCATCAGCGGCGCCCGCCTCGCCCGCGCGCTGTCTCACTCCGCATCAAAGAAAGAAGTCGCCCAATCTAGTCAGTCTTTCGCACTCCATGATCCTCAGCAGAGCGTTCCATCGCACTCCGTCTCGGCAGCCGTGACGCCCGAGTTATCGCGTGCTGCAAGCCCTGTTGGCATCCCGACCAGCTTCAGTCTGCCAGGCACTCCCAATCAGAGTACCCTCGAAGGATTTGGTGCATTCACAGATACTCCAGCTCCCCCGCCCGCGGAGTCCTCACCCGGCGCCGACAAACGCAAGCGGCTCGTGCCCAAGCTCAATCTCAACCGTCTCGATATTGTGAAAAAGTCCCCGGCTTCCGGTCGATCGAGCCCCGCCAATATGACCGATGCCGAATATGTCTCGTCACCCGTGCTACTCTCGCCCACAGCAATCGTTCCCAAGACTGCGCAGCAGCTGTCTAGCCTATCGACGGTTCCCAGTGAGCAGGCGGCTCACGCAGCCGAGCCGAGCTCCGTCAATGCTTCGACGAGCGCAACACCATGGCTGACTGTACCCGGCACACCTGCCATGAGCCGCATGAGCTCATCACATAGCCTCTCGACATTAGCAGCGGGCTCTGCAGTCCCTTCGAATAACGAAGTGCATGTTGATCCTCCAACCCCATCGCGTACTCCTTCGCCATATCCCGACGCCCAACCCGGCGCAAAAGTCGGAGGTCAAGTCCCCAGCAACTCTGCAGCTCTAGCCGTCCCCGCTGCGAGCGATGCTGGTGCTAAAGCACCCGAGAAGTCGTTCGCCGACTCGATGCCCAAGTCTTTGGGCCCGTACGAGCTAGTCATCAAGGAGCGCATGATGGGCTGCTACATGGCTGTCTATGTGTGGCGCGGGTGCAAGGATCGGATCCGTGGCGCTTCGCGATCTCACGTCAAGTCTGGCCTCCTCGCAGGTCGTGTTGGCAACAAGGGCGGCGTAGGTATCTCGCTCAAGCTGGGCGCCACACGGCTGCTCTTCGTCAACGCACATTTGGCAGCACACGAGGACAAGGTCGCCCTTCGATTGGCAAATGTGGCCAAGATCAAGGCAGCGCTCAAGGTGGATTCGTTCCTGCCAACGGACGATCCGCGATCCCGGCTCGAAGACATCACCGAGCAATTCGATCATACCTTCTGGTTTGGCGATCTCAACTTCCGCATCGACATCTCGCGCCAGCATGCCGATTGGCTCATGATGAACAAGAAGTACGATCAGGCGCTCGCCTTTGACCAGCTTGGCAAAGTGCTCAAGGAAGGAGATGCTTTCAAGGGCTTCAAGGAGGCTCCCATTCATTTCCCTCCTACATACAAGTACGACGTCCTCAGTACACTCAAGCTCAAGCGCAGCAAGACGCAGACCTCGACGCGAAGCGCAATCGATATTCCCGGGGCTTCCTCAACAGTCACCGCCACAGCTGAAACGTCAACGACTCCCCTTGGCGAGAGCGTCATCCCAGAGGATAGCACCGTTTGCTTTGGTGAGCCCGACTCGCAAGCGGATCAACTGGGAGATGCCAGTCCGGCCTTCTTTCCGAAGAGCGGGCTCAACAATGATGCTTGCTCGCACCTGGACTCGTCCAGGCTTGCCTCAGCGCCGCACGGCATCTCGCCTACTGCTGGCGATGAAAGCATAGCAGCTGCGTCTGATACCCACGATCCCGATCGATCGGACGAAGATCGGTATTCGATTGCTTCTTCCTCGGCATTTGGCTCAATGGCATCGTCTTCCGGCTTTGTACGCGCGTACCGAAACCAAGAGGCTCGCCTGCCACAAGACGTCGACCCGGCGCTGGTTCGTGAACGCGAACTCGAACTGCAAAGGCAACGCCAGCTTGCCGAGAACACGAGTGCAGCCCAGGGCCCGCGCTTCTTCTCTCCTGGCGCCGCGATTAAAGCCAAATTCAAGATCATGGACATGATGCGTAGCGCTACAAGCACCAACATCAAAGAGAAGCTGAGCAGTGCAGTTTCTGCAGATGGTCAACCCGGCGGTCGCAAGAAGTGGCTCAACGTCCTGACCGAGTCGCCGAAGAAGTCGGCCATGACGGCATCGGCTTCGAGCGACAACAACTCGATCGTGGATTCGATCAACTCCATGCCGTCGCCTGGGACGGAGCTTTCAACCTATGCGCCTGACGGCGACGAGTCTTGCGATGCAGCAGGACGAAGAGGCAGCCTACTGTCCTCGGACGGCTACCCCAGTAGTGCGGGTCATGGGGAGATGCCAACAATTCGCCATGTGTTGAGCAGAGAAGGCGAGGCTCTTTCGAGCGACAAGGAGAGCGAGAGCGGTGCTCCGGCACCTGTCCGAGCTGGTCCGCGTCGCTCGTCGCTGCAGATGGCTAAAGCGACTGCGCTGGCAGCAGCAAAAGCCCACAGAGAAGCCAAGTATCCGCATCTGACTGGCGCCACTGCCGAGCAGATTGACTTCCTCGAAGCGCAGCCGTACGACACAAGCGCCAAGCAGAGGGTGCCGTCGTGGTGCGATCGAGTTTTGTTCCGTTCCACGGTCCCGCTCGATCCCGAAGATCGAGATCCGGAAGGCGACGCAGACGACCTCAAGCGCTCCGAACACGAGGCCAAGCTTGGGTCTAGAGTCGGCAGCGCGCTGTCCAGTGCATTAATCACGCCTTTGCGGCAAGCAGCAGAGCGCCGTCACCACATGCATCCGCAGCGAACGGCTTCCAACGGTCTCATAGCCGCCGTTGCCGGCAGCTCTTCCATCGCTTTTGCGGACGAGAAGCCGTTTCGAGCTGAGGTCGGGCCGAAGGGAGAGGTGGCCCGCAAAGCTAGCGCGACGCGCAGGAGTCAGCATAGCGATCGGGCGACCACAACATCGCAGCCGAGCGTTTTGAGTCCGAAGGCAGTTACGCGAATCTCGGCAGTGGACGAACGCACGCGGGAGCCACACCTCTTGCAACGCTTCCTACACCCAGCCAGACACCGACATCGACTCAAAGCATTGAGCCCCAGTCTCACGTTTTCCGACTCGACGGACAACACGCACGATACTGCGCAGTGGGTGGTCAAGAACAACAGCAGTATCGATCTGATGCCAACCTCGACCAGTCTGGGACTCGAGAGCGGTGCAGGACTTGGATTGGCAGGGCTGGAGACGACGCGGACCGCTATCAGCACGGTTGATTTGCCGAGTCAGTTGGAGGAGAGGGACAATCGATTCGATGGTGCCGCTAAGCGGAGTTCCTCGCCTTTGTCGGCCCTGACCTCACACGCGAAAATCGTGATCCCACCACGGCAGTCGAGTACGTCTCAGAACAACTCGCCCATGGTGAATGGCCGGGGCTGGTCTTTCCCGTCTCCGACCAAGGAGATCGCTTCTCCTGCCACAGTTTCCCCACTCGAGGTGCCCCAGCCTCCCGTTCGCTCGGCCTCGGCAAGCGCAGCTTCGGAAAAGCCGCTCTCGCCACCCGTTTCGACACGGTCCGTACCGTCACCTGGACCACGTCGCACGCTTTCGTCATCCAGCACGGATCGCGGTGGGTGGATGGACAGCCTCTCCTCCCACCTGCCCGCCTTTTTCGCCCCTGCCTTCTCGGCTCTCAGATCGCACCGACACGCGAGCCAGTCCATCGATGCGACCGAGTTGCCACAGCACAAGGAGGATGCGCAGCCGCAGACGCCGCTCTTGGGACCCAAGAGGGGTCGCATCGAATGCTTGCTCTACAAGTCGTTGGACGATCGTGAGATGCGCATCTTGGAGGGAAGATCCGATCATCGTCCGGTTATCTTTGTCGGTGCTATCGGCATTTGACGCGCTTTGGGTGGTTTGCTCGAATACACATGTAACAACATACGAAGATTGCGCCATCCTGGGGGTTGTTCATGTTGGGTGGAAATCTCTCCGCTCCTTCAGACCTGAAAGGGATAATGTGACTCGAAGCGAGTAAGTGAGGTCGCCCAGTACGGCCGCACGTATGTTTTGGGATGATTGGACGAGTGCTGTGAGTGATATTTACTTTTGTGTACAAGTGAAAGGGGGAAAGGAAAAAGGGCGCAGACGGATGGTGATGTCACCAAGGGTCCTCCGTCGTCACGAGACAGCCGACTCGGTTCTAGCTGACCTCGAGCTACGTTCTAAGCAGTGACAGAGGGTTGTTGACCCTTCGAACCCCACGCGCCAGCGGGAGCGGGCTTACCTGCGCTCCTCGCACCTGCACCTGCACCTGCAGCTCTCGAGAACGCACCACCGCCGCTCTTAGCTCCTCCGCTCCAGGAGCTCTTGCCCTTGTTGTCCTTCTTATCCTTGCCCTCGCCAGCGCCCGCCGCCGCCGCTGCCGCAGCGTTCGCCTCCTCCTGCGCCTGCTTGTCCACGATCGGCAACGCCTTGCTCTGAATGTTGGCCAGCACATCGTGCATCCTAGTGCCGTTCCTCAAGAACCAATCTCCATACCTCCTGCCCACCCTCGACTCGGCAATGTGAACCATATCGGTGTCGATGACGAAATCCAAATCGCTCGTGTTGACCACCTCGCCCTCCAACAGACTTCCGCTCGACCACTTGAGCGATCGAGTCGAGTTCTTCATGACCATCATCATCTCGACCAACTCCTCCTCGTCGATCTCGAGGAACGAGGCCAACTTGTCGGTCCCCAGCGTGGTGTACAGTCGCAGGAACGAGCGTACGTTGGCGTTGGAGAGCTGACTTCTGACGTCGGACAGGAAGACGCGCAGCTGGTGCTGGGTGGGATCGGGGTACACCTTGTCCGTGAACGCGGCGAGCGCCTCCTCGTCGTGGTAAGGTGGAGAGTTGGCGGTGATGAATTTAGGGCAGGCGTAGATGAAGAGCTCCTCGAACGCGGCGATTCCCTCCGACCCGGGTTTGGTCATCTTGTTGAATTGTTCGCCGTACTTTTCGCGCATCTGCGTCTGGATGTTTTCGTCCAGACGCGTGGGGCAGAGAGCGCACGCCGTGGAGAGGAGCGCGTACATTCGATCGGCGGTCTTGTTGATCTGATCGTACTGGTACGATCGGGTGTGGTACTGACGAAGACGCATGATGAAGACGAGGATGTGCGTGAAGCTCTTGATGCAATCCGGGTAGCGGCGGAGCATGAGGTAGGCGAAACCGACGTAGTAGTAGGCGGTGACGTGGCAGGCAGTGACGCGGTTGATCAGCCCGGACTTCTTGTTGAGCTCGATGTGGTCGAGCATCTTCAACGCCAGAGTGTAGTCTCCGAGCAAGACGTGGACTCGAAGCAGACCGATGATGGAGAAGTATCCGAGCATGCGGTAGAGAGGTTTGGAGCCGAACTCTCCGGCAACTTCGTCCGGATCTTCACCCTTGCTGGCTGCTACCAGCTGCTCGGTGATGCGCGACTTCTGGATGAGCGAGTACAGCACGTTGAGAACAGAGTAGCTGCTCCACACGCCTCCATCCTGCAAAAGCGCGATCTCGTCCTCCGACTTGTTCGACACCTTGTTCCTCCACTGCGAGAAGCTCTGGAACTGGTAGATGAACTCGTCGATGATGTCCCACAGCCACTGGGCGGGCAGCTCGAGCTGCACCGGTCCGTCGCTGTTGAGCACAAAGTTGAAAAAGTCGCAGTAGTTGTCATACGAATGGAAGCGGTCCTCACCGTCGGGGCTGAGACGCGAGTAGACGTGACGGTACCAGAGCTCTCGGTACAGAGTCAGGAACTTCTGGTCGTCGTTGACGAGAGGAGCGATGGTCTCGGCTTCGGGCCACTCGGAGCGAGCGTAGAACTTGTCGGTGAGTCGGTTCCACGTTCCCTCGTAGGCGTTGCTGATGTCCTGGACGTTGTTGTTCTGCACGGCTTGGTTGAAGAGCACGATGTACTTGCGGATCTGGTCGGGGACTGCGGCGAGGGCAGCGGCCTGGGCCTGCTGCTGTGCTTGGGCGTGGGCTGCGGCAAGAGCGGCGGCCTGCGCCTCGTCGACTTCGGCACCAGCCTCACCGGCAAACGGAGCGGAGTAGTCGCCTACGACGAGATCGACATCGTCTCCGAGCTCGTCTTCATCGCCGAACTCTTCTTCACCACCGAAAAGCTGTCGCTGAGGTTGCTGCTGGTGTTGGTCGAAAGCGGCGCCGTTGGACTGGCCCTGCTGGGGAAGGTTGGCGGCCATGTTTATCTGTGTGTATCGGGATCGACTTGCAGCGCTCCTTTGGTGATCAAAAGAAGCTTGCAAGGGGGCGGTGAGGGGAAAGGACAGATGTGGTCGATATCAAAGAAGATCCTGATCTCGAAGCATCAGACCCAGCAGAGCTGCTGCTGCTGCTGCTGCTGCTGCTGCTGTTGCTGCTGCAGAACGCGCGCGACCTTGTTCTTCTTGTCGAGCCGCTTGGGAAGAAAAAAGGGCCTCTCTTCCTCGCCCTTGCAACTTTTCCCTAATTACAGCTCACGCAGCAGAGCAAATAGAATTTTCCACGACGCGAAATACCACAGTCCAAGTGTGTCATTACAAAACCCAATCAGAGAATTTCATTGCTAGGCTCTCGTCCGGAAAATTTCAGTCTGTCGACACCATCAATCGTCTTTTTTTACAGGCTCATTTCTCCTCCGGCTTCCTTCGGACAGCGGCTTTTGCCATCCCGTAGGCTCATCATCTACCTGGTGACCTGTACATTCGCAGCGTACAGCACTAGCTACGCGGGTTGGCGGACTTGTCACGCTGCATCGAGGCTGCTTTGATACACAACACGTCGAGAATACAGCCAAAGCACAGTGCAATTCAAGCAACAGAAGCAAGTGTAATGAAAAGGCCATGTTTCGTGTTCCTGCGTCGCCTTCCCATCGTACTGGTACAATTTCCTTCCGGAACGCCACCATCATCTACTGGTATCCTCGATTATCAAAGAACGTGCTCTGCGCTTGCTGGTGATGTTGCTGATGCGGTTGATGCATTCTCACGCTGCCCCCGTTCACCAATGGGCTCAGATGCGACTGATGACGCTGGTCGTCCAACAAACCCGATCCCGACGCACCGAGACCGGTCTGGCCCGGATCCGACGCAAGGTAGCCCGAGTTGCTGTGGTGGTGGTTGCTGTGGTGTCCGTAGGTCTGGTGGTGCGACAAGGTCTGTTGCGCAGGCGCGGTGGTGTAATTCGACTGGCCAAAGAGCGAGGGACCTGGCGCAGCGGTCTGACTGGCCCAGGCGTTGTGCGTCTGATCCTGCTGGTGCGCGTTGTGGTGCTGCGTGTGCTGCGGCGGTGCCATGTGCTGACTGTGCGAAGCGTGCTGCCGCGAGGCTTGCAACGTGTCCGACGACTGTGCCGATGCGATGGTACTCGAGTCGTTGCTGTAGCCGCCCGAGTAGTCGGCCAACGTCGTACCTCGGCCGCTGTGCGCCGCTTCCAATCCTGATGACGACAGCGAACCTTGCTGTGCTTGCAACGACGAGCCGGTGAGATCGTCGCCGCCAGGTCCCAGCATGGAATTGCGCTGGCTCGGCGGCTGCCGGAACCGCGTAGGTGTGTCGTCGAGGTCAGCCTGGTCCGCTTTGCGACGCTGGACGACTCCCTTGGCCGTCTTGTTGCCGCCAGGACCGGCGACGCCAGTTGCGTTGTTCGCCTTCCGTGCAGAAGCGATGCTCGAATCACCGCCTCGCAAGCTCCGATCCGCATCGGCCAAGGCGGAAGACGAGCTGCTTGCATTCAAACCCATCATGCTCGTGCTTCTGGTGCTGTCCAAGTTGCGCGGCGTGCTTTCGCTCGGATCCTGATGCGAGTTGCTAGCCCGCGCCTCCTTCTTGCGATGCAAGTTGGCCTCGTCGATCGCATTGTCGATGATCTGCTGCAGCAGCTGCTTCGCTTTCCAATGGTCCTCGCAGTCACCCAATTCAGGGTGATCGTTTTCGAGTCGATTGATGGCCGCCTTGACTCGATCCTCGGGCTGCTTTGCCAGTCGAACCTCCTGCAACAGCCACTCCTGATACAGCTTTCGACCTGTCTTGCGTACGCTGAGATATTGCTCGGGTCGAATCTCGAGGAACTCCTTGAGCGGGAGACGGCCAAGCGTTGCCATGGACCGCTTTGTCTGGTCACGGTGAGCACGTCGGGCCTGTTGCATGGTGCGGTACTTGATGTTGCGCGACTGATGGCCAGGCGGAGCGTGCCAGGTGCGATTCAGCCAGCCTTTCCATTCACCCAGCGAGGCTTCGGTGGCCGCTTTGCGCGCGCTATCGCCGGCAGCCGCGCCGGCAGTGGAGAGCCTCTTGAGATTGGATGGTGTCTGGTGACCGGCAGTGGACATGTCAGCCGACAGATCGATGGGATCATCCGGGAACACGGGACTCGGCAGGCGGCTTCTGAGCATATCGTCTTGACTCGGCTGCTGCTGCTGCTGGGTTGCTTGCTGAAGGCCTTGCGGCTGAGACTGTAGATGTAGCGGCTGCTGCTGCTGCTGCGGTTGCTGTTGTTGCGGTTGCATTTGCTGTTGCTGCAGCTGCTGCTGTGCAGCGCGACCTGTGGCGGCAGAGAGGCTACTGTTCATGACCGAGTTGGGAGTGGGAGAGGCGCCTCTGAGCGTGCTACCAAAGGTTCTATCCAGCGTAGAACTTGCGGGGTCAAGTGGGCTGCGAAAGTTGTTCGAGGCAGCGTTCTGGTAAACTTGGCCTTGCCGAGAATCGGAGCGAGATGCCGTGTTGCTTGAGCCGGCGACGACGTTGTTGGAGCCGAAAGAAGACGCGTTCTGGTTGCCGTTGAGACGTCCACGATTGAGGTCGGCGGCGTTGTTGGCTTGGCCTGCGTCTGGTCTCATCACTTGCGATCCGAACGAGCCGGTCGCAGCTGCGGAAGCGGTGTCATTGGCATTGCGGCCGGTGCTATCAGCAGCGGCAGCCGTCATCTGCGAGACCTCGATGAGACGCGAAGTGAGCGAGACGAGAGACGCGAGCTGAGTGCCCATCATGGAGAGTTGGCTGCTGACCTGTGAGCTCATGGCGTTGATGGCTTGCACCACGTCGGCGTTGGAAGGTAGCGATGCATGCTGCGGCGTAATCTGAGACGGAGCGAGCTGTGACGCTTGAGACTGTTGCTGCTGCAGATCCTGTTGTGCTGTGTTGCTCATGCGAGGAGCGACGCGCGGGTCAACGACGTTTGAAAGGCGATTGAGAGGAGGCGACGAGGGCGACCAGCGAGGGTGCGCCTGCGCAGTGTAGCCGTGATAGTCCTGCCTGGAGAGACGCGACATGATGGATGCTGACAGAGGCTGCTGCCGAGAGAGACTATGTGCGGAAGGCGTCGTCGGGGATTCACCTCAGCCGAACTAGAGCCGGTCCACGCACGATCGCGTGTCGATTGATCAGGCAAGCGTCGAGATGGACGAGCAGAAATTCGCGCGGAGTAAGACTGTGCTGAAGCGACCGGCAAGAATGGATAGAAGCGATATGAGGCGAAGGCCGGCGCTGACCCTGACCTGCAGGACAAGTCGATCCTGCACGCAGTTGAGTTTCACCACGAAGCCACGTGAGTCAGATGGATGCAAAAGGGCGAACAGAGTTGATGCGGCGCCGCCAGTCCAATCCTTCGACTCTTGATCTTCAAAGTCAAGCCAGAATATCCTGTGCCATGGGCGAAGACGACGTGATAAGCCGGGTTGTCGCCGAAGTCGATGCGAAACGGGTGTTAGCAGGGAAGTCGGTTCGACCAGAAGGAGTCTAGGGAGATTGCAATTGTTAGAGACAGCAAAGCAAACACCGAGGTCTGAGGACGGAGAGGCTCCGAGGATAGATGAGCAATGGCCGGCCCTTTCAGATGTCCGGTCGTATAAAGTGTAGGTGATGGTGTCAGAGTGGGGAAACACCAAAGGAACAAATGAACTGCTGTGCACTATCTGGTTGCTCCGAACCCGCGCCCTTGGCTCTTTTTCTCGCGCTGATCCTGGGTCGCCTGAAATCTGCGTGGAAGCGACAAAGGCCTTCTTCGATTTGGGAGGCCAATTGTGCTTTGGCCAGCTGCAACGAAGGAGCCTGAAAAAGAAATCGGATCAGATCTCTGCCGCTCGACGCGTCTCTGGGTCTTTGAGCCAACAGCTCCCGGCAGTCCCGTTGCCGCTCGGCTCGTGAGCGCACCCTCTCGCGGCCAGATTCACAGTAGCCGCGCGATTGCTTTCATACATGGTCTTGGCTGCGGCGAAGACGCCGCCTTAGCGTCGTTAGCTCCAGATCTCTACTCGTGCTCCGACGAGCTGAGCTCGCGAAAAGGTACGCGAGCAGATTTGGAGGTCTCCGTCATTCTGATAGTCCGCAGATCTCAACGGCACAGCGTTTCGCTCAGCCCACTCTCGCATGGGTTGACTTATCGAGTCTGGCTTTTCTGAATGTGGTAGGCGGGAACAACTCGCCCGCAGCGGATTAGGAAGATCCCAAGCTCTTCTCCTCTCGAATGGTATGGCGGGACTCGGCACCTTATGAATCGCGATTTGGCGGACTGAGCAGAGATTTCGGATGCCGTCGCCTGTCCAGATCAAGGTTGGATATCCGATAGTCGAGCGCGATGCTTGCATGCTGCACCAACCGCACACCCAAGAAGAGTCAGTGACCTGCCTGAGCTCCATAGCCAAATCCGGGTTTCACATGTGTCGCTGAATTAAGCCGGTTTAACAGCTTTTTGCGACACGAGACCCTTTAGCCGAAGCAATATGCATCAGCTCTGACGTTGTGGAGGTTCAAAGCTGAAAGCCAGGCGAAGTGCGTAATCAGCTAAGGCAGCATACAGCGTAGTATACTTGCAGGCAAGCTGAGAACATTCGCCAGTAGCAAGGATACAGCACACCCAAAATTTTCTGTCCAAACCACTTGACAGCATTTCTTCCTGTCCATCACACGCAGTCCCAAAAGCACAGGCAATTGATCGCAAGAGGCTCGATCCGATTCATCCACAAGGGCGCCGGTCCCTGCTTCTCTCGCCTGTCGAGCTCACCCGCGCTATGGTCGGTGTCGGGATGCAGCCGGCCTCGCTAGGTCAGCTGGCAAGCTGCGCTTCTACCATGCGACTACTACCATCCAGCAGCCGACATGCGATGGCTTGCAAGCTCGCAATGCAACCATCTCGCGGCATCGGCCCGGTCAGGACGCTCCGCATCGGCAGTTCCAGCACGCAGCCGGAGATCGCCATTTCGGATATCCTGTCCAATTCGGCTGCAGCTCAAGGTGTTCGCGCTCCCCTCCCAGATTCGCTCTCACGCATTGTCAGATCGGAACCCCCAGCTCAACGGACCTGGTTCCGCCCCTCGTCGGTTTCCGGGAGGCCACTCTCGTCCTCGTCATCCTCACGCGGTCTCGCAGGCGGCCCACAGCAACCACCGAAGCGATCCGGACGCTGGGCACGAAGATCAGGCATCCTGGTTGCGGCGATCGGGATTGGATACATCATCGACGAATACTTCAACGCTCGCACAGCACAACGCAACCTGCTCACCGCATGGACGGGCGTCCAGATCGCCATGGATTACAAGCTCAACTTTGATCGCAACTCGCTCGAATCTATCAACGCTCTTCACGAGCGATGCGCTGACAAGCTCATGTACGTCTGCGAAAAGAACCAGGGTCTCTACGTAAAGCTCGGTCAGGCGATCGGCTGTCAAGCTGCCATCCTTCCCAAACCGTACCATCAGCTCACGAAGCTCTTCGATAATGCTGAAAGGCTGCCGTACGAGGAGGTGCGCAAGGTGTTGATTGCAGAGCTGGGCGCGGACCCCAAAGAAGTGTTTGCCGAGTTCAACGAGGTACCTGTAGCGGCTGCCAGCGTGGCCCAGGTGCACAAGGCACGTCTCAAGCCACCACCGGGCTCTCCACCGGGCACATTGGGCCCAGAAGTGGCCGTCAAGGTGCAGCGACCCAACATTCGCAAGTACGCAAAGTGGGATCTGTGGTCGTTCCGCATCTTGCTCAAGCTCTACGAACGCATCTTCGAACTGCCATTGTCGTTCTCGGGTCAGTACATATCGGATCAGATCGAGCAAGAGACGTTCTTTGATCGCGAGCTCGCCAACTCGCTCCGTGCTAAAAAGGCCATCGAGACCGATTCCGAGGCTCTGGTACGCAAGAGCTGCTACGTGCCTGAATTTTACAAGGACTTTTGCACCCAGCGCGTGCTGGTGATGGAATGGATCGGAAACACGTGCCGCATGACCGACCGCGAGAAGCTCGAAGAGTGGGGATTGTCGGCCAAGCAGGTCTCACGTTCGGTTTGCGAGGCTTTTGCGAGCCAGATCTTCCAGCACGGCTTTGTGCAGGCAGATGGACACCCTTCCAATGTGCTGGTTCGCAAGCATCCCAATGGCAAGAAGGGGCAGCATCAGGTGGTGCTTATCGATCATGGTCTGTACGTGGAGCTGAGCGAGGACTTCCGCCGCAAGTACGCCCAGCTTTGGAAGGCTATCTTCACACTCGATCTCAAAACGCTCGACGAGATCACGGTGAGCTGGGGCATGGGCGAAGGATCGTCCGAGCTGTTCGCGTCAGCCACACTGCTTCGACCATGGAGCAAGCCAAAGAAGAAGGACGAGGCCAACAAACCGGGAGAACACGCTCGCAAGACCGATCTCGAATTGCAGCGTGAGATGAAGGAGAAACTGAAGAGCTTCCTGGTTCACACCGAGTTGCTACCGAAAGAGTTGCTGTTTGTAGGACGATCGATGCGCATCATCCAAGCCAACAATCAAGTGCTCGGTTCACCCGTCAACCGACTCAACATCCTCGCCAAACACGCCGCCGCTGCCCTGATCAGCAACACCGACACACCCAGTCTCTACCGCGTCTTCAAACCCATACGAACTTCTAACCAAACCCAACGAGCCTCGTTTGGAAAGCGTCTCTCCACATGGATCAAGGATAGACTCGACTTTGTGCGCTTCCGAACAACACTGCTCGTTCTCGACATGGCGTTCATCGGTTCGGGTATTTCGCACTGGTTCAAGTTCTTCTTCCGTGCTCCCGCGTCCGCGTTGTTGGGCAGAAGCGATCCGAACAAGGGAGGTTTCGAGGATGATCTGGAACAAAGCATGAGGCAGATGGCGAGGGACGAGTTCGGTGTTGAGTTGGATGAGGGTGCGTTTGTAGGTTGATGTTTCTTTTAACGAGCTGTTTCATAGATGTCGTAAGCACAAGGGTTCGGGCGTGTGGATCTTGTAAAAGAATGTGTGATTAGACCGATGTGCAAAGTACAGAGACGAGAAACGAACCGAGAACAATAGACGACAACCGAGAGAGCGGTTTGAAGACAGTAGAGATGCGGGTGGGGCGTCCAAGGGAAGGAAGGGGTATACGAGAAGTCATGAACGGGCCTACGCATTGGCGCGCTACCACGCGGGTCTGGGAGCTTGAATCTCTTGCGGTTGCATGGCGTTGAGCTGTTGAGGGTTGAAGTGGCCGAAATGCTGAGCTGCGTAGTTGAAGGCCGCTGGCGGTTGCTGCTGCTGCTGCTGCTGCTGCTGCTGCTGTTGCTGCTGTTGCTGTTGTTGACTCGCTTGATGTTGCTGCTGCTGGTGTTGATGATGGGAGGGGTCGAACATTTGGTTTGGATTGGACGGCATGGATTGAGCCCAGTTCGGTTGACCGTCGACGGAGAGGCCGTTGGGTTGACCGAAGCCAAGATCGTGGTTGGCTGTTGCAGCAGAAGCATCGCCGTAGAAGCCGCCTGCGGTGTAGTTGGGGAAGTCGCCAGAGGGGACGTGTGTGTATTGTGGTTGTTGGTGCTGAGGGTGAGATTGCTGTTGGTGTTGATGATGCTGGTGGACGGCGTCGTCGGAGAAGCTTTGATGCATGGCGGGCGGGGGAGGCATGGGATGCGTCTCGTTGCTCGAGGTTGAGGCCTGCGCGGCGGTGTTTTTGCGAGGTCGACCACGTCCGCGTTTCGCTGTGGCGAGCTGTGATCCGGAAGCAGCTGCTGCAGCGGGATCTTCTTCGCCACCAGCGGCTGCAGTACCAGCGACAGATGCAGACGCGCTGGAAGATTTGCTGGTCGAGGCGGTACGAGGACGCTTCCTGTTCTGCACTGCTCTCTTGTTGGAGCTGGCCTGCGACTCGGATGGAGACGACCCTTCTCCGGCATCACTGCCCTCGTCGCCCGACTGATCCTCACCATCGCTGTCTGCACCGCCGTTGGGCGGGTCTGGAGCATTGAGACACGCCTGGATGAGGTTTCGTCCCTCGGCTTGTGTCACCAGCGCTTGCAGTTTTGGTGTGGTAAAGGTATACACGAGACCCGTCTGCGATACCACGAGCAGCAGCACCTGGGTTCCCGTCAATGTAGCCAATTCGTAGGCCTTTTTCATGATACCGGCTTTGCGTTTGCTGAAGGTGATGTGTCGGCGAGCATCGTCGTCGATAAACTCGATCTTGATCTTGCGGCGACCGGTCTTGAGATCGCGCTCCCCTTTTGCTTCGGAGCGAGCCCGCTTGCCCTTCTTGCCTTTGCCCTTGCCATCTTCGGAATCGCCGTCGTCGTCGTCACCCTCCTCGTCGTCTTCGTCTTCCTGATTCTCGTAGTCGGCGGAAGCAGCAAAGCCAGGCGCAAGGTCGAAATTGCCAGAGCCGTCTTTGGAGGAAGAGGCGAGCTGGACGGTGCCAAAGGGTAGATCGTAGACCGGGCTGTTGCCGGACGAGCCGGATTGACGTACGCCCACGACGCCGGCGGATAGGGTCGACATGACGCGAAGCTGTGCCGGTGGATGAGGTGGGTTGAAAGTCCAGATGCAAGCCGTTGGTTATTCTGTGTATGAGCGGTTCCGTAGCGTATAACGATAATCTTGAAGCTAATGTGACGGAGCTGCATACGCTGGACAGGGTTGAAGGTATGAAGCAAGGCTGAAGAGTGGGTCGTGTTGAGCTCAAACACCCTGTCTCGCTGGCTTCCAATTCCAACAGGGAATGTTGGTTGTTGGTTGCTGCTTGCTTCACAACACAAACACACACCCACACACAACACAGTCTCTCCTCTGCTCCAGCGGCAAAGATCGTGTTTCTCCGCACAATTTGACTAGCAGCTTATTCAAAAAACACAACGACTGCTTGCCGCGCCCGAGTCAAATTGATATTCGAGAGACGCGGTTGAATACAACCCCAATTTCAAGGAATTAGAAATCGTGGAATGTCAAAATCCCATGCAGCCCTTTGCCGAACCAAAACATTGGGTTGAGAGTCGAGTGTGCATTGGCGGGTCATACACCTTCCAGAGCAAGCAGAAGTGCCACGGCCAGCCACATCCGACTCGAAAGAGAGGGAGTGTAGAGCTACATCGGGGTATATCGGGTATCTAGAGTGAAGACGACCAACAAGGCGATCCCAGCTTGATCCTTGCCTTCGAAACGTGATGACGAGTAGAGCGAAGGCGGAGCGAAGTCACCTCGAATGGCCACAACAACCCCGAGGCGACGACAGGCAATCTCTGCAGACACAAGCGCGCTCAGGTGCCGACCGATTCGCCATCTGCATGCTTCTGATCAATGTCGCAAACCTCTCGCTCCCCTGGCCCTAGCACACTCGCTTCTTCGTGGTGCACACCTGGCTATCGATGATGTACGCGTGGACGAGCGCATGTTGAATGCAAACAAAAAGAATACTATGTACAGGTTACGGAAGGACGACTGGCGAGCGCGACCCTTTGAACAACGATCAAGACAGCAGACGGGTGAGAATGTTGGCGTCTGTCTTGGAGATGCGGTCGTAGATCTCGCGCACGTCGTTTTCGGACACGCCTGAAATGTCGGCGAGTAGATATGCGATGCCCTTGTGCGAATCCGTGTGCTGCTTGTCGACGTTGAACGATCCCAGAATCTCGTTGACTGCACGGAGCGAACCCGGCTGGTTCTGATGGACGTAGCAGATACGGATCACACGCGAATCTGCTTCTGTGATCGCACGAAGGTCGACCTCGGGGAAGTTGACAGCACCCACCGAGCCACCAAAGTTGATGTAGCGGATCAGAGCGTCCGACACCTCGATACCGATCATGCGTTGCGCCTCCTCCGTGCTTCCTCCGATGTGTGGCGTCAGCATCACGTTGGGCATCTTGCACAGCTCCGAAGCCCAGCTGTTGAGCTCGTTCGAAAACGTTCCGGGTCCCGAAGCCGCGGGCTCCTTGGGGAAGACGTCGACGGCAGCGCCGGCCAAGTGGCCGGACTGAAGACCCTCAACGAGCGCGGGGATGTCGACGACGCTGCCACGTGCGTTGTTGATGAGGTACGAGCCCTTCTTCATGGCCTTGATGTGCTCGGCGCGGATCATGTTCTTGGTCTCAGGCAGCTCGGGAACGTGCAGCGAGACGAAATCGGCAGTGCCGAGCAACTCGTTGAGGCTAGACACTTGCATGGCAGATCCGAGTGGCATGAGAGGCACAACGTCGTAGTAGATGACACGCATGCCCATGGCTTCCGCGAGCACCGAGAGCTGCGATCCGATGTGACCGTAACCAACGATACCGAGGATCTTGCCTCGTACTTCGTAGCATCCCTTGGAGACCTTGTTCCACGTGCCGGCCCTCATCTCGTTGACACGATCGCCCAGCTGACGCGAAAGGCTGATCATCTCTCCGATCACAAGCTCTGCTACAGATCGCGAGTTGGCGAAGGGAGAGTTGAAGACGGCGACACCGGCCTTGGCAGCCGCCTCGAGGTCGACTTGGTTGGTGCCGATGCAGAAGCAGCCTACGACGAGCAGCTTGTGAGCTGCGCGGAACACTTTCGCGGTGAGCTTGGTCTTGCTGCGAATGCCGATGGCGTGGTATTGGCCAACGTTCTGGATGAGCTCTTCCTCACTCCAAGCCTTGGTGTGGAAATCGACCTGGTAGCCTTGCTCCTTGAGCATCTTGACCGCGCCCTGCGAGACGTTCTCGAGCAAGAGGATGCGGATGTCGCCCGTGTCAAAGGGCGTCAGGAGACGTGGCGCCGAAAGAGGAACCGACTGTGAGGCAGCACGAACACGAGCACTAGGTGGCGAGAACGATGCGGGAGGCGAGGTGGAGGGGTGGATCGAGGCGCCGTTGGAAAGTCGTTGGGCACCGGCCTGCGCTGCCATCATTGCGGAGAAAGAGCCGGCGTGGGCGGGCGGCGAGAAGCCGGCGCGATGGAAAGCCTGTCCATGTGTCTCTGTCATGGTGTACGAATGCGCTGGGTATCTGCAACGATGTCCAGAGCGATGTGGATGGAGATGGTGGTCAGAGTGGAAGGTCGAAATGTCGGATTGCTCAGCACGCTTATGTCCGCACACGGCGATGGAAGAACTCGACGCTCGAGCCTGGTTCACGACACTCTGACTAGCTACGTCGGTCCGCAGTTTGACAGCGCAGATGCGAAGAGATCTGCATGAGCTGGGTCTGTCTGATAAAAAATCGATGACTGGTTTCTTCCAAAACCACCAAATTTTATCTAAGTTGACTCGGAAGCGCCGTTGCCACGCACCGTGTGTGACAATTTCAGTCGATTCCCACGCATTCAAGAACTCTTTGCGTTGCTGCCTCTCCGCGCAACGTTGATGGTAATGTCCCGAATCCGATCAACCTTACGCAGACGACCGTCGATGCGCGAAAGCGAAGAGGGACGCAAGCTGGGATGCAGGGGAACTATATCCTGTGAACTGGAGAAAGCACCGGAAGTTGGCTATGCAACGACACCCGTGACTCGAGTCGGAGCATCTGAACTTTGCGAACATGCAGGTTGGCCTCACAGCTGCAAGTATTGCATGTCGCAATCACGCCTTCGAGCAAATCAAATCGGTGATTATCAAGTGACAGATTTTTCTGATCGGCAAGATTGAAAGCCCAGCTTAACATGCAAAAGAAAAGTTACCATCGTCTGTCAGGTTGTGCATGTCCCGACTCACCACCTCTTCGTAGTCCATGTCGGTCGTCTGACCTGCTGTAGGATATCGAAGTTCTGTCCAGCAGTTGACTCACACAAGTGCCGCATCAGATCCGCACAAAACAGCCAATTGTGTCATGCTGCATTGCGCGCGAGATATAGAGCCGCATAGCAGGACAGAACTGCAAATGCAGACGATCCGAGCGTCAACCTATTGTTTTCCCAAATGCCCCCACGATAGCAGACACGAGCAAGGGATGAGGATTTGGACACATCTCTCTGTGCTCCGAGCTATTCGATTCACTGAGCTTACTCTCCTGTCCTTCTGTTCTACCACATCAGCATGGCCCTGTAGTAGCAGCTATGAGCGGCATATCTCGCCTTTTACGCTGGGCCCCGTTCCTTTGGGCTGTTTGCAAACTGACAAACAACCCGAGCAGGGCCGCTCGACCCCAGCTTCTCAACAATCAATCTGGCACACAACATCCAGCTGGTCATTCCGATCTCTTCGACAGCTTAAGCTTTCCAGCTCGTACTCTGGTCAGACAGACTCACCCTCCGAGGCCAACCTTAGCAGCACGTCCGCCACGCGCACCCTCTCCAACCGAGTCTGAGAGGTCAGTAATTGCTTCTCTTCCGGACAATGACTTTGTCCAGAGGACTGTTAGAGCACTTTTGCGCACTCGTACCCCTGTCCGTTACGCAGGATGGCAGATGGAGAACCCACACCGGCTGCCAATCCGCCTAGCTCAAAGAGCCGTGTCAGCGTCCAGTGCGATCCTCAACCAAGTACGAGGTGCACACTTCGGCATGCCTATTCCAAACGAGCTGCAAATCGGTATCCTTATCGCTGCGCGTCATCCTGTGAGGAAGTCAGGTATCTTCAACGAAGTCGACATGCTCTTGGTCTGCAAACATTGGAACAGCATCCACCGACCTTACTATTGGAAGAAACGTTGGCTCAACCTCAGACCCATCGTGGCAAGCTGGAAGTCCATCGGTGAGCGCCTCACCTGTCTCAGCAAGAACGCCGATGTTATTCACAACGTCAACCTTTCAGGCGTGGCTACCGATATCCTTCCGATGTCGCTCGAACAAGCTGTACGCGAGTGTCCCGAAATCGCGATGATCGCCAATTGCACGGTGGAGAAGATTAAGATCGGCCGGCTCGACAGCTTGAACGAGATACTCCTCAAGCAGATCCTGCTCTATCGTCAGGAAAAGATCCGCCACTTCGAATTTCAACTCGAAGATATAATCCTCTTCCTTGGCCGACGCTCGATTTTTGCAAAATCTGAGTTCTTGCTACCTCAGGTACGCAGAGTCACGGTAAACATCAGCAGCGTCAAAGATGCCCACGAGCTCGATGATTTGTTCGGAAACAGTGCTCGTCTCGTTTCCAACTTCGTTGCTGAGCTCGTCGGTAGAGACAAGAAGCAGGAGGAAGTTCAGGTTGAACTTCGCTTGGTCTGCCATTCCAAGGTGCAGGGGGGCTCCAGGCCACAGCTCACACAAGGTCACATCTTCTTGGTGGCTCAGATCGTCGATTTCACTCGAGAGTTGCTAAAATACGTGGCAGGGCTCAATCTAGTAATGTCTTTCCAAGCGCCTTTCCGCTTACAGGCTGCCCAAAATCTCACAGTTCTGCGCATCTGGGCGAGAGAGAACAACGTCTCGTTGATCAACGCATAGACCCTTCCGTGGTGGCCAGAACAGATCACCCTCTTTCGTCTCGATGGATCATTGCATGCAAACTATTCTTTTTCACACAAATTCGAATTTAGAACGATAGTCGAAGAAGCCCTAACTTGAGTTACATGTGGTCTTCAAGGCAGATCGAGTCGATTCGCCTGGAACTCTGAATTTTTCAGACCTGGGATCGTGTTTGGAGTCAGCCTATTGAAATTCGTCCGGGTGATGTGGAAGAGTCCGACCGCGGTCAAGTGCCTGTGCTTGGAGCCATCGCCTAGAACCTCGGTCGTCCCAACCTTCCAGATCGACACAAGTTCAGCCCTCGTACGCTTTAACCACGTCAGCTGTTGATGAAAACATAGCATGAGACGCTGTCCATCAGGGAGCGTGACGACTTTGACGTCGCGTCGCGAGCGGAAGATTAGCTCTATGCGCTTGGGAAACGCATTTCTCTCTTCTTGTGTAACCTCGATCGGTACGAAGGAGCGTGTAGTCAGCTTGGCCTGCAAGGCCCATTGGGCGACGAGGGGGTATAAATCCGGATCCGGTCGATACTCGTAAAAGTGGTGAGAAGTTTCGACGCGCAATGGCGGTGGTCTTTCAACGCGGAAATTCTGAAAGAGCGTGGCGTAGTTGCCTTCTCGCATGTTGGCGTCCATCTTCTGCATCTCGACGTCCGTCATCCTCGCTACGTTGATATACAAGCCCGTCAATCTAAGTGCTCTGCTTCGGCGGATGGTCACCCAGAAATCGTCAATGTGTTCCGGCTGCTCTGCAAGCCTGCGATACTCTTCGCCAGTTGCAGGATAGAAGCCGTGCAGGAAAAAGTCTGTCAAGGATGGTGGAACGCGCTGTTGAGATAGCGGTTTGGGCGGCATGATTTGCCATACGCCGATAAAGCCAGGAGCTTCCTGATGGACAAGGTACCAAGGCTTTCGTATAAAGGTCACCAGAAGACGTTTGGGGCCTGAGGGATGCGGCATCAGCATCACCTTGACGCTGTTCTTATGCCAGAATGTGTGGACGGCGATCGCGTTGGGGTCTTTGCTGTCGCTCGCAATCGGATCGATCCTTCCTGGTCGATCGAGGTGGTTAGCTCCCTCTCCGTCTGCTTCAAAGGTCCTTGACAAGAGCGTCGTGATAAACGAATCGATGGAAGCGTCCGGCTGGTAGACCATACGATAAAGGTCTGCGCCAATGTGGTACCTTAACCTCAAAGCTTCAGCTTGCAATTCCTGAGCTCGAAGAAGGTCATCGTCTGCTGCCTCAGATGGAGCACCGACCTCTGGAATAGGGCGGTCCTGCGAAGCCGAGGCATCTTGATGTTGCACAATTTGCTCTTGCACCCCTGAACTAGAACGGGATCCCGGCTCAGACGAGCTCGGCTGTGAGTGCAAGCTCGCAGGTTGCTGCGAGCTCAGTGACTGGTCACTTGCGAGGGGAGAAAAGCTCGTCGACCCGGCGAGGGTCGTCGGAAGCCGCTTGTCGTGACTCGTTTGAGGCTGAAGATTGAAGTGCGGACCAAGCAGTTGAGGTGCTTCCAAAGAATTTGCGAGAGCTTGAGGCTCTGCCGAACCAGTGGAAACAATGGTAGATTCCGTCGAAATGACGCCATGCCCAAGACTGGTGTGAGATGGTAAATGTCCAAGATATGATGGATTGATGAGCGGATATGGTGGAAGTGCAGGCGCTCGAAATGTCGGTGGATCGAGGCGAGGTGCACGCCAAAGGTTTGCGTCTGCACTCTGAGTGTGGGGTAGGACGGCGTGATGTTGCAGAAGCGGAGACGACTCCCGGTTCCAACTCTCGATCAGGGCTGTCAGATAGTGCTGTAGATCTTCCGAGGCTTGATATGGCCCGGTGGGCATGCAGTGCGTCAGAGCACAGCAGCAGAGCCACACTACAATGAGCAGCATGGCCGAACTGATGATCGAGCTAGACATTTTGAACAGGAGTACAAAGATGCAAGCTTTCGCAATCTAGTGGGAAGAAGCGCAGACGGGAGTTGGAAGCCGTCCTGAGCTTCTCCAGCAAACCTTAAAAGGCGCGGAGCAAGACTCGAAGCGCATTCAAGCATCCCTCGAAAGGCCTTCCAGAGCTGATAGCTCAATATCGAGATTGCGGCTGTCGACCGAGTCTCTCGACCATCGAAAAGAAGAATGATACGGCTTCATAGCATAAGATTACTCCGGTGTGGTGATGTACTATCGACCGACCGGGAAGAATAGGGTGGCTGATCTACTTGGTGGTACCAACGTCATATGAGACCAGCTGGTGTACAATATTCAGGGCGACGACGACCCGGAGGACCCCCTGATCATGTGGGCACTTCATATCTGCAGCAGAGGATCTCCTCCAAGACGTTCAGACCCACATTCGTCTCAAGCATATGGCCTCCTCAACTTGACCGGTCCCAGATTTTCTCTCAAGCGCGTCTCGATTTCAGAGGGTGAGCATAGCTACGGAATCCTGTCCATGTCATATTGGAACCGCGTGACTCGGAGACCCGGCACTGTGTCTGGTCTCAGCTGATTGTAAGAAGCTCGATCGGTAGCGAAATAAGCTTTGAGAATAAGAAGCCTCCTTTTCCTATCTTCGTCGAGCACTGGACCAAACTTCCACATCGTCATCATTCCTGGAAACCGACGACCTGCGGCAAAATCCAGCATGTACGTCTCGCCATCAGTGTTTGTGATGATCTTCACCTCCTGCTCTTTGCGGAATCGAAGCTCGGTCACGAAGGGCAGTTCATCGATCTGCGGTGGTACGAGTCTGCGCTGCACGAAAGCTTTTTGAGGCAAGTCAGATGACTCTATCCATCGCTTCAGAGGACCAAGCTCTCCGAGAGGGTATTCCTGCGCCATGGCCAGGTATCTACCCGGAATGTGGGTGCTACTCGCAAGCGCGCGTTGTAGTCGGCTTGAGTCGACAAGAGCAAGAATGTCTGGAGTTCCTTCATGCCCCACAGCGATGCCATTGATAGTGTCGAGACCGACCTCACCTCCAACTCTAGAAATGACGATTGTCAACGGCTGCCCCGTTGCCGTTGGACTTGGAGCAAAGAAGAAATAGCTTTCGTGCGTTGACTGCGGACGATGTTCGAGATTCTTGAAAGCGGTTCGAGAGAAGGGGTAAAAGCCGTAGAAATGCATGTCGAAGGATCCGGCTCGATCGATCCGTCCGATCTCCCAGGCCGCCACGTATTCTTGTAGGCCATCGACTGGCTGGTACCTCTTCATTGTGATCGTGAAAGGAAAGAGAAAGATGCTTCTGGCGCCATCTCCGCGGCCAAGTAGAATTTGTTTCGCAAACTTCCGTCCGCTGAAGTACGTTGCAAAGAACTTCTCGACTGGCATCGGGATCTTTCCGTGGACGAAATCGCGCCGAGCAGATGTTGCCTCGCCGTCTGCCCCGCCGTGTTCGAGACTGTTGATCAGGCGAGTGACGTCGAGGTCAGAACTCAAAGTTAAGCGGAAGAAGGCTCCTGAGAAAACTCGCGGATCTCGCACAGCCATCTCCCGTACAGCATTGCCCGGCCTGGTGGCATCACGGCCTCCTTCTACAGTATCAGCCACTGCTGAGTTCAGATCAAGATCATAGAAAGGGGAACGGGGCTTCCTATCTCCGTCAACGGTCTGAAGGACTTGTGTCGATCGAAGATGAGTAGAAGAACGCTCAAGCGCCGGAAAGCTGCTTGACGATGCCTCCGCGGGTGGCCGCTTGTAATTTTGCGTGCCTGATCGAGAAATTTGCCGAGCGCGGTACTGTTGAAAGGCACCAGAGCTGCTACCAAACACTGGGGCTTCCGGTGCAAAGGAATGAGGATTCGTGTGGAATATTTCTTGACTCGCTGCTCGTTCGACATCGCCAGGCAGCTCATTCAAATCGAAGGCGAGCCTCTCTTCGAGTTGCTGAGGTGCTACCGGAGAACAGATGATTTCCGAAAAGGAGGCGATGAATGCAAGCCAGCCGAGGACGTGCATAGCATTCGGGAACAGCATCTCTTTCACGTGTGCCAATACTGAGCGGATGGAAGGTTGCCTAGGAGGAGCTGAATCGACCGCACAGGTTGATGCGGATCCCATATACTATTTTAATCGCGAAATAGGCTACAGCAGCGTCAGGCGGAGTAAGAGCGGCAATGCTACAGTGGTATGAGTTCTGTCAAAGTCGACACCCCCTCAATGTCGGTCCCACTGTCCATGGTCACGTTGTCACATTCATACAGTGTTTCAGTCAAAAAGTGATATTCAAGCGATGTTCGAAAGAGCTCCTCATGCATGAAGCCCGGCAGGATTAACGCCAGCATAGCTACAACACGCCACTCATCTCCGGGGACCTAATAGGGCTTACGACGTCATCCAGTGACGGTCACAGGATCGATTCATATGTGGATTAAAAATGCAAGCCGGAGCAACACAACGGGCAACACGATTAGGCCCGTCGACAATCTGAAGCATGAGTAGGTTGACTGTGTTCCCAAGGTTCAACGTCGGTCGAATCGGGCGTTTGACGAGGATACATCCAGTTCGTTTAGGATCTGGGATACATCAGTCAATGCGTGAAATGCGCTGGGCATCGCGCTACCTTGAACAAGACGTTACCATCTCCGAGAGGAAGCAGCTGGTCAAGGAAGCCCTTGCATCTTGTTGGAGAACGAAGAGTCCCTTAGTCCCGGTAACCTTTGGGGGGTCAACTGGCTGTAAGCTCGCGCTCTGATAGTGTAGACACCCCTGCAAATCATCAACCTCCTCCCTTGAATCTCCGGCCCGATCTGCCAGACCGTCATTGTGTTGTCGTAAATATTCTTCACCCACCCGCTCTTTTTCTTCATGCTCAGCATGAACATCTCGCCATTTGCTTCCGTGATGACCTTGACCGGCTCGCGCTGGCGAAATTTTGTCGAAAAGACAAAAGCGATCTCATCTTTGTCCTTCTTTCCCAGATTTTTCCGCAAGAATGAACCCAGCGGAAGACCTGCAGTGCTTTTCCATCTCTGGATGCGAGCAGGCATCTCGGAAGACTCCTGATATATGTATAGATGCCCCCCAGGAGCCAAATGATCCATGGCCAAGACCCTACCGACCTCGCCGGTCCTGATCAGCTCTTGTACGTCGGGATGATATGATTGCATCTCGTCGCTATCGAGCGCGAGCTGCTGTCGGTCCTGAACCGAATCTGTACCATCGAGTTTGACGATCCTCATCGTCATGTCCGCCTTTGAGGTGTAGAGAGCTGTACGGTCTTGCTGAAACCAATATTTGCGACCTGTGGCCTGCGGCAGCTGTTCCAAGGCAAGGTACTCGGTGCCGTAGGACTCATGAAAGCCACGGAAGTGCAAGGTCAGCTTGTTTGGCACAGAGTTCGACCCGATCTCAAAGACGCCAAGTAGTCTGGCCAGGCTCTTTGCTTGGATGAGAGGATGGTTGTGCAGAAGAATCAGGTACAGGCACCTCGGATCTTGTCCACTGGGAAAGATCACCTGCAATGCTTCCTGACGCTTCCGGAAGAGGCCACGGAAGTATTCGAAAGGGTCTTGACCGTCTGCGAAAACTTGCGCTTTCGACTCAGGTTGCTGGGTCCAGCCAACGCGAGAAGCGCTCGACTCCCCCAAATGCAAGCTTGAGACGAAGCGGTCTGTCTCAGCATCGGGGCTGATAGCAAGCTCGAATGTTGCACCGAAGAAGACAGTGGGATCCTGAAGGCTCTGAGATCTGATCGCAGCCTCGCTTTTGGCAACCAAATCAGCCAGGTCGGATCGTGAAGGCGCTCTTAGTCGCTTTCGATCTTCGAACTGCTTGATCCGAACGAAGGGGGCTGGAAGGAGAGGCTGGGGCGAAAGGGACCCGGCGATCTGATTCTGATCATCGTTGGTGGGGAAGGCTGGGCGGAAATTTGTTGAAGATCCGGGAGTGGAGATCGTGGGCGAGGAAGTCATTTGTGTGTCTTGCTCTCCAGGTCGGACAATCCCCGCGTTTGCTCCTTGCATGTCGTGTGGCGTAAAACTCCAGTGCGGATTCCTGAGCGAAGAGTACAGAGAGCTTGATGAGGACGCCTTCTCCGTAGGTGGCGGTCCCGGGTACGAATGAAGCAGGGAAGGAGCCGTGTCCATGCCATCACCTGGACTCGGGGCCGACTGGAATTGATGCTGATGGTCTTGAAATATGCGATGGTGCGCGCGAGCATGTTCTGGTCCGAAAGTGCCCGACTGAGGAGCCGAAAGTCCAAGCACATCATCCACACCACTCTCCTTCGGAAGCTCGTTCAAGTCGAAATCTAGCTTCAGCAGCGATTTTGGCGGAGGGAAAGGGTGGCAGTTTGCGCTCTGAAGCAGCAAGAGGCCAGCGACGAGGTACCCTCCGCTTCTCCTGATCATTTATGTTGAGACTGAGACGAGATCGGTGTGTGATTCGAAAGAAAGCAAGGAAGAGTCAGATTCTAGGTTCACCTTGTACAAGGCTGCGGCTAGAGCAGAGTAACAAAAGGCGTCTTCAATGCTGAAGCACGCGAATGAACATGAAGCTTGCAAGACGCTCCATGCTCTGGGCTGTCTGCAGGCCGTTGTCCAACCCGTCCGTTTCATTCCGGTAATTCGTGGGGCATCTCAAGGCCGCAACGCCATCGTCTCATTCAGAGGGCTCGTGGGTTTGGCTTCAAGATCACGGCACAGTATGATTCACGGCAATTGTGAGAACTTTCACACCGTTTCATATTACAGTAATGGGTCGATGGAGAAAAAGCAATAAGCACAGCACAACCTCGAAGAGCAAGTCGGACCTCGGGATGCCGAGACTTGGTCATTGCTTCACTGCCGCTGTCTGTGGGTCTCGAAGGGCCTGTAGTCTTGCTTGAGGTAATTTGTGTATCCGTGCCGGCCTTCCTGTCCGACCTGAACCGTGTAGTCGGCAACGTCCGCCGAATTTTTCATAAGTAGCTCGATCCGGCTACTCACACCACTGATACCTCGCAGAACCAGCGAGCTCTTTGACCCTTCCGTACCACTCAAGTGAAATGTCCACAGAGTCATGGTGAGATGGAGCGGGTTCGAATCATCCAACTTGTGCTTTGAAAAAAACTTCACGAAGACGACGTCGGACGGCAATTGCACTGCCACCACCTTTGTTCGAGCCCTGAACTGCGTGAGACTGTTCATCATGGCATATCGATCAGTCCAGTCCAGTGAGAGCGCCACCATGTCGTCGAGGAGCCTCTCATCGATGCCAACCACAAAGGTTTTCATCTCTTCCGCCAGTCGTTTGGAAGGACTCCACGTGTAGACGTCGGGAATCAGGAGTTTCGTGGGGAGTGTGGCGAGGGATAACCCACTGGCCCGGAACGACTCTTCAGTGAAGTGGCGTAGCTTCGACTCAATGTCGTCGCCTGAGATAGCCCTTCCAAACTCGTCCAAGGACCCAGGCTGTGATGCGGAGTGGACGTCGGCGGCGGCAAGAGCTACAAAAGCGGGTTGCGGCTGATGTTGTGTCGGAGAACGTTGATCCAATTGCTCTATCGTAGGTCTTGAGATGCGTCCTGTGTTCGGGACTGTGAAGCGAGATCGCTTTGGTCGAGGCTCAGTCGAGGTCTCAGTTGCCTGGACCTCGCCGCTTGGCGCCATGGGACGAGAGAGAAGATTGTCATCGCCTGATGTGCCGGCATGCCGACTGGATTCCAGAACGTTTAAGCGATGACTGAAGTCAGCAGCTTCTTTCCAGTCCATTGCCAGGAAACTGTCAAGCCAACCCTCGGCAGACGGTGGTGGCAGAGGCGAAGCAACCCGGTTGCAGAGTGCTAACAATAAGACCATGCACAAACTCAGATCAAGATGGCCGCGAAACATGTCCAAGATATGCTGGAATGAAAGGAGAAAGGGAGAGGTTGGGAAGAAAAGAAGGGCGCTCTCTCTTCTGCACATGATCATGCATACTCTGCTTCAAGCCCTTTGAAGATATTCTCGCTACAGCATGGACTCTACAGAGATCAGACCACGGTCGAGTGAACCGGCCGTTGAGCATCGTGCAACCTTACGCATATATATCGAAGCTTGTGGAAGGATGATCTTATCACTGTCCTGACTATGCGACCGTTTTCTCGGGCTCATGTGTCCTCGCATTCAGGCAGACGACTCAAAGTCTCTTTGAGATTGAAGCCCGTGGTTGTCGGCAAACGAACGGTGTAAGTAAAAAAAGCAATGCGAGATATGAAGACGAACTCCTGCGCTGACATCTAAAACAACTTGGAAGAGCGTCAACTGTGCCAAGCAATCAACATGCTTGGGTGGAACCGGCGCTTCGAAAGCTAAGGCGAGCAAGCATGAAGAAAAGGCTTCTGAAATCAAGGCTCAATCGTAGTCCTTCAGTATCAGTCGTTTGCCCTCCCTCTCCGGTGAAACATTGGAGACAACGTAAGTGCCTATACCAAAGCTGTGACGCAAGGTTGCAATGACAGAGGCGTCAACACCGAGCACGCCTCGCCCGGACAACACAGAAGAGCCGGCTACACCAGGCTCAATCGTCCATAACGAGAGTGCGGCTTGGTCTCGGCGTCCTTCCTTTATGGATCCGACGTGGTGAAACTTGACCAAGACGCCGTGACCACTCAGCTTGTAAGCGAATACATAGCTTCTAGGTCGGAAATAGTTAAGGGCCTGCTTCATGAGCCTTGGAAGCGACTCTCCCGCAAGTCTTGAATAGCTGAGATCCGTAAATTGATCAGGGGACAGTAAATAGCGGGACTCGAATTGGCTCAGAAGCTGTGTCTTTAGTTGAGTTGAGGGCGCCCACACGTATCGAGACGGAAGATCGAACATCAAGGGAAAAGGTGACGGAAGATCGTGTACTTTTGCAATGGCGTTCGTAGTATGCGCCATTTCGTCTGTACCTCTCGAATGGCCGGGTGCATCATGGATATGCGGCACTTGGATCTCAAACTGTGCAACAGGAGGCGCTGCCATGCTCGATGTAGCTGAGTGGTATCGTGAAGCCTCTTCGGACAGACTGACCTCTTTGCCGTGAGGTGTCGAGCTTGACGTAGATGATTTGCTGAGCAATGATTCGATGGAGGATGTGTCCAGCTTCAATTTGAGCCCGGATGGCTGCAACAAGTAGTCCAGGTCTACCATGCCCACGGTACTACCTTGTCGTAGCATACTTGATGGGTCATGCCGCACGACATGATCGCGAACCGGGTAGCCCTCGTATATGAAAGAGTTGTGTCCTCGGAGCTGCATCGAGTGCGATTCCGTCAGCTGATGCATGTTGGAGTGCTCAAGAAGATTTGCGACTTCGAGCTGCCTTGGTGCATCGGCGACTTCATGCATCACTTGCTCAAATGAAACAGTTCCGAAAAAGTTTGACCACATCGGTTGTGGAACGGGGGTTGCAAAGCAAGACGCAAGGTAGCAGAGCATGAGGCAGAGGAGCATGGTTGATTTTGAGGGTTGAGATCTTCAGGCATAGACAGGTTGTGGAACAGATATCGACATATCTCCCTGCTTATATGTCCTTCGCTGACATCCAGCGAGTGGCATTCCTCTGCGATAGTGGGCATTCCAGTGCCGTGTGACGGTGGTAAAGCGGAAACAATAATTTCATTCCGCAGCCATGAAACCCTCTGCAATCAGACGAGGACACGGCACTTGTCAAAATCATCCCTCGTGCTGCCACGCCCGTTGTCAGCGGATCGACGGAAAACCCGTTGTAAGGAGGGTGTACTTCCGGCAGAAAGGTAAGACTATTCACGAAAAGGAAAACTCGGCCCCACTTCGTGTAGCCATGCATGATCGGCAACGTGCCGTGCCTGTGTTTCCGCTCTTCTTATGCCCTCGCTCGCCTTCTGGCCACCGTCTTCGTTGTCGACAGGAGTGGGATGACCATTCCATCGTATTGCTTTGTCAGCCTCACACACATGAACAACACCGATCGATGATCTGACGGCTTTCTAGCTCCTGCGAGTAGATCTGCAAAAATCTGAGCCAGAGCTCGTGTAGAGTATGGTGAGCTGTCGAAGGGGCTCTGGCTGAGTATGAACGACGCTAAGTCCACCAAAACCGCATCATTCTCCTCCATGTGCCGGTTCGAGCACAAAAACACCACCATCCTGCGATAGTCTCTGCCAGCCCACTTCCATCTCATCTGCACGCGTCTGCTCCAAAAACGTCTTGTAGAGCTTAGGCGGGCAGTGGAACAAGCCCAAAAAGGCAAGCCTCGTTCCGCGGTTCGTTGCAGCCCAAACAGACAGCTGTCCTCTGAGCAAGGTCCGCTGACGACCAAAGCGCAGCCTGTCGTGATGTTTGATCAGCACCTCGCCATCGTCTACGAAAGGTGAGAAGTGCTGCGGAAGCTTGAGCCTGAACAAGGCGTCTCCGTGAAGGATGCCAAGGTCTCGTGTCATGGCTTCGTGAATCGTTGCATCGTCGATATCCGATCTGATTGGCTCATGGAAGAAGCGCTGAATCCATGGAGGACTACCGTACGCTAATATGGCATCTTTGTAGAAGCGTTCGAACCAGGAGGATGTCACAGAGTCGATTTGAGACGGTAGCACCATCATGTTTCCCTGCGGTAGCGGACGTATGAGAGCGGACTCAAGGGATCGATCCAAACCTGGAGTGCGTGGATAGAGCAGTACACCCACTCGACGAGATAGATCGAGATCTGGAGTAAGAGCACGCTGTGTAGTAGGGGCTTCGACCTGACTCGCGACATTGCTGCTAGGAGTGATGGGTGAGGACGGGCTAGCTGAAGCGTCAAGATATCGGTTGAATCCTTGTCCGTGAGATCCGGCTGAGGTGACGGGCTCAGTGTCGTGGCTAAGATGTGTATGCTCGGATACCTCCGTGGACCAATCGGACTGTTCGGGTCGACCGAGTGTCAGTTCCGTCGAGACCGATTCGTGCTGCAGAGCTACATCGGCAAGCTCTAGTAATTTCAAGGCCGGGGGAGCTGCTTCAGAGAGGGAGAAGATGAAACAGAACAAGCTTAGGCCCACGAGCAGCTTTGACATGATGGTGAGCCCGGCTCGAAAGATGAGTAAAAAATTCTTTATTGAAAGAAAGAAGAGCTCTCGATCGCGATTGTTTTTATCAAGGTCATGCCGTCGTCGTCGTCGTCTTCGTCGTCGTGCAGAACACCTCAGCATTGAGCAGTGTCGCGAGGAATCAATTAGGCACGGCAGTTGACTCAGCAATGATAACCATTTTCACTTTGAGGATCGGCTGCCGAATTTGCTTGACACAAGCTGTCGAGAGACGCACGTACGCACGGTGGGCTCTGCATCTGAAGCGTCGTCGTTTCCGACCACAGATCACATGCTCTTCTCATCTTACATCGCTGCTGCTCAGTCATGGGAACGGACTGGGACTTTACTCAGTAGCATTCGAATGCCGGTGTTCTGGATTGAGTTGACTTGAAAAAAAGAGATGAGAACCCGACAGGAAAAGGACATGTACCGTGCCCATCGGGCCGGCCCATAGCCGCGGACAATCACGCAGCCCATCGGCGAATGTGAAGTTGTGCTACCGATGTGAATCCGTCAAGAGGGTCGAAAACCGTCTCCACCCGCCCAAGAGGAAGGAGCGGAGGCTGTGCCCCACATCACCCTCGTTCCAGGACGTTGTCGCAATGTGTCAAAGAAATGTCGTGGACAGTGATATAGTCCCAGAAAAGCAAGCCGTTCTCCTCCGTTGCTTGTCTTCCATACACCAAGAGTGTAACCAGGGATTCTTACTCTTTCAACGAAGACAGGAGCGGAGAAGTATCTGACAAGGACGTCTCCCGCTTCGTGACCGTCTTCGGCCTCGAACGATAGTTTATAAATGAGGCTCGTGCTTCGGAACATATCCTGAGTGTTTCTCACGATGACTTGCATTTCATTGAGCGGCAATGTCACCTTCGCACCATGGGTCCAGGGCCGTCTCCTTTTCCTGTCTAGCAGGAGTTTTGAGTAGATGCTGTCAAACCATCTTGATGGATGATAGTAGGCCACAGTCAACAGTCTCCGAAAATGCATATAGCCTCGAGAGTCTTGTGTTAGGCCGATGCGCACATCTAGATCCTGCACCAGAGATGGCTGTCCGTCGTGTCGCAGGCTGAACAGATAATTGGCTTCCCCGGACGTGGTCGGCTGCTCCTGCGTCAAGGGAATGTGAGACGGATCCGCAAGACCTCCTGACGAACTAGCATCGATCCAGGAGCTCGTTGTGGGCTCAAGCAGCGAGGGCTGACGACTGCGAAACGGTGAGAGATCTGAGTGAGAAAAGCTGCGAGGCGATTCTGTCAGAGGCGGCTGTGGTGTAGCGTTTGCACTCCAGAAACGCTGATCTCGATGCGTTGCCGCATCCCAGGGGCGGCCAAGAGAGAGCTCGGTGGGGTCAACATCGTGCCCGAGTAGCGCCTGGGCCGCATCTCCAAATTCTGCGATTGGCCGAATGGGTGGTGGCATCCCGGCCACAACGTCTAACGAAGCCCGAAGGCAGCAGCACAGGAGCAAGAGCAGCATCTTCTGTGATGATACGAGAGTCGTCCGGGCATCAAGAGGCATCGTATGGTTTGGAGGGCTTTCTGTCCATGTGAAAGAGATCTTATATGCACCGACTGTATGACGAACCGTCTCTGGATCCAGCCGTTTGGAGATGGCCGGCAATGACCGAAGATTCCCCAACAGATAAGCGTCTTGCTAGGGTGGTAGTAGCTGCTCGTGCAGACGAAACAATCGCAAAACGGAGATACAATGTCTAGAGTAAGACAAGGACCACGTGAGATGCCCATGAGTCTTCGGTATCGAGGTCTACAGCATCTTTGCTGAAACATTGGGACATAAAACATATCACATTCACTGGGACCGTCGAGCCTGGCTCTTTCAGGCGGACAGCTATCGATCAAAAGAGATGCGGATGCTATTCATGCAAATGAGGTAAATACTGCTGCAGTTTATCGAATCTCCCACGAGCTCTCGCTCCGTTTCACAGGGAGTTGTCAGTCTTCAATATCGAGTCACGGAGTCGTCCCACAGCATGTCGACACGCTCATTTTCATCAGATGAGCGTGGGACAAAGACATGACGTTGACAAGAAGAGATTCAGACAACCTTCGACAAAGTTTCACTGAGAAAGTGGAATGCTCACATTGAATGCAGCGAACAGCTCAGGCAGAAGAATTCGGGAAGGCAGATACGATAAATGAGCGAAAGAGGTCCTTTCCCCTGAGCGCCAGGTCTGAGAAGATCAAAAGCAGCTGATATCCATCGTGACGTTGTCCAACGAACATTTCGTTTCGTCCATCCTGACAGCCATACGATCGAACTTGACGTCGTCTTCGCTGTAGAACTGCTGATCGGGGCCCCAAATGTAAAGACAATCCCAGCTATCCTTCGCCGAGCAGAAGCCAGTCAGCACTCATTTCCATCTTGACAAAGCTCGAAGGCCTCGCCAGACATCAGCAGAGTACTCACTTGCGAACCTTGTTGGAGGTGAAGGGATAGAAGCCCTTCTTGAAGTACGACACTCTGATCGAGGGGCTGACCTTGTCCCAGTTCTTGACGAACCAAGGGCTTTGAATGCACGTAGCAGCCGTGGCATTAGCGGGACGATTCTGCCACATGATGTTCACATTCGTTCTGCCAAAGTCTTGCATGCTCATTGGCGTTTTCGGCCAATTGTTGTCGCTAAACGTGTAGGCCCAGAACCAGAAACTGCTGTCGGAAGACGAGCCGCGCCTCCTGCCTCCTCGGCTTCCACTGCTGCTGCTCCTACCCGACACACCCTGTGCGATCAGACAGAGCTTTACGGTAAAAAGGGAGGCGAAGGTCTTCAGGGAGTGCATGTTGATCTCGGAACGATGCTAGGCGAGTGTTGTTTCGGGAAGAGGATCGCATGGAAGTCTTTTGAAGACCGAAGCCTTTATTACTGGTACGTAGGTTGTGTTGTCGGTTCCTCAGCTCCTGAAAAGATGTGGGAAGATGCTCTGCCAAATGAAGTGGTGTTGAAAGCATCTGAGGGTGGCATTCGACGTCGCGTCGCCACAAATCCCACTTGCTTGTTTGCTCATGAAGCATATAACAAAACTGAACACGGTACCTTGGACACTCGTGTCATATATTCATCTTCGTGAGGACCGAAAAAGGACCAAAGACGGTTGATGCAATGTCAGGCTCAAGGCCGAAGACTATGTTACATTCATGAAGCGAGACAGACAGGCTCAATTTTTGAGCAGCGCATTCACAACGTGATGCACCCGCAACTGCCGAAGGTCAGTGTATGTCTGACCGGTACCGAGGAAGTAGATCGGCAATCCGGTGGCCGAGGTGGTGGTGAGAGCGGTTCCCACCTTGTCGTCGACCGTGTCCCACTTTGTGAGCAAGCTGCCGTCCAGCCCGCGTGGGTTGCTGACACCACTGAAATCCTTCATGGCGCCGTCAAATTTGGTGATTTGGTCGACAGCCTCGTTGCCCACCAATGCTTCGCCCACAAAGATGATCTTGTCGGGTCGATTGACTGAGACGAGCTTGGCGAGCGCCCTCATGAGCGGCTCGTTGTCCTGCATTCGTCCAGCCGTGTCAATGAGGACGACGTCAAAGCCCTCCGCTTTGGCGTACGAGAGCGCATCCTTGGCGATACCGGCTGCGTCCTTTCCGTAGCCACGTTCGTACAGCTCGATGCGACCCTTCTGCTCCTCGAGGGCGACGCCGTCGACACGAAGCTGACCGAGGTTGCGTACGTGTACGCGGAGCTGCTCGACAGCACCGGCTCGGAATGTGTCGCACGCAGCGATGAGCACACGAAGTCGATTCTGCAAGAGCCAGAAGCAGACCTTGGCAAGATTGGTCGACTTGCCTACGCCGTTGACACCGACAAAGCAGATCGAGTATGGATCTGGCTTGCTGGCGAGCTCCTTATCCTTGGCGCTGGTCGCCAAGGCCAGCGATGATGCAGCGGCTGAGCGTTGTCGCTTGGTCGCAATTTCGAGCAGGATGTCTGTGCTCGACTTGGGGGTCAGGATGCGAGTGATCGCTTCCTCGAGCGCCTTCTTGACTTCGACCTTGACCGAGCCAAAGCTGCCGAGATTCTTGCCGACCAAGTTGCGCTCGACACTGTCGCAGAGTCGTTGAGCGACGTCGGCAGCAACGTTCTTGCTCTGGAGATGCGACGCCATGGCGGAGAGCGCGGGCGCAAGGTCTTCCTTGGTGAGCGTCTTGGCACCGGTGATCCTCGAAAAGAAAGAGGCTCCGGATGAGGATGCGGATCCAATTCGCGAGAGAAAACCGGCAGATTTGGCGGTACTGCTCAACCCGGCATCCTCGCTGTCATCCTCGTCATCTTCGTCCTCGTCGTCGTCTTGGTCCTCCTCCAACACGTCGGCGATCTCGTATACACCGTCGGAGCGTTTGGTACCCATACTCTTCTCATCGATCCAGCTGTCAAGGTCAGCGCCATCTTCGGGGGTCGCCTCAGTCGCTCCACTGAAGTCGAGCGCGGCCACCTGCTGTGCGCTGACGCTGCGGCTACCGTCCCACTTCCGCATCTCTTTAGTTGCTTTTGACTTCTTGCCGCCTGGAGACTCGGTGCCACTGGCGTGGCCCGGCGTGCCAGGGGCGCTGCCGCCGTTGGAGGCTGAGATACCTGGTGTACTCTTCTTGCCGCGCAACACACGTCTGCCGCCAGGACTGGCCTCGAGTTTGAGCCGACTCTTGAGAGCTTCAACACTCTTTGCGATGTCGGCAGAGTCTTTGACATCCTTTGTGTTGGGTGTGTTCTGGCCACTCTCCTTGTCGGAACCGTTTGAAAGCTGGGCCTGATTGGTGATCCCCTTCTTTTCGCCAAGCACGCCCTTGCGCTTGGACTGTGCAGCTGCCTTCTCGAGATTCCTAAGCGTTTTGGTGAAGATGTCGTCCCACTCCTGGAGCGCAGCCGCAAATTCAAGTCGAGCGCTTTCGGACAGCGTTGCGGCTTTCGAAGTACCGGAAGAGATGGCGCTCTTGGATGAAAGAGCAAGTTTTCGCACGAAGGTGGCAAAGAGGTCGGTGAACAGGGAGCGAATGGTGTCGAGCAAGTCGTCGATGTAAGAAAGCTGCAAGATCCGCTGGTATACGACGACGAAGGTGAGGTCGAGTTCGTTCGCAAAGGTCCATCGTAGCGTGTATCCATCCTTGTCGAACTTCTGATCTGCCGTGCGCTGTTCGAGGAAAGCCTGCTTGATGAGACCGTTGACAGGGTTGGCGGATGCATCGGCGCTGGTCAAGGCCGGGCTGTAGGTCTTGGACCACAGCACCAGGCCGTTCTTTGTGAAGATTGTGAAGTGGTCCAACATGGTGGGCTAAACAGAAGCTGCGATCCCAACTTCGCAGTGTGACCGTAGTTGATGGAAGGTGACGGAGCGAAGGAGAAGCGGCGATGCATGTGCCACAATATCGACGTGGACGCCGTCCCGGCCCAGGAAGGTGGAGAGTCCGAGGCTGTTGGTCGACCGAGCTGCCTCCGCAATCTGTGCGTTCAACTCGCATCGGCACATCGTGGCCCGATTCAGGCACTCCTCCACTTGACCGGGGTCTATGGGCAATTTTTCAGATTCAGGCAGCTTCGGACGGCTTTTTGTGGTTTTCTTCTCAGGGTTCATGAGCTTTGTCTTCGCTCTCCTTTTCTATGCGACTATCACTCGCACCAATCCTGATCATCGCACAACGCAGCAGTGATGGGACGCTACGCCGTGCTGGTGTCTGGACCTGCCGGGTCAGGCAAGTCAACCTTCTGCTCGGCGCTGATCGCGCATGCCCAATCGCTGGGTCGCAACGTCCAGCTGTTCAACCTGGACCCCGCGGCGGAGCGATTCGAGTATCAGCCAAGCATCGACATCAAGGAGCTGATCTCGCTGGAAGATGTTATGCAAGAGATGAATCTAGGGCCCAATGGAGGCCTCATCTACTGCTTCGAGTAAGTAGCCTCATGATCAGGGCTGAGCTGGGCCTCGCCCCCTTGACAGCAGCTCATCGACTGGCTCAAAGCTGGCTGACGCTGACCCAGCATCTTCCCACATACCCCCTTCGCGCAGATACCTGTTGGATAACCTCGACTGGCTGGACGACGAGCTAGGGCAATTCGAAGATGACTACATCATCATTGATTGTCCCGGGCAGATCGAACTCTACACGCACTTTCCCATCATGTCACGGTTGGTCAACATCCTCTCGGGTCAATACCACTTCCGCATCTGCGCGACATACTTGCTCGAGTCGCAGTTCATCGACGACAAGACCAAATACTTTGCGGGTGTTCTGAGCGCCATGAGCGCCATGATCAACCTGGAAGTCCCGCACATCAACCTGCTCAGCAAGATGGACCTCGTGGAGAAGGGCGAGATCGGATCAGAAGCAAAGCGCGGAAGGAAACGAGAGATGGAGCGATACTTGGATCCAGATCCGCTGCTGTTGATGGACGAAGTCAACTCACGGACGAACCCCAAGTTCCACTCGCTGAACCAGGCCCTGGTCCAGTTGATCGACGACTTCAGTATGGTCTCTTTCATGCCTCTCGATAGCACCGACGAGGATTCGGTAGGCACCATCTTGTCTCACATCGACAACGCGGTGCAGTATGGCGAAGACGAAGAGCCGAAGGAGCCCAAGGATATCGATGAAGGTGACTTTGGCGGTCAATGATAGCACTTTCATTCACTCTCCGTCCAGTCATCTCTTACGAGTACTCCATCCCACGCTTGATCAACGTCTACGCATCAGCAGACCTGTATTTGTACCATCAGCATACCATTCATCGTCGTCTATTCGCGGATGGGAGACCTGTATGCGCTTCTCGGTCGTGATCTGAAGGAAGAAGTTTATGGTTGTTAGGTCGTTGCCGGGCTCTGATTCCGCCAAAATTGTCGGAATGGCGAGGTGGCATCATCGGCTCGTGTGAGTTGGCTGAGTCGTAAGGAGACTCGGAAGGCGAACCTTCAAGCGGCAGCGCGCGACACTTTATTTTAAAAATAACTCTGGCAGCTGCAGGGTGCTAGCGTCGAGCCTCGAATGCAGTGCATTCACGCTTCCACGCTGTCGATTTCTCCACACCGAGACTTTCGAGTAGGCTGAGGATTGGCCACCGCATCTTGCCTTCGCTCTACACCTATCCTCTCCTCGATCCTCTCCGTCTCCTTCTCGCAGCGTCTTTTCACATTGGCTAGAGACACCTGCTCGACGCATTGGCGCCACCTTCCTGAGACGAGATCGTTTCCTTTCCTGTCTATTGCTCGCGCCACACGGATACGGACAAGCTGCTCGTCCTTTCTTTCTTTGCATCCTCTCAAACTCTCTGACGGCATCTGATCGAGCATCTCACCAAGCTTCTGCGCCTTCGCAATGGCTCGGAGATCGAGGAACAGCCGTAGTTCGGCCGCGTCTCTCCAGCGCGTCACCACTTTGTCGCTTTTGGCGCTCGCTGCGGCGATACCGAGTATTCAAGCAGCTGGCGATGGCGACCACGTCGGACGTGTTCCGATGAACCGAGCTGGCTCTCCGAATTTGCCCGCCTTGAACCCCACGGTTTCTGTCGCGGAAGCGATGCAACGTACGCGGAGACCATGGCTTTCTCTCGCCAAGGACCGGGTCTTCGACACAGTATCTCGCTTCCTCTCTCATGCACTTCCGGACCCACGCTACTTTTCTTACGACATCGACCAATTCGACGACTATCGAATCGCATCACCCGAAGAAGCTGCTCTGGACTCGGATGGGATCCTCGACGGGCCCGGACTCAATTGGGGTGGTAGCACCCTCGAGGTTGTCCGTTCCCAGGCCATCTTCCTCACGCGTTCGGCTGCCTTCGGCCCTCGCATCACCGACGATGCGGGTCTCAAAGGCTTCTTGCTTCCTGTCTCGGACTTTTACAAGGTGCCCAAGGAAGCCAGCTTCTCGACATCGGATGCCAGTCGCGATCCTGTCCACGCCTGCCCGTACAAAGGCGGTCCCGGATCTCGACGCGACCTTCTGCTCGACAGGTATGAGGACGAGGACGACCGTCGTCTCTATTCGTCTTTCCATCCTGGCTCATCCTCGCAAGCTTCTTTCACATGGAGTCACGGAGACGATGACGGCTTGCAGGCAAGTCCCAAGCCTCCACACGACTGGATTGCGCTGGTCGAGCGTGGCGGCGGCTGCGGATTTGCCGACAAGGTGCGGGTTGCTCAGGAGCTTGGTGCAGTGGCAGTTGTCGTAGGCGATGCTCCGAATCCCGGCTGGCACGGTGGTCGTTCTGGCGATCCGAACGAGGAGGGTGACCCTGGCCTCAGCGGCAAGCGTCTCATCACCATGTTCGCGCCGGGCGACACGAGCGATTTGCACATCCCCTCTACCTTTGTCACCCGTCCGAGCTACCTCGACCTCGAACGTCTCATTCAGGAGACGGAGAAGGATCAAGAGGATTGGCAGAAGCAGCATCCGTCGCAGCACGACGAGCCGCCGCGCCCACCCATGACGCGCGGGCTCGAGATCGTGATCGGCAAGGACGACATGGTGTGGGAATGGCCTCTGATCGATTTTGGGATTCTGTTGCTGCTGCTTCCGAGCTTTATGACGGTGATCACGATCATCGTGCATCGTGTACGGATGGTGAGGCAGAGGAGGAAGGAGAGGGCGCCGGAGCTGGTTGTGCTTGGTCTGCCGTGTTTGATCTGGAGGGGCAACGGTCAGCCGTGGGAGAAGGTGGAGGGTGCGGATGTTGATCCTGGACCGGGGAATGGTGGTGCGACGTCTCCGCCTGCGGATGGTGATTTTGGTGCGGACGATTTGGAAGCTGGCAGGGCGGGGGAGACGATCCCGCTGTTGGGTGAGGAGAACGAAGCGGGACCGTCGCAACGCGCGCACACGTCTGTCAAGATGCCACCTAACCCGTCGGCGTTCTTGCCACCGGGCAGGACATATTTCAGTACGGACGAGTGCGCCATCTGTCTATGCGACTTTGTGGATGGAGACCGGGTGAGGGTGCTGCCGTGCGGTCATATTTTCCATCGGCAGGAGGTGGATGATTGGTTGGTGAGGGTGAAGAAGCTGTGTCCGATTTGTAAGAGGGATATCACGGTGCCGGTGCCACCGGCGCCTCCGGTGGCTTTGGCGGGAACAACGGTAGCGGGGGCAGTGGAGGAGCAGGTGGTGGTTCCGGCGGTGGTGGCGGAACAGCCGGTGCAGGAGCAAGGGGATGAAAGTGTGGATCTGGTTCAGCATTTGAGTTCGGGAGAGAGGCCGGAGGGTAGGCAGGTGTAGTAGCGAGCGTGATGGTTGTATGATTTCGTCAATTCATGATTCAAGGATGTAAGAGTGTGGTGGGCGTGACACAGTCAATGGTCTGCACACAGTAGGGATGGGTGTGAATGTGATTGTGATTCTGGCAAGAATTTGGACAATGACTGAGCGGTGCTTTTTGTTTTAGAGAAGGCTTTCGAGGACGGCGACGACCTGGTCGCCGACGTCCTTGGAGCCGTGCTTTCCGCCGAGGTCAGCGGTCCTGAGCTCGAGACCGCCGATGTCCTTTGCGTCGAGTACCTTCCTGACGGCGGCTTCGACCTTGTCGGCGAGCTCGCCCTGGTTGAGCGAGTACCTGAGCAGCATGGCGGCCGAGAGGATGGTTCCGACCGGGTTGGCGATGCCCTTACCGGCGATATCTGGCGCCGAACCGTGGATGGGCTCGTACAGGCCGTTGCACTTGCCCTTTCCATCTGGAAGGCCGCTGAGGGAGGCGGAAGGGAGAAGACCGAGTGCACCGGGGATGACGGAGCTTTCGTCAGAAAGGATGTCGCCGAACATGTTTTCAGTGAGGACGATGCCGTTGAGTTTGCGTGGGTTGGAGACCATGACCATGGAGGCGGAGTCGACGAGCGAGTGGTCGACGGTGATACCGCGGGAAGCGAATTGCGAGTCGACGGTGTCTTGGACGACTCGACGCCAGAGACGCGAGGTGGCGAGGACGTTGGCTTTGTCGATCGAGTGGAGTGGTGCGGGAGGGTTGGATTGGAGGGCGAGGTAGGAGGCGAGCTTTGTGATTCGTTCGACGTCGAACTTGTTGTACACCATGGTGTCGTATGCTGCGCCGTCGGAAGAGGGGTCGTCGAGGTTGGCCTCCTGACGATCGCCAAAGTACAATCCCTTCACCAATTCTCGCACAACGATGAACGAGACTCCCTTGGCCACCTCGGGCTTCAGGGGAGAGTGCGAGAGCAGACTTTCGGAGGGGAACAGGCAGGGACGGATGTTGGCATAGAGATCCAACTCCTTGCGAAGAGCGAGAAGGCCTTGCTCGGGTCGAACCTTGCCAACTCCCCACTTGGGTCCTCCCACCGAACCCATCAGGATGGCGTCGGCCTCCTTGCATGCAGCGAGTGTGTCATCGGGCAGAGGCTTGCCGGCAGAGTCGATGGCGCAGCCACCGAAGTCGTACGACTTGAGGTTGATAGAGAAGGTGGTGCTCTTGGAAGAGATGAGCTCGAGAACGCGAGTGGCTTGCTCGACGACTTCGGGTCCGATACCGTCACCGGGCAGGACGACGACGTTGTATGTTTGCTTGCTCATGATCGTTGATGTCTGGGGTAATTCGAAAGATGGAGTAAGTGGTTTGTTGTGATGATCGGGAGAGAACGAGGAGCAACAGAACGGCGTTCCACAGTGCTTTCGGTGCTCTTCGGAGAGGGGCCGAGGTGGGTCTTGAGCTGTGACGCTGAAGTGGGGTTTCAGCTGCGTTGGACTGTGGGTCCGTGTGACTCAGTTGCTGCCTTCAATGCATTCTTCTGGTTGGTCACTTGCAGCAGCAGCTTCTTTTGCATTCTGCTCCGCCTTTCCGAAATCTAATCTTTTCCCAGAGGGAAAGAGAAGTGGCGATCCAATTCTTCCATTCGTGCGGATCGCTACCTTGGATCGGGGAAGCCGATGCAACGGCTAAGTGGAGAAAACGCAACGGTCCAAACGTCGTTCGTTGTCCGCTCAGGCATCTTGATCCTTCCCTCAACTCAGCCTCGCCCTGTCCTCTTCCATCATCGACCCGAATCGATTCTCCCCAGAGCTCTTTTATCAAAATGTCGAGTGCAGCTAAGAAGGAAGCAATCCTTCGGCAATTCCGCTCCCTCACCAACGCAACTCCGCAGGACGCGCATCGCATTCTTAAAGCGCACGGCTATCGAATCGAACCAGCCACAGATGCGTTCTTCAACGACGAGCAGGCCCAAATCAACGCATTTGCTTCCTCGAGCACTCTAGACAAGAAGACGGAACGAGAAGTTAAAGAGCGACTCAACGCTCTCTTCGATCGATTCAGAGATGCCGCCGTCGACAGCGACGACGAGGACGATGAAGGTGGGCCATCCCAGCCGGAGGATCCGGATCTGATCAGCATCGGCGGAGCACTCAAGATGTGCGAGGCGTTGCAAGTGAGTCCGGAAGACGTGGTGTTTCTGCCGCTCAGCTACTATCTCAAATCAGAGACGATGGGGACGTTCACAAGGGAAGGATACGTGAACGGTTGGAAAATGTTGGATCTCTCAGATACGATTGAAAAGCAAAGAAAGACGCTGGAGAAACTTCGACAGGAGTTGTTGGAGAACAAGCCGTTGCGACTCGAAAGGATTGCAGAGGAGAAATCCAATCCAGCTACGGCATCTGGAGCCAACAAGGGGCTGTACGAGAAGGTGTACGAGTACACGTACGGTTTCGCCAGGAGGGAAGGCCAAAAGAGTTTGGCACTCGAGAATGCCCTCGCCTTTTGGGATCTGGTGCTCCCCGCATCACCGACATTCCAGCGGGATGGAAGTGCGGGGAACTTCACGCAAGCACAGCTGGAGCTGTGGAAGAGATTCTTGAGCGAACAGACTGGCGGTAGAGCGGTCAGCAAGGATACTTGGATTCAGTTTTTGGATTTCACAAAGGAGATCAACGGCGATTTCAGCAATCACGACTTTGACGGTAAGTTGCTCGAACATGGACTGACAGACATTTCGCTGGGGACGACGCTGACCAAGATTGCTTTTCTGTGCGTCTGATTAGCTGCGTGGCCGTCGGTGATCGACGACTTTGTTCTGTGGGCAAAGGAGAATATTCTCACGGCAGACGGCATGGATACCAGCTAGCGTGGAACGGCTAATTTTCTAGACAAAGCAATCAACGCCGACATTTCCACAGTCCGACATTGCGAGTGGCAGATCGTGAACAAACCTCAGATCAGATCGAAGCAGAGCATGCACGCCGATGTGATGAGAGTGTGATCAGATTGTTTGATTCAATGTCTAGTTTTACATGTCACCCCTCCTGACAAATGGAATGCCCATGCCACTCAGCAGCGCCCTGGCCTTCTCCGTCGCCTTCCTGCCCCTCTGGTTCGTGATGCAGTCAATCTGGAAGCCGAGCGGCTTGTTCGGGTACTGGTCCAAGTTGATCTCAATCTGCGGGAACAACGGGATGGCCTCTGGATGCATACCCAAGCTGACGACGCCGGACATGGCTGCCGGGCTGGCAGGTGGCTGACTCGCAGGAGGCAACGGGAAGCCTGCAAAGCTTCTCAACCTCGGCAACACAAAGGTCGTGAGCATCTCCAGGAACTCATGCGCTACAGGTCCAGGGAGAACAGCCTTGACACCGACGGGCATCCCTGGGCGAAGCTTGAAGGACGCGACTCCGGATTTTGCACGGATGATCTCGATGTGTCCCCGGCCAGAGTTGGGGGACGAACCGGCAGCGAGCAAGGATGGATCAGAGAGGGAGCCTTCGACGCTCAAGCCTGTGATGGCGCGCATCTGAGCGATGAGGGGCACCAGGTTGTGCTTGTTGGTGATGGCATCTCTGCTGAAGCAGGTGAGGATGATCTTGTCCAATTTGGGGATCTCGTTCATCGTGTTGTGTGGGGAGAGAGGTTTGGTGAGGGGAGACAGTCGACGGTTACCACGTGCGGGTCGTTGAGGTCGGTTGACGGTGTATGGATCTTGTTCGTTCCATGATCGCTGTCGATCTTGCATGTCGCCGCTCGAGGCTGGGTTGGTGGGCGTGCTGGGGGAAGCGTCGGCAGAGGCAGGAACGGAAGGTTCGAGGTTGACAGCAGGGTCAAAGGTCATGTAGAGCAGATCCGATGCGAGGGTGGTACGGTAGTGCTCCTGGTAGCGATTGAGCTGCGTGGGTCCGATGACAACAGGATGCGGGCGGAGTGTGGTGCGAGGAGACTTGGCAGTGGTGTTGAGCATGCGGGACGAGCCAGGTGCAGCACCAGCTGAAGAGGAGGAAGAGGAGGAAGGAGAGGCTCGCACCGCTCGCGTGGAGCGCACAGCGGCTTGCCGGAGCATGTTGACTGTGGTCGTAACCGTTGTAGATGTGTTCATGTTGGGGCGAGAGGTGTTTCTGTATGTGCGTGGTCGAGACGATGAGCGCTGCGTTGACGTCGAGCTTAGTCGACTTTTGAAAAGTTGCGAGAAGAAGAAGAAAAAGTCGAAAGCAGCCGACTAAAAGCAAGCAAGCTACCCGATTTCGATTTTTTGGCTCATCTCACGCGATCTCACACAAATTTCGATTTGAACCCGATCTGTTACACTTCGACGAAGAGCTCGGTCCAGGTTCACCAATCAACATCACATTCCTTCTCGTCTCCCTCCTTCATCAGCCATCTTCACCTATCAGATCCCTACACAATGGCGCAAGTCGAACGATCATCTCCAGCAGCCACCGCAGCTGCAAGCACAGCACCAACACCGCTCGGATCGGTCACAGAGCCATTCGATCTCATCCGTCTCTCTATCTCAGAACGTGTCTACGTCAAGCTTCGAGGCGATCGCGAACTGCGCGGAACGTTGCATGTGAGTTTCTCACACTTCTTCCTCCTCTTTGCAAAAAGCGGACTCACTTGCTGACAGCGATCCTTCTCTTCGTTCTGAATGTTGGTGCAGGCATACGATGGACACATGAACTTGATCCTTGGAGACGTGGAGGAGACCATCTACGTTGTCGACGTCAACGACGAGAGCGGGGCAGAGACCGTCAGGGTACGTTGCTATCAAAGCGCAGATGCCGCGAGAGCCCGCTGTTGCCGACACAGATACTGCTGGGCATGCAAGCACCCGTGGTTACCGTCTTTCCATCCCAAATTGCAAGCTTGCTGACTCTCTCCCTCTCCCCTTCCTCCACCGTTGCTGCTCCCTCAACCCGGTCGATCGCCTGCTCGCAACCGCGTTCTTCGCCAATTATGCGTCATCTCCCGCCCTTCACGCCTGCTTGTTTTCCACAGGTGGTAAAACGTCAGAGCGAAATGCTCTTCGTTCGTGGAGACAGTGTTATCCTCGTCTCTCCTCCTTCCAGCACGTGAACCATTTTGCATCCCACTCGTATCCTTCATCCTATCAAATGATACGAATTGTAATACTATCGTCTCAACAAGATCGCAATGACCGTGTTAAGTTGTGTCAAGGCAGATGGAGAGCTGCGCCACGATCAAACGCGACAAGTACAGACAACTTCCACATCAAACAACATGCATGATCCAACAAGATCACTCCTCCGTCACAACGGCCTCCGCCTTTCTCCACCAACTCCCTCTCACTCCAACACCACCGTCTCCTCATCTTGACTCTCACGCATCAACCACGACCACAACCAGACATTGGATTTTCAACCATAGATTTGACCATTCGAACTAAGAGTACAGATGCGAGGAGTGTTAAGAGCGCCTCGCCACGCTACATCAAATCCAGGTATATGAAAAACGGTGACCAATGCTGTGTGCTGATGCCGGGAAAGTTTGGGGGCTGTGTTAAGAGCGGCCCCCCGCGCTAGTACAAAAAGGTATACATACGGGGCTGTGTTAAGTGCGGCCCTACGCGCAACGAGTACAAGAGAGAGAGAACGAGAAATGATGCGATGGATGCAAATGCAAAAAGAGACGAGAAAGATTGGACGTTGGGAAAGCTATCCCACAAGCTGTAGGCTGGGGAGCTGATGGAGAGGGTTTGGATCGTGAGAGAGCGTTGCGAGACGTAGAGTCATCCGAACGGGGACAACTCTGAACGTCGGGTATATGTTGCGCCTCGATGGAGCCACAACCTCGATCGCATTCCCACCACCAAAACCCCAGCTGGAAAGCACCTAGCGTTACTGAGAATTGCCTTACTCGAGGTTGCTGGGGTAGATGTGGGTGGCAGGGTCGATAGTGGTCTCCTTGATGGTGCGGGCCGAAACGAATCGGTAGAAGATCGAGATGGAACCAGCCTTGTCGTTGGTACCCGAGGCACGAGCACCACCGAATGGCTGCTGACCCACAACGGCACCGGTGCACTTGTCGTTGTAGTACATCATGCCCGATGCGTTGCGCAGCAGGTTGCTGGCGCGGATCAGTGCGTAACGGTCGGCCGAGAAGATGGAGCCGGTGAGGGCGTATTCGGTGGTCGAGTCAATGAGCTCGCACGTCTGCTCAAACTCCTCGTCGGGGTAGGCGTAGACGGTGATGACGGGACCAAAGATCTCGTTGACCATGGTAACCGACTTGGGGTCCTTGGTCTCGATGACGGTAGGCTGGACGTACCAGCCCTTGGAGTCGTCACCCTGACCACCGCAGAGCACCTCGCCACCTTCCTTCTTGGCAGCCTCGATCAAGCCCATGATCTTCTCGAACGAGTGCTTGGCGATGACGGGACCCATAAAGTGCTTGAACTCCTGAACGGGGCCGACCGAGATCTGCGCGATCTGGTCGAGCAACTTTTGCTTAAACTCGCCCTCCCACATGGACTTGGGCACGTAGAGACGCGAGAGCGCAGAGCACTTCTGACCCTGGTACTCGAAAGCAGCGCGGATGGACTGGGTGACGGCGGCGTCGACGTTGGCCGACTTGTGGACCATGTGGAAGTTCTTGCCGCCGGTCTCGCCGACGATGCGCGGGTAGCCTCGGTACTTGTCGAGGTTGTTGCCGATCTGCTTCCAGAGCTGACGGAAGACGTGGGTGGAGCCGGTGAAGTGGAGACCGGCGAATTCGCGGTGGTTGATGGCAGCGCCGACAATCTCGGGAGCCGGACCGGGGACGAACTGGATAACGCCGTCGGGAAGACCAGCCTCGCGGAGGATCTCGTAGGCGACGTAGTTGGAGTAGATCGACATGGGCGAAGGCTTCCACACGACGACGTTACCGGTCATTGCAGGCGCGCAGATCAAGTTACCAGCGGCGATGGCAAGGAAGTTGAAGGGCGAGACGGCGAGCACGAAACCCTCCAGAGGGCGGTACTCGGTGCGGTTCCAGGTGTTGGCCGAGCACTCAGGGGGCTGCGTCGAGTAGAGCTCCTGGATGTACTTTGCGCTGAAACGGAAGAAGTCGCAGATTTCGGCGGCAGCGTCGATCTCGGCCTGCCACACGTTCTTGCCCTGACCGAGCATGGTGGCTGCGAGCACCTTGTAGCGGTACTTGGAGGCGATCAGGTCGGCCGCCTTGAGGAAGATGGCGGCACGGTCGTTCCAGGGCATGTTCTCCCATGCGGTCTTGGCCTTGAGCGAGCCCTCGATGGCCTTTTGGACGAGCGCCTCGTCGGCCTCGTGGTAGTTGCAGAGGATGTGCGAGTGGTTGGAAGGGTTGGGCTGCTGGGCAACCTTGCCTGTCTTGATCTTCTCGCCGTTGATGACGACGGGGACCTCGAAGGGTCCTGCGGCGATCATCTCGTCGACGGCCTGCTGGAGCTTGATGCGATCTTCGCTCTTGGGCTCATAGTTGCGCATGGGTTCATTTTTGATGGGAGGCAAGGAGAAGAGCCCGAATTGGGGCGCCTGAGGTACGGAAGCCATGTTTGCGACTTGTGTGTGAGGGAGGATTGAGGGAGGGTAAAAGGAGGAAGAGACGCGAGAAGAAGCAGGAGATGGAACGCGGAGCCAAGACAGAGGATCGAAACGGGGAGGTGATGGTGAGGAGTCGAGGATTGTGGGTGAGTGCAACGACTTTTTAAAGCAATCTACAATCGACGAATGAGAAGAGAGCAGGAGAACAGGGACGAGCTTCGCTATCTCTTGCGCCAGGAAAAAGTGCTTGCGGCGAACAGCAAGGTCAGCAGGCCCTATCAAATCGATCCAAAGCAAGCAACCAACACACACGCCGGCCAGCCACGTATCGGATCAGACGCGGCTCAACTCTCTTTTTCCAAGCCTCGAGTCAGGAAAGCAAGCCCCGAAAATTTCCTCCTTTTTTCCTTTGGCCTGTCGTCCTGCAAACTTAGCCGTCGGAGCCTGATCTTCTCACTCCCTGTCTTCCGTCCTGTCCGCCGAAAATCGGCCGCCTCCGACTTTGCACCAGAGTCCATTGTTTCTCCAATTGACACACTTATCAAGCGAGTCGTCATTGTTCCTTTTGCGAAGGTCCTTCCTCGGCTTGCAGACAGGATGGCGGGACAAGATAAGGAAGTTTCTGGCGTCTCATGATTTGAAGCGACCGTGGCCAACGGTGGGAAATGCCGCGCTGCCCAGGAATGCTGGAAGGACACCCAAGATCCGGTCAATTTGCCGAAGGTGTTTGTGGGGAACACCCTGCTTACAGTGACTCTTCTGTTCACACTGTCACACCATCACACAGTCACACCATCACACAGTCACACCATCACACAGTCACCCCGTGTCCACACTGTCTGCCTAGATAACATTGAACAGACATGTTGATCCTTCTCGTCGCTTAGCTGCCGAGAAAGACGCTCTGAGTCCGGTATTGCCTGGCAATGCGTTGCGATGCAGTCAAATACCTTTGGTCCGTCGAGCGTGGCGCTTCGTCGGCCACAACCAACGAGGCGCTGCTCTTGCCAAAAAAGGAGGAGAACCTCTTGCGTTCTGTCTGCGGCGGAGCGTCCTGCGCTGTCTGCCAAGATGATCTGTGTTGATCGGGTACCAGACCTTTCGAGTGCCCTGGTTGCTTGTGGTAGTCGTTCGTTTCACCCGCGTCTTCGTCCGTAGTGTCGGAAAGCACCGACTCGGTCTCCCTCGCAAACCCGGGGCGCGGCAGTGCAAGCATCATCTGCTCACGATCCGGTTCGTCTTGCCTTTGCTTCTCCAGCACCGTTCGCATCGGATCGGCCGATGGCTCCAACGCTGCCGACACGTTGGCGTGCCCTCCTCTAGCGCCAAACACAGCTACGAGACTGGCCATAGCCAGGCTGATGCCAAAGATGTATCCCTCGTGTGAGCGACCTGGAAGTATACTCGATCTCTGACCCTGAAAGAAGAGCGATCCGACTCGCTTCGTGTCATCGGGTACTCTTCCGACAGCACCGTGACTGTCATGGGAGCCAATCGGGCTGCTCGCAGGCATAGCTCGGCAGAACTCTGCCACCTTGACATCAGCTTCCTCTGCACCCTCGCGGTACAGCGCCAAGGCATGCTTGTCCATCCTCCACACGTATCTCGAGCCGTCCTTGATGATGATGTGCCAATCGTGCTTGAACAGCCGGTGCCCACTGTGCATGGTGGCCCAGATACCCGAGCCTCTCCGAAAATCGTAGCTGTTCTTGAGCGCTTCCTGCCTCACTTCCCACCCCTGCTTGCCGATCACCTTGCTAGCCCGTCGTGCCTTCTTCGATGTGTCAAAGGTGGGATTCTCTTCCAGACGGCTGGCATCCATTAGGATCGCCTTCCAACCCATCATTTGGCGCGGAATGCGTATTGCCATGACGTTCGAGCGTTTGCCGCCGCGAGTCCACACCTGGTAACCGCGAAGGTTGTCGTCCTCATACAAGTCCAGCACCTCGCCTTCGAAGCACTCATCCTGGTTCGATGATGGCGCAGCGTGATCTGGTACAGGTATCGTCGTCGGTACAGCCTCCGGTACGTGGAAGGACGATGCGACAGGTGACAGCGGCCAGCCTCTCAGCATTGGCAGCGCTGACGGATCGCCGCCCTTCGCATTGCTTGAATCCGGCTTGCGACGAGATCCTTCTTCAATTACCTCGTCCGCTGCATCCCTGGTATCTGATGGTGACTGAATGTTGATTGACGACGAAGGTAGGTGTAGAGAAGTCTCCGAGTCCGTCGTGAAGCTTGGCTTCATCCATGGAAAACAGTCGCCAAAGCCTCCTGCTCCTGTGAAACCAACAGGCTCCTGGCCCACTCGTAGCTGAGGCGGTGTGTCCGGCGCTGCTCTACGTGTGCTTTCTGCTGAACTCGAGTTGCTGATGGCGGGCGGGTCACTTAGTCTGCTGTTGGCCTCGACTTCGGGTATGTTCGAGAACATCCTATCTCTGATTCTCAAAAGAGGCAAGTGTACAGGTAGTGGTATCAGTGAGCAGCGTGTGCTGTTGGTCGAAAAGCTCAACCGCTCGAAGAAGTGTAGAGGCGCAAACTGAGGATGCCGTCTGAGCAGCGCAGATACATATACTCAAGTCGGGTGGGTCGACTTCATCTTTCCAACCTTTCTGAAGCGTGAGTCGGTGAAGCTCGAGCCTCCCAGAACACAATAAGCCATTAGCTCAGGGTTGCGACTACCGAGCTAGGTCGCCGGCGCCCCGCAATGCGAGCCAGAGTAGTGCGATCAAGGCGCTCCTACCTCCTTCACGGCAATGCATCTGTTGAGGAGCAGCAGCTTCAACGGTAAGCACGGCACCATCGGCATCAGCGAGATGTCATGCCGACCCGCCAGCGTGTGTTTAGAAATTTCCACATGAACTGCACAGCCTTTTGACCACGCTGTCAAGGTTCGCGTACAGCAGAGCGAAAATTTACCGCAACACAGCCTCTCTACCGAACCCACAAGCACAAGACGTCCAGCACTTCGCGCTTTCGCTCTTCATCTGGAGCGAAGGCATTGTCGGTGACACTGCACAGGACGTCCTCAATCAACCTCGAGACTAGAACACAATCAGCATTGTTGAGACTGTCAATTTGCATTGAGGCAAATATGAAACCGAAACTACAGTGAACACGACCAGGACCAACATGACATGCTAAAAAAAGGAGAGACCATGGATGATAAGGCGGAGAGATATGAACAGTATGAAGGAGCGTCCTCGATTAACGCGATCTCGAAGTACCCTTGCCACGCTTGCCGGCAAAGAGCCACTTGGGCTTCTTCTCCTTGATGGCACGATCCGACTCTCCCGCCTTGGCGTGCCAGTTGCCTGGTCGCAAAGCCAACTCGCGCAGCTTCCTCGCCTTTTCGAGCTGCTCCGAGTTCTTGAGACCGGCAAGCTGTCGATCGGATGCCGAGACACGCGCCGGTCCTGCACGAGCACTCACGTGGCCACCGGAACGGTTGACAGGCGCCTGTGTTGACGACAGCAATCGCCCACCCACGTTGCTCTTGCGTGCTTTCCTCGAGGCGCTCGTGTCGGCTTCTTCGGTGTCCATCTCCTCGTCGTCTTCCCAGGCAGCCTCCTCTGCGTCCTCGTCCTCGTCCATCTCCTCGTCCTCGTCATCATCGGCACCAGATCTCTTGCGCTTGCCACTGAGACCCTTGGCCTTGGCGAGCATCTCAGCACGGGCAGTGACGCTGCTTGGGTCAACCCCAATCTCGCGCATACGTTCGGCCATCTGCGACAGGGTGCGTTCCTGGAACTTGCGTGGCACACGCGCCTGGTTCTTGATCATGCTGCGATCCTGAGCGGCGAGCTTGGCCTTCTGCTGACGCTCGCGGATGGCGGCAGCTGCGGTGCGGATCGCCTCTTCCTCTTCGTCGACGATGGATTCCTCGTCGCCGCTGTCGCCGTAGAAGCCCTCAGCTTCGAGCCTCTCCTCTTCGCGCTCAAGTGCATCGAGCTTGTCGAGGATATCTGGGTCGACAAAGTCGGCGATGTTCTTGCCTTCGTAGATCTCGGGAATGTGGTCGTACTTCCACTCGTCGTTGGCGAGCATGTAGTCGCGCTTGATGTCGATGTTGAAGACACCGGCACCACCGTGTTCCTCCTGCTCGTCACGCAGTGTCTTGCGACGCTCGGGGTCCTTGGCGTCGTACTTCTTGATTGAGCCGTTGGCGATAGCCTCGGGGATGTAGGCTGCACGCTGGACGTCGTCGCGCGACTTTGGCTGGGCGACGTGGAGACGGTTGAGAACGGCGTTGATCTTGCTGCCCTTCATCTTGGTCTCGACACGAGACGCGAGAAGGACATCGCAAGCGAGATTTCTCGTGTCCATGACGCCCTCGTCGGTATATGTGCTGAGTTCTGTGAGCTTGACTTTGCCTTCAGACTCGTCGACGATGCTCTGGACCAAAGCAGCGCGCTCAGGCTCGAGATCGGCGAGCCTCTTTGCGTCGGTCTTGTTGATGGCAAGGATGCAAGGCTTGTTGGCGAAGAGCGGCTTGATGCTGTTGAAGAGCTGTACCTGAGCCTCGACAGTGTAGCCGCACTGCTCGGACAGGTCCATAAAGTAAAGCACGGCGGCTCGGAGATGTGCGAGCGCGGTGATGGACTGCATCTCGATGGTGTTCATCTCTTCGAGTGGATGGTCGAGAATACCTGGCGTGTCGATGACCTGCCATCGGAGGTACTTGTAGTCCATGTGACCGACAAAGAGCGACTTGGTGGTGAAAGCGTACGGCTTGACATCAACATCTGATCGGGTGACTTTGTTGATGAAGCTCGACTTGCCTACGTTGGGATACCCGCAGATGAGGAGGGTACGGGTGCTGGGGTCGATGGGCGGGAGACGCGACATGTGCTGACGAACCTGCTCCAGGTAGGCGAGCGGGTCCTTCTGACGCTTCATGATGGTGGCCATGCGACCGAGAGCTGCACGCTTGAGCTGCTTGCATCGGTAGAGAGAGTCGCCGAACTTGATGAGACGGATGTAGTCCTTGGCGACCTGCTCGATAAGGTGCTTTGCGGTGTTGAGCTGACCGAGCGCAAGCTTGTAGTGGTTCTTGTCGTAGAGAACATTGAGAAGCGATGAGACAAAGGGATGCAGGTTGTCCATGATGGGGAACTCTTTGAGAATGGCGTCGAGCTTCTCTGCGAAAGCGTCCTTAGTGAACATAACCTTGCGCATGTAGAACGAGCGGATACGTGTGATCTTCCAGCCTGGATGCACGACAGTGGGCGTCTTGCGCTGTGTCTTGGAGAGCACGATATCGAGAAAGTCGTTCGCGGTCGGAACCGGAGCGATGGGAGTCTTGATTGTCGCCATCGTTGCTAGTAAGTTATGCGGAGGGTATATTTAGGGTCACGATTTGGACGGACGATGGAGATTGCAACTACAGCCGTCGTCGATGTGCTTGATATGATGCTCGCCTAGAGTGGCGACGGGCTACGACGATCGCAGCGGCTTCAGGAAGAGACTGCCTGAGGTCGAATGTTCTCGTGTCGATTTGGTCTTCGAAGCCAAACCCTGCGCTCGCGGATGAGCCGAATGATATCAAGAGAGTCGTCGCTTGTCGTCGGTATCCTTCCGATCTCGAAGCGAAGAGATGAATGGATGAACAGCGTGATGTAGGAGGAAGAGGTTGTGAAGGGGACTTGGCAAAAGGCTTCCACTCTCGCCTCCAGGACTGAGAAAGGGTGAAAAGTGTGCCGCAAGCGAGTCTTTTTCCAAAAACTTTGGAGAAAAATTTGGACCTCAGAGTGGAACCCTGCAGTCGAGCTCTGGTTTGGCAAGGTCACTCACATCCGAAGAAGAAAGCCAAAAAGAAATTTCAAAAATCTCATGGCTGGGCCCGGGATTCGGAGCCCAGATCGATCTAACACAACCAAAATCGTTGCCTCTTGTGCGTTTTTTGACCGTTTTGCCCCCGCGCATCTCCAGACGTGGCCGACACTCGCTGCGGGCCTCCGTCGGGTGTTTTAGAAAGCAAGCAGATGTTGCGCTGTCGAAGACATTACTGCTCAACATATCAAACATCACTTCCAAAGCCAGTAGTGTTTTTGCTAAAAAGAATGTTATCTGTAGGGCAGCAAGCGTGGTTCAGTTGTCGAGAACGGTGGCGCTAAGAAAACGCGAAGAAGCTGATCTTCCTGCGCACAGAACGAGTGTGGAGTCGATTTTTCAATGTGAATTGATTTTGCCATTTGGATCTTGACTTTGGTTCCGTCTCGAAAAAATTTCAACTACACAGCGCGGCAAGCTCGTTATCTGTCCCTGGTTTTGAAAATTTCATGACTGCGCTCTGAAATGGTGAAATTTTTGTCGCCGGTTGGGCTAGTGACGCTTTCCTGCGCCTCTGGTCACTCATGCAAAGGCCAGCTTCGGATCAGCGCCTTCCCAGAATTTTTGGATTCTGTTCGGCGCCATTTCGTGGGTGTCGCCGGCAGAAAGGGGAAAAAAAGTCGGCCAAGGGACTACTGAGCCCCAGAGAATCCAAAAAATCACAGGCACATTGTCAGTGTCAATCCATCCAACACCAACCGTCAATCAATCCTTCCTTCCTTACCCTCCGAACCTACTCACCCCATCCATCTTTGACAAGAGCATCAATAGCATCATCCCTCAGCCGTACTCATCACCACTCATCGCCTTCGTAGAAGACACGATTCGAACACTGTGCGCTGCAAAACGACCCTTTCGACTTTGCAGCCCCACCCTCATCGAATCGAGCTTTACGAATCTCGAAAACAACCATCAACCATTACTACGAATCCACGGAGCGTCAGCCATCGTTTGACAGTCGCGACAAGAGCTCTTCGTCAATCGTCTCAACCCATCGCCGCTTGACTACCTTCACAGTCGAGCAAGCGCCAGAGAGTGGATTGTCCACCTGACCGTTCCTTCTGATCAGAACATGTTCAGTGCTGCCCACCGCTCTCTCCCGCTCCTTCCAAACTCGTCCCATACCTTTGGCTTTTTCTACCACCATACAAGGCTCTCGCCATATCCATCGCACCCGGCTGGTGCACCATAAACGGCGCACCCAGCTTTTCCTCTCCCTCTCCCCGTACCGCCTGCGCGTGAGCGCAAGGTCTTCACCCACTTTAGCGTGGTAGCCTCACCACACTGTTCAATTCTGCATCGAGCTCAACGCAATAGCATCCACTAGACCACGACACGCTCGAGCATATTTTCGCTCGCGATAGTCTACACTTCATGTCCCGACAACTCAAAGCAGATATCTGTAAGTCACCTTCAGCGATGCGGTCAAGAAGCTCTGATTCGTTCTGCATCCCAGGGTGTCTAAGTCGGAACTTGGACTAATCACTCTGCCACGGCGCTACTCCCTTGCCTTCCTACAGCTTCAGCACGTTTCGTCCGAAGAGCAGACACCACCAACCCTCTGAATCAGCGAAAGAGCCTGCAGGCCAAACTGCAAACCACGCCCGTCCGCACGAGCCCTTATCATCGAACCGGCTCCTTCAAAGCAGGTCCTGCTTCCTCACGCTCTGCCTCGAGCGTCGGTGGCTCCCCTCGTCCCTTCTTCGACTCGGACGACGATCTCTCCAGCTCCGGCGACGACAACGACGATCTTGGATCCAAGCACATCCCCGGTATCAAACTTCCCGTGCCTACGCTCGCCATGTCGTCCCGCAAAGCATCAAGAACACAACTCGGCAAGAAGCCTGCCAAGGTGTCCTCGACGAAGAAGGAGCGAGCTCGTGGCGAACGAAAGGCGAGCGTCCGTAAAGAACGCTTCGAAGAGCTCGACACCGACTCTGACCTCACCGACGTTCCTTCCGACGACGACATCGAACACGACGACGCCCTTGCCGGTCCATCCTACTCTGGTCTCGACAAAGGCAAAGCAAGAAGCATGGACGGCGACAGCGACGATCTGCAGTCCGATTCGGACACCGAGATGGAGCGCAAGCTCGCCGAAGCCGGCGACGGCGAATCGCTCCTCGGCAGCGGTGCTTCCGGCGAGGACACCGAGGAAGAGGAGGAACGCTTCATCATCCAAGATGCTCTCGACAGACAGTCCAAGGCTAAGGCTCGCCTACAACATCGCGATCCCTCCGACCGTCGCCGACACGCTGGCGAACGCGACTCGGCCAGCAAAAGCGATCTTCACCACCGTGCTCGATCCATCGCGATACGCCGTGGCTCCAACGTCGTTGACCATGGCGGGCTTGGCGACGATGCCGAGGCCGACGTCGAGGACGAAGATAATGATGAAGAAGATGACGACGACGATGGCAACACCGATGCCGATCTGCTGTCCATGTCTCCGGCTACGCTTCGCATGTACGGTCTACCGGTCATCGAAGATGAGCTCTTCGAGGAGCAAGAGGCTTTCAACTCGTCCTCTGAGCCCTCCTTCACCGACTTTTTCGAAACCTCCACCGACAGCGAGATGGATATCGCAAACGCTCTCGACGAAAATGGCGACGACGACGACGAGTTTACTACCGACTCGGACGAGGACCACGACATCAGCGACCTTGAAGGCGGCTTGCTCGACGCTCCGCTGATCGCACACATTGGCACTACTTCGGCGGCAGACGACCCCAACGCCGTCGACACTGAAGAGGTGACTGCCGACGGCACTGTGCAGCCCAAGCCCGAGATGCCTTTGCTCGTCATCGAAGACCTCGACGGCCGTCTCATCTATGCACGTGCCGGCGACGGTGAAGCCGTGTTTGGTTCCGATGGCGAGTTTGAATTTGTCGACGACAGCGATGACGACAGCGCAGACTGGGAATTTGACCGTGGCGGCAACAGGCTTTGGTCCGGTGTCGGTGGGAGCAACGGCTTGCTCGCGCCGGAAGATGACGGAGACACCACCGACGAGCTGCCCGACGAGGACATGCCGTACCCACGTCTTCTCGTTGGGTCCGTGGCTCCCCGTGGCGGTCGCAATGCAAGACGCGCAAGAGCTATGGCTACCAACTCGCGCCGCCTCTCTCCTGCAGTCACTAGCCCACTTCCATCGCCATCTTTGCCGCAAACGGCAGACGTCGCGACCACCACCTCCGATTCTAGCGGCGAAGGCAAATTGTCGGGCAGCGGCTCGAGAGGCTCTCCGGCGTCCTCAGATGGACCTGCCTCCAATGAGGTCGGCATCACCATCTCAACCGAGCAGCTTGCACGCGATCCAGAAGGCACATTGAAGGCAGCTGCTGCTGCTCTCGGCGTCTCCCTGCAAGAGGCTGCCACCCTGGTTGCCGGCGTTCAGCTTCCTGTCGGAAGCGTCGGCGAAGAAGCCACTGCGATCAGCAACGGAAGCGGTACCTCTTCGGTCGACAGTACCATGGCAGCACCACAGACTCCCGAGCAGCAGCGAATCGCCAACATCGCCAAGCCTCAGATGGGAAGCTTCATGCCTACTTCGGCCAAGTCGGTTCACCGCGCGGTCATCGATGGCTCCCGCAAAGCGCCTTCGCCGTTTTCGGGCAAAAGAAGTCTGGAGCGGAAAGGACTCGCCAAGAAGCGCAGAGCTGCTCGTCGAAGCTCGCTCTTGGGAGACGAAGGCCTCTCTGCCAAGCGTCTCCGACGCTTCTCTTCCGCCAACGATGCTGCCTCGGCGATCGACGAGTATAGCGAAATGGCGCCCTCGTCGCCCGAGCCAATCGTCGAGGTGGACCCGATGGAGCTCGATGACGTGGTCGATTCCAGCATGATCTGGCGTGGCACTGGCTCCAAGTCGCCGTCGCCTGAGATGGAGACCGGCGACGGGATCGATGGCGGTCGTCGACCTTCGGCACGCTCGTCACGTAAAATCTCGTCTGCGCCAGGCCTAAACCTGAACGCCTTTGCGCGATGGAACAAGATCCCGATGGGGTCCTTCCGTGATTCGCAAGCGGCACCCGCACCTTCGCAGAACGCATTCCAGCAACAACATCAGCACCAGCAGCCACTGGGCACCTTTTTGCTCACCCGCTCGCAAGGCCAATCGGGCAGTCGAGCGCCTCGAACCAGCTCACCGTTCCGAACTAGCTCGAATGCCGTGCGCAATCCGGAGATGTTCTCCATTAGCCCCTTGCGCCAGCTGCAGGAGGGCGATAGCAAGGAGGGCGGAGCGTCGAGTGACAGCATGTCGGGCAGGCGACGATCTTTCATCATCTCGCCCGTCTTGTTTCCTACTCGTGGAGGCGAGATCCCGCCGCCTTCGTCGTCGGCCAGCACGTTTGGTGCTCACAACGCACCGACGTACAGTCATATTGCTGGCCTTCGCCTCGGTGGCAGCAGTGTTGCCGGTGGCGACGCGGCCAGTGTAGCTTCCAATACCAGCGCTGGTCCTGGACGCATCACACGCCGTGAAAAGCGGGAGAAGCGTGCCAAGCGCGCCGCAATGCTCGCGTCGCAGACGGAGGAAGGTGCGGCTCTCTCTCCGGGGACCATGGCCGATCATCGAGCGGCTTCAGGATCGCCCGCACCTGCTCCGACCACGCCGCTGTTGCAGCTTTCGAGCCTGCCGGACGGTGGTTTTGCCTTTGACGAAGGCGATTCGCCAGCTACTGCGTTCCCTCGAATGCGCATCACGGATGCTACACCGACGCCGCGAGGCTCACCGGCACCTAGTGGACCTCCCGCCGTTGGCAAGGACTTGCTGCAACCTGGCTCCAATCTGAAGCCGTCCAGCCAAGTCGACATTGCGAACGCATCGCCCACATCCACGCAAGCCGTTGAGAGGGAGTCGATGGCTGTCAGCGAATCGCACGCGGAGGACCAAGACAAGCAGGAGGACGCCTCGTCCGTCTCTGCCTCCATGTCGGGCGCCCTGCCGTCGTCAGCTTGCAAGACGCCACTCCACTCACCGTTGTTCGGTGGCATCTTTGGCGGAGCACTCAACTACGACTTGGAGGACAAGGAAGCCGAGCCGTTGCGCATCTGAACTGAATCGAATCAAGCTCTTAGTCTACGACCGTTCTGTTGCTTTGATGTAAATCCCTTTTGCTCAGCGACTTTCTCTAGTATATCTCTCTCCGTCCTGTAATGATCATGAATTCGTTTGACTCAAGCCGCCCAAGTTGTCATGTGAATATGTCTGCTTCGCTCCGGATCGTCAGGTCGAGATGCAAGAATCGCATCGTTAGGACTGACGTGAGGTAGGCGTTCGAGGCGCATTTTTTGGCCATTGCTTTTGTTAGGTTGAGTCGCTTCTACCGAATTGTTGGAATGCCAAGATGTGAGACCCTTGATGCGATTTTGCTGCAGGGTCTTTGTGACAAAACCTCGCGGATCGAAGGAACGAGAGGCGAGGTCATGCGAAGCATGCTCCGAACATTGATGTCTGTCCCTCACGAACGAATCCACGCTGCCGGCATCAAATGGAGACAGGTCAAACAGTGGGACGCATAGCGAAGGTTCCGGCGTAACGGGGATTTCCAGTGTCATCGTGACTCGGGTAACGAAGAAGGACTGCATCGATCTTCGTGGATAGTACGGAATGGTAGCGTGGTCACATTGACAGGGTTCGCTTGGGAGCGACGACGAAGCGATGGCAGATAGGCCATGCTGTTCAGCCGTTTGACCGCATCGTGAGCCAGCTATTTGGTTCGAGTAGTCTCTTTCTGCTTCCTGCACTTTGCCATAGAAAAGAGCACGACGGACGCATCTTCCGGACGGTCTTCAGCAGGCCCAAGCGCTGACTGTTCCTTCGCTACCAGGTCGATCTGTGCGAACGTCCCAGATGCAAGATCCGAAACACTGCGCTGCGGATGATGCATGGCAGTATTCTTCAACGAGGAAACCCGACCATGCTCGCGACGTGCCTGTGGACGACGCGATCGGGCTGAAATCGAAATGCGATCGCGACGGAAAGCGTCAACAGCGCAGGATCGACCGAGCCGAGGCAAGGGCTACAGAATGAAGCGAGCCTTCTTTCGACACCAAATCCGACCCCGAGGTCGTCCTCAAATGTGGTCCTGTACCTCACGTTGCTGCTTCACCACTCGGCAAGATGCGAGAAGGTGGAAGCGCGATCACTCTGAACGAGCTTCACACAGAGTCGAGTTGAAGGGAGTCGGCAAGCAGCCGAGAAGTTCTCACCCTTCTAAGCAACTGCAACGGCCAAGCCGAATGGGAAGAGGACGGGGGAGAGGGAGCTCACCAACGGCGATTTTCTGGAAATTCGTCGCTACTGCTGCTGCTGCTGCTGGTTCCGATCGCCATGCCGACGAGACGCGACGATCGGCGTAGGTACAAGCTCTAAATTGGACACCCAGCCACGCACAGCGGAAAATCCAACATTCTGGACCCTGCCTTAGCCTGCCAGTAATGTGCTCCTGTTTTGGTCCTGCATCGTTGTGCCAACACCCAGGAGTTGATACGATAGCAGACGTTCCAATGTCATGTCGGACCAGCTGACCGAGAACATAGTATGCACAGTATATTGAAGCGGAGTCGAAGCAGATGGACGGCAGCAGCCTGTCCCGGATACAGACGTGGATCAAAGACCAAGGCTGGCTTGTCTTTCTCTCGAGTGTACAACGACAGCGAAGTGCACTTTGCCATCGGCTCACTTGTCGAGTTGGGCTGGCTGACGTGCCGTTGTGGAATCGTCTTGTGATGGAACGATTCCTTCGGACTGGAATCCTTCGACTACATTCTGTCGCTTTTCCCGTTGGCAGCCCCATCTGCCAACAACATACGCTTCTCAAGTCGGGACGATGCCAGATGATGTCAAAGCTGGACCGCTAATAATGAAACTCGGGATCAAGCGGGAACAAGATTTACTGTAGTAACAAAAACACGCGACACGGACCGGTTTGAATCCGTGACTTCAAACTGCGCTTATTCATTCCGAACTTAGGTTTGAATTGAGGTCGCAGGAATGCAGTTTCACCAGGGTCCATCTCAGGGTTTCAAGCCGAGGTTTGACCGTTGAGCACTTTGCTGCTAAGGGTGCGCTGCAGGGCACGAGCACAACAAACATGTGCCTCACACTCCATTCACCGAGGAAGAAAGCAAACTCCGTTTTGCCCTTCGAAACAGTCGACCTCATTACAGTGTAGCGTCTACCTCTGTGCTTCATTGAGAAACGACAGATGCACGAACAAAAGAGCAAACGATACTGCAGTGGGAGGATTGTATGCTCTGGAACATTCTTGCAGCATGCGCCCGGCGAAATCGTTCATAGCTCGAGGTGCCTTATTCGGATGGTGGCTTCAGCCACAACCACCACGATCCGCTGCCCTTTTTGCTGGGGTGCGCCTCGTTCTGTCCTTTGACCAACGTTCGAGTTGCAATGTGCTCGATTTCGCAGCCCGAACATCGGCTTCCGCGGCTGCCCGTTGGCGGCTCTCTGTCTTGGGCGTTAAGTTTCTGTCATCCAGCATCGGCATCGTTGCAACCACAATACGGAGCGGAATGTGAAATTGTGCAGGGATACCTTGCAGCAGCGACTCGACGCACCTCGCTTGCCTGAGTTGTCTGGCTGCCAGAGGAGTCCGATCCCAGTTTGCAGAAGGAGAGCCTCGCGGCGCCAGTTCACGAACCGCCTTCCATTGCCGCAGGTGGGCTTCGTTTTTGACATCCAATCAGAAAATGCGCTTTTTCCACAGCGGCTCTGGAAGAAACGGAAAAACAAAGCTCTATACTGTAATGGGGGCAGACTGCCCATCATTTCGATTTGCCCCCGGGACAAAAGGGGTTCAAGACCCTGAAACTTCGCAGGTGAAGCTTTCTTTTTCATTGACCCTGCAGCAAGCAACCGACCGCTCCTGGGGCCCAAGTGCTTCCTGCCCCTCCTGTCCCTCTCCCTTTCCCTCTTCCGTGAGGTACCCCGAAAGTCCAGCCGCCCTTTAGGTCTTGCGGATCGAGCCCCAGAAAGCGACTTACCGTCGCCTGGAGAAAAGATGCGAATGGACGCCGAACGGGAGCCATTGCATCAGCTGGGTGAATTGAATGCAGTTCGACGTACACTGTACGCTGCACAAAAGAACTCAGTCGACGGTGCGGGTTGGATTCTGCCTTGGCACAACTCGGTCTCGCGCATGTCCTTCCCCACTAACGGCGTTCTTCTCTGATTGGCTGGCACGCAGAGAAAGGCTACAGAGTACTGTGGTGGCAGCTGCGAGAGGCTAGCTGGTTCTTGGTCTGTCTTAGCTTTCTAGTCTCCGCAAGACGCTTTTGATTTGATTTTGTACTTCGGGATTCTCCGATCGTCCTGTCTAATCAGACTTCACGATCAGCGCAAATCGAGACGAGACGCGATGTCTGTCTGCCTCCTGCCTGCCCTCGCTCGCAGAAGAATTCGGTCGCGTGCCCGGGATGCAGCTTTGACCCTGTTCGCTTTTCTCCTTCCTTTTCTTCGTCCTTCGAAATTGAGCTCACTGCAGCGTCAGCACACGGCGATTGAACCCTGACCCTGATTTTTTCTCTGGTTGAGATTCGCCTCTCAGCAGAACGGGCGAGTCGGAATTTGGATCGATTTCGGTCTGACACGGTGGCTCTGGCGTGGCGCCTCGTCTGCGGCACCGTCATCGCGAGTTGACAGCATCATCATCGTCATTCCTTCATCATCATCATCGGCCCCCGTCGACGTTGGGGCACATCTTCCCATTCGCAGGTTGCTGCGGCTTTGCCCTCGTTTGTTTCCCCCCCCCTTCCTGCAGAGTGTCGTCTCAAGCGTTGTTCGATCGGATTGGACTGTAGATGGCCGCACTGTAGCAACGGTTACGTCTGCTTCGCCCTTCTCGGCTCGCTTGCCTGGGTCGCTCTGTCTCCGATCCGCATCGCATAGCAAGGGTCTCTCTCCATCCTGCCGCATCACCCATATTTTTCTCCCCTTCTAGCCTGCTGCTCTGCTGCCTCTCTCAAGCTTGGCAGGGCCCTCTGCGATTGGCATCCTCGCCGCTTTTGCCATACAGATCGCGCCCTTTCTCCTTCTTGCTTCTTCCTTCCTCCTCGCCAACGTTAGGCTGTCCCCACGGCCGCTCATCCCCTCCGTCATCGCCGTCGTCGTCGCTGCTGCCGGTCTCCTCTCGATCGTCGCCGCCTGCTGTGGCACAGTAGTAGCCTTCGGTCGTGGCTGATCAGAGAGTATAGGCCCTTTCCGCTCCTCTCTTCAGCCACGCTGGACCCTTTCGACCCTTGTTTCCCCCTCCCTCCCTCTCTCCTGGCTCTCGCCCTCGCCCTCGTCCACCCTCATCGAGTCGCTTTCGTCATTATTGTCTCGTCAATCCTTCCGACGTCCCTTCGAGTTCGTCTCTGCGTCTGCCTAAAGCCACGTTGGTCGTCTGCCAATCATCCCTTGGGTTCGCCGGTATAGCTTATTCTGATCCCAGCACTTCTCCTCCTTGCCCACGATCCGCAGATCACGCATTCCTTTGCACCGTCTCGTCTACCGATCAGCGTGACCTCATCCATCTTCGCTCGGTACCATTCCCCTCTCACGTCGACGACATCATCTTGACGTACCCGCCTTCCTCGTGGCCTTGCTTTGCTGCGGCCTTCAACCGTCCTTCTCGCCTCGAGTCGCCGACATTACGCTCCGCCCAGCTCCTGTCTCGCTACCCTAAGTCGCCGGCATCTTCGACAGCTCGTGGTCGCGCACCCTCCAACCACTTTACCACGCTATCGACTTCCCGCTATCGTCGTTCGCTTCCCGCCGCTCTGCTGCTATAGCAAGTACGACAAGCCTACACCCAGGTTCTCTCCCTATCCCTTTGCGTCACATCGACCCGTCCTTAGACGCTGTCCTCCCGCCGATCAGCTTTGCTATCTGGCCTCTACCCTCCCTCCCTTCCATCATCATCATCATCATCATCGACACCATCAACTTGATCTTGACCAGCTTTCTCAGCGACATTACTACAATCAACACGTAGATTCACACTTAAACCAACAGCTCTTCAAACCTGCTACCACCAGGACCTCGACAAAGTACAATCCGACCCCTACGAAAGCCCATCTCAGCTCACGTAGATCCCACTCGACACCCTCCATCGACCAAGTTCAGCTGACCTAGTCGAACTTCGCCAAACCTCGCCGGCAACAACTGGCAATATCTATGCTCGACTAGACCCATTGTCTTTTCTATCCGCCACAAGAGATCGCTCTCAACGATCTCTCCCTCTTCTCTTCTACTCTTCTACAAACTCTTCAACGATCAGAAACTCGTCCAACGACTCTGATCTCCCCCTGACACTCCAAGCGTCAAATCGTTCCGTGGTGCGAGTTCTGTCTCATACACGTTCTCCCATCGCTTGCGCTTTGTGAGAAGACAGGTCCTGCATTTCGTGCGTTTGTCCACAGCCGAATCTTGAAAGCTGTTGCATTCGCATCCGACCCTTGCCTTCCAACTTCGCCCACCTCGTCATAATCTCCCGCGACCCATCGCCCCTTTATGCCACCTTTCTCCCTACCATCTGCCGGAGGCGTCGTTTCTTTGCTCAACGACCGTGCTCCACCCCCGTACAAGACCGAGCAAACGCCATCGTTCTCGGATCCATCGTACCACCACCATCATCCACGACACCGTCACCCCTCCCACTCAAGTATGTCCCGTTCTGCCTACGACTCTATCTCATCGTCAACAGAATCTCTCCTACGCAGTGGCGACCGTTCCACTGCTTCTACTTCTCCGCCTACTTCGGTAGATCTTGGCTCGTACGACAGTAGGTCGTCGTCCAAGCTCAGGTCGGCCCACGCCGAGCCCATACGACTGCCGCGCATCGAAGCGCCGCGTGACTTCCCCGAACCCCACCGTGGTCTGCAGGGACACAAGGTGCTCCGCGGCAATCACATCTCCTCCGAACCTCAGGGCTTCGGTGCACGTCCGGGAGAGCCGCTGCCTCCCTCTGTTACGGGCGTCTTCCCTCCAGGTCAGTGGGAGCGATCCGGCGCTTACCTCGACCCTCACGACTACAGTCGGCGCTCCTCGAGCAGCAGCTCCGACAGCACGTATCACTACGACCGCGCTATGCCCTACGGCGACGCAAGCATGGCCAAACGAACCGCAAAGGATAGCGGCTCCGGTGCCATCACCGTCGGCGGCAAGAAGCGCTACCCTTGCCAGCACCCCGGCTGCGACAAGACCTTCTCCACCAGCGGCCACGCTGCTCGTCACAATCGCATCCACACGGGTCAGAAGCCCTACCGTTGCACCTTCCCCGGATGCAAGGCCCGGTTCTCGCGCCAGGACAACAGCCTGCAGCACTACCGCACCCACATTCTCCATCCCAAGGGACGCGCTTCCCAGTCGGTGCAAGCTCGCGACGCGGCAGCCCAGCTCGAACTCGACCACCTCGACCTCGATGCTGCCGATGCTGAGGCCGAGGCCAAGGCTGAGCTCGGCCGACGCGCGCTCGAGGATGGCACCGCCATCGCCGTGGTCCACGAAGTCAAGGACCAGCACGGTCGCAAGAAAGGCGAGACCATCGAGAGGATGGTCGGCATGCCTCGAGGACAACGCGATTCGCTGCGTGGCGGTGGCCTCGACGGCGAAGACGAAAGTGAGTCGCCTTCGTCGATGGACGACGGCCGACTGAAGCGCGAATCCAGCTTGCCCGGTGTCGGCTTGGACGGCGTGGCCGGACACTACGAGGCTCCCGCTGACTACTGGACGACGCAGATGGCCAAGCAAGGTCGTCTTTCGCTGCCCCAAACCGGTGTGTCGTACGATCCTCGCTACCGCGACCCGGCTCCACCGGCGCCTTACGCCCGTGATGCCAGCATGAACGGCATGGGCTTCCCTGGATCTGCCCCTCCCGTCGCGTGGAGTCAGCAGGCTCCTGCTCCTTACATCGACCCTCGCTTCACCCCTGGCTACCCTCGTTCTGCCGCCGTGTCGGTCTCGCCGCATCGACGAGACATGTACTCGGCCACGTTGGATCCAGAGCTGGCCGGCGCAGAGAGGTCGTACGAGTCGCCTGCCGACTACCACCGTCGAAGCACGTCTACGAGCAGCAGTCAGCGCGATCGCGTGCCGCCTAGCGTTGCTGCCCTGCCGCCGCCTGGCTCCTCCGCGCGTCTGCCTCTGACCGCGCACGCCGCCTCGGCTCCCGTTTCCGTGGTTCCTTCGGCACGGTCTTCGCAGAGTCCTAAGTCGAGCCCCACTTCGAGCGCCTACTCCGTGCCCGAGGGGATCGCAGCCTCGGGTCTCGACTCGCTCTCGGCCGCCGCAGCGTCGTCGAGCCCAGCAGCCACCACCTCGCTCTCGGCACGCGGTCGACTCGGCGGCGGTGTCAACGGATCCTCGTCCGCCAGTGCCTCCTCCACACCGGCCTACCAACATCCCTACAGCTCGGACCGATCTACCAACTACGCCTCTTCCTCCCTGCCACCCATCTCGTCTGCACGCGATCAGGGCGGCGAAGACACCTTGGATCTGGATCGCAAGACCATGTCGTCCAGCCTGAGGAGCGGCCTCGCTCCCGCGGCTGCGACGGATCCCAAACTCACCCTGCCGCCCTTGAACTCTGCTGCTAGACGGTGGTAGACGGTGGTGATGAGCCTCTTCTCCTCTTCTCTCTCTCTCTCGCTTTCTCTCGTGTGTACAACTTCTTAGGATTCTGTCACCCATTTCCCCGACCCACATGTACGAAAGTAAAACTTGAACCGTTGCCGCTTGTTCCTGCTAGCGATTCATTGTTGTTGTAATGGTCCTTTCTTTCCTCCTCTTACTATACCTTCCTTCTGTGTTCGATTGTGTGTTGTTGGTGACTTGTGATACAGCTTGATGAGAGCATAGATGCAACAAAGTGCTGGTGCGTGATTGCGAGCGCAGTCACCGTCCGTGATAGGAGAAAGCTCGAGCAAGGATAAAGGTCTGGGAAGCTGAATCGAATGGACATAAAATTGCGGCGCAGAAAATCTGGCGTCGAGTATGGCATTTTTCGGATGTCGGACGACTCTGCGAAATTGGCACGGACCCTTGATTGAACCAAGACGGGTTTCTTCCATCTTGTCAAACATCAACTCTTAGACCGGTCTGTCCACGATCGTCTACGCTGGCTTGTACAGAAGGCCCAGCTTCTGTCGGCAAGAATGGTAAGTATCAGACACGCGCCAAACTGCTTCGCTGTGGTCACAAATGCCATCCAACTCGCTCCCTGCTGAAGTGACCATCCTGACACGCTTCTCACTCCGCCGTTTTGTTACCTACACTGCCACTCTCTTGTACCACCTCGCAACCTGCTCACACCCTACCTCGCCTCCCACCCAGGTGCGAGGTCACGCAAAGCAGCAAGCACAAGAAGCAGCCGCCAAGAAAGCCGCCGCCGCCAAAGGTGGAAAATCCCAACTCGGCGAAGCCCGACAAAAGGGTCTCAAGTTCACCTGTCCAAGATGCATGGCCCAGAGTCCTGTAAGTTCTTAGAAACATTCAAGAAGAGAGAGACGCACAGTGTAGGCTGACGTATCTTGCGATGACAGAACTATGGAGTATTGAAGGAGCATTTCCAGAACAAGCATCCGAAAGATGCTGTTCCAGCGGAGGACAGTTTCAGCGCGTAGGCAGCACCACACGCACGACGACGGCGAGTAGCGTCGCAAGCAAACGAGAACTTCGCAACTAAGATTCGGCATCGAATAGAAACATTGCATTGACAGCGACCAAGTCTGCGATCTCGGGTTTGACAGACCGAACCAATGGCTAGCACCGACCTCCGCACCCCTCATTGTCCGTATGGCTTCTTCAACCCAGCACATGCTCCAACACCCCGTCCAACCAGCCTACAACCCGCTCCACCTCCTCCTCGGTATTGTAGTGCACCCAACTCACCCTCACCACGCCGTCCTTGAGATCGAGCCCCAAACTCTCGACCAGACGATGTGCGTACATGTGTCCCTGCTGTGCGCCCATCTTCCCGCCTTCCACCAGCGCCGTGTGGATCGCCTTGCTCGTGCCGACCCGTTGTTTGCCGGTGCTTGGATCGATCGCGACGAACGCCACCGTCGGAGCTCGTTCGGAAGAGGAGGAGGATTCTACACCGACGATCCGCACTCCCTTGGAGGCGTGTTTGAGCAGAGCCTGGATGAAGAGCGAGGAGAGCTTGGATTCGTGATCCGCGATCTTGGCGAATGCCCGATCGAGCACCTCCTCTGCTTGAGCTCGTGTCATCTTCACCCTGCCACTGCTCGCCGCACCATCAGAACCTTTCGTCTGTGCGACGTAGGGCAGAGCGCTGGCTCTCTCGAACAACCCATTCCAATCCACCTCCTCTCCCTTTTCGCCAACTTTACCTCTGCCTAGGGAAACCAGATAGTCCGCCACGGCAGCGATACTGTGGTTCAGCTCATACTGCACCGAACTCGTCTGGAAAGGATACATCCCCTTAATGCCCTCCCCCTCACCAGGCGATGGTTGGAGGAAGAAGTGGTTCAACCTCTTCAGCTGCGTCTTGACCCGTGGGTCGATGTACATGGCACCCACGTGGGCGCCGTACGTCTTGTACAGGCTGAAGAAGGCGATATCCACCCCCCATACGCGGGGTTGGACGCGACGGTGCGGTGCGAAGGCTACGCAGTCGACGACGATCAGCGCGTCGGGAGCGATGGATCGAACGATCTCTACGGCTTTGGGGATGTCCGTGAAGGCGCCGAGCAGGTTGGAGCATGCAGTGAATGCGACCAACTTCGTCCGCGGTGTAACGATGTCCTTCAAAGCGTCCGGGTTGAGCGTTGCTGCGAATGCGTTGTTCTGCGAAGTCGTTTCGACCGGCCAGTTCTTGAGCTGCATACCCAGCCTCTTCGCCAACCTAGTCCACGCACCCCTGTTGGTTTCATGATCAGCATCGCTGATCACCACCTCATCCCCCTCACCCCACCTTCCCTGATTCTCGATCATCAACGCAATACTCGCCACCAGCGCAGTAGCACTCTGACCGATCATCACGTCGTCCGGCGACTCGGCTCCCAACAGCACCGCTGCTGCACACGTTCCCAGCGATACGTTTCGTTCGGCACTCACCGCAAGCGGATAAGCACCCATCTGCACGTTCGTTCGCAGGAGGTACGACGTGATCGATTCGGCGACGGTGGAGAGCACCTGACTTCCGCCCGCGTTCTCGGCGAACACGTAGCCAGACATGCCCGTGTTGGGGGTGTCGGCGAAGACGAGCGCTGGGAATTGGGCCCGGATGCGCTGCAGCTCGGCTGCGGAGAGGGTGGCGGTCGTCGACATGGTTGTGAGTGCTTGGGCAAGGATCAAGGACGTGAAGTTGAGTTGAATAACGGTGTCAGATGTTTGGAAGAAGATAGAGCAGAGATCTCGTATCCGAACAGACGGCGATGGGGTGGGAAGGGGAGAGAGGGTAGAGAACAGATGGCGCGTGCTCTCCTTGGGGTCGGCAGACACGGAATGCATTCACCCGAATTCACCGGCGAAATTGCCGATCATTTCACCTTTCCGATCGCCCGCCCTGCACAGGGTCTGACAGCACCAACCACGCTCCTCAACACCAGACACACCTTACGATCTGGTACAAGTACATTCATGCCTCTTTCCACTACATCGTCTTGGGGTATATCTCGAAACACACATTCCTCTACGCCCTCCCCTTGACCGCCACCGCACCGCTCGTCCCCGTCGTCCTGGCCATCGTATCCCTCAACACGGTCACCAGATTCAACGCCGCATTCGCCCCGACCTGCAACGACCAGAGGCTGACGTTCTTCAGCCGCTTGCTCGACGCATTCTGGCTCGCGACGTGGTTCGCCAGCGCCTCGTAGATCTTCTCGGACACCACGGGCAGCAGACCCGTCTGCGCCAGGTCGAGCGAGCCGTCGAACTCGCTCAGATCCATCACGATGCGACACCGGATCGGGATGAGCGTCTTGTTGGCGTTCATGAAGGCGACGATGGGCCGGACGAACGCGTTGGTGCTGTAGCTAATGTCGTGCGTGAAGAGGGGCACGGCGGCTTTGATGTCTTTGAAGCGCACGTCCATGTCGATCACCACGGCGGGAGGTGGGATCGACGTTTTGGGCTGGGTTGCGTCGTCTGGCTGCTGGCGCGATGAAGACTCGGCACTGCTCTCCGATGACGGCTTTGCCTGAGACTCTGATCCGGCTCGCCTCTTTGCCCCGACCATCGGCGGTTCTCGACCTTGGCGCCTCGCCTCTTCGTTCTCCTTGCGTACACGCTCGGCCATAGGACCCACCGCAGACACCGGTGCCTCGATCGCAGGCCCGCTCAGCCGGTGCTGCCCCGGAATCGGATCATCATCGCGATCCCGACTCGGCTCACCCGACAGCGCCGCCGTCAAATTGTCCAGCACCTCGATGATAATCGTATTGATATCCGCCTCGTCATCCAGATCCCGCGGGAACTTGATATCCGCCACCACGTCAAACTTGCCCGACAAGATCCACGAGATCGGGCCCGTCAGATCCGACTGGTTCTGGATGTGGTCAAAGTTGACACCGTCGACGCGCATGCGCGACATGGTCTTCCACTTGGAGTTGGAGATCTCGCGGTCCTGCTCCACCGTGCGGCTGATGTTCTGCGGCTTGTGCAAGCTGAACAGACACCCGTCCACCTGGCCCGTGATCGACTCGGCGCTCAGCAGGTCGTAGAACATCCACTGCTTGCGCAGCTTGGGTATGTGCGCGCTGAAGATGCTAAAGTTGAAAGGGCGGAAGTCGTTCGGCTGGTAGACGGTGACGAGGAAGTCTTCGACCACGACGGATTCCATCTCGAAATCGCCGTGACTCGGCTGGCGTCGAGCAGCTTTGGGATCGTACGGTTTGGCTGGATCCCAGAACACGTTGCGTCGGTCGACGATGCCTCGCACACCCCGGACGACGGCATCCTCGATGAGTCCCTTACCATCGAACCATCGCTGCAGACTCAGCGTCACATCGATCGAGTCCACCTGCAGGTCGAACATGGTGTAGTTGGTGTTGACCGTATCATCCTCGGCCAGATCTTCGCCACGTGCCTCATCGCTCATGGGCGGCGCCACCTCTTCCACCTCCTCGTAGTGCGTGCCTTCCCACGCCATACCATCGCCAGCGGTGACCGCAGTGCGACGCTTGACCTTGTTGGGTCGGTTGGCGCCGCGATTGCGAGCCTTTTGCCGCCTCTCCTCGAGCAACGAGTCGACATCTCCGTGGGCTCGACGAGAGATGAATACATTCTTGAAGCTGATCTTGCTCTCCTTCCACTTGGGAACTATGGCGCTCTCGAACACCACAGTGACACCTGTCTCAGCCGTGAGGTAGTCGGCGATCTTTCTCGCGATCCACTCTTGCAAATTGAGCGCGTTGAGAGCTGCAAAGATGAGTGAGAAGAACGTGGTGGTGCCGACGATGATGAACACGGCGGTGGTGAAACCGCCGAGGGTGAAGAAGGCACTGATGTCGTCTGCGTTGAAGCGACGGAAGCCGCGGATGGTGAACCACTTGAAACGGATGCGGAGTCGTGTCCAAAATCCTTGCGCGTATCGTAGCAGATCTTCCTTGGACGGTCTGAGGCGATGCTGGTCGTGCGGCTGGACTTCGTTGGATTTCGAGGGCTGAGGCTGTCCACCCTGCGAGGAGGCGGGTACGGCACGCATTGCCAACTGTCGAAGCGACGCAGGGTAGTTGGCAAAATGATGATAGGCGCGCTCGGCTGTCGTCAACTCTGTGCTCTGAGGTCCAGGTTTTGCCCCGCGGCCATTCTGTCCATCTGGCTGTGCAGACTTTGGCGGATCTGTTGTTTGATGACGAGCTGTATCCGCAGTCGGAGCTGCGGCAGGTGAGTCTTTCTTGACATGATCTGTGTCGGGTCGGTCTTTGTCGTCAAATCGATCTACACGAGCAACATGAAAGGCACGAGCTTGCTGCGCGATGCTGCTGGGAGGCGCAAAGATCCGAAGTTGAGTAATTGAAGCGGAATGTGACGCTGCCGAGAAAGCATTGCGGGATAGATACGTTTGTTGCTGTATGCTTGATTGTGGTAGACGCTGGAAGAACGATTGCACTGCAAGGTAGCTGTCTCTCACTGCATCTCGCCGTAATTTGGACGAGCCTTGGCCATGATCGTGGACGTGCGCTCGCGTCGAGCGTGCTTCTGCGATGCGATCCGATTGCGAGATAGGAGCTTTCTCAGAGGCACGAGTAGCTGTGTCCGCGAACCGCAAGGACGCTGCCGCCTTCCGCGCTGTCGGAAGTGCCTTGATGGAGGGTCCTGGAACAGCTGCGATCGCGCCAAGCGCCGAGTTGAGCCGAGATCCGTTTCGCGACATGATGCGAAAGCGCGCCTGGCGAACTATGTCGGATCGGCTCGCGAGCAAGGGTGGTGTACGGGCTAGCGCCGTCTAGCTTGTCATCTTGATGAACAGCTCGGCTTCGATACGCAGGTGTGTTCTGGGTCGTGTCGGCGCGTTCAGGCTGAGGTGATGGAGGAAAGAGTAGATGATGTGTCTGCGAGGTGTGTGCGGAGAAGGATTGTGACAGCTCGAGCGTGTACATTCCGTTTGTCAGCCTCGGCTCAACCGCTGAAGAGGGCAAAAAAAAAAAACAGTTCCCCGAAGCAGCCGCTCCAATTTTTAGCTTGGCACGCAAAAGACGTGAAGTCGGAAAGGGAGCACGAGCGCACAGACACGCAAGCAAAGTTTCTAGTTTCGACCCTGAACCGCTGCACCAAGTTACCGCGGATCTTACTCACATCGCTTGACTTGAGCGTGTCAGACTGATTGACGTCCAGCTCAGGCAAGCTGTCATCATGTTTGTGCTCATCGCGTCTCTGAATCGGATAGTTCCACATGGCAACCTTGCGACATAATCATTCAATCTAGTAGAAGGAGAGACGTAACCAGATACATGCAATTGAAAAAAAAGGTCGAGCCGTGCCTTTGACAGAGCGTGGTGTCCATACGCTTTTCCCCAAAAGCTTCTGTTGGCGTAGCACTTCATGCAGCAACCGTCTTCTTGCTGACTTTGAGGATCTGGCGAGTCCAAACCTCAAAGTAGTCCCTAAAGTAGAAGAGCAGCGCCTGGGCAAGCACAGCCTTGGTGATCTGAGCCTGCATGCCCTGGTACCATCCGAGGATACCCTTCTCCTTTGCAATCTGCGTAAGACAGTCGATGGCACCCGTGTACTTTGTGTTCTTGGCCTGCAAGCGGATCTTGCTCAAGATGTATGGGAACGTGACCACGGTGGCCAAGGTCTTGGAGAGCGCTCCGACGAGGAACGACTTGCCCGGTGTCATCTTTCCGTCCAGCGACGAGGCGAGGATGATGGTCTTGACACGTTCAAACACACCGTACGTGATGGCTGGGTTGACCGTCAGCACCAGCGAAGGCTTGAGTCCGCGCCAGAGACCCGTGACACCGTCTTGCTTGAGAATGTCCTTGGCAACGCCCAAGAAGCTCTCGTCCACTGGCTTGCCGTCCTTCGAGCTCTCGGACGAGCCCAGCTGCTGCCGCGTGGCGATCACGCTGACAGGGATGGTGAAGATCTGAGCAAGCGCACCAGCAATGGCGCCCATCACAAGCTCGGCAGCCGTGCTCATGACAGCGACACCCGACGCACTTCGCTTGGCCAGTCGGTTCTGGTAGAGCGTGCGAACCACCGAGTACCAGTAGAAGTAAGCGAAGCCCGTCGAGAACGTGTTGACCATGCTCGCGCCAAAGCCCTTGTACAGGCCGGCAGCACCTTCCTTGCTGCGGATGATGTGGAGGATGCCCTTGATCATGCCTACATTCTTGGGCACAGTGATGATGGTTTTGGAGGGATCCTTAGGGTCGCGCGCCTCCTTGCCGGCAACCACTGCAGAGCTCTCACCGGCTTGAATTCGCGTCTTGACTGTGTCGAGCGGGTAGATGACAGCATTGGAAAAGACGCCACCGAGTGCGCCGGCAAGCGCCTGGCCGAACGGCGTGAGGGGTTCTTCTGCCATGGCGATGTATGTGTGTACCTGTTGCGCCGGACTAGGGAAGGCGGGTCGAAAAGCAGAGTTCGAGGCGAGGCTGGATGGGGTCCGCAAAAGGGGTTTCGAGAGAACGGCCGGTCTACAGAAGGACCAAAGATAGCGATAACAGTGTCGGTACTTGACCTCGCAGATGTACAGCTATCAAGAGGGAGACCAGATGAGGATGAAGTGAGCCGTTCGTCGTTTGATGTCGGCCTCGTGCGATAAGACGGCAACCTAATGGTATCAGATATGGAGCGGAGCGTTGCTCGGGCAGGTGTCCGTATTGGTGGGTAGCAAGGCGACTACGGAGCAATTGCGGTGATTGTCCGTCCGCCAGGAATCAGCTCAGGGAGTTGCTAGCAGCAGGTGTTGGTGGTGACAATCAAAGGTAACGATTGAAGCAAGTTTGATAGTCGACAAGACCGAGGTGCACAGACAGGTTCAAGCGTGGCAGGAAGATTCCGATTTGCGGCACTTGCACACAGCAAAGCGATGATGCAGCGAATTCAAAGCCGCTCGCGTCCGTCCGTCCGTCCATCTTGTCTGGTTGCTCGTCATGATAACTGATCCTGTGATTTTGCGGGAGCCCCGTACGGCTTAATTTTTGTTGCCGTCACAGACCGGACAAATGGCCCAAAGGCTTCACCGGCTTGGGCAGTCGGACAGTCTCGCATTTTCGCGATAGCCGGTCTCCCTTGATGCATCCATCGGTCACTCATCCGGCTGAATCACAACAAAAAGAAAAAGAAAAGGAAAGGATTCATTCATTTCCGATGACCATTTCCTGCGCTCCTTCCCCGCTCGAGCGTTGTTGAAATTCTCCACCTTTTCCGTTCCGGCAAGGTGAAAAAGCGAGTGCCGGGTGTACATCGTCTCTGCGAAGTACTGTTCCGCTGTCTATGATCGAAGATGCGACATCTATAGAGTTACGGGGGAGCTCCATGCTATCCTTGGCCTGATCTACGATGGCATTGAGTTGTAGCACTCGGTGCGAGGTGCACGTTCGTCGGGCAGCTTGTGCTCGAGCACGATCTGTGCCGGACCAGCAGCAAAAGTCATTCTGTGAAACCGCTTTTCCGGCCAGACGAGCCGATTCCCGCCCGAGCCCAGCAATTTGCATCCACGTTCAATCGGCCGAAAACAAGATGCAGCCAGCGATCCGCTGCTAACACTTGATATTCACCCGTTCCCTTTCCTTGTTCGGTCAGGGTCACCTTTGTTCGCGACTCGCGGTCCTCTTATCACGTAAAGTTGGACGAAGGGCACTCATACACAGACATGCCTTCACACGCTGACTTGGTTGGACTTGATATGTCTTTGGTGTGAAATGCGACTGGCATATTCATGCCGAGACTGATGCGAATGCGAACAGAGACTGGAAAAGAGCGATGAGAATCTATCAAGATGCGAATGTCCGAACGCAGCGGGGCAAATGTAGGGCGACTAGCAACATCAATAGCCCTGATGAGACGATTGTTGTCGATAAGGATCAGTATGCCTGTACTGCTCTGCATGCTGGAATTCCGGTTGGTTCGGATGCGACCATTGGTCCGCATACCCATGCTGAGAGCCGTGGTACTGATCGTAGCCACCGCCACTGTGGCCGTCGACTTGATACTGCTGATGATGATGCTGTTGCAACTGGTACGCATCACCGCCTGCGTGGGTGGGATAGTCACTCATCATGTAGCTATGCCGTTGCTCGGCCGTGATGTCCGGCGAAGGCTCGTGCGAGTGGTAGTAGGCATCATAGACATCGTCCAGACCACCGACGCTGGTGCTCGGACTATGCGACGACGAGTTGGCGCCCGATCTCGCTCCATTGCTGTTGCTGTACCGGCCCGGGTGCAGCTCCCCGCCAAAGCCATCCGTGCCGTATCCGACGGCGAGATGGCCGTTGCTGCCTTGGTGTACTGTGCTCGCGGGGGCAGCAGATACCTCAACAGCAGGTGTAGCACGATCGTATCCACCCTGTCCGTTGTATGGTGCATATGTCGAAATGTCAGGCGCTGGTGGTGGCGGGTAGTCGAGTCCGTCGACGCCGTGCGTGTTCTGCGGTGGTGGGTAGTCCAGCCCTTGCGATCCGTACGGCGTGTCCTTATGCGTGCCAGATGCATCCATGCGAGGACTCTGTCTGCCGTACAGGTCAAAGGCATCCGCACTTGCGCCATGTTCCTGAGACATGCCCCCGTTGCTGGCATCCAGCAGTGCTCGATGACCCGACGCGGGGTTGTTGCTGCTATAGGGATCCATGTGAGGCTGCGAAGAAGGCGGTGCGGGCGAGACTCTGCCCGGACCACCACCGACGCGCTGAGCAAACAGCATCGGACTGGTGCCGATAGGACCCATGCGGTCCGCCATTGCATCAAAGGCCGAGTGCGACATGCCCGGCGCAAAGTCGTTGCCCGCCGGGCCAGCATTCGAGACCAGATTGGCCGTGCTGGCGTACTCGGGCTTGTCGTAGCCGAGGCTGTGGGACGAGGGAGCGTTGACGCCGTAGAAGTGCGACGGCCCAACACCTGGCGATTGATATCCTGGCACACCTGGCTGGCCGTAATAGCCTGCGCCGTTGCCCTGTATGGAGCTTCCGACGCTGTTGGTACGTTGCAAGGCTGCAGACTTGACGGGCTTCTCGTCGTTAAGCAGATCGATGTCGACCGTCGGCAAAGTAGGCTGTGCCATCGCCTGTCCGACCATCTGACCTTTCTTGTTCATGAGATGCGAAAAGTCGCCCGCAGCCTCCTTGCGAGCGATCTCGGCAACCTTGGCGAGACGCTGCTTTTTCTTGAGATGAACGAGTTCCGTGACACGCTTGTCCACCTTGTGGCAGCAGTACTCCTTGAGGTTGCCCTTGATGTAGCAGAGAAGCGGGATGTAGGCGATACCAGCCAGCATAAGCAGGATGATCGAACCGGCAAACACAGCGACGGTGAAAAGCATCGAGAGGATCATGATGCCTGTAAAGATGTTGCCCTCATAGTAGTCGTACGGGTTCGTGCTCCAGTTGGCGAACGAACCGAGACCGTAGAGTGTGAAAAAGTTGATGACCTGACGCGGACCATCGGCGACGAGCAAACGCTTCCAGCCCTTGAAGGTGAAGAAAATGAAGAAAGCCAGCTCGTCCTTCTTCTTTTTGCTGTCATTGATGTGGTCGAAGAAGCAAAAGTGATCGTAGCTGCGCAGAGAGTAGTAGTTGTTGGCCATGACGTTGGTGTAGGCGTAGCTGATGTCGCGGCTCTTGACGATGGCGCGCGACTTGTGTGCCTCGTAGGCGAGCAAGAGGAAGGAAAAGATGATGCATCCGCTAAAGATCCAACGACCGTACGAGATGGGAACGCGGAAGTTGTTCTGCGGATCATTTTGCACCTTGTCGTAGAGACTGCCGCTGAAATGACCGAAGGCTAACAGCGTGACGGCGGTGTAGATGTCGGCAACGTACACTGCGAACGACTTGACCACCATGATGAAGAGAAAGACGTACTTGAATTGTTGAAAGCATCCATTGTTGCGAAAGTCACGAACGTCGATAAAGTCAAACTTGTGATCGGGTACCTCTTCGCGCTTCCAGCTGGCGCTCCCACAGCACATTGTGGACAAGAAATGGAGCGAAGTCTCGACAGCAAGTCAGCTTGCCGCTCCAAGGATGAGTGGTGCGGTGCTGATAGAGCGTGCTCAAGCGCAGAATCGATGCGCTTGAACGAGGTGCTTGCTTGCAGCAAAGATGGCCGGCAACTTTGCGAGGTCGCGCTTGTAGAAAGAAAGTGCGTGGCGAGCCGGTCGCCTGTGTCCAGTAGGGAGCGCGATTGAGGATGAGGTGCCGAAAGGATGAATGTGAACTGCCTCAATTAAATTGGCATTGCTGGTCGCCAAAACAAGTGGATACAAGCGAAAAATAGACGAGGATATGGCGGGAGGCGGGAAAACAAAGACAGCAGCGCTTTACGAGCGATGAATCAACCAGATGGGAAGCGATGCCGTTGTGGCTGCAATTGAAAGAGTGTCGGATGGATTGGGATGCAATGTAGAGCAGATGGTGTGTCGTGCGCAGCGAAAGTGGAGGTATCAGTAGAGCAAGAAGAAGAGAGAGTGAGATGATGGAGAGGAGCGATGAGATGGGCTTGAACGATGGTGTGACGAAAGATACGATGGACGTCGCGAGATGGAATCCGAGGTCCAAGTGTTGGTTTCAGGAAGTGGCTGTCAACAAAAAGCCTCTCGCCTTCGAAACGTCTGCATGCTCTTGGAGCCGAAGCTAATTTTCCACATGAAGTCGGATCATCGATCTGCAGTCCCTGCGCTCGGCGATTTGATCTGCTTGCTCGCTAAGTTGTCACTGCTAAGCATCAACAGAAAGGGCAATACTGCATAGGAAAGGAAAACCGATAAAATGGCCTGCACTCGGCGTTCTTTCAGCGCCATGCTCGTGGCATTTGCGTGTGTGCTTCGTGTGTGTTTTTTCCATCACGAGGCGGGACAGGGACGCGTTGGCCGCGAACCCAGAAAACAGTAAGTTTATGAGAAAACGGCCTAACATTTTACTTCAAACTGGATACATACGGCCGAGTGACACTAGAACGTAATTTCCCACGTTGCATCACTGTGGAGCAGCAGCCACGCTGTCGGGCTAGCATTCAGAAAGGCTGGTCGACGGGGGTGTCAAGAGCGACAAAGATCTTGATCTTGACACTTGAAAGCTTGTCTCGCTCCGAACCCAGCGATGAGTGAATCGCTTCCGGCCAGCACGTTTTGATCGCACAAGGTCGAGGAGAAATGATACGGATAACCAATTCTTAGCGATAAGATACGGTCTAGCCATCCCGACGGCTGATGGTGCCGATCCGGGTTGATCCAAAACGACAAGCGAGGTCCCCACGAATTTTCCGTCTCATGAGGAAGACTGGCTGTGTTTGCCTGCTCGCGATTATTTATCTTATGGCAGGGCCAAGCTGCTTTCCCAACGCGCATTGCAGCTGCTCGACTCGAATGGACGCAGAGCGCCTTGTCTCAAGCATACGACATGACGAATCATATATACATTTGAGGTGTCAATAGATGCTTGGGATGACCACCGCTACGGTCGAGTTGCATGGGCACTCCATTTTGCCCGGACAGTTGACCGATGGACGAGAAACGTGCACACAATCTCGCTTGCACCTATACGCCATCGCTGCAATTCCAGTGAAATATGGCGTCGACGGCGATTGAGACCAGGACAGCCCGTTGTACCTTTTGGCGCCTTTCACAGTTTGTCAAAGGAACTTTGATTCCGGTCATCGGATCATGCGTCCATTGTACAAGGTGATCGGGAGTGGTCACGAGTCGTTCAAGTCGCTCGCACATGGATTCTGAGTACAGAACTTTTATTCATTTACATATCGTATGAATGAGAGAAATTCATATTCTTGGCGAATCGGACCTCGAAGCGGCGAAATGCGGTGAGCTGCGACGGCAAGGGCTTCGACGCCCACTCTGGCTCGTCCCGGGCTAAAGAGCGGTTTCGGCCTTCGAATTTGGCGAGGCGGCCACGTTCTGAATAAATAAATTTCGATTGATCCCATCATATGGTAGTTGACAATGACGTCGCCTTGTCAGTAATGACCAGATGACGCTAATGCTACGGCCGGACCGTATCACTGTCATCTACACCACAGTCCACATAGAGACGAAGGAGAGTGCAAGCATGCTTTTGACACTCGTGACGTGACCAGGTTCGGTGCTAGTCAAAAAAAGTATAGAGCACGCGACAGCCATGAGATGTCAAGTCGGCGGTCTCCCATTGTCACCACTACACCGGCGCCCTTGGACGTGCTGGAGCGGAGGAAACGACAATCAGCATGATTACCGTTTCATTCCTTTCTATTTCCGTCATCAACGTCGGTCTTGCTGTGAGCAGAACGTGCAATGATCGCCGGCGTGCTTTCTGGAAGCGCACCGTTGTTAGCCGAGGTGAGCTTTGTGGGAGCAGCACAAAAGAATTTACCAATATACAATTGTAGAGTGTACTCAATTTTGTGCCGCTGCAGCCAAGCAAAAGGGTTTCGTGTGCATACTCTAGCAGCTCCCACCAGGCACCAAGTGAGTGGAAAGTCGGCGGGCAGAAGCGATTTTCCTACTGGTTCCCGTTTTTGTCTTGGAATATGCATGCAATGAAGGCTGCAGGTGGCTTTGCAGCCTTCGCACTTTTAAACTTTTCCCGCTCCCGACCCTTGTTCTGCTGTCTCACTTTGCCTGATTGAGCTCGAGTAGGAGGAAAGACCGTCTTGGGTGAAGGCTGTCTCAGAGGTCGACTCTTGCTTCTACTTCATCGTACTGGCCGCCTCGCTTCCAGAAAACGGAAACAGACTTGTCGGCGGTTTGGCATTCTCTCTCCCATGCCCAATCTCTTGTGGCGAGGCCATCGCGACCTGTCCTACGTCGTATAAGTCGCTCCCTGGTGTGCCCGCAGAGCGATGTGCTAAAGACGCCTTCCTCTCCCACACCTCTAACCTTGCCATCCGCCACGACCCTAAAAATCGCCATCGATAGTCCCACACCTACCTCACGCTCACGGAACTCTTTGCATCGACAGTTAAACTCAAGTCCCACGTCGGCCCACCCGGTTCATCGGCCTCGCATCCGACTGCAAAATTTGCCTGCAGCACCATGGGAGAACGCACGTCGAGCTTGTTTGCCAAGTTGACGCTCAAGTCGAAGCGTCAACTTGCCGCGACCCCTTCGAATGCCGCTGCTGCTGCTGCTGCATCATCGTCCTCGTCGTCGGTTCGCTCTGCTTGCAGCCCCGTCACTACGCCCGAGACGGAATCGCCCACTTCGTTCTCCGGACAGGTCGACTACGGTCTGGGCTACTCGAGCATCCACCACGAACGCTCGCCCAGCTACAACGGCAAACGCTCTAGCAGAGCAAACCTACCACGCCCCATCGAATTCGATCGATACGCATATTCAGAGCCAAACCCTGCCTACCCACAGTCACCGCGCTTAACCCACACTCGCAGTCGTTCTCGATCCGAGAAGCTCAGCCTCGTCCATCCCGAAGAGGATCCGCTCTTTGTCGAGATTGTCGACGGAGCTGCACCGACACCGACCATCCAGTCCACTGTTCGCGCACAATTTCGCGCTGGCACCTTGCCGCCGGGCTACGCTGCTGTCGACCTGGCTCGTCCACAATCTCCCTTCGCCATCAGCAGGTCTGGCTCGCAATCCCACTCTCGAAGTCCACCTGCGCGCATCGCGCCTCGTCGGTGTCACTCCGCAGCCGATCGCGACGGTGTCCACGGCCTTCGCTCAGTTCCCGTCGTTCCACTCGCGCAGAGTGCCGCTCAACTTGACGAAACGCCGATATCATCGTACTATGTTGTCGCGCGTGGCTGGAAGAAGGGTATCTACACAGCAAAGGAGGATGCCGAGCGTCAAATTCGCAACGTAAGTACCGCTCGTTTTTCACAACTTCATTTGCGACTTTCTCTGACTTGTCTCCCGCTCGACTTCATCCATTCTATAGTTTCCAGGCCCTTTGATACAACAGTTCCATGACCGAGCGGCAGCCGAAAGCTTTCTCGACAACCCTGACCGACCCGCTATGCAGCCTTCATCCTTTGACGAATCCGACGAAGAATTTGTGGAAAGAACGAGAATCTTCAAGGGACTCGATCCAAGCAGCGACCTTGCAAAGCGCAGAAGTATTAGCATGAGCGCCGAACGAAGGCAGGCTCAGCGCATGTCTCGTCTTCTCATCGCCACCCACTCGCCCCTCCGTGGTCACAGCTCCACTTTTGCCGCTGCGGCTGCTGCTGTCAATTCGCCTCCGCTCTCTCTGCACAGCATGTTCTCCGACACGGCTCCCATATCACCCATCGAGGAGCTTGGCGGCGGCTTCGGCAGCATGGCGAACGGAATGACGTTGCTGCCGGTCACGCACCTCGCCAGCGCAATGACTTTCTACGCCCACATCCTCGACTTCATCTGCGTCTCGCACGAGCCAGGACTGCAAGCCGTCATGAGCTCGCCCGCCGCGACTGTCTGTCTGCGCACCATCCCGCCATCTTCTCCCTCGTCGAATGAGCCTGACTTACACAACAATTCGAACGCATCGACTGGCTCAGCTCCGTTTGCCAACGGACGCACTGCTCCACCAACTATATCCCGCATGCATTCGGATCGCACGAATCTCGCTTTACCGCCCACTCCCGAGTCGCCAAGCCTCTCGTCCAAAGATCCAGAGCCGCTCGATCTGCCTCCCGGCAGTATTCCGCTCAGTCAAGCAAATTCCGTCTGGTCTGCGGCAACTGTACTGATTGAGCACGACGGCGCACTAGAAGCGATGCATTCACGCCTCACGGCCAAGCTCAATCAATGGCGAACTGAGCACGGTCAAGATGCGCAGTGCACACAGCGTCCCGCCCACAGCGCAAAGCTCCTTGGAGGCGTGCGGCAGACCTCTTGGGATGCGCAGGAGCTGCACCTGTGCGACCTGGACGGTCATCGTATCATCTACACCACGCCTTTGTCCCGAGGCAGTCCGGACAAGAGCTTATTCTGACAGCGCTTTTGAACTGTATTTGTTCCGCACGCATAGAAGATACCCGAGCAATACACTCTTTGCGCAGCTGTCCCCTTTCTTTGTCCGTTCATCCAGCGTGCTGATGAGCCCTCTGACCAGAAAGAGGAGCGCTTGAGAGACAACATAAGTCCCGCCAACTGACTGCTGACCCCCTTGACTTTTCATCGTCCCTTCCGACCTCCCGCCTTCGGCGCCCACGAAGATGTTTGGCTCGCCAGACGATCGCAGCTGCGTCAGCCACAGCAGCGAAACGTCCATGCCGACCATCTCTGACAGCGACTTTGTCCGCGATGCTAAGCAGATTCACTGGCAATCACGTCCCGATCTCAAGGATGCCGCGGCTGGAGCATCTCTGCCTCCACACAGCTTTGATAGCTTGATTCAGCCTGATGCTGGATCTTCAAATTCCGGAAAGGGTGTCGGCAATGTCAAGGCGAAGATGAAAGCGGTGGCGAGGTTTTTGACTTTCACGTCAAAGCATCGCCCACCGTCTAGCGAGCCTTCGGTTGATGCTGTTGCGCCTGTTGGCGAAACAAAGGTCCCTATCGCAGAGCCGTGTCTGCCGAGAAGCATCGTTACTCCGACTCGCGAGGACCGAAAGAATCAACAACGAGCGACTCGTAACGACAATTCCAAGCCGACAGCAGGAGATCGTCCTCAGTATGGTGCTTCCAATCCAGCGACTAAAGATGGATTTCAGACGATGGCTGAAGGAACCAAAGCAAAGCCTGTCATTGAAAGTTTGCCGGAACGACTCGATTCTCAACACGACCTGATGAGCCGACCGCCACCTCCTCCGCCACTCGATGCCGGTGCGATCAAGTCTGATGCTGGATCGGTGAAGACATTCTCAACGCCCGTTCCTCCAATGACAGCCATGTTGGCAAAGAAAAGGTATCCTCGCGTACCCGAGACGCCACTCCTCTTTCCGCCTCGAGAACAGCAACCAGTCCGCATTGCCACACCTCATCCTATCCGACCAGCCGCCGTTCGTGTGGCCAGTCGTCCTCTGCCGCCTACACCAGCTCTTGCTGCGCTGTCCGCTGATCGACTCCAGAAACCACTTATGGGGTTGGGCTTATCCGTCGACCCGCAGAACGCCTCTCAACTGGAGAAGCTCATCGACGCCATGCCGCACCTTCGACGCTTTCCATACCTTCGACGAGGGAAAGATGCCCTCGATGCAAACCACCTAGCTTCTGAATTGGAAAGCCTCGTTTCGTTCCACTCCGAGCGTCGCTCCGTCCGCCAGGCCACATCGATTGCCTCTTCGATCACCGCAGCCGAGATCGCTGATAGCAGTAGGGAGGCGGTCTGCCACTGGCGGCCCGACCCTGAATCGCCTCACCCCGCTGTTCATTTCAACACACGTGAGTCGATCAAAGCCGCCAACCCAACAGCTAGCTCCCTTTGCGTAGAGGAAAGCAGCGAGGAAACAGAGTCCGTGAGAAGGATCCAACACTGGAGGGTGCAAATCACACAAGCACCCAGCGTCTTGTCGAAAGTCGCATCGGCCCATTCTCGTTTTTTGGGTACTGATGATGTGTCGTCTCATCTGACTTCGGTCAGCAGGAGTCCGCTGTCGAAGGAGAGTGGAGAGCAGGACGCAGAGATTACGCCGACGATGAAGGCCAGGCGAGTGGTCGGTCGTGATGTCGCCAAGTTGCTTGAACCGAAAACTTCGCCCAGGAGCGTCAAATCGAACGGCAAAGCACACCACCACCAGCAACCAAACCCTGACCAAGGGCAGCTTGGGACACAGCACATCGCTCGACTCTCCGACTCTCAATTCGATCGTCTCGCTCGAGCCTCCGAAGGTACACTACCGTCATCCCGCTCCGCACCTGTTCCTCGCGAGCTTCCCCTCGACAACAGCCACCTTCAGCCTTCGGCACCACCGAACACACCTGCTCGTCAAAGCAACAGCGTGGACGACGACCGCCGTACATCGCTCGAAGCACCACCCACCACCGTGTCCGTACTCGAACAGAAAGCGACGCAACACCTCAACACGCTCGACTTGATGATTCGTAGTCATCCGGAAAAGATGGTGAAGATCTTCAAGGAGAGGCCTGGGTTGATGTTGGTCGTTCTGCTGAGGTGCAAAGTGGAAGACAGGATCGATAATCCATATGGTAAAGTGGAGAAGGTCGTGGCTCCGTTGGTGGATGTGGGTATCTCTGAAACGAAAAAGGACGTCCCGAAGAAGACCGCTGAGGAGGTCTGTTTGGGACTTATCGAGGAGAGCTTACTCGATCTGCGCTTCGACAGCCACACCACCGCGAACGGCGGACCACGAGTCACACTTGACGGCTTGTCCACCTCGCAGCAGCAGGCCGAAGTAACGAGCACGCCCAGCATCGTCATCTCTCAGCACACTGGACGCCTGACTCCGACACCTTCGGCCCCTTCACCCAGTAAAGACATATCGTCGACCCCCAATCCCACGAGCTTCAGCCATGACTCTGTCAACGTCAACGCCGACATCATGCTCGCGGAACTGGATTCACGAAGCAATGCAGCTCTCGGCTCAGTGGTCGATCGTCTCCAGCGAACCGGTGAACTGTGCGCTGTGCAGCAGTCGCTCGTTGCGCTTGAACAAAAGATGATGAACACCAACAACAGTTGCAGTCGCTTGGGGGAGCGGTTGAGTGTGGTAAGGTTCGCTGACGTCAAAAAGAGTCGTGGAGATTGGATCGGGACTGACTTTCTCCTTTTTGACTTGATCTGGCGACATACAGCTCGAACAGATGGTGCTTTCGCGCATCAACACCCCGAACACCACAGCTTCCTTCTTCAACGTGTAGACGTCAAACACACTGGTCTGCACAACGATGACCTTGGCAGAAATCAGACCCGCATTTCAATACAAGACAGATGATCCATGAAGATGTGCAGCATTCGAAATCGAGTGTGCGAAAGACATTCAAACCTCATGGCGCGACAAAGTGCAGCGATACCCCTGAGCTCAAGGATCGATTTCCCCCAATAGCAGCGTTGTATCCGTCGAGCAGCTGACCACCACCGGCTCCCTCGGATGAAACACCGCAGCCGTGCACGTCCCCCGGTGTCCCGGCAGCTTGTACAGTATCGACGAGCTCTCCACATCCCATATCGTACACGTCCTATCCGCCCCACCCGCCACGACCTTCTCGCCATCCGCACTCCACCCAGCCTTGATGAGCAGATTCTCGAACCCGCCAAATGTCGTTCCCCGAAGCGTCCTGTAGAGTCTTGGGTTGGAGGCGTTCGAATTGGGATCCGAGGGATTCGGTTCCGGTGCAAAAGGTCGGATGTCCCAGATGCGAAGTGAATCGTCGAACGACGTCGAGAGGATGTGCGACCCTGACGGTGAGAGTGAGATCGAAGTGATGGTGTCCATGTGACCGCGTAGGGTGAGAGCGATAGCTTTGCGTGTCAAGTCGTAGATGTGGATCTGGTTGTCGATGCCACCAACGTAGATCTGGCTCGAATCCTCCGAAAACGCAACCGCTGTCACCGGATAGCCGACATCCAACACATCCAACGGCTCCTTGGCCTGCGGATCCCAGATCATGATCCTCCCATCATCCGACGCGGACACCAACAGTTCCGGTCCAGACCTCGTCACTGAAACGCAATTGACAACCGCACGATGCCCCCTCAACCGTCTCTGCTTTTCGCCCGTCGTCGAATCCCACACGATCACCGTCCCATCTGCAGACCCCGAGTACAGCGCATCGTTGATCGTGTTGCTGAAGCAGAGGCATGTGACAGCTTTGGAATGACCTTTGAGCTGACCAATGTTGGCGCATTCGCCGTAGACGCTCCATATCGAGATGGTGCGGTCGGCGGAAGCTGCTGCGATACGAGAACCGTCGCGCGAGAACTTGACGTCTAGGACCTCGGAAGTGTGTGCACCGGTCAGGCCGAGGATGGGATGGCTGAGGGACGAGGTTCGTTTGACGGAACGGATGAGACCTTTTTCTTGACCGTTTTGGGACGAGGCGATGGCGATCTGTTGGGAGGAGCTAGAAAAGTCATCATCGCCGGCTTGCCTTTGACGCTTGACAAGGGCTGCTTCGCGGTAGGAGATTGGTGTGGATGTTTTGCGTTTCTCCGCCATGTTTCCGGTGGTGAAGAAGGGTAGGGCAAGCGAAGGAGGAGCGGTGGTTGGTTGGGAAGGTCTCTCGGAGTGAAATGTCAAAATGCGCTGTAGAACGTCAAACAAGCGAGGCGAGTGGAGAAATCCGACTTCCGCTGCTTGACCTGTGACCCGATGATCGGGCCTCCACTCGACAATTCTTCTGTGCGACTCAGCCGCACTTTTTGGAGTGACTTGGTTCTTCTTCTTCTTGTGCTTTACCCTCCAACTTGACCTATTTCGTACAGCAAGGTGCAAGTCAGACTGCTCATCGATTCGTCATCGACACCATGGCATCGGACGGGAAACATTTCAGCTCGCACAACGTGCGCTGCTGCACACTCATCGGCCACGTCGATCATGGCAAGTCCTCCTTCGCCGACTCGTTGCTCGCCGCCAACAACATCATTTCAGCGCGTATGGCCGGTCAGATTCGCTATCTCGATTCAAGAGAGGATGAACAGGAACGAGGCATCACCATGGAAGCATCTGCCGTGTCGCTTTCCGTGAAAATGCGTGTCCACGACCCTACAAAGGGCTGGGATCCGGACAACCTCCCGCCGATTCAGGACTTTATGATCAACCTCATCGACACTCCGGGACACGTCGACTTCTCGTCCGAGGTATCCACGGCTTCGAGATTGTGCGATGGTGCGCTTCTTATCGTCGATGTAGTCGAGGGAGTCTGCGCGCAGACCGTCACGGTGCTGCGTCAAGCGTGGCAGGACGGTCTGGAGCCCATCTTGGTCATCAACAAGGTCGATCGACTCATCACCGAACTCAAGCTCTCGCCCAACGAAGCGTATCACCACCTCATACAAGTCATCGAACAGGTCAATGCCGTCGTAGGATCATTCTTCGCTTCGGCGCGTATGGACGACGACGAGCGTTGGCACGAAGAACGAGAGAAACGCATCGCAGCCCGCAGACAAGCTAAGAACGACTCGATCGCTGCTTCCACCGCCAATGATACCGACGCTGCCGACGACGACGCTCAGGATCAGGATCGCGAAGAGAGAGACGACGAAGATATCTACTTCGACCCCTCCAAAGGCAACGTCATCTTCGCCTCAGCCATGGACAACTGGGCCTTCCGTCTCGAACGCTTCGCCATGCTCTACGCCAAAAAGATGGGCATTCAGGAGTCAAAATTGCGCAAGGTGCTGTGGGGCGACTTTTACTTTGACCCCAAAACCAAGCGTGTGCTCAGTCAAAAGCAAAAGGAGAAGGAGAAGCGTCCACTCAAACCCATGTTTGTTCAATTTGTTCTCGAAAACATCTGGTCCGTCTACGACGCCGTCGTGGAGAACAGAGACCAGGACAAGATCGAAAAGATCGTATCTTCTCTCAACCTCAAGGTGCATCCCCGCGACCTCAAGTCCAAAGATGCACCCACACTCATCAAGGCTATTGTCAGCCAATGGCTGCCGCTCGCAAGCTGTGCATTCGCTGCGATCATCTATGTCATCCCGGCAACGAGCAAAGCACAGGCAAAGAGGATCCCGATGATGCTTAATCCAGACATGAGCTACTTCGACCGAGGCAACTACAAAGCAAAGACGACGTTGGAGGAGCATTTGATGAATGCCGAGATCGGACCCAAGTCGAATCGCGTAGCATACGTCAGCAAGATGTTCGCGGTCAAGAAGCATGACTTGCCGGAGGCGAAGAAGGCGCCTCTGACTGCAGAGCAGATGAGAGAGCGCGCAAAGGAGAGCAGGGAGCGTCAGAACGCGGTGAGGGCCGCTTTGGCTGCTACAGGTGCTTCCATGGAAGGTGCTTCCGATGAGAAGCCCGCGGAGGCCAACGGAACGAGTCTCGAGGAGGCCGAGGCACAGCGCGCTGCTCGAGCTCAGCGTGAGGCGGAAGCACAAGCAGAAAAGGACGCGCAGAAGGCCGACGAGGAGGACGAGGAGCAAGGATCGGACGAAGTCGTGCTCGGCTTCGCCCGTCTCTATTCCGGCACACTCCGCGTCGGTCAGTGGATGTACGCGCTCCTACCCAAGTACAACACCTCACTCCCGCCGTCCCACGCTGCGAACGTCAAGCACATCAAGGCGATCCCGCTCGAAGCGCTCTACATGATCATGGGTCGCGACCTCGTAGCTGTCAACGAGGTTCCCGCTGGCAACGTCTTTGCCATCCGCGGAATGGAAGGTCGTGTCCTGCGAAACGCCACGCTCTGCTCCCCCTCCCTCGTCCAGTCCTACCCTATTGAGCGTCACACCGACCCGACATCGATCGATGCCACCATGGCTTCCAACACGTTCGTCAATCTGGCAGGCATCAACATGCTCTCCGCGCCCATCGTTCGCGTCGCACTCGAACCGACGAATCCGCAGGACATGCCGAAACTCGTCGAGGGACTCAAGCTGCTCAACCAGGCAGATCCATGCGTCGAGTCGCTGGTGCAGGATACGGGAGAGCACGTCATCCTCACAGCGGGCGAGTTGCACCTCGAACGTTGCTTGAAGGATCTGAGAGAACGATTTGCGAAATGCGAAATTCAGGTCAGTCCGCCGCTGGTGCCGTTCAGAGAGACGTGCGTTAGGGCTCCCGAGATGCCGCCCCCGAAGATCGAGGGTGCAGCTCGTGGAACGGCCGAGGGGAGTGTTGCCAATGGAGTGGTTTCGTATCGTGTTCGAGCGGTTCCGCTGCCGAAACCAGTGGTGGAGTTCCTGCTGGCAAACACGCAGACGCTTCGACGGCTGCAGAACAAGAGTGCCTCTGGTGTAGCGGAGGAGGACGTAGATTCGGGGTCGGTGGATGCGGCTGGGTCGCAGGCGAGCAAGACGGTGAGGACGGACAAGTTTTGGACTGCGTTGGAGAGTGTATTGGAGAAATGTGGGCAGGATCGAACGGGTGAAGATTGGCGCGAGGTTGTGGAGAGGATTGTGTCGTTTGGTCCGAGGAGGGTGGGTGCGAATGTGCTGGTGGATCGAACGACGGGGGGAAGTGGAAGGAGCTCGTTGAGGAATCGGACGGATCCCTCGCGTGCGTTGACGAGGCAGTCTTCGGGATTGGCTACGCCGTCGTCGCATGCGGCCAACGGGAACGAAGCGGACAAGCTCACGGATGCATTGCACAAGATCTCGCTGGAGGAAGGTGAGCAGCAGCGGACGACGATCAATTCTGCCGCTCTGAACGAGAGTCTCGATTCAGGTTTCCAGATGGCGACATCCTCCGGTCCGCTCTGCGCCGAGCCCATGCAAGGTCTCGCCTTCTTCCTCGAATCCATCACTCTCACTCCCACCTCTTCCACCACTCTCTCCTCCGTCACGGGCCCTCTTATGTCGACCTTCCGCGAAAGCTGCAAATCCGGCCTTCTCGACTGGTCACCCCGCCTCATGCTCGCCATGTACAGCTGCGACATCCAAGCCTCCACCGAAGTCCTCGGAAAAGTCCACGCCGTCCTCTCCAAACGTCGCGGCAAGATCATCAGCGAAGAGATGAAGGAAGGCACCTCGTTCTTCACCGTCGGCTCGCTGCTACCCGTGGTGGAGAGCTTCGGCTTCGCAGACGAGATCAGGAAGAGGACCAGCGGCGCTGCTAGTCCCCAGCTCATCTTCAAAGGCTTTGAGCTCTTCGATCTCGATCCCTTCTGGGTTCCAAGGACGGAGGAGGAGTTGGAGGATCTCGGAGAAAAGGGCGATAGGGAAAATGTGGCGAAAAGATACATGGATGGGGTGAGGAAGAGGAAGGGTTTGTTCGTCACGCAGAGGATCGTGGAGAATGCCGAGAAGCAGAGGACGCTGAAGTCGAATTGAAGCAAGTGGCCTCGCGATGAAGACGGATGGTATGGGTCTGAAAGCATTTGTATTTCGACGTGGAATCGAACGTAGAGTGATGGCGATGTACAGAATGTTAGAGGCAGTGTGCAGATCGAGCAAATTGGATCAAGGGCGTGTGATCCTGAGTTTGCTCGCATACTTCTTGAACGATCTCTCCTCCGGTTCGAGGTACGGCACCTTGAGGAACTCGAAGATCTGACGTTCATCCGTCGCATCTGGCAGCAAATTCTTGGTCCAAGCCGAGCCGTTCTGGTTGGGAGGACCAATGCCATACTCGTTCAGAGCCCAGCCTCTGGCCTTCGCCTTGGCTCGGAGGTGAACCATGAGGTCTGCATCTCCCGTCTTGGCGAGCGTGTAGAATGCGCGTCGGGTGAACGGAGCAAAGTTGAGGTCGATTCGTCGGGCTTTTGATGTAGCAGAGAGGCGGACGAGACCTTTGACTGCCAGCGGGCCATGAGCAAGCAACTCATCGGCGAGCAGGTTGTGAATGCGGAGTTCTTCGACCACAGAATCCAGGAGCGTAGCGGCGACTGGGTGAGGATCGGATCTGGAAGGATTGTCCGGACGAGGGAGGCGCATGTCGACGACGTCCGGGTGGAACAGGACAAAGTCGAGATCGGAAGAGTAGTGATCGCCTCGACGGAAGCTGCCCAGCAACTCGATGCCCAGCCTCGCATCCACCGATCGGATGACGTCGTGCAGAACGTCTCGCCACTGCTCGGAATCGGATCGAGGGATCAAGCATTCGATGTCGTCCATGTGGGTCAATCCGATCCGCTGTGCTAGTTCCAAAGAAGCCTCACGCAGCTGCTCCAAGGTCAGAAACCCAGCTTGTACGAACCGCTCTGCCTTGGTGGCACCGATACCGTATACACGCTGGAACATAACACGCGCGCGATCCTCTTTGGAAAGACAGTCGATAGCATCGACCCGATCCATCAGCAGACGTTGCTTGATCGTGGTCCACCCAACACTGTCGTCCGGCTCGAGCAGTTCGGTCACCTGCCTCACCGTCAACTGTCCGCCTTCACCTACTTCCGATTCGTGTTGGACACGAAAGAGTCGACGTTCGGCGACCTTATATTCTCGACCGCTCGAAGTGTCTCGTAGGGCTTGCAAATTTCGGAGGTCGTTGAGGACAGCAGCCATGGGAAAAGATCGGTCGAGCAGCTCGGGATAGTTGTTGACGAGGTCGCGGAAAGCAGCCTCTTTACGCGGACCCGGAGTGGGAGTAGACTTGGAGAGGGAACCACGCTGATGGGTGTCTAAGAAGTATCTTCCGAAGTGGGTCGGCTTGAATCGGCGAAACATCTTCTTTGTGCGAGGCGTTGTGGCGAGAAGGAGAGGCAGAGAGGACGTGTGTACGATGGGACCGAGCCAGTCCTGCAGATTGGGGTTCGACATGGCGATGTCTCGAAGGATAGGGACAAAGTCCCAGGCGTGCAGGGACCCGAGCAGACGCATACCTGCAAAGCAAATGCTGGCAGCCACCACGGTCTTGACCAATTGCTTCTTTGTGAGCCTCGGTTGCTCGACGGCCGCGTCGCTTCTCATCTTGATTTGCTCAAAGAAGGAGGATAGGGTGCGGCTCAAAGATGCGGGAGCTTCCATGATAGTCTGCACTGTGGCCTGCAGCAGTGAACGCTTTCGCTTCCCGTTCGGCAAGCTCAAGTGTTCGAGCCGCTGATCGATGGCTTGCAAGCGAGCTTCGAAGTCTTGCAGCATGGTCTGCATCTGATTGATGTTTGCTGCTTGGACTGCGTCGACCGGATCCGAATCTCGCTTGAGCCTGTCAGGATTCCAGGGGATGAATCGCCCTCGAGGCTTTGTCCTGATGTCCGCTTTGACTTTGTTCCCTGAAGCTACTGTTGGACGGGCTCGCTCCAGGTGATTTCCGACACTTTGCTGTGCAGTGATGTTCTCGGTCGACGTTCTTCGACGAGCAGACATCCCTCGCCTCGTCTCGAAATCATCCAAGTCCTCCCATCCATCCTCTTCACCGAACAGATCAGTCTGCTCTTGGCGAGAAGCAACATTCCGAAGATAGTGGGCATGCGCTTGAATCTTTGCGTTGAAGAGACCTTGCTTGCGACGCGGCAGTGGCTCAAAGAGGCGAGCTTTAGCTGAGCCCGAACGAGGTGGGCCTTGAAATTGACCCTTGAGGATGGCAAAGATGGCCTTGTCCAGCTCCTTGGAATTTCGGAGCACAAGGTTCTTCGGAATCTTGCCTCTGCCGCTTTGAGCGCTAAATCGACGATGAATGGGGAGTGCGAGGGTGACAAGGCGATGTTGGCGGCGGAGGTGGCTCGTGCCGTTTGGCAGGAGCTGAAGACTGGAGGACGACATGATTGATCGAGAGGGCGAGGCTGGTTGAGGGATTATTCTAGACGGGTTCCTGAGGGAGAGAGGAAGAGACGTACGAGGAGGATGAGGACTCTGGAGCGAGGGAAGAAAGGGAAGGGCGGGGGATCAAGCCACGCTTCTCGTTTTGCCCACCTCATTTTTATAATGAGCGAACATTCCCCTGCTAAGCTGAGTAAGTACATGACGAATGGATGCGCTCAGACCATGCTGACCGAGCTCTTGTAAACCTCAGCAGAATTCAGACAATGGCGTGTGATGCGGCGTTGTTGTGATGAGCAGAACGACAGGTTGCTTGCAGCTCGGAAGAGGCCCGAGCCAACCGATCCGTAGCGACACCACGCCCACACGGTGATCTTTCCCCGCCACAACCACCTGTATCGATGCGGAGTCGTTGTGGACCGCTCATTCCTCTTTACTCCTGCGACTGTCATTTCGAAGCAGGACTGCATTGATATCAGGCACGGACCGGAAGTATGGTGGTCTATGGCCAACAGTGAGTTCGAGGTTTTATAACGTTCCTTTTCTCGTCCCCCTTTGTCTTGCGCCTTTCTTTTTTTTTGAGACACTGGAATTCACCCGTACACAATTTGTTGAGAGCCCTGAGCTAGCTCAGACTGCACTACTTGCGTTTGACCTCGTTGGGAGCGTCAAGATTCTCAACATTTCAGCTCTGTGTAACGCCGTGTCGATGTAACATTATTTTGATTTTCGAACGAAGAAGAATTGGAGGCACAGAGGCAGTCAAGAGTTTCATGCAGACTAAAAACATCTTTCCAAACTGCAGATCACAGAAGCGCGCACATGAGCGAGAGGCCAAGATCGGCAGTCAATAAGTTATAAAACGCTCAGAGGCTGCCAGGAGACCGGCTGCAGACTTCCGGCCTAGATCTGCCGTGCAGCAAAGCAACCGAACGCGCCGAGCTCCTTCTACGTTGACGTGACATGGTCGATGACCAGCACTTTGCGCGATCCGTGTGGATGGTGTTGTGTGGTGCAAACCCTGGGGAAACAAGGGATCTCTCGGCTCTGTGTTGCTTACAATGCCAAGGGTCCTCCTGTCTGAGGCGGATGCGTTCGCGGACGATTCAAGCGATGAGGCGGGGCTAGCCTGTCGGTTCGAGCGAGCTACTAAAAATAAACCTAGAGGCGATGCACAAGTGCGAGCGTCGTTGCGACACTGCATCCTTACAACAAGCCCGGACTCCGTCGATGGTAATGACCTCGTTTGTGCACACTGTCTCTGAGGCGAGCCAAATCAGCTCAGCTTTTACAAATACAGGATTCTGGACCTGTCCAATCTTGTCTCTTCACTTGAAGATGGACAATGTCAAGCGGGACAATCAATCTCGTATATGAATCAACGGTGTGAGAGAGAGATCTATGTGCCCTCGAAGCAGACCTCTCCGATTCAAGCCTGCAAGTCAGCTTGGTCGAGGAAGGGCCTGCGTGGATGCGCATCGCATGTCATCAAGCTGCAGCTTGCCTCGTCTCGGACTTTGGAATCTTCTTCCGCTGTTCAGATGCCGATGCAGCAAGGTGCCTTGCGTGTTTGCTTCACTTCTCTCCCCTCTCGTCCTCGCTTCGCGAAAGGAAAAAGTAGAATCAATAATTTGCAATTCAGTTGTAGAAAAAAGGGTCGTAGCCAGTCTGAGTAGGCAGACTGACACACTGCCGGCGTCCGCACAAGTGGAGAAACGTCTCGCAGATCAGCTCGATCGGCTTAGCCGTCAGCGTCGTCGGGTCGCTGCCATCGCTCCTTTTGCTAACTGTGCATTGTACTTGGCTCGAGGTTCATACGTGTCTGTACTGCCAAGCAAATCAGCTTTCTTCCTCAACGTCCGCGGTTGGCTCACCGTTGCTTCCTCGAGCCTGGCACACCTTGCTTTCGTATCCCTTCCCTCCGTCGTCGACCGCTCATCACCATCAGCGGATACCACTTCTCTCCTCCTTCACACAGATCCCGTGGACCCTCACCTATACCATCCGCTTGTCTGCGCGTACAACTGTGTCCTCTGTGCGCTTTTCCGTCGGCCCAGTCAACCACATCCATCTCGTGTTCGGTCCCTTCAAGCCACGTCCATGTCGCCCTCCGCATAGCTGATACTCTCCACCGCTTGACGCCGGCTAAGCTGCTTTACACGCCTGTCATCCCTGCGGGCCGCGCGGCGCTGCACTTCGAGCAGAGTGCCGAGCAGTAGTCGATTCCCCAGTCTCGCCGTTCACCTCTGCCCTTCTGTAGGCTCAGCAGAAATCCATCCATCATGTCGAAACATAGCTTCATGGACACCATCCTCAATCGGCCCTCTCAGAGGTACACCGAGCCTCAGCAGGCAAAACCTTCCAGAAACGCTCGCTACCAGACCCCTCACGACCTACCCAATGCGCCCAACAAGCCCGATTCCATCCTCGCCGGCACCATGTTCACCGGTGCAGGTCCCGGCGCGCTTAATCAATCCAATGGCAACAACTACAGCCGCGCACCCTCCGTCATGTCCGGGAAAAGCAACACCAGTCGATTCAGCATCTTTCGCAAGAAGAACCGCGCACCTTCCGTCTCTGGCGGCAGCGTCTACTACGACGGTGCAAGTAGTGTAGCCCCGACAGATATAACCTCCACCGCTCGAAAAGGTCGATGGTGGGAGTCCGGCACGCGCAACACGTACACTTCTCGACCACCCAGCATCGCAGGTAGCGTCTTTTCCGAGCCCGAAGCCTCTGGTCCACCAGGTTTTCCGCGCATCTCCGACTCCATGCACGCCAGCGCACCTGCTCGTGGTGCACGTAGCGACTACGGAGGCGGTAGCTCCAACAGGAAGCGCTATTCATCCCAACCTGGCGTGCCTGTCACTTACCAGCCAGCCAGCAAGGCGTCCATGTCATCCATGAAACGCCAGTCCGGCGTCACGCCTCTGGGTCAACAGGCGCCCAACCTCATGCGCCAGGCTTCCTCCGCCTCCTTAGTCCGATCTCAAAGCAATGCCACATCCAACACCGACCTCAATCGTCCCGTCAGTCCAGCTGCTTCAATGGGTCGCCGGCAGAGCCAGACTCGACTTGCGCCCAGCGCCTCCTCCGACTGGAACTCCTTCGTCAAGTCCATGTCGGGAACAGAGGTCGCAAAAACGTGGGAACAGATGCCTACTTTGGCTCCCAAACCGCCTCGTACTTCAGAGAAGCGTAGCAGCGTCGTCGCAAACCGTATCAGAAAGGAGCTCGAACAGGATGCGCAGTATCAGCAGGTGCAGCGCGACCCAGGCGTCGTTCAGCAAGACCTGCTTGCTCGTGCTGCCTCTCAAGTCATCGGCGCCATGCCGCCTACTCCGGCGTCGCCGCCCTCTGAGGCTCACACAGCTCCGTTGCGCCTTCAGCCTGGTCAAGTCGTGATGCCCATCTCGCCTGTCGCGTCCAACTCCTCCCTCAATGTGGCTCATTATCCCTCCTCCATGGCATTGCAGGCTTCCACTGCGGTCAACGGCGCAGGCAGTCAGGCTTCTGTCAACGTTCCGCAAAACGTGGCCACGGTGACTGTGGCCCAGTCCCCGCAGCCGCCGCAACAATACGTGCACCCACAAGCGGTCGCTCACCCGTCCAATGGTGCAGTCCCATCCGACCCTTCGCACCAGTCCACCGGTGCCGCACCACCACTTGCGAAACCTCAGCAAGCCATGCCGGCTTCGATTCCGACACACCGCGCATCAGCGTCGCCTCCCTTGCAACAGCAAGCGGCACCCATTCCAACGCAAACGTATGCTCCAGTTGCAGTGCCAGCACCTCGCGTCGTGGCTCAAGCACCCACCTCCCCGCCCAGCGTCGCAGCGGTGCTTCCTCCGGCCGCAGATGGAGCCGTTCCACAGGTCCCTGTGCCGTCGGTCCAACCTTCCGCCCCCGCCGCTACACCAACCACCACCGCCCAGTACCTCGCTGATCGCGTCAACGAGCAAGAGTCTGCAGGCGAGCAAGCTGATTCTCGGGAGGTCTCATCGGATGAGTCCGAGGACTCCGACGACACGTCTTCAGAAGAGGGTCTCGTCGGCGGCGGTCAACCCACTCTGGACGTTGTTGCAGAGGAGGACGAGGAACTCTCCAGCGTAGGCGGTCACCAATATCATCACGAGATGCGTTCGCGCCAGTCCGCCAAAGGCAAGGGCCTCAGCCGCAATTACGGCGATTATGAAGCTCGTTTGCACAGCCGACATGCTTCCGCCACAAGCCAGCAAGAGGATGTTCGCGAGGGCGAATTGCCTGTGGCTCCTTCCGGCGTCAGCATACAAGTGACTGACGCGCGTGATCTTCCCATATCGGCCACCGCCTCGGAGAAGACAGAAAACCCGACCGTCCATGAGGCGCCTGCTGTCGCGCCGGCATTGGCGATGGGTCCACCGCAATTAGGTGCAACTGACAGACCCAAACTTGTCTCCCGCGCATCCGAGATGAGCGATTATCAGTCTGCCGCAAGTGACTCAGGCACCGCCACCAAGCAAGATCGAGATCAAGACGACGAAGATGAAGGCGATGCGGATGCCGCGGCATCACTCGCCAGAGCAAAGATCGGAACCAAGACCTCGAGGGAAAGCATGTCGACGGACGCAGCTTCCATCGCACCATCGCAACGCCAAAGCGTCCGCACAACTCGATCCTCCATGCCACCAACAGCCCAGCGGCGTCTTAGTGAGCTCAGCCTCGGAGCGTCCTTTGCCGCCAGCGGCATCCTTCGACGACCCGAATCCACTCGCAGACGTACCGGCGGCTCGGATTCGGGCGCGGACCTCTCCGATGACGACGCCGATCTCAGAGCAGAAGCTCTCGCCGAGCAGGATCGCCTTCGCAAGATGAACGTCGGCGAAGACTTCTTTGGGCCTTCCCTCTCCACTATCCTAGACAAGTTTGGTGGCTCCACCTCGATGGACTCGAGTGTCAGCAAAGTCGAAAGTCGGCACGAGAGGCCTTCCGTCCCTGCAACATCGGCATCAGAAATCCATGCCGAAGCGCAGCAGGTGATCAACGAGGTGCGACAGAACCGCGCCGATGCCACATCGGAAGGAAAGAAACGTAACAGCACCGACACTGCCGGCATGGCACCTAGCGTTGCGGCCGTTTGGTTGCTGAATCAGGCGCAAAGCACCAACGATTCGTCTCCGGCCCGTGCCATGTCGGACGAGGCTGGCGACGAGACCATCACATCTTCCATCTTACGTGCTTCGGCTGCCAATAATGTTGCATCTCCTCCCGTCACAGACAGCCCGGAGCGACCCAAGGTGTCGGTGTTGAATCGACCGCGACCAACGCCAAAGAGGCCGCGTGAGATGGGCGGTGTGTCTATCGCTGAAGGCAGACTCGAGTCGGAACCTCCGCTGGAGCCTGTCACAGTTGAAGACACCCGAAGCACCTTACCTATCTCCGTCTCACAGACGAGCATGCAGAGCGTGGACGTCAGCACCGGATCAGTAAACAGCGATTCAGCAACGCCCACGAAAGCATCGACACCCATCGCCAGCAAGGACACACCTTCTCCCTCCAAATCTGCTCTGAAACCGAAATCTTCTCGCTCCCTCGCCGATACGCTCTTCACGCTCTCTTTCCGTTCGCCATCTAAGGATAAGAAAGAGAAGAAAGATAAGAAGAAGAAGGAGAAAGAAGAGAAGAAGGAAAGAAAGGAAAAAGGCAAGCACAGCCGCAAGGTGTCCGTCGACTCTATCGGTTCCGCCTCCATCCAGAGCGAGCGCTCGTCGACTGTCGGTTCCGACTCGGCTATGTCATCGCCATCTGCAAAGGTCCTTGGCAAGCAGCGCATAGCTGACAACGCCAACACATCAACTGCTCCACCAGCAGCGATCACTACTCAGCAGCAGAACGGAATGGTACCCTCGGAGACCGTCAACACTTTTGCCACACCTCCTCAGAGCATGGCAAACTTGCAAGGGATGGCTGGTGCGGCCACCTCTCCTGAAAAGTTCCACACCGCCCATGACCTCAAGGCGTTGGCCGACACGTCCATCCCAGTGTACCCTACCGAGACGGTGCAAGCACCACTGATGCCGAACGGTGCGGCGACTGCCGATGCGCGTCCAGAACATCAGCGACAACTGTCCCAGCAGATCAATTCGATGGATGGCTTTGGCTCGTTCGCCTTGCCACAGCTCGATCAGCGCAAGGCCACTGCTATGCCAGCTGTCAACGGTACCACCAAGAAGGAGGAGGCTGTCGAGCCTTCTGCCCCTGCGGATGCGTCACCCGCGCCTTCCCTGTCACAGAACGCTAGCGTCAATGGCGTCGGAAACGGGAGCAGCTCTGTGCCAACCTTGTCCCAAGCAAGCATTGCAAGCACTGCCCTGACATCCCCGGACTCTGAAGCTGCGCCCCAAGCAATAGCGGCAGAGAGGGAGATGCCGCAACCAGCTTTGGCTGTCGCGTCCTCTTCACCTCTTGAAGCGTCTGAGAAGAAGCTTCCGATGCCTCCTCCGCCTCAGCCTGAGGAAGTCATGGCTCGCACCATTGAGGACCAGACTCCGACTGGCAAGCCGATAGCTGCGCCTGGTGTGGGCATCAACCTCATTCCTCCCACGCCACCAGCCTTGGAGTCGCGCGACTCGTTCACTTCATCGCAAGTGCCTGGCACGCCGACCATCGAGGAATACGACGAGTACATTACTCCTCAGCGCCCTTCGCTCATGTCTAGGTCGTCGAGTCAGCGCACAGCGGTCCGTGCCGACTCGAAGCCCGACGGTGCCAGCGAGGGCTTATCGCGATCCAGATCCATGGCGCCGGCAAGGAAAGGAATGTGGACGGAGTACAAGGGCAAAGGTCTCAGTCTGCCACCAGGTTTGGTGGCAACCACGATCGATTCCTCAGCCTTGCGTCGTATGAGCACTCAGGACAAGAAGGCTCCTTCTCAGCCCGTCGCTGCAGCCGCAAGCAGTGCAGCTACGCCCGCTTTGCCAGCTGCGCCTGCCCTCGCTCAGAACGTCGTCACCGCACCGCTGCCTTTGCTGGACTCTCCGGCTCGTCCGGCTCGATCAACTCCGTCGCCGAGTCCCAAGTCGAGGCGTTCGAGCGGCTCTTTGGGTGGCTCGCCACAAAGATCTTCACCCGTCCACACGTCCCCGTCCATGAATAGGATCATGGCGGATGCTCCCCCCGTGCCTCAGATCCCTGCCGGTTATCAAGCACCGGGGTCCGTCTCGAGCTCCCCATCGCGGCCTTATGCTTATAGCGGTGCCACCTCGGAGCACGACTGGGACAGCCGCTCCGCCTCGCCTGCACCTAGTGCCGTGCCTAGTCAGTCTGGTCGTTCCGTCGGCTCGCACGTGTCCTCAAGCGTCCACTCTGCCTCGTATCGCAGCAGTCCTCGACCCGAGTTCACCTATGTCAATCATCACGAGCTCTCACCCTACGCCAAAAAGATGCGATCATTGTCTCCCAGCCCAGCCATGCCGACGCTTTCTCAGACCGGCAATCGACACTCGCTCATGTCGGCGATCAACGAATGGGAAAGTCAGGTCCCCGAGCCGGAAGCACCAGTCGTCGGTCTTTCGCCCTACCCGTCACGACCAGTGTCACCTTCACCGTCGCCGTATCCAACGCTGCCCGCATCGACCGTGTCGCGATCCAGCTCGGTGATCAGCTCTGTCAGCTCGCCAGCGGTGGTTCGCAATGCGCCTCTGGGAGCTTCAACGAACCAGTACCTGTCGCCGCCGATCGCTCGTTCGCGGATGTCAGCGGACGAGTTGTCGACGGTGAGCGAGTCGGCGATCGAATCTCTCAACGCTGGCTCGGTGGTTGGGCGTCCCTCTGGACCGCCGTCGGCGAGCAGCTCGTCTCCGTCAGCTTCGCAGTCGGCACTCAGCCTGTCGAGCACGGTGCAGACGTCGATGCCGACAGTTCCGACGAGCTACCGACCCAACAAGGACCCGAAACGCTTCTCGACCAATGCGGACGATCTGCTCAACAGCCGCACCACCATGCAGACTGTTGCGGTCACAAGCGGTGCTTTTGCGACGCGCAGCAAGTCGGTGAGGCGCAAGAAGAGCGTCGATTTGAACGGCAACGAGGTACCTGAGCATCTGCAGGACGACTTGGCACAGACTACACTTTCGGTCACGGCTCACACTCCTCCACCACGCAAGATCGGCTCGCACCAAGTGCTTGTGCAAGTCATCGCCGTCGCTATCGACGAGATGGACAAGCTTCTTCTGCGGGAAAAGGTTCGAGCCGAGAACGCGTTCGGGTTCGTACCAGGACGATCTTTCTGCGGACGAATCGTGGAATGCGGTTACGAGGTGAAGAAGATGCGCAAGGGCGATGTGGTGTTTGGATTGCAAGACAGTCGCAAGTCGGGGGCGCTGGCGGAGTTCATGGTAGTGGATCACAACCGAATCTGTCACGCACCCAGCGACTGTTTGACGACGGAACAGATCGCAGCCCTACCCTCGGCGGGAGTCATGGCTCATCAGCTGATTCAGAACCATTGCAGTCAGCTGCAGCGCGGGGCTAGGGTCTTGATCCTCAACGCGCACGATGGTATCGGACTGTTGACGATGCAAGAATCGGTCGGGTTGGGATTGGTGATCGTTGCACAGTGTCCACCGAGCATCTCGGATGGTGTCGCAGTGTGTCAGGCGAATGGAGCGCACGAGGTGGTCATCGGTGAACCGCTGTGGGCGATCAACTCGCTGCACGAATCATCCTTCGATCTCATCGTCGACACCGTCGGCGGCAGAAAGATCTACGATGCCAGCAGAAGAATCCTGGGAACCGACGGTCAGTTCTGCACATGTTTCGGCGACGAACATGGTACCACCAACCCGAACCTCCGCTCGCACCTCAGGAGTCTCAGGCGCGCCTTCTTCAAGAAGGACAAGAAGAACATCGGCTACGAATGGGTCGGCGTAGACACGGCGGAGGACTGCAAGGAGGCGCTGGAGGCGGTGAAGAGGGCCGCTGAGGGTGGCAACATCTGTCCGAGGTTGCGGAGTGTCCTGCCGTTCGCGGATGCGGGGAGGGCGTTTGATGGCGAGAGGAGGAATGGGGATGATGAGCCGGGAGCGATTGTGGTTAGGGTGTCGTGAGAGGAGGGAAAGATACACGGTCACTTATTTTGGGCTTGTGGTTGTCGACTGTCCTTACATGCTTTTTGTTTACTGTCTAGAGGAAATGGATGAGCATCTATTGCTTAGCAAGACTTTCGCGCGATCGGTCTGTGAATAGTATCCGAGGCGCTGCTCGATTGAGTCGTGCTCCACCCGTCCCACAATCACTTCTTACTGTGCAACCCCACCCTCCTCAAATTCCTACCCACCGCCCCGCCCATCTTCTTCTTGTACTCCGCCCTATCCTGCTTCGCGCTGATCGCCAACATCCTATCCTTCCTAGCACCGATCTCGACCGGGTTCACCACGTCGCTGGCCTTCTTCAACCTGCACGGTCGGCTGCCGATGTACTTTCCATTCATCTCCTTCCAGGCTTTGAGGAAGTCTTCCGGATCGGCGAAGGCGACGAAGCCGTAGCCTTTGCCCTTGCCTTCCTTGTTGCGGACGACGCGGGCTTTGGAGAAGGAGGGGTATTTGGAGAAGGATGAGGTCAAGAGTTCGTCGGAGACGTCGTTGCCGAGGTCGCCGACGAAGAGACGTTTGTGCGAGGGGTCCCATTCGAGGAGGGTTTGGTCTTCCCAGATTTTGCCGGCTGCGCGACGGATGACGGTGGGACGCGTTTCGCCGCGTTTGAGTTTGCCGGGTATGAGTCGTCCAGATTCATCGTAGCGGTTGTCAGCGGCGGTCGTCGCTGCGGAGGTGGTGGTGGTGGGTGCAAAGGGATCGTGAGCGGGATCGTAGGTTGAAGCAGCAGGTTGTTGGGATGCGGACCTGCTGTCGAAGTAGTAAGGATTTGCGACTGCGGATGCATCCGCATACGGCGCTGCAGAGGATGACGATGCGGAAGGGTCGGAGGAAGATGCGGTGTAGTAGTCCGAAGGGTAGCCATATGCGGCGTAGTAGGAGTTGTAGTCGAACAACCAGTTGTTGGCGGTGGCATCCCAGTAGTAGAATGGTGCGTACGGGTCGTCCGACGCCGACGCGGTTGGTGCGACGGAGGTGGATGAGGACCCGGAGGCCGCTTGATAAGCACTCATGATAACAGTGTGAGTGAGCTGGGATGCTAGCGGAAGTGTCGTGTGGATGATGGTTGCGGAGTAGGATGAAGAGTAGCAAGAGAGGAACTTGTGGATCAAAGCCGAGTTTTTGGGTGTCGGGAATCGGAATTCGAAAGCTGAAGCTCAGCCAGCCAAAACTCCACTTTAGAATCATTCGCTCCTCATCATCAAAACCTACCGGATCCCTCTCACACACCTCTGCGCTATCATCGCGGTTACCGCTACAATGGACGTGGACAAGCTGTTCAAGCTCCCATCTCTGCCTTCTGCGGCTGTCAACAAGCGAAAATGGACTGCTCCTAAGCCAGGCGACCCCAGCGCCTCCGCATCGTCCTCCTCATCCATTGTCCATGATGATGCAGGTCCATCCGATCAGACCAGCTCACGGCCAAGCAAATCGGCTCGCGTAGACGATGAAGATGACGATGATCAAGCGGACAATGTCGCTGAAGACGAAACATACTTCTTCTCCGATGACGACCAAGAAGACGGTCGATTCTTTGGCGGCGGCCTCACCGCCGAACAGAAACAGATCCTCGACATCATGGATTCCGGAGACACATCGTCCTCCACCACGCCTTACCCTTCTTCATCTGTTTCGTCTGTCCACGACCTGCCCTCACTTCGCAAGCAACTTTTGCGCTTCGAGCGCGCCATCAACAAGAACGCCGAAATGCGCGTAAAACACGCCTCCGACCCGTCACGCTTCATCGACTCGGAAGCGGATCTGGACGCGGAACTGAAAAGTTTGCTCGTGCTTACCACACAACCCATGCTCTTCTACCCGGAGTTCGTCAAGCTTGGAGGTGCAGCGAGCGTTGTGGGGCTTTTGAGCCATGACAACGCCGACATTGCGAGCGCGGCCATCGAGGTGATCGAGGAGTTGACCGACGAGGATGTGCTGGACCAGGCGAATGCTGAAGCAGGAGAGGAAGATGCAGCGGAAGCGCTGGAGGTGATGAAGGAGCTGGTGGAGGCATTGTTGGCACAGAGTTTGTTGGAGCTGTTGGTGTCGAACCTGGGAAGATTCAACGACGAGTTGGATGAGGACTTGCCGAAGGAGGAAGCTGCGAGCAAGGCGGTCGAGGTGGAAGGCGATGCACAGGCGATCTATCATACGCTCGGGGTGGTGGAGAACTTGATCACGACGAGACCTGCGTTGGCGGACAAGCTGGGTGGTGAGACGTCACTGCTAAAATGGATGCTGACGAGGCTGGCAATGAAAAGGACGGTCGATCAAAACACGAGTTACGCCGCTGAACTCTTGGCGATCCTCCTACAGGACTCTGATACCAACCGCGACAAGCTCGGCGCGACGATAGTGGACGAAGAGAACGGAATCGACATCTTGCTGAAAGTACTTTCGCGATATCGACGAACGTCACCGGCGAGCGGGGAGGAGCAGGAATTCGTGGAAAACGTCTTCGATTCTCTCTGCCTCTCACTCTTCGGTCCATCCAACAAATCCCTCTTCGTCTCTGGCGAAGGCGTCGAGCTCATGGTGTTGATGATGAAGGAGAAGAAGACATTCTCCCGCATCCGAGCCGTCAAAGTCCTCGACCACGCCGCATCAGGTCCCGCCGGCAGCCCCGCCTGCCTACGCATGATCGAATCCAAAGCCCTCTCTCCCCTCTTCTCCATCTTCCTCGAATGCAACTCGCACACCTTCCGCAAACGTCCCTCCTCCTCCCTCCCTTCTTTGCAGGACACAGAACACCTCCTCTCCATCTTCACCTCGCTCCTCACGCACCTCGCCTCGGACACGCTCCCGCGCATCCGCCTGCTCACCAAATTCCTCTCCTCCAACTACACCCACCTAGACCACCTGCTCGACCTCCGAGAAACCCTCACCTCTCGAATCGACCCTGCCCCAACACACGACGAGGAAGACGCCTACCTCGCTAAACTCGAACAAGGTCTGTTCAGCTTGCAGCTGCTAGACACCATCCTAGCATGGCTGGTCATGGAGGACGATGCGTGCAAGGATCACGTACAGACTATGCTGAGGAGGAAAAAGTTGGATTTCAACAGCATCGCGGATACGTTGCGAGAGTACAGAGACAACGTAGGCGATCAAATCGCAATCGACGAGGCCGAGGAAACGTTGATGACAAAGGACATCCTAGACGCTCTAATCGGGTATCTCGAATCTCTATAACCTTCCCATCCTCCGGGGTATAAACACATCACGCCCCCTCGTCCCCCTTCGCCTGCCTCTTCATCCACTCCAACTCCTCATCCCCCTCCCTACACCCCTTCTCCTCCTCCACCTCCTCCCCCACCCTACTCTGCGCCTCCACCTGATCACCAAACCGACTCTCGTTATCCAAGCATACCGCAATCAACCCGCTCGTCTTCAACCCTAGATCGAAATACCTCGGATTGTTCTTGCCCGAAAACATGCTGATGTGCGCATCCACCTCGTCCACCGCCTTGGTATTGTCCATCGGCGTGAAACTGCCTGCGCACCTCGCCGAGCGCGGGGGCAAGATGATGAAAGTTCGATCGCGCGCTGTGGTCGCATCAAGCTGAGGATTCGCCGCGCGGGAAGTAGACGGTAGACGCGTGTAGTAGCAGTGAAACAGGATCTGCGGTTGATCCACCAATCGATCCAGCCGAAGACGCAGAGCATTGTCGTCCCAAAGATTCGAGACAAACGCAAGATGATCGGTGACCCATCCGTAGGCTCCGTTGAGCTTGTCCTTGTTGAAATACGCAGCGGAAGCAGCGGCGCCCGAAGCCAACGCCACAGCACCCGTCGCCATGAGTGCGCTCCTCCAATTACCCTTGGCCCTCGATGATGCTGCCTCATCATTGTTTCGTGAAGCTGTTGCTGATCTTGTGGTGTTGCTGCCAACGCCGTTGTTCGATTGCGCCTGCGACTGGCGTTCCGAATTCCACCTCGCGGCCAACCCGACCCCCATGGGTGCGAAAAACGTCCCGATGGTCTGTGCAGTCTGCAGATAGCCCGCGTACTTGTTGATGCCGTGCTTGAACACGCCCGGATGGACACCATAATACGGCGTATCGTATGCCAACACACCGATGACTCTGGGCCAGAGCTTGAGACTGCTCCTCTTGTCGCTCGGCGTCTTGGCCTGCTGATCCGCACTGCTCTGCGCAATAGCCAGCGCGGCATCTACAGCCACCAAGCCACCCATGGAATGACCCGCCAGCACGATCTTGACGCTTCCCATGCCACCTCCTTTTCCCGAGTTGGGAACAATGTTGCCTGTGCTCAGATCGATCTCTGGTTTGGATTCGAGCATGACCGTCTGCTCTGTTAGCCACTCGACAAAGGACTCGACGGCGGCTGCAAGGCTGCCCCGCGTGTCGTAGGTAGGGTAGACAAGAGACTTGACGTGCAGACCTGGGTACGTTTCTTGGAGGTTGTACGTGAGCCGAGACGGAAAGTCCTCGAACGTGGTATCGGAAGATCCTTTGAAGCCGTGGATGAAGACAAGCAGCAGGAGCTGGTCTCTGCCTTCCAAGCCGGTGGATGAAACATCGGCGCGGGGAGGGCGTGCTGATGCGGTTGTTGATGATGATGATGCGAAGCCTTGCTGAGCTGGTGGCACCGAGTAGGGCGGCGGAACATCATCTGGCGGATCGTCTACTATGATGGCATCTTGTAAGGATGAGCCTGGTTGTGGAGCTGGTGCTGCGGATGTGGTGGAGGACGAGGATGATGCATGGGTTGCCCACGGATTGGCGTCGTCCGGTTGCACGGGTGCAAAGTTCGACATTGCGAATGAAGTGGGAGGTCACAGCTTGCGCTGCTGATGGATGAGGGAGGTAAGACAAGAAGGCTGGTGGCCAGCCAGCTTTCGACATGTGCCGAGTGGAAGGACTGTGCGTGTGCGTATAATTCCACGTTGGCCTCGCTTGCCAATGCACGCAGGGTCCAGCTTTGCGCGAAAAAGCCAAGAAAAGCCTCCACAACCTGATTGACGCTTGTCGCACGAGTCTGACCTTGCCAGGTGCCAAATTGCTCAGTCAGAGAGGAAGAGCAAAGCAAATCACGAAAGCTGCGCTCTGCTGTGCTGTCCGTACTCTGATGGATGCTGCATTCCCCCCGCTGCAACTCGGCTTTTTGACTAGCTTGCATACCGAATGCAGCAATTTACACCACCCAATCACAGCTATACAGGACACTGCACTTCCTGCTTCTGGCTGTGGCTGTGGCAGGCGCTTTTCAAGTTGGTGCATGGCAAGCTGCAAAGAGAGTAGCTGCAAGCTTGAGATTCATACGAAAGTCGTCGCAGGTGCATTGTCGATCCCTGCTCGCACGGATTTATTCATTCCGTTTCATTTCATCGACGCCAATTCCGGTCCTTGAATGTTGTACGACGTTCGCACTCGTTCTTCCACCGCAGCTCCGTCTTTTCTTCTCGCCCTCAAACCCATTCACGGAGCCAGATACATTCCTTCGCCGTCGCACTCGCACAACTCCACTGCCAACGCCCCATTCCATATAGCCATGCGCCTTGCCTGATCGCTCCATCTCATCTGGCCTCATCCCCGCCGATCCTTCGTCTAGAGCTCACTTTGGCTGCATCGCCACCAAAAAACATGGACCCGTCTCTTCAGCAGTAACACTTCATAGAACAGCAGGGATCCAACAGAATGTCGGCCACAAAGACGCCGATCATGGATCTCGAGACAGACGAGGATGGCTGGATCGGCGGCTCAAGCCAGAGCATCTACGCTCGCAAACCGCAGCCGTCGGCTCATACGACTCCTCCTCCGAATGCACCCAAGGGGCCAAAGAAGACCGTGCCAACCACGCCAGGTCGCAAGAAGAAACAAGCAGACGACAACAGGTCTCGCTCTTTGCTAGAGCGTATGGATATGGACCAATCTCTCCCGAAGACACCTCCCCCCAAAGCGCGATCAGATTCTCAGAATGCGGATCATTCCACCACAGCAGCATCCACTCCTTCGCCAGCCTCCAATGCTCCCGCCCCCACTTCACCTTTCCGCACCACGCCATCCCAAGGCATTCGTAGACCGGGAGCAAAGATTCCTTCACCCTTGCCACTCACCAGCCCAGCACGCAAGAACGAATCCGGTCCGTCTCACAACACTCGTACACCTCTCAGTGCTTCCCATCCTATTCCAGAGACACCGCTCAAGCTTTCGCAGCGAGGAGGACCTCAGACACCAGCTACCCCTCACTACCCATCCTACCCCAACTCTGCTCACTCGCAGAGCCGCGATGGTGACACCTCTCGTGCAAGCGGCCTCGGCATCGGGCTGACACCACTCAAGACGCCCGTCCCTCTCGCGCCGAGTCCGGACAGTGTTCGCAGTCCACTCAACGAGGCACTCAATCTACGTGGTCGTGCAGCGGCAAATACGTCCATCGGATCGCCTCTCAAATCTGGCCGCTCGGACCTGCACGGTGAATCTCTTGCACTCGGCTCGTCGTCCAGCCAACCAGGTAACGACAACATGCTCGACCGCCTTCGCGGCACTCGATCCAGCCTCGGTACCAGTGCCAGCATGTGGGCACCGAAATCCGCCGCCACTTCAGAGCCAGACAGCACTGCACCCACCTCGACCACCTCGCACACCATTGGATCCGGTTTCAGCTCGAGCAACTTGCTCGGCGTGCAAACCGGTCTCGACCGCAAGCGTCCCAGCCATCGTCCCAACGGTCTGCAGCTCAGCCTGGGTCAGGAGATCAGCGTCATGCAGGAGCTCGAAGAGAAAGCCGAGGAAGAGTACCCCACTTCCAACGTTTCCTCCGCTACGGTTGCGGATACGTTCAGGATCGACCTGCCGGAGGAAGACGTTGAGCATGAGAACGCGGACGATTGGAAGGGCACTGTTGTTCCGCCGACACCTGCGTTGGGATGCGATTCACCGTCCTCGGATGAAGACCAGTCGTCGTCCAAGCCGCCTTCCCGCAGCCTGGATGCTTTCGGTTGGGGATCCTCCGAGACCCGCAAACCATCGCTCTTCTCCGATCTTCCCTCCTCGTCTACCTTGGAAGCGAACTGGAGCGGAGACGATGACGATGAACGCAAGGACGACGTCGAGGTGTTCCAGGATATGCACGAACGTGCCAAAGCCTCGAGCAAGGATCGTCGTGATGGCAGTTATGGGGCGTTGCCACCTCCTCCGATCAATTACGGGAAGGAGCGAACGCCGTCCCCGACGCATAGGTTGTTGGGCAAATCGCCGAAGATGGACGGTGAGCAGGGGACGGTGCAATTGCCGACGACGAGGGCGAATGGCAGTGAGGTGGAGGGGAGGTTGAACGGGCAGCGCGGGTCGCCTGCGTCTACCACGAGGTCGATGTTGGCGTCCGAGTCGGACGGTGATGCGGACGTGGAGAATGACAGACCGAAACGAGATCGGAAGAAGAAGGGTGCGGGTGACACGGAGGCCAAAGAGGGGGAGAAAGCGTTGGAGAAGAGCCGATCGTTGAAGAGGGACAAGTCGGAACGAATTCGGGGGAGGAGAGCGAGTCAGAGCAAAGAGAAGGATGTGGATAAGGCCAAAGTTTTGCTTCCGAGTACGACGTTCAAGCCCGCGGAAGAGTTGGCAGGTGCGGTGGAGAAGGTGAAGTTGGAAGAGGACAAGGTTGCAACGGCGACGGGGGTGGGGATGGTGGAGGGGGGAGCGCAGCAGACACCCGTGGCTCAGAGGGTGCAGTCCATCCCAGCGGTGAAGGATGATCTGTTCTCGTCGCCTGCCGAACCGAGGGTGGAGTTGCCGACGAGCACCTCACCGGAAGAAGGAGGATCGGTGGGTGCGACACCGGAACCTCCGACGCAGCCGAAGTTCGACTGGGCAGCAGACGACGATGAGCTGGACGACGAATTGCCAGATCTCGACGATTGGGGGGTCACACTTTCCCCTTCCAAGCCTAGTACGGAGACTTTCAAGCAGCAAGGAGTTGCGGACAAGGGCAGTGCGGAGACGGGTCGGGAGGGGGTTTGGAGGAGAGGGGATAAGGGTCGGAAGCAGGCAGATGGCGGAAAAGCGGGATCTGCGAAGGGTGATCCGTTGGGGATTCGGATTGCAGGCAGAGCAGCAGGTGTGGAACCGCAGATGGGCGCGATGCCACCTGCAAGCACGCCGTATGGAAGGTGGAATAAGGCAAAGGAAGGGTCGGCGGTGAAGAAGGAGGAGTCGAGGGGTGCGAGGGTGGAGAGGGGAAAGCGGTCTGGTTTGGGTTCGGCTGAGAAGAGCATGCATGCACCAACGGCTGGAGCGGATTCAGCGGGGACAAAGGGCAGGATCGCGACCGGCGCGAAGAAGAAGCCTCATAGTGGGAAGAAGTAGAGTTTCCGTGCAAAATGTATCCTACACCACATTGGAAAACGGTATGATTAGAAACGAGTGCGTGTTGCACTTCAAGTTGGTGTGATTCTTGAGGCTTGACAACGGCGATCCCATCCTTGTTTGGTACCCATTGTTTGCTCTAGTGCGAAGCTCGTCGAGGCGTTAGGCACCCAACCTCTCGTCCAACTGCTTGCTCGAAATCTCACCGTCCCTGACGTCGACCACTTTTGCGACGTCGGATTTGACGCTGAAGTTGCTCAGTGCCGAAGCGTAGAGTGTCGACAACTCGAGGGATGAGGTTTGGGGTGCCCAGTAGAGTAGAAATAGTGGCTACGACGAGCATAAATGCCGTTTTGATCAGCAATGTTTCCGACTGAGAATGTTCTGAGATGGTTGGTGAGACTTACGTAGGAGACCCGTCCATCGCGATGCGAAAGCTTATAGTTGACGATGAGGAACCTCGGTGAGTTTTCCGGTAGCTCTGTTTTTTTGGCCCCCCATCACACATGTAAACAGAATCAGCATCACTCTTTCCCGCAACCCCTCCATCTTCTCTCATCTCCAAAACAGGATGGGAGAGAGACATACCTTCGATCAAATCCTCCACGCATGTCAATCCAGTGGTCAGCTCCTCCTCTAGTTCGAGCGTCAAACTCTTCTTGTCGATCTTGAACACCTGCGCTGTGATCGGCGCCTTCGAGGGGGTGAGCCGGAATTTTTTGATTCGGGTGAGCAGCTCCGTGGGGATGTCGATGGTGCTGCTTGACGACGCCATTGTTGTCAGCGGGTTCGAGGAAAGCGTGTGAGTGCTAGGACAGATGAGTGAGGGCTGCGAGATAGGTTGCTAAAGGGTGTTTGATGTCCGGATGAAGAATATACACATTGTGGAGCCGGGAATACGCACGAACGGGTCCGTGCACGCAGGGATCTGCATCCACAGCCCACATTTTTTCCGACGCTCGTGGCTTTTGTTTTGTGAATCGCTGCAAAACACCAGAAAACAAACTCACTGTCCGTCGTGAGAAGAACGCCGCGCGACCTCGTAGCGAAAGGTTCCAAGGTCGACATGACAATGAAAGCTATTGCGGCACCACACAGACTATGGAGGATCAAGCTCCACATGCACAGACAAGCTCTTGTCTCTTTTCCCTTGCTCCGTAACTCTCCTTTAATTGCGTCGTCTGGCTCTCAACCTAGACATGTCTCACACCGTAATCAAGAGGAGCCGCCACATTTCAATTGGCAGGCTTCTTGGCCGACTTCTCCGAAGCCTCACGGATAGCCCAAGTCAACGCGTAGGTCTTGACCGCATCCTCGTACGACGACAGGATGGGGGCGGAACCTTGACCCTTCTCGATGTTGTCGATCAAGTTGCTGACCTCGGAGAAGAAGGGGTCGTCGTTCTGGTATCGCACCACCTCCTCGTGGTCATCACCGGGGCGGCGGAAGTAGAGCGCGGGCGCGTTGTACGGGTCGACGAGACGCAAGCTGTAACCGTCTGCCAAGACGTCGAGCTCGGTCGAGTAATTGAAGCCTTGCAGCGACACGGCGTGGGTGAGCGAGCCCACGGCACCAGATTCGTACTTCCAGTTGGCGCAGGTGATTCGGGGAATACGCTCATCCTCAGGAATCTTGCCTTCGTCGATGGGGATCTTGCTCAGTACACCTGCAGGCTCGAACCACTCGAGCGAGTGCGCGCTGACAGTAGCCAAATCGACCTCACCACCAAAGTAACGCGAGAGATCGCAAAAGTGGGTCGCCTGCTCAACGATGGGACCGCACGAGCGGCTCTTGTCCCACCAGTCAGGCTTGTTGGTGTGTTCGTACGCCATGATGTATCGCGCGTTGGTGGCCATGACCTTGAGGTTGTTCTCGTCGAGGATCTGCTTCATCTTTTGCACCACCTTGAGGTATCGGAGCATGTATCCGACCGAAACAATGTTGTCGGCCTTTTCGAGCATCTGTGCGATCTTGAGCGCGTCGGCGACGGGACCGGTCGAGACGGGCTTCTCGATGAAGATGGCAACGTCGGGGAAAGCCTCGACGAGCTTCTTTTCGAGGTCACGACCGGGCTGCTCACGGCCACGGAAGGCAGGAGGGCTTCCTACCCAGATGGCGTGGGGTCTCTTGTCGGGCGAAACGTTGGCGACGTAGTCGGCAAACGTGGGGTAGACGATGGTGTCCTTGTAGGCGGAAAGCACAAACGAGTTGCGCTTCACAGTGAGCGCCGCCTCGGCACGAGCAGCGGAAGGGTCGATGAGCGCGGTCACCTTGAGACGAGGACCAAGCTTGTGTTCGAGTCGGAAAGAATGGTTCCACGGACCTTCGTCCGAACCAAAATTGATGTTACCGGCACCAATGATGACGACGTTGAAGTCGGCACCAGGCTTGGGCGGCTCCATCTTGTCCATGGCGGTGGGTGCGTGGGGGTCAAAATCGGCACCAGACGTCGTGTCCGACGCCATTCCCCTCGCGCCGGCAGGGAATCGGAAACCACCATCGCGCTTCAAGGCTGACGCGATGGAGCTGATGCGTGGCACGGCAACGCCAGGGGCGGCGACAGCGCGAGCACCGGCGAGGCTCGACGAGCGCGAGGCCGAGATGGCGATCTGCCTGAGGGCAAACGTGGATCGCATCTTGTTCTATTGGAGTGGATGGTAGAGAGAGTTTTGACTTGAACGATGATGATGGAGGGGAAAGGAGAGAAGAAGCTCGCGATGAGAGCGGACGACAAACGCCGAGATAGCTGATTGTGTCACTTTTCTTGTGATCCGAGCGCCAAGTCTGATATTTCAGAGCAAAGCAAAAAGAGCATGTGTCACTGTTGCGAGTGGGTGTAACAGCGCAACACACTCTCGGGCTCACTGGCGTTACGACATGGCGCAGGCGCATCGACAGCTGTCGAGTGTCACCCTGGCCTGGGACCAAGCTGGACAATCACTTACACACAGCGCAAATCATACGGAAAAATCGCTGGCGAGCAAGCAACATTCGGATAAGAACAAAAGGGCGCAGGAGGACGCAAGATGACACAGTGACGCAACTCGCCGTCTGTGCGTGCATGCGATTTTCCGTGATTCAGTGTTGGCGAAAAATGCCTCTCTGCTCGCAGGCACGCGGGCACGAGAGCTGTGTACGAGCCATGTTGTGCCCACGTTGATCTTTGGGTCTTCATCTTGTGGCCGTCGAGTGCGGCTTCTCGGCGCGCTTCGAAAGTTTCGCCGGCGTCTTCTTCCTGGAATCTCTCTGCCTGAAGCCATCTCCATTTTGCTCTCTTGCATCGTCCGGGTATGCATCTGAACATTCCAGGTGCTGTGTTATAGGATTGCTAGTATGCAACGGATGACCAAGATGGCCATCAACAGTTTCCGTTGGAATAGAGCATACTAGCAGAGTATGCAGGATGTGCAGCGAAACCACGTCAAAACGATCGGCGAATTAGCAAGGTCGAAATCACCGTTGTTTAGGATCGACGTTCATTGACGACGACGACGACTTCGATGAGACTCATTCTGACCGGACGTTTCATTTTCCTGCGAATGACGCTTTTCAGCCAACGCTGTTGCCGACACGGTGAGAGAATTGACATAGCGCGCGGCAATTCGCAGCTTGGCTCATGGCAAAGAGTCCCAGATACTTTCGTGAACGGCGAACCATTGCACGCGCGTAAGTACAGGCGGAATCGGAAGTCTACAGACTACTGTCGACGGAGCCAGCGTACTGCCCGCTTGTCATCCTTGATGAGTGGCAACAGCTTCTTGCGCACCTCGGCATTGTGCTCCTTGAGCCAGCGCACCTCGGTGTAGGACAGCAGGCTGAAATCCACCAGGTTGGTGGCGATGGGAACCTGCGTGATGCGCTCGAATCCGTACCATGGCACATCGCCGAATCCGCGGTGCGTCTCGATCCGCTTTACCGCCAGGAGCGACTCGGTACGGATGCCAAAGTGCCCCTCTTCGTAGAAGCCGGGCTCGTTGGTCAGCACCATGTTCTCCTCGAGAGCCACTGGCTTCTTGGATCCACCAGACATGGTCGAAAATCCTTGCGGTCCTTCGTGAACGTCCATGAACGATCCGATGCCGTGGCCCGTTCCGTGGCGATAGTCGTAGCCGTCCTGCCACAGCGCGTGACGTGCGATCGGATCGAGCTGAACACCCGTGGTGCCAGCTGGGAACTTGGCCTCGCTGAGCCGGATGTGGCCCTGAAGGACCCGCGTGTAGGCGCGCTTCTGCTCTGCGCTTGGGCGACCAAAGTGCACCGTTCGTGTGCAGTCGATGGTGCCGTCGTGGTATTGCGCACCCGAGTCGTTCAGGTACGGCGTCTCGCGATCGATCACGCGGCTGCCCTTCTCTGGAGTCTCGTAGTGAGGCAGCGCTGCGTTGGGACCGGTCGCAGAGATGGCGTCGTAGCTGTCACCGGCATACAAAGGCAATTGCTTGCGGATCTCCTGGAACTTGACCGCAGCTTCCCATTCGTCGATCTTGGCTCGCTTCACCTTGACGTGATCCTCGAGCCAGGCTGCCCACCGCACCCAGGCCGCACCGTCGCGGACATGACTGGCACGGAAGCCCTCGAGCTCCACATCGTTCTTGACCGCTTTGCGCAACGCGACGGGGGAAGGGTCGAGTAGCTCGAGCTTCTCGTCACCGACCGCATTGGCCACCGCGTACGACAGCTTTTCACCGGATACGAGTTTGCGACCATCGGAACCCTCGGAGGTCCAGCGACGCAGATGGTCCCAGACCGAATCGTACGGTTCCACTTGGACTTTGAGCGTGTCACGGATGTACTTATCCGCGGCGTTGCCTTGGGGTAGAAGCTCAGGTCGGATGAAGAGCGTCGACTGGTCAGCCGAGATGAGAAGGTATGCGGGGAAGACAGGGTGACAAGGGATCGAAGCACCGCGCAGGTTGAGCAGCCACGCAACCTCATCCAAAGCCGAGATGAAGTAGGCTGAGCCAGCAGGCTGTGCTTTGAGATCTTGCCTAACATCCTCAATCTTGGCTGTGGCAGGCTTACCGGCATACTTGAGTTCGTGCTCGTAGACAGGGAAAGCCACGGGTGCCGGGCGGTCGGACCCCCAGGCTACATCGACGAGATTGCGCGAAGGGAATACAGCTGCCGCAACCTTGTTCTTGAGAGACAGGACGAGGGATTTGCCCTGAGTGTAACCGGTCAGGGCAGGGTCCAAGCCGACCTTCGTTCCCTCCTTGGCCTGCTCCACGATCCACGCCGGCCAGTCGAGCACACCATTCACGCCGACCTTGTGCAGCGTCCAGTTGTCATCGAGCTGGTCCGCTGCCTGAATGTGGTACCGACCGTCAGCAAAGAGGTGGGCCGAGTCTTTGCCGACGATAGCAGTTCCAGCCGAGCCGGTAAAGCCCGAGATCCATACACGGCGCATCTCGGAGGCAGCAGTGTACTCGGTGGCGTGGGCATCGTCCGTGGGTACGAGGTAGAAATCGACATCTTCCTCCTCCATCAACTTGCGCAGTGCGCGCAGACGTGGTCCTGTGGTGTCCGGTTTAGCTGCCGCTGCCAAGTCGAGCTTGCGTGCCTTTTCAGAGTCGAAAGCAGCCTCGACCAGGGTAGTGTCGGTCTTGACGGAAGCGGCATCGTTGGCCTTGCTCTTGCTGAGGAATCCAAAGCAGCCCATTGTTGTCGAGTCGTTGGAGTCGATGTGGATGAGGCGGTGATTAGGAGCTGCTCTTCGACTGATGATGACGGAAGGGTACGAGCCAATGCTTGGTTGTTATCTGCGAACGAGAACCGTGCGAGCCGCGTTGCGAAGAACGCCGGACCCTGATGCTCCGAACATGCAGCTGGGCCAACCTCAGTTGACCGATCTTGCACGCCGATCCCTCAATCCCCGCCGGCTCAAAGTTGGGCATTTTTCTTTCTTGAGTGTTGCCTCGGCATCACCTAACACTGATCAACCCACAATTGGTCTCGTCAGAACGATGTTTGAGCGGTCAATCTTTGAAGGACCTGTCTGCCCTTGGATAGAACAGCTGGATTGAGAGACATGGCATTGTGGTCAGTTGCATTGTGCCTGCAGTTGGTTGTAGCTTCTATGATGCGGATCACGGCGATACGACGTCCACTCCCCACTCCTGCGAGCTCTGCATTGTGTTTGCGCGATAAGATGAATTCTCTTCGAAAGATCGACGGCTCGAACAATGCCTGCATGGCATGGCCTTTTGTTTGTGCATGTGTCGATCTTTCCTTGGCCGCAGTTATGCGAGCGGGAAGCACGGCAGGCACAGGTAAAGCAACACAGCAAAGCGCACAATGATCTGGCACGGGAATGGTTTCTGAAGCTGGGGATGGACCTCGTTCACCCACGCCACCTTGAGAAGAAGAGACGTTTGTATTCTCGGCTACAGGTGTCGAATTCAAAGGGTTAGGAAGTGGAACGAGGGATCCTCAAATGCGCGCGTCTGGCTGTCAGCCAATTTCTAAGCAGGCAAGAAAAAGCTTGCTTGGCGTGGCCACGAATCTGCGGCAAAGTCGACCTACGACTCGACTCGACTCGACTCGACTGCTCCACTGACTCGACTGCGCCGTCTCTCGTCGTTGAACCGAGCAGAGATGCGCTCCAATTTCCACGTCGGTCGTGCTTGGCGCCAAAACGCGTTTCCGGCCTCGTGGATTTTGAAACGTAGCTCGACTCTTGTTTGGCGAAGCGCCTTTTTTTTCCACGGGGCCCTGCAGTCGTTTTCTTCTCAGCGACCCCGAAAAAAATTGCATTGAGCAGGGCGGATGAAAAGAAAAATGAGCAAGACGCAGGGAAATGAACGCAGAGATGGTGGATGCATCATGGCATGCTCCTAGTGATGGCGACCTCACTCTCCATCAACCATCATCCATCCTCCATATCTTCGTTTGACTCAGGTCGACGACCCGCTTCGGCTGTTCCTGTCCTCTACATTCGCAACACCTTTTTCCAACCTGACACACTACTCTTGCATTGCACGCTTCTGTGTCGTTCGCTTTCACCCATCACACACACACACCCCCGCAAGTCGGGCTCATCCATCTCTTGCAACTAGCTAGCCTCGACCTCGTTTCGTCTATACCATCTGCATCTTCTCCCGAAAAAGGCGATGGCCATTGTTCTTCTTCGGTGTACAACATAAAGCTTCCGGATCCTCACGACATCGCACGCATTTTTCGATATACCAACGTCTTCTCCAACAGCCAGAAGATCCGTTCATCGATCGACAACGCATCTCCTCGTCGCTATCTTTCAAACCTGACGGGCAAAGTCATTTGAAGCATACGGATCTCTGGAGCCGCTATACCGCCTCGCCTCACCGGCACGATCTGTACAACATCGACTCCCTTGTACACTTTCTCACGAAAAGGTTGCACTTCATTTCACGTGCCATCCTGCGTCGCTTCGCATGTCTTTCGTCCAGCCAAGCGCCAAGTGTAATCGCCCTCATCTGGACTGAACAGCATCCTCGCTTTCGATCTACATTCTCCCTTGTGTCGCGCGACAGCCGAAGAATCTTGCTCAGGCTTCTATCGATCCGGTAGCTGGCATTCATCACTCTTCGCTGCCTCTGGCGTTGACAATCTTCACAATTCCTCTCGTGGTGCCCCCGGCATCACTGTTCTCGATCATGTCGGCCGACGCTCCATCGCAGAGCATCCCGCCTTTCCACCTTTCGCACTACCAGTCCGAAGAGCCGGACCACATGACCGGATCCCGCCTATCTCAGTTCTCCCGCACTCTATCGTCTGACGATGGTCATGCCACCGTCAACCTCCCCCATTCAAATGCGAGTACAAGCAACCATTATGGTCCCGGCAACGGGCCTAGCTCGATGGGACCCAACGGCATGCATGCCACATCCAACAACAGCGCCAACAACGATGCCATGAGCAACAGCATCTCGAGTCTGCACAGCAACACGTCACATGCATCATCGGGCGGTCACGTCCCCCCACCTACGCGGACAGGCTACGATCAGGCCAGTCGTCTGCGACAAACCTTTAACAATGCGCGCAGCTCTTCGCCTCTGTCTCGGCCGCCGCTCTTCAGCCCGAACCTGCTCCACGAGGTCGAAAGGTCCTCTCCACAAGTTCGGTCGCCCTCAGGCACCCATCCCGCGTCCTCTCCACCCCCCAGAAGTAACGTCACTTCTCCGCGCTACTTCACTGAACCCCATCACTCTGCAAATGCACCATCGCACCTCCAGCACTCTGTACAGCACCACCAACAGCATTCTCACCTCCAGCATCAATCTCCATCATACCACCCTTCGCAGCATACCCAACAGCAGGCCCCTCAGCAATCCTCGTCCCGCACGCATTCTTTCGTTCCGAGCACTCAACATGCTCCGTCTTTTCAGCACGGCCACATGCAGCAGCCTTGGCAATCACGCAGCGGTGGCATGGGCCCGCTCGACTTTGCGCCATCGGCGCAGCCTCCCGCGCTCAGTCCATCCGACCGTCCACATTCTTCCATGTCGGAACGTGCATCTCGCATTCATGATGGCGCCGCTCGTAGCATGGGTCCCGGCACATCACAGAGCCCGGTCGGTGGTATCAACAAGGAGTCGGAGTTCAGCATCTTTGTCGGGGATCTAAGCCCCGATCTACGTGAGGACGACCTTGTCGCACAGTTCCTTCAACCACCCGCGTGGCCCCACAATCACCCGTTCGCTGCGGCTCTCATTCACGCCCAACAAGCGCAGGGCATCTATCAGCCTGATGCACGCATCGGGCCCGCGCCTTTCGCATCAGCCAAGTCGGCCAAGATCATGACCGACCCTATCACGGGCGTTTCCAAGGGATACGGATTCGTGCGCTTTTCGCTTGAAGCTGACTGCAATCGTGCGCTGGTGGAAATGCAAGGCGTAGTCGTCTCGCCAGCGAACGGCCTCTCGCCCGGACGTCCCCTTCGCGTCAGCACAGCTACGCCCAAGAACCGTGGAACAGCGCCACCATCTCTGCAGCAACCGCTTGGACCAAACATGGCCGGCGACCCGAACCAGCAGCCTCTGCAGATGCCTCGGCCGCACAACCCGGCTCAAAACGCTGGACCATCGTTCCTGTACAACGGGGCGTCGAGTGGTGGTCCTGCGATTAGGTCGGAAGTCGTCTCGCCGCAGCCGCACGTTCGACAGCAGTCAAGCCCCACGACGCACCAAGCCTCGCTCGTCTCCCCGATATCGCCTGCCTCTCCCTACGATGGTCCTGGCGGTCCGAGCAGTGGCAACGGACCCGCATCCTTCGGCCCTCTCTACGGTGGCTTTCCTGGAAATGGCGGCGACGGAACGCGTGATTCGTCGCCTGCTGGCATGATGCGTTCCCACACGCCTTCTTCGGCACCTCCGATGATGCAGCAAGGCGGCGGCGGTCCCAGCGGCAATCCCGGCGACAGCGCTGCTGATCCCAACAATACGACGGTGTTCGTAGGAGGTCTTTCGTCGCTCATCTCGGAAGCAACGCTGCGAAGGTACTTTGAGCATTTCGGCGAAATCACCTACGTCAAGATCCCTCCGGGCAAAGGTTGCGGATTTGTGCAATATGTGCGCAAGCAGGACGCAGAGAATGCGATCCAGCGCATGAACGGCTTCCCAATCCTCAACTCCAAGATTCGTCTCAGCTGGGGACGCAGCCAGGGCGACAAGGCGGCGGCCGCGGCTGCACAAACTATGGCACAGTACGCGCAGCTTGGTCAGCTAGCGGGTCTTGCCGGGCTCAGCACGCTCAGTCCGTCTCAGCTGGCTCAGCTGGCTGGACTCGGCAGCGTTCTCAGTGCCGCCCAGGCTCAGATGCAAGGTCAGGCGCAAGGTCCATCTCAGAGAGGTCCGCCTGGGTTTGGTCTCGGTGGTGCCGGGGGACTTGCCAATGATCCTCTCTCTACCTTGGCGAGGCAGCTTGCAGCCACCAATGGTGTCGGTGGCGGCATGGGTCCTGGCGGACACGCCAATCACAGTGGGCCTGGCATGGGTCAACGAGCTCCTTTGCCATCGTTCCTTCAGAATCAGCAACAATCACACCAGGGACAACAACCTTCACACCTGCATCAGCACCAGCATCAGCAACAGCAACAGCCGTTCCGAGGTCAGCACGGCTTCCCGTCATCACAGAACCTCGGTTTGCCTGGAATAGGAGCCAACGGAGCCTTCGATGGCGCCCCGGGCTACAACGGACGTAGCGGCAGCTCGCACTCGAACCAAGGATTCGACTTTGATCCACGCAGCGCATCTGGTCCAGACCACCACTTTGGACCGCAAGACGGCAACCAGTCACGTTCTGCTCCATTCGCGCCTCAGCATCATCAGCAAGGCGACTTTTCGGGGATGCCGCCGCTGTCGGAATCCGAGCTGGTAGATGCATTCGCTGGCCTCGATTTCGACGAGACAACACGAGCTGCCTTGGCTCAGCGACTGCAAGCTATGCAGCAGCAGGACGGCGGACCGAATCGATCCAACGCGGACGGATTTGGCCCCGCATCCGGTTCGGCAGCCGCAGCCAAGCGAGCAGATTCGTTCGGCAGCGGCTACAACCGCGATCCGAACGCATTCATGTTCAGTCCGTTCAGCCCTTCGGATTCGCCGATCGTGGGTGGCAAGGCGGATCTGCCGAACTCTCAATCCAACTCTTCGTCGCTGTATCTGTCGCACAGAGCTGACGACGACGGCTCGAGCGCGACGCACGATCCCGCTGCTGCTGCTGGGAACAACACCCACGACCGCTGATTCGAAAAAAGCCTCCGTTTCTGACTCTCGCAGCAAAGCAAAACCCACCACCCCTTCTCCCGGTCATCCAAAAAGCACCTCAGCATGCCTCCTCTGTATTTCTCACCCTGACTCTCACCGTCTCTCTTGGGGTTTTGTCTTTCTATCCTTGCTAGGCCTTGTCTCCGTTCAAGCGTTTCTGTAGATTTGGCGTTATATCGTATGCAGCTTCATCTTTTGTTCGGCATGCTCTTTTTTTACCCCTCGTCGCTTGTTGTTGTACTAGACTATGCATTTTCATCTCTTGTCATCCAAAAGAAGTCGCTTTCAACCTGCTGCCTGTTTTTTTTCTCTTTCTTGAGTCTGTGTGCTGGGTGGATTGGATCTTCGGTCGAAGGACATAAGTGTGCGGGAAGATTATACGGTTGGAAGGGGTGATTCGAGTTGCAGCTGAACGTGTGTCAAGAGGGTTTTTGCGGATTGGTACTCGTCGGTTTCTGTTATGGATTGTTCTTCGAGACCGTCCTGATTTCACGCCATTCGAGTAGATCAGTACGTTTGTGGTGGATCTCTGAGGTTTGAGTGAGGTATGACACTTACGACGTATCCAAGTAGATCGTCCACCGCAAGTTGGAGTCTCTTTCGACAATCGGGTATCATCTTCAGTGTATCTTTCAACACCACTCTCTAGTAAACACAAAGAGAGTCTCGTCAGTATTTCCGCAATATGCATAGCCAAAGATGTTTTGGGGGAAAGTGGCTTTACTTGTTGCTTGACATCGTATTCGTCACGACCTGAATCGATGAAGGATTGAATACGTGTCTCTTGTTGTTTCGCTTCGTCGAGGTAGGATGATTCTTCCTTTGCCAATCTATACAGACATCGCATGAGTCGACAGTAGGAGATTCGTCAGCGTTTACGCTCAGGGAGCAGCGCTTGAACAAGAACCCGAAGGCCATTATCCGGGTCGGCTCAGCGGAAAAGGAGCAAGCGTGAGTAAGTGGAACAGAGATCTTCTTACCTCTTTACAACACCAGTCTTGATCGTCAATTGACGCTTGATCGCTGCGATGTCTCCGGACATATCGTATGTGCGTCCCTGATGTATATGATGTAGACAAGTGTGTCCGAGGCGAGAAAGAGAGAGAGAGGGAACGGGGTGATCGTGATGGGTTGGCACGGTGACCGGAGGATGCGCGCCAACAAAGCAACACTTTTTTGTGAAACACACTTCTCTTGCAGAGATCAACGCTTCACCCCCGATTTCCGCATCACGCGCCACACAGGGTCCAGTGTGGCTCCCCACCAGAGCTCCTCAGTCCAGACTTCTGTCCCACCTCAACACATCCCTACCACACTCGCTCTTCACTCACATCAATTCATTCGAGCTCATATCAATATCGTCATACAGTAATGCCATGCCAAAAGGGCACCATCTATGTATAATGCAAGACTTGTGTCCGAAACCTTAAAAAACAAAAGCATGCACATATATCCCTCTAAAAAGATCTAGGCTTCATCCTTCCCGCAAACCCACCCGTCGGCTTCCCCTTGTCCCTCTTCTTCTTCTTCTGCTCCTTTGCCGACGACCCAAACATGGTCAGTGCACTGGCGTACGGCGAAGCTGGGATCCCTCGCGACTGTTTCGCAGCGTGTACAGCTTGCGCTGCTTTCTTCTGCTTGCGCTTTTCCTTCTTCGAGAGAGCGGCAAAGGAGTCTTCGGAATCAGAGTCGGCTTCGGGAACGGACGGTTGCGGGCGTGATGGAGTAGTGGTAGTGGAAGATGGTCCGACGAGCGATTCGTACTCGCCCCTGTCGACTGCGGTGCCTAGCTCTTCATCTAGGGCCGAGGCAGAAGAGGGCATGGTGAAAGGATTCGATGCAGCACGGGAAGGAGTGGTGGCACCGTAGAAGCTGGCTGCGGATCTTGGCTTGGATGACAGCATCTGGTCTAGTCTATGGGATGTTCCGTTCATCTTTGGCGCCGGTGAGGAGGATGAATCCGAGTCGCTCTCGTCGTCGCTGACTTGCCTGGCAACATCCTTTCGCATCTTGGCCGCTGGTGAAGCCGCGCTCGCGCTGCGGCCTTCATCGCCTTCGGAGTCAGTTTCCGGCCTGGACTCCTGTACCGCTTTGCGCTTCTTGCCATTCAGCAGAGACTTGACTGGAGCCACTGCGGCAATCGCCTTTTCCAGCGCCTCATCTTTCTCTTTCAGGTAGAAGAGAATGTAGGCGCTCTGATCACCTAGCGGTCCGGTGCTACCCATCTCGGAGACATGGCTGTCATCCATTCTGGTCCATTTGCCCGAAGGAGACCTCACGCTAGCCACATAATGTCCGCTGTTCGGCCCCGATCCGTAGTGATGCACCACAGCATAAAGCTTGTACCTCGCTGGACCTTGGTTGACCGACAAGTAAGGCGCAATGTTGAGCTTGTCGTCAAATGCGATCTGCCGTGACACTTTGCCGCCAAACACAGTGAATCGCTTGAGATGCACCGTGAGCGCCGGCGGGGCTGTCTCGATGGTGAACTGCTTCGTGGCATCAACCTTGCGCTTGCACTTGTCGCATTTGTACTTTTCGGACCCGGTCAGATTGTCCTTGGCTACAAAGGTACGGAAAGCGTCGGTGAGCGAGTTGATGCCTTTGCGCACATCCAGGCTGAGGTCCATGAAGGGATCGAAAGTGTCCGAGTTGTGACCGCAATTGTGGCATGTCACTCGGCTACGCAGCTTGCCGCCAAAAATCTTTTGGACAAAGGTTGACCGTCGGACGGGATCATCGGGTTTGAGCGATTTCGAAGCTCTTGAAAGGCAGCCCTGCTGGAGCGCTTCGAGCAAGAAGCGTAGGTACTCGTGCGCGTCTTCTTGCCTCCCCTGACGGAGTGGTTTCGCAAACGCCTTGAGGTTCCGATTGAAGTCTCGTGGAGCATTCGTCGACTTTGATCCCATCAAGGATCCTTTGGCGAAAGCCTGCATTGCTGCAACAGCGTCAAATGTAACGTTGGGCTTGCCTCCCAGCTCGCTGTGTAAAACGTCCAGGTCCTGAGTGAGAAGAGCGAACGCAAGTGGCGGCGTGTGAATGAGAGACTGCATGACACTGTTCATGTAGCAAGTATTGCCGTAGTTGGACAGCCCCGTAGCAACACTTCGCACCTTGCCTGGGAAGCGGAGCGAGACCTTGTACGGGTACAGATCACGCGACCTTGCCTTTCCGTTCTTGGTCGGCGAAGCGAGAGTGTCTATTGACAAGTCTGCATCGTGTAGATGGGTATTGCCGTTAATCTTCGGTGAGTCTGTGTGCAGCAATAGCGAGTGTTGCTTCTGCTCTTGCTTCCGCTTCTGGACGGCAGCAAAGTTGGGATCATTGACCGGTATCAATCCTAGCGTGGTGTAGTCCTGGCCCTGCCTCTGGTTCGACTTGATGAATTTGACTGGATCAGAGAGGAGCGCATGCAGCATGCCTCTCTGCTTGAGAGTGTCGCGCAGCTGGTCACCGCCGGATGCAAGAATCTCTTTCGCAAGCTTCTTTCTCTCTTCCTTGGAAGGTGAAGCGGATGAAGGCAGCGAGCCGACCGAGTTCGACTTTTGGTGATGGCCATTTGATGTCGAGGATTTCTTGCTCGGGCTGGTGAATGACTCGGATCGATGGAGGCCGTTCTTCTTCTTTTTCTGTGGTGATTGACTGAAGGAGCGTGAGCTTGAGCCGCCGTCGGCCTGCGACGAGGGCCGTCTCACCACCTCGGCCATCCTGAGAACGGTCGATGCGCAACCTGCTCGGGCGATGAGAGATCGAGCACGGCTCAGAGTGACTAGTCGGATGCTTCCGATCTCGTGCAGCTCCAAAGTCGGGGTCGAAAGCCAAACACGCTGAGTTCGAGGCTGACTCCTGAGAGCAGACTAGACGGCGTGACGTGGGGTCGCAGAAGTGATTCGCGGCGGGTGTGATTGTCGGAGGAGCTGCAACAGTTGACCGTTTAGAGCACTGAGCTTGACTTGCGTGAAGATTCTATAGTGAGGGCAGCTAGCGACGTTCGACCTGTCAGTACAATACCTCGAACGGTGTCGGACGATCCGGTTCATCGTCTTGTCTAAATCAGAACTGAGAATTTTTTTGGTCCTGAACTTTTTTTTTTTGTCGTTCGCCGCACATTCGCGTGCTTGCAGCGTGAGTGGGTTCACGGCCTAGGAAAATCGCGAGAGACACGGCCTGCCGGTCTGAAAAATTCCGTCGCGTGCTGCTACCTAGAAACTCCTCCACATCTCTCCGCCCGTGTTCGGTGCTTCCGTTTCGAAAACGGTGAAATAGGAGCTGCACAAGAAGCAAACGAAATCGAGCGCAGCACAGAGCGGCGCCTGGAATGTTACACTCGAGCCTCGCCGAACGGTCCGTGTGTCGAATAAAGCAGCGAGGACCCTTGATTGCATTTCGCGATGAGCCACGAGAGCAAGCAACACACACAGACACGCCAAGCAGAGCCTTCACTCTCGGCGCAATGTCGAAGCTTCCCGACAAGACTCGATCTGCTTCATTCTCGTCCATTCCCTGTTCCGCTTCCCACGAAGGTGGCGCTTCCGCCAGTAGCGCACTATGGACGCAGCTCTGCAAAAGGCGCTGCTCGACCGCGTCTACGACAAGCGCAAAGCCGCCACGCTCGACCTCGAACGCCAAGTACGTGATTGCCTTGCCAGAGGCGACCGAGCGCGGGTCAATCTCATCGTTCAGCAGCTGTGCTCCTTCCTCTCCACCTCGCCGCAGAACGTCAACGCTCGCAATGGTGGTCTCATAGGTCTTGCCGGTATCGCCATCGCACTCGGTGTGGAGCTCGCTCCCTTTTTGGAGCAGATCGCAAAGCCCGTCTTGGCCTGCTTTAACGATCCGGACAGCAAGATCCGCTACTTCGCATGCGAGAGCTTCTACAACATTGCCAAGGTATGCAAGGGCGAGATCCTCGTCTACTTCAACGAGACCTTTGACGCCCTCTCCAAGCTTGCGGCCGACTCGGAACTCAGTGTCAAGAACGGCGCCGAACTGCTCGACCGTCTTCTCAAGGACATCGTCTGCGAAGCAGCTCCGCACTACGTCTCTCAGTTCCAAGACATATCGCTCATCCGAGCCCATCAGGATGCGCAGGATGGCTTCGCCGGTGGTGCAGCAGAGCTCGACGTCGCGCGCGAGAAGGCGCACCAGATCGATGAGGAAGGCACCGCCAGCAACAAGGTCTTCTCCCTCGCTCGCTTCATTCCGTTGCTCGCAGAGCGCATCTATGTGCTGAGCCCTTTTACTCGCAACTACCTCGTCAGCTGGATCACCGTTCTCGGGTCCGTCCCTGAGCTCGAGCTGATCACCTACCTCCCCTCCTTTCTCGACGGACTGCTCAAGTACCTCAGCGACCCGAACACCGATGTTAGAGTCGCTACCGCCAACGTACTCGCCGACTTTCTGCGTGAGATCCGCCACGCGGCCGAACTCGCTGCAAAACGACACGCCTTCGAGCAGCATCGCGCCGAACGACAGGAGCACAAAAGGCTCAAGGGGAAACAACGAATTATGCCATCTGCGATCGACAGTATGCCTCCCAAATCAGGAGCTCCAGAAGATGCGCTCCTCCCATCACAATTTGAATCACAACCTAGGAGTGCCAGTCCGAGCAAGTCCATGCGATCGTCGTCAAAGACACCATCGACGAAGCCTCGATCGGAAGGGGGCACTTCGCCACTTCCTCCTCAACAAGACGGCCACGACACGGACCAAGGAGTGACAGAAGACGTCGGCAACGAATCTGCCGTTGAGGACGATCATCAGGAAGCACACGACGAGGACGAGGAAGAAGACATTTGGGTCGATGGCACCGAGGTACGCATCGAATATGCCGCCATCGTAGAGATCCTCATCAATCACATTGGCTACCCAGACGAGGAAATTCAGGCGACCACGCTACAATGGATCGCCGAATTCCTCCTGGTGGTCAAGGACGTCGTAGTGCCCTTCACACCTCGGCTCATCTCTGCCATCTTACCGAGCTTGGCACACCATAGCCCAGCCATCGCCAGCGCAGCGCATGCGACCAACATCAACCTTTACAGAGTCATTCAGGACATTGCTGCACCTGCTGCACCACCGAGCGCTCGTCCGCGAATCTCATCAGCCACCGCAGCTTTGCAGGGCCACAAACATACCAATTCCACCTCTTCGGGTCGCGAGCGGAATGCGGCAGGGAGCCCAACGCAGCACGGCAATCTCAACAGGCACGGTTCGGTCTCCAGGCCCGCCATCTCCTCCTCGACAACTCCCATCTCTACATCAATCCCGGCGACTGGGCCAATATCGCCCCGCTCTCGAGCAAATACCCTCAGCGGCGAGCCTGCGACGAGCATGGCGACCCTCACTCTGTCCGAAAGCACGGGCAACGACGATCGTACCACCTCGCCCACCCAGAACGGCAACGATGCTCTAGCGGAAGACGAGGATCCCTTCGACTACCAGATGACAGTCAATGCGCTGATACTGCAGCTGCTCGACGAGCACGAGGAGACCAGAGTATCTGCGCTCGAATGGCTCTTGATGCTGCATCGAAAGAGTCCGCAAAAGATTCTGTCGATGGACGATGGAACCTTCCCAGCACTGCTCAAGACGCTCTCGGATCCCTCTGACGAAGTCATCCGATGCGATCTTCGCCTCCTAGCGCAGATCAGCTCGGCATCTGAGGACTCGTACTTCCATGCCTTCATGGCCAACCTGCTCAGCCTCTTCAGCACTGATCGACGTCTGCTCGAGACGCGCGGCTCACTTATTATCCGGCAGCTGTGCGCGTCTCTCCACACCGAACGCATCTTTCGCACGCTCGCTGAGATCCTCGAAAAAGACGAGGATCTCGAATTTGCCAGCATCATGGTGCAGAACCTCGCCATCATCCTCATCACCTCTCCTGAGCTCGCCGACTTCCGCAAGAAGCTGCGCAACCTCGACTCGCGCGAAGGCCAGCAGTTGTTCGTGTCGATCTATCGCTGCTGGTGCCACAACGCGGTGGCGGCCTTCAGTCTGTGTCTGCTAGCACAGGCGTACGAGCACGCTAGCAATCTGCTGACCATCTTTGCTGAGCTCGAGATCACCGTATCCCTGCTCATCCAGATCGACAAGCTGGTGCAACTGCTGGAATCGCCAATCTTCACGGCGCTGCGGCTGCAGCTGCTGGAGCCCGAGAGGTATCCTTACCTATTCAAGTGCCTGTATGGCATTCTGATGTTGTTGCCGCAGAGTTCGGCGTTTGTCACGTTGAGGAACAGGTTGAACGCGGTAAATGGGTTAGGGTTCTTGCATTCGGTGCCCAGGTCGAGCTATTCGTCCCGGACCGGATCGAAGAGTGTATCCAGCTCTGGAGGCGCATCGGCTGGCGGCGGGGGCACAGGTACAGGGGGAAGCTCGGCGGGTGGATCAGCGTCGATGGTCGAGATCAAATGGAACGATCTACTGCATCACTTCCGAGTGGTGCAGAACAAGCACGAACGTGCCCGTCGCCAAGCGACTGCGGGCGCGACCGCAGCAGGCGGCGGCACACATCTCGCACCCGACTACGCTGCGCCCCGGATCACCTCGTCCGGAGGAGCCGCGTCATCGTCTGCATCCTCCATGGCGGGTGGCGCAGCTGGCGGTCGAAGGCGTATCAACCAAGCAGCGACACCGGCGACGGGCTCCACGACGCCGTCAACCGCGCCAGGGCGGTTCGGGCTGGGACTGTCGTCGTCCGCCTCCAATGGTCGCAGCAGCAGCGCTGTCGTTTCTGCTCCCAACACAGGCACGAGCAGCTTCTTTGGCATCCACCTCCCTTCCACAGCATCTGCCGCCACAGCCTCACCTACGAGTGCTCGTTCTTCCAGCCCGTCGGCAGCCAGGCGATACGTATCGGGTCAGCAGCAACCGTCGAATCCGGGATCTAGACAGCCGAGCAAAGGATCTTCGCTGCGCCAGTAGAACTGCCGAAGGCCAGGGAACAATAGTACTCTTCTCGCAAGCATATCTCGTGCGCGTTTGCGTGTGTCTGTTTTTTGAGTATGATGAGGATTGCAAGTGAGGAACGGTGGTGGGTGATCATACAATCTTGTCTGCGAGTTCTGGCAGCTGATCTCCGGGGACAAAGTGACGTTCTACGCCGTCCTCTGTGATATCTACGAGACGGATGGTACCACCCGAAGAGCCGTCTCTCCTCATCGCAAGAGCCAAAGCGTTCTTGACGAATTCGATCGTCTTCTCCTTACCCCAACCTGCCTTCCAGGTAGCATCGCAGTAGCCGTAGATATACGTGCTGCCACTTCCGCCGATCGCCCACGGTTGTTCGAACACACCACCTCCCAACGGGACGTTGAACACCCTGCCTCCGTCCTTCTTATCCCAACCTGCTACGATGATTCCAGCGCTCAACCTGTCCTTGTTCTGATATACGATTTCTTGGAAGAGACTTGCAGCGACTTTTGTCTGAACAGGGGAGTCGGATTCGAGGGCGTACATGTCGAGGTAGTAGGTGACGATGTCGGCGATGGCTTGTGTGTCGGCTGCGGAACCGGATCGACAGCAGTAGATTCGATCGGAGAGGTGGGTGAGCTTGTCGGTGACTCGATTGGCGATGTAGGAGCCCATGGTGGTTCGAGAGTCGGCGCCGAGGATGACTCCCTTGTCGTAGGCGACGGCCATGATGGAGGTGCCGAGGTTAACTTCGCCCTTTTTGAGGTGGCCGGTGATATCCATTCCGTTGACCGCCATTTTGGGAATGTGAATGGAAGGTGGGGGGAGAGGGATGCCGATGTGTGTTCGATTCAAGGGTGAAGTGAAGAGAGCAGCCGTCTGCTTTGTTTTGAGGATGATGACAGCGAAAGAAGTGCGGTGCGATTGATGTACAGCTCGTTGGCAGCGGTGATGGGACGAGCAAAGATGCGTTGATGGTGTAGCGTGAACTAGTGTCGTCAAGACGAATCCGAGGGTGTTGGTTTACGGGCTTCCCGCCAAAATTCGAGGTTGGTCTAAGCGGCGGGCGCTGCGTCAAGTGGAGTGCGCAACCTGTGGCCGCGTAGTCGCGATCACCACTTACGCCTCACCCAGCGGCTAAGTTGGTTCTCACTTCAGAAAAAAAAGGTCGAAAAAGACACGGGCGCGCCCTAACACATTTCCATTTAGTCTACACACACGCACGCGAGCACCCGAACTCACTTTCAAAGAGACAGTCAGACACTCTCACACACGCGGTTTGTCGCCGAGCCAAAGCCAAGAACAAGAGTCGGAACCTCGCAGCCAAAGAAAGTGTTGGACCGTGTCAGCGACACCAAGCGCCTCTCATCAATCTTCTCCTGACTCTTGCTTTCATCCTCGTCGACTTTACCCCTTTCAGCATCTCGTCGACCTCACTGCTCACCAAGTCTTGCACACCGTTTCAAAACCCCTGGCATCATCATCATCGAAGAGCTGGTCTCTTGCTCCCTCTTTCGCGTCCCATTGTATACTTTCGCATTTCGACTTCTCTCGCACCGCTTCTTCGCCCCTCTCTCTCTTCTCACCGTTCTGCACCGACTCACCGTCTTCCAATCGCAATCATGGGTCAGCAAGGCTCCCAACTGCTATCGGACATCGAAGCCACCTCGAACTTCAATTCGAAAGAGATCCAACGGCTCAAAAAACGCTTCATGAAGCTCGATCGCGATGGATCCGGTTCCATCGACAAGGACGAATTCCTCCAGATCCCGCAAATCGCCAACAACCCGCTCGCCCTCCGTCTCATCGCCATCTTCGACGAGGACGGAGGCGGAACCGTGGATTTCCAGGAATTCGTAGCCGGACTCTCCGCCTTTTCAAATCAGGGTTCGAGGGAGGAGAAGCTCAAGTTCGCCTTCAAGGTGTACGACATGGACAGGGACGGGTTGATCAGCAACGGAGAGCTCTTCTTGGTGCTCAAGATGATGGTGGGCAACAACCTGAAGGATCAACAGCTGCAGCAGATCGTGGACAAGACGATCATGGAGGCGGATACGAATGGGGATGGCAAGTTGGATTTCGAAGAGTTCCAGGCGATGGTGGCGAACACGGATGTAGCAAAGCAGTTGACGTTGGAGGATCTGTTTTGAGGTGATGCAGATGTGGATACCCCAGTTGGTCGGGCGGAGATCAGCGGCGGCCGATTGTAGGAGCATGTCTTGCTCGTATTTTGGTGGGTATGAAGCTCTAGAGAGAAGCAACGTTGAATCGTGTCAACCCCAGGCCGCAGTGCGAATGAATACGGGCGTCTCTTCCAACCTGCAAGTCTCGCATATCGTCTCATCATCACTGTATCGTACACGTTGTTGGTTTTGTTGCTCATCTCATGTTTGGCCCCTATTCTCAGCCACTGTACGACGGAGTTGTCGTCGGTCTGTGACCATCCGCTTGCGCTGATCGACTCGCAACGCCTGATTTCTTCCACATCAAACTGAAGGCACCCTTTCAAAATGTTCCGATAGAAGAACACAACATATCTTCGATTGCATGCATCCCTGCCCCCTTCCTTACTCATGCTCCTGTGCAAATCTCAACCTCGCCAACGGCCTCATCAGCTCCTCCAACGAAACCTCGCGCCTCGCTCGCTCCACCTGCGTCGCCAACCCCCTCCTCTCCAACCGGTTCAGCTTCTTGGCCGTATTCGCATTCGTGCTCGTTCTCTGACCTCTCACCGGCAGATGGCTTGCATGTCTCCTTCCCCTGTAGCTGCCTACGTTTCGGTGGTGGTTGATGTTGGCGTGGAGGACGCGTTTGAGGTCTGCCTCGATCTTGATCTGTCGTAGCGGGTCGTTCGCGGGGTTGGGATCTAGCGACGGTCGAGCGAGGTCCTCTTCGGCGGTTGATAGGGATGTGGGCGATGGTTTTCGCGCGGGGATCGAGCCAGGGGAGGAGAGGTATGCGGAGAGTTGGGTGATCTGCGATTCCGTGAGAGACGAGACCGTCGCTCGATCGTGCAGCGAGAGCCGGGCGCACAGCCGGTTCGCCGTGTCGTATGAGATGCCGTAGAAGTTCGTCAGGGCGATCTAAAAGGCAAAGCGCAGAACCAAGGTAGCGAACGAAAAGTCAGCCCAAGATCCTATGACATCTGACCATCGAAGTCGCAGATGATACTTACCCTGACAAGCTTGTGATCCGCCAAATGCACACCAAGAAGATACATGGTCGGCCAAAAAAAAGCTCTGCTTGCCAATGTCGGGGCTCCGTTGATATCGATGTCCCGTTAGCGGGTGATGCTCCTTAGTTTTGTGACGGCAACGTCTCTTCCAAACCGATTCGTCAATGTATTGTGTCGGGAAAGGAGCGATGTAGGATGGTGGTGATCATCCATATACACATCATTATTCCCGTCGAGCACTTCTTCTCAACACATTTCACCGCTTCAAAAAATCCCGCTGACACGTGATTTCCTCATCAACCTTCCCCCACCCTAACATCCCCCTTCTCCAAAAATGCTCTTCCTCATCTTGCCTCCACACTTCTCCTCAGCAACACCGCACACGCACTGCAGAACACCACGAACGACAGCTCGCATTCGACAGCAAAGAAAGAACCGGTGACTGCATACAACGAGGCTTTGCACGGGTTGGAGCAAAAACGACATGCTAAGAGAAAAGAGGGTACAACGGAGATGACAAGATAAAAGGACTGCGGAACAGAGATGGTTGGATAAGAACGATAGATGTGGGGATAAAATGATGAAGCGATGAAGAAGACAGAGTGAGCAAAGCTGCCCATAGGTCAGAAGAGGGTTTCGGTCGGAGCAGGGGCGGCAGTTTGGCGGGTTTCTTGTTTGATCAGAATCCGCGCACAGCGTGACTCCGGTGGGTATGCTTTCGACGCGATGATTCGCATCCACAAGTCCAGGGGTCAGCGTTGTGACGGTCAGGATCCGTCCTGACCGCCCGTACCGGACCCAAAGAGGTTGCCAAAGTTGCTATCCCATCCGTCCCCTCCAAGACCACCTCCGCCAGCACCGTCGGTGGAGAGCTCAAAGTCGAAGATATCGTTCATCGAGCCGCCGAACCCGAACATGCTGAAGTCCTCCGCCCCGCCTCCGCCGCCAACACCGGCGCCGTTCACCTCTACACCGCCGGTGTTGCTACCGTCCGTGCCGCCGATTCCATTGATGTTGGCACCGCTCTCGCCGCCATTGTTAGTCCCGAAGGCGTTCGAGTCGGACGGGTTGCTGGACGGACCGGATGGAGGAGGCATGGCAACGTCGATAGGTTGAGACGTGGGCTGGGCTCCAACGGGGCCTGCCCCCGCAATGCCGTCTGGTTTCGAAGCCGCATCTCGACCGGGTGTTGTCGGATTCGTGCTCACAGGTGTGGCAGCATTCGCCGCAGCTGGGGTGGATGGCCCTGCCGCCCCGTTGCTGCTTGGCGCGGCCGCCGATGATGCATTGGCGGCGGGTGCGGCAGCGGCCGTGAGCACAGGCGTCTTTGTTGCCGCCCTTGAATTCTTCCGTTGACGTGCATTGCCCTTCTTGCCCTTTTCCGCAGAACCGAGTTTGGGCGTGTTGGGCACGTTCGACGGCGCCGGCGATTCTGCTTGGGCCTGGTTGGCGGTGCTGTTGCCTGAAGACGGCTGTTGCTGCTGCTGCTGCAAGTTGGTGGCACCAAGGCGCGGTGACGGTGATGGAATAGAGGCGATTCCCGGTGGACCCATCCCACCCGAACCGTTGCCGAGCTGCGACGCTGCTCGCTGCATGCCTGGGCGCTGGATGTTGGCCGGCGACGAACCCATCTGCACCGAAGAAAAGTGGCTGGTGTGTGGATCGTCAGCCCCTCCTTGCGCGGAGGCTGGTCGCGCCGGCCCCTGAGGCTGCTGGGGTTGCTGGAACACACCCGACGTGCCATGCTGGCCAGGTTGGCCAGGCTGCTGCTGCTGCGGTTGCTGCTGGTGGCCCGGTCCTCCCTGGGCATGCTGCGGACTTGGTCGAGCCACGTTGCCGTTGGGCATGCCGCCAGGTCCCATCATGCTCGCCATCAGACCGGGATCGTGAGTTGCCATAAGCGGCGTGATGCGTCCAGCCGCGGCCTGTGCGTTTGCGATCTGAGCCGCTCGCTGCTGAGGCGTTAGGTTGACCATGCTGGCTGGACTGCCTGAAGCAGCTGGACCGGCCATACCAGGGGGCCGCGCCTGCGGCGATGGACCTGGCTGACCGGGCATACCGGGCTGTCCGCCGTTGGGAGGGCCGGCAGCACCAGGGCCGCCTTGATAGTTGGCCTGAGCTCGCAGCAGGTTCTGGAGCCCCTGTGCTTTCGCCTGATACGCCTGAACGTTTGCGTAGAAATCGGCGGCAGTGGTCTGGTTGGGTGCATTCTGAGCCTTCATCCACTCCTCGCGCATGGCTGCCTGTACGCTCTGGAACTGGTTCATGACCATCTGCTGCTGATGCGGATTGAGCTGCGGATGCTGTTGTTGCGATCCCTGACCAACCTGCCCAAGAACGCCGGGGTGTTGCTGCTGCTGTTGCTGTTGCTGTTGCTGCTGCTGAACTTGTTGTTGAGCTTGTGGCTGCGACCCTCCAGGTGTTGGTGGCTGCTGTGATTGGGGCTGCGGATTGCCTGCGGCCAAGACGCCTGGTGGGCCGGCCGTGTGCTCTGCGCCCGGTGGAACTGACCGACGTCCATCCATGCCGCCACCACCTGGTGTCGGAGGAGCTGGCGACCCGGTAGCACCTGGCATCTGCTGAGGAGCCATCGGCGGTCTGACTTGCATGGCATTGGGCATTGGCGCCGAGCCGGGCACGGCCTGGCGTTGCTGTTGCATCATGCGATGCAGCGCCTGCTGCTGCTGCAGGCGAGCCTGGAGCTGCTGCTCCATGAGCTGGTTGTTCATTCCGGGACGTACTGCTTGAGCATTGGCGGGGTTGTTGGGATTCATCGAGTTGATCAGGGCCATTCGCGAAGCGGGAGTGAGATTCTTGATCTCGTGCAGAGGAATGTTTTGTCGTTGGGCGGCCGTGATGAGAAGCTGCTGCTGCTGTGCCTGCGGCAGCGCCGCTGGGTTCCATGTGCCTTGCGCCGGTGCCCGGCCGTTGGGCCCGCCAGCTGCTGCGGCGGCACTGGAAAGCGCCGCATCAGAAACAACAATGTTTGGGAAACGCGAGGCGTTCTCAGGCGGCTGATACTGCGCTTCGAGAGCTTCGGTCTTGCGTGTGGCTTCAGCGAGGCGCTGCATGTTGCGTGACTCTTGGTGTTCGTAATAGGCAGCCGCTTCGGTACCTCCGCGACCGGAACGAGCTGCGAAGACGTCCCAGAAGATGGCCCAGTATTCGAAGAGCAGACCTTGCGGAGTGCGGAGCGGGACCTCTGGCGGTTCGGTCATGCCGGCCTCGTTCATGAGCGCCTTGGCGGCCGAGTTGAAGCCTCTACGGCTGAGGTAGTCCCACACGTAGACGTCTAGCTTGGTGGCCTCTTCTCCCCAGACGCGACCGTCAGACACGGAGCCGGAATGGCTGAGGTTGACCTCGGAGCCCTTTGCGTCGGCAGCAACGCCATCTTCGGGACGTGAGCGCTTGTCCTTGCTCTCAAAGTCGGGACTTTTGCTGGCAGTGCGCTTTTTGCTCATCATGACCGAGTGGTTGTTGGGCGTGTTTGGCTTGCCGGCACTGTTCGGGGAGGAAGTGTGGCTGGGAGCGGTGAAGGCAGGTGGGTTGCCGTAGGGCTGGGGAGGATAGACGGTAACCTTGGCCTGATTGATCTGAGGAGCAGGCGGCTGCTGCTGTTGGAGCTGCTGTTGCTGTTGGAGCTGTACGTGGTGCTGCTGCTGCTGCTGTTGCTGCTGCTGCTGCTGCTGCTGCTGCTGCTGCTGCTGCTGCTGCTGCGCGACGAGATGGTGTTGCAGGTGCTGTTGCTGTTGCTGCTGCTGCTGATGCAAATGCTGCAGATGCTGAGGGTGCTGTGGATGCTGGAGTTGCAATTGCGGCTGTTGGTGTTGATGGTGGATCTGCTGCGTTTGCGGGGTGAACATGATTGCCGCACCGAGAGCAGGAGAAGCGAGCGGAGCCGCGGAGAGTGTCGATGACCGACTGGGACCAGCGCCGTTGGATGCAGGCGAAGGTTGACTAAAGCCGGAAGGCCAGCCCCACGCGTTGACTGGAGCGCGTGGTGTGGCGGCGTTGGCGGTGGAAAGGGGATCGAGCGAGTTGACAGCTAGGCTGGGCGAGGGATGCTGCGAAGGCGGTTGGGGCGAGATAAAGTTCTGAGCTGCGGTAGCAGTTGCCAAGCCGCTCATGCTAGGTGGCAAGAAGGCGGCAGAGACGTCGTCGGATGACAACGAAGCGAGACCTTGTCCGAATCGAAGCCGATATGGAGCAAGGCACTAAAAAGGAGAGCCGGCGGTGCACGAAGTCTGGAACGCGAGGAGATCTAGCAAACTATTGGCGTGGCAGTGGAGGTGGCTCGATAGAAAGGACTCGAGCGGATCTGGATATGCGTCGCCAAGAGCTGATTCTAGCAACGGTGCGGACCAGATGCGAGCTGAGCGAGGTTACGCCGAGACGTTGTAGCCGACGTTGTAGCGCTTCTGCGACGTTATAGTAGGTGTACGGAAGGAAGGCGTGCTCGGATACGGATGCATCAGCCAGGCTCACGTTGATCCTAGGATGACCACGGGTCGGTTTGGAATGATGGACCGGACATGCACGGATGCGAGAAACGCGTGCAAACGGACGAATGCAGCTGTAGCAGCGCGGTGGTGTGCGCGACGACACGGACGTCGGATGTTCGTGAGCGTGATCAATGCAGGCAGCGCACCTCGGAGACGTCGTGCGTGATCGTGATGCACGGTTCGGCTAGGCAAAGCGCGAGGCCCGATACGGTGGAGAGCTATTTTGGAAGGAAAGGCCACGGAGATGCGGATCGTATTTCGAACCTTCCGCACACGACGCGACGACAACGGCTTGTCGAAGCTGGATGCGTGGGAACGACGACGACAGCGAAGGCACGGCGCGATGCGAGACGAAGCGCGGAGAGGATTGAAGTGTGTGCAAGCCACCGGTGGCAGGACGATGATCCGCGAGCTAGGACGAGGAGCACGAAGAATAGGACCGGAGCGGGCGGAATTTTCGGTGTTCGAGGAGGTCCGACCCACGAAAGAGGATTGACAAGGATACGCGAGTCGATGAGAGCAGAAAAGGGGATAGTACGACGGTGAACAGGAAGGGATGGGGGGATGAATGGAGGAGCAATGAGGCGGCGAGGGAAGCTGCTGTAGCTAGCGTCGCTGCACGGTAGCAAGACAAGCGGAGCCATCGACGACAGTGCACTGGACAGTTCACTGTGCGGTGACCAGATCGAGAAGGTGAAATCCGACAAGCTCGTTCGCGAATTTCGGGTGAGATGAAACCAAGGCACCGAACCGACACGAAGCGTCGAGGTCACGAATAGCGCTGCCTGCTGCCTGCTGCTTTCCGCTCGCTGCTGTCAAGTCAGTTAGTGTAATTGTGCGAACGCTGCAGATAATCCAGACAAGGTTCGAAGCTTTGGAGGGTTGCCCGTGCCCAAGCTCTCTCTCCCTCTCGTGCCGCTGTGCGGCCTTGGTTTCGTTTCAAACTAAAAATAATGAATGATGTCAAAATGGCCCTCCGAACAAGGCGCGTTCAAGTCGAAAATCTCAGGCAAGGGAGTGCGATCGGGCACCGAAAGAGAGTACCAAAAAGCGCCCGGCTGGCTGGCTGGCTGGCTGGCTGGCTTAGGCGTCGGATCGCGAATTCACGAAGAAATCCTTGCAGGCTCCCCACCTGTCTCTTCTGAACTGAACTTCAGAGAAAAGCCAGCCGGGACCTTCAGGGTGTTGTAGGACACTGTAAATGAAATTTCGGAGTCGCAAGTGACCTCAAATGCGTGTGCCCACTCTCTCGAGTCTGCCTCGTCGCGACCTGAGGCCTCACTTTTGGGCAGATCTCCGCGCTTCGATGGAGTGGTACATCAGTGTGCGGGATGAGATTCAGAGCCTGGTATTGACAATCACCGGAAGCCGTTTCTTCGCCGGCCACGCTGGTCCCGTGGCGATCTACAGTAAGACACTCCCTCATCATCAGACCAACGGAGACAATGTCATGCCGAGACGTATTCGACACCACGAATACAGTGGACCGTGGCTTCCCGACCAGCTCATGAGACGCACGTTGGACGGCGGGACCAATCAGGCACAAGCGGGCATGTTTGCGCTGCTTGGACTCTGACTCTGTACCTGTCAAACCAGCGGTTTGGAAGAAGCCGCCGCCGAACATTTAAAATAGGTTTTTCATTCAAGAGAGACGAGCGTCCAGGTACAATGTCTTCTTGACAAGTTGTATTGTCCATTGTGAAACGAGTCTATTTCTAGGTTGAACTAAACCTTGCTCGAGGTGATTGTGCCCTGCTACAGCACTACACGGTACTGTACTTACAACACTGACTTCGTTCGCGGCTGCCACGACAGCTGATGTTCCAAGCTGCTGCTAGGATTGCGAAGCCATAGAAGGCGACAGCACTTGCATCGGACGGGTCGAAGCCGCACGAACTGCAGCTAGCGCGTCGCTGCTGGCTGACCTTAGCTGTTATTGTCCTAGTAAATGAGCGGCTAGCTCAACGTTCGAATCATCCGTGCTGAACCGTTCCTTATCTGTCCGAAGTCTCTCGCGTAGCGCAGCTAGAAGCGGTCCTTGTTCCTTGGCACAAGAACGGCCCTCGGACACTCCCACGCCTACACGTCTCCAATGACAGGCACACCAAGTCGGGTTCTTCGGAGATGCGCATCTGCATGAATTGGATCGAAAAGAACAGACAGGCCTTCCCAGCGGCGCTCGACGTGACGTGGGCCTTGTGCGACCTTCTCGCCCCCCAAGAGGTCTTTGAAGGGGCGACATCACTAACAAATCAAGTCATGCTACTTGACAGGATGCAAAGAGGTTTCAAAGAAGTGCTACTACGACGGGGTAGCGTCTGCCAAGCTCCCGGTTGTGAGCAGTCGTATCTGGCGTAGCGGCTACAAATCAACGCGGGGGAAAGCTGTCTGTGTAAGGTGTCAGATCGTCTTGACACACAAACCGCTATTCTTTGTTAGTAAAGTGTTAGAGCGTGTATTTTCCGGTCTGGAAGGAAGCTCGAGGAACAACACTTCGAAGAGCTCAGCTGCTGCATTCCTGTTTCCGCGCGACTCTTTCTTGCTCGGTGAAGCGGTGGGATCGTGCTGCGCGCACAGTCTTGTTCGTGTCCGCACTTTGTCAATTTCTTCCGAGCAACACTTTTTGGACCGCGTTGCTCGTTCTGACTTGGCTTCAGCGTCTTCCAGACTGCGTTGTTCTACCTCTCCTCTGATCCATCACCAAGCCTCATTCTGGCTTTCGACTTCTAACCTACCCATTGCTCTGAAGGCACTCTTTCGCACGATCACGACGTCTCCTTAGCAACCGCTCCATCAGCCAACTTAGCAGACAGACACATCGGCAGTTCTTTGCACCAGTGGATCGCCGTTTCGAACCCGCTTCCTCCTCTCACACACCACATTGTCGCCATGGCGCAACTCTTCCAGAAGGATCCGCGCAACGCGGGTCTGTTCATCGGCGGTGAGCGTCTCTCGGGCGCCGAGATCCGCAACCAGAATGTTCTCGCCGCTCAGTCCATCGCCAACATTGTCAAATCCTCGCTCGGTCCCGTCGGTCTCGACAAGATGCTAGTCGATGATATTGGAGACGTCACCATCTCCAACGATGGCGCCACCATTCTCTCGCTCCTCGAAGTCGACCAGCCGGCTGGACGCATTCTGGTAGAATTGGCGCAGCAGCAGGACAAGGAGGTCGGCGACGGTACCACCTCGGTCGTCATCATCGCTGCCGAGCTTTTGCGAAGAGCCAACGAGCTGGTAAAGAACAAGATCCATCCCACCACCATCATCACCGGATACCGTCTCGCATGTCGAGAAGCCTGCAAATATCTCCAGGACCAGCTCTCCACCAAAGTCGAGGCGCTCGGCAAGGACTCGCTCATCAACGTCGCCAAGACCAGCATGTCGAGCAAAATCATCGGTGCCGACGACGACTTTTTCGCACAGCTCGCCGTCGACGCCATGCTTGCCGTCAAGACAGTCAACCCGCGTGGAGAGATCAAGTACCCCGTCAAGGCGGTCAACGTGCTCAAGGCGCACGGCAAGTCGGCGCGCGAATCGCTCTTCATCAATGGATATGCGCTCAACTGCACCGTCGCCTCGCAGGCCATGAAGACGCGCGTCCGCAACGCCAAGATCGCACTGCTCGATATCAACCTCGTCAAGCAGCGCATGCACCTCGGCGTGCACATCACCATCGACGATCCGGAGCAGCTCGAAAAGATCCGTGCCCGCGAGAGCGAGATCGTGCTCGAACGCGTCCGCAAGATCCTCGCCACTGGCGCCAACGTCATTCTCACCACCAAGGGTATCGACGACCTCTGCCTCAAGGAGTTCGTCGAGGCGGGCGCCATGGCGGTGCGACGATGCCGCAAGGAGGACCTGCGAAGGATCGCCAAAGCCACCGGCGGTCAACTGGTCAGCAGCTTGAGCAACTTGGAAGGCGAAGAGACGTTCGAAGCCAGCAGCCTCGGAACCGCCGAAGAGGTGTCGCAGGAGCGTATCAGCGACGACGAGCTGATCCTCGTTCGCGGTACAAAGACGGTCAGCTCGAGCTCCATCGTTTTGCGCGGTGCCAACGACTACCTGCTGGACGAGATGGAGCGAGCGCTGCACGACAGCCTGTGCGTCATCAAGCGTACGCTCGAAAGCGGATCTGTTGTTCCTGGTGGAGGAGCGGTCGAATCTGCGCTCAGCATCTACCTCGAAAACTTTGCCACCACGCTGGGCAGTCGAGAGCAGCTCGCCATCGCCGAATTCGCCCAGGCGTTGCTGGTGATTCCCAAGACCTTGGCTGTCAACGCGGCCAAGGACAGCACGGATCTGGTGGCCAAGTTGCGCGCCTACCACAATGCAGCGCAGAACGCTAATGCTGGCGACCCCAAGAAGGCGTTGCGCTTCTACGGGTTGGATCTGCTCAACGGTCAGGTGAGGGATAACCTCAAGGCGGGTGTGCTGGAACCAACGATTAGCAAGGTCAGAAGTCTCAAGTCGGCGCTCGAGGCGGCTACCAGTCTGCTGCGTATCGATGATGCGATTACGATCGCTCCTGAGCAGCCTGCTGAGGATCCCCATGCTCATATGTAAAAACAGAGTGCTTTCGGAGCAACAAAACTTGCATTTCCTTCCATCGTATGGTCTTGTGCGTCTCGCGTGCCGGGTTTCGTGTGTCGTGTGTCGTGGGTTGCTTGAAAGATTCTGTCGCGGTCAGTCAACACCAGTCCGAAATGTCGGGCGAAATGCACCATCACACTGAGTAGTGAGAGTATAAAAGTGTTTGATCGATGGATACTAATACAAGTGCATCCACAGTGGGATGTGGATGTGAGGCGTGATGTTTTGGGTTGTTCTTTCCTCGGCCGTTACGACGATTCGTCGGGCAACTCTCGAAGATACAAGACGTTGTTGCATCGGATGAATACCTCTCCCAGCATTCCGTTGGACTTGCCATCTTGAAACTCTTCCGTGTTGGCCAGTTGCAAGTTCATGTAGCTGTCTGTGCTGACGAGGAACCCTTTATACTCCATCCCCCACTTGAGGCGCACCAGCACCGGCTTGCCCGTCTGAAGTTGGAGGAAAGGTTTTGGGTTCACTGGTTGGAACTGGAGAGAGAAGTGTCCGAAAGAGGTGTGAAGGAGGATTGGTCAGTGACACATGCATCAGTGAGTGGCCAGCGTGAGAAGAAATCGGGCACCAGTCCCATCTCAGCTTTGCATTTGGTACTTACGCTCGACATTGTGAACGTTCGATTATGGGATGGGCACACAGATCGCCTGGGCAGTTCTGCAGATCGAGGATACCTTCTGAACCTGAATTCGAATGCTCGGTCGAGATCTACAACAGCACAATGAGGTCGCCGACGTTCCGTTTCGTGATGATCGGAGGACTTGCGATACTCGGACTTGCTCGACTGTGTTGGCTGCGGTAGGTTGGGCTCGTTGACCGTTCGCCTAGGGTATATATGTTGTCCGGGTAGATGCGATGATGGAAAGGCGAACCAAAGAGCCAAAGCTCCACACCTTTCTTCTTTCCGCAAGCCGATGAACGTTGCGAATTTCGCGTTGATTTGTGAACATTTCATCAATCGAACACTGCCTCAAAAAAATGGCGAGAGGCGTGAGGGCCTTTTGTATCAGTCATCTCTCGCGAATGGGCCACCTCTTGCTGATTCTGCTGACTACTACATTGTACAGAGGTCGCCCGCCTCTGCTGCGGCGACTCACTCATTCGTGGTGCAAAGCCTGGCTGATTCATCGGTTGATGACTAGTCATTCACAGGTATGCAGAGGCAGCAAGCGGGCTCAGCTGGCTAGAGAAGAGGTCGCAAGCGGATGAGCAATGCGCAGCAAAAGTCAAAAGATATATAATTCCCCTCTTCCTGTCTCCGTTTCTCAAACGCGTTCCTCAGGGTCCGATGTGCCGGGCGAGGAGGGTCACATTCCCTCGAAAAGGTGAACCCCTTCATGGCGTTTGCCAAAGCATAGCAAGCCGAAGCCAATGAACACAATCCGCTCGCCATGGTCGGAATCTCTGTTCAGCCTACATCAGAAGCGGTTGGGCAGGACCATAGGCTTGTCGGTGAGGCGCGTGTCCATGCGCGTCCGTCGCTGCAGCTGCCGCTCCTGACACTAGGCATGCTCGGAGCTCAAACGGTATGGTCGATGGATATGGCGTTTGCGCCGCCGTACCTACTCGACTTGGGGCTGTCCAAGTCGGCGATGGCGGCGGTCTTCGTAGCCGGTCCGCTCTCTGGACTCATCGTTCAACCTCTGATCGGCAGCCTGGCCGACAACAGCACATCAAAGTACGGACGACGGAGACCCTATCTGGCAGTCGCAACGATCATCTGTGCCGTCAGCATCCTCCTCCTCGGGTTTGCCGGTGAGGTCGCTGCCTTCTTTGCAGCTGCAGGAGGCAAAGAGCACTCAAACTTGGCCATCTTCATCGGCGTCCTATCCGTTTACCTTGTCGATTTCTCCGTCAACGCGGTCACAGCCCTCGATCGTGCGCTCATGGTCGATGTAGCAACCACCGAAGAGCAAGCGGAAGCCAACGCGTGGGCGGCTCGCCTGACAGGTGTGGGCTCGGTGGTGAGCTTCCTGATTGGCAATCTCGACTTGCCCAAGTTGGCACCTCGGTTCCTCGGAACGACACAGATCCAGATCGTCTCGGTATTGGTCAGCGTCATCCTCCTTGTCACGCACGCGCTCGTTGTTTTCCGCGTACAAGAGCAAGTTCTGGCGCCCGCGCGCTCGCCTGGCTCGCGAAAGACAAAAGGACTTGGTTTCAAGGCGATCGTCACGGACCTCTACGTCCAGGCGAGAGGGCTTCCGCCGCCCATCATCGAGATCTTCAAGGTGCAGTTCTTCGCGCAGATTGGCTGGTTCCCGATCCTCTTCTACAGCACCGTATGGGTAGGCGAGATCTACAAAGCCAATGTGCGGCTCAACGGCGGCAAGCAAAGCGACCATGAGTTGTTCGAGCAAGCAACCCGCGCTGGGAGCCACGCGTTCTTTTGGCACGCCATCTTGTCGCTCACCACCTCGATCGTTCTCCCTCTTGTCGTCCCGAACCCGGTCCACGAGTCGCATGTCCACCCTGTATGGTTTGCAAATTCGACCGTCGTACAAAGGCTGCGCAATCTGCGCGAGCGGTGCCCCGAGCTGCCGTTCTGGTGGCCTTTCGCCAGCTTTGTGTTTTTCATTTCCATGCTGGGAACTTACTTTGCCGAACTCACGACGAGTGTGTTTCTGGCAACATGGGTAGTCGCCTCGGTTGGCTTCTGCTTTGCCATCTCCAACTGGATACCGATCGCGCTGCTGGGGATCTTGATTCACACACAACATGTGCAGGAGCTGCCTGCCTCGGCCAGTCGCGGTACCATTGGAAGTTTGTTGGCGTCGGGCTCGACGTCCGATGCTAGTCGTGAGGCGAGCGAGGTCACAATGGCGCTGTTGGGCGACAGCATCCACGACGGCGATGGACGACGCAGGTCGATGGTCAGGACGCCGTCATACGATGGACCATCGGACAAACGTTCACGGCCGCAGTCGCGTGCACAGGTCGATAGCGACTCGGATGACGAAGATCGGCTGCGGGATGCGCTTTCGTTTGGCGCATCGAGCCTACATGATGAGGCACACGCTCCCGGTGCGAATGGCGGCGAAGGCGACGATGATGTGGAAAGAGGAAATGATGCCAGCAAAAGCACCAGCAGTACAGTGTCGCACGCCGGCTCTGTCTTGGGCCTGCACAACATCGCGATCGTAGTCCCGCAATTCCTCGTTACGGCGATATCATCGTTGATCTTTGCCATCATGGAGCCAAGCGACAGCAACAAGGACAGGCAAGACGGCGCCAGTCCAAGTGATCCATCAGCACAGGGAAAGAGCAGCGACGCTTTGGGCCTCATCTTTAGGCTGGGAGGATGCTGCGCACTGGTCGCAGGCATTCTTGCTGTACGGCTGGTGCGTCGCCATGGTCATGAACTTCGAGGCTATTGACTGCATCAAACCAAATGCGAAGTCACACGTTTGGGCGTAGCCAACGGAAGATCACCAATTTCGAAAGCCAGATTGACTGCTGTCTGTGATGTCGCGTGTGCCAGCTTGCGTCTGACCGACTTTGACCAACTCCTGAGCCATCTGAGACTGATCGTGGCTGTTCAGTGAGGGAGAGCGTCACGAAAGCGTCTCGGCTCTTCTCGGCGCACTTGATGGTCTTATGGCGCACTGAGCGTCACGTTTGTACTCGCGACACCTTATTGGAAGCGCCAAAGTGATTCGCTTTCTTGACACTACAGTACACCAGAAGAAGAAAAGCTCTAGACCTATATGTGTGCTCGTAACACTTCTGCAAACTTTCTGAGGCACCGGCTACTTCTGTTTGACCGTCTCCTCATGCTGTTCCTCGATTCATCCAGCTGAACTCAGTAGAGTTCAGTGCATCTAGCCGGTGTTTCTGCTCTGCACAAGAAAATGACGCCCATCATGACCACCATCTTGACTCAGGTGACGTTTGCCAGATGCTCAGAAAAAGTGCGTCGCTGGCGAACAGCAAGAGCGGATGTGGTGGGTCGGGACGCCCGTCGAAAAGGAGGAGAGAGCCGAGCAACGCCGGCAGCGAAAAAGCTCAAATTCAACACGCAAGCGACCACACGCGCACGCGCCTCCAACACTCGGAACTGCCGACCCTGGCGCTTGTTGGTTGGTTGGTTTTAGTTATCCTTGCGGCCAGATTATCGGAAAGGGGACCGACCAGCTGTACAGTGGTACTGTGTTCGGATCTCCTTGCTCTTCTCGTCCATCTAAGCGACTCTTCCCTTCCCGCGACTAGCTCTCGTTTGGTCACTTCCTGGAGGCAAGGCTCTTGAGCCTCATTGTCTGTTATTTCGGACCACCTCTTTCGAGCTCGAGGCGAGATTCGGTGCCGCCGAACGATTCGACCGACGCACTATCTCTTCGCCATCAACCCGTCCTCGCATTGGTCTTGAAAGCATAGCAGTCAGCGGACCAAGCAAACTTACCTGACCACCTGTGGTGCTCATCAGACAGCCACGACACGCTAGCGCCGTGCTATGCGACCTTGACGCCATCATCGCGAACCATCAGGAACATCCCGGCTCGTTCCTTCATGTACGCCCTTTTGCTTTGCAACTCAATCCACCAGCAGTACAGATAGACGCGGCGATCTCTCGGAGGCGTGGCTGTTGCGACAGCAATGAATCACTTCCCCACCATCCCTGGCGGCGCAGGCGGTGGCAGCGGCAGCGGTAGTGCTTCCGCTAGCACGCATGCAAGCATGGAAGGAACAGCCTCCGCAGCCTCGCACGCTGAACGTCCGTCGTCCGCAGCAGCATCGTCGCTTCCATTCAATCCGACGTCGGATTCTCATCGGCACGGCTTGGGTTTGTTCAACGGTGACTCTCACTCGTCACCCGCATCCCAATCTTCCGCTTCTCTATACCATCAACACCAGTCCGGCCGACCAGCTCCTCCTTCGCACCAAAACCAGCACCCGCCGCAACAGTCGTACGTTCAGAACCAACAACCGCAACAGCAGCAGTCACAACAGCATCATCGTCAACAAACCGCCTCTATAAGCAGCACGTCCAACTTTCGTTACGAATCCACAGACAGTGGTCTCACGCCTTCCTTCTCAAGCAACACCATCGTTTACAGCAGCCCGAGCTTCGTGAACGACCCCTCCGAAACGGCATCGCAGTCTGTTCACGCATCCACGCCCGTGTCAACAAATGCTTCGAGCCAGGTTCTTATCGCCAGCATCGTCCAGAGGTTGGTGAACAAGGTAAGTAGCGTTGCTGTATTCAAAGGACAGGTCCTTTTCCATCAGAATCTGTGACTGACACCGGTGCGCTTTGCTTTCCCCTTCGCTTTGCTTCGTTCCTCTGCCTTCACGCTGCTTCTGCTCCGTAGCTGCCATGCAACTCGGGCTGGCGCCTTCAAGTGGTCGAGGAGGACGACTTGGTGCGCTCGTGCGTCGTCAATCTCATCAACCTCAGCCGTTTTCAACTCGGCTTCGTCGTCAAGGAGTTGCTTGGCGCTATCGAGCTGCTCGTCAAGCAGTCGTCTCAACAGCGTCTCGAACACCAAGCCGGTATTGGCATGCTCCACTCGCAGCTCTTCATCCTCAAAGTGCTGGTCTCTTGTTTCAATCACCAATGGCGCATCGCCGAGGGCGTAGCCAACACTGCCCGTCCTGGACTCGATCTGCTTTCATCCAGGTCCAGTACCAATGGCCACGACGACGACGGGAATGGCCAATTGAGTTCGACAACAGCATCCGGGTGGACTGATCCGCCACCCATGGACGATACGCAGGCCAAGCACGTTCTCAGCGTCATGACTCTACTTATCAAGCAGAACGTAGCGCGGGATGATCCTATGTTTGCTTCGACCCATGAAGGTGTCGAATCACGGCCCTCTTCCAAGAGCGATCCTGCTGCTGCTAGCGCTATGGCCGGTCGCAACGCACCGTCCGAGCGGTCGCTTCGAGACCTCAGCCTCCGCGACGCCACTTCGTCCGGCTTCTCCGCTGGCAAGGCCTTCAGCCCACACACAAGCTCAAGACTGGCTCGTGAACGAGATGATCAAGATGCTCGCGAAGACGCTTCCGCCGCAGGTCTCGGCGACAAATTGTCAGAAGTCTTTATGCCGAGCTCCCTCTGCCTCGCAACACCCACCAGCCTCCACATCCTCTACCCATGCTTTCCTCCTACACGCTCTCCGTTCGATACGCCGCCGAGCATCGACTATGCCGATTTGGCCAGCGCGGCTGCAGCTGCCGCTGCTGCCGAAGCGGCTGCCTCGCCTGACGCAGCCAAGGCCAGTAAGTCCGAAGTGTCTGACATAAGCCCGACCGCCAAGTTCAATGCCTCTTCCTGGACCACCACCGCTTTCAGCCCAGACGTCGAGGGCTTTGACACTTCCAGTAACCTGCAGACACGCATCTACCGTCTCGCCAGTCAGGTGGTCTTCCACCTCAGCTCGAGCAATTGGGTCGTGGTCAATGCTCGTCTTCGCAACAGACTCTACTATCTTAGCTCGACAATCGAGGAGGCTCCGAGCACCGCCGAACTGCGCCTTCTCGAATGCTCCAACTTCCAACGGTCACGCCTCGCCAACATCTTGCAGGAAGTCGGCACCTCGTTTCCCCAACTTAAGCGCAGTGCCCAGTACACGATCGCTTTGACACTTCGGCGTGCCATTTGGTCCTGGATCCAGTACCACCCTGCCGAATTCGTCAGCCTGGCCACCAACAATCGTCGCTTCGAAGGAAGTCCCGACGTCGTCTTTGACCAGGTTTATGCTCTGGCCGACAACACAAAGCGCAAGATCGCTTTCTGGCCCTTGCTTACTTCTCTCCTCATCCTCTGTCCGGACTTGGTCGGCAGAGCTGCTGTCGGAGAGAATCGAAAAGCCAGCGGCAGCCTTGCAAAGAAGCTCTCTTTCATCGACGGCCTGAGAAAGTCTCCCCGCAATCCTGCGCTCGTCGACACCGCGACGCTCTGCTGCGTCGACCTCTTCAAAGCTGCTGCGACAGTGCCTCGGTCCGAGAATGGCCTCCGCCTCATTGTCCATGATCTCGAAGCTGAGCTCAAGGAACGCCTCTTCGATCCCAAGCGACCTCTCGCCAGTGGCAACAAGCCGATCGAGTTGACCTTCATGATCGACTTGTTCGCTGCGCTGTTCCGACTCGACCCGCAGCGCACGATCCGCGAGCTGGTGCCCGTCTGCATGAGCCACTCGAGTCCTGTCCACTTCAAGACTGCGCTCGTCAAGGCCTGCGTGCTGCTCGCAAGCGAGCGACATCGTGTGCCGTGGGCTCCTGACGTCAGCCTCCTCTATCCGCACATCTCACGCTCGCTCCGCGCTTTCCTCCGAGAGACGGTCTTCCGTTTGCCGCGCTTCGACGATCGGGACATTGCGCGAAAGCGTGCAGCCTCGCGTTCGGCTTCGTCGAGCCAATTTCGCAACATTTCGCTGTCAGTCTCGGCTGCCGCTGCAGCGACCAGCGTAGAGGAGCTGGGCCGCCTGGAGCTGCTCCAATCGATCCTGCAGCTGTGGACGCTGGACATCTCTGCTCTTGCGCATGGCATCGATCACAAGCAGGACAGCGCGCTATCATCTCTCTCGGGCGGCACCTCACCCATCGATCGCGAGACGGTCTTCAGTAATGCCGTGTCCGTTGACAGCACGCTCGGATTCACGGCGGCCCTGTGTGCGCTATTCGCCACACCTGCCGAGTTCGCCACGTTTCGCAAGAGCTTTGCTGCCCTTCTGGGTCGCGTCTACCATTCTGGTTTGATCGATTCCAGGTTCGCCGACTTCTGTAACCACCAACGCCGCGCTGCTGTCTCGTGTCTGCCCTTCTTCTTCACCATCATCACCAAACAGCTCATGTCGGCCGACTCCTCCGAGATGCAACGCCACTATTTGGATCTCTTGCGACGCTCGCAGCAACGTCGCGGCTTCTTCATCAGTCAGGACAAGGACTGGCAGATCACAGTTCAAGCTTCGTTCTATCCAACACAGCGCGAGCGCAAATTGGAATATGTATGGGTGCAGCTCGTGACGCTTCTCATGATGTGCTCCAGCGACACCGAGGTGTGCTCGAGCGCCATGCAGTGTGCACGCGAGCACGCTCAGCTCACCACAGCGATCAGCGATTATTACGATCCGCTGTCCGAAGAGTGGCTCCGGCTATATACCGACTTGGCTGACCCAAGCTTCCTGCATACGGGTCGTATCGCACAGCAGAAGCGCATCCGAGCGCTGCTGCGGGACATTGAATCTCCTTCGACGGCCAGCTGGCTTGCGTGGAAACAGGCCTACGCGCGTTGGTCCAGCTTCATCCAGCTCGTGGCTCGGCCCATTGCCGAGGACAGCTTGACGGCACAGGACAAGGCAGCACAGTGGCACAACTATGCGGGCTTCCTCTGTGCGTTTGGTGGCGCTTGCTTCTCGGCATCCGACATCATTAGCTCGCACATCGAGCCGAGCATTGCAAAAATCTTACCCCAGTTCTCCAGCCCCGACAAGCATCCCGCAGCGCTGGTTGAACGCTTCGTGCAGGAGATGGTGGATCTGTTGGTGTCGGACTCGCTCTGGGTCCGAGAAAAGGCCAAGGAGACGTTGGGCGTCGATTTGGGCGCCCGTCTGGTCGGAATCCTGTTCCGCCAGATCCACGCCGTGCTCAGTGACTTTTTCGACAAGGAGACAGGCTATCCAAAGACAAGCGACATGTACACCGTATTTGTCGAGCAGAGCATCGGTGTAGTCACCATGGTGCTCAACCGCCTCGATGAGACGAGAGCCTCTTCGTCGACGTCCAAGGTCGACATCGGCTCGCTCATGGTGTTGTTCGTCGAGTACGCCAACTCGCTGGTACGCGACGAGCAAGCGCTGCGCATCAAGACGGCCATGTGCCAGATGTGCGAAATCCTCATGCGCAAGAAGGAGGCTTTTTCCTTCTCTAACGAGCTGCGTGTCCGAAATCGTCTCTTCCAAGCGCTGACTACCTGGACCTCAGACGGTGCGGAGGATGGCTCCACGTCGAGCTCTGTCGATCCGCTCGACCGGCTGCACCGCGAGCTCGACGTGGCGTGCCTGAAATGCATCTCGATCCTGCTGGACAAACTCCCGCTGCTTCTGGCGGACGATGCTCTGCTCCTCGATGACAAGGTGGAAGGCGCCAAGACACGCCACTTCGCAATGTACTTTGGCTACTTTCTCAAGATCCTTAATCGGACTCGGCACATCGAGGCGGCAACGACCGTGCGAACTCGGGCTCTCACCGATGCAAAGCCGATCGCTGGCGCCAAGAGCATCAAGGCCGATGTGAGTCGCGATTTGGTCCCGATCCGTGAATCCGCTATAGTCGCGCTTTCGAACCTGCTAGCGTCCAACATCGACAGTGGACTGCACAGCTCGCTTCCCCTGGCCTACAATGAGGATCCACGCATTCGCACCGCCTTCATGCAGATCATGACCAACGTGCTCAGTCAAGGCACAGCCTTCGACGAGCTGGAGCGCATGAGCGCTGCTCGCAAATCAACTCGTTTGGTGGATCTGGTCTGCCAAGACGATCTGCAGCTCGCCCTCACCATCTGCCAGGTGTGTCCTGGTCGAGACGTCGAGCCCATGAGCGTGCTCTTGCTCAGCATGTTTGACGCCAAGGGCGGACTTATCCGCTTCCTCAAGGCAGCTGTAGAAGAAGAGATCCAGCGTACCGCGACAGAAGAGATGGTGTTCCGCAGCAATTCGTTCTGCACCACACTTCTGTCGACGTTTGCCCGTACGCACGGCTACGACTACCTGCGCTCCATCATGGCGCCGCTCATCACTGAGTTCGCTCGCAAGCCGGCCGGCTTTTCGGTCGAGATGGATCCGTCGCGCGTAGAACCTGGCGGGAGCGTGCTCAAGAACCAGAGCGCTCTTGAAGACATCGCGCAGACCTTTATCGATGCCATCTGCTCTTCGGCGCATCGTGTGCCGGCGGTCTTGCGCGAGCTGTGCCGTCACATCCGCACCGTGCTCGATGCGCGCTTCCCTGCTTCCCGTTACCAGGGTGTCGGCGGCCTCATGTTCCTGCGCTTCATCAGCCCCGCCGTAGTTTCGCCGCACATGATCGATATCAATCTGACGGGCCCCAGCAAAGACCTCCGACGAGGACTCGTTCTGATCAGCAAAATCCTCATCACGCTGGCTAGCAACAACCTCTTCTCGGGTCACAAGGAGCCCTTCATGACTGGTCTCAACGACTTCCTCAAGAGCAACGTGTGGAAGGTGACGGCGTTCCTCGACCAGGTCTCGGATGCGCGCACCGATCCAGATCGCATCTATGCTGCCGACCAGCCGCTCGGATTTGGCATCCATCCCAATGTGTACGGCATCGATGACCGCGATCACAGAATCCTACACAGGTTCCTCTTCGATCACGTCGACAAGATCGGCAAGCATTTGGCAGACCGTACTGCCGACTCGGTGGCAGCTCATGAAAGTCTTTCCGCGTATGACAGCAAGAGGCAACAGAGTGGAGACGCCGCAAGTCTGGTCTACGACGACCTCTGCGACGCGCTTGCCGTCTCGGGAGAGCCAAAGGGAGAGGACCTGCCCGAGCCGTCCTTCAGTGCTGGCAACTATCAGGACTTCATCCGTCGACACGCAGGCCGCAACATTGACGAAGAGAGCTACCGCGACATTTTTTACGAGGGGCCGGCCTCTCGTAGCGGTCGACCGGTGCTCTACTACTCCATGCACAAGCAAAAGGCCGACACCATCGACTTCGAGGGGCTCATCCTCTATATCCTGCAGACGCTCGAGACCTTCGCCTACCGCCAATTCGACATTGTCTTCGACACGACCGCTTGCCACCCTCTCAGCGTGACGCCGAGTCAGTGGCTGCTCTACTTCAGCTCGCTGATCCCTGCTCCCATCTTGGCTAACGTCGTCAATGTCTTGTTCGTCAACCCCAACACCACTGCACGCGTCGAGCTGCAGTTCTGGAGCACGGCGACCTACAGCGAATCGGCGCTCAAGCACGAGATCGCAGATCGCCTAACATCCATGCAGAATGTAGTGCATTGCTCGACTCTGTCCAGCATCGAGACATGGATCGAGCTGCGAAACCTCGCACTGGACAGAGCTACCATGTCGATCCTCAATTCGCCCGTCGAAACGATCTACGATCAAGTCACCCTGGTGTGGTATTACCGCACCTTGACGCCGGTCACATTCATCGTCGGCAGCGAATACCTACAAATCCAGGGGCTGAAGCAACAAGACTGGCTGCCCAACGTCACCGTACAGCTCAACGATGTCTTCCACCTGTCCGACATTGACGACGTGCGCTCTATCTCGATCCGCGGCGACGACAACACGTTCTTCCTGTCGTGTCGCAATGGCTCGATGAACTTTGTCTTCAACAGCCGCGAGCGATCCGAGGTCGTTCAGGCACTCCGACAGGCCAAAGCACGCGTGTCCAAATTCCGCGCCAGCAATGCCGTCGACCGCGTCTTGCGTCCCAACGATGTGCCAGGCACGTTGCTCAACATGGCGATGCTCAACATCACCAGCAACGACGCGGCTCTCAGGTTGAGCGCCTACAATCTTCTGTGCGCGCTCTCGACCTCGTTCAACTTTGGTGCGAGCAGTGCCAAGAAGCGGCTGCTGAGCTCGCGAGGTCTGACGCTCCCCGCCAACACAATGGCCTTCGTCACGGATCTGAGCAAGGACTTTGCAGTGGCGGCGCCGGGCGTTACGCTGGAATTCCTTCTTTCGTTCTTCGATGGCTTCGACCGCGCCGCGCCCAGTCAAAAGACGGTGTGTCTGCACTACCTGTCCCCTTGGCTGTCCAACCTCGTCATGTTCGTACACAGCTCGCGCGAGCAGCTTCCAGAGAACCACCGACGCATCAAGGAGATCCTCAATCAGTTGATCAGCATCACGACCAAGCAGCCGGACATGTACGGTGTCATGCAGCGCTGCGTGTGGTCGCAGCTCGGCCGTCTCGACGACCTCGTCTCGACCTTCTTGGACGTGTTCACAGAGGCAGCGATGGACTCGGGCCTGCACACGGAGCGCTTCGAGGCGGTGTTGGATACGATGGTCTCGTTTGGTTCGATCAACCTGCGCGGCAAGTTGCTGTCCCGATTGCGGAAGGTCGTGGCCAAGACGGCGCAGAATCCGGTCGTGTCGCAGCTGCATCTCAACGCATCGTGGAAGGAGATTGCGACGCTGATGCGGATGAACATGGTGCTCTCCTTTACGAACCGGGTCGAAACGCTGCTGTATCTGCCCGAGCTGCTGCACGTCATCTTGCTGCTTGCCGGCAATGGTGTGGATGCAACGCGGCATTCGATCTACGGCAGCGCCATCAACCTCGTTCACTCACTCTGCACCGAGGACCCACGCGAGGCCAGGAAGCCAGAGGAAGCGATGCCGCGGAGCGTGGAGGCTGTGGCCAAGCTGCGTGTGTTGCTCGAGCGGCTAGCCGAGCCTGAGTCGCTGAAGTTGTTCGGCTTGCCTGTGGCGTCGCAGGTCGGCGGCTCCAGTGCGGCATCTGCGACCTCGCAGGCGGTGGTGCGCGAGACGCCGGACAATGCGTCGATCGAGCGTCTCGCTACGCTGATGTACGAGGTGGCTGATGTGGCTGCCCCGAACACGGACGCCGCTAACAGCTGGCGGGCTCGACTGGCGAGTTTGGTGACGAGCACGGCATTCCAGTACAATCCGATCATCCAGTCGCGAGCGTTCGTGCTGCTGGGTTGCCTGGCTCAGGGCGAGATCGACGACGACCTTCTGTATCAGATCCTCGTCTCTCTGCGAGGCTCGATCGCCGAGTGGGCGAGCAGCAGCGCGGACATGCCCATGATCAGCATCGTGACGTGTCTGAGCAAGGTCGTCAAAATCCTGCCAACACGATCGCGCTATCTGCCACAAATGTTCTGGCTCGGCATTGCCATGGTGCAGTGCGGGCATGTTCCTCTCTTCAAGGCCGGCGTAGAGCTGATGCATGCCACGGTCGACACGATCTGGGAGCGCGACATACTTGCAAGCCAAGGCAACGAGCTGATCTCGTACCTGTTGGACGCACGTTTCGAGTTCCGCGATCTGGCATGCAAGCTGGACGACGAGACGGGTGTCGACTTTGACATTAACTTTTCGTTTGGTATGGCAGCACTTTTGGTCAAGGGACTGCGCCATCCTACCACCAAGGAGGTGACGACCCAGCTCATGCAAGCCATGCTGCATCACTGCGGTGTGGATGGTCAGGGCGAGCGACGATCCCAGAGCGGACGAATCTCAGAACGACAGCTGGGCTTTTTTGTGGGTCTGCTGCCCACAGCAACGCGACCGGAAGAGTTCGGAGAGCTGCTTTCATTGGCAGGCGTCGAAGCGAGCGCGTGCCAAGCGGCCGTGGAAGCACGCCGATCGGGATACAAGGGTTTGCAGGAGTACCTGGATGTACTCAACAACCGCATCGCTCTGCTGCTGGTGACGCTTGTCGCTTCGCTGCTGCAGCACGCCGAGTCGGACGCGGAGAGACTGCTGCTGTACGGATTCCTCAACGAAGCGGCGCGCGAGGTGCCTGCCATCGTCAGCATTCTGTACGACAGCCTGGCGCCGAGCATGAAGGACATCTTCGTCAACTGCTCCAACGGCGCAATCCTCGATGCGGTGCATGGTATCGCACAAACCGCCGTAAGCCAGCCGCTCTTTGCAGCCCAGGCACGCGAGACGGCCAAGCGAGGCGGACCCAACGCGTACCTCGCCGAATCTGGTTACGGCAGCCTGCTGGGATGCGGTGCGTTCGTGCCTCTGATGGAGGGACGCCGACACGTTCTGTGCAAGCTCAGCATACAGCTCGTACTCGGCCTGACCGATGTCGGCACCACATGAAGCGGCGACGGAACGCGACAGCAGCTCGTTAGCTCGTTGGCTAATCAATATCGATTCTTCCTTTCATCATCATCATCATCTTTCTTCACACGGGGACTGCTTCCTTCCATTCTTTTTGCACCTTGTCAACTTTGAAACGGTCATGGTTACTGCTAATCTCAAAGGTCTGTCCCAAATCTAATTCGCTCGATAGACTCGACCTGCTTCTGAGCTGTCGTGATTAAAAAGCGGAGCTGACTGAGTTGGCGCTGCCGTTGACAGCAAGTCCGAAAGCTGATGAGCATGTCAAAGAGCCGCTCTTCAAAGGATGTGAGTCTGAGTATTTGCCAGCATCGCTATGCACCAGGCCAAACACGTGCGGCACCAACGGGCAGGCTGCGCTCGCGAAGTCCAAGTTGCCCGCAGACACGCATGTGGACCCTTGGGCCTTTTTCAGGAGGCAGCAGTTGAGCGGTGTTGCATGTTGTATTTCAACCGTGTTGATTCGAATACAAAATGCTACAAAGGGCGTGCATTCGGTTTTGAAGGTTGGTCCGTTCTTCCAAATTTTTTTGCCCTTTTTTTTTGGTGTGTGTGGGCCAGTTTTCTTCCAGCAGACGCGCCTGTGCGAGAGGCAGAGCTCAACCCTGGAATTCGAGAGCCCTTCTTCTGAACTTGGGAGAAGTTGGCCATGGTGTGTGGCTGGCTGGCTGCTCGACAGAGCGAGGTTCGTTCACGATCCAGATTGGAGGCGCTTTACTGGATTACTCTTCTCCATCACCCTATTTCGGTATCATCCCCCCCGCACACATTCGCAAACATGAAGGTAAGATCCGATTCGCACCCGCTCTCTGCATCAACACCAGTCTAGAATCAAACAACGCTCTCCCACAAGGGTCGAGACATCGGATCCTGCAAATGGCAAAGGCAACCTCGCTGAGGCGTTATAAGGACAGATCGAGGCTCCAGCAATCAACCTCCGATTATCGCCACCTTTGGCCTTGGCATCGTAGAGCGTCTTGGACGCCTGGACTCACGAACCCGCGCTACCTTGTAGTGACTTGATGCGACACGAAGCTACGGATGGAACAAGTGCGTCGAGCCGCCGGCGCTTCATTCGCATCAGGTTGTGTGCAGCGTGCCCTGTCACATGCAACTTGCATCGGCAGAATCCAGCATTCACAATCGCGCACTTTCTTGCAAGCTCGTGGCCGCCGCGGAGGAGCTTCGGAAGCCTCGACGCCCAGAGCCGGGCCTCGTGCCTGTCTGCGAACCTGCGGAAAGTGCTAGCTTGTCTGCGATCGCTCGAGGCTCAGCAGACATGCGATGATCTTGTCCGTTTCCTTGGAGTTGCCGCAAGAGGACAAAGGCAGGTCCTGGGAAGCCGAGTACAGCGATGAGTTGGAGCGGGCTCCCAGCCGCCAGTGCCCGAGGCCGGGCGAAGCTATCTCGAATCTCGGCACGAATGATTCTGCGGCTGGTGTTGGGCGGTGCCCTCTCTACCACCTCTCTGTGTTCCGGAACTGACCCAAACACTCCGATTCTTCTCCCTTCCCTCACAATCAGCTCTTCACCGACGTTATCTCCAACGATGAGATGTGCTCCGACGGATACGAGATGAAGCTCGTCGACGACGTCGTCTACGAGGTTGACGCCGCCAAGATCGTCGTTTCGGATGGTGATGTCGACATCGGAGCCAACCCCTCCGCCGAGGAAGCCGCCGAGGCTCTCGAGAACGGTGCCGAGCAGGTGATCAACATCGTCCACTCGTTCCGTCTCCAGTCGACCCAGTTCGACAAGAAGTCGTACCTCGGCTACCTCAAGGGCTACATGAAGGCGGTCAAGGCCAAGCTCGCCGAGTCCAACCCGGACCGCGTGCCCGAGTTCGAGAAGGGCGCCGCCGCTTTCGCCAAGAAGATCGTCGGCTCCTTCAGCGACTGGGAGTTCTTCACCGGCGAGTCGATGGACCCCGAGGGCATGGTGGCTCTCCTCAACTACCGTGAGGACGGTGTCACTCCTTACCTTGTCTTCTGGAAGGACGGCTTGCGCGAGACCAAGATCTAAGAAGGTCGATGAGGGCAACCGCTTTTGGATCGATGTCTTAGTCTTTGTACAATTTGTATCTCTTGCGATTCACCACGAAAATGGCACAAGGTCTCATTCTTGGTCTCGATGCGAGATGGAGAGGGATCAATGGCACACTGATGGCGGTCGGCGTTTGCGTCGAGGGCAGGACATGTGGCGGGTCGTGTCCGTGCGTAGAGTGAGCCACGCTCCAACCCGAGTTGGGGTTGCAAGATGCGCGCCTCTGGCGGGAATCGCTGGGAGGGAGAGTCGGAATCGGTCGAGAAGCGATCCTTTGCAATCGTCCGTGTGAGTTATCAGGATCGGTCTTCATAGAGGTTCTTGCCTCCACGAACATAGCGCAATTGCTTGTCCTCGGCGTTGCGAAGAAACGCTTTTTGGCCACGAGCTTCACCATTAAAAAAGTAAGAAAGAAAAAAAGGATAAAACAGCAGCTCAAAAACTATAGTATACACTCCAATACGAGGAAACTGAGAAAACAAAAAACAAACGACCCCAGGCGGGCTCGAACCGCCGACCTCAGCATTAACAGTGCTACGCTCTAACCAACTGAGCTATGGAGCCAGAAGCGGGTGCGCTGATGACAAGACAAGAGATGCGTGCATATATGACCCATACATCACCACTTTCTGGAATGGCACAGACCACGTCATGTACATGGCGCTGCTGCGTGGAAGGCAAGGCGGTGCCAAGGTGTGCTGTCACTTTTGTGAAAAGGGAAAGCTTGTGCAAAGGCCCGTCTTGACACACGCTCACACCCTTTCTACTTGTCCCGTGAACTTCGGTCCATACAGCGACAACAGTGTCTTTGTTCTGCCGTCAGATTCACTCGGTCAAGACACTCGGAAAGGACAACAAGCTAGAGTCTCCACGCAGAGAGTCACCACACAGCAATGGCAGGCTTTCTCAGGGGCGGTGGCTCCGGCAGCGCCGGCTATGGCAGAGTCAGCGGTGGTGGCGCAGCAGGAAGTAATCCATACGGCGACGGTGGCAGCAACCCATACACATCATCCTCCGCATCGTCTGGTCGAACAGCAGCGGCCGGGTATGGCGGCGGTGGCGCCGGCTACGGGGCTGGTGGAGCGGGCTTCTCATCCGGCGGTGCTGGAGGTGCATCTCGGCCCAGTGCAGGCGCGGGCTATCGCAGTGGTGGTGCGGGCTTCTCTGGCGGAGCGGGCGGTGCTGGCTATGGATCGGAAAAGGCGCCATCTCAACGCGCCCCTCGCGACGGCCACCTCATCGTCAAGTGTCCGGAACCGTTCATCCAGTCGAATTGCATCGTCACCAATGGCCAGGAATGGGGCTCCACGCACTACGTACTCGTCAACGGCATGAATGTCTTCACCGCCCAAGCCGATACCACAGGCACCATCCAACAGGGCACGCTCGGCACCGCGCTCCTGCAACGGCAGTGGGCAGGCCTCTCCTTTCCGGGTGACGTGGTACAGGCCGAGAGCTACGATCCGTTTGCTTTCGGCAACAGCGTCTACCTCGGCAGCATCGATATCGAGGTCGCCTACCTGAGCAAAGGCGAGGTCGCACCGCAAGCCTACGACACCGACGAGATGGCCAAGAGGTTCACGCGCGCATTCGAGAATCACATCTTTACCGTAGGCCAGCTGCTCGTGTTCGAGTTCAAAGGAATGAACATGAAGGCGGTTGTCAAAGGCGTCGACGTCGTGGAACTGCACGAGATCCAGGGAGGCGGCAAAGCGGCCCCGCCCGGTGGCCACGGCGCACCCCACCAGAGTCGATCCGACCGCGGTATCTTGATCGCTCAGACCCAGGTCAACTTCTCCGCAACGCAGAATGGCGGTATCAAGCTCAAAGCATCCGGCAATCGTCCACCTCCTAACGCGATCTTGCAGCCCAACTTCAAGTTCGAGGACATGGGTGTCGGTGGCCTCGACAGAGAGTTTGCCAACATCTTTCGACGAGCATTCGCATCACGCATCTTCCCGCCTGCGCTGGTCGAGAAGCTCGGCATCCAGCACGTCAAAGGCATGGTGCTCTACGGTCCTCCCGGTACGGGTAAGACGCTACTGGCGCGTCAGATCGGAAAGATGCTCAACGCCCGCGAGCCCAAGATCGTCAACGGTCCCGAAGTGTTCAACAAGTACGTCGGTGGCAGTGAAGAGAACGTGCGCAAGCTGTTTGCGGATGCCGAAGCAGAGCAAAAAGCAAAGGGAGACGAGTCGCAGCTGCACATTATCATCCTCGACGAGCTGGATGCGATGGTCAGGCAGCGTGGTTCCGGTGGAGCTGGCGCCACGTCGGCAGGTGACAATGTCGTCAACACGCTTCTCGCCAAGCTTGATGGTGTGGAGCAGCTCAACAACATTCTGGTCATCGGTATGACGAACCGACTCGACATGATTGACGAAGCGCTTCTGCGTCCTGGTCGCCTTGAAGTGCACGTCGAGGTCAGCTTGCCAGACGAGTTCGGTCGCCGCCAAATCCTCAACATTCACACGAGCAAGATGCGCACCAACGGGGTCATGGACAGCGACGTCAACATCGACGAGCTTGCCTCGCTCACCAAGAACTTTTCAGGTGCCGAGATTGCCGGTCTCATCAAGTCGGCCACCTCGTTCGCATTTAACCGCCATGTCAAGGTCGGAACAATGGCCGGCATCTCGAACGATGTCGAGAACATGAAGGTGCAGCACCAGGACTTTTTGAACGCGTTGGAAGAAGTCAAGCCGGCATTCGGTGTCGCCGAAGAAGAGCTTTCGCAGGTGGTGCAGAACGGCATCATGCACTTTGCCCCGCACATCGACGTCATCCTTCGCGACGGTCACCTTCGCGTCGAGCAAGTGCGTACGTCGCAACGAACACCGCTCGTAACCGTCTTGCTTCACGGTCCCCCCGGTTCGGGCAAGACCGCGCTTGCGGCTACCATCGCCATCGCATCGGACTATCCCTTCATCAAGCTCATCTCGCCTGAGAGCATGATCGGCATGGGAGACGCGCAAAAGATTAATTACCTCAACAAGGTGTTCAACGACGCCTACAAGTCGCCCTTGTCGATCATCGTCATCGACAACATCGAAAAGATCGTCGAATGGGTGCGCATCGGCCCACGCTTCTCCAACTCGGTGCTTCAGGCTCTGGCGGTTCTGTTGGGCAAGCGTCCGCCCAAAGACAAGCGACTGTTGGTGCTCGCGACGACATCAAACAGGACCATGCTGCACGAGATGGAGATGCTCAACGCGTTCATTGCCGAGATCCGCGTGCCCAACATCACTTCGCTCAGAAGCGTCGACCACGTCGTGCGACAGATGCAGCTGTTTGACAATGAGAACGACACGCAAAGGTGCCAGCAGCTGTTGACTCAGGCTGGGTTGGGCGAGGAGGGTCGACTCAACATTGGCATCAAGAAGTTGTTGTCCGAGATTGAGATGGCCAGGCTCGACAATGACCCTGCGGATCGACTCGCTTCGAGTTTGTCGAGCGTGCAGAGCACCGCCATTGACGTGGACATTGATGTCGGGCTCAACTAGAGGCGTCTATCGATCTCACGATTTCACTAAGAACGAACATGGTTTGCTGCAATTCAATACTATGCTATTTGTCTTGCGGGATGCCAGAAACCCAGCGTGTGAATATGGTATGGATGTCTTGTCTCCATGCCAGCGCCTTGTCTGCCTCTTGCACGGTCAACGTTTTCCTGTGCCGTTCGTGTGCTTCCGGCCAATCGTCGCTGATCGCATTCTCCGACGCCAACGGCACCTCGTGACCCGTGTACCTTGCCCTTGGAACAAATCCTGGCTCGTCCGCATGCTTTGCAGGACTATTCTTGTGCGGTTTGTGATCGTCGACTGTCATCTCGGCTGACGTCGTGCGGGAAATCGTGACTGCGGTCGAAGAGTCGACTACGCCGCGGATTCCTGCTTCTTCCCACAGCTCTCGCACCGCGGCTTGACGCGACGTCTCTCCCGCTTCGACACCACCTTTTGGTAGCACGTATCTGGTGGCATGCTTGCGAGAGGACACGAGGTGGATGCGCAACCTGTCTGCTGTGATGTTTGAGGTGGAGGACGAGTGGGGGTCCGGAAGGATCTCGACCGGGATGGCTACTGCCACCTCCCTTGGTTTGACTGTTGCGGCAGAGGGATGGAGAAGGTTCAGTGACCGGACAGAGCGTTGACAGAGGAGTCAAAGTGATTGTTGTCGCTGCTTACCCATAGTCTTAATACTCTGGAAGGATGTCTTGGTCGTCAGGAAGGGAAAACCAGTTGAAGCGTTCATCTCGGACCCTGCGTTTGTCTGAGAAACCTCCACCGCGGCTGGAATCTTGAACGTGTTAGACCGGCCGCCCCCGCGGACGGGCCACTCGCCCGCCAAATTTGGCGCTTGCAGGCCAAAGAGAGAACTCGGAAACTTCGGCTGGATCAGAGTGGCAGGAGCAGAGAAGGAAGAAAGCCGCATCGCTTGAGGTCAAGGCTTTGTTCCCTACTCCACTTGAGACTTCCCAGCACGTTCTCCTCCTCCTGCCCCTCGCTGTGACGGCATCTTCCGACGAGATCCGACACCACAGCGAAGGCATCGAAGCGCTTGATCATATTGTTTGGGACTCTTCGGACACTGCTTCGAGAACAAGCGGTCACAAAGCCTATGGTTGGCACAGCGCGTTGGCTCCAGAGCAGCGCCTCGGGCGTCTCTCGCTGCCGATATCCTCCTATGATCGGCGCCTCCGTCTTGATCGCGCCAGCCTCTTCTCTCCTCTCCCACGGTCGAATCGTTCCTCGATCGGCTCGAGACAGTAACCTGCGGTCATCGTCCTTCTCCACAGGATCTAAGCCATTACTCACTCCAGCCTCGTCTCGGCCACCCGCATCCGGCTCTCCCGCATCGCCCTCGCCTTCGTCCAGCTCAGGCTCCTCGCAGTGGAAGCCGCCCCCTCCTCCACCTTCAGGCTCCACAGCAGCATACCGCAAGCAGTCACGAAAAGAGTGGCTGCTTGTCGGCGTCGCAGGTTCCGCTGCCGCAGTGGGTTCTTGGTACTATTGGTCCAACATTCGTCCGCGTCATCAAGCCAACAAAGCCGCTGCAGCAGCAATCGCCGCCAGTTCAGCTCCCTTCTCTCTTACTGCCGAAAGCAGAACATCCTTCTCGATCCCCACCCGTCAGGCTCAGGCCGGCGGCCCCACCAACAAGGTGATCAGCACACTCACAAACGCCGAGGTCGATCGGCGCCTCACCGAAAATCAACGCAGCACGCGTGTCGATCGACCTCAAGGCGCTTGTCTCGTTGCCCGCTATGACACCAGCTCGGTAGCCAGCAACGATCCCATCGAGGACAAGCGCGCAGAGGTGATTGTCGAACGTGATCGAGCTGTCGCCGACAATCGCCCTTCGTCTTCCTCCACTTCCCCAGTCTCGCCGACTCCGAACACAGCCACTGGCAGTGCAAATGGCGATCTCTGCTTCTTCGCAGTCATGGACGGCCACGCTGGCTTTCACACCAGTACGCTTCTCAGCCAGAAGCTCATCGCCTTTGTCGCGCTCGAGCTCGACAAGGTCTTCAGAGAAGCGGGCGAGTATGCCGAGATCGCAAAAGCCAAATCCGCCATGCCCAGCAAGCTTTGGCGTGCCATCGTTGGCGGTACGCCTGGTGCCGGTCCAAGCACGGGCCTGGACGGCGACCCGGAGGTGGTAAAGAGGGCGATCGCAAAGGCCTTCCGTGGCCTGGACAAGGAGATCGTCAACACGCCCGTCGAGTTGTTGAAGGAATACGAGCTGAGCCTTGCCTCCACTTCTTCCAGCTCAGTCTCTTCAGAGAGCGGGGCAGGCAACACCCGAAGCCTCAGCTCCCTCGCCCATACCATCTTTCCTAGCTCCATCAATGCCGCCTTCACGGCGACGCAGAAGAGCGCCTACGAAAGCATCCTGCCAGCAATGTCCGGCAGCTGCGCTCTTTTGACCTACATCGACTCAGCACGTCAGGACGTGTATGTCGCGTGCACCGGTGACTCACGTGCCGTAGCCGGCTACTGGGACGAAGACTCGGGCAAGTGGGAGGTGGAAGCGCTCTCCGTAGACCAGACAGGTCGCAATCCGGATGAAGTGCGACGCATGCGCGCCGAGCACCCTGCATCTGAGTCCGAGAACGTCATCCAGCGTGGTCGTGTGCTGGGAGGACTCGAGCCCACACGCGCGTTTGGTGATGCTAGGTACAAGTGGGATCGCGAGCTTCAAGGTCGGCTTTACGACGCATTCTTGCCCGGAGGCCGAGCATCGACACGTGGCCCACCTCGTGGCCTCGAGACGCCACCTTATGTAACCGCGACACCCGCGGTGGAATGGCGCAGAGTGGGCGAAACGAGCTCGAGTCCCAACAGAGAGCTCCGCTTCATCATCATGGCCACCGACGGATTGTGGGATATGATGAGCAACGAGGAGGCTGTCAGCCTTGTTGCCGGCCACCTTGCAGGTATCAAGGGCACCATCCGCTCGTCGGAGTTGCAGAGCCACACGTTCCAACCCATCGACAAGTTGCACTCGCTGCCTTCGGCCGCTTCAATTCACACACCGTCTTCATCTGCTGCCACCACCGCGTCGCCGACGACGGAAGCCTCGACATCGGTCAAAACAGCCTCATCCGATGAGCAGAGAGAGCTGGCAGTGTCTAAGCAACACCCGCTTTCCAAGGGACCAGAGACGCTCAGAACGTTCCAGTTCCAAGACGAGAACCTCTCGACCCACCTCATTCGCAACGCGCTCGGCGGCGCTAACCAGCAACGAGTCGCGGGACTGCTCGCCATTCCTTCTCCCGAGAGCCGAAGGTATCGCGATGACATCACGGTCAATGTCATCCTCTTCAACTCTCCGGCGTCGGCTCCGACGCAGCCACAGTCGGCCACCGGTGCGCAAAGCGGCGAGGGATCGAGCTCTTCATCTTCGATGAAAGCCAAGCTTTGAACGCAGCTGGTCTTTATGTACTTTAAGACGATGCAACCACGAAGCAGCAGAGAGAGGCTATGCTGGAATTTAGGCTCAGCTTTGTGCTCAAGGGTTTGATGAGGTTGCTTTGTGGGTCGGAGATCGGGTTCGAGTTCGAAAGCGTGAGTTAGAGCTCTTGACGGCGGTCGTGAGACTGCAGAGTTGGGCTTGGGTTGCAGGCGGATCTGAGAGCGAGGGTGGGAGAGAAGTCGCCGTGGGCGGCGGTTTCTGAACTGCCTGATGAAAGACGTGGCGAGTGGCAAGAGACAATTCAAGCCTCGCGAGCCAATTTTCAGGCACGCACAGATGACACCACATGCGACGTTGGCGATGCTTCCATTTCGCGCCATGTGGCTCGCTTTCGTTGGGTTGCTGCCTGTAACGGTGTATGAAGCGAGGTGGCGTGTGCACAAATATCCCCGTCGGACCCGCTCAGGAGCTTGATCATATCGCTTGAGGCAAAAAGCAGGATTTGCGATGGCTCGAGAGTGAAACTTCGATCTCGTCAAGAAGACTGTTGAAAATCACGATGCTTTTCGGACTCGATTTAGCTCACAGTACACATTGGTGTGGACAGGTTGCTCATGCTCAAACGTCGAGCTGGCCGTTGGTGCTTTGGGCAAACAAAGTTAGCAAATCGGAGATCGGTGTTTCCCCTTACAGCCGGTTGTACCGAGATACCGGCGCACGATCATGAAGGGTTGTCAAGCTTTGCTTCAAAGGCCTTCGCATTTGCATCATCGAAGAAGGTGATGAGCGAGCCGCGTTAAGCGTCGCTCGCAATCGACTGTCCATTGTACGAATCAGGTCGAAGCAACAATTTCACAATGTGGCAGACCCAACACATATAGGCGACAATGCGGCTTTTGTTCCCTGGACTTGAGTTCATGACGCAGCCGTGTATCGACATTACCTTTTAGGCTTGACCAAGCATTAGTGTCTAAACTTGGCCGGGGTCATGTCCGCCCGGTAACAAGTCCGAAAGAGCCCTATAGTCACACGCTCCTTCCTTTCAATCAAACTTTCTCACGTCTTCAAACAGCCCGCTTCATCTCGGACGCCGAAGAAGCAGCAAAGGTGGGCAAAGCGGCAGTTGTCACACCTTCTCCCTCCTCTTCACAACACAATCACCCTTTCCAAGAACAAGCCGCGGCTTCAAAAATGAAACAATGACATGACAACCAATCGCGGTAGTCGGCTGACTTCATCCTCGAACCTCTTTGATCATCTTCCGCATACAGTACTCAAGCAATGAATTTGATCGCACAGGCTGCATGAATGAAAAAGTTTCATCGTGGGGGCATATAGCTTGGATGTCATTCGAGCTTATTCATATCGGAGCTTTTCTATGTGACAAGCTGTTCGGCGTCCGGTTCGAGACAGAGTCAGAGGGTGTGAAGAAACCCAAGTTCGTTGACTGGGCTTGGAGGCTTGCCAGGCAGCAGCAGCTGCTCCGTGAAAGAACAGGTGTCACGCAGGAAACGGCTCGTTGCGCCTTGCTGGTCGTCCATCATCTGCAGATCTCAACATTGCGTCACGCGCAGCCCTGTTATATCTTCCGACCACGCAGCACGGAACGGCTTCCCTCAGCATGGTCAGTCACATTCCCTCAGATACGAGACGCTCTGGTAGCGATAAGGATGGCTTGAATTTGCCATCTTTCAGGGACCTTGTGTCATTTCGTGGTACCGTTGCACGAACCAATACCACTGATGCATCATTCTCAACGCGCGGGCACGAAGAGGCCAACGTCACAACATCGTTGCCTCGACGTCATGTCGAAGAGTCATTCAAAGTGGTTGGCGTTCAGCGTGCCGAACATCGCGCTGATCATCGACACACGACACAGCATCTTCCGCACCGTGGTCGTCAACAGGTTCGTTCCGAAGGAGTATTGCAAGAACAATGTCACTCGTCCCTGACCCGCAACCAACGCTGCGACGTTTTGCCTTCATGCCAGTCTCGAAGCGGAGAGCGTTATTATGCGCAAGATGTCGATTTCCGAAGCGTGCAGCCCCATGCTGAGCGGGCACGCGAAGGCTATGAACATCCCTGTCAAGATAGAGTCGATTCGCGCACTTTCTCAAAGTCTGAGCCGCCACGGCGTGAGGTCGCTCCAACATCGCACGAGATGGTGCGTACTACGGAAAAGTACCAACCTATCGCCCCTTACCCTTCCAACGGCCGGTCGACGAGAATCGAGACCTCGAAGGTGCCCGATATCTCGCGGACCGTTGAGAGTGACCGTCGACGATTACAGGTTCAGGTCGTCAAGCCCCCGGCACCACGCTCCGACTCGCGCTGGCAGCCTTATACCCAAAACGATCATCCCCACCGATCGCTGAGCGGTCAAGTCTCAGAGAGGCATCACCAAGAAGAGACCATATTAGTACGACCACAGCCACTAGGCACACAGCATCATCATGTGCGTCCCTCGCTGGCACCTCCAAGCTCATCCTTCAACCATCTTCGGAGAGAAGTCAGTCCTCGATCCAAGCTTTATCTTGTCGGAAGCGAAGGAAAAAAGTTCAACCCTGCTTGTCGTCACGAAGAGTCTCCGCCACTACCGAGCCGTCACGACCGAGCCAGAACGTTCGATTACTCTTGCGCTCGTCTACCAAACGAGATAAGCATGCGGCCTCCATTGTCAAAGGCTCGCCCGCCCAATACATGGACGGATCACTCTCACTCTGAAGAACGACACCGACAGGCAGACGATCGTCGGCCAAGCATGCAGTTGACTTCTTCGTCGGCTTACGCCGAAGAACAGAGGATGTACACCGCTCTTCATTCGCTCTACGGAAGCGACGTCAGGGATCGATTGGCAGGTCAGAGGGAGCCGGAGCGTGTGACCAGTGCAATTGTGGAGAATTACAAGCGCAATGGGCATGAAAGAGTGAAGGGTGGGGTGTCGGGCCGAGCAGTAGCTGGAGCTGCAAGGAGATTCGATCAGGGCTTGATGCATGACCATGGAGCTGCTCCGGGTGTAGATGTTCGAAAAGACCATGACGGGAGGACTTCATCAGGTTTGCTCGAGCGACATGCCTCGAGACCTGTTGCAGCGAAGCAAGAAGGTCAACTCGGGCCGACGGTAGTTTCGCCCAGCTCGTGCAAATCCTATCGTCCGAGTCATGGTCGACCAGAGCCTGCTCTCCATCTCGATCGGCGCTACGAGAGCATCGATCCGGCAGGACGATCATCAGATGGTGATCAGCACAGGAGCGATCACAAGATTCACGAACATGAAGCGGAGCTATACAGCGCTCGCGTGCCGCATACACCAGGACAACGCCGATTGCAACCAAGCAGACGTGCTCAAGACGATCTTCTATGGACTCAAAACGCAGGGGAGCGAGTCTACAGCCCTCAGGTCAGGATCCCACCAGCGCTTCCTCTGCCTCGTAGCGCTACACCGGTGGGTACCGTCCTTCATCAAATACGGGCTGACCAGATGGACTCTCATGCATCTTCCTCTGCGCAGTATGAAATGAGCAGCAGGGCCTCTGGCTATCATCGACCAAACGGGATCAAAGTGTCAGCATCGGCTCACGAACAGTGGCATGTACAGGCGTCGAACGAGCAGGAATCCCACTCCATCAGTGGATTCGACGATCCCATGCGTTCCGCAAAACAAGTTCCGAAGGAGGGACGGTGCTTTCTGACTAGAGACAACGCGGAGGAACACATGGACCGTCGTACAGCAGATCCGGAGCAACATCGCACAAGTCGGCCTGCCGTCGTACACCAATCAGATAAGTCACCTTCCCACCGTCTACTGCCTGCAACTCCCATTCATCGGACTACGCAAGTGTTGCATCGCTCGTCGAGCGGCAGAATCCCCCAAGCATCTCGATCATCCCCACACTCTCTTCGCAGCAGAGGAGACGATGCTCGTTATGATCATCAAACACAAGCAGCCGAAGTCATGAGCCATTCGAAGAATCGTCATCCAGTTCAGCCCGTCCATCGTCCCGCACCAAGGATATCACCGCTCGAAGATCCTCCGATCGTCCACCGCAGCCGGGCCCTCCCGCCAGTCATCGCGTCCCAGCATACCAGCCTTCATCAAGCCCAACCTGCCTCTCACGAGCATGACCATCACTCAGCTACTGCTATGCCTGCCCCGCCCACACGACCGATGAAACGCCATCGTGCTGATTCGGACACCTCGCTCGTGATCAAAGCATCCCGTTTCACCGTAGTCGATGAACCTCGACAAGCCGATGTACGCGGCCCGTCTTGTGGGCTTCGTTCTCCGCCGAGGCATCTCCGTGCTCCGGAGAGGGAATCCGGGAGCAGGCAACAAAGGCATTTGGATGATCTGGACGATGCGAGGGATGCACAGAGGTTTTCTGGCGAGTCGGATGCACAGAGTAAAAGTGTCAACGGGTCCGCTCCCATCACTCCTCCGCTTTCATCGACCTGATCACTCTTCACGCGATCAAATTTCTTTGTATAACTTATATGATCGATTGTCAGTTCGAATCGACTGTGACATCGACTGTGTGCGAAGTTGAGGAAGATGGTGTCAGGTTATAGAGCCAGCCCGTAGACGAACGGCTCGTGAACAGCGGCCGAGCTGTCCTCGCTATCCCCGCCCAGCGAGTCTTTCCTGTCCACTCGCGGGCTCGATCTAGCTTCTTCATCAGCACGAGGCTTGAACGAGAGCGAAGCGAGCAGTGATTCGAATCTTCCACCGACCGCTGCAGGCTGAGCCGTCACGGGTGTGGGTACAGACGCATCCGTTTGCGCCGACAGCGGCGTACACGGTAGTTGACCTCGCTCGATCGCAGACAGATGCATCCCGCCCGTCAACGGCGGAGTGCGAACGCTGCTCGAATCAGTGGCCGAGTATCTCCATGCTTCCCCTGCATTTCCGCTGCTAGCGCTGGATGTTGAAGCGGATATTGTGGCTAGAGGCTGAACGGCACCGAGGACGTTGAAGCTTTGACTATTCGTCGTACCACGTGCACCCGCTTGAGCATCCGACTGAGTACGAGAGGCTTCGAACGGCGAGACAGGGGTCGATGAACAACGCACGAAGGATCTTTGGGTGTTGAGGGATCGAGGTGCTGTCTGTTCGATGGGTGCCGATCTTGGCGTGGGTAGGTCGGGTAACGGTACTGCAGGAGGTGGACAGGGTGGTGGTGAATGGATCGAAGCGGTCGGTGAAAGAATTGACTTGCTGAGTTTTTTGCGCAGCGGTATGGCTGCACCCATGAGATCGGCGCTGGCTCTGGTGTTGCGGTTGCTTGCAATCGTGCTACCGGTTGACTGATTGTGAACGTTCGAATGAAGGGCGATGCTGATTGGAGGCTTGGCGCGTCTCTGCCTCAAGGAAGCCAGCTCCTCGCCTTCCTTTGCTTCTTCCGCGAGCGCCGGGTTTGAAAACATGTGTCTCAATCCAATCGCCTTTTCGTTCCGTTTCTTTTCGTTACTCTGCTTTCTGTCCAGCCCGTGATCTCCGCCAACTTCCTCTGACGAAGGCCACTTCCTCATCCTCAAGGCACCGTACTGTCTGATCGGATTGATCTTCCCACCCTCTTTCGACTCTTCCGCTTTCATCCTAGTGTCGCTCGTCGTTTCATCCTCCCCAGTGGGATACATCTTCCCTGCTTCCTCTGCCTCTCTTCTCCTGCTTCTTCCAGGACTACGATCCGGCGAGGCATGTGGATCGGCCCGTGGAGGCGAAAGTTGTCTCTGTAGATTCCGCATCTGAATGTTCTGCTGCATCACCAGCATCGACGCCCTAGATGGCTCGGAGTTTCTGTTCTGCGACCCACTGATACTGTTCAAGTCCCATTGAGGAGAATGTTTGTTGCGAGAGCTGTCAGGAGCGTGATTGTGGGTGGGGAGGGTGGGCGAATCCATCTGCTGAAAGTATGCGGACGGGTCGGGATCGGGAGTCAAAAGCATCTCGACCGGATCATTGTCGCTCGCTGCCGAGACATCTTGTTGTTGCAATGAGGAGGAGCGTTGAGATGGGTGGACGAGGTTGGGATGAGAGGTCCGGAAGCTAGAGGCGAAAGCAGTGGGAGGCGAGTGAGGAGACAGATAAATTGTACGCATCTCTCCTTCTCTCTTTCTAGAGACCCGTCGTAGATAGGGAGGTGGTTGCGCGACAGTGTAGTTTGCCGCCTCAAGGATGGATGGAGAAGGATAAACGGGCTCACTTCCGCTTCGAGTCCGAAATCTTCTTGTATACTGCTGCGAACTAACGTCGCTATCCGAATCGCCTGAGCTCGATCCCGAAGACCCGAGGGTGAAGGATGTGATCGCGGAAGCTGCGTCAAGAAGAAGAGTACGAGCAAGTGAAGATCGCTGTCTATTATGATGCGATTCGGAGATCGATCGTGTAGTTCTCCTCAGGCGCTGTTGAGGCCAGGATGGAGAAGCGAGCGCAGGAGTTGAATCGAGCAATGAAGTGTCGAACGAGATGTGTTCGGGAAGGTCGCTGGAGCCAAAAGTGAGTGCAGCGACTGTTCCCCCCACTGTATGATCTTGATGATGATGTTGTAGCTCGACGTCATTCGGAACATATAGTCCCAAAGAGTTACCTTCTCGCAGAAAAGCTTCACTATCGTCTTGCAGGTGCGAAAGCGAAAAGACATCCGGCGCGGAAAAACTGCGTCCCTGAGCTTGGTCCTGATGCTCGAAATCCCTCAAAAGCCTCTCAGGGATCGGTTTTCGTCCGGCAACCTTCTTCCGGGGTAAAAGGAGATCTTCGAGCTCGAGCTGTAGCCCTTCGCGTGGTTGTCTTCGCGGCTGCTTATTTGAGTAGCTTTCACTCGCGCTTCTGCCCCGAGCAAGTCTCTTTCTGACAAATCCACTGCGTAAAGCTGCGTATAGCGCACGTGGAGACCTTTTCTTTGCGTGCAGGCGCGAGAGCGGCGAGTTACTTGGTGATCGTGGGAAGCTTTCGTCGTCGGATACTAGTTGCGCGTGATACGAGGTTGGGCTATGATCCTTTTCACCGTCAACAGGATGGCTGGAGTGGTTGTCGTTGTCTTCAGAATCGCCGTATGCGGAAGCGAAGAGTTGAGAGGCGGGAATGGGTAGACGCTGGAACGGTCTTCGACGTAATCGCTGGAAGGATATGGAGTTGGAGTCGGAGTCGGAGTCAGGGTTCGTAGTCTTCTGGCCGATGACTGTATTGTGACACTCGTGTTCGGAGAAGGATGTGCGAGATGGAATAGTTGGCCCGGATTTGTTTGTTAGGGATCCGATGCTGCGGTCCGACACAGAAGTGGAAGGCGAGGTTGACGCCATGATGTGTTTGCGTGAAAGGAGGAGATAGACGAGATGGGTAGCGTACAGAAAGGTTCAAGAGGGAATGACAAGATGACGTTGTGAGTAAATGGGATCTGAGTTCTCAGTGAGAACCAAGAAGCTGTCTGCGATGTGAGGACCAAGTAGACAACTCGCGACCAATGAAGTTGGTCTTCCGACACGCTCTGCTCTGGCTCTACACGCCGTGCCGCTGACCAGAATTGGCACTTCTGTGAGAAGGCCATAAAGACCAGACACTTCAAAGCATGACAAGTGCCCCGTCTCGAGTTTCCCTGGAAATGTCGGTCAAGCACCCACAACGACGCACGTCCTACGGCAGCTTTCGTTGAAATGAAACTGCAATCGATGGACACGATGGCGTTTCCTCCTCGAACAACCAGGCTGAATCAGCTTTGGCTTGGGCTCCGGCCTTTCCAACGGGATCATAGGATTCCGTCTGGGTGCATGGCATGAGGCTTGATTGCGGGATGCCAGGGTCCACCTGTGCGTCGCTCCTATTGCAACAGTGTGTGCCAAGTCCTTGTGCATGATATCTTCGTGATGCGATCGCGGATGTGACTTACCTCTGTCTCTGCCCTGAGTGACGAGGTGCAACTACAAGCTGATTTGGTGAGACATGCAGCAGACGCAGGATCTGCTATCCGAAACCGGAAGTGAGGACGTCTCGAGGATGTCGAGGAGCAAGAAGAAGAGACGAGCGGAGAGTTGGACTCCACCTGAGATAGGGAAGTAGCTATATTTGATTTCAAATGCCTATGCATGTTTCTCGCCAAAGCACGTTCAGCCCAGGGGGCTGAAATACACCCACGCTATCCTGTGTGGTTCCTCTGTTCAGAGACACATTCGCCTCCACACGACTGGTTCTCGAAGGACCCGGACCTACCTGCATCAGTTCACAGCGCAGTCAGTGCGGGTAAGGTCCCGACGGCTGGGTGCCCACATCTCGCTTAAACTAAAAGCTAGAATGAAGATGTTCCCCGTTCCGAAAAAGGGGGCCATAGCGAGTGCACAAGGTTGGGCAAGAACATAGGCGAACCAGCGTCAACGCGGACTTCATGCCGCTTGCATAACTCGACAGCTCCGACAGGCATGCTGGCTGCATGAATCAACTCCCGATTTTTCTTCAACGATTTATCCCCGATCTCGTTTCAAGATCGGTCCCTTGGCATCACAACAGAAGCTGAGAGCAAGTCAATGACAATGGCAGACGAATTGGTGAGGGGTCTAAAAATACAGTGTAGAACGAAGGAGATACTCTCTAAGCTGATCATGAATGAAAGGAGAGGAACAAACCGTGTGCGCTTTTTTCAGATAAACTTGGCCCCTCCAGGAGTCGAGGGAGCCTTCTGGAGAACGTTGAGCAAGACGATCGCCGCTACCTCGTCCTCGCTCCCTGCCGTGCCTGCAGCGTTCGATGTATTCGAAGCATTTGAAGTAGACCGTGCGTGCCCTGTGCTTGTTCTAGATCCAATTTTAGACGGGCTCGAGCTTGGACTTGCGCTTGGAAGTGCCGCGTTAGATGGCCTCGCAAGGATAGCCAACTTCAAACTGAGCGGGGTCGGGCCGAATTTAGGAGGGACCGTGCCAGACAGCTCCTGCATGCGATCGTCCCACTTCAGCCAGTGAAGGAATTCGGGCCAGGTATTGTAGTACTCAAAGTACTTTTCATCCTGCAGCACAGGATGGTAGCTGAGCTTGCGTCCAGATCGCTTGCCGGGCGAACCTGGCGCGCCGCCGACCATGGGTGGCGCCGCGGTTCCGGAGAGCGCAGAGACGCGGATCAGCTCACCCGGTCTGACCGTCACAGTATGGGATCGGATGCTTGACCATGGCGTCGAGACGTTAAGAGGAGGTGCGTCCCCGGAGCGCGTGGACGAGTCGCTGCGACGGTGTGAGATGGAAGAGGAGGGATTGTTTGCAGGTCGAACTCGAGCCGGAGTAGACGAGGATTGAGGAGTCTGGAAGGATGTCGCTGCACGAGACTTGTTTGAACTGGCCGACCAAGGACGCCCGGAAGTCGCGGATGCGGTACCAGACTCCGCGTCCTTTGTCGCGACCGGAGCTCGATTGCCTCTCACAGGTGTTTGTGCGTTCTCCTCCCTGTCGATTGAGGCGGCACGATATGTAGAACCCGGAACAACAGGCGAAGCAGGAATCGGTCCAGTGGACTGCCTGACCGCTCGAACAGTGGGGCCTCGCTGCTCGTCGCCACTAGTCCTGGGACCGGCGACTCTAGTGCGGACAGGAGTCGAACCAGCGTCAGGGGCACCAGGGACCATAGAGCTCCTGCGGCTGTCCGGGTATCTTACAGCCGCTGTTTCGGCACCGGCTAAGTCAGGCACATAAGTGGCTGCGGAGTTCCTCTTGGTGTTTTCGACCGTGGCCCGTTGAGTGGCTGCCACAGAAGGGTCATCTTCGGCATCCTCAAAGGGGTCGTCGTCGTGCGCTGGTGGGACGGAACCACTTCGAGTCGTATCCATCGATCCTCCCCGAGGTGTTTGCTGCATGTAGTTTTCCAGATGTTGCGAGAGGTTACGATGCCCTTGCTGTATGCTCACCTGCTGAGGAGGAGGAATGGTCCCCGACGCCTCAACGTTGACCTTGCGAGCATACCCGACAACTGCGTCATTCAGATCAATGGACCCTGCGCCGCCACCCATCTTTCGCTCGTGTCCGACCTTCGACGTCAAACCTGAGCGATCTCGCGGCACGTCGTCGTCACGTTCCGGTGAATCTTCAAATCCGGCGGTGAGGTTGAATGCAGGCGAGGTGCTAATGTGCGCATTCCTGTGACGCATCGGGGCAGAGCCCAAAGTGCGGCGGACCGGAACCTCGAGGGGGGAGTCCAGGCTAAGGGTTTCAGTGCGCAAGGCCTCTCCACGGCGTCTCTCAGGAGTGGCAGGTGCCGCCGAAGTGCTGACACCGCGGTCCATTGTGTCATCGTAGAAGAGGTTTGACTCCCAGCTACTACGCGCAGCAAGACTCTTGGAGGTGGTCATCTGCGACAAGTCGCGATCCATCATGCCTTCGAGACCAAGACCGATCGAAACCGGACGGGCAAGATCGGCTCGCTCCTCGGCCGATCCAGTCTGAGGTCCGAACGATTCAGAAACAGGGACCGAGGCGAGTCTATTGATGGAACGATTCGACTTGGATGTTTTGGGCGTTCTGTTAAAGAGATTGAGCACGGATCCCCGTCTAGGCTTCTCCGGAGCCAGCGGTGAAGGATTGGTGATACTGAAAGCGGGCAAAGGGATGAAGGGAGGCACAGCCGTCGTCGAGCTTGTTCCCGGTGCGATATTCGTTGAGTCCGTCGTATACACCTGACGGGGGTGTCCAGAGGACCATTCTGGCCCGTGACCTTCGTCTGTGGGAGCCAGCGTCATCGCATCGGAAAACGGAGAACGATCTGCGTTGGCCGCACCTGCATCTGCCAGAGCCGCGTAAGGATCGAGGTAGGGACTCGCCTCCTCGTCGTCCTTTTTGCCCTTTCCGACTTTTCCGCCTGCTCTGAGTCCAACCCATCCGAAGCGAGGAGATCGCTCATCTGCCAGCGTTCGATCGTCGTCAAAGCCGTAGCTGTTGTTGGGCTTTTCGAAGACCGAATTGCTGTCATCGGGGTGCGCGCCTCGAAAGTGACGGTCCTCCGCGGCACAGTGGCGACGGCAGCACATCATGAGGAAGATCAGCATGAAAAGCCCTCCGACGCTACCCAGAGATGCAGCGATGGCGAACTTGGCTTTACTACTAAGACCTCCAGAGCCTGCGTCTGATGAAGAGTCTGAGGAGGCAAAGCCACCGGTTGAGCTGGTGGAAGAAGCGGCCGTGGCACGCCCAGGGGATACGCTTCGACTCGGCAAAGGAAGCGGTGTTGGGGACGCAGACGAAGATGATGGGTTGATGGCAAAGCCTCGCGTGGAAACACTGCGGTAGCCGCTGGACTCTGTCGTTTCGACTGAGAATTGCACATCGACACGCTCGGCACCGCTCTTGGGAGGGGTGCCCGATAGCAGCATTGTGGCTGGATCGAAGTGAACCCACTGCTCCGCTGACGGTGGGTCCAGCACCAGCTGCGGGGGCGTCTGGCCTGCTCGGAAGTACTGGCCCAGCTCTACCTGAAACATCCTGCCGGGCGTGACTTCTACGTCCGGCAGAGTTGAGACCGAGAACGGGGATGAGAAAACTGTTACTCGCGCCGATGCTGCGACAGATCGCATCTCGGTGTTGCTTGCGTTAGCAAGCGTGATCGGCACCGCGAAATGAAGAGGCCCCCCGTCGGTCAAGTTGAATGGCGGAGTGCCAGAGAAGGTGTTGGTCGACTCGTCGAACGCTAGCCATGGGCCTATTGAGGTGGTGTTGGCGCTAACGCGGAGCGAAGAGGTGTTGACAGGGCTGCCGTTCGCATCGACGATGCCTTCAAGTGGGAGTGTGGATTGGAAGGCCTGCCCTGCAGTCGCGTTGATGGCTGGAAACGGCGCTGCCTGAATGAGACTAGCGCCGCTCACAACCATTTGTAACGAGCTGTTGACACCGGCATATCCAGGCACGTCGCTGGCGGTTACGACGACGGTGTAGAAGCTTCCTGCCGTATGCACGTCTGTTGGAGCCAGACCCCACAGCGTGACGGTCTGATCGAAGTGCATCCAGTCTGGCAAAGGCGAACCATCCGCCAGCTCTGCTGATAGGTAGACTCGATGGCTGTCCGAGGTAAATGTGTCGCCTGCAAAGCCGATGGAAAAGGAATAGCCGAGACGCAAGAGCTGAGCGCCGGACGGCAAGATGGATTTCGCGCCAAGCGTCGTCGCGTTAGGAAGCTGCTGGGAAAGTGGCTTGTTGAGTACAGGGCCGGTGCCACCCATTGCGATCAGCTGGAAAGACGTCGACGCCTTGCTTCCACTTTTCTGATTGGTGGCCGTAAGAATCACCGTGTCGTTTTGACGCGCCAGTCCCGCAGACGGTAGGGAGGGCGTACCTGAGAGGGCAAGGCTTGCAGGCTCAAAGGTGGCCCACGATGGAAGTCCAGTGATGTTGTATTCCAGAGGTGCTGTGGCATTGACGTCGACGAAAGTGTTTGAGGCGAAAGACCACGCGTAAGGCTGACCAAATCGAGCAATCTGGGGAAGCTGCGAACTGGCTGGACGCTCGACGCGCACAGCTGCTTGTGAGATCGATGCTAGGACCAGCAGCGCAGCGAGCCAAGTTGGCGATGTCGCTGCTCTCGCAGTCGGCCTCATCATGTCGCTGTCGCTCGAACCGGTTTCTTATGCTGCAGGAGGGGTTCGTCTCAACGCTGATGAGAATAACTTTCTAGCTGCACAGAGGCTTGTAGGGCACGACCGCAACCTTTCTCGCACGTCGTGTATGTGCTCGAAGCGCAATGACTTGTAGATCGGCCAAGGTACTATGAGCCAAGATCTGTTCGTGTAGCAGCCGGAATAGGCTAGGGGAGAGATCGTGTAGTGACTGTGTGGATATATGGTGGTTTTCTTGAAGAGACGCGACCTAACGAAGGTGAAGCTGAAACGGGGATGGAAAGGGAGGGCGGAGGGATGTATAGAAGCTTTGGGGAGAGTTGGTGGTGGAGAGCGTAGAAAGCCTGGAAGGAGCTGCGACCGAGATAGACAAGACAAGGAAGAGGTGAGGGCTGACGACGATTCCTGTTTTGGCAAGTCGGACGCGATGCCGCCGATTGAGGAACTTCGCGCGTCCCACAGGATGCTGAGCGTGGCGGTATGTGCGCCGCGGACAGCAGAAGGTACAACTAGCGCGAAAGGGTCGTTCGAGCGCGTGAAGAAATCTCGTACACTGACGGGCGAGTGCCGTGTTGCGATACAGGCAGCCGTGAGCGAAAAGAGAGCCTCTGCTGGCCAAACGAACCCGGTCCATCGCTGAAGAATGTCGTCGACGATTCCGCGTACCAGAAGGCAAAGCCCAGCTCCGCGATGGGGGATCTTCAACGCAAGGGGTCGGAGAGAATGTAAAGGCTGTGATGTGTAGGCTCCACGCAGCGGCGCAAGCGACACTGGTGAAGCCCGGCGATCATGCGCACAGTCGGAGGGAGGCAAAGGAAGGGAGAGATCTGCAGGGTCCAATTTGACAGGCACAACTAGCTTCGGCGATCGTCGATATGCAGACACCTCGAGCAAGAGACAGGGCGAAGAGTCGGCTTCGGTGGCTTACGTCGAACCTGCCTGTTACAGCGATGCATGGTGGTTTTGGATGCTGAAGAGCAAGGGTGTAGAGCTGAAGAGAAGTAGCAGCGAACGGCTGTGGCATGCACGAGTTTGTCGCTTGTCCCTTGCATACGTCGAAGAATGCGCAGCGGACAAAAATTTATCCAGCCGGCGGCTAAAACATTGTTGGGTGAAGTCTTCTAACATCTTGAACCAAAAAATCTCCCGAAATCCGAGTCTCTCAAATTTAGGCTTTCAAGCCTTGCAGCGCAGCGTTACACGGACCATCCTGCTTTCCTTCATTGGTTGCCCTTCCTTGCCGTCCCTGTCGAGTGTCATCTTGCTCTCTCGTCTTTCTTTACTAAAAGATCTTTCTGCGTCATTCTGTCGAACACTCATACTTCCGACTCAGAGTCAATCAGCATTCTCTGGCCTCGTACTCAGTCTCACCAACGGGATGTCCACGAAACAGTACAAGCAAGCAGGCGAAGATGTGTGGAAGAACAGGACAGAGAAGATCGTGAGTCTCTAAGGCCATCGAGGATAGGACGTTTCGTTCAGCGCTTACATTCTCTGCCCATTGCGGATTTCGACGGTCTCTCCGATCGTGTCGCCGCGTACGCCTTCGCCACGAACAGAACGCGGAGCTCTTCACGCTGACCTACGGAGCGCTGGTCATCCAGCTGATCAAGGATTACGAAGACTACGCGGAGGTCAACAAACAACTGGACAAAATGTACGTTCATTCGCCTATCCTGCATGCAACCTGCATCCTTGAGGCACGACTGACTCCTTTTTGCACGTCCATTCACACTGTGTTGTGTTCGGCAGGGGCTACAACATCGGCACAAGGTTGATAGAGGATTTCTTGGCGCGAACCAACCTCTCAAAATGCTCTGACTTTCGCGAAGTGGGTGAGGTCGTGAGCAAGGTCGGATTCAAGATGTTTCTCAACATCACACCTACTGTCATCCATCATCAGCAGGAGGACACAGCAGCACCTAGTTCAGGTATAGCAGCAGCGTCCGCAGCTCCAGCAGGCCAACAATCTACAGCAGCATCTGCGCAAGCGTCGTCAGGGTCTCGCGAGTTCAGCTTGATAATCGACGAGAATCCACTGGCAGAATTTGTCGAACTTCCTCGCGATGCAAGAGCCGGTGGTTTGTGGTTCAGCAATGTGCTAGCTGGTGTACTGCGGGGAGCACTCGAGATGGTACAGATGCAGACCGAATGCTTCTTTGTGTCGGACGCGCTGCGAGGCGACGACGCGACCGAGCTTCGAGTGCGATTGATCAAGCATCTCGACGAAGAAGCACCCATTGCCGACGATTGAAGTTGCCCTGCATCACCGGTGATCCCAGGCGATCTCTCTACAGTGGATAGGATTCACTCCCACACGACTTCTCATCGAAGCTTTGATCATGTGCTTTCTCTCCGAGTGTACTTTTACCTAGCATTCATTGTCCTTTGTGTGCATGTCTCCCACATTCGACTTCAAGGTTCATCTTCATCTGCGACCGATAGTGCTGCTTCTCCGATGCTGGGCTGAGTAAACTAGACATTTCCGAGGACAGGGGGTGACGAAATTGACGCGACGCATGGTGTCGTCTCCGGTCGCCTCAGAGACTTATCGGTGTAACTCACTTGACGTGACCCGTGAACATGTCACGGAGGCGATAAGGATGCTTCTCGGGAATCAGAGTGATTGCAATGATGAAGGTTTCCATCTGCGGGCACCCCATCAGCAAAAATTGGGTTCCGATTTCTGTTGTGTTTGCTCGCTGCTACAGCGGCGATGCAACGAACCCACAACGCAGCTCCGCACGACCGTTTCATAAAGTAAACGAGCAGTCCATCTCAACCGGGCTTGTGTGGCTTCATCGCACCTTCCGAAGCAATTCGAGGATGCATGCAGCCCAGCAGCATGCGCCGTTGACACCGAAGCGTCCACTGCAGCAAGCAGATAAGCGCTCGACACTTTCCACGCAAAAGCGTCCTCGATGGCGGGCTTGCTATTGTGTTCAGGGCTCGTAATCAGCCAAACTCGTCACGTTCTCTGGGCTTCTTGGGAGGCATTGAGACGTGAAATGAGCCCAACTTAGCAAACATTGCAGAATCGGGATCGTGGGAACAGATGCAAACCTTGTTTGTTGGTCAGTTTCTCACGTTCTGCTTGAATGTGAATGTTGCGCTTGATCTTTTTCGTTTTGCACAAAGCCCTGCACAAAGCCCTGCCCTTGAAGCTCAAACCTAGTCGGACCACACCGAGGTCGTGTTGTCGTGACACGCAAGCAGATGCTCACTGGCCGGCTCGGACTAGCCGAGCGCGATGTGACTGCTCGTGTGGCTGCGCTGCATTCTCCCACGCCTTCAGGCTCAAGATTCTGTCGCTCAGCTATCCAAGTCTCAGGGTCACTGTACCGTTTAAGGCGAGGAGTTCGACGTTCGTGGATCAGCATTAATCCTCTGCAGCTGACTTCCGGTCCCTGACCATGCCGTATGAGCTCGCCAGGACGTCTGCACCAATTCACAAGACCCTCTCTGCCCCGGTCGGAGGCATCACTCATCGACCTCTTCCACGCATAGCCGCGTGTTTCTTGCCGTTGCATCGAACGTTTAGAGCACCAATACATCGCAGGATCATTGTTATCGAGACTTCGAGGGTCCAGCCGCAACGGGAAACGTTCTCCATCTCCGATTGGCATTGCATCAGAGATGTCTACATCAAAATCACCACACTCAGGGGCAGACGCGGACGAGCTGGTTCAAACTCCTCCGCTTTCGAAGTCTGTTCCCGAAGACACGCTCTTCGCCTCAGATGAATGGTCGTCGCTACAGCAGGCCCGCACTCAGCATCCCTTCTCTCCTTTGACCCTCGACGACTTGGGTCTGAATCCCCCCGCCACTCCTAGCGCTTTACTAGACATCGTCGTGCCGCCAAATCTAGCAGACCAAGGAGACGACGTTGAAGTTACGCCGGCCGAAAACGTCGCCATCCCAAAGCATGATGCTCCCACCACTATCTCGGGCACGAGTGACTCTGCACAGTCCGAAGACGTTTCCCATCAGCCAGTAACACTCGCCTCAAGCGATGAAAAAGCCTGCACAGAGACTCAGTCTACATCTACGGCCACTGAAGGCCATGAGTCCTTCTTGGCCTCTTTCCTCCAGAGTCTCACAGGAGGAGAGCTGATGCCCGTAACCCGAGTCTCTGCCTCGGCGGGTCCATCAAGAACCGAGGTGGAAGCTGAAGCAAGGTCTTCTGCTTGGGTAGAGCTTTCGCAGCCTGGCACGATGGCCAACGTCGGAGCCTGGTCGAGGATAAGTGCCATGCAGAAACATCATGACCCCACCGCGTCTCCGCACAATGGCAGGGCCGGCAAGAGCGTGTCATTCGGTGTCGCTGGGACAGGCGCTTTACATGGCAGCATGAGAAAGCCTCCGAAAACAGCTTCAAGCCGATTCGTCCAAACAACCAACGCCCCAGTTGACTCTGCGTCCGAGCTGTGGTCGTCCACGTTATCGTGTACTCCGCAGCAAAAGTCTCCCTCTGGCCACAACGACCACGCAAGCACAAGAGCTTCTTTCTCACATCCTCACTCAATCGTTGGCAGGTCGCAAGGATCCAAGAACCGGAATCTGTGCGGAGGGGTCGGTGACAAAGCTTTATACTCGACGCCGTTGCAGCGCTCTGAACGCAACAAATCTCGTCCCTTGAAGTCGGAATCTTCACATCACTCTGGAGCAGATAAAGCGAAGGCCAAACTGTCTCTAGACCTCTCCAGCTTGAGCCATTTCTCGTTGCCCCAAGCCATACCTTTGCAGCCGCGGCCTCGCTACCCGATCTCCATGGTCGAAACGGCTGCACTCTACGAGACCGATCAGGATACGGATCGCGAGTCCGACACCAGTCCTTCTGGTAGCACTCCTTTCTGTGTGACCTCGAATCCAATTTTTCCTGTCTCAGGAACAGCTAAGAGGAAATCGTTCGACCGTGCACAGCGCAACGACCAGCTGCGTTCGGCCAACGAGCTTTCCAGCGTCGCTGTCAGCTTCAGTCCACCCGGCAGACCTTCCAACCCGACTTCTGAGCATCGAGATGTCCTCTCCTTCTCCGGAGATCCCAATGGTCCTCTCAAAAAAGTGCCTCTGTCCAACGTTGTCCGGTCTCGAAGTTGGTCTCATGCGTCTCAAACCTCGTCCAGTACTCAATTTGTACCACCTGGGCCGGTCAAACCTGCAAATGCGGACAAGACGGATCACCCGAAGCTTTCGCAGTCAACGTCAGCGGGAGATGGCGCGGCATGCTCATCTTCCCTCTCGAATATTCCCTCGTCGGAGCGAGCAAGCTCCACGGGAGCGTCATCGAAGCGCGACGCTAAAGCCTTTGCAACATTCGTCAGCAACGGAAACCGAAGTGCGTCATACGACTTCACACGTCAAGCACTTTTGGACTTGATACGTCGGACGAATTTAGGGATGGCACAGAACACACGTTCTGATAGCACCGCGGCTGGTTCTTTACCTTGTAGACCTCCGAGCAGCTCAAAGGAGTGCAGCTCTGTTGCTGTCAAGCCAGTGACTACAGCGCATGATGCTTCTGTCAGCTGTCCTTTGAATGTGCCAGCTGACCTACAGGCACGGCTTCAAAGCTGGCAACATCATCGAAAGCGACAGAAATTGCCGGACGAGGCGCCGAATGATACATTAAGGGACACGGCGGCATCACAAATCTGTAGCGATACCGACCCGAACGAACTCCTCAAATCCAGTCGAAATGCACTGCTTGCAGAATTGCGAGTCGGAGAACATTCTTGGTCCAACAAGGTAAGCAGTGCCGAGGAGCAGGAGCAAAAGTCACGCAAACACGAGCACTATCAACGCCTCCTTAATGAGCTCGACGCTCAGATGCAGACAATGAGGCGTACTGAAGCGCGGAAACAGAGCGAGAAAGAGGCGGCCGACGATCAGCCGCGGGCAGGCACTTCTCAAGATGGATCCAAGAAAAAAGCTGAGTTCCGGAAGCCCTCCCCACCTTCAAAGGCTTCTGCAGCGAGCAGCTCGAAAACCATTGGCTGCAACGCCACGACTTTTGTTTCAAATGATGAGGAAGCAGCTCAACTTTCGGTTCAGCCAAGCCAAGGAGATATTGCTAGAGCAGGTGGTACCACACTGGTCGCGCTGTCTTTATCGAAAGACGACACTCCTACTGTTAATTCGTATGCAGCGACAAAAGGAACGGGTTCAGACTTTCTTACATCAGCAAATGCTTCCGCGCCAAACACATTCAGCGCAAATCCATGCACTCCTGCTGATTCTTCCGCCACTTGGACAGTCGGTCCTGCATCAACGTCTTCCGGGTTGCAGAGCTTGCCTTCGGGCTCGGGATGGCTGCCAAATTCGTCATATGGCTTTGACAACTGGCAGCAGAATCCCGTTCGATCGCAGCCCACGTTCAGGCATAGTAGTCACCAGAATGCAATAGCGCTTTCGACTGAATGGCAAAGCTGTCCAAGAGCTTTGATCCAGCCTTCGTGGCTCAGTAGCTCCGCCGGGGATAACTCCAACCAGACGGCGTCACCGATGTCGGTCACATCTGCCGGTTGGACACGATCTTTACATCAAGGAGTCGGAAACATCTCGAACTCATCATTAGCCGTGGAACTGATGTTAAGGCATCCCAACTGGAGTCGCGACTTGCTTCCTGGGACTTGGAACCACACAAATACCGTGCACGCCCCACACCACATCGACACATCTTCTTTCGCCATCTCAACCGCGGCAGGAAATTGGGGTCGCACCTCAGTCACGCCGCTGCAGGTATCGAATGAAGCTGCTCAGACTATCGCCGCAACCGGCAGCTCGACCATCAAACGACCTTTTTCGCCCGGAGCAGAGGTGATTTTCTGGTCCGTCAAAGGCGAACATTCGGTGAAACTCAGAGGCACGGTTGAAAGCGTGAGTACCTGCGCAACGGCTCATTTTGCTGCATCAGCTGACGACCATCCCTGTTGGAGACTACTCCGTCCTTTCTGCCACAGATGTCCGATCGATCGGCCAGCATCATTGTGATCCCAGCAGAAAATGCCGATCCGATGGGCAGTGGCACGAACGGATCTGGAAGTGGGATCTCTGACCAAGCGCAAGCCAATCAGATGATCTACTCGAACGTTCCTTTCGTCAACATTGTAGCCAGAGACCAAGCGATGGTTTTGGGATTCTCGTGACTCTCGAAGATGGAAGAGTCTTGACACGCTTGACTGACAGTCGGTGTTGTTCGCTCGGCTCATCTCGACAGATGGCGACACTTTGCAGCTTCTGCCGCTCGAAGAGGCGGGATTTTCTTGAATATGTTAGATTTGCTGAAAGTGCAATATCAGGAAATATCGAGTGTGCTCGGATTGCGGATAAAGGACAGGGAGAGGCGACGCGCGTTTCCGGTAAGTTGGCGAAAGTGATCTGTGTTTCTCCACTTCTCTCACAGCCGCGCTCACGACCGACCAACACCTCATCATCACCGTCTTCGCTTCGCCTTTGCCTCCCATCCCACGTCCACTCATCCTTGCAAACTCAAATTTACTGGCTCTTGAGTTCCCCCCTCGCCATCACAAACACGTCTCGGATTTAAGTCGAAGTCTCTCTGTCAAGGTTTTGCCAAGAAGATGGACATTCATACGCTCCACACGTCGCTGGTTTCGGCATTCTCATCCTCCAAATCCAAACCTGACGAGGTGCGTTCTCTGCTCACGAAGCTGAAGATCGCCTTGACGGAGCACAACTTGCTGGTGCCTTCGGCGTCTTCCTCCTCATCAACGTCCGATCTCGTTCTTGCACGAGAAGTCCTCGAAATCGGAGCCTTCTACTCGGTCCGCATCTCGGACATCCCCGCCTTTGACCGTTACATTTCGCTCCTCACGCCCTTCTACGACGCCTCTCTCCCCACTTCCTCGCACTACGAACCACTTCTCGGACTTCGACTTCTACGACTCCTCAGTTCGAACCAGATCTCTGCTTTCCATACCCTCATCGAAACGCTACCTACCGATCTGGTGAATGGTAGTCGATTCCTTCAACATCCGGTCAGCTTGGAAAGGTGGTTGATGGAGGGATCCTACTCGAAGGTGTGGAGGTTGAGTAGGGAGACACCGCCTCAGGATGAATACCGGTTCTTTGTGGATCTGCTGATGGATATGATTCGAAATGAGATCGCTAGTTGTGAGGAGAAGGCGTACGATAGTTTGGCACTGCACGATGCAGCTACGTTGTTGTTCTTTGATAAGTTGGATCACGTATTGGCCTTTGCACAGACCGTAAGTACCAACCACCACGTCGGGGAGTCAGTAAAAGTGTGCGGTCAACTGACAAAGAAATCTTTGCTGTTGGGTCGATAAAACAGCGTGGTTGGCAAGTCAACCCAAAGACACAGGTCGTTTCGTTCACAGCATTGAACGCCAACGCAAGTTCCACCACAAGCATCCCCAAGAAAGCCACCATCGCAACCAATCTGTTGTTCGCCAAGGAACTCGAATCGATCGTGTAAGCGGGCTTGGAACAGTTGGCAAGCTGCAGCCATGGTGGACGATGTAGTTTGCGCACGATTTCCTAGCAAGACGCTTTTGACAAGATGGAATATCAACGGCCTTGACAAGCTCAAATACAGCTGCTTGTTGGGAGCGAAAAAGACGCAGTTGCATGAAGCATCTCACCTGATTCTGTGCGTGAGCTGAAAGACGAAGACTGTTCACACATCTCTGCCCAAAGCTCGAAGCGTGCAAACAAAGTGACATTCTGTTGAGCGAGTGGTAAGGAAAATAAGTGGAGTGAAAGGGAATGACTGTCCATGAAAGAAAGGGCGTCTGCGCCGAAACCGCCTTGAAAGGGGAGTCCTGACCTGGGTCGAGGAGCACCCCGGGAAGTCTGAAGAAACAAACCGGTCACGGCGATGCCAACCCATGCTGCTGCTGCTGTTGATGTCGTTGTAGATCCGGGCTGATACTGCCCCTTGTCGGCGTGGCACTATCGTCTCTAGTCACGAAACCATTGACGTAGCTTCTGGGGTGGTCCGCTGCGCTACCTATCCCCGTCTGCCGTCCTGCTGCTGCCCCGGCTTGTCGATCCAACCCTACCTGTGGCGGTGACGCATGTCCACCACTACCATTGCTCAACATCGATGTCGGCGGTGGTGACAGCGTCTGCCCCGACGACTGCTGTTGCGTCGGGTAATGCACCGCATAGTTCGATCTGGACTGATTCCTCTCCAATTCGGCCTGCAACTGTCTCGCCAACGCCGACGTCTCCACGGGAGTCTGTTGGGGCGTATTCGCAGGTGCAGCTTGAAAACCCCATCCAGGGTTGCTACTGGAACTCGATTGGGATCCCCACGATCCCGGCCCCCCTCCTCCACTACCGCCGAAGAACGACTGTGGGTATAGCTGCTGCTGTTGCTGCAAGTGGTATGGTTGACTGCTAGAGGAGGAGGAGAGCATCGCTACGTCCGCATCCAGGGATGACGCCCCTGGTGGTGGTTGGAAGCGACGTGTCGAGGGACCAGCGGCTGGGTTGGTGGTGTGTTGGGGTGGGAGCGACATCTTGAGCGTATCGCGGATCTCGTTGAGGTCGTTGCCGCGATCGCCGGCGTGGAAACCGTGCTGCATGGACCCGATGAGGTCGTCCATGTTGAGCGCCATTGTGATGGATTCGGGGCCGGAGAGAACGGATTGAGGGCAGTGTAGGGGTGGCCAAGATGGATGGAAGAAAGTCGTGCGGGATGAGGAACGGTCGACGAGGAGCTTGTTTGATCTCGGTGTCGAATGCGAAACTGCACCTCGACGGTGTGAAGGACGTAAGGATGCGCCTCCTTTGACAACCGTTCTGTTCTTCAAAGACGGATGCTGCCACCGCAGTACTTGTACCGGCCCAACGTATCAAGCCTCCACAAGTAGACCTTCTTTTCCCGTAGAGGTGTAGCAGGGCGGCCTTGAATCCAAGTCGATCGGTGTCCAAAAAAGGTCAACGCAGCCTTCCAGTAGCTTCAGACGTCCCAACTCAAAACGTGTCGTAGTCGTTATCGTCCAAGCAAAAGGGATCGAGAGGTAGATGAAGTGAGTGGATGGTGTGTGAATCGCTTCGACTTTGCTCGAGCTGCGCGTGATATTCGCTTTGTTCCCTTTCCCACTCTCTCTCACTCTCTCTGGCAGAGTGCCCCTCTCTGTGTGCTCCGAGGGTGCGCGTTTTTTAGTGTGGGCTGATGCGGGAATTGCGGCGCGGGCGGCGAGTGGAGCACCCGACCGACCCTTGCACAGGAAAGGGAAAAAAGCACAGAATGAAAGCGCTGTGTCGTGCTGCACAACACACGGCTCCGTTCGCCTCCATCCGGACCCCGGCAATCTGGCGGGCACTTTTTTCAGCTGAAGAGAGCAGTTCATCGCGGCACTCTAACAATGAATGCTTTTTGGGGGCGCACCGGATCCTCGGACCTGTCCTTCATCAAGTCTCGACTTCATGACAACAACACAATGCTCTTCGACTGCTGTACACTAGTGTCATGAAATATGCAATGCGGACAAGAGCGAGTATATGGAGATAGTCCGTGTTCGATTAGGTCTCGTGTTGCATCTCGTGAAACCGCTTGTGTGCAACGAGCATGAACGGCTTCAGCGCTTCACCGCACTGCTCGCATTGCACCGAGTCAGGATCGGTTTCAAAGGTGTCGCCTCGTTCCATGTCGTCTGACAAAGGAGAGGACGAATGATCCGGTGATCGGGGCGGAAGCCCCGAGTCTGGGTATTCTTCGTGATCGTGCTGCATCCATATCTCCATTCCATCACCGCACACGGAGCATACCAACCCCGCAGTCGTGGCAGCTTTGCTCTTTCCTTTGTCTTTGGCGACCTCGGTCGCATCGGCCAATTCGACAGCTGCTCCTACCTCACCCGACGAAGCGAGATCGATGCCGTACTCCAACGCAATCTCTTCCCTCAGATCTGAAGGTAGGCTGGCAAGGAAGCTTTCGTCCAACTTCGCTTTCTCCTTGATTCTTCCATGGTCGTTGGCCGGCATCGGTCCTGCGGCGAAGAAGCTACCAAGCGCTCTTTGCGGTCGCTTCTCGCTGAGCTCCAGCGCGGCAATATTGATGAGATTCATCCCGTCTCCAACCACATCGTCGCCTCCAATCAGCGCACGCAGCAAACCCTTGCACGCCTTTGCGATCGCTGCTGCTCGTACCTCCCTCGGTTGATCAAGCTCAAAGATCTCGACGGGCATCTTGGTCTGCTTCGACACGCGGTTACTCCAGCCCTGTCGAACACTCAACCGCACCTTCATCGGATACCGCAACCACCCGGCCTTGGTTGCGGCTGCTGTTGGCGGCTGATCTTGGTAGTCTCGAATCGTCACGGTCTCGTTCTTGATTGTCGTTTCTTGGCTGAGCGGCTTGGGCTGCTCTTGCACCGCTTGATGCTGGGTGGTGAGCTCCAGCTCGAGCCTTCTGAGCAGAGACAGAGATAGGCGCCCGATCTCTTTGTGAATGGCAGGCCCACGTAGACTCGGATACGGATAGGTGTCCTCTATCGACAACTGAAGTGGAAAGTCGGGTGCCGGAACAACTGGCTCCGCATCGCGTCCACTGACCAATGCCCACAGCCTGGGACCGATCACCTCGCCAAAAAGATCCATCATCTGTTCCAGCGACAGCATCTTTCTCGCAGCACCGACTGACACCTTGACTTTCGCTTTCTCTTCTTCATCGTCAGAGGCGCTTGTTGGATCCATAAAGTTCATGCGCGGTCGCCCGCTGCTCTTTTCGTTCGAAGCGTTCGAGTCCGGATTGAGATGGTCTCGGATCTTGTCCACCACTACTCGACCGAAGCCGGGCAGCTTGCGAAGGTCCAGAGGGTCTAAGAAGGCAGTGGTGTGTCGCAACAGATTCGATTCGACGAGACTGGGCCCATTGCGATGTTTTGGGCCTCCACCTACAATCGGAGGGCAGAACGACGTCTGTTGATTCGGTTTGTTGAGCGCTCCGATGAGCTTTGCTAGCGACTTGCTCGGAGCGATTCCGGCGGAGCACGTCAGCCCGACTTCGTCCGATATGCGCTGTCGGATGTAGTACGCTAGCCTGGCGGCCACCAGCACACGCTCCTGCCACCAGTCTGGCCGGCTCTGTCCCAGATGCTGTGCTGCTTCGCTCGGATGCGTGTGTCCGGGTGGATCAGCGGGCCACGCTTGATACTCGAAACCGTAATCCTCTAACCTAGGGCTTTGATTGGGTGGGTTGAGATCGAACCATTGACCTGACCCTGCGCCTTTGCGCAAAGTGTTGAGATGGTGATCGATCATGTCGGTCACATCACAGAACAACTCGTCCATGCCCAGCTTCTCGACCCGCTTTTCCCAAACGATGGACCTGACCAGTCTCCAGACCTGACTAGAGACCTGTCGAAAGTAGGTAAGATCCTCTCCGTTGACTAGCACCATATCCGGACATTTTTGGAGCGCATCCTTGATGCTGTCGAGCTTGGAAACGCCCGCTGCACGAGCCTCGTAGCTGATGGTGGCAACGAGCGCCTTTTGCTGGATGCCGATGGGGATGCCAACGAGCGAGGGGTCTCTTTTTCGGCAAGCAGAGACGTAGAAGGCGTCCAGATCGAGAGCGATGATCACTCGGGAAGCGAGAAGAGGAACATCTGCGCCATTGTCTGATGCAGACGGCGAGATTCGCTGACGCTGCCGCTTAGCGTGTCTGGAAGGAGAACCATCGTTGTCTCCGTCACCGAAAGGGCTGATATTGTAGCTTTTCGTAGGCTTTTTGAAGGGTGAAGTAGAAGGGCTGCGCCCCGTCATGATATCTTGACTCTGCGGTCCTGCATGTTCAGACAAGGCAATACCGGCCTCGGTGATGCAAGATGTACAGGGTCAGTGATGGTATGGTTGATCAGTCAATCGCAAGAGTCGAAGTTCGGATGCTGTACTGAGCTTCACTAACCAAAAATCGCGCGTCCGTGCTTTCGAAGCCGAATTTCCTCCACACTTATGGTCGCACGACAACGGTATGCGGCCTGCCACTGCGAAAAAAGGGCGGCCACTCGCGGCTCTCCCTAACTTTTGCGATAAGTGAGCAACAGGTTCTCAGAGGTCGCATGGCACAATCTGGCTGTACGGCGGTTCGGGGCTCGTTGCGAATACACTGTAGTGGCACTTGTCCTTTGACCACAGCTATGATGCACGCAACGCCGTAGTCGACACATGATTAAGATCTAATCGAGATCCTGTGTAAATGAGCTTAGAGTGGTATTGCAGATCGTCTAAGAGAGGTAGACGTATTTGTACGAGACATAGGCGATGAGGCATGCGAGAGGGATGAACATGAACAAGGGGCTGTTTGAGAAAGCACAAGGAGGTATGGTGTCAATATAGCTGCTGATGCTTTGCGGGCGTATTGCTGATTGGCGCGAAGGGCCACGCGCCGTCCGAGTCGACGCTATGGTGTTTACTCACTGGCTGTTGACGTTTGTGTTGTTCTCGTTGGTCACGGCGCCGCTGGTGGTCTTGATCTTCTGAGTCTGTGAGTGTTGTAAGGGGAGAAAAGGAAAGTGGTTAGCTCGGCTGAAATCTCTTATCATAGGTACGTTCTGCGTCGCTGCCGCTTCTGTCCGGATGAAGCCTCCTCGCTCGGCCTCGATAGCAGCACAAGCCAAGAGTCGACAGACACGGAGATAGTAGCTGCCCCAGAGAGAGGAAAGAGTGGTACAGCTTGCAAAAGGGGATACTTACGCCGCCCTCGAGCTCGCCGACGAGCATGGGCCCAAGGAGTGCACGTGCATCCTCAGAGTGTCCGACGTCCTCGAAAGCCTCGGTGGCATCCTTGCCGGCCTCGGTGATCAGCACTTCGTCACCACCGGGGTGCTCGTCCATGAACTTGCTGACGTTGTAGACCTTGCCGTCGATGAGCAGCCAGAGGTCATCCGAGGAGTCGTGCTTCTTGAGCTCCTCCATGGTGATCTTCTTGGCGTCGGACTTGTTCTCGGTGTCGGACATTTTTGCGAGTGTAACGGTGGGGTGGGTGACCGGTTGATGGAGCTATGTGGGGTGAGAAGAGGCGGATGGTGTGGTGGAAGAAGAGACATGGAACGCAAGCAAGGTCAGTCCAACTGTCCAACTCACCCTTCCTCTCACGCAGAGAGCGGTTCAGCATTTCCATGCGAGCACCGCCAAATCAAAGAAATCGTCAATGCACCCACACGCACTTTTCTCCGAAAATGTTTTGAAAGGCTTGGGGGAAACCAGGGTCGGAGAAGGCTATACCAGATCAGGTGGAAATTGCCGAGCCTCAACGACGCAAAGTGGTTTCGGCTCCCCCGTGCGAGCGTGTTGCGTCGACTGCAGCCGCCTGCTGCTGCCTTCTTTTGCAAGACCAGAAAATTGTGCGTGAAATCTTTTTGGCGCTCGTCACCTCCTCTCGCTGGAAGAGGTGGACGATGCTTCTCTCTCTGTGTCCAGGCTGAAGACGCTGTAAGCAGCTATTTTGTTTTGGAACGTGAAATCGAGCCTTCTGCGTCGAGCTGAGCCTGTCTTCTTCTTAATCCCTCCGCACGCCTATTACAAATCCTGTACTGGTCAAACCAGCTCGCCATTGGACAGATCGTCGCTGTGTGTGTTTCAACCCCGCCTTTCGATATTGATCCGCTCCTGGTCCGTGTGGGGGTCCGGTCGCGATGAGCCTCTTACAGGACCGCGCAATGGCGCTCCTTGGGACCCTATTACGTTTTCAAGACGGCGTAATCTTGGTGCATCCGTACGTGACGCCACACCCGGTCGACCTCTGTATCTTCGCGGGGCATCGACGCGCTGATCGCCGACAAACTTGCCCCTCGTTACGAATTTTGAAAACTTCGCTTGCAACCGTACCTTCCCTCTCGTTGCGCGGTCGCCTGCATGGTTCGTTGCCAGGCACCCGACTGCTGTGCGCATGGCAGAGTCGCTAGCCCTTCCCCGCATCGGCCTTCTTCTACTCACACCATCCATCTATGTTGCGTTACGATCCCCAGCTTTCACCCCCAGTCGTATATGTTGGCTTACGCCATGATCCTCCCCTCCCTCCTTGCTTCCACCCATCACGACCTCCCTCTGCGAGTCTCTTTACATGAACGCGATTGTTCGATCTTGGTCTCGATGCTGCATGTGCACCTCGGCTCCCGATGGCGTAGCACTCTCGACCTTCTTGAGAAAGATTCAAAAAGCAAAAGTGACGACAGAATTGGGGCATAAAAATCGTGAACACCAATTGAAGGGGAAAAAAGAAGCAAAACAGAAGCGACCCCAGGCGGGCTCGAACCGCCGACCTCAGCATTAACAGTGCTACGCTCTAACCAACTGAGCTATGGAGCCGGAAGCGGGTGCGCTGATGTCACGTCACGGGAAAGTTGCAAATATATACCCATCGAGTTGAGACACGCTTCTGAGAGCTGTTGTGGAGACGAAGAGAGAACAACACCAAAGTGAAACATGCTGGCGAGCGGAAGGAATACAAGCTTGACCCGCTAGGACTATGCCTCCATTTCTTGCTCGTCTACCTCTTCTTTACCGCTCTGATCACGCTGCTTCGAGGCCGCAATTCGCCAATGTGCTCGTAGGCAGTCGTCCCTCATCTCGCACGTCGGATGCGCCAGCCACAGGGCTGCGATCTCGGAGGCGCATTCGGCCTTCTTGCTGGCACCCTCCGCTCCAGGTCGGCAATTGGTGATCGCGCTGTTGTGACGTCCCGTCCACCCGGCGCTGCCTGTGCGGACTCATGGGGCTCCTCAACCTTATTCTCAAGGCGACCGTCCTGGTCCTCGATCTGCGCGATACATACGACGCTCTCGATTCGCCCAAGATCGATGAAATCGGACGCAACGAGCGGCAGGTGCTCGTACGCAACGCCGAGGATGGCACCAAGCAGCTGACCATGCGCAAGCGCGTAGGCACCACCAAGCGAAAGGCGGCCGTCAAGTCGGCACTCACCACCGTGCTAGTCTGGAACCTCTTTCACAAGGTCGAGCCCATATGCGATCGCACCATCGCCTGGTTCGTGCCATTCTACGACTCGCTCAAGACGCTCTTGCTAATCTGGATGCTCTTCACGAGAAGCTACGGCGCTTCCATCCTGGTCTATCGCCTACTGGCTCCCGTCGTTCGCCCATACGAGCCTATTATCGACAGCATCTTTGGACTCTCGCTCTCGCTTCTGGCCTGGTTCGCAACACTCCTGGCTCCGCTCACCAACCATTGCTCAAGGTTACTACAACGTGTAAGGGCTTTGGTAGGACAAGCTGCACAGCCTCAGCGGGAGCCATCGATGCCAGTCAATGCCATCAACAAGCATCCACGACGACAGGTCCCTGGTACATCAATACGAGAGCAAGCCAAGAAGAAACCTCCTCCACCATCCGTTCCGCCTGCCTCGGTCAAGTCCTCTCCGTCCTCGGCAGGCTCTTCGCTGAGACACAATGGCTCACGACCGCAATCACGAGCCGGCCCAACAAAAACGTCCCGAACTCTTTCGGAGAAAGCATCACAGAACAGTCTCTCAGCCACACATCGGGTCCTTCAGGAGCTTCCAGTGCCTAGGCATGACTTCGAGTCGAGCGCACCTGCCGCGAGCACATCGACCTCAGCTTTGGCTTCGACGTCGGACACGGCTCCTCCCAAGGGCAAGCTAACCAGCGTCAAGACGGAGCCAGCCGAGTCTAGCGTTGCTGTCCCTGCTGCGCCTCTGGGTCCGCCGCCGACACCGCCGACTGGCCTCCACAATTACGCATTCATTCCGGGACTGACACCGCAACGCTCGGGGCCAGCCTCGCTGGTCTCGCCGACGCCTCGCTTTCCAGGTGGCTTCGCCTTTTCCTTCGCTGCTCCTCACGTTTCTGGGTCCAATGGTGCTCACGCTGTCCCTGGGCAGGCCCGACTACCCGCTACAACCCTGATGGCGCCGCTGTCCATCTCTTCCTTGCAACCCGCGGCGCCTGCGAGTCGATCCAATCTACTTGGCCTGCCTGGTAGTTCCGCAAGCAGCATATCGACTCATGAGAGCGTTGATTCGGCGCAGGATGACCGAATTGTCCCTCCACCTATCGGACACGCCGGTATTCGCAAAAAGCCGTCCTCGCGATCCCTCAATGGTAAGGCGGCCGGTGGCCCTGGTCTGAATGCAAGCAGAACGGCACCGACTTTGAATTCCAAGAAACGAGTTCGTTCCGACGAAAATCTGGACGGTCAAGAGGTCTCAGCAGGAGAGGCGCAATCGAGATCAGGCTCGCCCAGGAAGCGCGTTAAGTCTGTCGCCGGAAAAGGTACGACAAGCAGAGACGCAGTACACTCGGCCACCACCGAAGCTCGGACAAAGACGAAAGCAAACGGTACGAACGGAAGCAGCACGGCAACGGGAAAATTTTCTGTCCAGCGTAAGAAAGCTGCGTCCAAAAGCACTTTGCAAAAGTCAGGGACGGACAAAGTAAAGGCGGCCTCCACCGGATCAGATCCTAGCACCAAATTTGACGAGGCAGCGTCGTCCATCGACACACCGACCTCGACGACCGAGAAGACGAAGATCACAGCGACCAAGCGGAAAGCGACAACTGCGCAGATGTCAACGCAGCGTTTTCTTGCAAGGAAGGCGCCAAGCTCGATCAAGTCTCGTAGTCAGTCGGCGGAAGCAGCAGAAGCATCCGAGCCTCCGCAGCGCCTTACTCGGAGTCGGACCCGACAGAATTTGGCCGAGTAGTGCAGTTTCAAATAACCATGGCCCTCCTCTTCGCATTGCATTGTATCGTATCGCTCAATGACAGCTATTGACATACTGAAGACACCCCTAAGTACAGGCAAGATCTCTTAACCAAATGATTCGTATGTAGTCTAAGGCCTGATTTTCCGGCCGGAAGTACGAACGACCTCCACGCTGAGTTTTCTCGGAAGATGGAGAAAAAAAAAAGAAAACAAAAAGAAAAATTGAAAAATCCCGACTTCGGCATGGACTACTGGAGGAAAAAAGCTGAAATGCGTTTTCCGTTCGCAAAGATGATTTTGTCCCTCTCCTTCTACTTACCATCACTTCGATCGCAACACAACTCAGCGCTATCTAGTGTGGCTGCGAGGGCGTGGTATCTGATGCGTCTCTCTCCATCATGAATCGCTCAATCACCGGCGCTTGGGCCAACCAGCGCAACAGGATATCGCTGAACAGCCCGCTCCCCCCTTCTTCGCCTTCTTCGAGTGCGACTGCGTCCAATATACCCATCCCTCCCCCTCCCGGATCAGCCGCAGCCGCAGCTCTGGCCAGGCAACAACAAGCCCAAGCTCAACAGAATGGTGAAGGGTCGGCAACAAGCAACGACCCGGCGGACGCAGCCGCCGCCGCAGCGGCATCTCCGATAGCCAGTGGTTCAGCGCCTAGAACACGGCAGAGCTCTCCCAATGCTACCTTGGTCGCCTCCAGCAACTCGCCCGTCAAACGCAAGTCGCGCTCTTCGCGAATCGATGGAAACGGCGCTGTCGGCTCCTCCGGCACATCCTCTTCCTCGAAACGACCCAAAGGTCTTGTCTCGAAACTTATGAACACCGCCGAGAAGTATACCCCTCCCGCGACTCGCCTCGCTGATCTCGGCGGCATCTCCAATGCTATCGAAAAGATCTTGGAGCTCATTGCAATGCCATTGTGCCACCCAGAGATCTACGCTCATACCGGTGTCAAGCCACCACGAGGTGTTTTGCTGCACGGTCCTCCCGGTTGCGGTAAGACCATGCTCGCTGGCGCTGTAGCCGGTGAGCTCGGAGTACCATTCCTCTCCATCTCGGCGCCCTCGGTCGTCTCTGGAACATCAGGGGAGTCGGAAAAGACGATCAGAGACACATTCGACGAGGCCGCTTCGATCGCACCCTGCATCCTCTTCATCGACGAGATCGATGCCATCACACCAAAGCGAGAGACCGCACAGCGAGAGATGGAACGCCGTATCGTAGCTCAGCTGCTCACGTCGCTCGACGACCTCAGTTGGGAAAAGACAGATGGAAAGCCAGTCATGATCATCGGCGCAACAAACCGACCGGACAGTCTCGATCCGGCACTAAGGCGAGCAGGACGTTTCGACCACGAAATTGCCATGGGTGTCCCAGACGAGGACGGACGCGAACAGTAAGTTTTGACCTTCGACCGCGATCTTTGCTCCTCTTTTCACAAGAGCTCGATGTTGTAAACAGGCTGTGACTTGCATGATGCAGAACATACACAATGCGCTAGCGGCAATGGGCCGTTTTGTGCGTGTTGGCCTTCGGGCCTCCCATTCAAGTCCCTGATCTCACAGCTCTGTCCACAGCACAGCACTCACTTGCTTCTCGCAGATACGCGTGCGCCTCAATGAAACGCCGAGCCCGAGCTGACACAAATTGCATATCTTGACTTTCATTCCTCTCTTAAGAATTCTGCGGGTGCTCGCGCAAAAGCTCCGCCTCTCAGGCGACTTTGACTTCCGAGCTTTGGCCAAGTCAACGCCGGGGTACGTGGGTGCAGATTTGACCGCTTTGACATCCGCCGCAGGGATCATCGCAGTCAAGCGCATCTTTCAGCAGCTCAGCGAGTCCGATTCGCTACCGTCCAGTCTGTCAGCGGAACGTATCTCTCAGGCTATCGGTCTGAACGCCAGCGACAATCAACAAGACGCAGCAGCAGCAGGCGACGTTGATATGAATGATTCCGACCTGCAGACTGCTTCCGACGGTCAAGACGGCTCTGCCTCCGCTCAGACCGCGCCTGTCGCGAACGGCGCGGTTGTAGATGCGCCTGCCGACTCTGTGGGCCTCTCCGCCGGTGTGGCAACGCAGGCGTCAGCTGCAGAAGACGGCGCGCAGACGCCTGTATCAACCTCTGTTGCGCCATCGAACGTCCGCCCATCGGCCACTTTCTTCGATGCGCTCCCTGAGCACATCCGCGATTCTTCCATCGCCTCTTTTCTGAAAAATTATCCTTCGCCGCTAACCGACGCGCAGCTTGCGCCTCTCGCCATCACCAACGCCGATTTTCTGGTGGCATTACCGTCCGTCCAGCCTTCGTCCAAACGAGAAGGATTCGCCACCGTGCCCGACGTATCCTGGGCCGACGTCGGCGCTCTCCACTCGACGCGAGACGAGCTGTCTATGGCCATTGTGGAGCCCATCAAACGACCCGAGCTGTTCCGCTCGGTCGGTGTTTCCGCCTCTTCCGGTGTTCTGCTCTGGGGCCCGCCAGGATGCGGCAAGACACTTCTCGCTAAAGCCGTCGCAAACGAGTCTCGCGCCAACTTCATCTCGGTCAAGGGGCCGGAATTGCTCAACAAGTACGTTGGTGAATCCGAAAAGGCAGTGCGTCAAGTCTTTGCGCGTGCACGAACTTCTTCGCCCTGCGTTATTTTCTTCGACGAACTGGACGCCCTTGTGCCGCGCAGAGACGACTCGTTGTCGGAGAGCTCAAGCAGAGTGGTCAACACGCTACTCACCGAGCTCGATGGTCTGGAATCGCGCGTCCAGACGTACGTCATCGCTGCCACCAATCGACCTGACATGATCGACCCTGCCATGTGTCGTCCCGGTCGACTTGACAAGCTGCTCTACGTCGACTTGCCAAAGCCCGACGAACGATTGGAGATCCTAAAGACCATCACCAGCAAGACGCCCCTCAGTGATGAGGTCGATCTGCAGACTATCGCGTACGATGATAAGCTTACAGGATTCTCTGGAGCCGATCTGGCTGCGCTTGTGCGCGAAGCTGCTGTGCTGGCGCTGAGGGAAACTATCCTTTTCCGCAACTCTCAGCCTGCGTCGACGGTGACTCAGGTCAAGAAGGGGAAGAAGGGGGAGGAGGAAGGGGTGAGAGTGATCGTGATGCAATCGCACTTCGTAGCGGCATTGTCAAAGATCCAGCCTTCGGTGTCTGCTCAGCAGCGACGCAAGTATCTGTCGTTGAGACAAAAGCTGCAAGGTTCGGTGCCTATTGAAGGCGGATCAAGTGGGAATGGGAGAAGGGGACGATTCGAAGGTGATGGCGATGATAGCAATGCAGCTACGCCTGCTAGTTAATGGAAGACGGCTTGTAATTGTACCTTACACTTCCCTTTCGATCAAAATAAAGAAGATCATGGTCTGGCATTGCGGATCGTTTCAAGTGACATGACAACAAGCGTGAACAAGCGACCCGGCGGGCGTTCAAGCCCAACAAGCTTCGCCCTTAGAGCTGGATCGGCTCATCGTGTCCAGCGCACCAAACTTCATCCAGCTCCAAGGTCCACTTTGGCAAATGATAGATCTTGACCCTCGCACAACCGTGTTCCTCGGCCTTCTTGTCACCCTTGACCTTGTCCACGTGAATCTCCAACGTCTCGTCCAGAGTGACGATTTCACCTGCGAAGAGGACGAAGTTGGTGTCGCTACCGTCGATGAAACCGTGGAGCTTTCGAGGGCTGGGAGCGGAGAGGTACCGTTCGAGTTTGAGTTGCGTGTCGAAGCAGGCTTTGACGCGATGATCGTGTTTGGCAGAGGGACGGTGTTGATCGCAAAGAGAGTGGTAGATGTGGTTGTTGCGTTGCAGGCCGAAGGTTCCGGTGGGGTTGTGACAGCCGGCGGGGCCGCAGCCGGGTTGAGTGCCGGGAGCGGGGATGGGGATGTGGTTGGGGGAGGTCGAGGCGGGTAAGGCGATGGTGGAGGAGATCGCGAAGGTGACGAGAGCAAGGATGGAAGCGAAGTACATTTTGAGCGTCAGAGATTATGGATTGGACTTAATTGAAGTTAGGAAGGGTGAGTGAGGATGGAATGATCGGAGGTGAGCAGCTGAGCATGCTTATATGTTCTTGGACCCCGGTGGAGCTCAGGCCTGGACGGGCAGACTCTTGTTCGCGGCGGAGAGGCACAGCAGCAATCGTCAATTGTCGGACTTCCGCTGATGCTTTATACCTAATCAAATCACTCATGACCAGGCTTCCTCGGTCGGCGAAACCCGTTAATTGCTGTTGCGTCCCACACCTCTTCACTACTGTAGCACTACGGTGCGACATCGCGAGGTGATCCACAATTTCGGCCCACGAAAGCATGCGAGTGTGCCGATCCGAACGACCCTTTCGTTAGCAATCAGGAGGTCGTTTGGTCTCGATTGAATGAAAGCATTTCGACCGTTGCACGCGGTTCGATTGTGCAAGGTGGGAGAATGGTCAGACCCAGCCTCGCGCTCATCGGTGGGCTTGGACCTTCATAACGGACTTCTCCGGGATCCGGCATGTGTGAAGCGGTCAAAGCAGATGAACGTCGATTGTGGGGCACGAGACTCGCTTGGCGAGTGAGGACGGAGGACACCAATTCGAGCAAAGCGCAATGTTTCATCGGGAGTATGAGGAGCCCGGTCATCTCAACAGTCCTCTACTTCAGTACCGGGCGCTCGAGACTTATGATCTGAAAGATCACACCCAATCCATCTATACATATACATTGATATGGCTGACTGACCATTGCGCAGAGTGCACGAATTTTCATTATGTAAACAGAACACTGGGACGTCGAGCAAAGCTTAGCGGCAGTGAATTCGATCGTGTTCACTTCAGCCCGGGTCGCGAAAGCCCCGGATGCGGCTAGAGCACGATCGACCGAAACTGACCAGGGCACCAGTTCTCACGAACCTGAATCTCCCTTCCCGGCAATCGATACGCCAGAACATCAACGCAGCTTTTATCTTCCTCCTTGAGAGGCTTCTCTTTCTGATGCTCAACGTGGATCTCTAGATTATGCAACGTGACCACTGCATCCGGTCGCAGCATTAAACCTGATCAAATGTCAATCAAGGATAAATCAGCGTTTCTGTGTGAGGACAACCGTAGGGCGTAGTCTTTCGATCTTACGTTTTCCGGTGGCGTCGATGAAGCCAGACAAAGTGGTAGGTCTAGGATCGCGAAGGGCTGATGCAATGTGCCAGGGCGTTTCAAAGCAGGCTCGAGGAACGGGTGGGTTCAGTGGAACCATCGGGCCCTTATCACACAAGAGATGGTAAGCAACGTCGTGCGCGACAAGGCCGAAAGTGTTCCTTGATGAGCGATCCTCTGGAATCTTGCTTGAGCAGGTGGTGATGAGCTGGAACACAGCGAGGAGCTGGAAGAATGTGGTACGCATATTGAATATGAGAAACGTTCGGTACAAGTTCGCGGGGGCGGCGTGTCAGAGGGAGTGAACAGCGACCAGACATGCTCTCATATAAATGCTTGGGAAGGGGTACCAGGTTGGAATGCAGCTGAAGGCGATGGCGGAGAAGATACAGCTCAAGCACGATCGCCCATGCCAGGCTCCACGGTGCGCGCCTCTTCCAGAGAAAAGGCCGGAAAGGCTGCAACACCACCCCACTTCATCGCACAGCACTGACAACGTCTCGAGGAGGCAACGTGATGAAGCGTGGAGGTCGCTGCCTTCACTTCGGACATCTCCACATCTGATATAAAGACCTCGGACAGAGACTTTCCGACTCACTGCTTACTTCCCGTCCATCACCTTTCGAGCGGCCCTTCGCAGCAATGCTGGCCCGGATATTTTCGATTCATCGGATCGGAATCTCGTTGCTGGTGATTACATCGACGATCGCTTTGGCATCTTCGAGCAGCGGACTCTTCGTCAACACTTCACACGGTCAATCCGAATGGAGCCGGTACTGCTCCGGGTCAGCATCAAGATCAGCCGATCTCCAGCCGCACGCTTGCTTCACGATGCATGACGACGTGACGTCTGCCGCTCATTCTTCATCAGAGGGCCATCTTGGCTTTGCTTCTGCCTCCGGTCAAGGTAAGATATCGCTGCAGTGATTGTGAAAGGTTCTGTAGCTTACTGACCTTGGAGTAATTGTGCCTTGTTCCCGCCCGTTCCTAGACTTTGTCGTGATACCTCCCCATCAGGGTCAAGATAGCAAGGTCGAGTTCTTCGCCAGCGGCTTCTGGTTCTCGATTCACTTTTCTGACAGTCTCAAGTGTGCAAGAGTTGAGATCAGAGCTCCTGTCAGATCCCCCGCAAAGCCTGACAGACAGGATAAAGAGCGAGCGCTAGAACCCTTCTTAGAAGGGACGAATTGCGTTGGAACTAAGCCTAACATTTTCGCCCTGTGATTGGTTCTCACTGCTCTGAACGGGCACACTCTCAAGTTGGCATCTGTTTTCCCTTCTTCAAAGCCTTATCAATGCCATGGCTGCAGTGCAAATTCAAGATTTCACGAGGATGGAGTTGAATTGCCTTAAGACGCCAGACGGATACGAAGAACACCAAAGCCTCGGAGAATGTCACTGGGACATGCCCAATATGGCTGTGCGGGACTACAGGCTGATAGCTGGCTGACCAGAGCAGTAGATGCCGTTCTTGATCTCTTGACCATTGATGTTCTGGATATCGTAAGCCGCGCAGGCGTCTGGACCGGTGAAGTTGACGTTCACGATCCATGCACCATTTTGATACATGCCGGCCGTTTCGCTCTTGTCGCTCTGGAACATGACGAAGCCTGAACGGTCACACAACCATCAGAAGAACAGAATTGAATCGTTAGTGCAAAATCTCTCCTTGAGAAATCTGGAGCGTGAGGATACGTACTTGTGCCTGAGTTGTCGTGGAATCCGTGGAAGTTGGTGTGTTGAGCAATCACGGTGACATCCGAATCAGAGGCAAAGCAGACGTGGACAGGCGTCTTCGAAGGACCTGATCCGCACAAGGTGTCGTAGTTGAGATTCCTAGAACCCATGTCCCAGCCTGCCATGACGCTGCTCGAGAAGGCGGCAACGGCGAGCAGGAGATACGTCTTGATCATCATTCTGCTGGTTAGTATACTATTGTTCGCGCTTGAGAGGAGTGAGGATTGTAAGCTGTATTGAGCTATGAGCCGAACCAGCGTGACCATCCGACGGAAGTGCTTTCTTATAGGTCTCTCCGGGCGGCTCTATTTCTACATCAGATCGCAAGAGAATACTGTGGGACGACGCCTAACCAGTTGGACGACACAGTCGCGGCAAGTACGGAAACTTTGCTGCTCAAGATCAGGGAACAGCCGAGTCTGCACACAGCAGCGTCATCACGTTGAGTGACGTCGTGCATTGGAACGGACCTGTGGGCTTTGCGCCAGAGAATGTGACGAGGTAGCGGCACGGACTTGCTCCTTGTTACGCCAACAACTCGCCGCCGAACCCACTGTGTTGCACAGCCCTGAACAATGCCCGTCAATGATAGGTGGACATGCCGCTTGCTTGGTCCGGCAGCATCACTCTTCTTTCCTTAGGGACAACCCCGATTCATGCACTTGATGAAGTAGCCACACGTTTGGTGGCACTCCCACCAAACAAAGTGGGATGACCCGCCGCTGTCATCCTTCAACTCAACCTTCACCCACAATCTCGAGCTGTGACTTGAGCTTGGGCTCAAACAACTCGACACAACGTCCAATACATCTACGAGCACTGTGCAGGCTACAACGATATCATCCCGTAAAATTGCGGTCGCGGCCTTGTTGCGTGGGTCGAAGGTGGGATGTGCCAGCGAAGTCAGGTGAAGCAGCGGGTGGCAAAGGATCTCTCAAGAGATAGATCAGACCATTGTTTCGAACAGCGTTCTGGCAATTCCACTGGAAACTCTGCCCAAGCGTATATCAGCGGATATCTACAGCCCTGACACCAATAAAGGAGCTCGTGTTCTCGGCACTTCTTCTTTCCTCACTTATCCCAGACAAAACCCAACTCGCTTCCCCGTACTGACCATCAAGATCGACATGAATCGACTCACTTACCTGCTTCTCATTGTTACTGCCGCTGCGGCCGTTCCTAGAGCTTATGCCGGCTGGAATCCCCAGCAGCCACCGTACTATACTGTCGACAGCATCTGCCGACCATTTGGCATGAACGAAAGAAGGGCATGCTTCACGACAGACGTCGATGTCTCACAACCGAAAGCAGGATCCCACTTCAACGGATTCTTGTCCGAAGATGGCAAGCGTAAGTTCTCCACGGCTCAACCGCACTCCATTAGAGAGAATCAAGGCCATACGATTGACGTGCTTTTGAAACGCCTTAATCCGCGCGCGTGGAACAGAGTTTGCCATTTACGCAGACACACAGCCTGATTCGCTGCTCATCCTTGACGACTATACGATCAAGGTCACCTATCCAGACGACAAAGATCTGGAAGCCAGATACTGTGCTCAGGCGGGTGTCGCAACCAACGATGGTCAGCTGGTTGATTCGACGTTGTTCTGCATCGATTCCACATACTGGCTGCACATTCCCAAGCCTGTCAAGTAACGCTGCATTGCTGCTCGGCGGGGAAACACTCAAAGAGTCGAACCATGAGACTTTTCTATCAATAGATGTCGTTCTCGTTGCAGCAGTGATCGTGCGACTTGCTTGGATACCGGCTGCTCAAATTCTGCGCACAATCGAGAATTCTTTGCACAGCCCGGACCACCAGATCACCATTTGATATGAGCACGCCCCACTTGTGTTGCAGAGCCTAATCTATGGTTCCGCTGCAAGTGGGTTGACCCACTACACACTGCCACAGGGGTGTCGTTGGAGTCACCCACCTCGCTGCTGCCAAACATTTTCGCGCTGGTACCGCCGGTGGATTGGAATGAAGTTACAGCAGGTCTTGATCGGCACTTTTCCCTTCCCCTCTCCTCTGGGTATATATACATTCCACTAACCCTGTCCTTCGCTCTCTGGCCCTCACAGATCCACTCACATCTCTTTCTCACTCCCAACCATGAAGTCTCGAGTTCTCTCCTTGGCCCTCGCCGTGATGCTGGCCTGCACCGGCGCATCTGCCGGTCAATGGCTCAAAGTGTCCCCCGGCAATAGCTTCGCTGACTACTGCTCTTCCAGCGGATCCAAATACAACCAGCACCACATCTGTATCGCCGCCTCGTCGTCTTTCCTCCATCGTCTCGAAATGAACCAATCCAAGTTCCAAGGCTTCTTGGCTCCTAATGGTCAAGGTAAGGTTCCTCGACAATCTTCGATCAAAGATGATAACGATACTGATGTTCAAGAATGATTTTTCTCCAGACTTTGTCATTCTTGATGAGGGTGACGACACGATCCTGTTTACAAAGGATTACGGAGTCGCACTGTCGTTTGCGGAGGTCGGTACGCCGGGAGTGGCGGATCCCGGATGCGTGATGGTGACAATTTCGACGCACGAGCAGCATCCGAAGGCGAAGCTCCAGCAGACGGTTTGCAGGGGTGAAACTTTCACCATTCCCAGCTGGGTCTGAGCGAGGGCTCGATGGAGAGATGTTTGGCTCAGGTTCCATAAACTTTTGTAGATGACACTCGCATCGTAATGCATGTCGAGCTCTCCTTAGACAGTTTCAGGTTTCCGATGCAACTCACTGCTTTCACCCCAATCACGTCTGCGATAGACAGCACTGAGCAACCGTCTCGCATTGCATCTTGGACAGATGGCGATTCTCAAAGGTCAACCGTACCCTACCATCACAGTGCAAACGTATGCGAACGATCCGGGTTCTGAACATCCATAACCTGGTCGTTCGACAATCCTGCTCCCATATCCTTATGAATCGTCACGTGAGCTTTACCATCACCACCCCAGGCAATATCGACTTGACAATCTATCGTGGTCAGCGAGAGGCTTTCTCCTGCACCGTCTCCCCGAGGAACCAGGGCGAAACCTGCTTTCCGGACAAAACAAGGGAGAATCAGACATTTGTGGGACCGAGAAAAGCGGGAAGAAAGGACCAGACGACCTACCGGTTCCATCAGCATTAGCATAGCCTTGATAGACACCTCCTATCGCAGTCATGGTAATGTCGAAGTTGTAGGTGAAGCAAACGTATTCACCAGAAGCCTTGGTTCCAGGGGCGCAGCGAGAGGCGTACTCGGCGGGTCCGTTGGCGAGCCACTGCTGAGCAAAGGCGAAGGGAGGGAAGAGGCAGGAGATGAGGCACAGAGTCAGGAAGAGTTTGCTGAGCATGTCGTCCGTTTTGCAAGATGTGTTGAGGCGGTTTGTTGGGTCTGGACGGGATGATTGACGTAAAAGAGATCGAAGAAAAAACGATCGATATATATGTTGCTTCAGCATCGAGCGGTGCGATTGATGGATTTTCGAAGGGCGGCGACTGTATGGCTCGCACGGACGATGTGGGACGTGCATGACCCGCGGGTCAAAGGGCAGGCAGGACAGTGGGGTGACCAGCCAACCGACAAACAAATGAGGTACTGTATGCCCACTGTCGTCGAGATGATGTTTGATGGCATTCCGGGGGGACCTCTCAGCGCTCCCCACCGGTTGCTCGTCACCCTAAAGCTTCGATACGTCATGCAAAAGGTAGTCCTACATCCTGCTCGGCGTTTCCCCTAACCCTCTTCTCCGATTTGACCAACCTTGCCTGGCAGGCGACGGTCTGCCCTCAAATCCTCACAACAGCCTGAACCTGCACAAAGCGTCGCACGTTAGGCAAGCACCCCTACAATCGTTGCGAGCATTTGTGTATCTCTTTGTTTGTATTGCGTCTTCTACGGCTCCATCTCGACCCCCCTCGTGGCACCTTTCACCCTCATCTGCCCAGGCTCATCGCTCCAGTCCATCAACAACAGCTCCAGCCTCACGGTTGCAGCCTTGACATACGGCTTGTCATCGGCGTGCTTCCACCATCCCGCCCTCTTCCCCACCACACCTTCCTTCAACAACAAGCCGAAGATCTTGCGCATCTGTTTGCCGTACACCTTCAAGGCGTACTCGCCCGCGATCTCGATAAACACCGACCAGATGGACGGACACATCGGGTGATCTAAAAACGCGTTGCTCGAAGACGAGGGGGTGATGGCTCTCACCGTCCACCTCCAGATGGTTGTTGAGCGGAAGTGCAGTGGTATTCTCTCCACCTCCAGCGCCGTGGCACCCGGTGGAGTGGTGGGAGTAGTTTGCAGGATAGCAAAGTAAAACGCAACAATTCCATTCATCCGGTTCGAGTAGTTCTCCGTAGTTTCTTCCTGCGTCTTGTAACCCATCACCTTGCGATACCCCGCTTCATCCACATCCCTCCCCCTGCCAGGCCAAACAGCCACAACCCACGGACACTTCTTACACAACCTACCCATCAACACCTCTCCCAACTCCACATGTCCCAGCAGCAACAGCCACACCACAACGCGTGCCAGCGGGTAGGCGGTATCCTGCTTAGCAGCAACCTCTTGTTCGGCTTGCCGGATGAGACACTTGGAAAGATGGTTGAGGATCCACGTGTAGACGTGGCTTCCGGTGGCGGAGGATGCCTGCTTGGCAGCGTCGAGGACGGATGCGATGGCGAGGGTGATGCGTGTGATTTCTTGACGAGAGTTGGTCAGTTGACCGATCTTGGGTGTGATCTGCCGCTTGGCTGCGAAACATTGTTTCCTCAAATCCGGATTGGCAGAGATGGTGGGGAGGACGTCGCTTTTGATGTGACGTATCTTGGTCATCCATTCGTCATACTCTTGAAGGGCAGCTTTGCGGATATCGTCACCGGTACCACCCATAGCACGAAGCTTCTCCTGCTCTGCTGCGTCTTGCTTTTGCTTGGCAGCTTCGGCTTCCTGTTGCTTTTTGCGTTGCTCAGCTTCAGCTTGTGCGGCCTTCTTTTCGGCTTCGATTCGATCTAGTTCTGCTTGTCTCGCTTGGGCAGCTTTGCGCTCGGCTTCTTCCTGCGACTTGCGAGCTGCTTCCAAGCGTGCAGCTTCTGCGGCTGCTGCTTTGCGTGCTTCCGTCTCGGCCGCGAGGATGCACGCATCGATGCCGGACCAGAGGTCCTTGTTGCGCGCCTCGAAGGCCCTTTTTACCTCTGCTTCTTCTTCGGTTCGACGCATGTTGAGGCTGGATAGAAGGGCTTGGACTTCATCGACGTCGGTATCGGGGGCCAGCGCCGCTGTGGCTGAGCGTGATCGAGAGGTGCGTGCCGAGGTCGCGTCGGGACCCGAGGCGTCGCGCTTGGTCGCTCGAGCCCGATGCCAGGCGAGTTGGGCAGAGTGGCGATTCCACTCTTCCCAATCATCGCCGGCGATGGAAGCGAGGTTGACTGCAGGAGTACTGCCTCGCCGACGTGATGCTTTGGATCGACTGCTTGTGCGAAGCGGGCGTGAGGATGACGAGACGAGGCCATCGACAGGCCAGGGTGATCCTTCGCTGTCCGATGAATCTTCTTGGTCGTATGGCGAGGTTTGAGGCGACGAAGAGCCATCGGAATCGTCAACGTCATCACCACTGGCGTCCTCGTCTGAAGAGGAGAGAGCCGCATGATCTTCATCGGATGAAGCTAGGTCGTCATCGAGCTGCTGACCGCGGTGCAGTTGGCGGGAAGACCTCAACCAGTGTGGCAGGGCCGCAGTCGCTCTCGGCGTTGTTTGAAGTTGCAAAGACGACGGCCCAGGACTACCAGCAGCGAGTCTGGAGGACGAAGCTGAGGGAGATGGCATTCCGACGAGCTCGAAGGAAGGTGTGGCACTGCGTCGGCGAGTGTGATTGTGAGGCGAAGAGATCGAGGGGACAGAGCGAGTGCGGCTGCGCGGTGTGTCCTGCTCCGTCTGCTGCTGCGCATTTTGCATGTTTGGGTCGTCATCTTGATCGCTTTCGTCTTGGAAGCGTTGCCGACGCTGGCCGTTGAATGCGGTGGAGGTGTAGGAGGATGTGTGACGGAGAATACCCTTCCTTGTGGGTGTCTGGGAAGATGTCGAGGAAGAGGCAAAGTTGTGTAGATGCGTCGCTTGCTTGGCACGGGAGAGCGCCTGGTGCGGAAGCGACGTTCGCACGACGGTTGGAGATGACTGCTCGTCTGCTGAGACGTCGGACGCAGAGTCGAGCGTGAACCTCATCTTCACCGCCGCTCGAAGAAGATCACCAGAAGCTACACGCGGCAGCTGAGCGGTGCGATGAGGTCGATCGATATAGCAAATGCGGATCGGAGGGTGGTGATGAGGTCGAAGAAGATGTCACAGAATCAGTCGGTGATGGAGCGTGCCATCTGTCAAAATGCCAATCAACCACCTCGTCCGTTTTTCACTACTACAGATACTGAGGTCTAACAGTGCGGCCAAATTGAACTTGAATTTCTTCTTGTTTTCCTGCTCTGCATGAGGTTTGCCACACTCAAAAAGAAAGCGACACACTCGGCGGCTATGCAAGTTTCGCTGAAACCCCGCATGGGATTGATTCACTCTTCTTCTCGCACTGTCTACACCAGCTCTGTCCTCTCCTCGCATCCTGGCTCACCCGCCCAACACGCATGCATAGCATTAAGCCGCTCCTTCTCCGTCTGTACGCTCCTTCTTCACCTTTCCGCTCGTTCCTCCAATATCGGACTTGGGCTGCATCACCCAGCGCTCGCAGGTCGAGCTCATCACCGACATTTGTCCTGCCACTGTCACGACCATTCAGCAACATGCCCACCTCTCACAAGCTCGCCAAACCGGACAAGCTCAGTTACGACGACCCCGAGCATGCAGACTTCTTCGGCCCTCGACCACCGCCCGGCTACTCTTCGCTTCGTGCAGCTGCCTCGCAGATCCTACTTCCATTGACCGTATCCAACAAGTGTGGACAAGCATTTCGATGGCGGCGCAACAAAGTGTGGCAACCTCTGCCTGCTTCCACAACGAGCGCCAACGGTAGCGGCGCACCTCACGAAGAGCAGATCGAATGGTCTCTATGTCTCTCCGATCGAGTGGTGCTGCTGCGTCAGGACGAGCATCGCGGATTCATCTACCACCGGACGTTGCTTCCATCAAGCGACGATTCGGAAAGCACGAACATGGAAGCAAGCGGAGAGACCGTTCGCTGGCTCACAGATTATCTCAGCCTCGACGTTCCTCTCGAGTCGCTGTACGCCGAGTGGTCGGAAAAAGATCCGGTGTTCGCGCGCTTCGCAACACGATTCTCTGGTCTGCGCATGTTGCGGCAGGACCCGTGGGAGTGTCTCTGCGCGTTCGTCTGCAGTTCCAACAACAACATTGCTAGGATCGGCCAGATGGTGCAGAATCTGTGCACGCACTTCTCACCGGTGATGTTGGAACACTCGTATCCTGCGCCGCCTCCGGCTGTCAAGGTGGAAGAGGGAGATGCAGAGCAAGGCGAAGTGAGGATAGCGTTCCACCCATTCCCGCCACCGGAAGCGTTGGCGAAGCCAGGGGTGGAAGAAAAACTGAGGGAGTTGGGCTTTGGATACCGGGCAAAGTATCTTGCGCGAACAGCGCAGATGCTGTGCGAACAACACGGTGGTGATGGCGAGTCGGGACCGATTCGAGAGAAGCTAGCCCAGCATCTGGATGAGAAGCACTGGTTGTACGGGATCAAACCTGAAGAAGACTTCCGTAACCAGCAGCTATCGCCGCCGCTTTCAGCCGACGAAGGGTATCCACCACAAGAACCCTTGGAACCGGCCAGGAAACGTGTTCGACAAACCCGCCGAAGCACCACCAAGTCCTCACCCGACGCCACCTCTGCTTCAGCACCCGAACCAGCCCCAGCACGATTCACATCAGTACGATCGTACCTGCAGCACCTCCGCACCCTCGCCTACCGCTCCGCCCGCGATCACCTCATCCAATTCCCCGGCGTCGGGCCCAAAGTCGCCGACTGCATCCTCCTCATGTCTCTGGATCAAGCCTCCTCGATCCCCGTCGACCGTCACGTCTTCCAGTTCGCCGAAAAGTGGTACAAGCTTCGAACCAAAAAGTACGAGGACATCGCCGACTACTTCCGCGACCTTTGGGGCGACTACGCGGGATGGGCACACAGCGTGCTTTTCACGGCGGATCTGAGGTCTTTTGCAGATTACAACAAGGGGATCGGGAAGAAGGAGGAGAAAGTGGAAAGTGGTGGAGGAGAGTTCTGGGGTGATGGAGAGGGTGCGGGGTATATGACTCCGCCGAGCAGTCAGAGTGTGGTGAAGGAAGAGATGGAGGAGAAGCTGCAGGCGGTTCATTCGCCTCCCAGGATGGCGATTCCGGAGTTGGTGCCTCAGTCGTTGAAACCGGAGGATCAGGAGGAGGGCGCGACGTTGGCAGAGAGGATCAAGAGTCGACCCAAGCGCAAGAGTCGACTCAGCGAGGCTGTCCGAGGATGAAAAAGGTTAATCTCGGTTGTTACGATTCCCTACTCTCTGCACTTTATCTACATTCAGAGAAAAGCACTTAATGCTTCGAGGCAATGCAATGTATTATCGAGATGAACACTTGTCTCACTTGCGAGTGCGTCGATTGGCATTCGGGTTCTTCCTCCCATGCCCGATCACAGGCAAGTTGCTCTTATCCCTCGAGGCAAACTGACTGCCCAAGAAAATATCTCCATAATCCCACGCCTCCTCATACCTGACTGACAAACCATCCTTGCCCGCACGCATCGCCTTCTCCAACGCCCTCTCCTCCTTCCTCTTCCTACTCGCCTCCTTGGCCAACGCGCGTTGCCACTCCAACTGATCTTCACGAAGAATCAATCCGGATCCTCCCGTCTTGCCTCCCGAAGCGGAACCCGCCTTGGGAGCGGGAATGGAGTACTTGGTACCACGCAAGTTGAAGCGGTAGTTCTTCTTGAGGTGGAGTTGGAAGCCACCCTTGGCAGTATCGTCGACGGTGACGGCGACCTTTGTGAGCGTGGCATTACCGCAGACGGGGCAGAACTTCTTCTCCATGTCCTTGCACACCTTCATGCAAGCGTGGCAGCGCAGTACGAAGGACTTGACAGCTCGGACGCGAGAACCGTGAACACCGACGAGGGACAATCCCATCTGAAGGAGGACGTTTTGCACGGCGAAATCACCAGTGATGCACGCGACAGTCATGTGTCCGCCTTGAGAGGTGTTGCCCGTGGAATCCCAGGAGAGCGAAGGTCGAGACTGGATGGATGGGTCGTTGTAGTCGCGCGAGACGTGGTTGCGGTGGGGCGGCTTGGATTTGGATTTGGAGCCTGATTCGACACGCGACCAGCCTTCTTCGAGCGGCTCTTCGGGCGCCACTAATTCGGCAGGCTCAGGAAGGTCGTCTTTGGTCTGCTCCGAGTACTTCCAGCCGGGCATGCGGTTGTCCGAGACGAAACCCATGCTGAGGTTCTTGGCCTTTTGGACGTTGTCTGGTGTGATCCAGGCGCCATCGCCTTCGTCGTCTGACTCTTCGTCTGTGTAATCTACTTCGATCCAGCCCTCGTCGACGCCTGGCTCAGCATTTGATGGGGATGCCTCATTCTGAAGTGCTTCCTGAGCGGCCTCCTGTTCTTCTGCCGACTGAATTGGCTGAGCTTCCTCTTCCGCTTGTGTCGCTGCTGCTGCTTGTGTCGCATCCTTTGCTTGTTTCTTTGCGGCTTTCTTCTCGCGGTTCTCCTTGATGCGCTGTGCTACGAGCTGATCCGCAGTAAGGCCCTGTGCGGCAGCCTCTTCTGCAAGCTTCTTCTGCTTTGCATCTGCCTTTTGCTGGCGCTTCTTGTCGATCGCAGCTTGACGAGCTGCTTTTTGATCGTCTGCAGGTCTGGCGCTGGAGGAGGAGACGCCCTCGGCGCTGTCGGGAGCGTCACTCGTCGCAGCAGCAGGGGCAGACGCAGACGCTTCACCCCTCTTGCCATCAGGACTGGCTCTGATACGCTTCGTACCGTGTCTGTGCACCTCCCTCTCATACGTGAGCGCGATCACTTCCAAATCCTGCGTCGAAAGCACACCGATGTCACCAGTCTTCTTTGCAAACTCTGTGGCTGCGACCATGCTAGCAGGTCCGGGTTGGACGACGTGAAGCTGGAAGTCGGGTCGAAGTCGCAACGATTCGAGGTACTCGCGCGCCGAAGCATGCTTGATTTCTTCGATGACGCGAGGCGGGATATAGTACTCCGAGGCGAGACCATCGAGTGGCGCCCGCATGATGAGGGCACCTGCGTCGAGGATGAGCGTGTCGATGCGTGGTTTCTTGGTCCTCACGCCCGCTTCGGAGGAGGCGTCGTCGCCAGCGACTGATGCTGAGGTGGATGCAGCCGCATTGGAGGATTCTGCTGCTGAGTCTGTTTCTGCTTTCGGAGCAGCCGCTGATGCTTTGGCACCGGCAGCCGCCATTGCCGCCCAGGTCGACATGTTTGTGGATATAGGCCCAATACCGAGCTTTGAGCGATTGACTTCGGTCTCCTCGGTGGATTGCAGGGTGTGCTGAGAGAGTGCGACTGCCTTTGAAGAATGGTATCTATGGGATATGGTGGAGGGACGGCAAGTACAAAGATCCTACCCAAAAATTTCACAAGCAGCCAGCTCTTCTGCAGCAACGCAAAAGGATGGTCGAATTTCACGCTTTCTATGAAAAATCTCAGAAGACAAAAAAAGAAAAAATCGGCCTTAACCAACAGGGTCCAACATCCGAATTTGCCGGCGAGCTTGGCGATGTTAGAGCAGCAGGCAGCGCGAAGGCCATGTGTGGAGGTGATTTTTTGGCGTAGCTGAGCTGCAGCAACGGCGACTTTGGCAAAGTGCATTCCCGGCGAGTGTTGTACAACAGAAGGACAGAGGGATCTGATTCATCTTCATGCTGAGGTCCGCTTCTTGACCTCCTCGACCGTCCGCCAGCTAAGACGACGTTCCACTAGACCCATCGCTCTTTCGACAGCGCAGAAACGGTATGCTGCCAAGCGGCTGAAGCGCACTCATTCTCACTCTCCTTCTCAGCCACGATTGACGACCAGAGCCCGAACATGGCGCCAGTCTTGCCGGACGAGGTAGTCTACCACATCTTCACCTACCTCGAGCCGCACTCCCTGGGAATCACTTTACAATGTAGCACTGCTTTCTATAGGATCGCTACCGCTCCACCTCTATGGGAAGTACCCTACTTTCTACGATGGACTACCGGAGACCCCCGACGGGAGGCAGTGCGCGGAACGGATAGATGGAAGCGATACAGAAAACTGCGAAGGCTTGCCGAGCATGCGACTCGTGCTGCAGAGGAGAAAGGTATGAAGACGGCGAGCACGTCTCAGTCACCCTTTCACTATCTCAACCTCGACGAAGGCTCGGTGAGGTCTGCCACTTCCGCGCCCAGCATCGACTTCTACCGTCTTTTTCTCGAACGGATTCGCATCGATCAAGAGGTTCTGGATTCTGTTTACGACCAGGTCGAAGCAACGCACGACCGTATCCCACCGATCACCTCGTTGGCCAGAAGATTCGGCAACGACGCAAAGGACGTGCTCACGGCGGTAGTAGAAGCTCAGTCGAGCTGTCCTTCTTGGGCCTGCAATGGTCTCCCTCACGGCACTGAAACGAAGAAGACACACGACCGAGGCAAGCTTCCAGAAACGAAAGATGCTCTGGCGTACAACACTGATGGCTATCGTATCAGTGCCTATCAGGCACATCTTCCCACGTCACTGCGGTCGGAGACTCACCACCTCGTCATCCTCCATCATGCAAGAGAGATCCTGGAGCACCTTCAGCGACGCGAAGCTATGCAGGGCATGAGCGATATGGCCTATCTTAAAACCGTTGCCGATACTTCCGATGCTCGACCTCGATCATCAAGGACCTCGCACGACTTCCTGCCAAAGCAAACCGAAAGAGCAGTCTCACTTCTCACCATGTTCCGTGGGGGCGAAGTGACCTACGTCGAGGAACAACTCGACATTCTCGCCGCTGCCTGCGACCTCTACCTTCAACAACGCCTCCCACCAACCATACCCGCCACATCATCCACACTAGAGACGGCCAAACTCAAAGCCACCGCCATCTGCGACTTTCTCGCAGACCACGGCTTCCGCGGAGCACGAGATGACCTCTTCCACGATCTCGACAACCACTTCCTCCACCACTGTTTCACCACCAACCGCGAAACCCTTCCGCTTTCTCTCACCCTCATCTTCTGCGGTATCGCCAATCGTCTCGGTCTCACAGCTTCCCTGTGCAATTTCCCCATGCGAATCATCGCGTTCATCTCTACCTACCCGACAGCACCTCTACCATCTTCGACGGATACTCTCGAATCAGCGCATCCGGATCTCTTCTGGCTCGACGTGTGCGAATATACGACGGTGGCATACGATGCGCACGAACCGACACCCACCGATCCGTTCGCTCGTAAGGAATCGTGGTTGCAACAACGACCTCCGATTTTGGATCGGAACGATCTGACAGAGTGGATTGGTAGGATGGGGGTTCCGCCATCGGACGACTTTTGGCGACCTGCTGAGCCAGGAGTTATGGCCCAGAGAGCTGCGAGGAATATCTTTGGGAGTGTTCAGAGGGCGCAGATCACGCCGAGGAATCAGCATCCGGTGGGGCAAGCGAGGAGCGCGTTGAGGGCTATGGAGTTGAACAGGAGGAGAGCGAGGTTGGAGCAGCAGTGGAAGGATGAAAGGGTAGACTATGCTTTCTTGAACTCGATGAATGGAAGGACAGATCCACGACAGCAAAGAGACACCGCCGATCGTGTGGCGGCTGCTCTGGCTGGCAAAATTGCGATAGACGAAGACGAAACGATCTGGCACATCGTCAAGTCTTGGCGGAGGGAGTCGATGCCCACACTCATCTCCCAACCAGACAGCTGGGTTCTACCCGCACAACCACCTTCGTCCCATTTCCGATCCTGGATGGCCGCTCGTGCTGACGACAACGATTGGACGTTGTCCCGCATCCATCTGCAACGGCGAGCCGATCACTGGTCCGAACACGAGCGTCAAGCGGCCAAGTATGCCGCTCTGAATGCGTTCTTGCGGATCAACGCGCAGATGATCGCGCGCGAGGTGGATTGGTTCGCAGGATTCGTGCAGAGTTACTTTATGTTGGATGTCGAGGTTGTTGAGAGGGATTTCTTGGGTATGGAGCATGGCGAGGATGGAGAAAGGTTGGATGGTGGTGGTGGTGGTGCGGGGAGTGAGGAGGAGGGGAGTGAGTCGAGTGATGAAGAGGAAGGGATTTCAATTCGAGGCGTGAGAGATGGAGGAGGGGAGGGAGGTGGGATTCTTACGAATGCAAATGCGAGAGTTGTGTTGGGGAGGATGCTGCAAGCCGTAAGGGTCAAGGATGGCGAGGCGCCGAGGATAAATCGTCGAGCCCAGAAGACCACATCAAAACGATCCTCTCCCAGTCCTGCGGGTCTCGGAGAAGACCAAGTCGCTCATCGAGTAGGCACCGTCTTCCGCCACCGCACCTACCGCTACGCCGGCAGCATCCTCGGCTGGGACCCGCACTGCGCCGCCCCCGAAGACTGGATCGTCAACATGGGCGTCGACCGTCTCCCCTCCTCCCACCCCACCCAACCCGGAGGCAGACACCAACCGTTCTACCACTCGCAAGTCGCCGACGGAACGCGTCGCTACGTCGCCGAGGTCAACGTCGAGCCCATCCGCGGTCCCATCTGGATCTACGGCCTGCCTTCGTCGCTCGATCGTGCGGAAAATGGAGAAAGTGTGGTGGAGGAAGCCAAGGTGCTGGGGAACTCGATTCACAGGATGTTGCAGCTGAGAGGGCTGGGAGAGTACTTCCGATGCTTTGATCAGCGGAAGGGGAGGTTGAGAAAAAACGCGGATGCCAGGGTGATGTTTCCGGATGATGTGTCTGATGATGAGGATGAAGAGGGGGATGCGATGGTCGGTGGAGATGAAGAGGAAGATGTTGCAGAGAGGTTGTCGGAAGATGCAAGCTGGTAGGTTGCGTATCACGCTCCGAGACACACAGGGCAAGCAACAAGAACGCAAATGCTGTTACCATTATGTAGCTTTCTCGATTGCGTCGATCATATCAACCCAGACCAGCACCTCTATACCATCGCAACCTGCCGTCTTCGCTAGCAGTGACGAAGCGAGTCATCGAACTCGTTGCTGTTGCTGCTGCACCATTCACCTCGCCCTCCTTGGCCTCCACCTTCTCCCTCCATCTGGGTTGAACCGCAAACGCTCTTACACCCTTCACTTCCCCACCATTCCATACCGGTGTCGACTTGGTCGCGCTCGCCAGATCCCAAAATTTGATGCTCTTATCCGCACCCACACTAGCAAACACATTGCCTTCGCTACCCTCTACTGCTTGAAGTGCCAACAAACATCCCTTGTGACCGGAGAGCGAGGCGACTGTTCCGCCTATCCTCTCTTCGTCACCGACGAGTGGGTACGAGTGTTGGGAGGGAGAGAGGATAGGTTTCACATCGTGGATTGTGATGGTTCGATCGTCGGATCCGCAAAGCAGGAGGTTCGGGGTGAAGGAGAGCGCGCGAACGGGCGATGGGTGATCGAGATAGGCTGAAACGAGAGTGAGTTGGTAGTCGGAAGAGAGTGTGTAGAGAAGGACCTGACCGATATTGGTCCCGACGGAGAGATGGTTACCGGATGGGTGGAAGGAGAGGGAGAGTCCGAAGACATCTTTCTTGTTCTCGAGTGAGGGTGGAAGAGTCGCGGTTGCGAGCATTGTCCCAAATCCAGAAGACTCCTGGGAGGGGAGGGAGTGCAGCGATATAGTAGCTCCTGCGCCGACAGAGGCAAAGAGGGGAGCTGTTGGATGGAGCGCAGTCTTCCATGCCTCGGATAGCTTTGCTTGTGGTGTGGAATGGGAAGTGATCGAGTCGATTGTTGCGACCAGCAGCTGATTCGGGTCATCGACTGGCAGGGGAAGCAGAGCAGGCTCCTCAGAAGCATTCCCTGCAGCCAAAGCATCGTCGTTGCTCTCAGCTGGTGGTTTCGCTGTTGCAAAAGGCGTCAGGTCCCACAGCGCGACCGTGCCGTCAATGGCGTTTGACAGAGCCAATGTGGCAGCATCGTTGGTCGTGATGCAATGTACCGCATTTGAATGAGGTTTGGGCAGTGAGCGGTACGAAAGCGCCGAGTGTGCGTCAAATGTCTTGATGTTGCCCTGACAGTCGCCGGACAGGATCACGCCTTGTAATGAAGAGGCAGACGAAACCCAGCAAACGGAAACGACAGGTGTGGTGTGCGATTGAGACGGTAGAGACTCTTTGTCGCTCAGAAACTGCAGCGACTGTCAGCATGGCAGCAAAACGAGAAAGGGCGCGGTCAGTTCTGAAAGCTGTGTGTTTGCCAGAGTACGGTACTGAGCTGCTCTCAGCTTACCATGATGGAGATGCGGGTATGATGTGGGTGAAAGCGTCTCGTAAGAAGAAAGCGCTCTTGCATAAAGTGGAGAAGACACCCAAAATCTCGGCATTCGGCGACAGCGCAAAGGCGCGTTTCTACGCAACGACAAAGTGAAACACGATCCAACCTCTTCCCCACCTCTTGCTCTTGCTCTTCATCCGCGACCCCGGCACAATCCACACTGTAGCCCCACGAGATCATCGCTCATGCTCTCGTAGTCCGATGCCCATTTGCTTGCAATCACCATGACGGTCTGCAAGTTCTTCCTACAGAACAGATGCGCCTACGGCAACAACTGCAAGTTTGAGCATCCACAGGGTGGTGCCGCTGGAGCAGGCAGGAGCGGATTCGGACAGAGTGCGTTTGCTCCCCCTTCCGCTTTCGGTGGTGGCGGAGGAGGCGGTGTCACAAGCGCGTTTGGACAACCATCTGCTTTTGGCTCGACGTCGGCATTCGGCAGCAGCAGCAATGCCGCAGGCGGAAGTGCTTTTGGCAGACCAGCAGGCGGTAGTGCCTTTGGTGCCGCTGCTCCAAGCGCGTTCGGTGGTGGTGGCAGCGCCTTCGGTAGTCAGAACAGTACATCAGCGTTCGGTGCAAGTGCTCCAGGTGCTTCGGCGTTTGGAACAACGTCCAGTGGACAACCGAGTGCTTTCGGTTCGACGTCAACAACGTCATCGGCATTCGGTAGCACGAACAAGCCTGTCTCCGCTTTCGGCTCCACAGCTCCAACCTCAGCGTTCGGTTCCACATCAACGCCATCTTCAGCGTTCGGCTCCAGTGGTGCTGCATTTGGGTCTAGCGCACCTCCATCTGCATTCGGCTCTACCGCCACCCCATCCTCCTTCGGATCCACTTCAACACCATCGGCGTTTGGTTCAACGTCCACACCATCAGCATTTGGCTCCACTTCAACACCTTCTGCATTCGGCTCGTCCTCCGCCTTTGGCTCACAAGCTCGACCCTCCGCCTTCGGCTCAGCCGTTCCCACTGGTCCACGCGCTGGCACCGCCGCCTCATCCTCATCCACCGCACCAGGCTCAACTGCGAACCTATCCGGTCTCGCATCACTTAATCCATCTACGCCCTTCACATCAAAGACAAACCAGCATGGCGACTCAAATCTACCCGAGGTATCACTCACCGCTGCTTCCATCGCCGAAGATCTCGGACCCAACGGACGACCGTTGTGGAAGTTGACCGCTTACGCACCTGCCAGAGGAGAACCGAATCTGGTGGCGGGCAAGGATGTCAGTCAGGAAGAGCTGAGGCTGATGGCGTACCAGGCGAGAGCGAGTGGACAAGAGGCGCAGTACGTGCAGCATGAGCAGAAGTTGATGGCCGAGGCTGAGGCGGCGTATAGAGAAATAGCGGGGAATGGTGGGGCAAACGCGGTGAGGGTGGCGGAGAGGAACAGGGAGGAGAAGAAGAAGATGTTGCAGCAGCAACAGCAAGGTGCGACAGGGACACAGACAGCAGGAGGAGGGACGAGTGCGTTTGGCCAGACAGCTAGTGCCTTTGGAGGTGGTGGTAGTAGTGCGTTTGGTGCGGCAAAACCGGTATCTGCCTTCGGTAGCACTTCTGCGTTTGGCAGCACAACAGGAACGACGAGTGCTTTTGGTCAACCGGCGGGCGGGACTGCGTCTGCGTTCGGCCAGCCCTCAGCATTCGGCAGCACCTCAACACCCGCTGCCACCACAAGTGCATTCGGCAGCACCTCAGCATTCTCTGCCTCCACTCCAAACAACACCACATCCGCCTTTGGCTCCACCCCTACGCCCTCCGCCTTCAGCTCCACAGCCGCCCCACAACAACCAGCATCAGCTTTCGGCAGCTCCACCGGTACCACACCTGCCTTTGGCTCCACTGCTTTCGGCTCAACCCCTACTCCTCCCACCCAACCTTCAGCATTCGGGAGCTCCACCTCGGCTTTCGGGACATCTGCTTTCGGCGCACCCAACAGCTCATCTTTTGCGGTAGGCAATACAACGACCAACCTCGTGCAAGACCCGTACAAGTCCTCGGTGCCGACGAAGGATCAATTGACAGCAGAGGTGTTGAGCCTCTTCGAGAAGGATACTTTCGAATGGGGGATGGTGCCGTTAATCGAACCGCCGATCGATGTTCGCTGAGCGTAAGGGTCTGAAATATTATAATAATTTCGTACGGTGAAAAAGAATGTCATGAGTGGGAGCGATGTATCTTTGTTGCGTTTCGAGAGACGGCTGAGCGAGATGTTAGGGAAGACGTGGTCTGAGAACGGCGACGTCTACACGAGCGCCGCAACCCTGCCAAGAGGTGTCGTCGGAATCGTTGACTTCACCCAGGATCTGTGCTGAACCACCTCCAACACTGACCGACGAAGGCGCTTGTGCGGGGGACAGATCCATCCTCTCGCCCGGTCTTGTCCCGGGGAACCCAGTCGTTCCACCAACCGGCGTCGATCCCGACAGAATCCTGCCAAACCTGCCTGCACCAGCCCCAACACCCGCAGGAGCGACGTACTTTGCACCGGCGTTGGCATCCCTCTCCCCCAATCTGGGAAGACTCGTCCCCGCGGCAACATTCGCGTGATACTTGGCGACTCTGCTCCTCTCGATCTTGGTTAGAGTTTGGGTCACCCAATTGACGTCTGTTAGAGGGGACAGGTCGTGCGGTTTGTAGGGCGGAAGATGTGATCTGACGAGGGCGTAGTCTGCCGAGCTTCCGGAGCATTCCCTGATCAACCGCGGGACAAAACCCTCCTCTTCCCCTGCACCGTCATTTGACGACATGACAACATCTTCATCCTTCGACTTGACCTTTCGTGGTGCATCTCCCAGTCTAAGCCCTGCCATACTTGTCTCCACACCACCCTCCCGCCTACCACCCGTCACCCCGCCGATCGATCTCCCAACCCCAGCCGGCGGGAACTCGCAGTACAACCTCGTATCAAACACCCTGAAAACCACATCGTCCACCCTCAAGAAGAATCTCTGCAACACCAAAAATCCACTAGGCATCACCCGAACCTTGACATTGACGATCGAGCTACCGTTGTCCGCAAGCTCGTCTTCGTAGAGGACGATGTCGTCGTAGAACAGGATGGGTTCTCCGGAGGAAGGGCCGAGACGTTCGATGGGGATGCGGTCTGTGGCTGGATCTGTGCCTGGTTCGAACCACGTATCGGTGGTAGAGGGTGAAGAGGAGAGCGTGCGGAGAGATGGAGGGATTGATGGTGTAGTGGTGGTGTTGGAGGGGAGGAGCTGTTGGGGTGAAGTGGAGTTGAGCGAACCGGCCCAGGTAGTAGAGTAGGTCCAGTCGTAGTCTTTCGCAGCAGTGATGTCTGCTGTTGCGCTTCCGAAGTGCGACCCCGCTCCTGCTGGTACTCCTGTTTCGCTTGCGGTCGTTTCGTCCGCGGATGAACTTGAAGCGACGAAGTCCGTCCTGCTCTTGCCCCACTCCTTAGCATAAGCCACTTTGATGGACGACGCTGTCCTCGCCTTCGGTTTCGCCCCCGGAACGCTACTCTTACCCTCACCCGTCGGCGCATCCCTACAATCCACACCGTGCAACCGATTCGCAATCCGCACTCCTTCCACCGACCGCAACGTACGCACCGCATCGAAGCACAGATTGAACCCCGACTCGGCGTGTTGCAGCACCAGCGAGTTGTGCGGGAAAGCCATCTCCGGCGGGGGGATGCCGAGCACCTCGGCGAGTGCGTCCATCTCGGCGGACGAGCCGATGGGTCCGCTCGTGACCCGTACACTCCATCCTCCAAGGTCGATACCGCGGGTTGTGGGTTGCAGCGAAGGTGCGGTCGAAGACGGTGTGTGGGGAGAAGAGGAGGAGGATGGAGCGGGCGGACGGGAGGTCGTGTGGTGCGTGGACCACGTTGTTGCCCCGTTGCCGGACATGGTTTCGTGCGAGACGTGCGATGCCGGAAAGTTTACTGAGCGGACACAATCGTGCAGGAGATGCTCTGCTAGTGGTCGCTAGGAATCGAAAGGTAAGAATCGAGATTTGGTGGTATCAGAGAAAAAGGCGTTGCTTCGTGCGCGCAAAATCTGTTTCTGTTGGCGGCACCACCGAAAGACGATTTTGGACCCTGAACGCTTTCTACTGATGGAATTCTTCTGACGACGGCCTTTCTCGAACCTCTGCACAGACTGATGTAGCAAAACAGGTCACTCGGTCACACAGATGCAGAAACGATGCTTGTAGCATGATGCATAGTATACAAAGTGACTAAGTATGTGTTCAAGTACGGAAATAACGACTCGCAGACTCGTCCTCCCACCCATCACTTCTTGCCAGCCCTTCGCTTGATATTCGCCTTTGCCCTCTCCAACTGCTTCTGCTCGCTCCTCTCCACCTGCAGTGTCGACATGATCTTGTCCATCTTCCTCTTGTACGTCTGATCCTCCTCCGCCTGGTCCTGCTTGCGCACCTGGGCGATGAACTGGTTGTCCCTCCTGAGCTCGCGAATGGCACCCTTGCGCTCCTTCTTGATGAGCGCCTTCATCTTTTGGATCTGGACACGCTCGGCGTCCGGGTCGAGTGCAGACTTGCGGTCTGGGTTGTAGCCCTGCTGGTCGAACTTGGGGACGTGCGAGGCGATGGCGATGGCGCGGTGTGCCTGCAGGCGCAGGTAGCGACGCGATTGGGAGGCGAGTTGCAACGAACGCGTCAGCGAGACGTTGATCGAGGAATCGGCTGTGCTGGGCGAGCTCGATAGCAGTTCTCGGAAGGGAGTGAACAGCTCGACGAAGGACGTAGAGCCGTTGTACAGCTCGCTGAATTTGGACGTGAGCGCGAGCGCCACAGAAAGCAGTTGTCTGCACTGCTGCTCGTCGACATCTGCCGCCTTGACTGTGATCAGACTCGGCAGATCAACCGCTTCTTCTACCGGATCAACGACCTCTCGGCCGGACAGACGCAGATGTCGCGTGTGCACAGCATCAACATCAGGCGTCGGAATGCCATACTCCTCCGCTGCAGCGCGTACCTTGGCCAAAGCTTGTCGTTGCGCCTTCTCCTTCCCGTCGCCCAGAGACGCCAGAATGGCGATGGTAGAGAAGAGAAAGTTGAGCGCTTCAGGGAACAATCTTTTGCTCTCCTGCTCGTTCGACGCAACCAACGAGCACAGGAAAAGACCCGAAGCAATGTCGCTGACGGATCGAATTCTGGCGTGTGCCAAGTACTGCGCGATGAGAAGTGCCAGAGGCGTCGTCACATTGTGCTGCTTGTCCGAAGTAGGCCACACCGTGCCGGCCAATCGAAGCAAAGTCAACTCGGGCAAGCCTGGCCACGTCCTGGCATCGGCCTCGGTCGGACCCTTTGCAAGGCCTCGCGAAAGGTTGCGTTGCATCAAGGCGAGCTTGCTGACAAAGTGCTCCGCGGACGCAACAGGGTAGGTTTGCGACAGGCTGAAAATGTGTGGAATGAGCGAGTTGACAATGGCAAAGGCGAGCTTGTGCTTTTGGCCGGAGGTAAATTGGTGCGCTTGAGCCTGACCAGCCCAGTGGAGGCAATGATCGATCAGGACACCGATGAGCGCTTGCAATCGGTACTTGTTGTCTTCGGCCAGACTTGGATGGTGGAGCGTGCGGATACGCTTAACGACAGTCGGGATATGCTTGGGCTCGATCTGGTGTTTTTCGAGCAGAGACAGCAGCTCATCGTGTGTGGCGGGGCAGGAAAAGGTGAAAGGGAGCTTGCTTTCCGTAACGGGCGTGGGCTTAAACTTGAGGGCGGAGCCAGCTTTGCCCGCCTTGCCTGATGAACCAGCCTTGACGCTGCCGGTGAGTGCCTCGTGGTCGCCTCCCTGCTCTGAATCTTCATCCTCTCCAATCTGAATGGCGTCATCTGCGTCGGCGAGATCCGCAAAGTCATCCTCATCATCTTCATCATCCTCGTCATCTTCAATCTCCACGCCTTCAGCGGCATCGTCTTCGTCTTCCTCGTCATCTTCGTCCTCATCCTCGTCCTCATCCTCCTCGGCCTCTTCGTCGCTCTCATCTACCGCACCGCTCTCCGCCAGACCAGCTCCAAGACCGTATACCTCGCCAGCTGTCCTGCCGTCGAGCTCAAAGTCGTCGTCGAGGTCATCCGCCTGTGCTGTGCGCTTCGGCGCTGATGTGGAGCCGGAACCCTTGCTTCGTTTTCGACGCTTGCCGCCTGCCTCTTCCTCTTCTTCTGCTTCGTCGTCACTATCGCCTCGCATACGCTTCAATCGAGCTTTCTCTGCCTTCATGAGTCGCTTCGCCTCGTCGGCAGCAAGCTCCTCTTCGCTCTTGAGACGATCCTGCGGCTTTGCTCTGCGCTCAAAGGCTAGTTCGCGGACAAAGGTGTCGTAGGAGCTGGCGGGCTTGTCTTGAGCTTCTGCAGCGTCTGTGCTGGCACCTGCGACTGCAGTAGCGTTGGCACCAGTAGCGGGGCCAGGGAACACCGAGATCTTGGCTTTGGCTTTAGGGTCAACAGCTGGTGCTGGTGTGGGAACGGCGGGCTGCTCGAACAGCAAACCGCGAATATCGGCGAGCTCGTCGTCGAGCTGTTCTCGGAGTTCGTCGTCAGCATCTTTAACTTTTTGACGCTCGATCTTGTGGAATTTGGACTTTGCAATGACCTCGCGCATGACATCGGCCTTTGACTTTTCGCCGTCTTCGTTCTCGCCAAATCCGCCAAAGTGTCCTTGTGCGGTGAGTCGGCCTGGGTCTAGAAAGGCAACAATACACGAAAAGAGGAAGAACACTGATGTCAATGAGAGCTCCGAGGCTACGATACGCGAAACGGCTTCTGGCACGGACGTAGTAGCTTGGCGATGGCCCGAGAATGCATCAGAAATCTCCAGTAGAATCTTTTGACCGTCACAGGGTGGCGCTTTTCAGCGTACTTATTCGTGTTGAATCCGGATCGTTTGTTTCGCCAGTAGCAGATCATCATATGCATAGTCGAGGTGCCATCGCCATAAAGCCTTTCCCCTGCCGTTTTCCGTGGTGCACTTACCTTGGTCATCGTCGTCATCCTCTGGTAGTCGGATATCGGCCAGGTCATCGAGACCGCTGAGCGATTGACCGTAATGTGTGAGCATCTCGTCGTCGTCGTTGAGGTTGAACGCCGCGCCCTTTGCTGCTCTTCTTTGCTTTTCTGTTGCGAATCGTTCGAGCATCTTTTCCTCTGGTGTCACGTTTGCGTCATTTTCACCGAAGCGGCGGTCGACGAAGGTGCCTGTACGATTGCGAGCCTGCCATTCGGGGAGAAGCGTCTCTCTCCTTTGTGCGAGGCCACTTGCTTTGGCGGCACCGGGCCGACCGACGGCACCCTTGATCTTGCGTCCGAGCACTTCATGTTTGGGTTTGGTCACCTTCTCATCGAATGGATTCAAACCAGCGACGATGGCGTTGATCTTATTGAGACGAGCTGCTGCTGCATCCTTCTCGCCGTGACCACCCTTGCGAGAGCGAGACTTTTTTGAGAGCTGGCGACGATCCGTGACGCCGGAGCTGTGGAGCTTAGCCTTGAGCTGAGACAGCTGCGAGCCGCCGCCCTTTGCCATGGTCGAGGGTCTGTGTGTGTGCTTGGAAGAAAGGATGCCTTTCGTGGTACCGTTGCAGCTTTGTGACTGGCAATGGTTGGCTTGCGTTGTTTTGTCGTCCGTACTTCTCGATCCTGTAATTCTGTATGGCGAGCTGCTTGGTGCGCCGCTTGAAGGGTATATGTGCCAGGGCGATCGATGTGGTTGCAGATGATGATGCTTGAATCTGTGCATCCAACGAAGAACGTCAAAATTTCGTTGACCCTGAAATCCAAAAAAAAAGAAAAAAAGAAAAAAAGAAACAGTAAAAATCTCGCCGTGCTCAGCTTCCGCTTTTCCTTTTCCTTGTTCCAAAATAAAATAAATAAAATGTCATTCTCGAATCGTTGGTGGAGGAAAGCTGATCTCCCGATGTTGCTCGATTCGGTTCCGAGTGGAATAAGTCGAGATTCGAGTTTGGATCGCGCTCAAGCACCGAACCAGCACCAAACCATTGCCAATCGATCCGCTCTCGTCAAAGCTTCCATCACCTCGATCCTCCTCAACCCCTCACACAGCGCGACAATGAGCGGTGCAGGTAAGTTGAGCGCGCCCATCACGCTACGCCGATGGCAGCTGCCGCTACGAACGAAACATCGCCAGGTTTCGAAGAACTGACACCTCGAATCGCGACATGCCGCCCATCCCAATCTCGCTTTCTTCAACCTTCCTGTGGCCTCTCGACGCATCATCAGTCCCATTCCGACAGTAAGTCTTCTTTTTCGGCACGAATGGATTTGCATATCGCACTGCATCGGCAACGTTCTGACGTCCGACCCTCTTGTCTCATCCTCTTCCCCGATCATCTGCAGGGATCTTCCTCCTTCCGGAGGCTACCAGCCTATCCGATACAAGCGTAACTTGCCAGGCAAGAACCTTTCGGGTCTTACCATCTTTGGCGGTGTCATCGCTGTCTGTGCATACGGCTTTTACAAGGTTGGCCTTGGCAACCTCGAACAACGGTGAGTGCACACAGACCGACATCAATAATCTTGGAGATACAATTCAGTATGCTTACCCTCCGCCGTCCGCCCTTCGTACTTGTCCTTTTCATTCCAACAGAGAGCTGAAGAGGGAGCGAGCATGGTCTCGAATTCACCTCATCCCCGTCCTCATGGCCGAATCAGACCGCGACACGTACCGACGAAACGAGGCTCAGATTGCACGAGAGAAGGAGATCATGAAGGACGTTCCCGGCTGGGAGGCTGGAAAGTCGGTGTACAACACAAAACGATACACTCCACCCAACTTTGTCGTCCTCTAGATGCCTTCGTTTTGGGAGTCTACACCGTCTACATCACAGCAATTAACGTATATTCCGCAGCCCAGACCGGTGTGGCTGCAAGTGTGAGAAGACAGACGACATGCACGCAAAACAGAACAGACGTTGAGCCATCGACCAGCAGGAGAGACGTCACCAGCAAGTAATGAGCGCCTGCGTCTGCGAACGAGATCCTCGGTCAGCTGAACGGCAAACAAGCTGTTAACGCTGCTCGCGCGACAACGACAACGAGACCGCCAGTTTTAGTTAGAGCGACACCCTGACGACCTCCACAGACGGCGCCATTTCATAACGGCAAGCTAACTTTGTCTTACACCTTTCCGACGTCCTCGTCCCAATCTCGCGTCTCAAGATGGTCTGAACGGCATTCAGCTTCTCGAAAAAGGATGTACAATCTCCCTGAACGGAACGATGAACACCTTAGCATGCGAACCTAGCAGCACAGAAAAAAAAAAGTA